CTAATCTCTGTGCAGGGATTTGACGACATACACGAAGGGCAACAAGGCACTCAAGCCTGTCCGGACTTACACACACCATTCTTCAATTGTCAACGATGTTCAATACCACCCTCTTCACTCTTCGCTTATTGGAACGGTGTCCGATGATATCACCCTTCAAATCCTCGACGTGCGAGAAGCCGAAACCACGCGTGCGGCTGCATCAGCAGAGGGCCAGCACCGGGATGCCATCAACGCCATCGCTTTCAACCCTGCCGCGGAAACCGTTCTGGCGACTGGCTCGGCCGACAAGTCGATTGGACTGTGGGATCTTCGTAACCTCAAGACCAAACTGCACGCGCTCGAATGTCATAATGACTCCGTGACCTCTCTCTCTTGGCATCCGTTTGAGGAGGCCGTACTGGCCAGTGCCAGCTATGACCGGAAGATCATGTTCTGGGATCTTAGCCGGACTGGCGAGGAGCAGACCCCTGAAGATGCCCAGGATGGACCGCCCGAGCTGTACGTGAAATTCCCTTCCTAATTACGCTCCCTTGCTAACGCTGCCTCCAGTCTGTTCATGCACGGCGGCCACACAAACCGTATTTCGGATTTCAGCTGGAACCTCAATGACCCGTGGGTCCTCTGCTCCGCGGCCGAAGACAACCTACTGCAGGTCTGGAAGGTGGCCGATGCGATTGTTGGCAAAGACCTTGAGGATGTGCCGACGGAGGAGCTGGAGCCATGAGCTGTCACTTACCTGTGAGCGAGTCTGCACAACTGATACCTATCTGGAATGGTCGTCCCACTTCATGTACTCATTCTACAAGTTCACTACATTCACGGCGAGAATATGGGAAAAATAATCACACGACGTTAAGTTCTACTGCGAGGTCATTTTCGAGGAGTTTGGTGGCTGCTATGTAACATTTGAAGCCTAGCTATGGAGTACTGCATCAAAGACATGATTAGATATCTCCTCTAGTACTACCTAGTTTGAATGCCTCAGGCGCCGGCCTTGGTTAGTTCATCGGCCTCCGCCCTAGAGCTTTTCTGCCCCTCCCACATGGAGCCGCAACGGCCATGCATTACTTGGTGATTTTATTATTAGTCTGCATTGGGGCCCATCCGCTCATGTAGAAACCCGCACTCAGTGACTCATGCGACAAAGACCAGATCGGGAGCACAAGCCAGACAAAGCGCACCGGTGCTGGAAGATTGTGCTGGTTCAAGGAGGGGGGACCGGGCCGATGAAAGCGATTGTGAGGCAGCTGGCGGGGACGATTTGAAAGGAAGCTTAATCATAGATTGCCCCCGAGAAGCGGCGCCGCTCCGAGGGCGGGCTGTGAGTGGCCAGCGGGAAAGGCGGTGTGGGAGGCGATGAAGCGGGCGCCAGAAAGCGGCGGGGTTCAACTCGAAGGGAAATCGAGAGTCGCCGCCCTTCGAGGCCGGAGTCATCTTAGCTTTTTTGGTTTTTGAACTAACCCCCTTCCATCGCGCGGCATGTCGGGATAACCAATTTTTCGTGCTGACCTGCCATGTCTCCGACGTTGTGATTCCATCCCTTCCAACCACCTCTTCTTCCATCCCCAAGACCAAGACCAAGACCAAGACCAAGACCAAGACGTTGTTGCTGCTCAGTCATTCTACGCCGCAGAATCCCGCACTCCCCTCCCTGTCTCTGTGCCTCGCTTCCCTTCTCTCCACCATCGCCGAAGAAGTCATGGGTTCCGGAACTTCTCCCCCTCCCTCGGGCTCGAAGCCCAAGTCTGCCATCCCTTCCCATATGCTGAACGGCAGTTCCCCGCTTCATGTGTCTACGGGCTCTCGTGATGCTCGTGAGAGGGAAAGCCTCAACTCCTCCATTCTCTCCTCGTTTACTCCCCGCATCCCGGTTGAGTTCGATCTGCCCGCCTCTGCCGCTCACCCGTCTGGGGAATCTCTCTCCCTGATGGATGATACTCCCCGCGGCTCTTCTTCAAAGTATGCTGTGTCTGCATAATCTGCACAACGATCTCATCCCCTTTGCTAATTGCGCAATTCAGGCCGACATTGAACGATCCACCCCGCGATCCCCGAGATGAGGCCGGTGCATTGACCCCGCCTGCCACAGTCAGCCGACCAGCGAGCCCATACACCCTCTTTCCTCCAATTGACTTTGACGGACTGAGCTGGCCTTGTAAGTGATCGTCGATGCGAATTAGCGACCGGTTTGATCTGACGCTGTATCCCCCCAGGCCCCGGCACCAGGGCGCGACTGGAGTCGACGCCCGAGGAGACGGACGAGCGCATCAAGAAGCTCGCAGGCGCTGTTAGGACGATCCTGGAGTGCGTCGGAGAAGACCCAGAACGAGAGGGTCTGCGCGAGACGCCAGAGAGATATGCCAAGGCCATGCTCTACTTCACTAAGGGTTACGAAGAGAATGTCAGGGACCTCGTCAACGGCGCAGTGTTCCATGAAGATCACGACGAGCTGGTGATTGTCAAGGACATCGAGGTGTTTTCGCTGTGCGAACACCACATGGTTCCTTTCACCGGAAAGGTAAGATCCCTTACCTTTTTGACTGGAGGCTACAGTAATGCTGACCAGGCTTTCTTGATAGATGCACATCGGCTACATCCCTGACCGTCGCGTTCTCGGTCTTTCCAAGCTGGCTCGTCTGGCGGAAATGTTCTCCCGCCGTCTTCAGGTACAGGAGCGCCTGACCAAGCAAGTCGCTCTGGCCATCTCGGAGGTTTTGAAGCCGCGAGGTGTCGGTGTCGTCATGGAATCGTCCCATCTCTGCATGGTGATGCGCGGTGTGCAAAAGACTAGCAGCACCACCACAACCAGCTGCATGCTCGGATGCATGCGATCAAGCGCAAAGACCCGGGAAGAGTTCCTGACCCTCCTGCACCGCAGATAATTTTTTCATTCCTCTCAGCCTCGTTACGACATGCACTTGTTACCCCCTCATTTTAACAGTGGATGGTATTCATGATTCCCGGAGTTTTGGCGGTCACCTTTCAACAGGTCATTGGGATTGGCATTCATTTACTTTACGCCACGCGGATGGAGTGTTCTCTTGCGTTTGGTTTGGCTTGGTTTACAAATACTTGTATAGATTCATGTTCTGTCACGCAGGTGCGACGCACAGATCAGCATTGTCTGTTCCCCTCGTTCGACTGTTTCGATCGATAGAGGAAGAGGGCTAAAGGGCTGAAGGGCAGCCCATGTCGGACACCTCGACTGTGAAGCAGGTCTAATGGCGATACGTCGAGGTCGATTCAACATTTGTTTTAATATCTTCTCAACTGGATATAGGGATATAAGGGATTTGGATGATGTTATGGTGAAGATGTGGTAGCTAAAAGCTATGTATATTCGAGATGAGATCCGTCTCAGCAATTGACTATTCAACTCAGTCTGCACATGCACCAGTTTTCCTCGTCTGTACTGTGTCAGATATCTTACTCATCGATATCGTATCAAGTAGTGTATCAATCCTTCGTTACAGGCAATCAGGTAAGGGGTATACTTGCCAGCACTGCCTAATACTTACGGTCTCAGCGCAGCTACCATAGCAACAACAGTCACCAACTCTCCCGGCAGCCATAACCATATGTGCACCTCCTGCCCAAGTGAATATTCATCTCCCATTGCGATATTCACTTTGTATAAACAGAGAGATGTCAAAGTTTCTTGATCTGCACCACAGTCAACACTAAAATCACTCACCTAGTGAATGTATACCATGTCTTCGAGATACTACGTATCTACTCGTTTTTCATGGATTCTCATTTTCCAAATACTATTCTCACTGTACTGTCCCTCTATGTTGTGTTGGACTCATTCTTTACAGTCGATATTCGTGTTTTTGAGCCCTGCTGATTGATACTTGAGAAAGGTGTTGTGTTTGTATGTCACCTACATGCCATCGTATTTGAAAGAGCTTGACTGACCATTCTAGGAATTGACGTTATTCCCAGTTCCGTGTTGTTTCTGTTCGTTCTGTGAAACGAGTCACTTACACAATGAATACTAACCCCAGCCGTGACGATTTTGCCGCTGCCGAGTCTTTACTCTTCCTCTCAGGTGCTGTAAAGAGTGCACCAGCCGCAGAGCAATCTGGTCATGCCCGTCGGCACACACAGACTGCTACCCAGAGAAATATTGTGAACGTGTCCGCTCTCCCCAGACGCAGCAGTGGGCAGATTCACGCTCCAGCACGTCTTCTCCGCCAGCCCATCAACCGACTGCCCCTGGCAGCCCAAGAACGTGTGGACAGCTCTCAACCTCCACCTGGTTTCGTGGAACAAGAACGACGGCATCCTGCAAGACCAGCTCAGCAGCCCCAGCCCATCACACCAAACCTGACTCGTGAGCAGGCTCTCCAGGCGTACTTCATCTGCCAGCAACTCATTGCCGGCATCCAGCCCCAGAATATCGTGCCTATGCGTCAACCCAACAACAACACAAGGGAGAAGAAACCAGCCTTGATACAGATCAGCAACGCAGGTATTAGAGTGCCTAAGATTCCTCCTGCGCAGTTCACCGGAGGCTTCTATCCACTCCCCAGACACCAAATGCAGCGCATACCTCCGCCCAATACCGGCACCGTGGAAGCAAAACCACAACCTGCCGCAGAAGTCCGGAATCAAGAGACCACCACCAACATATCAGCAAGGCCTGCCACCGCTGCGCTGAACATAAACGAACCCGGCACACGAATCACATCCCAGCAGCAGCAGCCACAGCAACCACAACCTGCCACCCAACCCATCCATCAACCCGCTCCAAACCCCAGCTGGAATCCCGCATTCGCAATGCTTGTAGCTCCTCGTCCCCAAACCCCCAACAACGAACGTGAGGACTTCGATCTCCTGCAAGCCTTCGTCTACTTCCCACACCTGGCCGTCCTCCTAACGACCTACCTCTCCATCGACGATCTAGTCACCATCGGCTCCACCTCCAAAACCTTCCACTGCTTCCTCGAAACCCACATCAGCGGCGTCATTCAAGCCCAAATCACTCATATCCCCTCCGTTGCCGCCACCTTCCCCTTCCTCTGCTACCCCAAACTCTGTACCCACCCAGGCCACTGGCACCAACATCCCCCTCCCATTCCTCCTCCTCCCCCTCATTCCCGATCAACCCAACCTCCAGCCCCATCCCCCTCTCCCACCTCCTCCCCTCCATCCCCTGGCTCCGCATGATAACCCACCGCGACCACGTCACCAAAGAAATCTTCCACCTCCTCCACACCGCGGGCTACCCCCTCCCACTAATCTGTTCCCTGTCGGTCCACAAACTCTGGTTCCTAATGGACATCCCCGACAACGCCCGCCGCGAATGGACCATCCGCAACCCCCGTATCTGGCAAGACGGCGATATCTTCTTCGCAATCCTCTTCCTCGTCCAGGTGGACATGTATCTTCGCGAAAGGCGTGGCCAGAGAACCAACTCCATCCGACGATTGATCATGGCGCAGCCGACACTAACCTTTCTGAGGGATTATATGAGGAGTTGGGTGTTAAACTCGAACATCGATCTTTTTGCTGCGTTTGTCAGGTGGAGATATGTCCCAAAGGCTGGAGACGAAGGGTTGCAGTTCTTTGGGGTCCCGTATGAAATGGCTGGGGAGTTGCAGTTTGAGGGATATGGAAGGCCAAGGAGTAATGGGGTCGGTATGGAGAGAAAGGTGAAGTTGGTGAGGCCTGATGAATTGGTATTGAGGGAGATGGAGAGACGGGGTCTCTGTATGCAGGATATGTATCGGGATTTTTTTCTGTTGGGCCAGGGAGGGAAGTATTTTCCGGTGGAGAGAATGGGAGTGTCCTGGGTTAAAGAGGTGATGGCGGCGGCGGAAGGGATGGGTTGGAATTGGATGGATATGGTGAGGTTGGATTGAGTGTTGTTGATGTTGTTGCTGTTGTTGTTTGGTTGGGGAATTGGGGTTTGAGGTGTTTGCTTGAAAGTGGTATGGTGAAGTTTGGTTGTAATTACGGTGGTATTGAAAGGAAGGAAAAGCAGGGGTTGAAAAAATGTACTTTACTTTGATTGATTGATCATGGATTAGGTTATCCAGAGATAGATCGATGACTTTGGACCCTCAGCTAGGCAGTGGTCAACCCTTTTATGTGAACCATTTGCTGCTGATATTAGCAGACTTTGATCATAGTAATGCTATGTCCATCAAGAATAAAGGCTTGGCTATATAAGAGTCCCGCGAGGAGTTTAGAAAGAATGGTGGATGTGTAGGGACCTTAAGGTGCTAGTTTATATTATGGTAAATCGAAGATAAGATACACTATGATACAAATGCATTGGAATCCCGCCTCAGTATCAAGTACTGCGGTAGGCTTCGTCAGGACGGACTAAAAAATCGATGCTTCAATCCGCTCCTGACATCCTGTCAGGCACCTAGTACAAGGTGCTGCAGTGCCAGTTCTCGGCACTGTTCACATCACCAGTGCCGTTGTACTTGGCAAGCTGGGGGTGGGGGCAGATGGGTCTCTGCTTGTCGACACCGTCGGCAACATCGTCATTCTTGTACTTGGTCGGGATCAGGTAGCTAGGAGCATTGTCGTTCTCAACCCAGTCCACCATGGCCAGGATAAGATCGTGCTTGCTGTCGTTGAAACCGGGCACACCGTAAACGGTTCCGGACAAAGAGCCAGCCTGGCTGTCTCCGTTCATGTAGAAAGGAGCGTCCTGGTCGGAGGGAGTGCTGGTGCAGTGCTCCATGCCGGGAATCAGGAAGAAGCGGTAGAAGTCGTCAATGGGAATGTCCTGGGGGCGGAGGGCTTCCTGAATGTGGTTGTAGAGGTAAATGGAGGAGCCGGTCGCGATGGAAGGGTCAGAGTAGCCGTGGTAATGCAGAAGCTTGCCGCCCTTCTTGTAGAAGGGGGAGATGTCGAAGTCGTTGGCGGTGGCATTGCCAGGGTTGATCTTGTCAGACAGGGCCACGAGATCCGGGTTCCAGTCTTCCCAGGTCCAGTCTCCTCCAATTTGGAGCATGTACTGGATGTAGGTGACGAAGTCATCGCTGAGGCTAGGGGCGCCCACCTCGGTGCCAAGAGTGTAGCCGGGAAAGACGAAGGTATCGTTGGCCTCGATCCAGGGGCTGAACAGCTTGTTGACGGTCACCAGCTGAGCGGGGGTCACACAGGTGTCGTTGGAGGAGGTAGAGTTGCACATCACAGGGACAGGGTCGAAGACACATCCGAGGGGGTTCTGGAGAATGTTGTCCTTCAAGCCGTCCTGGGGATCACACTGCTTCAAAATCTCATCCTGAACGGCTGTCATCTGAGCATCGCTGACATGGTAGTCGGCGGTCTCGGGAAGGTTCCAAATAGCAGTGAGCACGTTCCACAGCTGTTGGTGAGAAGTCCACCAAGCTGGCGCTCCGGCAATCACACCATCAAAGTCCTCAGGGAACATTTCGACCTCTTTGAAGCCCTGCTTGCCGCCAGCGGAGCATCCTCGGTAGTAGCTGTACGAGATATCGTCCTCGTAGTAGCCCTCGGTGACCTTCTTTCCATTCACCACGGCATCGTGGAGAGCACGGTAACCCCAGTTGGCGAGAGCAACTTCGTTGTGGTATCCGAAACTGCCGTTGTTGCCCTCGTGGCCCGTATCGGTCGACACACTGGCAAATCCATACCACATGGTGTTCATGATGGCAGACCAGCCCACGGATCCGGAAAATTCACCATTTCCGACAGCCATGAACCGGCCGTTCCAGTCATCGGGCAGGACGAAGCCAACGCTGTGCTGGGTGTTGTTGGGCAAGGAGATGTTGGCCTGAGCAACACAGCCGGCAAGAGGAACCTCGTACACGGTATCAGCACCCGAGGGGATGGAGGTCAAGCCATAGTTGAGGTCAATGGGAGGGGTGAAGTTGGCACCCTTGGCATAGTGATTGGCGTAGAAAACAGTGGAGTTCTTCGGGAGGAACTGGGAAATGGACTCGACGCTGCAGTTCTTCTTGGCCGCAACCACGCCGGCTGCGGCGAGGAGAAGTGTGGCTGACTTCATGAAGGGAGTGTTTCAATTTGGAAAAGAATGACTGATTTGATCAAAGAGCGATGAAGCACAAGGCTGATAGATGCATATCTAAAACATCAGAGCAGACGGGGGAAGATGGCTGCTTTTATACGTTCGGAGAGAGACCTCATGACACTGTCATTAAATGGTTCAACGTCAGCTCCTCCACATTCGCCAGGACGGGACAAGTGAGGAGTTTAGATCCGTACCTGCATCGCGGGAACCGAATAGATTGAAAGTTCTAAGTACGACCGTCTGCCATGCGGTTGAAGGTACAGACAGGTCTCTGCCGGGTGTTGTCCAGGGTGTTCTATGGTTTGGATAACGACTCCCCGCTTGCTCTGTTTTTGATAAGGTAGATCTGCCGATAGTTGCTGCAAGAAGGCTAGTCTCCGCAGCAGAGATACCCACTTCAACGGGAAGAATCTCAGGCTATATCTAAGTAGGGCCTAGATACTCCGTGGAGTCTGGTAGACACGGAATTCGGGGCCGAAGGACAAGATTGGTGAGGGCGCCGCCGAGCACCACAGGAGTTTGATCTTAAGTTATCAGTGGTGAGCTTAAAGCATGCTTATTCCTCAGACCCACACTCAATTTCTGCACGGCTCTGACGGCCCCGTTGATGACGACGAATATCCACGTTGGATTTCGCTCTCCAACACAACCCAAACATGAACCGAACGAGTTGGACTTAAGCTTTGGCTGTTGCCAATCATTTCTGTGTTCTGGGATCAGTGTAGCTTCCTATCCAGACGACCACGTAATGCACTCCACAGTCATGCAAAACCCAGTCATCTCATATTCATAGTATGATGCTGTGTAAATTAAATTGATGGGCTGAGTGGCTATCCTCCCGGGACATGAAACGGCCTCCTGCGGACTTCTTACCAACTCGGTCCTTCACTATCTGTACATCGAAGTATGGATAGGAAGAACCAAACGAACGGTTGGTTTATAGTGGATTTGCTTTGAAGGCTATGCTTTGAATGAGGGTCGGTTTGCTCCCAATAGCCTTGCCGGGTAAAATAGCATAAACTGTCACACCATTGTCCTGTACTCGACTGCGAGACTGCGATTGTCTGGCCAGACGGTACCTTCTAGAGGATCAGAGGCGTCGATGACAGGCCACACGGCCTTCGAATCGGCTGACGGCTCCTACAAGCCGAGGAGGTGATGCAGAGAAATCATGTGCATACTCGCTGTGTGGTCTGCCAGGGACGGAAAGTTAGCGATAGTATTTAGAGTCAACCGTGAAGCAGCACTGCCATGAAGACGGTAGGTGATCTTGCCAAGCCGTGGCATCATTCTATTTCACCTGGCAGACCTCGTACTCTCAATGACTGTCTTCTACCCCGAAGATAAGAGCATCTAGGGATTGTGACACCAAGTTCGGAAATAGTGGTAAGTATACCTGCTGTGAGCAGGCTGCCTCTCGTCGGGGTGCTTTTGAAGGACGCATTGACAAACTGGTTGCCTTGCCATCCCGCAATCAGTGGACATAACACAGCCGTGGTGATGGTACCTAAGCTTGAAATTTTCCACAAGAGAGAGTACTGTCTACCTTGGTAGTAATGATCATGGATCGATCCATGATAACCTTCACGATTACCAGAACGGGCGTAGGCCCACGGACCAATCGAGGGAGCGGATCAAGTTAGTCCGACTCCGGATCACGTGCAATCGGGCGGCTTCCCCCCGTTGCTTCAAGCTTACGGCCACCCTTGACCTGTCACCAAATCAACAAGAGCTCATATGCCCACAAGCCCCTGTCCACTGGTATATTTTTGCCGATAGGCTTCGTGTGGAAGCTCCTAAATTATCTAAGATGATATTGGAGTCACTCTGCGTGTCGCCAGGCCTGCTGGGGTTAGTCCTGGCCACGTACTTTCACGATGCGTTACGCTGCGCTGGACCTGAAGTTCCTCACTAAGCCCGCATCCCCACCGCCTACATACACGTCATGAACAGCCACGTCTCGACCCCCTACGGTATCACGGATAAACTTCGCCTTCTCGAGTGGTATTTGAAGACGGATATACCCCAGCACAAATTGGCAATAGTTCTCCTCTGTACTGACCAACAATATGGTAGTAAGGCCATGTTGTTTGTGGGGATGGTGAAAGGCCGGAAATCATCGGAACCTCTTATGGCTCAATGATTCAAACGCCAAACACCCTCAAGAGGTACGTACATGACAAAGTCTAACTTGGGCCCTCCAGCAGTGGGTGTGCGTGAGTCCGACTGCCCGAGTCGATGGTGCGGCTTGTGATATAGGTAGAGCCTACATTTGATTCTTGCCCAGGACTCAAACATGGTTTAAGTCACCGTGATGTACCAAGTTCTGCATTTCCCAGCAGTGTGAACAGTTATGAGTAATAAAGAGGACAGCATCGTCCTCTGTTATACCTGGATTCTCTCCCATCACAAGGCGCAATTACCTCGTGTCTTTGGTTTACTCCAAAGGTGTCGCGACTGTCTATCAACGTTGAAATATCATGCGCCTTGTTCCTTGATCGATGACAGGATGTATTCCGGCCTCGATACGCTTAGTCGGAACTACGCTCAGGATGATACAAGCGCCCACGATAGCTCGACTTATTATACAACACCGGCCGTTGACGGGATACTAACATGGCCGACCAGCTACTGGAAAATGTGGAAATCCTGTCACCGCACCAGTGCTGCGACAGCTCAGCTGGGGCAGGGTGTGTGCTCTGTTCGTTTTTCAAGGTTGTCAATTTCGGTTTATTTGCTCCCCGTAGATAGGTCTTCTGTGTTTGAGGCGAAAAGGATATACTTCCCCTGCCAGCGAGCGACCACAGGTGATATGCCCAGGCAAGGAGCCTGGAAAAGGCGGGGGAAGACACGTTGAGAGTTCACACAGAACAAAAGGGTGGGGAAACAAGAAACCCGACCATGATGGACCAAGTCATATCACCGACACATTCAGAGGTGCAAAAGGGGGGAAGGAATTAGGGAGTGGTGCAGCTGAGCCATCATGATGATGAAAGAAGAATAAGGCCTCCCGTGCTCCAGACTCGGAGACAATGGCCATGATTGAGACTGAGGCAGTGAATGCTGGGTGGAGGGCGTGTTATTCAGCGACGCTCATATTTGGGGGAGCTCGACATTGGAAGGTTCCCCGTACCCCAGGCCAAAGCGTTCAAGGGGGTCGGTCATCGACCGGACAGACAGCATCACTGGCCGTCCTTGCACCGAGGCCTTCGCGCCAGCATCGTAGTAAGAGCCAGACCACAGGCGAAACCATCCGGAAGAGCAGAGGAGAAGGCCGCTGCGGACAGGAAAAGTTTGGATCAGCGGCACGTTGGTATTGGGCCGCCCCGAGTCACCCGCTTGACGCTCTCTTCACTAAAAGGTCCCGCCATCAAGTAGACACTCGTTCCATCACCACAGTTCTTCGTATTGTTAGTGCTTCCCAGGCCAACGAAAGCGGCCCCCAGGAAGCGAATAACACCCGGGACCAAACTGCGAGGTGCGTCTGCCCCCCTCCCCTTTTAGAAACCCCCTCTCCTCCTCCTGTCTTCACATTTTGCAACCCCGGTCGAGGTGTCCCGATCATTGACGATCTGCTTCTGCCCAGATTCCGGCCTTGCAACTCACGCGAATCGTGATCCCTCTCAACCCCCCGGAAAAACCGGTCTTCCGCACCACCCAATCCCCCGACAGAAAGACTTGTGTGAACGCGGTCGACACACGCCCGCCAGCCTAGACGAAGGATAGGCTCCACCGGATTATCCTACGCTGACATCTACATGCGAACCTCCTCCTTATCCAGTGGGCCGGTCATCTTGATCCCTGCTGCTTTTCTCTCCTTTTCTGTCGGAACCTGATGCAGCTGAAGGAGAATACATGGCTGGGTCCCGCAGGAGTCCGGTGTTGAGAGACCAGTGGAGAGCCGCCAGCGACACTAGAGACCCAAGAGACCGGGAAAGGCACCGGCCTCGAGGCTCGTACCGCGATAGGGGAAGGGACAAATTTCGCGACCGCGACCGTCGTCGCCGACCCAAGGAGGGCGGACTTGACGACGACCATCCTCTACGGTCGCCGCCACCGCGTCCTTTCCCACCTCCCGACCACGACCCTCGTCAACACCGCGATTTTTCCCCTAGCACCCTCTCCGCTCGTGGCTCCCCTGGTCATCCACATTCGGAACCTTACCCTGGTCGGAAGCTCGACCGTCATCGCTCACCCTTACCCGCTGATTACCCTGGCCCGGAGTCGCGCCATTCTCTCGAAGCTGAAAGAACGATTGATAGAGACCCTCGTCGAGACCACTCGCCATCCGCACCTCCTCCCTCCAAGCGTAAAAGGACACGAAGTCCTTCTCCTGGAATCTTTAACCAGCATCCCAACCGGCCGGGTCACCGCTACCCACCCTCCAATCCTTCCGACGACCTGGATCGGGGCCTGCCATCCAACAGACGAGGCCGATTTGCAACCCGGGGTAGGCCTGGTCGAAGACCGTCCCCCCGACGAGGGAGAGAGAGGCGTAAGCCCGTTGGTAGACGTCCTCCATCGCCACGACCAAGGCGCTCCAGGTCTCCCGTCCGTGGCGGAAAATCCTACGCGTACCCTCGACGACGCTTTCATAGCCCTCTTCCTGAAGACGAGCCTGAAGACGGACCCCGCTATCGATCATTATCGCGTCATTCAGCGCAGTCGGGTGATTCAGGGGTGTCTGCAAATTCACGCCGCATTTCCTTGGACGATCCGACGATGAACTCGACAAGGCCCGCTCGGTCCGCAGCGGGTGATTCCTCTAGGTCGCCATCTCCGCCAAGAGAAGCTCCAGGACGGGACACAGACACTGCCAGTGTTTCGGTAAATGGAGAGACCACGCGCGATACATTTCACCGCCCGCGGAACTCTCGACAATATGCTGATGCTTCTCAATATCCGGGAAATGTGCAAAATGCAACCCCAACTAATTCCTACCACGGATCTCCGCAGCCTGGGTCTCCATATTCGGGCGGACGCGGCGGACGGAATCAACATGTGTAAGTTTATCGTCTCCGAATATCTTTCTCCAGCATCAAGCTAATGACACGTAATGTCTAGCCCCTCTTCCCCATATCGGCAGAATAACTATACCACAGGTGGCTCGCAGGGTCATGGCCCGTCGTCTTATTCAGGTCCGTCCTACCGCGGTGGGCATTTAGGGTATCGTGGCAATTATCAAGGAAACAGCGGCGACCGTCGCTATCCGAATGCTGGGCCTCAGAGTCACGGCAATGGACCCCCACACAACAGAAGCAATTTTAACAAAGAACACTGGAGGGGTCCGGGCCCTCGAGGTCGAGGAGGCCCTTTGAGCCCTCACGAACCGTATGGGTTACCGCCAGCAAGCCCACCGCCACCCCCGATGAATGCAGAGACACGTTCGCATACTGACGGAAATGATAACCGCTTCGGACTGCCTAGCAACAAAGAGCCCCGTCTAGAAGACGAAGGGTCAAAGGCTGTCTCGGAAGGCGATACTCAAGGCCACCAACCTATTGATAGTGGTACACAACAGCCCAGCACGTCTGCTACCCCCAGTAAAGGTGGTAAAATCAGCTTCGCCTTCAAGGCGAAGGCTGCTCCAGCTCCAGCTACTAAACCAGTTCCAGACTTGGCACAAAGGATGCTGGCAAGAGAGCCGCCGCCGCGCGCCGCCGAACCTGCCCCTCGCAATAGACTATCCACTGGTCCGCCGCCACCGAAGTTCAAGCCCGACGCACGTTTTGATCGCCGTGATCGGGACCGGGACCGGGACCGGGACCGTGATAGGCAACGTGACAGGGATAGAGATCGAGGGAGAATCGACCGCAGAGATTTCCGGGACCCACGTGGGTTTCGTGAGCCTCGTGATCCACGCGATATGAGAAGGGATGATCGTCGATTTGAACATCGTAATGAGAGGAGGAGGGGTGACCGAAGACCAGAATTTCGCCCTGAGCGCCGTCGCGAGCGTTCACCCGAGCCGAAGAAGCAGCCAAAGATCCTAACTCGACCAAAGCCTCGTCCAACCCTATCTGAGGAGTTTGCCAAGTCCGACTCTGTTTACTATCGAAAGCCTGGTAATGAGTCTGTCATTGGTGCCGGTACCTATGGCAAGGTTTTCAAGGCAATCCATGTCTACACACAAAGGAAAGTTGCGCTAAAGAAAATAAGGATGGAAGGTGAGAAGGATGGGTTTCCGGTCACAGCTGTGCGGGAAATCAAATTACTTCAACACCTTTGCAACAATAACGTCGTCAGTTTGTTGGAAGTCATGGTTGAGAGAAACGAGTGCTTCATGGTTTTTGAATATCTCTCTCACGATCTGACTGGCCTGATTAACCATCCCACCTTCACGCTGACAGCAGCTCACAAGAAAGACCTGGCTAAGCAGATGTTTGAGGGCTTGAACTACTTGCATCACCGGGGCGTCATGCATCGCGACATCAAGGCCGCCAATATTCTCATCAGCAATCGAGGGCAACTGAAGTTTGCTGACTTTGGGTTGGCCCGATTCTTCTCTAAGAGCCGCCAACTGGATTACACAAACCGTGTCATCACCATATGGTATCGACCCCCAGAACTCCTTTTGGGTGAAACCAGGTATGGTCCAGCGGTCGACGTTTGGAGTGCGGCTTGCGTATATGTTGAAATGTTTACGAAGAAGGCTGTCTTTCCTGGTGAGGGTGGAGAGATCAGTCAACTGGAGAAGCTTTATAATTCTCTTGGCACCCCGACCCGGCAAGAGTGGCCGGATATTGTCGAGATGCCCTGGTTCGAGCTGATGCGGCCGACCGAGCGGCGGAAGAGGATATTTGAAGATGTCTACCGTGAGATCCTATCACCGGCTGCATTGGACTTGGTCTCGCAGATATTTCGCTACGATCCTACGAAACGACCAAGCACTGAGGAGATTCTGGCGCACCCATACTTTGTCTCGGAGGAGCCAATTGCTCAGCAAGCTGTGGAGTAAGTTCTAACGCGTTATCCCCGTTTGACTACAGCTAACACGTCCCAGATTGGAGAACATCGAGGGCGACTGGCATGAGTTTGAGTCCAAGGCCCTCCGTCGAGAGAAGGACAAAGAGCGCCGTGCTGAGTATCAGAGGGATAAGGAGAAGCGCAAGGGGGCACCCTCGGCGCCCCCAAGTGAAAGGGATCCCAAGCGTGTCAAGCAGGACGGGTCCGAAAGCGTACCACCTTCTGCGCAACATCAGGAACAGTAAAGCCTGGCTGCCGACTCGCGCAGCCCTAGCCAGCACCGGCTCTATTTGCGACCTCTAGCCTTCTCGGGGCACCAAAAGAGGGGTAGCGTGAGAACCATGCGCTATCCTCAACACCTCGAAGAGACTGTTTGCAAGCACCAAGGCCATCACCCGCGGTCTTGCCCTTTCTCTTATGTCTCTACCTCCCGGCCCCGTTCTTTGCCCACATTAATTTACCCTATCAACATCCTTTTTCGCACGACTGGAACGATATGCATTTGACTTCCTTTATACTTTGGGGATTTCCGGATCTTTTCTATCAGTTTATGGTTCAGCATCCTTCACAGCCGGTACTTTTTCCCTTCTGGGCACAATTTATCCGTGTGTATAGATTCTCTTCGAGACGACAATACAAGGCCATTTCCATCTGAATATATCTTTTCTTTTTGTAAAACCGAACACGGCCTAACGAGGGGATTATTGGGGAGTGTTGATCCGAGGCAGACGTGACAGGGTCGGGTTGAGCAGTACGTAACAGGAGCAACTAGTAACCCCGCCGCGTAGCCGTAGACATGTAGGGTCTCCAGTCAAAACAATCTATCGGCTACAGCCAGCCACGTCAGCAACTGATGGAGAGGGAGAGTACGCGATGCGGGGACCGGATAATGGCAATCAGACTTTGCCTGTGAACCTCACACTCAACCAGCGTACGACTACACGGCAGTGTGGCAGCGGTTGAGCACCTCGGATTACCAGAAATTGTAAATGAAAGCTTCATCATGCAGCGGAGGGGTGCGGTCGGTCAAGGTCGACCGTTTTTAACGGACTGCCAGGCAGCAAGGAGAAGAGGCACGCACCGACGGACTCGAACTACGACACAGCCTGCGCTGAGGCTCTCTACACTTAAATAAACTGATGGATTGGCAAAAGGCATGTCCCGGCAATCAGGTCATCACCGCATCATGGAGCCGGAAAGCCCTCGTGATGATGGTTTTAGATGCGGGCTTCAAAGGATGTTCTCGACACACTCATCGGAGTCGCCAGCGCAGTGAGAATTCGACAGAATCAAACAAGTGCAGCCAGCGATGATTTGAGTTGGTGGTCTTGGGTTTGTTGAGAAGAAAAGGAGAGAAGAAGCGGCCGAGGAAAAAAATCGGCGTAGAAAAAGGGCGCCGCAAGGAAAAACGACGGAGCGGGCGGGCAGGGCGGGCCCGGTGCTGATTGGCGGGCGGCAGCTGGCAAGTGCTCGTCTTCCCAAGCGTCCAGTTCTTCACTTCCAGGACCCAATTCCGCATTTCTTCCCTTCCCTTCCCTCTTCCCCTCCGCTTCTAACTTCCTTACCTTTATCATTCACCTCTGCTCCTCGTCACGTTCACGATCACGATCACGATTCCTCCTGCCTATCGTCCCCTCCTCCCTCGCCTCGCCTCGCCTTCGATTCCTCTCGGCTCACACTGTCCCCGCTCGCCGCGTCCCTTGTACCTTCAATTAATCAACCTATCTAATTTTCACACTCGGGCCTCTGTCACTCGATTTCCCTCCATTGCTCGGTACCTTCGCTCGCGACCTCGACTCTCTTCCGCTCTTGCAGACCCGTCGACCGCCGGATCCTGTGTTCCCCCGCTGATGATCGCTCGCTTTCTGGGCTGTCTCAGTAGCTATCTCCATGGATAACGCAAACCTCTGGACTCGCCGATCCAAGTATGTCCCAATCTCGCATTCTCGATTTGTACGCGTGCATGCGTGACCCATGCGACTCCGCTAACCCTATCGCTTTCTCGCCCCGCCTGTAGTACCTCCAAGTTGTCTCTGTCTATGACAGGGACGGACGGCGCTCGAGTTGAACTTCCCCGCGCCTCCAAGCGTTTCGGCCCAGATAGCTCCCACGGCGGTCGATCCAACCCTTTCAACGCACTCTCCCCTCTCTCCGGTGGCGTGTCTTCCCCATCGACGAACGCTTCCTCCGCATTCGGCTTGGGCTCCGGTGCCTTTGCGTCGTTTGGAGCTCCGAAAACCTCCGACGTCAAGACCCCCGGCGAGAGGCGCGACAACCCGGTCGACCAGGCTTCCGCCGCGGAGGGCGGCAAATCTAGAGGCGCTGCGTTGTCCCTCAGGGAGCACCCGCTCAAGTCCACCTGGATCATTTGGTACCGCCCCCCTACACCTAAATACTCCGATTACGAAAAGTCCACCGCCCCGCTTGCATCCATATCATCAGTAGAGAGCTTCTGGTCGATCTACTCGCACCTAAAAAGGCCTTCTCTTCTTCCTACCGTCTCCGATTACCACATTTTCAAGAAGGGTATCCGTCCCGTATGGGAAGACGATGCCAACAAGAAGGGCGGAAAATGGGTGGTGAGGCTGAAGAAGGGGGTGGCGGACCGGTATTGGGAGGATCTTCTTCTGGCTATGATCGGTGATCAGTTTGCGGAGGCTAGCGACGAGGTCTGCGGTGCTGTTCTCAGTGTCCGGAGTGGCGAGGATGTCCTGAATGTGTGGACCCGCATCGATGGCGGGCGGAACATCAAGATTCGGTATGTCATGTCCGACTCGGCGTATTTGGAGTGAGCTCGGTATGCTAATGCGCTTTGCAGGGAGACAATCAAACGTCTGCTTAATTTCCCGGCCGACACCAACATCGTCTGGAAAAGCCACGATGACAGCATTGCCCAACGCTCCGCCATCGACCAGGCTCGCCAGGAGAAGGCCTCCGGTAACACCGGTCACCATCACCACCACCATCACCACCACCACCACAACCATACCCAACAACACCAACTGGGGGGAGATCGACGAAGAGCTACGGCAAATGATGAGTCTACGGGGGACAAAGGAAAAGGCACGGCGTCTTGACATGCTTTACGTGGGTTATGATCCTGTATAGTAAAGGCCACAAAAATCTCATTGGGACTATTTGGGATCGGGGCATTTGGGGCGAATACTGAGTGATCTCGATTAGGGTTTTTATGTCTATTTCTTCTATTTCCATGTTCATGTGCGCTGCTCCGCACGTGGAATGCAAATCAAGGGTGCTCGGATGGGATGAAGCGTAACTACTACTATTACTGCTACTTAGTACTGGACTTTTTTCGACATTCAATTTTTCTTTCTCTCTTCAATATCGGAAATATTGTTGATCTGCTGCTAGTGTCTCGTTGCGTCCAGACTAGTAGATCATGCATCTAAATTTATTCTCCGCGTGCTGCTTATTCCAAAATAATCCAAGCCGGGACATTAAGACATCCGCTTCATTGAAGTCACATGGATTAGATTGCCTGCTGTCCCACTGGCTTTCCCAACGCCTCCACAAAGCAGCTACTGACCTCGTACCAAAGCAGCCTAGTAACCTTATCACCTTGGCATTATTTCTCCGATCCGAGAATTGCCTCAGAATTAACCACATATTCATGGAAATCGAAGCACCGACGCAATCCAAATACTCATGAAACAGTAGCAGCTGTGTTCTTATACTCGTGGAGCAATTCCGGTAATACTATCCCGAGTATCCAAGTACATCCACATCTTCGGGATCCTGCATTTAGTATCCATACATAGAAAATTCCGCTGCAGTGAAGATATAACTAAGCCAGACCAGGCCCTTTGCTTTTTGATTCGCCTCAGCTCGACATGATAGATCAAATGTTTCGGGCATTAGCTTCTGTTTACTATGCATTGGGGTAAAGGGATGCATTGCTTAAGTGGAACTCGGGGTTGGGGTAACTGCGAAGGGGATTGAGGGGCTTATTTGAGAGGGGGCTTGTGGAAATGTAGGGGCATGAGCTTGGTTTTCGTGCTTGATTACATCCATCTGCAGTTGGGGGGAAAGGATGGGTTTTGATTGTGGTTGTTGATGGTTTTTTCATGCTGGACGGGTTATGATTCCTCATGTGGCTCGGTAGAAATATACAAGGAGTGGCAAATATAGAAAATTGAAGGAAGGCAGCAACGCACTAGACAAACCCTATGTATCTCTGCGATGCATGGCACATGTGATCTCAACATGGATCTCACAACCTTTTGCTTGTACCAGAGGTCTTTGGAGCCTGCGACCACTGGCACGAAATGGGAAAGCGATAAGCCCGAACCGTGATTCGAACGCGGGACTAATTTCCGACTACAGGAGAGTTGTACTGAGGAGATGAAGATCTAAGCAATAGTCCAGTACTGAGATTTGGAGCAATCTACCAGGTAAACCCAATGTGGCTAGTAATGTTCGGTTGCTGATAATGGAGGGTTGCACAAGGTATTTCCATGGCTCACCATTCTATGTGTGATACACAGTATGTATAGTATGCGGGGGGTGGCGTTGCTTTCTTGTTCTTTCGAAAGGATGGACATGTACTTCAATACTGCAAGGGAAGAGATGGAAGATGAGGAGATGTTCTTTGAGGTTCATAACCAGGCAAGTGCACAAGAACAATAAAGCCACACCAACTCGTGGACCAAGCAGCTGACATGGATGGATATCATCGGAAGAGAACTAAAATCGACGGCGAGCTGCACGAGAGCGCTAGTGCCCGCACTAGGCCGGGCTAGTCGCCCACTAGGGCTCCGCATGCCGGTGGGCAGAACCCTCCACCGCCTTTCTTGCCATCATGATGCATTTCTCTCATCGCCATGCCCACTTCTGCTCAACTTTCGCCGATATGAAATTCCCCCGGACCCTTCCGGTCATGCAATGACCCTGCCACCGACTACATGTCCCTCTTTGGTAAACTGTCAGACATTTTTACCCGCCGGTCCCCTCGTCGACCCGTCCTCTCCCCGCAAAACACTCCCCATCCTGTTCCACCATCAGATGCGACCTCCGATCACATACAGCGGACTGAGACGTCCGGCGCATGGAATGCCGGCTCGCCTTTAGAATCTCACTCTCTACACACATCATTCGAAGGCACCTTCCCATCTACTGTAAGACCTTGATTCTTATCTCACCTTGTGTAATCCGGAGCCTTCACCATTCTTTGATGGCGCCTTGGCATTTGTTCTTTTCCGCCGTGCTAACATTTACTGTTATAGTCTGCTTCTAGCAATGCCGAAGGACTTCGACATAATTGCGAACTCCGACCTGTACGTCCACAATACCGTCAGACCGTTCCTCGATCAGAATCTGGGATGCGTCGTCTGTAAATATGGCCTCGCGATGCGGAAGTCTGCCGACCGATACTGATCTAATTGATAACAGGACTGGCGAGACAACACATGCCAAGCTGCGCCGGACCCCCGAAAGCAAAGACGAGGCGAGGTTATTCTTTTCTAGCAAACGGTACGTTCGAATATGTTTGTTGGTCATGGGAGCAACATGCTGATCAGAAAATGCTGCTTTTCAGGAAAGATCCCGCTGGTGTTCCCGTGGTGCCAGGACAAGCGCGAAACAATAAACCGAAGGTATGATGAGACCGGAACTCGAGAACCATACTGTGCGTGCTGACATGCGGTTCAAGTCACCTTACGCACCCGTGGATAGGATTTCGAAAGCTCGAGACAGTGGCCCAGTCCGCGCCCAGGGGAAACAACGTCATTCCCGTGATGATCAGGCAGAGAATGCCGCAGGATACCCAAGGTCCGAAAGGCCCAGCAAACGACGTCGTCAGGGATCCCTAGAAGGATATCTTCGTGAAAAGCCCAGAAATTTTCCCGACAACGATGTTGCGGAGCACCCCGCACAGGAGGCGCACCGCATCGCCGATCACCCGTCACGTATGTCTCCCACTTTGAGCCAAAATGCCGGGAAGACAAAGAAACAGCGGAATAACAGACGTGGAGAAGTAAAAGAGTACCGAAGCGTCGAAAAATACATCAAACTACCCCGAATACAGCCTAGCCCAAAGCGTGGTGCCCCAAAGCCCTACGCCGGTGCATCATCAGACGATGACCGCGATGAACGCTTTACAGAAAATGCCACTAAAGAAAGACGGAGAATCAGCTCCCTTCTATCTGAGATGGACTCCGGACATAAACCGGAACGACCGCTCAAGCCAGAGGTTCTCGAGAGCGTCGAAATCATAAACCCGAGGTCGCCGGTTCTTGCAATGGACGCGAAATGGAGCCCGACTCTTCCACAAAAATCTTTTAAGACGGATATAGGAAGAAATATTACCGAATCGAGGGAAAGCCCCGATGAGCTTCAGGGCGCAGTAACGGTGCGGCCGCCAACTTTAAGTGAGGGCGCCAGAGCCGAGCTCGAGAGACATATAGCCACAACAGGCCGTCAGCCATCATCACAGGATATTCAACCGACCATCTTCGAATCTTCCCAGAGCAAGAATAGGGGGAAGCGGAAAAACAAAAGAGCGCAACCCTCGGAGACTATATCAACTCAACAATCATTCGGGGCAGCCTTCGTTCGGTTTGGTCCCACTGAGCACCACGCATCATCGCTCTGCCAACCTCTCGAAATTGATGTCGATAAGGTGAAGCACATGATCGCGTTGGCTCGCGCAGCGGATCTGGTGGATGGATTTGAAGTGCCTCTTTCCAAGGTAATAAGTATCGTCAGGGGAGATTCAACCAGCAATAAGGTCAGGCTCAATCTGAATCTGCCGGCAGTCGGTCGATTGATCGACATAGATTTCGTGTCCATGCCAGAAAAAGAAGGGTTTTGTTCTCTTTTGAGCAGCGTGACTTCCATACAGGAAAGGCCTAGGTATGTCTGCTCTCGTTTTTTAAAAACCTTAACGTCTTATCTTCTTCCGTACCTTGTCACTACCCTTCTCTAGTTCTTTTACCTTTTGCTACTGGGCTAATATGAGAGCAGCGAATGGATGAACAAGGCATTCAACAAAGCACAAAGGGAACACAAGCAATTTCCAAATGGCACCAAGCGGCCTTGCTCTGAGAGCGGGCCCGAGCACGTTCCTGACAAGCCAGCCCCTTCCACCAAACGGGTGAAACTCACGGACGCCCTGCGAGATAAGAACGGAGTTGCCGTTGGGAGACAGCCGTCGACTTCGGAACGGGCGAACCCCTCCACCGAGCCATCTCAGCCTGAAAAGAGCCCAGCTCGCGTGTCCAAGCGGGCCGCCGAACCAAGCGTGGAGATTCCCGTGAAAAAATTCGCGCCCAGCATGTCGACAAGAGCAATGTCACGTCGTCCGACTTCTGACCCGACCACGGTTGTATGGTATGTACTGGCCGACCGTTTATTATGGATTTCAACTGACAAGCCATGGCAGCGACGACAGCGACGACAGCGACGACGACCTTGCAGAGCAACCTGTGCCCGAGGTGCATGCAAAGAAGTGGCATAAGTAGGCAACCCTCTGCAAGATTTCGCCGACTCTGATGCTAATGATGTACTAGGCCACTTGTCTATCCACTCATTGGGAAAAAGAAGGCCGAAGTGGATGTGTACGATCTCGAACGACTCCGGGAGAACGAATTTTTGAATGACAACCTCATCGGGTTCTACATCCGATTTCTCCAGGAACATCTGGATCGGACCAACAAGGAGGTGGCGAAGAAGGTCTATTTCTTCAATTCATTCTTTCATGACACCCTGATGAAGGTCCCCAGAGGCAAGCGAGGCATTAATTATGAAGGGGTGCAAAAGTGGACGAGGACGGTTGACATATTCAGCCACGATTATGTTGTAGTGCCTATCAACGAAAGTGCGCACTGGTATGTCGCCATCATATGCAACTTACCGAGCCTGCAGGGCATCGCCGAGGAGAGCCCAACTCCTGGAGAACTGACCGAAGGCGAGAAAGAGCCTTCGGCTCCTCCAGACAGTCAGGTTCGGGAGATATTTGAAACACCAGAGCCTGAGACAACATCACACAAGGATGATGAAGACGGAAAGGCAATCGACTCAGAGTTCGCGAGAGAAGAACTGGCCAGGCAGTCGCTTGCTTCGATGAGGTTATTTGATGAGTCCGCGAAAGAGAAATCTAACGAGGGCTCTGGTGTAGACGAAGAGTGGCCTGAGGTCGAAGAGAATCCAATTAGCCCACCCAAAGGGCTGTCTACCGAGCGACTTGATGCGAAGACGGCCTCTCAATTGCCTGAGCCGTCTGCAAAGCCTCGCAAGCAAAAGATCAAACGGGGTCCCAAGTACGATGCCTTTCAGCCAATTATCCTTACGTTTGACTCGTTAAATGTGTCTCGCTCTCCAACAATAAGCTCCCTGCGTGAATACCTCTGTAAGGAAGCGAAATCAAAGAAAGGCATCGATATCAACAAAAACTTGATCAAGGGAATGAGAGCTCAGGATATTCCGTTACAGCCCAATTATTCCGACTGTGGGCTGTATCTTCTGGCGTACCTGGAAAAGTTTGTTCAGGACCCGGATGTATTTGTCAGGAAGATTCTTCGGAGGGAAATGGACCAAGTGAATGACTGGCCTCCCCTGAGGTCAGGCCTACTCCGACACCGGCTCCGCAAATTCCTGGATGCGCTTTGGGATGAGCAGGAACAGCTGAAGAGCCAGAAAATGAGCGATCACGAAACCATGGCGGACAAGAAGCCAATATGCTACCTTCTAGGGGGTCCTACGTCGGCAAATGTGAAGTATGAACAGGAATCGTCCGGGGCTATGAAGTTATCGGAGAACTTTGTTCCAGACTCTAATCACGAGAGACACATGGTAACCGGCGTGGAAGTCGATCTGAACCGGGAAAATCCTACACAGACCGAGCTAGTAGGGGAAATGACAGGGTCACAGCCTCATACTGCCGGTACTCTGAAGCAGTCGGCTGAGAGAGATGTTGTCCTGGTCCCAGACAGTCAGCCAGAGATCGCCTCGTCCAATGCCAATCCTCAGCCGTCCAAGTCACCCCGACGGGCTCCAGAAACAGATTTACAACCCCGGATCGTTATTGATATAAAAGATGTCGCGGAGGGCGAGGGTCCCGACACCGTGACTGTTGTGCCGGTGGAGACACAGGTCCGGGAGACGCCCCCAAGGTCGTCTGCGCCTGTGCGCGGTAGTGTTGAAAAAAGTCCTACCTAAGAGAGTGGAATTCGCAGTGTCATTCGACCTTCATTCTTATGTTCCTATGTATCATTCTTTTGATGTTTTGCAGTCCGTGCAATCTGCACGCCGGCGTTCGGACACCGTGGGGTGGGTTGACAGTGTTACCGGTTGCATTAGATACCAAGCATTGCGTGCGATTATGATTCAGCGAGAATTCGTGAGGTGGGGGGCTGGGGCTTAGTCTTGCGAATGTATATACCATTACTATCATAGAACCAAGACGATCTAGCTATCTTTATCCCCAGCTCAACCCAGCCTAACCTAATCTATGAGTACTCCTCATCCGCCTCCACCCACCACGCCAATTTATCCCTCTTGAACGCCTCAAAATCCCACTCTGCCCCCTCCAACCGCTCCTCCCCAGCAGTCCACACATACGTAACGGCCTCCACCTCCTTCCCCTCCTTCGCTCCCCCCGCCGCATCCAACAACCCTCGTACCTTTCCCTCCTCTCCCCCCCCTTCTCCTCCTCATCACCACCACCATCCAACACCCTGACCCTAACCGTCCTCTTCTCATACTCACTTCCTTCGAACCGATCCAATCGAAATACATCCCCATCCGTCAACCCCCACACCACCGTCCCAAGCACCGAGGGCCCCGGCCCCGCACCAGCATCCTCTCCCTCTGACACGGGCACTATCCCTGGATAATCTGCCCCCTGGACCCGATGCCGTCGGTAGTTGTGCAATATCGCGGGCTTGATGGTTAAAAGCGCCTTTTGCCATGGTTCGGGGACCGCTTGGCCGTGGATCACTCGGTGGAGGATTTGGGGGGCCATTAGGGTGCCTTTTTTTGTTAACAGAGTGGGATTTAGAAGGGGGGAAGGGGAGAGTGTACCGTAGAAGAAGAGGACATGGTCGCCCATTTTTTTTATCTGGATTGGGGATGCTGGGATGGGAGTTGGAGATATGCGGGGTTTGTTGACTTTTGTAGCGTACTGTAAGTGCGGTGTAGTGGAATCGGTGTTGACGTCGCGGAAGAAACCAACCGGTATGTATATTAAGGGTGTATGATTGAAGAAATCAGTCCCAGCTAGATACACATAGAATCAATCACAAAAGCGAAGAGAAGATAATAGTAAGAGGAGGTACGGATAGATCGATAAATAGCTAGAATGTATATCGATCGGCCGCCATGCTTATCGATAAGCTAGGGTCCTTCGCCACAGCCAATCCCGAAAAGGCCCATGTGGCTTCAACCCGAGCTCCATTCATCCATTCAAGCATCCCCAGCACTCAGTCCATAGGTGCACTCCATCCCACCCTAGGGTCCGCACACCACACGACTGGGAGATTCGCTCTCCTTTTCCTTCCTTCCTTTACTACCGTCCGTTAGGACCCTTAACCACACCACCATCAAAACAAAAGAGAGAAAGAAAAGAGAGAAAGATGCACTCAGCACTCAACCGCGCACAAGCCGTCTTCGGCTTCTTCACGACCGTCGCGCTCTTCGTCGCCGGTCTCGCGGCCCTTTCTGTACTTCTTTACCCGACGGACGGAATCACATCTAATGTGAAGGTGCGCGATGTGAAAGTGTACGTTTCCCCATTCCCCCATCCCCATCTCCGCATAAATCAACCAACTACTAACCCAAAACCCCACACGCAGAACAAAAGGCCGTCCACACTACTACAGCACCAAAAAAGAAGAATACGCGACGATGCGCTTCGATTTGGACGCTGGTACGCATACCCTCCCCCTCCCCCAATCCCAACCCCAACGCCAATACTAACAAACAATGCGGGATAATAGACCTCTCCCCCCTCTTCACCTGGAACACCAAACAACTCTTCGTCTACGTGTACGCAAGCTACCCCACCTCCCCGAACTCCAACACCACCTCGCACTCCGTAATCTGGGATACGATAATCCCGGCCCCCGAATCGCCTTACTCGGTTGATGCGCTTCGCGAACGGTTCTTCCCTACCACCACCAAGGCTGGGAATAAGAATAAGCGGACGGCGAAGAAGTCGGCCACTGTTACTGGGAAGGGGAAGGGGAAGGGGAAGGCGGCGGAGCCAGGGGTTCTGAAGCTGCGGGATCAAAAGGCCAAGTACTCGATTGGGGATGTTTCGGGGAAGATGGCGGAACGGGATAATGTGACGTTGTCGGTGGGGTGGAATGTGCAGCCTTGGGTGGGTGCGTTGTGGTGGAGTCCGGAGTCGGGAAGTGTGCCTAGGACGGAGGGGGATGTTGGGACGAGTAAGGTTTTTGGGTTGCCGGCGTTGAAGAGTAGAAGTACTGGTGCTTCTGCAGGCGCTGGGGCGAAGGTGTGAGGGGGGTGGTGTTGTGTGGGATGATAGCATTGGGATTTTGGGTGTTGTGATGGATTGATTGTAGGGTTGCCCTTTTTTTTTAATTCCATTTTCTTTTCTTTTTCGGTTGGGACACAACAGGTAAACATAAACATAAAACATAAGCATCAAGTGAACCTCAACTCCATTATCGATATCCGTACCAGTCGCTCAGAAAAACCCATGTCATGACAATGCAATGCCCGAAAAGTAAACCCAGACTCGCCCGTCTGGCCCATCCAGCCAACGCTCAAGGAATAGTACCATACGTCTGATGGTGATGATGACCTCCACGCTGAATCCTCTCCGAATAAACACCCGGAGCACGTCGCGGAGCCGTTACCTCTCCCGCATTGCGATTACCGTAGTAAACGTATTCGAGATAGAAAGCGTGGATGTGACCGGGCAGGTATCTAAATCAGTCAGCCCAAGCACCATCCTCCCAAATAACCCAAAATGAATATGAAGACCAACCCGAGAATCGTCAAAAGGATATTGATAAGCAGATCAACACTGCAGCCCGAAATCAAGAACACACCGAGAGGAGGTACTATATTCACGACCGACCAGATTAGCCTCATCCATCTTCACATTCACCCACCCACTTTATATACTATATCCTGTGTTTGGTTTGGTTGCAGTGGATAACATAATTTCCTGTTCCTGTTCCTGTTCCGGGGAGGTGGGGATCCACATACTGAACAAAGTGATGAGAATCAAACAAAGCATGGAACATGTTCCGGCCATGTCGAAGAACACTTATACTTCAATATTCTTGTTGATGTTGATGTTAGAGTTGTTGGGTTAGGTGCGTGAAGCCGATTTCACACGTTTGCTGGTATCCAAATACGTGCCGAGGAAGCTAAGACACAGGATCACAAACAGCAGAATGAAGATATAAATGGGGACGTTGTCATCCTTGGCGGAATTGAGACGCTTCATGTTGGGTTTCGGGTTTGCGCTCACAAGGTTTGGATCGACGTCACCGGGGCGCGGGAAGTGGTAGTAGCAATCAGCCTTAAGAGGCGGCGCCACGGACAACAGTACTCGGACGGAGGCCCTCAGCTGGATGGATGGGAAATGAACGGCGTGGTGTTGTTTGGGGGGCTTTTTTGGCCGGGATGCATTCCATATGACGTCATCCCGCAGACGGGGCGCCAATGGGAGGCGCTTGCCTGTTTGGGCTTACGGCGGAGCCATGGAAACCTGGGGTAGGCTAAGTGGGGATGGAACGATGGATGCGATTATGGCAGGTGGCATTGACTACCGATGGTAAATAGCTAAATATTAGCTAAAGAGCAAGCAAGCTCAGTACTATCTTTACTAGTCTTCTTTCATTCTTCATTATGTACGGCATAGCGTTCTTTTCTGGCATCTCACAACGTTGGAAATCATTTAGACGGCATCAATCGACGCTCGCGTCGTCACCTGTTCGTTCTTGTTTCCCAGTTTCGAAATCTGAAGGAACGCGTCCACACCGTAACCTTCCAGGCTGTGGAGCTCCAGGCTACCTGCCCAGTATTCGGCATACACTCGACTCATCGGAAGTCCAATCCCCAGCCGCAGATTAGGAGGTCGCGAGGTCAGCGAATCCAGCGAGCTCTCGCGGAATGTTTCCTTGTCGGCATCCTTCCTTTCGGTCGACACGCTCAGCTCCTGCATCGTGGCTGCCATGGCGGGAACCTGCCCCAGATTATGCAGATGCGATTTGCTGTGAGGACCCTTGTTGAAGGACCACAGGTACGGTAGAACCTCGCGCGGGATCCCTCCTCCCTGGTCGGACACACGCAAGATCACATGCTGTGGCGCCTCGCAGATAAGCACTTCGATCGGGGGTGGTCTCTCTGAAGAGTCCTTGTACCGCTCGCTCACGGCTTGGATCGAGTTACGCAATAGCTCGCCGATGATGTATTCCAGGTGACTCAGCATATAAGGGAAGGTGGCCTCGAGGTGCCCCTGCACCGAGATCTCCGGAATCTTATCCGACCCAGAGCTCTGCCGCATCATGTCCTGCGTTAGCTTTCCACATCGCTCAGCAACCTCTTTTGCGTTGCATTTGAGGAAAACTTCTCCAACAAAATCGGCGTTCAGGTCGGTGCGATCTTGCGAGCCGGGAAAGTGCCATGGCGAGTTGAAAGTTTCCGTCAAAGCAAGATGTTGCTCGGCGATAACACGACGAGAGATCCTCTGTTGCATTCAATTAATCAGACATGAGATGTCTAGCTTGCCTCGGGATTCATACCGCTCGAAGAAGAGTATTCATGAAGTTGTCTAGCACATCTGGTGCGACAAGCTCACGGCACTCCAAGACACCCGTTGCAAGTTTGGGGATCACGACAAGGTGCTCTTGAAGCGTCTTGCGTAAAACATCGCAAAACTTGTCATTGTCATCTAACGTCTTTATCTCCTGGATGGTCCGAAACCGCTCGAAGGCCTTGTAATAAAGTTCGTATACTTGGGACAGGTGGGGGTTGGCGACTACCACGTACGGCAGCCGTTGGATATCTCGGAGGCGATGTGCGATTCTAAGTGGGAAATTCACGGTTAGTAAAAGCCGAGAATGCCTAGATGACTATACTAACCTGGTAGGAAGCTCAGTTCGTACGTAGTTGGCTGAGCTGATGAGTCGCGATTCCGTCAGTGTTCGTCCAAAGAAAGTCAGCTGTCGTAAACTGATCGGACGGATGTCACGCTCAACCCATCTGCGGCCCATTAGCATTGCCGCCCGGCAGGTTTGGGGAGATGACGGCGTACTCATCTAAAGCCGACACCGGCCTCCACGGCGGCGGATTGTGGGTTTGCTGACTGAAGTAGAATCGTGACTTTGGGGCGCAGATTTGACGAAGAGCACGCCAGCGACGAGCTGGATGACTCCACGCCATCCTCTCTGCGAGGGACTGACTCAAATGGCAATGTCTCAATCGCGGAAGTGACACGGAGATGGCCGTATTACGCCAATGAAGAGTGGGCGCGCATCAAAAGAACCACACGAGATCAGAATTGGATGAGATGGTCCCTACATGGCTCTCCCGGGAGGATTGTCAATTCGGCCCACCACCGTTGAATTCACAGTGGCATGACATGGTTCCTGATGGCAGATGCGGCCAGTTCCAAGCGCCCGGGCGGTGAGAGCTTCAAGGTGAAGCTGGCTGGCATGTGACGTGCCTTTGTTACGGCAATATGGAACTTAAAAGGGCCGCTTGGCTCACATGTGGAGGGAACTCGATGAACAAAGCTGAATGCAGTCCCCAGGATTCCCTTCTGTCTGGTCTGTCTCTGGTGGTGTGGAGTGTCAGACCCGTGCAAAGTGCTGCCTAGAAAAGAAGACTTCTCCCCTCCCTCAATCATACGCTAAACACAATGACTTGGGGAGGAAGTAAAAACCACAAGATGATAAGCATCTACAAAAAGAGCAAGGACTATGAAGGGAACCTATGTGATGTATTGGGCATCTGCACTATATATACGGAATATGCCGGATAAAAATTATGATCGTTATCAGTATCAGCATCTGACCAGGTCTCGGGTGGAGCGCGTGAAAAATGCACAGGTGATATCACCGTTGGGTAGGTGGCTATCTACCTATCTATCAGTAAGAACAGCCAGACAAGGCAACGAGTGTCTGGCCGGCAGAATTTAAGGCTGCAGATGCGAAACAGGTAACTGCGACGGCATTCGCACGATCAGAAGCACCGCCCTGAATCTTTCCAGTGTTTCCACGGGGACCTGACCAGGTGCATCCACCACCACCAGAGGGGATCGTATGTTTAGACAGAACTTCATGAAGGGATCAATTCCCAGTTGTAGCTAGCTAGATCCACTCTCAGGCGATAAGCCATCAAACCACCCCTTCGAAAGCAGGGAGCAGCAGCAGCAGCAGCAGCAGGTAGCAGGTAGCAGGGTAGGAGCCTGGAGGTGGCCGTCGGAACCTCTGCTCCAGTCTTAATAATAAGGGCTGCGAGTGTCCCGCATGCCCGTCCGTTTGGACTGATTGGATTATTGGGTGATGGCAACTCCGCCACTAGCTTCATCCAAACTCCTGCGGACTGGAATCGCTACAGCCCAGAACCTCTCTCTCAATTCTCATTCTCGCCTTTCGAGGTCCTGACCTCTCCACCTTCCCTTCATTCCGCCTCATCCCACCCCCTCGCCTCGGGATTAATCCTGTTCCGCTAATACCCCGTCTTCCTGCCGCGTTCCGTCCGTGAGAAGAGTCTGTCGTTCATCGCCAGTGCGGGTACGCACTTTTTTCCCTACATGGACAACGTGAGTGCTGCCTCTCATCGCCGTTCTTCTAGCCACCTTCGCATCGACCTCCGGGGATGCCTGTATCTCACAACGCCCGGTCGCTAACTCCGTGCCTCGGATACGTTAGGTCCCAGACAGTGAGATGCTCGTCGACGAATATGAGCAGTACCACAATGACAGAACCGACGAAGTCGTCGTCTCTCGGTCTGGTTCGGAGGACCTGGAGCCAGAGCCTCTTGCCGATGACCGTAAGGCTCCCATTTCTCCTTCCATCGTCTCTTCATCGTCTCATGCGCGTGGCCCTGGTCGTCATTTGGTTTCACGAATCCCCCGCGGTGGGGTGGCCGCTCCAATCCGCAGCTATGAGCGCTCTCTCCGTCAAGCTTGAGAACATGTCTGATTCAGATCTCCCCTACAGATGCAGCAATGATGGCCCGGATCCTCCCGAAGGACCCCGATCTGGAAACCGAAGATGAGACCTATCACACATGGCATATCCAGGATTGGCGGAAACTTAAGAAGAAGGAGCACGGCCCGGTCTTCCAGTGCGCCGGCTTTCCTTGGTGGGTACACAGTTCTATTTCTATTGTTTTGGCCCGACCTGGCGGCTCTGACAGTCATCGATAGGCGGGTCCTGTTCTTCCCATACGGAAATCATGTCGAGCACGCATCGTTCTATCTGGAGCATGCCTGGGAAAACGAGCCCCCGGCGAACTGGTATGCTTGCGTTCAGTTTGCTCTGGTCCTGTGGAACGTGAATGACCCGTCGATGTACATCTCCCATGGTGCGTATAGCCGGATCGCAAGCATTTGCTATTCCTTCTAATCGGAATGTAGTCGCCACACATCGGTTCAATTCGGATGAGGGAGACTGGGGCTTTACTCGATTCTGTGAGCTACGCCGGCTCTTTAGCATGCCGTGGGAGGGCCGTGGGGTTCCTCTGGTGCAAAACGAAGAAGCCCGTGTCACAGCCTATGTCCGCGTGGTCAAGGACCCGACCGGTGTTTTATGGCACAGCTTTCAGAAGTATGTATCGACCCATGTTCCCTCGAGCACTGCTGACTGCGTCTAGCTATGATTCGAAGAAGGAAACCGGCATGGTCGGGTTGAAGAACCAGGGTGCGACCTGTTACCTCAATTCGCTTCTGCAATCTCTGTACTTTACCAATTCCTTCCGAAAGGTACGTGGCCGCTGCTACCAATTGCAGTAAGAATGTACTAATAGACTCGAAGGCCGTCTATGAAATTCCGACGGAGGCAGAAGCCTCAAGAGACAACAGCGCCTGGACGCTCCAGAGACTGTTCTACAACCTCCAAACAAACGAGAACTCTGTGTCGACCACTGAGCTCACAGCGTCCTTTGGCTGGGAGTCTAGACAAATATTTGAGCAACAGGATGTTCAGGAACTCTCGCGGAAACTCATGGAGAGGATGGAGGAGAAGATGAAAGGCACGCCGGCGGAAAAAGCTCTTCCGGAACTCTTCGTCGGAAAAACGAAAACCTACATCTCCTGCATCAATGTCGACTACGAATCATCGCGCGTGGAAGACTTTTGGGATATCCAACTTAATGTCCGAGGCAACAAGACCCTCGATGACAGTTTCAAAGACTACATTCAGGTGGAGACACTCGAGGGCGAGAACAAGTACGATGCCGGTCAGCCATACGGCCTCCAAGACGCAAAGAAAGGTGTCATCTTCGAGAGCTTTCCTCCTGTCCTGCACCTTCACTTGAAGCGATTCGAGTATGACATCCATCGCGACGCCATGATGAAGATCAACGACCGTCACGCTTTCCCCATGGAGTTCGATGCCACTCCGTACCTTTCCAACGATGCCGATAAGTCGGAGCCCTGGATCTACCAGTTGCATGGTGTCCTGGTGCACAGTGGCGACCTCAATGCTGGCCATTATTATGCCTTTTTGAAGCCTACTAAAGACGGGTTCTGGTACCGGTTCGACGACGACCGGGTGACCCGGGCTACTGACAAGGAGGTTCTCGAGGAGAACTACGGTGGCGAATATGAACTGGCCAACGGAGCGGCCGGTGTCAGACAGCCTTACACCCGCGGGTTATCGACAAAACGTTCAATGAACGCTTACATGTTGGTGTATATTCGGAAGACCAGATTAGATGATGTACTCTTGCCTATCACGAAAGACGAAGTCCCCTCTCACATCGGTATGTTGGATGGCCTTGTTGTCCGCATAGCTCTATGCTAACCATGACACAGAGCAACGGCTTGTGGAGGAGCGAGTTGAGTTGGCACGCCGGAAGAAAGAACGTGAGGAGGCCCACTTGTATATCAATGTTGGCGTTCTGAGCGAAGAGTCTTTCAGGTCTCACCACGGGTTTGATCTCACGAGTACTGAGCTCCCGGCAAGTGACCCTGCGGTGCCCAAGCAGTACAGAATCCTTCGAGCCCAGACAGTCCGAGAATTCGCACACCAACTTGCGGAAGAGGAGGGGGTTGATCACGAGCGGGTCCGTTTCTGGGTCATGGTGAACCGGCAGAACAAGACGACTCGTCCCGACCAAGTCATCAAAGATCAGGACATGACAGTTGAAGAGGCCTATAACCGATATGGCACCAAAGGAAATCCGTTCAAGGTTTGGATGGAGGTTGGACAGCCTTCCGCAGATGGAACCGTCTCCTGGCCTGACAGCAACTCGGTACTGGTCTTCCTGAAGCATTTCGACGCGCCTTCACAAATCATTTCGGGTGTCGGTGCCGTCTACGTGCGCAAAACCCAGAAGGTTGCTGACCTTGCCCCTGCAATCCTTGAGAAGATGGGCTGGCCTGCGGGCACCGAGTTTATGCTGTACGAAGAGATCAAACATAACATGATCGACGTCATGAAACCCAAACAGACATTCCAGCAGTCTGAGATACAGGATGGAGACATCATCACTTTCCAAAGAACGATCAAGGACTCGGAACTGCCGGCCAGTGCACTGTACACGGACGCAAGACAGTATTACGATTATCTTCTGAACCGGATCAATGTCACTTTTGCTCCCATCAAGGCTGATGAAGGCGACGAGTTTACTCTAACCCTGAGCCGCAAGATGACCTACGACCAATTCTCAAAGAAGGTCGGCGAGCATCTGAACGTGGAGTCGACACACTTGCGCTTTGCCCCGGTTCTCGCGAGCACTGGCAAGCCGAAATCATTCATTAAACGGAATCCCAACCAAGCCAATCAGACCTTGTATCATATCACTGGTGGGCAACCAAGTGCTTACGCGTACAGCATGCATCGCCAGGATGCCCTGTATTATGAGGTGTTGGAAACGAGCTTGAGTGACTTCGAGTCCAAGAGTTGCCTGAAGGTCACATGGCTCCCCGAAGGCATCACCAAAGAGGTATGTTTGAAAAGATATTCGTTGCTTAAAAGGTATCGGAGCTGATCAGTATTTAGCAAGTGGTGGAGGTGTTGGTTCCTCGCGACGGAACCATCGCAGATCTCATTGCCGGACTGCAGAAAAAAGCGAGCCTAGACGACGAGACCGTCCGCGAAATACGTGTCTACGAGTCCCACGGCGGAAAGATCTACAGGGATTTCCAAGAAGGATCGAAGATTACTGGCATTAACGAATTCGTGTCACTATACGCCGAAAGAGTTCCCGAAGATGAGGTTAACATGCAGGGCGGCGAACGGACGATAAATGCCTTCAATTTCGATCGTGAGGTCAACCGGCCGCACGGTGTACCCTTCAAGTTCGTCATGAAGCCGGTAGGTTATCGCTCCAATTTTAACTCAAGTTTACATCATGCTCACAGCTCCCAGGGTGAAATCTTCAAGCAGACCAAGGAGCGACTGTCCAAGCGCACGGGCATCAAGGGCAAGCAGTTTGAAAAGATCAAGTTTGCTGTTGTGTCGCGCAACATGTACTCCAACCCGCGTTACGTGGAAGACGGTGAGTCGGCTCTTTGGTACAAAGCGAATGAATTCTTTGGCTGACAGGCACAGATGACATCCTCTCCGACATCATCGGTGATTCGGACGACCTGCTTGGTCTCGAGCATGTAAATAAGAACCGCAACTTTTGGAGCCGGAGTGAATCGTTCTTCATCCGATAGATGGGGCTGGTTTGATGGTTACGTTTGTGCATGTCTCATTCTGCTGGACAGTCCACCTTACGAATGGTAGGCAATGCATACTATTATGGACATACGGAGGACGCATGCTGCCCAGATGATTCGACTTACGATGAAAGGCGAAAAAAAAAACAATATGTTATACATGATGAATAAGGTGTTTCGCTGCGTGGTGGTCCTGTCCGTTAGCTTAGAAGGGCAGGCCTCATGGGCTCGTTATGATGTGTTTTTACCAACTGGAATTGATGTATGACCTACATGACTTGGTTGGGTCCAAGGTTTATGAATGCACAGTATTTCTGAGGCGAGCGGGCCGTGAAGAGAGTAGATGATCATTTGATGTAGGGGAGGTCGTGATTGGGTTGTCCGCGGGCGGGATGCAAACACAACAAACGGAGCGGGCCAAAGTCACAGCTGGCCAGAACTTCCACTCTTCAGTCGCGTGTCTTGAATTCGTCACCCCTGAGCCTAGCCCAACCTGAGCTCGCTGCTCTTCGTCCCTGCTCATAATGCGCTTCGCAGCTCTGGTTATAGGTCTTTTGGCCACCTTTGTGTCGTCCGTGGCCGCCACGGCCCTGACCTACCGACTCGAGGCCAACGAGAAAGCTTGTTTCTATAGCTATGTCGACCAGAGAAACGTCAAGGTTGCTTTCTACTTTGCTGTGAGTGTCCCTATGGCAGGACTCCGCTATCTCTTCTCAATTTAATGAATGGCAATAACCGGGGTTGAAATCTGAGACTACAGGTCCAATCGGGCGGTTCCTTCGATATCGATTACTCCGTTGTCGGTCCCGGCGAAAAGGTGGTTCTAGACGGCACCAAGGAGAGACAAGGCGACTTTGTGTTCACTGCCCAGAGCATTGGAGAATACCGGTTCTGCTTCAACAATGACATGTCGACCTTTGCTGAGAAGATCGTGGATTTCGAGATCGCGGTACGTTTGGTCACCGATGGGCATTACGGGTCCACCTTTTGGTGCATTACACGGAACCAATCTAATTTGCTGTGCCCCCTGCAGGTGGAAAACGAAGAACGCGCGCAACTGCCTTCCCGCCAGGGTGCCAGCCCCGAGCAGGCGTCTGCGTTGGAGGAGTCGATCTTCAAGTTGTCCGCTCAGCTTTCGACCATCACCCGCAACCAGAAGTACTTCCGCACTCGGGAGAACCGTAACTTCAGCACTGTCCGTAGCACGGAGCGTCGGATCTTCAACTTCAGCGTGATCGAGGGTTTGATGATGGTGTCGATGGCCGCTCTGCAGGTCTTCATTGTCCGGTTCTTCTTCCAGGGCGCACGGAAAGGTAAGTGTTGGACCCTAGGTTTATTGGCTCTAACTACGTTTTCTTGATTACCAGGGAATGGATGCTGATCAATTGATGCAGGTTACGTGTGATGAGCGAGCATGAAAATTTCTTCTGTCCTTTATTGTGGCGTCTGTTTGTATCTACCCGCTGTTGTAGGGATCTAGAGTTTTCTCCTGATAATGGAGCTGGTCAATTGGAACACTTTGGTACTGTGTGAATTTTCTTCAAGAGTTAGGAGGTGGATAGCTGGGTTCGGAGCATGACGTTCGTTGCTTCTGCGACCTGGCGAGATGTCGTCTTCTGTCCAAGATCTGGGCAGATTCGGGGCGTCGAAAGGGGTATCAGCCCAAGGTACGTATACGAGCTGATTCTGCCAAGATAGATTCTGAGCATATGACATTGTAAGGGTGGAGTAACAGGCCAACCCCTAGCATAGTTTCCTGACAACTTGTCTCAGCGGCTATCGACGAGCAACACGGTCTTCAAGCAATCCGTGGGTGGTCTGTTTGGGGCCAACGTTCGGTCGATCCTGTCGCCCCGGGGATGAAACTACGTGGCGTCACAGGCGGTTGAGATCCTGATGTGTGCGAGAATCTCTGGTGACCGTATCGTCATGGCCCGACTAGTGCAGGACTCTGGACTTCTTAGGTTGTGCGGACAGCATCATAGGTTCCACGATCCCTGGCGGTATGACGTGAAGAAGCGTCCCATTACTGGCAAGGCGTGCATGCTTCGACATCAGACCAGCGTGGTGTGCAATATCGAGTGTTCGATTCGGCTCCATAGACTTCCGGTTGCTCAAAAATTCGGACTCCTCAAGGAAGGCAACGTGATATCATACGAACGCTCAGGGGCGGTTGCTCTCACCCAGTCGCTGTGGTTCATTCGCACGGTCTATTGTTTCCAATACATTGGGCCAGTTACGCCTGCGCTTTCCTTTCAGCGGCGTGGGGACGTAGGTCTCCTCGGACCCGAGACAGGGAGATAACATCCACGCCGTGAGGGAAGGGTGCAATTCGCTCGCCTGGGAGGTATCCTCGATTATTGGCTTCAAGGAACTTTTTTCCGCGATGGGTCCGCGGGAACGGTTGTCATTCTGCGCGATAATCCGCAACTCGACCATCGATCCAGACCCAGGAAACCCGTCCACAGTATACTGATGATGAGTCTCACTTTTGGTCTGGGGTCTGCTGATTGCCTATTTACACTTTTTTTCCGTACTGGGGAGGATCAGCCCAACTCAACCGACGAGGTCGTCGCCTGGATTGGTCCATGTTGGTGGTCTATTGCCCGAGGCTGCCGCCAAATTGCTCCGAGAAGGTTCATTACGCTAGGGGCTACGTTCAGGGCTGGCAGCATCTTACGCGAATGTTCGGGTCGGCCTTGATCCACCGGCAGACAACCTTCTGCAGCGGTAGCACCTCCGGGGTGGGTCACCATTGGACACAAGCTCTTAGCCGAAGAAGGCCATTGAGGAAGAGGTTGGTGTCCCTGTCCTTGCCGTCTTGCCGCCTTGCCGCAGTGCAGCGATGGTTGGCAATGATGATGGTGCATGGGTTCCGTTCCGGGACTCTTCAGGGATCCTGCAATGTGCCTTGCCGTCCATGGTCGAGGAAGTGGATGGGCTGCGACGGATCTGGGTGTGGCTACTGGCTATACGGACTAGTAACTCTATAGGTGATGATGACCGCTACTACAAAGTATCTTTTGGGGGGAAGTGGAGTGCCTGGAGGGATGGGTCCAGATATCGGTACCCGGAACGGAGTACCTACAGTGTGTTTGAGTGTTGTGTAGGGCCGTGGTTGGGGAGAGGTGATTGGGCCAGGCCAAGAGCAGGCAGTGTGCCAGTGAGGGCACTGATCTGTATCTACCATACTACTAGTAGGTAGTACACAGTACTAGGCTCCGGGGGCACATGGATTATGGATATCTGGCCTCTGAATGTCGCGCAATGACTCGGTGGCTGCCTTACACCTGACGTCACTTGCCCGCCCCAGGCACCGCGCCTTCCCTTTGCAGCCATGGACCCAACTGGACCCTCCAGCGGCCGGCAGCCAATCATCGGCGGGCGAAATCGGGGATGAATTCATCGTCTCCAACGATCCGGCATCACCTCGGCCTGATCGAGTAACCCTCCGCCCACTCTGGGTCTTTTCCATCCATTCGGGACGGTGTTCTTTCTGCCACCCCCTATCTATCTACACAGTAGCTATCTACCTTCCCCCCGGTCCAAGGTTATGGTTAATTAACTCGAGGACGATGGGTCCTCCACAGTCCACACGGCAAGAGAGTCAACCGCCAACCGAGAAGACATGCTCTTTACTATTAGTCTCTTACCTCGTCTTGCAGTTGCTGCAGCGGAGATGATCACTACACCCCGACAAGGCTAGTATTTTCGACGCTAAGCCACCTCTTGCATAGTCCTGGTCCAACTAGTGCCATTCCAGTTTTAGGTTCATCCATGACACATCGCGTCCCATAGTCACACAGACACTACTCTCTCTCACTCTCTCCCTGCTACTAATCCTTCCCCCCCACCAAACACACTTGTCCATTCTTGCCCGCTGTCAGCCTTTGAACCCACTCTGCTCTCTTTTTTTCATGTCGCCTGCCGACGCATCCAGGCCTCCACCAGCATGGATGTCGATCTGCAGGCACGGAGCGCCTCAGTAAACAGGCCGTCGATCTTCGACGCCATGAGATTTTTACTGTGCCAGTCGCATTCCATGTGTGACCTCATGTCGCTCCTATGAAGAGTGGACCGTGGACCGTGGACCATCGACCATCTGGGGGAACGCCGGCCCAGGAGCCAGTGGAGTACGGTTATTTCCGATTATCCTTTTGATGGATGTCTGTCCGGACCCAGTCGCCGCCGCCGCCGTCGCCGCAGCGATGGGGTGAGGAGAAACGCTGGTGCAGGAGCTTCGACCCTTTGCATGGAGGATGCCACTTGGAGGAGCCTGCGACGGCAGATGATGTCATGCCCGTCCTATGAGGGTCCCCGAGGCACAGCAACGCTGTGGGCTGTCTGCTCACGGGCCATGGACAGGTCGAGCCTGTTGCTGTCGTCGACTGGTTGCTCCAGCGCTTCTGTCATGGTCCGTTCGGTGATCTCATGTCGGGTTCGTCAGAGCATTTATCTCGCGCGTAGCCCCATCTCTTATGTTCGCCGTCTTAAGCATTATTCCCAGGTTATTGTTGCTGCCCAAACCGCTGCGTACCAAGTCTTTGCACCTGAAACCTCGTCGTACTAGTCCTACTTAGGGGATTCCACCTCTGCTCCCGTGGTTGTTCCCCTTCCCTGAAACGCTGCCCTTGTGTGCTTGCTCTCGAACCATCACCTTTTGGATCTTCCAACCGGTAAGCGTGCCACATATTCTGCTTTGTTGAATAACCTTCCTCCGATGTACTGGCGTCCGTGCTCGGGTCACGGGGTTTCAGGCCGACTCGACGCAATCCTCGTATACCGCAATGGACTCGACTAACTCCTTGTAGACTCTCAAGATGGCCACTGCTATGCAGGACGACCAGTTCCACTCGATGCCCCCTACCAGCGGCGAGGGCTGTCGCCCTCCCGGGGACCCCTATGCCCGGGCTGCTGATCCTCACTCGTCCGTGGAGGACTACAGCCGGGTCATGCTGGAATACACTCAACGCCGGATGGCGGATTTCGCCGACCTGGACGACGACAAGGGGTCCTTTAGCCGCAGTAGTCGCAGTAGCCAGACCAGCGGCGGCAGTGGAACCTCTACCAGCGGTCTGCTTGCCCGTCAGGCAGCCGGCGCGAGCAGTGCGGCCCATGACAGCCCCGACGCCGCCGGGTACAAGTCGGGCGTGAACTAGGTCAACTTGTCCTTCTGAGGGACATAACCCGGTGGGATCGGGGCCGCTCTTGCGGTCTCTCCATCGGCCTTGGGGGAGGAGTTCACGAATTACGTTTTACGGTGGAGTCTGAACAATTTGCGGAGACTCGTGTCATGGACAAGCTTTACGAGCTCCGGGCGTTTTGATTGACTAGCGAGTGCGCTCTGATTTCGAAGCGATGGTGAAGCGATACATATAGAATGGGCGACGTCCGAGCTGAGGCTCCGTGAGACCCTGCTGCATGTGATTTTTGAATTCAACACTTGATTGACATTCGAATTGGATCGATCAGGGGACCTACGTCTGTCAGATTCTGACCGGCTGATGTGTTCGCTGAGGGTATCCGATGGCAATGTCTGTTTGTTCCGACCCTCGTCACTCGTTTGTGGCTGTTCGTACGGAGTAGTGCAGTTCGAGCAACGCATGAATCTATGCGGCCCTTGGCATGGCAGTAATTTCGTTCGTGTATTATTAGTATGGCTGGTCCTGTATGTTATGTTGTAATCAGGTTATCCCTTGCATTGTCTTGACCAATATTCATTTCCTCTGCAGGGTTTAGAGACATGTCGTAGACTTGCAGGTCGTTGCAGTGCAGGTTGCAGTGCAGGTTGCAGCTGCGAGATTGCAGTGCTGCTGGTGATACTGGTGCAAAGTATGCCCTTAGCTACTATCTACCTACTACCTACTCCGTATACGGAGGATTCTATACCCTTGACAGCTACCCAGTATTGTGCTAAAAGAAGAATCACATTCCACGATTCACCTCCCATTCCAAGCAAAGTTAGATTACCACATCCATCCCTAGATGGGAACCAGCTAGCCAGCTAGCCAACCCCCACCAGGCAACGTGAAGAATCTGATGAGACGAGAGGGATGGATGGATACCTCCTGTTCTGTCCTCATCCTCCATCCAATCCATCCCAACTCCCTATCCTCTCATCACCTTCTATACAACCATCACCACCTATCCCCAACACACACACCACCACACACACCACCTACGCCCCAATCTACAAACCACCACGCACCCAACATCCAAAAGACCAAACAAAGAAAAACATGCACTACTCAATCACTCTCCTCACCCTAACCCTCACAACCCTAACCCCAATCGCAACCTCCATCCCCCTCGACACCACATCCCAATCAACCATACCCTCCAGTACATCCTCAATCACCTCCCCCGAAGCCCTCGAATCCGCAATCAGCAAAATCATCGTCCAAGAAACCATCTCCGACTATAACAATTCCACATGTCCGCCCTCTCACCGATCCAAACAATGCTGTGAATCCATTGATAATATAGCCGATGAAGTCACGGATGGCATTGGGCAGATCTTGCCGTGGGTTGGGGGTGTCGATGTTTCGAGTGTTTTGGGGTTGGATTGTATGTCCCCCCCTCTTTTTCCTTCTTTATGGAGGATTATGGTGGTTGGATATTACGTTAATACCCGGAATGTGCCGTACTGATTGATGCTAATGGTGATGGTGATAATGACAGGTTATGCAATGGCCGACTCAACCCCCAACGATAAATGTCCTCATCAGGTTATGTGCTGTGATGGGAAACCTAACGTATGCCCCCTCCCCCCCCCCACCAAGTATCCCCGTCCTTCCACCCCCCCTACCTATCACTCACATTCAATTAATTAAACATCCTCTCCTAACAATGAGATAAAAAACAGGACGAAGACCAACCAACCACTCAATCCGGGGCCGCCGTTACCTCGTCCTGTGAATCATGGGACGTTGCTATGAAGAATAAACAAGATGCAATTGATCAGAGTATGGAGAGGGAACAGGCTATGATGGATGCGGTGAGTAGTTTTTCTGCTGCTGCGGTGCCGAGTTCTACTCCTGCTTCTGCTTCTGCTGCTGGGGCTGGGGTTGGGGTTGGGGCTGCTCCGGCGGCGGCGGCGTCGAGTAGTGGGGTTTTGGGGAGGAGGATGAATTAATCTGTTTGTGTTTAAAGGGGGTGTGGTGGATGGAAGGAATGGTGGGGGTGTTTTACTAGGTAGAGTTGGGTTGGTTGGTTTGGGTTGAAAGGGAAGAGGTTTGGTTGTCATGTATTTATTTGCATTAGTTCTTGAATTGTATTTGGATATCGTTAAAATACAAGCCAGTCTGTAGATTCTCAGGCTCAGGCTCCGTGAAAGAAACTCTACCGCCATCCACCACGTCCATTCCCATACCCCCATCCTCTTCCCCCCGAATGCGGTGGCGGAAAGTGATACGATCCCGGTGGCATCTGCTGCGCATATTGTCCGCCTTGTCCATATGGAGGTGGGAAGTGCGGCGCATGATGCGCTGCCGGGGGTGGTCCGTAGTTCTGCATCGGGGGAGGCGGCGGGGGCCATGGTCCCTGGTGGTTTGGTGGCGGGGGCGGAGGAGTCGGCACTGTTGCCCCCGGGGCAAGAGGGTAATGCGGAGCACCGGCACCAGGACCAGCTGGAGGGAATGCCATCGGTGGTGGGGGTGGTGGATGGTATCCTACCGGAGGCGGAGGCGGCACGGCATTACCGTATGGGGGCTGTTGATGTTGATGTTGATGGTGGACAGGAGGAGGATGATACTCGGGGGGAGGAATAGGCGGAGGAATGGTTCGTGGTGCTGGCGGACGGGGAGAATATGACTTGGATCGCTCGCGCGATGCGCTGCGTGGTCGCGATGGGGACCGCGTCCGGGAGTCACGCCGAGCCGACCTCCGCGGGGACCGACTTCGTGATCGGGAACTCCAGTCACTCTCACTGTCGCTGTATCGTCGGCGCTTGGGAGAGCCATGGCTGCGACTGCGACTCCGGCTGCGACTCGAGTCTCCCTTTGCCCGTCTCTTCTTCATCTGCTGGCAAAACGACCGAGACCATCCGTAGTACGTATCTCCATCGACCACCTCTCCATCCGCATCGCGAATGACCACCTGGCCCAGATCATCCACATCAACCACCTCGTCCTCTTCATGGTCCGGCTCCCCTTCCCCATATATCCGCTCCACATCCTTCATGAACCTCTTCAGCGCCACGACAAGACTCTCATCCGCCGGTCCAGCCAAGAACTGCAGCGGCTTGATCGAATCCGGCCGCAGCGGCACCGTCGAATCCGGGATGATATGGGGGACGAGATTCCCCGCCGGTAGATCATAATATGGCATGGCAGGATCCCCATGCGTCGCCGGCATCACAAACGGCACCTCCCTGCCCGAGGAAAGGTGTTTCACGCCGCCCGCCGAAAACTCCACATTGCTCTCCTCCACACTCAGCGACGTTTTGACCGGCCCAGACACCGCCGAGTTCTTCACCACCTCCCGCAACTTATTCACATAATCACTGCCGTAGTATCCATGTTCCTCCCAGATATCCAGTAGCTCGTCCAACCGACGATGGTGTTTCGGGTTCTTTTCGCGATCGTACGATGCCGCATAGCCCAACAGCTCCACGACATGCGGCTGCAGCGATCCGCTCAGGGTGCTAAATGCGGTGCTCGTATCCAGGTGGTATTTCGTGTGGTGCAGCACATCATTCAACAGATACAGAATGTGGAGGCGTTTCCGCTTGCCCGATGTCCTGCCGCCCGCGGGGGATGCTTCGAAGGATCCCGACAATGCAGCTAGGTATTTGGCCAACCCGCCCACGCGGTTAGACGACGAGACAACGTATTCCAGGAGCCATGATTTGCAGGTCTAGCGGCGCCAAATTTAGTATTTCAGGGGGTGCGAGTGGCAGGACGCATCGGTTCAAACCTGGATGTTTGCCGGGGAGCAATGTGACAGCGCCCGGTCTAGGGAGGTGTGGAACGCGGTGATCTCGTCGCGCGGAACTGACGTCGGATCGGGACGCAGTAGGCCTGCGGAAAAGGAGGCCTTGGCAATGGCGAGTTGATGGGATGCCATTGCTGATGGGTTCGGGTGGTGGTTGACAATCATGTATGGAGGCATTGAGGCCATCCCGCCCACCGCACGGACGCGCTGCCGATCACCCCACGTGACCTTGGCCGCCCTACTTGCGGTTCCAGTAGGCATTATTGACTCTTATCAGGATGACTCGATTGTGGTAATGAAGTGATATGTCACTGTTATTCTGCTTTGGGACTGCTAGCAATTATATTTATGACTATCGAGTATTGTTCTTAGATTCAGATGTGGAGAGCTAGCATTTATAACGGTAATGCCCCATACCTTACTATATACAACTCCAGCTCATCGCACTTCTCCGACCTCTTTTCGAAAGAACCCGACGATGATGGGCTTGCTTCCGTCCTCTTCCAGTGATAGAAACACCGGGGACTGACTGCACCTCAATGAGCGCTACTGCGTTGGATGGGCCCCTCTCGAGTAATATATCCAAGAAGATGCTGAACCCAAGGATAAATTCATCTGAAGTACATTCAAACTAGCATATTTAACAGCGCCGATTACTATCCCCTAACCTATCTATGTTTATAAGACCATGAGTCATAGGCAATAGGATCATAACGGTGGCATGCTTCAACGTTACATGCAACTAACTAATTTATTTTAAATAGTACAGTTTTCCGTACATATACCGAAGAAGAGAAGTGAACATCATAACATATGTAGCTATTATTAGGGGCCTTCACCAAGCAGTGGCTTAGAATCCACCATGGTGTCTGAAGCCTCGGGCATGGTTGTGCGCACTGTAGTGAGCAGACGAGCTGGCAGCCACGTAGGAACTCGACGCCTTGGTCGTACCACATGAGTTAGGCGTGGTGCTCGCGTGGGTGGAACTTGCGTGAGTGGAGAAGTGCGCAGTCGCAGATGCAGAGGCACTGCTAGGGGAAGACTTGGTCGAAGTAGACTTGGTCTTGGTCGTGGACTTGGTTTCAGTGGACGTCTTCTTGGACTCGGTCGTATTGTCTGACTCCGTAGACTTGCTTTCACTGGTGGAGGTGGTCTTCTCAGACGTGGTAGTCTTGGTCGACGTGATACTATCGAACCCGATACAGGTTGTCGACATCGCCTTGGTGTAGGACTATGAAGAGTCAGAACGCAGGAGAATAGGTGGTTTAGATGCTTCACTTACCGCGAGGGTCACATCCGCAAGCGGGTTCCCTTGGTCGCTTACTTTCGCCACATCCGCACCGAGCTCGATTCCAGCGGACGGTGCCACTTCGATGGCGTAGTGGTAGTTCTTGGACGTGTCCGAGCAAGTACCGGTCGTGGCTGCATGTCATCAGTAGGGCATAGCAGGAAGAGGTCGTCGTTTCACTCACAGGCTTCGGCAGTGAAGTCAGCACTCAGGAAAGGCTTGAGGTAAATTCCGGCTTCGTATCCCCAAGATTCTATGACGAGTCAGCGCTGATAATTATGCCCAGGAGTGTATACCTACTGCCGACCGACAAAGTCAACTCGAGGGACGCTTTGATATAAGCCTCGAGAGTAGCATCAATCTCGGCACTCAGCTGAACACCCGAGGTTGTAATGGTCGGGGTCCAGTCCTTCTTGGTAATCTTCTCGTCGACGATCTGGAACACGGCCTCTGCATCGTCGGAAATCGAGACCTTCATTGGGTAGGAAATGGACGCGTCGCCATTAACAGGGCCAGCAGTTGCTCCGATTCCGAACTCAAGATTCACGTCCAAGGTGAAGACATCTGGAATGTGGATTCCTTCAAGCGTGAGGGCATCAAAGTCGTACTCTTTAGTATACGATTTCGTCAAGTTTCCACTCAGCTCCAGCGCTGGGGTAATGTCCACAGCAAGGTCACTGGGCGTAACGGTGAGCTCTGCGGTGTCAACCTTCCATTTATCCTCGAGAACACTCCCAATCGAACCAAAGATGCCGCTTTTTGCCGTTGTCACTTTGTACTTAAAGGAAAGATCGAGTGATCCACTGGTACCGCATGATTTGCATTCAGCGCTGAGAGTGAGGTCATCATTTGAGAGCAATTTCACGGATTTGTCGGACATGGTTTTTTCAACGCTGATCGAACCCGTCTTGGTCCCACTAATTCTCTTAGAGAGAGCAACCTCCATGTCGCTCGGGGCCTTGCCGATTGTAAGCTCATGATTGTTGAGAACATCATCCCATGTCGCTGAGTTGCCGGTCAGCATTGCTGCGGTGGAGTTATCGTGGAAACTGGCGGATGTAATAACGAAAGGAACACGCTGGGTATTCCAGCTACACTGATTGACACCGGCAACCATGAGAAACGTGCGGTTGCTGGCATCATTCACCCAGCTCCACGAATTCTTCGCATAGGAGTATGCGTCAGAGTCGGCAAATACCAAGTGCATGCTCGAGTTGGTACATTGAATGGTGTGCAGCAGGTCACTGAAAGTCTCCATAGGAAGGACACTCTCGTCCGTGAGCGTCAGATTCCCCAAGGTATATCCGGAACCACTAGAGGCTATTCAATACACGTTAGCTACCTCCATGAACAAGGACTGAAACCCTCCCTTAACATTATACTTACCGCCCCAGTAGAAGGAGTGACTGGTCCGCAGGTCGATGCTAGAATAGTCCATGGACTCGGCTGCACTTCCGGCCACTGCCACCTTGGCCTGTGTTGCACTTGATGTAGAGGGGTTAAAGGCCGCCAACTCCAGCGACAAACCCTGTTGAACGAGAAGGGAAGCCAAAAGGCCGGTGGCCACTTCATACTGGAGAGGATTGATCATCTTGAGTCGGAAACAACCAGGTTTTCGGACGTTTGAGATAAAGAAGGAATTGGGTTGGAGTGAAGTAAAGAGCGACTGTCCTTGCAATTGGACAAAAAAGAGCGACTGTCCCTAGGGACGGAAAGAGTGACAAAATCAGAGGGTAGATTGGTATGATTTGTCCGAGATTCGTCGATGCCATCCAGTCTATTTAAGTCAGATGAATCGTTGGCCCCCAACCAACAATTTCCGCGTGGCTTCAAAACACCAGGTCGGAGACCCCGTCAAGATTCTGACACAACCCATTCAGGACATGATGAGCCATCCGTGGTGAGGTTCCTGGAGTAGCTCCTGAGGTTGCATCCTTCAAAGGGGCGGAGTCGACCCAAGCCTAACCGACGGGAACCTTTCGTACCTTTCGTGTTCTCAAGTGAGATTGGGGGCGATTGGAGGGATGATCTTCCTGCAAAGTCGTAGTGCGATTCTTTGAGCGTGGTGAACGGGAAAGCTTCCCGATCGACAGTGCCCCTGATTTTCTGCTTCGTATTGTACCTTGTAAAGGCCATCCAAAGCGAGCAGACTTATATGCTCAAGCACTGGAGAATTGATCATGCAGGGAATCCAGGCTATCCGCACGATACAGGAGACGGGATATAGCTGCCCCAATCTTAGCCCAGCGCACTGATTCAAAGCTTGTCAGCCAAGCAAGCTGTGTCGATTATGGAGTAACCAACGCGTGTGTGCAGTTTGAATGGGGCACAAGACTTTCGCAAAGGGGCGCTTTCGATTTCGCCCCCACGGCCATTGCCCACATCCCTCGGGAGCCTCTATCCATCTTCCTTCGGTCGTGGGACCAGAATAGCCACGCCACATGTATGTTTACCATAACTGTCGAGCAGTGCATTTTCGATAGTAAATCTGAGAAGATCTGATATGATTTTATCAAAAGATCCGGTTAGATTCGCGATTGTCGACATCGCGGCTGATAACTGGAGGCCGGGCAGATGGACTCAGCCTTGTGCCTGTCGAGTCTTACTGTCTAAGCGGTCTCGGAAGCTTCATGGTTCCACAGTCGAAACCTTAGTAAGTGCATAGAGCAACCTAAGATTCAGGAAGCTATCAGACCGTCAACTTTTGTCCAACATCCCCATTCAGGAATACACAGGAGAGGACAGTTACATGTGAATCAGATGCAGCATTCACGCATGTTTGACAGGGGTTCCACGGATAGGAATGAACCATGCCCTATGGTTGAGGCCAGAAGGTGGGATGGAAGTAGACATCGTCTCGGGGCCAGAGGCCAAGAAGAACGAGTGTTTGAGGCTATGGGGCCAAAACCGGGGTAGATGAGAGACGGGCTGGAGCTGTTCAGACTTCAGCCGCAATACTCATCTAGACTAAAGCCCATGCAGAATAGCTCAGGCCTGATATAGCCTTTGGCGGGCGTCAAGTGTCCACTTGGTAATAATGGTTCCTGGGGCGTAGTGTGTCCCACATATGACAGGCTGGTAGGGTGCACCAGAGAAGTCGAGAAACCAGTTGCTCCGCCACTCGTGCCGATCGATTCTGCCTGATCCAGCCGCCTGCAGCAACGCCCGTTGCCCCTGATTAGACCATCTACAGTGTAGAAAGTGGTCAATCCTGGCTGAAATGTTCGGATTATATGTCCGGGTTGCGTGACATATATTGTATCGCGGGAAGGTATATCTTCTTCATTAGTAAGTACTAGATTGTTTTCGTCTCTATTCAAGGAGTATGGGAGTATATGGAAATGCCATCAGTTCCCTGCAGACATCTTACATCATCACCCTAGAGCGGGGCTGTGAGATGCAACGATTCTATTTTAATTGCGAGGTGATCTGGCGAAGGGGCCGAAGAAGCTGAGGAGGCTTCTAGTGGATAGATCCCCAAAGGGGCGTTGAGGATTTGTGGAGATATGTGTTTGGAAGCTTATATTAACCGAGCAAGATCCTGATACTCTGTAGCTATAAAGTGACCAGTCCATCGCTTACAACCATATCCCCGTATTGTTCCTGTCGTTCCTATCGCTCCTGTCGGCTGTCGGGGTGGAAAAATTCTATGTATGCCTCAGGCCACACACCACGACCATTCCTCCTGATAATGAATGCTGAGTATTCTCCCAGATATGTTATGGCTGATCGTCAAGCGGACAGACAGCATTCCAACCCTGAGATACTGTACCTGAGAGCCAACTGGACTGATGGATGACTTGAGTAATGGCTGAGTCATGATTGGTGGGCATAAGTGACGTCAGCAGTGAATGGCGGCCTTAGGCGCTAGGGGTGGCATGATCGTTGCAGCCGGACTGCTTTCGTGTTTTCCCCTTTAATCTCCTTTTCCATTATCGTGGGCAGTTCTCGATGGTTGATGTGCGTTCTGGGGTACGTACTTGTCCCCAGTATCAGCCAGTCATGCTCCATCAACCAGGGATTCAACCAGCGTTCAACGTCAGTCGGAAATACACACCGCCAGGCCGGAAGGTCGACTCCCGCCATCAGACGTGGGAGTGACCAGACCTTAAATCCCACGGGCCGGGGCCCTGAAGGGACTGGAACGCCCTGCCCAACCGCGCCTGAGCACCAAGTACCGCGATCGCCGCCCGCGTGCCTGGCCGGACCGTCGCTGGCCCCGCAGTCTTCGGCCGCCGGAAATCGCGATCACCTGCCCCTCGATGGCGTGAGCCTGGCAATCGTCGTGGGAGTTGTGAGTCAGTTGCTACAACTGGTTCAGAAATGCCCGACCGACAATGAGCCTGCATATCAGTGGAGGTCTATTTTTTTAGTGCAGTCCATGCATCTAAGGGAGGAATGGTTGAGACTTGTAAGACCAGAACTGCCTGGTATGCTAACCGGCGTCACTGGATGCTGCATGTCCCCGGGATCGTTTTCCCGCGCGCTTTCTTTTATCCCTTAAGGTTCATGTTTCCTAAGCAAGTGTCATCATCAATCAGCATTAGTTAACTAGCATCGTGGGCCGGTGGGCCTCCTGAACCCCCGCAGACAAACCCCCCACAGGGTAACACGGTCCGTTCGGCTGAAGTGTAGGCTGATCCCTCGTTGCCTCGACGCAGCAGTATACCAGGAATATTATAAGTAGCTCCGGATTGCCGCACTGCAGTCGGTGCTACCTGATTATACCCTTTGACTCCGTGTCCCTGCATAAACCTATTTTTGCAACCGACCCGTGAATTGTCTTCTCTTGAAAAGGCGCCACCTCCCTTTCTAGTATCTAGAAACCCAACACCATATCCATCCATCCATCCACCCATCTCTTCACACCGTCACAATGTCTTTTGCCGTTCAGCTCGTCCGCCCAACCATCCGCCACTTTTCTGTTCACCGTCCTCGGCCGGACTCTCGCACCGCCCGCTTCATCACCGGTTCCTGTCTGATCTCTGCGGTGGTGCTGCCGTTCGTACCTCCGGCTCTCGAGAGCTCTCGCGAAAAGAGCAATGGATATCCCAACCATAATAAGTGAGTCCTGACCCACCTTACAACTCACAAACTTGAACATTTGTTGACTGAAATGGTGGTTCAGACCACACCCCCCGCTGTGCTTTCATGCCCGCTAGTCTGTATATCCGATCGGATATACCTGAGCGGGGTCGGTTCCGAACGACAACCCCTGGCGATTAGGAACCGCCTTTTGAAGTTTCCCATTTTTTTGCTTCCTTTTTTTTCGGGGAATTATTCGCAATCGGGATCTGTTATGGCGTACTGGTGTTGAGCGATACATACTCACGCGACATGATCGGGCTTTGCAGAGTGACGATGCACATCATTTTAGGCGGGCGGGAGTTCCCTGGCGTTGCAACTTAGTTTCCGGATCCTTGCTTTTGTCAGTCGGGGTCATCACATGCATACTACCGCGGAGAGTCGCCTGATTGGGGATCTGGACTGGTGCCGGGTTACACCCTCAGGCGTCGTCTCGGATTGGTCGAAGCTCTCAGGAGCGGGAACCATGGGTTTTATTCTATCTTTATTCTCTAGAGCAATAGTACATAATTCCAACAAGAACTTGCTCATAGTTCAGTCCTTGGCGTAGGTGGATCGACATTCACTAGATCGCAGCCATACAAGTAAGAGCTTATCTAACCCCAGTTTTGCAACTACTTCGAAGAGGTCACCCCGCAGACGGAGAATTCAAAGCAGGTGATATCTGGACCTGCAGCTCAGAAACTATGATACACGAATATGTCACAACATGGTCTTGTCATCGCCTGGAATCCTTCCGGCACGTGCACCCTCCATTCCACCTACAAGCGGTTGCCCCGAGGAGGCCGGAAAGGCTGTGTGGCCTCGTATTTGCTCTTCTCCAACTCCCGTTCGGTTTCGGTTTCCGGTTCGTGACGAGTCGGCGCAGGGTCGTGGCTGGCTTCTGCGCTCGGAGAGGCCACATCGTCGGATGCGCTATGGAGACGCGCCAGGTTTGCCCGCTTCAGGCTCGGGTCTTCGGACGGATTGGGAGCCGGGTTGGCGAGGGCTGTCTGGCGTCGGTGTTCGGCTTCCATCGCAGCCAGCTGCGCTTTACGCTTCACTTCCGCCTCATATCGGTTGGCACGGTCGGCGTTGATGGACTTTTTAGCAAAGTAGTAGGCTCCGCCGCCAGCTGTTGTTAATCGAGGTCAGTTGGACTCGCAGTACGGGACTTGAACTATCGGAAAGAAGGCTCTTACCGACGCAAAGGGTGCCCCAGCCTATCCTGTTGGTGCGAGGGATTGTGTCAGCAATGTTTCTCTGTGCGTGCAGTGCACGCTCAGCAGGGTGATGGGTGCCGCTCACCAGGTAGATCGGATCTAATGCATGGTGGACGAAGCAATTGTCAGAAACAAGTGAGAGAAAACTGATTAGGGAGGTGCAGCATACCGTGTTCATTGTGACCGAGATTTGTGAATTGAGGTGGAAATTGAAGACGGCGTGCAGTAGCTGCTCGGACTACGTCAACCGGCCGCTTCCTTTAGTGAGGAACCTCCCGCCAATCACAACACAGTGTGGCCGGAACGCCACCCGCTTTGTTGCCTCAGGCGAGTATTTGTCAGTCCCGACTCTCTCATGCATCTCTCTGACCTCCCTTTCTCCCTCTTTCTCGTGTTGGTCGCCTACTCGCCAGCTCCTGCAATCTCTGCTTCAGCTGGTAGGTTCGGTCTACGCCCCGTGGAGCTCTCGAGCTATCGTATCTCTAACGCTCATCAAGGCGCCGGCAGCCTTTCGGAGCACCCGCATACATTCTTTCGGCATCTCGCACCCACTTCGCCGCAAGAGACGGCCCTTGCACCCCGGGGCGAAAGGACGACTACACACCATGCCGATCAAACGCAAAGCCACGGATAGTATGAGGTCCCATGCATATGTTAGTTAGATGGCAGGCTGACCTTAACTAGGCGGTCGATCAAGTAGAGCATCGAAACGGCCAACTCCTGTGCCTGATATCGGCAGTAGCGACGAGTACTCGGACTACGAGGACGAGATTAAGGATGATAACCTGAAAGGTAGCGTAGACTGGTCTCCATACATGAAGGGTTGCAGTGTGGTTACTGACTTCCAACTTATAAGATGTCTTGGAGAAATTCTCCCTTGAATCTTTCAGCAATCAGAAAAGCGCCGTACCGAGACAGGACCCGAACTTTGGATACAAGGACTTTTCCTCGCTATCGTTGAAGCCGGATCATGCAAACCGTCCGCTCTGGATCGATCCCCTAAAGGGCACTATTACCCTGGAGAGTTTTTCCCCGCTTGCGCCCCAGGCGCAGGACTTCTTGACTACTATCGCCGAACCGCTGTCGCGTCCGACCCACCTCCACGAATATCGGTTGACCGGAAACAGCTTGTATGCAGCCGTCTCTGTCGGTTTACAGCCACAAGACATCATCAACTTCCTTGATCGCTTGTCCAAAACGCCGCTTCCTGATGCCATCAAGTCGTTCATCATCGATTTTACAAAATCGTATGGAAAGATCAAGGTCGTGTTGAAACATAACCGTTTCTTCGTGGAAAGTACGGATCCGGCGATGCTGCAGATGCTGCTGCAGGATGAAGTCATTGGTTCTCAGAGATTGAAAGGCGCGGAGGGAATCATTCAGCAGGCAGCCCCGAAAATGGGCGGCCTGGTCATCCCGGGTACAAGAGATGCGGCGGGTGTAAAACAGGCTTCGGAGCAGAAGCCGGCGGAAGACGCTGCGGGCGAAGCTCGCAAAGAGGATGATATTCTTTTAGCTATCCGCGACGACGATGACGATGACGAACAGGCTCAAGTACACAGCTTTGAGATCCCGAACGAAGCTGTGGAACCTGTCAAGGCGCGCTGCCAGGCCATGGGCTGTCCAGCATTGGAGGAGTATGACTTCCGAAACGATGAGATCAATCCTACACTGGATATCGATTTGAAGCCAGCTGCACGAATCCGAAGCTACCAGGAAAAGAGTTTGAGTAAGATGTTTGGTAACGGACGTGCGAAGAGTGGAATCATTGTCTTGCCTTGTGGTGCAGGAAAGACCCTGGTCGGTATCACGGCGGCCTGCACGATCAAGAAGGGGACAATCGTTCTGTGCACCAGCTCGATGTCCGTGGTGCAATGGCGAAACGAGTTCTTGCGGTGGTCCAACATCGACCCCGGGGACATTGCCGTTTTCACATCGGACAACAAGGAGAAGTTCCGCAGATCGACCGGTATCATCGTGTCTACCTACTCGATGGTGTCCCAGACGCGTGCTCGGTCGCATGATGCGCAGAAGATGATGGATTGGATCCAGTCGCGCGAATGGGGTCTTATGATCCTCGACGAGGTGCACGTCGTGCCTGCGTCTATGTTCCGAAAGGTCACGTCGGCCATTGCGTGTCAGAGCAAACTGGGGTTGACTGCTACGTTACTGCGAGAGGATGACAAGATCAAAGATCTTAACTTTCTGATTGGCCCCAAGTTGTACGAAGCCAACTGGATGGAACTGGCCGAACAAGGACACATTGCCAAGGTCCAGTGTGCCGAGGTATGGTGTCCAATGACGACCGAATTCTACTCCGAATACATGAGAGAAAAGTCACGGAAGGCGGCTCTCCTATATATCATGAATCCCCGAAAATTCCAGGCCTGTCAGTTCCTGATCGACTACCACGAGAAGCGAGGGGACAAAGTCATTGTATTCTCCGACAATGTCTACGCTCTCGAGCGGTATGCGCTCAAATTGAACAAGGCATATATTTACGGCGGTACTCCCCAGAACGAGCGGATGCGCATTCTGGAGAATTTCCAGCATAATGAACAAGTCAACACAATATTCCTATCCAAGATCGGAGATACCTCTCTCGATCTCCCCGAGGCCACCTGCTTGATCCAGATTTCGTCGCACTACGGTTCCCGTCGTCAGGAGGCGCAGCGGCTTGGTCGGATTCTGCGGGCCAAGCGTCGAAATGACGAGGGATTCAATGCCTTCTTCTACTCACTCGTGTCGAAGGACACGGACGAGATGTTCTATTCATCGAAACGCCAGGCTTTCCTGGTTGACCAGGGCTATGCATTCAAGGTCATCACCCACCTGCAAGGCATCGAGAATCTCAACGGGCTCGCCTATGCCTCCCCCCATGAGCGCCGCGAGCTGCTACAGGAGGTGATGCTGCAGAATGAGACGTCGGCCGAGGTGGAGCATGTCACGGACGATCTCTTCTCGGGTCGTTCAGGCGGGCAGGCGCGGAAGGGAGGTGTGAAGCGGAGTGCCGCGACCCTCAGTGGACTGGCCGGCGGGGAGGACATGGCGTATATCGAATACAACCGCAGCCGGAACAAGCAGTTGAAGGACAAGGCGGGCCACCACCCGCTGTTCCGGAAACTGGAGCGGGAGCGTCTGAAGCGGAAGAAGGAGCTGGAGGACTTTATGCGATGATTGGATTGCCTGTCGGTGAGTCTGCAGGCGAGTCAGAGGCTACGATAGATTGGGACCACACATACCAGATAAACGACTGCATTAGTGAAAAGTAAATAATCATTGCATTGCATCTATCCAACTTTAACCTAAACCTACATCGAGCATATTCCCAACGTAGCATCACGCGACCCCGGACAACCCTCGTAAACCCAGAATCCATCCCCATCACCAAGAGTCTAGACCTACCTAATGTAACCGTAACTAACACGATATCTAATCAATACTATAACCGAAACATGACTAATCCCTCCCTCCCCATCTAGACCCTTCTTACCCCAGACTCGACCCAAAAATCCAATCACCACAACCACAATACTCAATACAGTAGATCGTCAAAACCTAATCCCCAGCTAAACCCAAAGACCGAACCGATCAAACACCCTAGCCAGCCACAATGCCACTTAAACCCGTACTCCAGTCTCCGTATTACCTCCAGGCTATGTGTCCCCCCACCTCCGATTGGACTAACCCGGCCTTCCCGTCAGCATGACGTCGCATCCACCCATCACATCCATCACTTCGGCAGTTTCATGACCCCGACCCCGAACCCCGACCTATCTAATAATAATTGGGATAATTGTAAGCAGGGGATGGGGGATGTGGGCTGGACTGGGCTTTTAGGTTTAGAGGGAGTTGGTTAAATAAGACGGTTGCGCATGGGTCTTCGTCTATTGTCTATCGTGTTTTCTACATACCTACCGGTTTGTTGATGAATTATCGTTACGGTTTGGGGCGGGTTGTGAGAACGATACGTATTTCTTCTTCTGATTCCTCCTCTTATTGGTGTGGTTTCTACTCGAGAAGAGTATTTGATTGCAGGGTGAGATTTGGAAGTGGAAGTGGAAGTAGATACTATACGGGTGGTGGTTTATATTGTCGTGGTCTTGGTCGTGGGTATATAACTGCACTTACACCTACACCTACCTCTCCATCTACATCTGCAACAACGAGGGAAACCATGGCATCCGCAACAGCAAAAAACATCCATCTCTCGAGCACAGAAAAAGGGATTATCTCCCATCATGCTCGAGAGGATTCAGCCCGCGCAGTGAGTGATGTCTTGCAGGAGGATATGACATCCCATCATGTATTTTTTAATCAGATGGGGTTTCATAGTGAGTTCCCCCCCCACCCCCCTCCCCACCCTACATTTCCCTTCTTTACCATTATATTTCATATTGTTGGGTTTGTTGTGGGTATACTAACAACTCCATCCAGACCACATCCCGCACCACATCCTAAGCATCTATGCTCTCGGTGCTACCCCGGAGCAGATCCGAGCCGCGTATACCAGCAACAAGAGCTATCAGCGCCCGGCACTCCGGGTGGATGAGAAGATCGTGCGAGACATGGCTGATGTTGGGACGTTTCTGAAGTATTTGGGACAGGGGGAGCATTATAGTGACTACTTGGCTTTTTTTCAGCATGAGATTGAGGGGAAGGGGGTGGAGAGGGTGTTGAAGGAGTATTTGTTCTCTGGGGAGAAGGTCGCGGAGAGGTTGTTGGTTATGTTGTTTGGGGGTATGTTTCTCTTTTATCTCTTTCAAGAGGGAAAGGGGGAGGGGTTGTGTTGAAGGGGAATAGTGGGCTGACGATACATTCTAGGGCTCATCCACCCGTTCATTCACCTTGGATTCGGGATCGAGTTCAACCAGCCTGCTCTCGTTGCCCAGGGTCTGGCTCAGACAGCCGTTCACGACGAATGGACGGGTCCAATGTTCTTCTGGCCGGCGGAGAAGGCAGCCGGGGGTGTGGGCAAACCTGGGAAGAAATCAATGCTACAGATTCTCGAGGAGATTCGTGCGGATGAGAAGTTGGCACGGTCTGCGCGTTGGGAGGACAGCGGGAGGATGGAGAACGGGGTGCTCAAAAGAGCGCCGGAGGAGATGATCAAGTATGCGGCGCAGTTTACGGTCTCGGAGGAGCAGATTGAGGAAAAGACGGCGGAGATTATCAATACCGTGGGTGAGTGCCCCCCCTCTCCCCGATTAGTGAAGGTATTGATGCTGACCCTGTTAGCATACTTTGCCAGTGCGGCGCAGCGTCCCGACAAGCAGATCAAGCTCGATTTCTTCTACCTCCATGGCGTCACTTCGTCGATATTCCTGTCCAAGATTATCACGCTGCCGTTCCTGGATGCCCGGACTAAAGCGCGATTGCTGGAGTGGACGGGTCGGCTGGATCTGATGCTTTATGTGGGCTACGGGACGGCGGATCTTCGTTTGGATGAGGTCACAAATTATCCGGCTACGAAGAGCTGGGAGACTATTTTCGATTACAGTACTGCGCAGGCGAGTGATGATGGACATCTGCCAAAACTGGTGAGAGCTTTGAAAAATGGTGAACAGGCGTGTCGTCCGTTTGAGGATCGGGCTGAAGAGCTCGGCTTGAAGATTAAAGGTGATATGTGGTTGAAGATTGCGAATATGGGTGAGTGATTCATTTTCAGATGGATGTGTGATGTTACTGATGTCTGTTGACAGTGATGGATTCCACTTCTGGTCAGAGTTCCTTATGGGTGCGCGGAGCGGGCTTTGACGAGGCCTGGAAGGAGTTTGGAGAACGATCTCGGTTGTAAATTGGATTGGATGGAGAGAACGCATGGGATGCTGAATGCTTGACTTGCAATATCCAAATTGATGTATGTAACTATACTATTTGAAAGATTGTGAAAGAAACGATGACGCGTGGATGCCGGATCGGGTTAGCCATCACGTGGTGATTGGGAAGGCCGAGTGGGGCGATCCCCAACATTTCCATCTTCTGCTTGCGATCCATCATCCTTCATTCCCCTCACATCTCCTCTCTGCCCTTTGCTTTTTCTTCCATCGAATCTTATCACCTCATCAATCAGATCTCCTGCTCCCCTCTTCATCTGCAGCCCTCACAATGCCCGGTGACGACGACCCAATCCAGAACCGACCTGCCGCTCCCTCCGCCCCCGATTCCCGCCGATGGCCCGATGACGAGAACCCTTTCGTTGCTTTCCGTCGCTTCGCCGACGAACAGCTCTCCTCCATGCTCCAGTCCGTGATGGGCATTCCCTCCATGTCCTCTCGGCCCTCGCCCGATCACTGGGCCGTTTTCGATGATGATGCGCGTTTCCGCAAGAGAGACAACAGTGAATCCAAGGGAGACGACCATGCGGCAGCCGATAATTCAGACCATCCTTTCCATCACAACAACCGACACCCGTCTCGTTCTTGGACAGAGTGGGAGGACCAATGGCACGTGGACCATCCCAGGAGACGCAGAACCGATCAGGATTTCTTCGACTCGTTCTTCGACAGCCCTTTCTCTTCTCGCTTCCTCCATCCCCATCACCACCCCATGTTCTCGGGCTTCGCCAGCAATACCTCCACCTGGCCCCTCACATACCTCATGTTCAGCCCATACTCTCCTCTGCATCTGGAACGCCAGGACTACTACCAGTCTCACCACGACAGAGGCGTCTTTTCGTCTCTCATGTCCTCTTTGAGCCTCTCGTCTGATTGCGACCCCGCGGAAAGCCACTGGCGCGAGGCCTTTGAAGATCTCATCCGGCTGGAGAACGGCAAACCCATGTTGGACCACGACTCGAGCGCAGTTGTCAAGAGGGAAACTACACGAGACTGGCTTTACGGACTGGTGAAACGGGGTAGTGTGGGTGACCAGTGGAAGATATCAGAGCTCGGAAAAAACGACTGGTCGAGTCCCATGGCTATCAGCCAGTTCCACTTCAAGGATGATGATTGCGAAACACCCAAGGACAGAATTGTTGAAGAGAAGACCGAAGCCTTGACGGAATTGGACATGTTCGACCGCTTCTTTGAGGACGCCGCTGCCCGCGAAAGCAAGGCTTTTGCAGACGCATTCGAGAGCCCCATACTGCGCTTCCTGCTCGAGGAGAGACAAAGATCCCGAGACACCCCCAGCGACACCGAGAACTGGTTCGAGCGTGTATCCAACAACTCCATCCCCGATGCCGTTCCTGAAAAACAACAACCAGCACCAGAAACCCAAGCAATTGTCCCTTCACGCGCTGAACCAACCGCCGAAAAACCCACTGTGATCTCAACAATGACAAGAACCGAGCGTATCCGACTCCCCAACGGATCCACCCAGAAAAAGACCGTCTGGACCAAAAAGTTCTCCGATGGTCGCGAAGAAAGCAACGAGTCGGTGGAGATCATGAACCCTCCCCAGTCACAGGACTCCTCCAACCAGGACAGACCTACATCCGACCAGAAGAACAGCGGCTGGTTCTGGAAAGACTAAACAGCCATAGAGTTGAGATCACACCTACACTCCCTCATCTCTTTGCTCCCATCCATCACATTCCATTTCATATGATCTTATACGTCCCTCCCTCTGATTGATCCTTTTTCTATACCTCTGATTCCCTATTCATCATTACTCAAAATTAGCGCTGATTTCATAACAACCACTGGCGTTGCTTCAAAAGGTCTATCTCATTCTCTACGATTTTCATATCTTCTTTTTTGTCAATATGACATATCCGATACCTTTATCATTGACAAGTTATTCTGTTTTGATTTCAAAAGCATGCATTGGTATTTTCATTCACTTGGTTGGCTACTGCTTTCGATGGGGTGATCAGTCCTCGACCTCAAGTCATACGATCGTATTCATCATTCCACAAATACATACACATCTGACTATATACCGTGATACGCGTTAACTCTATCATAACTAGCCGCCCCTTCTAACTTACTACAACCTCTTTCTTTGAAGTATACTGCCCTCTAATCAGCCTTCACGCTCTTCTTCTGCGCCTTACCTGAAGTCCAGCCCTTCGATTCCCAGTATTCAACGCTAGCTTCCATTTTTTTGTACGCCCATGAGAATGGTGGGTCTAAGTCATGTTAGCTGCCAGCAACTAACACATTGGGGGGTTAGGACGGAACGTACAGAGGAACTGCCTCAGATCGTGCCTGTTATCTTCCGGGGAATACTGCTCAGCGTGATAACTCGGGGTGAGGACGGTCATCTTATGTCTGTTAATCGCATAGGATCTAGTGAGGAGACGAGTCTTTTCGTAAATTTCACGAGGACTGTACTCGTTGCCCCACATGTGGAGGAGCCGTTCGTAGAGGGACCAGGGACCTAGTTTTGCGACCTTACGGAGGTATCCGAAGACGGAGAGCTCGGCGTATGTCACGCCCATGTCGGCTTCATCGGATTGGACGTAGGTGGCTGTGATGGGCTCGAGTTCGGCGGTGGGGGTGGCGTGGAGGAACTCGTGCAGGATGGGGAGGTCGAAGGAGTCGCGGGTCCAGGCGATGAACTTTTTGAGATCGACTTTACTGATGGAGCCGATTGGGTTGAGCTGAGGGGTTCGTTAGTTTTTTCCCTTGCAGGTTAAGGGTATCTTTGGGAAGGAGGGCGTACATCTGCACTGCTGGCGTCGTATTTGGTCAAGTAGCCACGGAGACTGTTTCTGTTAGTTGGTTGATCACGATGCTAGGGCTAAGTAGTAATCAAAGCAAGTGGTACAGACCATTCTATGTTCAGTTAGTGCTTATAGCTCAAGCAGAGAAGGGGATACGTACCATCAACATTGGACGAGCCCAAAACAAGAAGTCCGCCACCCCCAGGTCGCTGACGAACCAGAGGTAGCAACTGCGCAAACAGATACGACAAAACCATTCTCAGTCTGGCTTGGATGTTTTGCAGCGCTTGGTTCTCCGCCCAGCTCCCGCCGTGAACCTTGAATTTAGGCTGGAAGTTCGTCACAACAGTGAATAGGGTCATCATAGCGCTGACAACGGTGTCGAAGTTGAAGTCGGTGTGGTAGGCGCCGATGTCCGCGGCAAGCCTCTTGGCCCGGTCTCTCGTCTCCTTGCTGGAGTTCTGAGTGCCCATGTAGCTGGTGTGGAAGATGCGGCTAGAGAAATTAGCTATAATGGCTTAGTGACAATATTCATCGAAACTCACTTGCAAACCTCCTGGCTTGTAGAAGGAAGCCATGTTGAATCCTCCGGCTCAGCACAGAGTCTGCGAACATCCTTGATAACCTGCTCGTTTCCTTGTTGGACAGCTTTGATGACTTCTCTGCACATTGAGTGAACGATGATAGCAGTAGCGCAACTGTCAATACCTCCGCTCAGAGGAACAAAATATCCAGCAGCACCGCTTCGTCGCAGATAGTCCCAGAGCCAACACGCCGGACCCAGAGCAATTTCTTCCTCTGGGACATGATAGCGTGGGGTGAGAGTTTCCGAAGGCGCAAGGCCAGGATCAGCCTCATCATCCATACGGGACAGTCTCGTGTCCAGATCGAGACGGACATAGGGCGCCTGCATGCTGGCCTGCATGCCACGACTCGCACTAGTGCGGTATGTCCGGACCTCTTCGATATCGACAGTAGCTGTAACAACCTCGACATCATTCAGGGAGAATTGGGAGCCCTGAGCCACGATATTGCCGTTGACCACAATCATTGCGCAACCATCGTAGTATAGTCGGTCACCATCACATCCTTGCTGGTTGGCATAGAGATAGATACCGCCACTCTAAAAGGAGTTAGAGTTAACATCTCCTGCGGTTTTGGCATTCTCACCAGTTTTGTGGCCTGGGTAATAAGGTTGATACGGGTGTCGAGCTTCCTCAATTCGTGATGACTTCCAGAAGAGTTGGAGAAGATTTCGACACCTGATCAATTAGAAAAGCCACCCTCTAAGATAGACAATGAACGTACCAGCAAGACCATACGGGATGTGAGGACTGCACGATTAGCAAAGATACCTTATGAATCCGGTGCAAGTAATTACCCATTAGGAGTGAAGAGCTCTTCACAGGTTTCCAGGCCCAAGCAGGTATCCCTGGTGCTGATGAGCGCATCGCCAAACGGGACCTTGTATTGTCCAGTAATCTTGCCGACAATCTGCTCCAGGTAGTAGTCCTCGACTTCCCGGGGACGCTGCCACGGGGTAAAGTGTCTCATTTCTCTGTAGTTTCCATCTACCAAAGATAGTCAGCTACCAATTGGATCTTCATCACGAGAAAGACACACCATTGGCAAGCCACATCTTGGGACGGATGAGGATGATCTTCCGGTTGTAGAAGATCACGCTAGCGGACGATCAGCACAAGCAAACTATAGTGACATGCCACGGCGTACCGGCAGTTCCACTTGCAATCTCTGTGACGGACCGGCATGCCCACGTCAACAACAATATCCTGGCAGTCGGGATGATCGATGATGCGGGCGAACATCTCCCACGAGTGTAAATAAGTATCACCCTCGAGGAAAGCATCCAGGCAGCCATATCCTAGATCAATGTTAACAACCGGATCGACAGAGACATAACCGGCGAAGATTACCAGTGATCTCGAGCTCAGGGCCAACTCGGAGCGTGGCTCCAGCTGCCTTAGCTTGACGAATACTTTCGATAATCCGCTCACAGTTGCCCTCGAAATCGAGAGCCCACTGGTTGAGGGAGCTGCAGGCAAGCTGTCAGTAGGGAATGGACTGGAGACATGGATTAGTCACCAACCATGTGGCAAGAGTGACCAGGTGGCCCATGATGCGTGAGTGCTTGGCGACGGCGGGGGTACCACTTGAAAGATGAAGCTGGAGAGAGTTGGAGAACGATACCGACCAAGCGACATGACGCACGTCACGTGTGTGGGGAGGCCCCTCGTGCCCCTCAGCCGTACCGGTATTACCGTTCCGGAATCCCGCGGCGCTGGCCTCGGCTTTGGAGGGGCGCTGATTAATCGTCGTTATCGGAATCATCAGGAAGCATTTCCTCCAACTTTTTCGCCATCTCTTTTCTATATACTTCCTGCGGCGTGGTTATTGTTACTTATTCTTGGCTTATTCTTATTCCTGCGCTCCTAACTCCTACGCCACCTTTCCCATCCAATTGCCATACCTATATAGTAGTTCATAATGAGCAGCGACTCCCAGCTTCCGAACCCCGCGCATATACAAGCCGACTCCATGCTGGCTCGACGGTTTGGAAGGGAGACAGTGAACTATTTCTCCAGTATGGCCCCAAATCTTGCTCACTGCTCTTTCTGAAACTAATTCATCCATCCAGGTTCCCCTCTCAACCGTCTATCTTTTCTCCGCTCCGACCATGCCTTCCTCTCCGCCGCTCTCAAACACCCCTCTACGCGCTTCGTCCTAATGAAGGATTTCGCGCCACTGACCAAAACCCCCGCGGAGCCATACTACGCCAAGTACGATGAAGTACGCAAACTGGTCCCCGACACCATCTACGACAAGTCCGAGGAGGACATCATCAAGGAGTACGATTCGCGGAAAACGACCGCCTCCCCAATCTTCCTCGGCCTAGACGAGACCCAGAAACAGGACAGTCTCACCTGGAAGATCTACTCCGGAACGCCTTACTTCGCCCTAGACGTGACACCCCGCGGCTCAGAAGAGCAACAAACCAACTCCAAGGTCGTGATAAGCGATGTTGAGGCCAAGGGTCTGGCATTCCTCCAGGGAAGAACCATCATGTCCTTCCCAGCCGGCGAAGGTACCTCACCCTCCCCCTCCAACCCACCACCACCCACTAACACCCCACCCAGCCGCCATCTACGCCCAAGCCCGCGCCCTCATAGACTGGAACACACGCAACACCTTCTGCGGCACCTGCGGCCATCCCACAATCTCCGTCAACTCGGGCACCAAACGGGCCTGTCCACCCAGCGACGCCGCGCTCCTCGCCTCCGGCAAGCCCGCCGAGCGCCCATCCTGCAACACACGCACCACCATCTCCAACCTGTCCTTCCCACGCACCGACCCCACCATCATCGTAGCCGTCGTCTCCACCGACGCCAAACGCATCCTCCTAGGTCGCGCCAAGCGCTTCCCCCCAAACTTCTACTCCACGCTAGCCGGATTCATCGAGCCCGCCGAATCAGTCGAAGACGCCGTCCGTCGCGAAGTCTGGGAAGAGGCCGGCGTGACCCTATCGCGGGTCGTCATTCATTCCACCCAGCCATGGCCCTACCCTGCTAACTTGATGATCGGGGCAATCGCGCAAGTCAGTGACCCTGCGCACGAGACAATTAACCTGGAACATGACCCGGAGTTGGAAGACGCACGGTGGTTCGAGTTCGCGGAGGTCGAGGAGGCATTGAAGACGGGGACGAGTCCGTTGGGCTTTCAGCCGGGTCCGGGATATAAGGAGGGCGCGTTGAGACTGCCTCCTGCGACGGCGATCGCGAATCAGCTGATTCGGGCGGCTATTGGGATGGATTTTAATCACGTGGAGAATGGGTCTAAGATGTAGATGGACGGAGTTGGGTATAGATTCTGCAGTGGATGAAACCCGGGGGGGGGGGTTGCTTATTGTTATCCTTTATGCCGGTATTATTATGTTACGACCAGACACGGCATGCTACTATAGACGTGTAGAGCATTCAGCGAGGTGACTATGATTATGAATAAAGAAAGACCATTCATTCATTCATTCATTCATTGCTTTAGTTTTTTTATGGTTTTGTCTTTCAATTCCTTATTCCTTGATGAGATCAACACATATCAAATTTACTGGTACTATTCGCACCAAACGCTGCGGAATAATGCCACCCATATACCAATGCCAATGCCAATACCAAGTAAACCCCCCAGTCATAACTCATCCAGATAGATAGGGCTCCCCGAGTCGGAATACCTTTGCACATTCCACTCACGCGACGCTCAGAAATTCGCATACACGGTCCCATCTCGCAGCTCATGTATACTCTCCTTGCTAGTCGGGGATCCAACCTCAGCATATCTCCTTCCATCTCGGAGTTCATGGATGGTGATGCGTCGATGGGATTTCCGACGGCGTGAGCCCCGACTCGAGAAGGATGAGTCTGCGCGGCTGTCGACGCCAATGGAGTTTACGCTCCCCGAGTCGCTGAATGCGGCGGGGGTGGCTTCGCGGCTTTCTTGTTCGATGGAGGCTTGCAGTTGGTAGTCGGCTACCATGGCCATGCCGTCTTCTTGGTACCATTGGCGAAGGTCGGTGGCGTAGGATTGTTCCTCGGGGCCGTATTCGACGGGCGGGCCGTCGATGTGGGCGTCTGGTTGGGACGCGGTGAAGACGGCCCAGGCGCTGGTGTTGACGCTTGCGAGGGTCATGGAGTGTTTGAAGCTCTTGACGGTGAAGTTGCGAAGAAGGATGGCGTCGCCTTCTTCCAGGGAGGGAAGGGCTGTTTTGTAGGGCCGGAAGATCTGGGCATAGAGAATGGTGCCGGCCAATGAGGGATCGGTCAGCCCGAAGGTCAGGATGTAGTCTTTTTTACCCGACGTGGCCCGGATGGCGGGACGGACTTCTGATACCACGGAGATGGTATCTGTTAGTGCGTTGAAGTGGTCGATGAGGGTGGCGAGGGGCGAAAAGTATGAGTGTTTGCTGCGCAGGCCTGGAAAGTTGCGGTTTAGGTTGACTAGACGAGCACGGTCATCCCCGACTAACAAGACTTCGTCCTCGCTGTGGGTTGTTTGAACTCCCTTGTCGTCCTCCTCCGACACGTATTCCTGCTCTTCTAGAGCTGTGGAGACGGATCCAGATTCAGAATCGGAGTCTTCATCCTGAGGAAGATTGTCAACCTCTGCTGTTGCAGTCGTGTTCACCACCGGCTCAATTGTAGGTGGTGTTTCGGTCTCCTGCTGGACTGCTAGGATCTCTTGGGTGGGCTCAGGGGTAGGCGGTGCTTCATCTACTGGAAGAACTGAAGGAACATCCTTGTCCACACCAATTATCTGAGAAGGCTCTGGAGTCACCAGCTGATCTAATGGCAAGATTGGCATATCGGAGGTAACGGCAGCGGAGATGGGCAGGCTCAGGCTTTGCGAAGTACCACCTAGCGACAAGCTAGGATCAATGTGTTGTGCTTGTTCCGGCACACCTGAGATCTCGGTTTCCTGTGTTTGAGCCTGAGATGTATCTGCACTATGTTGTCGACTCATGCTTGTCTGGTCCTCTGACGAAAAGGTGCCCGCGTTGAGAAGCTCGGGATCAATTGGGGGTTCAGAGAAACGTAGGATAGGTTCGGTGCTGGCATCGGCCTGCTGAACAATATGGGCGTCATCTGAAATATATCTGATCTCTTCATGGATTAGCTCCTGCGTCACCACTTCTGCTGTTCGTGATTCTTCATCGCCGACATGAAAGCCTGGTTGCTCATCGATGGCAATGCTCGGCCGCTCGCCCCCGGGCGATGTTCCGGGTGCAACGTCTCTGTCGGTTTCCACGAGTGATTGTGCTTCGGCATCTTCGAGACCATGATCAGCCGCAGCTTCGCCCTCTATGTGCTCCACTTCGATTTGTGTGTTGTCGACCTTCTCCTCGACCTGCTCCTGATCTTTCTGCTCGTCGTGCATATGCTCATCTCGAGCCGATCCAACTTCCATTTCATCAGCATCAGCATCTTCATCGTCCGGCTGCTCGTCATCCAGGTCTCTAGCGCTTGTTTGTTCTGGCTCTAAGTGCTTTTCACTGACTGCGCCATCACTTTGCGCATCCGCTATCCGTTCATGAGCCTGCACTCTGTCAGAGTGCCACTCTTCATCTCGCTCAGATTCGATCTGGTAGATCGATTCAACATCAACCGTCTCGACTTCTCGCTCATCCGCTTCTTGGTCGTCTTCGACCGACCACTCTTCACCCTCAGCGCCACTGGAATATCCTTCCGCATCGTCGTCATCTTCCTCCCCTTCCATTTCCACTTCATCGTCATCGCCAGATTCGGAGGTGCCATAACTAGAGGCCTCATCCGCGGATGGAGATAGGTCAGAACGAGAACGCACGGGTTCCTGTGCTGCAAAGGGACGCCTTTGAATGCTGGGAGGAGGCTCGTCATCACTGTCACTATCCAACACAATGACTTCTGGCTCCACGGTCCTGATGGGCTGTTGTGCTCGAGATTCCATTTCATCCGACTCTGACTCGAATTCGGATTCGGAATCAACACGGTCATCGTACCCATCCTCGTCATAAGCGCCTTCTGATTCCTCGGAGTCGGACCCGTCTTCGTCAGATATATCCTCTTCGTCTTCCATCTCTTCATCCTCATCCTCGTCCTCGTCCTCGCCCTCAATATGATACTCATGTGCTCGCCTAACAGTGTCATGGGGTTTTGCCGGTGATTCTGCTTCACTGTCGGAGACAAGTTCAATGTCATACCTTGATTTAGACCTAGGTTCAACATCTTCCTCGGTGGCATCTTCATCCTCGCTCATATCCCCGGGGCGGGAGCTTTCAATGACAGAGCTATGACTAGCACTTTCTGACTCATAATTTTCGTCTCTTGTGCCATTCACCCTGTGATGGATTCCCTTCTCCTGGGAGATGTGGATACCGCCCCGCTGTCTAGGCGACTCTTCAGCTTCAAGCATTTCCTCGTCCTCTTCGATATCGGCTATTTCAATTTCACCTGGCTTAGCCCCTTCGCCGACTTTGTTCTCATCTCTGACAGGTTCAGCAACATCCGAGGCTGCTCTTTCAGTAACGGTCTCCTCAACTTGCTCAGCTCTCACTTCCACATCTTCTGGCCCCTGCTTCTCCGCTGCAACTGTTTCGTGTACGGAGACGGGGTGGGCAATTTCCGGTTGAGAGTCTATCCCGTGCTCCTGTGGGCCCGGTTGAGACAAAGCAATAGGTTCGGAGTTGACTGTTGTGGCTACGCCCTCATCCGTTTGCCCCACGGCAAGATCTGGTTGTTTATCTGAGACATCCTCACTTGCCAGACCCGTGACCTCCTGGTTGGCAGTTGTTGGTGGAGTAGATTGGGGGGGAGGGGTAGCTGACACAGATCCAAAATAGCCAAGTGGGCTGTTGGATGTGCTCACTAGAGGTGAGGGAACAGGAAGACCGGGAGAAGGTATAGGATGAAGGCGCGGAGTGTCTATGGGAAGATGGCCGGCAAAATGGGGTACATTATTCCTTTTCTGCCCTGGAGACTCAGTCCTGGAAATGGATTGAGGTAGGAGGAACCGCGCATCGGATTTTACTTCGTCCAATTGTTTTCCTGCGCTAGGCTCAAGTGTCACTGTGACTTGTTCTGTCGTGACATCTGCAGCCTGGGCACCATCCGGAGAACCCCCTGGGATTGATACGGCGTCGCGAGTTTCAGATGGCTCTGGTGACTGCCTAGCTTCGTCGGCCATATCATCACCGCCGCTTTCTGATCGGAGCCATGCCTCGTCGTCGAACATAGCCGTCCAATCCCCTGGGATATCGGTATCGCCAGGGCTCGCGGGTTCATCGACAAGACGCCAATCGCTGCCCCGCATACTAAATCTCGGTCGTTTCCTTCCCTTGCCCAGTACAAAACCATCTTCCTCGGCGAAGGGATCGAATAATGAGCTCGACAGGTGGCCAAGGGAGGGGCGCGATCGCTCGATAAAAGCCGGCGATTGCCATGATTGTAAACCACCGTTCGGATTTCGGCTATCCAGGGCAGCGTGGCTGTTGACAGTAGGCGTGGCTGGGGGCGCAGTCGCATCGTCGGCAGCGGGCAGCGGGGATAAAGGGCGGTCTACTTTCACGGTCGAGAGGTGCTGCGAAGAACGCCAAATCTAACCCTGGTGAGCACTGGGTGTTAATTCACTAGCTTAATCCGAGGAAGTACCTCAATGAAAACACCGCTATCGAAGTGAACATCCCACGCGACAAATCTTCCAGGAGTCTGTTTCGTCGTATCGTTTTCCACAAATCTCGATCCGGCCAGCCCGATATAAACACTATCGCCGATGCCAACCTGCGACTTCGCTACCTCTTCTGCGACAGACCCATGAAAAACCACCTTGACCTGTCCGTTAGTGCGACGAAGGCGAAAGTCTGGCTCTGCGAGGAGGAGGCCGAGGGAGCGAGTTGACGAGGAGTAGGGCCATAGCAAGGTTACCACGGCGTGGACGGAGCTGTTGGACAGATTCTCCAGAGTTGGAGAAAGCTGCGCAATGGGGACCGGGGTCGACCGCAGAGGTTCGGAGACCGGGGGTTGTTGTTCGGGGGCGTCCATCATTGCGGCCGCTTGATAGACATGCGACATCCACACTTCCTGGATCACAGGAACTGCATATCTGGCCCGATGGCGTATGCAGCCAGCGGTAAGGTTGTTGATGGCAGATGGTTGAGACGCGCGGGAGATTCGCCGATGCGGAGGTGAGCAGCCGGTCTCCTTAGTCCTTACCCGCCCGTATCACCCCGTAATCTTACCTACTGCCATCGCCCTTTATCGGCCGGTAATCTACGTCATGGCGGTACACATTACCTCATTACCTTCTTGGATTCCTAACATGGTCCTGCTTGTAGCCCATATGGGACTGAAATATGGAAATATCAATATCTGGCAGTGGTCAGAAAAATGTAGCAATCAAGATAAGCTAGTAAGCACGGCATTTATCGTGCGGTTGATGCAATCGTCATGCGATCGAACTAGGAGCTTATCGGCTCCCCTCCGACATCTTAATGGGCCCAGACGAGACATGATCTCTATCACTTCATCCCCCCGATTCCTTGAGTCTGCCCAACAATGGCTCTCTCAAATCCAATCCGTCGCATAGCCGTTGTCGGGGCGGGACCATCGGGTCTCGCTGCGGTCAAGTATGCAAGATAGCAATGCGCATCTTTCACCCCCGTCACTAACGAGTGTCCCAGGTACCTTCTTGCCGAGAAATGCTTTGAGCGGGTGGATGTCTTTGAGAAGAGAAGCTCTGCTGGTGGAGTCTGGAATTACTGCCCGGGGCCATTGAAAGAGAACCTGACAACTACGGTGCCGCAACTGGATCCCAACCAACCGCTCGAGGAGCCACTATGGTACCCCACAGGCGGGCAGGCGAAGCCTCTAGAGCCCGTCTTTGTATCCCCGCTCTACAAAACACTGGACACCAACATTCCGAAGGAATTGATGGGTTACAGCGATAAATCATTCGAGCCGGATTCGCAAGTGTTCCCGAAGCATTCCGCAGTGAAGAAATACCTAGAAGAGTATGCCGAAGACATCAAGAACGTCATCAATTTCGAGACGCAAGTTGTCGACGTGAGGAAGACTGGAAGCACTGCCGATCCCTGGTCGCTTACAACAAAGAACCTACGGGAAGGGGTACAGAAGACGCACTCATACGATGCTGTGGTAGTCGCTAGTGGACATTTCGACGTCCCATTTACGCCAGATATCCCTGGAGTCCAGGACTGGAACACAGCATATCCAGGCGTCATCTCTCATTCTAGGCTCTTTGACTCAGCGGAGCCTTTCCGAGACAAGAAGGTCATTGTGGTGGGAACCTCAGCATCTGGACTCGATATAGGTAATCAGATCAACGAAGTCTGCAAGGGAAAGGTACTGGTGTCTCAGAGAACAGAGTCAACTTTACACCCTTCTACTCCTCTGGACAAGGTCTATCACCCCCAGATCGTGGAGTTCCTGCCACCTGGTACCTACACTAGGGCAGTGCGATTTGCGAATGGCCATATCGAACAGAAAATTGATGCCATTGTCTTCTGTACGGGTTATCTCTACTCTTTCCCTTTTCTGTCTTCGCTTGACCCTCCTCTCATCACCGACGGCCGCCGCACTCTGAACGTGTACCAACATCTCTTCTACATCTACGACCCGACACTAGTCCTCCCTGTCCTGCCACAGAGGGTGATCCCTCTGCCGCTGTCGGAAAATCAGGCAGCTGTTTTCGCCCGCGTCTGGTCGGGAAGACTCCAATTGCCATCTCAAGATGAAATGAAAGCCTGGCATGATTGGACTGTCGCCGAAAAGGGCAACGGGACACCGTTCCACTTGCTTCCTTTCCCGCTGGATGCTGACTACATGAATTTCCTGCATGACTGGTCAGCGAAGGCTGCACCTCTGCAAGGACTCGAGAATAACGGGAATGGCAAGCAATGTAACTACTGGGGCGAGAGACAGTGTTGGATACGAGCACGACTGCCTGATATTAAGCGAGCATTTTTGCAAAAGGGTCCGGAGCGAGGCTCTATCAAGAGCCTGGAGCAACTGGGGTTTGACTTTGACCAGTGGAAGAAAGAAGAAGTCAGAGCACATATATAGACTTCGACTGTGATGAAATAAGTATATAGATCTTTGGTGGGTTCATTAGAGCTTAGAGCCACCAGGTCACTTTCGCCTCGCGGGGCTAGATTGTTTGAATGAAATCCCTAGTAGTTCGATATTTACTTGGCGTACTCCCACCTGGTGAAAGTACTCTACCATGTGCAGTGAGTCTTTTAAGTCTACATTCCTTGCTTCTATAGCTTCCAACTATCCTAGTATCCTAGTCAATTCAAGGTCATTTCTAGACCCACGTATCCAAAACAATCAATCTCAAGCAGCCACCAACATCGTCTCCTCATCCCACCACTTCTTAAACACCGTCAGCCTCTCCGTCCGATCCCTAGCCATCTGCCTACCAGTGTTGGTCTACCACCCCTGTTAGCACACCTGCACCCCTCACACCAACCACAAAACACATACCTTCATCATCCCCTCCAACCTCTCCAACTTCTCATCAATATGCTCTCTCGAATTCTGCATACTAGCGCCCTGCAACTTGGCACCCGTAAACGTAAACGTCCTACCGATCCCAATAGCCCCAATAGCATCAATACGATCCGAATCCTGCACAATAGCGAGTTCAGGATGCTGCTGCAACACCCGCTGCACTTTGCTCGGATCCTTAATTTCAGTTGAGTAGGAAACGTGATTAACCACCTCTTCAACACTGTTCACTAGGGTTGTCGAAGCCCCCGCCTGTTCCAGCACAAGGGTGACCTTGGAGATCTGTTGACCGTCGACAGCTGGTGGGAGGTATTTCTTGTCGTTGACGTCGTGGAGGAGACTTGTTGTTGGGGTAGGGGGTGAGTGATGGCTGAGGATGAAGTGGGGGTGGTTACTTACGCGCTGAGAATGACCACGGTGGGATCGTAGATGTTTGGTCCGGTCTGGTTCTCGAATTCGGAGGATAGAATGCGCTGGGATAGTGCTAGGACGCGGAGAATGTGGTGGAAGTCATGAGAGGCATCGTAGTGCTTCATGTGGGCTTCGACTGCTAAGGCGACGGACCGGAACATGTCGTCCTTGGCTGGGAGGAGGTGGCCGTAGGGTGCGGCATGTGCGGATGCGAGGATTCTGTCTACTGAGTCCATGGTGTTTGGGTATGCAGCTCTGTGAGGTGGTGAGATTGGGGTTGGAGGTGGTGCGGAGGTTGATGAGGTGGTAATGCGATTTGGAGATAAGGATATAGGGTAACTAACTGGTTTCAGGGTATAGATCTTAAAGACCTAGGAATGGATGTTTGGGGGTATATTTGGCCCCAATGATGTGGTAGATGCGAAGGGATACTCTTGACGGGGAGGGAAAAATACTACAGAAAGGATGGAGATCTTCCCCACATGGGCGATAAGTGCCCTGGCAAAGTGGGATGCGAAGCCCTGATGGATATTGGAGGATGGATACATCCACGCGACATCTCCACTGGGGATCAACTTTGAACAGGCACTAGGTTCCTCTGAGCTAAACTATGGGGCATGTACCTAGAGATTTCCGATTTTGCTAGAAAAAAAAACATGGATCTTATGAGTTGGTCCACGGATTGGGGATAACATGCTGGACGGTGCAGGGGAATCCTTCCGGCCGGAGTTGGGGGAACCACCTGGGATCTATAGCACGACCAACTGCATCCCAGCCCTCTCCGAACCTCGCTAGACATGCCCATTCACCCCTCTCCCCAACTGTTCACCACATAGGAGAGAACCCGCCGCGTGCCATCCATCAGGTCCGTAGGCCCGACTGATAAGCGGCCATCACGTGCCGGTCGATCACCCGCGTTGGTTCCGTCGACTTCATCACCACCAGCTCCGGTCACTCAACCCATCTAAACCTCTCCACCAAAACACCCCTCACCTTCCCCCCCTCCAGCCATTGCGGCTTTTTCTCGGTGTCACCGCGTCCATAACACCGCGTTCTCATTGGATCACTCCACCCGTCATTCCCTCCCTATTGAGCGCCCCATTGTTCCACGACTCTACCATGGATGTTGATCGCTCTTCTGTCACACTCACTGCTCGTGTATAATGTGGCGCAAGCGCAAAGTCCCTTCCCCAATTTATACAGGCCACCCAAGCGACACCCGAAGACAACGCTGGAAGGAGCAGCACGTTATTCAGACAAGTGAGGACGAAGACCAAACTGAGGACAACACCGAAGCGTTGGACGCAGACGAGTGGTATATCAATTGTATACTGGACGAAACCGAATCGCAATACTTGATCGACTGGGAAGGACCGTGGACTCCGACTTGGGTGAGTTGGGCCATTCACCTACCACACCACATCACACCAACTAGTGCTGGATCGGAGAATTCACAACGCTGCCGGAAGCTGTCATTGTCCTAACAGCTGCCCTTCAATCCCAGGAACCAAAGGAGCACGCCAGCGAGCTTGCAGTACAGGCCTGGGAGGACCGGAAACAAAGAGATCGGACTCTCCAGAAGGAACCTGATCAGAGTAACACCCCACCACCACCGCCTCTTTCTGATGCCCGAGAACACAGCATAGAACCCTTGAACCCTGGGCCCAACCAGCCCGAGATCAAAGCTCCGACTGACGAGCCACGGCCTAGAAAACCCTCAGTCTCTCCCCTATTTGTTCCGCGCGACACTATACCAGAATCGTACGTACCTGGTGAATTCCCAAGGAGTTTCGGTGTTAGTTTTGAGGAAACCAGCCATCTGACCCAGTCCCTGACCAACAGTCCAATTGACCCCGGAGTGGTCCCGATATCATCTAGCAACCCTGGTGTGCTTGAGTACGACGCTGCCTTTACGATCCCGCCCGAACTCAGGCTACCAGACGAAGTTGAAGAGACGTCGATTACACCTTACCCCGCGGAAACACTACTTTGTACCGAGAATACAGACGGATTGGAGGTCTCTGAGAGAACGCCGGAGCCTCCCCACGACATCTCTTCGAGTCTGTCGGGAGCCCAAAGCGCAGTTGAAACCTTGTCAACCAACCCTGTCGAGGCAGTTGATGAAATACCTGAAACGCCAGCTGGCCCAGTTGCTGAACCCGAGACCCAGCAATCGTGTGTAGTTTCCACCTTCCCAGGCATTGGACTACAGAACACTGGGAGCTCAATTGGCAGTCGAGCAATCCCAGGTACTGGTTTGTCTCCATCACTCGTGTTTCCTTGTTCCCTGCCAGCAGGTTGGTTGATGCTCAGGTCATATCATATTGTTGCTGACCCTATTTAGAGAATACGATACCGAGGCGTGCGAGTATAGTGTCAGAGTCAGTCGCCGCAGGCACGTCGCAAACTACATCCGAGCAACCTAGTCAAGATCCGAGCACATTCTGGAAATATCCTACTCGACCAAGGATCACCATGGATACCCCCGAGAAGAAAACGGTGCCTTCCTTGTCCGAAACGATGGATAAATACAGCCATTTCGAGGGGTCCACACCCAGGGAAAAACTCAGGAATGCTTATGCCCAACTACGTGTAAAGGCAAACCCTGGCCCTGATGCAAGCGGGACACCATCCTCCGCTGAAGACATAGAGCCTTCTGCTCCTGTATCGCTTCCTGAGACAGCGCCACCGCTCAGTGTTCGAGTCGACAAGGAGCCTACACATCATACAGATACCGAAGCAAACCCGGCTACCACGATGCCCACCGTCGAGCCTGTGGAAATGGGACTGCCTGAACACTCCCACGTGCAGACTATTCAGCCCAGCGCATTATCAGTCAATTACACTGAGGAGTCGACGCCTGGATCGGTTCATCTTGGTCCGTCGGAGTTTGCCGTGCCGCTTCCAATGGATTCCAGGATTAAGGATGACTATGAACGCGTCTTGACCAGTGAAAGTCAGAGCATTCGCGATTTTCTCGACATGACAGGTACTCAATCTGACACGGAGTATCAGGTGCGTAGCGATCCTCCTTGCGAAGTGTTTGAAACTGACCGGCGGATAGCAGGGGCCCCTCACATCGAAAATGCGCGAGGTCCTAGAACGTCTGAGCAATATCTCGACTCATCCGGACTTGAACATTGTCGAACACATCAAAGAATCAGAGTCGGAACTAGGAAGGGAGGCTGCCTGGGCCGAGTACTCAAGCGCAAAATTCCTGCTCTTGAGTTATCTCCTGGATGCTGCCAGCATGCGTGATATGCACTTGGTCATCATGGTGCAAGGCGAGAAGACCCGGCGGGTTGTCGAACGCTATCTCATGGGCAAGGGTCTTTCATATACGCGCCCACGCCCCGAAATGGGATCGGGTACGAATATCGAGGTATCCATGGTCCGGGATTCGCTCAGCTTTGGAATCCAAACCACGCGCAATGATGGGATCGTAGAGACCTACAAAGCCCCTGCCGCTATCATCGCTCTAGATACGTCGTTCAACACCAAGAGTCCCACGGTGGAACATATGCGAACCACTTTTGCCCGCAACGGAAATCTACTCCCTGTGGTCCGCCTGTTGGTATCCAACTCCAGCGAGCATATCGAACTTTGCTTCCCCAATCTACCAGAAATTGAACGCATCCGGCTACTTCTACAGTATTCCATCCGTCTCCGTGACGTAGTTGGCGACCTCCAGGATGACGCGCTTGGGGTGCAGGAGGATGCTGAGGAGCTTCTATCATGTCTTGAATCGGATAACTTCAGCGCCCACTGGCCCTTACCTCACATCGAGCCTCTACGCATTCTGAGCCCCGAGCAACTCGCATCCACTCACCAAGAGCTGCAAAGTCGACCTGGTATCGACATCCCATCTGTGACAACACCTCAGATCCAAAAACGAGCATTCGTGAGTGGATCAAGTTTCTTCAGTCCATATCCCTCCCTCTAACCGAGAATAGCAGGCAGAAGATGGGACCGAGCCATCGTCGAAGAGACCAAGGATGGAAGAATCACTAGAAACAAGTCAGTTCACCGAATCAACTAAAATCCCCAATCAACCCTTGGATGGCGAGCTCCAATCACTCGAGGAAAACCTTGTTCAGATGAAGAATTCGCATGCCACAGAAAACGAAAGACTCCAGAAACTCTTGAAAGCAGCCCAGACCCGTCTTCAAGAGAGAGAGCACGTGCTGAACAAGCTCCAACACCGCTACGAATCCCGAAACAGAGAATTCCACAAACTTCGACGTGAGCACGAGCGTTTGACTCAAGCCAAAGCCACAGCGGATCAGCGGGTAGAAAAGCAAAAGGAAGAACTCATGAAACTCAAAGACGAGCGCACCCAGCTTCGACACGACCTCGAAGAGGCCCGCGAGACCCTCAAAGCAGGCGGGGGCACCACGGCCGAACTCGAGTCCGCAAAGGAAGAAATCCGCCGTCTCACCAAAGACAACGCCGCACTCGAACGCAAGGCCGACTACGAAGCTCGACAAGCCGAATACACGCGCGAGCAATACCAAACAGCCTCGACAGTGGCCGCACAATCCGGCAACGAACTCCGCCAGCTCCGCGACGAGAACGAAACCCTCAAACGTAAAGTCGCTGGCGACGCCACTCAGCTCCGCGAACTCAACCAGAAAAACGACGAAGCCCGCCATCTCTCCCGCGTCCTCGAACTGGAATCCACCCTCACGTCGCGCGAAGATCTGCTCCGCAGGAAGGAAGAAGAACTTCGGGAAATTCGCAAGAACCGGCCCTCGACCCGCTCCACCAGCACTCAGCCGCGAAGCCCCAAATGGACTGCAGGTAATAGCCGGCCCACGAGCCCTGGCATCAACAATGGTTCATCGCTTGCAGGTCGCGGTAGTGCGCTCAGATTCAGCTCCGAAATGCCCCTTTAGTTCAATCCACCAACCAACCAACCGCCCTTCCTTCTTTTCATCGATCCGGTCTTCGACAACTCTCGTCTCCTCCAACCAACACGCCCTCGCCTCTCCTCTATCCCTTTCCGTCCTCCTCCCCCTTGCATACACGCCTAGCAAGTAGTCCGATCCCTCCAAGTTCAATGCAACATAACGGCACAACACACACCGCACCGGTTATCTCATCCTCCGAATCGGCCTCCCCTTCTCCTCTAATGTATGTATCTACGGTACACCGTACTCATCCATCCATCCATTCATCCACCACCACCACCATCTTCAACACAGGGTAGTTCCCGGTGTCCGGTTACATTGCATTAGAATCCATCCATCCATTTATCTATCGCACCTATCAATCACCACCCACCCATCAGACACATTCATGTCACCGTCACTGTCACCGTCACTGTCACCGTCACTATCACCATCAATATCACACCTCTCATCCATTCATCTCTGATGACCTTGCATTTGTCCGGGCGTTTCCCTATTCCGGTGATTTGCTTCTTTACTGTGCCACCACAACCACAACCACAACCACAACCACAACCAGCATCACCATCGCCATGCGGCCCCCAGGTGCATTGGCATTGGCCCTACCTAGTTTAGTTCGAGTCCAGTGCTAACCAAGATATGTATTTACCGGATTGTATTATGATTATGCAGAGGCAGTAGAATAAAACCATTCTACATGATGCATTCATTTTGATTCACTGGATACGCTATATATTTTATTCATCCATTTATCCAATCTAACTAATTACGTATCGATGGGAAACGATTTGACATAGCTTTTTTTCACATTGCCATTCTATCGTAAGTCAGGATAAGTAGTAAGGTAGGTAACGTAAGTGAAGAAGGGAGGGAAGTGGTGGGTAATATCACATCGCTTTCGTTGTTGTTGTCCTCCAAGTCCAAAAGCCAAGCCCGAGAAACCAGGGAACAAGCAAGCAAGCAAGTAGCACGTAAGTCATGATCCGTTTCGTCAAGTAACAAACAAACAACGAACAAGATAACAATAACAGCAGTAGTAGTGTACTTCAATTCTCGGGGTAACATCAACAGGATTAAGGAGGGCATGAAATCAAATGACATAAGGGGAATGCTAGCTGTGCTGTGGTTGTTGGGGAAATGGATGGAGGAGAAGGAGGAGCAATGAAAGCAATCTAATCAGCCATGGCATTGCCGATGAACGTGGATAGTTCTTTGGCTTTGTTTCCGAGAGTCATGGTGAAATGATTGGCGCCTTCCATGGCGGTGATACCCCCGATGTTGTTCGGTCCGACGAGCGTATCCCACTTGTTGGGACCCAGATCCTCCCGGTTCTTGAGCAGCCAGATCATTTCTCTCGGATCGGGACTGCCATCGGGGGCCGGCTCGGGCCATGGGTCGCCTGGCTTGCCGCAGACACCGTCCTTGGCCCAGATCAGGAAGGTTTTGGGCATTTTCTTGGCCCATTCTGGGTCATCGAAGGGGAGGGGAACGGCCTTGTAGGCGTCGAGAGAGTCGATGAATGCGAGGAAGTGGGGGAGTAGCCAGGCTGGGGGCGCAGATTTGCCTTCGCCGAAGAAGCCGATCGAGTCAAAGAATTTGTAGAGACGAGGAGGCAGCTTCTCGAGGCCGATAGGGAATGGGGAGTCGAGAAGAAGCAATCGGTCGACTTGCTCGCCCTCTTCGAGGATGAGGTAGCGAGCGGCATCGAAGGCGCAGATACCGCCTGCAGACCATCCACCAAAGTTGTAGGGCCCCTTGGGCTGTCTCCGGCGGACCTCAGCCAGGTACGGGAAGGTCATCTCGTCAAGACCGAACTTGAGATTCTCCGGTGTTTTCATGTATGGACAATTAAGCCCGTACACGCACGTGTCTGGGGAGGCTGCGGGGATTCCGGCATATGATGTGGCAGAGCCAGAGCCATCAGGGAACAAGAACAAGGTCTTGGTGGCTATCTTGGGGTTACCTTGCAAGAGGATGGAAGTGGCTCGGGGGTGCTGACTAGCCCGGGTCATGAGGGCAGATTTCGGGTTGGGAACAGGTTCAGACAGGGTGATTGGCGCAGACACAGGAGCGACGGCGGGAGTAGGAGGGGCAGGAGCAGGGGCAGGAGCAGCCTTGGGTTTGAGATCCAGTGCTTCCTCGACCTCACTAAGAGTCTGATTCTCAATAAAGAATTCTCCCGGCAAGTCCATGTCCAATGTCTCGCGGATCCTACCAAGGACAGTGAGGGAAAGTAGGGAGTCCATTCCCATCTCTGCCAGGTTCTCGTCGTCCTTGAGTTCCTCTTCGGAAATCCCGATCTCATCGGCTAAGATGGCACGAATCTCCTTCATCGTAGCGTGCTGCTCGGCCTGCGTGACCTTCTCATTGGGTGGTGAGCTGACACAAGGGGACCCAGCACTGGACTCGTCTGTTGAGGAGCCACCGTTGAAGGAGGAACTAGACTCCGGATCGCTAGTGGAACCATCACTCACTTCTGCTGGGCTCATTTGGGCCAGGAGTCGCTTGAAGTCTTTCACGGTGGGCTGATCGATGAAGACTGAGGATTCCAGATCGATATCCAGCTCCTCCCGATATCTGCCGGTGACGGTCAAGGAGAGAAGAGAATCCACACCATAGTCCGCGAAAACCAAGTCATCCGTAAGCTCAGACTCAGACAGTCCGACTTCCGATGCGAGGATGCTGAGTGCACGCCCAATCAAGCTTGGCGCACTCGGCTTGGGTGCGGCCTTCACAGGGGCCGGGGCGCTGGGACGACTCTTGCTGCCAGCAGCAGGAGTTGCCCTTGGGGCGCTGGCGGATGGCTTAGCTGCGCTCGGCGCTTTAGAAGCCCCAACCGGAGGAAGAACTGTGTCAAGAATCTTGCGCGACAATGCTTGGAACTATGTATCGACCCATTAGTAAAATGGACATGGTGCGATTGGGAAAAGATTAAACTCACCTTGACGGCACCGTAAACCGCGACGATATCGTCCCCTTCGAAAAGATATACATCACCTGCCCAGATCGAGTTTTGCCAGGGCTGCATTCTTACATAGGTTCTATAGGTGACGTCTGGGGAGAATTTCTTCAAGCAGCGCATAGAATCCCAACCGTGGTTAACAAAGACCTGGTTTTTCGAGTCGGTGGCATCGCTCGCATTCATGATGAACCCAGACAAATGCCCAATGCTGTCAATCCAGAAGGGATTGCGGTGGAAGTTGCCCTGCGACCCCTGGAACTTGACACGCGCGGTGGCTTCATGCTGTTCGCTGTCGAGAATAACCTCGCGGATGTTTTTGAAGTTGTCATCGTAGTCGACCAGGGCGCTGAAGAGTTTATAAACCATACCTCTTCCGAGACGGTGGGCATCTCCATCTTCCGCGACATCGTGGAGCCGGTCAATACTTCTCTTGATAAGGTAAGCGTTTCGCTTCCACTCCAACTCGGCGGCGGCGCAGTCAAAGAATTTGACAGTAGAGGTTGCGTGCTCAGTCGTCTTCTTCCCCTCTGCCGTAACCGAGTATATCTGAAGGGTAGTTTTCTTCTCCTCCCAGTTCGCAGTAGCAGACACCCTGAAAAGCTGTTGTCCAGATTTGGCAATCAATGGCCTCGGGACGGTGACATCGCACACATCCAATCCCAAGCCGTCATACTCGGGCTTGTACTTCTTGATGAGATACTCTGCAAGTGTCTGCGCGATATCGGCATAGAGGGACTGTTTTCAGGTCAGTACCATGTGAAAAAGGGGGTGTCAATCTTCACTTACCGAGGGACACAGAGCAGCGCCGTTGACCTTGTGGCCCTGGATGACGCGGTTCAAGTCGGGATCGGCAATGTCGTTCTCTATAACCACGGTGGCTGTTGCCCCATCATCCCGGGTCTCGATGACCTTCTGAGCAGCAGTGGTCAGGAACTCGTATTGCGGTCCTGCTGCTACTGCCGCCACTGGAGCACCCTTGGTCAAGCAGAAGTTGTTGGCATAGGGGATCCAATAGTTCTTGAGATCCCACTTGTAAGCTGGGAGCCGGAGCACTTGGTGCGAAGAAGTGAAATCCTGGTGGTATTGCTTCCAGTTGAGGTCGATTCCGGCCAGATGAAGACTTGAAAGACTATTCGAAAGGACCTTCCAGGTATCCTCTTCACGTCGCAGAGATGCAACCGTCGTAACTTGTGGTCCGAGAGTTGCCTTGATCATCCCAGAGCAGATGGTATGTGAGCCAATCTCAACCCACAGGGTTTTGTCGTTTGTCAGCTTTGCGTGTCTCGTAGCCTCCACGCCACCTAAGAAATTGACCGTCTTTCTGCAGTGATCGCGCAGGTACTTGGGGCCAAGACAATCCCAGTTGGCATCGGTGACCACTTCCCCAAGCAGAGCGGAAACGAACGGTGTCGTCGGCTTGTGGAAAGTGACGCCCCGAGCAACCTCCTCGAATGTTTCCAAGATAGGGTCAACCTGCGAGGAATGGAAAGCATAAGGAACCCGCAACTTGGTGGATTTCAGACCCTCGGTGGAGAATTTCTGAGCCAGCTCGTCGATGTCAGTGACCAGGCCACTGACGACAGTTTCGGCGGGCGCGTTGACACAAGAGACTTCGTGAAGCTCGTCTCTGAGGAAGTGCTTCACTTCAGCCAGGGAAGCCTTGACAGCCAACATTGAATGTGTTCCAATCTTGCACTCCTTGGTAAGTAGCTGGGCACGGCGGCCACACAGGTAGATGGTATCACTGGTGGACAGAACACCGGCTGTGTTCAAGGCGGCATAATCACCGAGACTGTGTCCGATAATAAAGGCCGGCTTTACGCCCAGAGCAGTCCAGTAATTGACCAATGCCATCTGGACACAAGTTGTTCCCACTTGCACCACGACGGGGCTCAGGTCTTCGACAGGTACACTTCCATCGACGAGAGGGAGGATGGAAGGAAGACCCTGGCTTCGTGCAATACAATCGAAGTGCTCAATGATGGTTCGGAATTGGAAACAGTTGCGGTAGAACTCCTTGCCCATTCCGGTGTACTGGGCTCCTTGGCCGGTAAAGACGAACCCAATCCCAGGGGCTGTCGCTGGCACCGGGGTGTATGCCTCACGTTGCAAAGCACTGTGCAGTGAATCGCGTAGGGATTGCAGGTTTGGCCCGACTGCAGTCACACGGAACGGATGGTGGATTCGGCGTGCAGTGGTGGTATAAGCCAAGCTGGGGACGAAGTCGGCTTCTTTTACACCAAATGACTTGCCATGTGCGTCAATGTATTTCACAAGAGAGTCGATGTTGTTCTTCAGTGCAGTCTGAGATCTGGCTGACACAGAAACCAGATGGAACGACCGAGGGTCCTGCCCTCGCCGCTCCGGAAGGGGGCCATCTTCCAACAGAAGAGCAGTGTTTCCACCAGCAGCAGAGAAGTTATTCACGAAAGTTCGGCGCTTTCCGGAAGCCGGCCGATTCCATGGGGTGGGTTGAAAGGCTATATGGACATTGCGCTTGGCCAGGTCCGTCGGGAAATTGTGGTTTATCTTGTTCTTGATACCAACATGCGGGGGGATCATGTTTTCTCTCATCATGAGAAGAACTTTGACAAGAGCAGTCACTCCCGAAGCAGATTCTCCATGTCCAACGTTGGCCTTGGCTGATCCAAGATGAAGCGATTGTCCAGGGCCGCGGCGATAATCGGGAGCAAAGACGTCAAGGACAGATTGCATCTCGACTGCGTCTCCGGCTTGTGTTCCCGTGCCGTGCATTTCGATGTAGCTCACTTCCTTGGGGTCGATATTCGCCTCGTTGAGCAATTTATTGAAAATGAAGGCTTGGGCGCCGACATGAGGACGTGTAATCGACACGGCCTCGGCCGAGTGGTTGGTGTATGCGCCGTTGATGATACCGATGATCGGGTCATTGTCCGCCTCAGCATCTTCAAGTCGCTTCAAGACGATACTCCCAATCCCATCTGCTCTGCAGTAACCGTCGGCGCCATCATCAAATGTGTTGCAGTTTCCAGTTGTAGACAAGAAATGACCCCGATCCAGACCCGCGTGGTTGTCGGGGTTCGTCAAAATATTCACACCGCCGGCAACCGCGGCATCGCAGTCGTTTCTCCAAATAGAATTGCAGGCAATGTGTATAGCAGCAAGACTGGAAGAGCATGCTGTATCAACATTCACACTGGGACCGCTGAATTTGAAGTAGTAGTTTATGCGACCTGGCGTAAACGCCCGGTTACCTCCAGGGATAAAGTACGTGTCAATGTCCTGGCCGCTGTTGATTTCACGGTAGTCGTCACTGGTCATTCCGTAGAAGACACCCACACGGTCTCTTTGGGTCGACGGAGTACTATCCGGGATAAAGCCAGCCATTTCGAGGGCCTCGTAGGCTGTGAGCAAAGCAAGACGTTGAGCGGGATCCGCCTGCAGTGCTTCTCGGGGCGACATGTTGAAGAATCGGGGATCGAACAGCCCTGGTTCGTTGATCCAGCACCCATAAGGCACCTTACTTGTATTTCTCTTCGACCCAGTCAGGTCGACGTGGGCATCAGCATCCCAACGATCCGCGGGAACTTTGCGATGCACATCGAGTCCTTTGTAGAGGAGGTCCCAGAAACTCTCCGCACCGTCGGCCTCAGGAAACCTTCCTGACATTCCGATAATGGCGATCTTGGAGCATTCCGCTTTGCCAGTGAGGTTTCGCGTGTCCGGGCTTGTCGAAACATCTCCAACCCCGGATTCCAAGCTGACATTCACACCTGCTTTCTTGAGCACTGTGAACAAACTTTGGGTTGCGCTGCTTGAGATCGGAAACAGCTTGCAAGAATGATTCGCGCTGGACTTGGATAAAGTTGAGCACGCATCTGTGACCTTGTCCCAGCAAAGTCGTCGAAGTAGAATTTCCTCGAGCGCTACCTTGAAGAGATCGTTGATGGACTGGGCCTTGACCGGCTTGCCAGTATTACTGGAAATGACATGGATAACGGGTGAGTAACCGGATAATGTCTCCGAGGTCAAGGGCTGCAAGATACGTTCGATATCTTTGTCGTCATAAAGATGGGGCGCATGGTAGGGGCCATGAATTGGAGCCCTGACAGGCTTGTAGTTCTTTGAAGCACTAACTTCGATGAACTCGTCAAGGACTGTGGGTGGTGCACTGATAGTAACGCCGTTGGAGCTCACGGCGCTGATATATGGCTTTGAAGAAGGGGGAGTGGCCTACACCCGTCAGCATCTCAGAACAGTGGGACAGCACTATTGAGTCAACTCACCTTCTTGGTGCTGTACTCGTCTATTAGGCTAGTAGCCCCCGCTTCGCTTATTCCCGAAATCAACGCGGACCAGCATGTTGACTTCGAATCGTCCGAGTCGACGAGTTCTCGGACTCGAAGAACGCAGATCCCCAGGCGGAGGGCTACTACGACCGATTCCACTGCAGCGGGAACAAGCTCTCCGACATTTCTCGAGCAGCTAACAGCCGTGCAGCTTAGCAGGCCTGTACATAGACCAACAAGCTGGCTGTTTGTAGACGTGGGATAGATATGGCCAAGGTCCCCGTAATAGCTGAAGTTGGTCAGCGTCGTCAGTGTTGAGTGGAAGCCGGACATCTTACTGTATGAAACAACCTAATTGGTAGATGCACGTCAACGCGCTTTCCAAGACGGGGCTCGGTTCTGATTGGCGATGTCTAGTAAGCAGATCGACGATGCTCGTGAACCGTGGGAAGAGTTTGCGCTGAGATGGCGGGAGCTTCGCAATTTCTTGACGCAGCGCATGGAAACATTGCTGGAAGAAAGACTGGACAATGGTACTATTCTTCGATTGTAGTAGACGGCGGAGGCCGGCTTCGATGTCACTTGTCTGGTCTCCGAACAGGTACACTCGAGATGGACCCTCCATGTTTGCGGGAGATGCCTGTTGATCAATCGATCACTGTTGTCAAACCAAAGTCCATCTGGCTCCCCTCACCCATGTAGATGCGGAGCACACTTTATACACATATAGATTTAGTCCCCATGGCAGGGTGGGGGCCGGTGTCTCAACTACGGCATGCTCTGAACTGGTTAAGATGCATTCCATGCGTATCTAGGGGGCGATTGCAAAGAGTTGAATCCACCAGACCGGATCGATTGGGTTGCATTGTCATACATCTGGCGAATCATCAGGATGGAGACAGATGACAGGCCCTAAACTGTTCTGATCAGTACCCGACGTCTTTCAGTTTACGTCCAAGATCTCTTACAATGCTGATGTGAGCTGGCTCTGAATGGACACCACCATGATTGTGGAGCAGATGCACACCATCTGGGCACTCGATAGAGTTACCCCGTTTGGAAATTCTAGACTTGGAATCTTGGTCCATGAGGCGGGATTCAGTGTGGCTACCTCAGCCCTCAGGCCACCATGATCATCAAGGGGACATCGATGTCTCAACCCCTGCTTCTGGCAGTAATCCAGCGACTAGGCAGCCATGTTCTCGAGGGCAAGTGGCAGTGTGCATCAAGGGACAGCGTTGCGATGGTCAGCGGCACTGTCTGGCCAAGGGGGGGAAGGAGTCCTACAGAGGAAAGTCGTCGCTGCCCCATTTGGCGACGATCAGCACGTCGCAGCGTGCACGTGATCGGGGACGTATATTTCCAGTTACTGCTCCCCTAACGTCTTTCCTCCTTGAGCATGAGACACAAAATTCCACGGGACAGGCCGAAAGATTTCTCTCTCCGCCGGTGATATCGGTGGGGGCGCAGAGGCAGAGATGCATGCCGAAAGACCGGGCAGTTAAAACCCGTGCCCTGCTGCCCTGCATGTGCCTTGCGTTTCCAACAATAGGGACTCGGAAGCCTGTCTATCGTTGCTTATTGCTTATTCAACTGCCGAAACTCTGAAGGAGGGTGTCGGGAGAAACAAGGTTATTGTTGCTGGAATGTAGTCGGTGGGCCAGGGTGTCATGACATGCTTCAGGAAGCCTGACCGACGGATGATTCTTCCACCCATATCGACTCGGAACTCATGCATGATCGGTCCATTTACCTTCCTAGGGATAAGCATCTATCTCAGCCCATAGTCTGCGAATCAGCGATAATTCAAATTGCTTACCGTCCATCCCTCCGCACTCGCTTCCTAGCTCCAAATCCATACAAAGTAGGGTATATAACCGACATTGTGAAAACCGTCCAGGATTAGTTCAGCTGAGATAGTGACTTTCACTTTCAACCACAGTGGCTTAGCCCGCAGATTCCTTCCGTTTATTTCTGCTTTCAACTCCGATTGAGCTACCCAGCCTCCCAATTTACCTATCTCGTCTGGCTGACAGGTGCGGAACACCTGTCAGGTTAAGGTTCAATAATTCCCATGCTGACAACGAGGGAAACCTTAGCCCACACAGAATGTCAAGTAGCGCTCGATGGGAGTCGCATTAATAAGGTTTATAATGGTTCTTTCCCCCCTGCGTTCCACTCGTGGTATTCCTGGTCGACGCTCTCTTTCAGATGTAGATACCGCGCAGGTAATACCTGTCACGCCAGGGCCAGTTTTTCTTTAACAGGGTCCATATATTCCATATGACCAGCAAAATGACAATCACAGGGAGGAGGAGCAAATCGAGGAGAATGAAAATCAGAGGCGTTATGTCTATGAGCTGACAGTGAGACATTGCCAAGTCTCCCTAGCAAACCCGCGGTGAGTTCATTGACCGTGTTCGGCTGAGGATGACCAATATGCAATGTGTGAAAGTTTATATATGTTTTTGTCCTTATCCTAAATGGTTCCTAAGGGCAAAGACAAAACTTCGTTGTAATAGTCTGCAAAATATGGAAAGGATCGCTCGTGTATCTGGCAAACTCAACAGATCTGTCAGCTTTCATGGATGATCATACTGCTAAAAAGGTCAAGTCCAGAGGAAAGCTCCATCAGCAGGGGAAATTGTCACACTCACGATTATTTTGTGAGGGATGTGGCCTGTGTCCTGTTATGATGTTTGATGATTCTTTGCGGGCTTGGTGAATTCAACCTGTGTCGCTCTATATTTGAACCAAAAGCCAATTAGTATGCTTGCCAGCACGTCGGTATAATCAGGGTCTCATTATATAAACCCACGGACTCGGGTAGATCCTAGTACCACGGTCAGATAGGAGCAGAATGATTGCCAATAACGACAGAAAGTTGCCGAGCATCAGCAGCGAGTCGGTGGTTTCCAACGTGTTCCGGGCCGTGTCGCAACAGGGCACGTGTAGACGCCGCCCGGCGTAAAGATCTTGCCGGCGCCATTACAAAAGTAGACATGGTTTTAGGTCTATATAAAGAGCAGGCAATGCAATACCATTTACTTCAACTTCAGTACAGCAACGAGAGCCGAACAGGTTGCGGGAAAAAAGAGGCCTCATTCGTCTTTCCATGTCTCCGGAACTATATTTTGCTGGCAGTAATCCGATGGTGTTCCTGTACATTTCCATGCTCTCATTAGCCATTCACAAAGCTATATAGATGCCAGTATGACCTTTTGCAATGAAAACGATCAGGTAGCCAAATTACGGTATTTGATGTCTTAAAGTATACGCTGGAAACTGGAAAGGACGTGCCACGGTAGGATGTTCTGCCGTTCATACAGGGCAATGTGTCTTGGTCCGATAAGGGAGGGTATCATTCAAGCAAGGGGCTGAGCTGACCAGTTGAGGAGGGTGGTCATGGGCTGCATACTAGGAGTCAAGTCTCCGGTTCCGCGCTTGAGCGTCCATGTCGTGCCACGTCTTTCCGACGATATCTAATTATTCAGCCGTAGAGTCTGACAAACTTGAAGTCTGAGTAACCGGTCAGCACTGCAAGGATAATCAAAATCCAATGTAACGGCCTTGCTTTCATAAAACCTTGGGGGGGCCCAAAGCTTTTGTAGCACAGGCTAAAGATCCTGTTGGCGTTCCAAACTAAGCAGAGTATGGTTCGGCCTTTAATCCGACCCCTGTCCACTTCTCCGTTGCCCCGGAGTTGTACACATGAAACAGAATCTGATTGGGAATCCAAAGATGAGTTCTCTATGGGTGATACAGCGGGTAGCGGAGTTAAAACCATGGGTCATGGTCTGGGGAAACCCTGCCATTGCGGCCGCGGAGGACTTGCCAAAGGATGACCCATCGGTGAATGGTAGAGGGGTGGTGTATCTGGTCAGGGATTGACCTAAAGATGAGAAGCATTTAGAGTCAGCCTGACGAGGGATCTACAGGGTAGCAAGTAGTACGGTCCATGGAGAAAGAGCTTCACCCTCACGAGGGACTGTGCGCAATAAGCTTATCGATAAGGGGCCACTAGTCCAGAAACGGCGCCCACGTAAACACCAAAACATCGATCGGGCCTCACCGTTCAGCTGGCCGTCTGTCTCTCTTCCTCTCTCTCTTGCTCCTCTTTCCCCCCTCCCTTCCAAGCACTCCATTCACTAAACCACACCCCCCCCCTAAGCTGGGCTCGTCGTCGCATCCCACGGTGACCCCCCTCCCTTTTTGCGTTACGGCGGCCCACGCTGCTGATCTTCTGTCTCTTGTTTTTGTTTTCCCCTCTTGCCATGTTTTGGTCTGCAGCTCCGTTACCCGGTCCTTAATGCTTCCATTATTGTCACTCGTTCAGCGACGGTGCGCTTGTAGCTATATTCGCCCACTCACTTTCTTGCCCCGTTGACTGTGCAGCTGCATTTGGGATCGACTTTCTGACACGTCAATTGCACCTCCTGTCATTCTCGAAGATCGGTTAGCGTTAACGCCTCAACGGTGGTAGTCGATCCACCCGCTCGCTCGTGCTCGGTCACCTCAGCCGCAATGCCCCCCGCCGCACCTCAACTCCCGACCCGATTCCCCTGCTGGTGTCGGGCAGTATATTCATGGGGAGGAGAAACGAAACGTGATCTGGGTTTTGTGGAGGGGGACCTCATAGAATGCCTGAATGCCGGAGATGGCCAGTGGTGGATGGGCCGACTGCGGAGAGATAGGCGCATGATGGGGCTATTTCCCTCCAACTTTGTCGAAGTACTCAGCGAGGATTTTGTGCCAATCACCCGATCCACGAGCCCTATGCTGCCTCCCACCTCATCTCCGATCACGAATCCTACGTCGGCCCCAAAGAAACAGAAGACGGTCTTTCGGAAGCCATTCCAGGCTCACAAAGAAGCCCTTGCACCCTCGGGGGAGCTATCTCGGAGCTCCACTGCATCATCACCAGTGATCAGCGCGATCCCGCAAACTCCACCCCGAGATGGCAGTCTTCGAAAAATGAAGCCGCTGCGTACACCTACGACCGCTGTCAAGCACCAGAGCTCCCTGACAAGGCCGCCTTCGTCACGAACAAGGCCCTTGTCCCGCGCGCTCTCCCCGCGTCCTCCACCAGAGTCGGACATCCCATTATCGTCTACGCTCCCTGGTACATACATCTCCCACTCCAGACCTCCATCGCGCGGACCTCCATCGCGTGCAGTGTCGCCCCGTCCTCCGCAAGAGTTGGATTTCCAGTTACCCTCTATCCCCCCGGTCCAAAGTGCCCCACGTCCTGGACCTATGCCCCGTGCAGCATCACCGCGTCCTCCACCAAATCTCGACTATCAGCTCCCGTCTCTACCCCCTATGCAGGATGCCGTGCATAGACCCCTATCTCGTGCGGCATCCCCTCGCCCGCCGAACGACTTTGACTTTTTGCCCCCTCAAGTCCCAAGGCACAATCACAGTATGTCTTTGCCTCAACCATCGTCGCGCGAGATCTCTCCGCTACAGCTCCAAGAGCGAGAGGAATCACCGCCCCCGCCTCCCCCTCCGCACCGAATTGCTGTTCACCGTCAACCCTCCTTCGAGACCCAAGCCCCGGCACACGTCCCCACGCGCCTGGACATGAATGATCGATTTGTCACGATGTCAAGAACACCATCACCAGCCGCCCACTCTGAAGGACAGGGGCATACACCTTCCCCCCTCAGGGATGCGATGGAAGACGTGATGACTTCATTGGAGGATATGGGGCTGTCTCGGGACACGCAGTCGCCATCCCCACAGCCGACGTTTAACAATCCGTGGTCACCGGATGCCTATGACAGCTTCCGTGAAAGCCGGCCTTTGCAGACTTCCCGTCGACCCTTGACCTCTCTGGGATTTGATGGAGACAACAAGGACTACCAGTATAATGGCAGTCAGACCCACAGAAACAGCGTTTACGCACACGATCCCTATGTGGATGGGCCCCCACAATTGAACAACTACGTGCAGAGGATGGAGAGTCGGCTGCGCCAATTGCAGGAGCAGAACCAACGGGACGCCGAGGATACGCAACCCTCCGATGACGAGGAGCCCCCACCGCCACCCCCAAGGAACGTACCCTACCATGGCCGGCATAATTCGATTCCAGCCCAGTACCCATTGGTAAGAGGACGACGATCCGGCCAAGACCTCCGCGGGGACCTACTCAACCGGACGTACACTAATAAGTCCAGCACCACCAACTCTTCCAGCGGGGTGCATAGTACGAGCACGACCCAGACTGGCAGTACCGAGAGGACCAGCCAAAGCATTATGAGCGGCCCGTCAGCCGGGGGATTCAGCGCAACAAGTGCGGGAAGTTATGCTCGAAGGGGGACTACGCCAGCCGAGAGACCAAATACGGCAGTTGACACTGTTCGCTCAAGAGGCTTTAGCGATGTCTCCCGGATAGGACGGCCTGAAACGCCATTGACCGGTGTATCTTACCACTCCAGCCATAATACCTCTCGGCAAGGGGCGTCATCTGCCATACCTTGGTCGTCAGGTGGGGGCGGTGGGGAAGAGTCTACCGCGGTGTTTGGTGGGCTTTCCACGCCGAAAGCTAAGAAGCCAGGGTTTTTCAAAAAGATCTTCGAGTCGGCGAAGACCGGCGCCGCTAATGCAAGAAGCAGCATCGCGGTGGGACAGAACGGCGGGTCCTTGTCCCCCACCAAAGGTCGAGGAATCTCACCAATCCGTGCTTTACAAAGCCGGGATTCTCCTCGTGAGCCGGCCCCCGGCAACAGCGCCATCGACTGGGTTCAAGTACGCCGTGATGTAAACCGCGCAAGCTCGCTCAGTCGGAACGAAAGGATCGAGAGGGCCGAAAGATGTCAGATGATGGATCACCCGGTGATATATGCAGTGGAGGAACTTTATGAGACGGCAGAAGGAGACGAAAGCATTGACGGTTTGCCGATCAGTGAGCCGACCAACTTTGGGACTGTGAACTTGAATCTTGTGGATAAGAGCGCTCGGTTTGTCAACAGTCTTCCCCCAATGACAAATCCGGCGAGCTTAGCGCATGGATATGTTTGTCGGCCGTATAAGAGTGATGTCCAGAGGCTGCGCGCCATCTTTACTTGGGTCAGCGAGAAGATCGCCTGGGATGACCCTGTTGAGGAGATCGGGATCGACTTGAAGCGCGTGCTCCAGACGAAGAGAGGTAGCCCGCAAGAAGTGGCCTACCTGGTCAAGGAGATGTGTGCAGCGGTTGGTCTCCACGCCGAAGCGATCAATGGATATCTCAAAAGCCCCGGAGAGATCTTTGACCTGGACGGTCTTTCTCAAGCAAACCATTGGTGGAACTCGGTGCTCGTTGATGGCGAATGGCGTATCATGGACTGTTCACTGGCCAGCCCTACCAACCCGCGAAGGACCCAATTCGTCACCAACAATACGTCAGTTGCCGAAAGCTGGTATTTCCTTGCACGACCATTGGAGATCTGCTATACACATGTTCCTCTTGCTCCGGAGGAGCAGCACATCTGCCCGCCAATCCCCCCTGACGTTCTGCTCGCACTCCCAGCGGTGTGTCCGCCATATTTCAAACTCAATATGCAGTTCCCTGAATACGACACGAGTATAATCCGGATTGATGGCTTGGAAGTTATGCAAATCCGGCTCCTGGTGCCCCCTGACGTGGAATGCGCCGCTGAGGTGGAAGCTCCAGGGTTCGCCCGTGACGCAGACGGCGACTTCTTTGAGAGCGGCGAAATCGTGCGCAAGCGCGCGCTGGTGCAGCCTGACTGGGTCACTGGACAGAAACGGATCACGGTGAAAGCCGTTCTACCGGGCGATGAGGGCCAGGGCACGGTCAAAGTGTACGCCGGCAAGAGGGGACTGATGCACTCCAGCCGCGACATCCCCCATCCGCTGGCTCTCTCCTTGCCCATTCTCCACAGCAACGACAACCCACCGTACGATTTCGTGCTGCGCCATCCGACTCCCCATGCTCAGCGGCACGATCTCTACATTATGCAGCCGCAGTGTTCCAAGCTGGCTGTCAACAACACCTTCGTTTTTGCCGTCCGCCAGCATCCGGCCTCGCTCACCTTTTCGTCCGGCAGTAACGAAGCTGGCGTCAGCGGGCGTGTCTCCCCGTCTGTCTTCACCCGGCCTGCCAGTGCGCTGAGTATGGTCTCCAGTTCCGCGGGCGGATCGTCGGTTTCGGGTGTCTCGAATGAGTTTTCTGCGTCGACCTCGGCCATCTCGTCCGCTCGGTCAATGTCTGGCCGCGAGAAGCCGGCGAAGTTAGCGATCCAGTCACCATCGGGCAAGATCTTGCGTCTGACGCGAAAGCCCGAACACATGCTCAGCCCCAACACGGGCGGCCACGCTTTCACCGATGCGCCAGGGGATGGCAGCGTGTGGGAAACGGTGATCAAGATCGGCGAGCGCGGCACGTGGCGCGGTCTTGTGCTGGCAGACCGGGTTGCGCGCTGGTGTGTGTTCTGCGAATGGGAGTGTTACTAGCACCATCGCACGAGTCCATGCCTGTAATCTTAATCTTAACCTTTATTTGTGATTCTTCGAGGTCTTCTCTTACCTATGCATTGCATCGGTTGGGTCTTGCATTACCCCTGCCACTGTACACCGCTACTTCATCCCAAGGACCAGCAGGACGCGATCTACTTCATCTACCTACCACTACTATCTATCATATATGGCGTTCCGGAACAACAAACCATGAGAGGCGCTGGTGTTGTGCTTCTTCTTCTTCTTCTTCTGTTTTTTCTTCTCTTTTCTTTTTTTTTTTCTTTCTTCTTTTCCTTCGTCAACCCCTTCCGAGTTATGTCCCTCATGCATCATGTTTCTTCTTCTGAGTAACGGACATCATGTACGTGATGATATCTTGATATCTTTGGATACGATCCGCAAACCGAACTACTACCTAGACGCATACTAGACTGGGTGGAGATCTTTTTGCTTCTCTTCTATTTATTTCTGTGGGTGTGTGTGTGTGTGTGTCTGTGGTTCTTGGGCACCCATGATGATCATCATCTATCTATCTATTCTATTTTATCTTATCCAACCAATTGATCAACCGTTGGATCTGTATTCTAGCAATGCAATTATGCAAGCTAATACTACTATTAACTTACTTACCTTGTCGTATGGTGCTTTGTTGTTGGTTCTGGTTGGTTTGGCTTCTATGCTATGTAGTGCTAGTGCTATTTACTTGCAATGTATATCTACTGGTCTGTATATAGATGGTGGGATTGAGGGGGAGATCAAAGCGACCCCACTGCTTCCCTAATCAACGGGGCCACCTGTTTCCGACTCTTCGTGACGTTTCCCTGTACCCAGATCCACTTTCTCATCGTCTTATCTTCGCATTCGGCATCCCCTAACTCACCTCCCTCTTCCCCGTCTAACACCTTCCACTCTTCCAGCCCCAATTCCGCTCCCGCCCTCTCGATAAAGGCTTCTACACCACGTACTCCCGTGCCCTCTTTCGCACAGACCAACAACTCACGACAGAATCGTCCCTCCGATCCCGTCGTAAATGCCGTCACGACCATAACGATCTGCAACTCCTTCTGCTTAGCAAACTCCCCCAACGCATGGAGAAACGCCTCTGCAGTTTCCGCTTTCCGAACCACCCACGGCAACGATCTCACCATGGAGCAGATTCCAATCTCCACTTTCTCCTCTTGGGAATTACTTCCCGGTGACTCTGTCCACTGCTTATAATCCCTATCCAACACCTCCTCAACCGTAAGTAAATCAAGACTATTCCGTTTCGCTGTGTTAATCTCCTCGTAGAAGGAATTGTGATCCCATGGTTTCTCGGTATCACCATAAGGGATGGAGTTAATTTTCGAGCGCAGGAAACTATACGCTAGTGTATCCGAGTCAGTGACTTTTTCTTTCGCCGTGAAGTTGCTTGTGTCGATGAGGATGGGGCTCATGGCTAGTTTAGCGAGTTGGTGTTCTGCGGGACTAGGGGCGGGGGTGGTGCGGCGCCAGCGGTCCATTTTGTCGAGCATGTTGACGACTAGTGAGGTACAGGAGCCGGAGGGTTGAAGAAGGAAGGGTTGGTCTGGGTCTGTGATAGGGCCGAGGAAGTCTTCATTGACGTGGTGGTCGATGCAGCCGACGACGGTGAAGGTGATGTTCGGAAGGGAGGAGAGGGAGCCTTGTCCGCGGGGGTGGTCGGGGGAGCGAATGGGGAGAGCGTTCCAGTCAACGAGGACTGCATCGGCGGAGATGAGGGTGTCAGGACTGTTGGGGAGCTGTTCGAGGTGGGAGACGAAGTCTGCGACGGTGAGGAGGTGGTCGTGTAGGAGGGAACCGGCGGATTCAGGCGTATCGGCCCATGTTTGATCGTCCGGGGCTGGGGGGTGGGTGGAGAGCCAGAGGGATTTGACGAACTCGGGACGTAGACGGCGTAGTTCGGGGCCAGCGCGAACGGAGGGAAGGTTGATTAGGGGGACATGAGGGCGGGGATGGGCGAAGGAAGCGTAGACAATGGCGGAGATGATCGAGTCCAGGTCGGCGGAGGGGTTGCCGATGACGTAGATAGGGGCTTCAGCACGCGAGAGCCGGCCGGCCAGGAAGCGGTGATGGGTCTGAAGGGCCTTGGCGAGGAATTGAAAGAGACTGTGTTCGACGGGCATGGTGGGTGCTTGGGGAGAGAGGGGGGAGGGCAAGAAAAGCTTAGTTGGAGAAGATGAGGGGAAGATTGATGCGGATGTTGATGTTATTCCCGACGCAAATCCACCGCGGAGAGGCAGAATCTCACCGCCAGGGATGCTTTTCCTCATTTCAATAGTCGATCCGGAGTAGACAGATTATTTGATAACTTCGATCTTGAAAGTTGCTCTGTTTGACTAAAAGACAGCAAATCAATCTGTTGCTGTCCTAAAAACGAGGAACATTGTTAAAATAGTACTAGTATAGTAGTATAGTACTATGGTACTCTTAGTTGTCCACATATAGGCCCGGCTGCAGCAGTATATATTGACGCTGGGCGCCTCTCACAGCTCTTCTTTCCCCTGCATTTTCTCTTGAATTTCCATTTACAGCATTACAGCTGATACAACAGTGTGTGGACTGCTCTTTTTTGAACTGTGGCGGATGATGCTAAAGCCACCACACTTTTGTTCTTTGTTGCATCGCCCTATCTGCGTAAGATTGACTGGTGGTGTTGGGGCTTATGTGAACTTGAGTCGCACATTCCACACGACTATACATGTGAAAGAGCCGGTGACGAGGGATTTAAGTCGGTCTATCCAATTTGCTTGACTTCCTTCGACTATTTGCTCAGTGACTAATAGATTGCAGAGCTTGATACAGGTGACCAAGACGACCTGTTCAAATATACCTCTGGCCGGTGGTTGATAGATGAGCAGCATCAACTAGAGCAGCGTTTTGTGAAGTTCAATGTCGAGAAGCTTTGTTCTCAAGCTGCTTCTCTCTTTGGCCCGGGGACAAAATGCGTGCGCATTGTCAAGATGGAGGGAAGCTTCAATAAGGCTTTCCTCCTTACTATGGATGACGGCAATGAAGTTATAGCAAAGATCCCTTGTCCAAATTCCGGGACGCCATTATTGACCACAGCGTCTGAAGTCGCGACGCTAAAGTTCTGTATGTTCTCAAGGGGCTCTGTCAGTCCTAGAATGCTAATACTCTTGTCTCTAGTGCAAACTCGTCTATCAATTCGAGTCCCAGAGGTATATGCTTGGAACTCAGACCCGACAAATCCAATAGGTGCGGAATATATAATCATGGAAAAGATCCATGGGGTCGCGCTTGCACAAAGATGGGAGACAATGAATACCTTGGAACGATATAAAATTATCGACAAAAATCGTGGAGATGGAAAAGGAGCTTGAGAACTTAAAATTACCAGCATACGAAAGTCTCTTTCTACAGGATTCCTTGCCATCTGAATATCGGCATTACCATCTCCCGCCAGAATTGGATTCGACTGGGTTATTTTGCATTGGGCCATCCTGCAGCCGAGCTTATATGACCTCCAATGGTATCTCGCAGTCAGATGTTGGACCATGTGAGTTTCGTGAAATCGTTTCGCTTATCACTCTTTCTGACACCTTTAAGGGACTTCGATTTTGGACTCTGCGCTCCCTATACCACGCCGAGAACTAGCCGTCATTGCAAACGACAGAGATGAAGTGCAGCATCATCTGACACAATTCAGTGATAATCAGTCGGTCGACGAGTATCGTGATCTCTTACAGAAGGTGCTTCTAATTATACCGGCTCTATCACACAATCCACGCGTGCTAGAAGTAGCAGGCTCGGCTATTTGGCATACTGACTTGCATCTTGGAAATATCTATGTCTCCTCAGATGATCCGACCAAAATCGAGGGTGTGATTGATTGGCAGTCAGCCCAGGCTGCTCCTCTATTTATACAGGCACAGTTTCCCGAATTTCTCCGACCACCAAAAGGCTACAGTCCAGGGACTGAAGTCCCTACACTACCAGATAATTTTGACGAGCTAGATCCCGATGAAAAGGAAAGGGCTACACAAGAACAGACATTGGCAGCCCAGTCGAAGTACTATGAGATGTCTTGCCTTGTATACAACAAGTCTGTCTATGATGCAATGAAGCTGGATCGACAACTGTGGGAGCCCTTTACTTGTTGTCAGCTTTTCTCAAATGGTTCCATGGTTCCACTGCGAAACTCCTTGATACGAATTTCTCAAGACTGGAAACAACTTGGGCTCCCGGGCAGCTGTCCCTTTGAGTTTACCGAAGAAGACCTTGGAAGGCATAGCGATCAGGTCCAACATTACCAAGACCATGTGTACTTGTGGGATCTTGTGAAGGGCCAGCTTCGTACTGACGACACCGGCTGGGTTCCCACCGAGCAATGGGAAACGACCAACAAGGTGAACGAATAGCTTTTCGATATGTATCTGAAGGCCATGAGCGAAGAGGTGCCACCGGAAGTCGCCGCAAAACGGTGGCCCTTTCCACCGAGGGAGGCCTGAGTCATCCTCTCGATATTCCTCTTTGCCTTTTCAATGAACCATTGTACGACAAGCCTTCTGATCGCTTATCCAAGCGCTCATCCATGTAGGCGGTCAAGTTTCGTCCTCGGAAATCCTTTGGAAAAGTCATGAATACCGTTACAGTTCTGCTCTTGATAAGCTCTTCAATCCCCATATTGATGCCTCCAGTGCCATGGTTAGTGATTGAATAGCTTCATGTATACAGTCTAAATGTTGATTACGTTATCAGGGAGCATATGAGAATCGACCAATCACTTCATTCTCTGCTCGATGCCATAAACGTGCAGACACCAGGCTGATACTGAGGGAGACGACAACTAAAGAGATAATAGACAATTGATATATTCACAGAGTAACTGCTGACTGCAAGTTACTCTTCAGCTCGGGTAAATCCACCAACCCTCCCCGCATTCCCCCACATCCAGTACTTACTAACGTGACTAGTACTCCGCGCTCATCTCCAACGACATCTAACGTCACCACCGCTGACTACACCTCATACTCCTCAAAACCTCTCCCCCATAACCTGAACATTATCCATAAAATCCACGTGCACCAAAATGATCCCCCTCCCCTCCCCCTTCTCCCAAATCCCCCGGTACCCCCTCCTCTACCCAACCCCATCCCCCATCCACCCCTCCCAGCCCTAACCACCCTCCTCACCCGCCCCAACCCCAACCCCAAGCATCCCCCCACCAATCCCCCCTCATAACCATCTACACCAAACGCGAGGACCAATCCAGCCCCTTCGCCTCATCCGGCAACAAATACCGCAAACTAGAATACCTCATCCCGGACATTCTCTCCTCAGTCCCCAAATACGGGACTCTAGCTCCCGGCCCTCACCACGGCACCCTCACCCACCCCCCAAACCCACCACCAGCAAAAAAGACAACAACGCTAGTCACCGAAGGCGCCCTCCAAAGCAACCACACCATCCAAGTAACCAGCATCGCCAACCACTTCCATCTGGAATCAGTAATCATCCTCCACAAAGCCACCGGCGGCGGATTGAATGCCTCCACCAACAAAGAAGCCTTTACTGAGACAGGTAATGTCCAGATAGCGAGGTTACTAGGTGCGGATATCAGGGTTCTTGATTCTTCGACTGTATCATCAAAATATACATCTACAGATCCAACGACTGCCACCGAAAATGATACCGAAGACGGGGTCGCCTCCATCCTAAGCACCCTGCAAACCCATCACCAAAAATCCACATACTGGATTCCCTCAGGGGCAAGTCTCCACCCGCTCGGTGGACTGGGGTACGCGCGATGCGCATTTGAAATTGCCTTTCAGGAAAAAACTCACGCCCACACCCACCTCAATCCAAGTCCCAAGTTACGATCCCGATTCGACTACATCTTCGTGGCCTGCGGAAGCGGAAGTACCCTTGGCGGGCTCATCGCGGGGATGAAACTCCTCCAGAAAGAGGAAGAACACCAGCACCAGAACAACCCCCCCCGAAAAATCATCGGAATCATGACCTCCCCCACCCAAAACCGTGCATATCACGAGGACCGCGTACTAGGGTTTGCGCGTCAAGCAGCGGGGTTAATCGGGTTAGATGGGGAACGGGATATCGGGATGGAGGATGTATGTGTGGATGAGCGGTTTGCGGGGATGGCGTATGGGGAGTTGGATGGGGAGACGAGGGAGGTGTTGGGGGAGATGGCGAGGGAGGAGGCGGTGTTGTTGGATCCGGTGTATACGGGGAAGGTGGTGAGGGGGATGAGACAATGGGTGAGGGAGGGGGAGATTGCGCGGGATTGGGTGGCTAGGGGGGGAGGGATTGGGGAGGAGGTGAATGTGTTGTTTATACATACTGGGGGGCAGACGGCGCTGAGTGCGTATGCGGATGTGGTGTAGTTGATTTGGGGTTTTTGTATATAAAGGCAAGGCGTATGACAATGGTTTTTTTTATTAACCTCAACCCGCAACGCGGCTGCGGGGAAAATACGATAGAGAAAGAAAGCAAGACAGCAGTGTACATCGGCCGGAGGAACGGAAGCCACCCACGGAAAAGACAGGAAGCGAAAGAAGAATCGAAGAAAACACCACGCAATGTTTTCGTACACCCATCTCACAAAGGAAAGACGCAAACACAGATAAAACAAAACAATCCTACAAAGCAAACAACTCATCGCAAAGCAGCGGACATCCAGTACAACACCATAACGATCCAGGAACCACACAAAGCCACCAGCAAGTCTTGGAACGCCGCAGAATGCCGTGTCATGCAACGTAAACAGGTCAATAGAAAGAGAAGACGATTTGCGAGAGAAATTCCGGACGGCCCACAGAACCCACAACATGGTCACAGTCCAGTTAGTCGAGAAGAGTAGTAGTAAATGCTAGCGAAATAGGGCATATTTTCAACGTGGAACCCGGTCAAAGCTCATCGGCACGCTCTTCAGCGTCCGCGTGCCCGTTAACATCCCCGTTGGTATTCGCCCCCGACAGCCCGTCCGAATCATCATCCCCGTTGCTCACCTCGAGAACCTCGAGCGCCTCGTTGGCGTGCGTGTTCTCCATGAGCTCTGGTTCTGGCTCGGGCTCCGGATCGGGCTCTTGATCCTGATTGGTCAGGTCGGCAAACACATCATCGAGATTCTGACGCGGACTGCTGTCGAAGGGATCCCGGCTGTCCACATCCACGACGGAAGGCCCGTCATGAGGGTCACGGTTGTATCGGGGAGAGCTGAAGAGAGACGTGTCCAGTCCTTGATGCGGCAGGGGCGGAGAACGCGGAGGGAACGATGGCGAATTGGCCGAAACATGAGGGAGGAAAGCCGAGGAGCCGGGAGCAAAGGCCGGAGTAGGGTCATTGGCAGGAAGCGAGTAATTGGCGGAGAATGGATAGGGCGGGTTGGGCGCCTCGGTCATGGGCGTCAGCGTAGGACCACTGCGGCTGGAATCCGAGTTGGAGCCATCACCCGGAGCATGGAGGATCGAAGGCCGACCCGTCTGGATTTCGATCGACTTGCGCTTGGAGAAACTGGGCTGCTTGGTGCGCAGGTGCGGCGGCAGATCTTCCGGCCGCTCGACGCCCAGCTGAGCCATGATCTTCTGCTGCTTGGTCGGCCGGGGTTTCCGAGTGGAAAGTGACTGCTCCAAGATCGGCGGAGGTTCGGGGGCCACCGGCGCCCATTTGTGGATCTCTTGCCGGAAAAAGTTGGTTTCGTAGGCCAGCAGAACCTCGGCTCCCTCGATCTTGCGCAGATAGAAGATCAACGTGGGGACCTCCTCCGTGGTGGTGCACGCCGCATTGGTGAAGCTCTGCAGAAAGTCCCGGAAGGTCGTTGCCTGGTTGATGATGCTGTCCAGGATCTCCTCTTCGTCAGGCTGGAAAGGCAGCCCGGCAATCTCGGCCTGCCACTCCAGGAGATCCTCCAGCTTGGGACGAGCGGCATCGCGGGGAATCTTTTGGCGCCAGTCACAGATGGGGCAGGTATACTTGTCGAACTCCTTGACCTTGCCCCGTGCAATCTTCAGGCATTTCCCGTGGTACCTGCACACGCCCGGGGTCAGCGGAAAATGCCCTCATGTCCCAAGACGAGAGAATCAGCCAGACTTACCATTCATGACAAACCTCGCACTCGATCATCATGCCAGCCTCCGAGTGTCTGCAGATGCAAAAGACATCCCGTTTCCGCGACTTGCCACCACCCCACATACTCGGCGTACTGGTGGGCTCCAGCAGCCCGTCGGGGGTGTTGTCTCGCGACGCAGGTTCCACGGGCGGTCGACAGCGATCCTCCAGGTCGAAGCAGTAGGAATTGCGCTTCTCGACATACTCCATATGTGACTTGAGAATGTGCAGCGGGGCATTGGCCTTGCCAAACAGTTTCTTGCCCTTGCGCATCCAATCCTCATGGCGCTTCTGCTCCCGCTCCAGGTCAATCGCCCCCGTCGGCCGGCTGTTCAACTCCTCCAGGGAATCCATGAGGTCCCGGACTTCCTTGTACTTGGGGCGCTTGCGTAAATCCGGCTCCCGGCTCCGGTCATACAGGCTCTGGATTCTCCGCTGGGCTTCGCGTTGTTTGGTCAATATCGCATCTACGGCAGCCAGGGTGTCGGGGGAAACCGGGAAACGGGTTGCCTGGGCAGAGAGGGCCTCCAGTTGTTGGTAGTGAACGGCTTCTACGGACATCAACTCCTTGGCTTTTGCTTCCCAGGCCTCACCGTGCCGACAGAGATCCTTGAAGTGGAGCAGGTGGTCGCTGGTGTCCGATAGTCCGAGTTGCTCGCCGGCCTGGATGAGCTCCTGGCAGTCCTTCAGCGTCAGATACTGCTCCCGTTTGCGACGCGCTTCGTCGTTCCATTTCATTTGTCGAAGCATATGCTCAAGTCTCTCCACATCGGGGATCTCCACGTTGAAATTGCGAGCGGATTCCACTAGTTCCTCGACTTCCTGGACCGATCGGATATTGGGGTTCATGAGGGCAACGCTAACGTCCTGGTGGAATTTCTCGATCTCGCGGGTCTTCTCTTCCAGAGCCGCCATCTGTGGACAGTCGAACGACAGTTTATCAGCCTCTGCAAGAAGGGCGTAGATGTTTTCTACTCTGCGAACTTCACGATCACGTTCTTCCAGCTGCGCAGCCTTGGAAGTCCCCTTGCGCCACGCCTTCTCGTTCTTCCTCCGGTTCTGCTGCTTCCGGGTAATGTAATTGGTTGCTTCTTCAACCCATTTATCGCAGCGCTGGACGAAGGCTGCGAGATCTTGGAGACCAGGCAAATGGTATGGGATTTTCTCACCTTCATTAAGTAGGTTATGAAGGACCTTCAACTGGGGCTTCGGCTCGTCTTCCAGAATTTTGTCGAGCTTTTCTCCCCAAGCCTCCGGAATCCTGGCGCGTTCCTGGACCTTCAAAACCAAAGCCCTTAAGGCATCATCGCTCATTCGGTAACGCAGTGTGTGGTCCGGACCAAGTAACCTTTGTGTTAGTGGTTCGCCACAGCAATCATACGTTTCCACGTGTGGCAGGCACACTGTCTTCCCAGTCTTGTGGCATCGGAACTGCGCTAGATAAGTATAGGCCTTGCAGAACTGGCACTGATAATCATCCTCGGGCAGGTCTTCTTCCTCAACCAAAAACTTGAGCTGGCAGTCACCGGTCGCCGCCGGATCTTCAGAATAGAGGGTGCAGTTGTGCGGAGCGATTTCACGATGCCGGGCTGCGAACGTAGCTCGTTCGCCCGTTTCCCGGGTACAGGTGCGTTGGAGGGCGGGCGCCAACCATTTGGCCGTCGTGATCGAAGAATCACGGGCCGCGGCCGTCAGGAGCAGTTCGTCATGGGCAAAACAGGGGTGTCGGCGGAAGTCTTGGAGGCGCTGCACACCCGTTGCACCCCAGGGTTCCCAGTCCGCCGGCGCGAAGTTGACAGCCTCGTTGAAGTTGAAGCCATGGTTGAATCCGGCGTGATACGCCTGAGGGAAGGTGATCACAAATTGACCGGCCCGCTGATCAAGCGCATACACCCGAACGCCAGCCTTTCTCAACTGATCCGGTGGCATCAATGTGACCAGTTGGAAGAGGAGGTCGGGCTGGCCCTCAAACAGCTCGGGCACTGCCTGTCGCATGGCTTCTTCAAACGCCTCTGCATCGGCCCCCGGAATTCCGTACCAGGTCTTGGTGGCACCAAAATGTTGGTAATTGGCTGAGTACGCGTAATGGTCTTCGTTGTGCCAGCAGAAGGTCGAGAAGCACATGCCGACATAAACCCAGGGAACCGTCATGCCGGAAATGTCAGACTTGATATGACGAAACAATGAGTCCCCGTGGAATGGCATCACGTTCAAGTTCCAAGGATCGACTGAGTATGGGTCCAATGGATTCCGCTCAATGGTGGGAAAGCCACTGCCATGGGTGGTTGAATGGATGTCCGCGCCGTACTCGACCTCGACTGTTTCCGTCAAGCTCTCCACGAGCCGCCAAAACTCCCGTTCGACATCATCTTCGGACTCGCGACGGTGAGTATTGAGCACGGGGTCAAAAGGCATTTTGGAGGCGAAGTAGCTTTTCTTGAAGTTGTTCGCTTTCTCCTGGAACTGTTTGAGCGAGTACACCCCGCCCTCCTCGAAACCAAACTCGCCGGTGCCGACCAGGCACTTGGGGCAATGCCAATCGTACTCCGGGACAGTAGACAGCGGTGGGTCGAGACAAGATTTGTGGTACCCATGATCACAGCTATCGCACACTAGAATGGACGATCGGTCTTCCGATTTGCCACAAATTTCGCATTTCTAGCCTAGGTTAGCAGTTGGTAGCGACCACAGGTAGAGTGAAAGCCTACATCACCAGTCTTCCGGTTGTCACTTTTGCGTTGTCGAGGTGGAGCGGGGCGGAGAAGGCTCATGTGGGAGCCCGAGACGGTGGGCAAAGGCGCATCTAGGCGAATGGGTTAGATAGCAGATATAAATCCTCAATTGCAAAAATACACATACCTTTCCGAAGCCGCTTGCTCCGTCGACCATTGGCATCGACTTCCCCATTCTCGGTGTGTGATCCACTGTCGTGGCTGATCGTGCGCTTCATTGGCTGACCCGCATGGCCATTGGACGTGACGTTCGGATTGACCGGTTGTTCGGTGACACTCTTTGGGGTGAGAGAGCCATTGTCTACTTCCCGCTTCACAGGAGGGGCGCTATTCACGGCCACAAAAGACGGGGACCGGTTGACGGCGGTGAACGCACTAGAGCCGGCATTAACCGGAGTGAATCCGGAGGCAATCGGTCGAGGGGGTGTAGGCTCGACGGGAGGCGTGGGCTTCTCCGGAGTTGCATCCACCTCCATCGCCGTAGTCTGAGGAGCAACTGGATTGCTTAATGCTGGCTGAGGCGTCGAGGACGGAGTATTGATGTCAAGCGTCACGGGCTTTTTGGGCATGGGAGACTGGTTCGGGGAAGGTGTATAGGGACCACCATGCTCCAACTCCAGTTGTTGCTGAACCCCGGGCTTGGCCACTCGAAGATACTCTTCGTATGGTTGCAGCCATCTTTGGTAGGAGTTCTTAAGCGACGTTGAGAGGGAGGACATGATTTTGCCGCTGTAGCCCAAGTCGCGTCCAATCTCTGCCCATTTCTTCATCTTGCAGACTTGATCAAAACCACCGCGAACCTCGACGGCCTTCTTCAATTTATAGAGGTCCAGAGGACGCTTGTCGACGCTCGGAAATCGGTTGAGGTTGGTACCATGTTGCTTGTGAAACTTGGCCAACTGATCGAGATAGTTCAAGTTTGCACGAGTTCCTGAGTCCGCGTCAGAACTGGGCTGCGGAGCTCCACCGGCAGCTTGCTTGGCTGAGCGCGGGGGCATACCTCCTTCAACCGAGTTGAGCTCCTGTCGACGGGTTTTGAAATGGAATCGCTGGAAAACGTATGGTTAGCCCCATCAGAACCCCGGGAGAGATTCTAGACTCCGCCACCGCGACTCTTGCTTGATTCACAGCACACGAAAGAGTTTACAAAACGGCAGACCGCATACCTCAGTGTCTATAGCAAACGGTGGTTGCCAATTCTCAGGAGGAATGATCCTGCAAATTCCATATTTCTTGCCCTCCGGCGCAATCTTGCGGATGTATGCCTCCGGGTCTCTAAACTCCTCCTCAGTCGGACGAAAGGTAGGTGCCTCTTGTAAACCATGAGGACGGACTCGTTTGCTCGGTTCTCGAGGGGCATTGGGCTGTCCTCGTCGTTCGACCGTAGATAAATCGAGGGGGGTGGATCTGCGAGCGCTCAAGGGAACATTGTGAGAATGCGATGGGTGAGTGCTGGCCGATCGGGTAGGCTGGCGGCTTGTGGAAGGCTGCAGGCCTGTAGAGGAGCCTCCCGTTGAGGCCGGAGCCACCATCTCTAAAGGCGACGAGGGAATGGAGACGAGAGAGAATTTGCGCGTGGTCTATCGCGGACGGAAGGGGGCCAGCATCCGATGCGAAAAACACATGGAGGAAGGCCAGAGAAACCGAGGCAGTGGGCGGAAGGTTGCAAGCTGATGGTAGGCGCCTAGCGAGGGTCGATAAAGGGAGAGAGAGGCAGGGCCGAAGGAGAAAGAGGGAGGGAGGGAGATAGGCGAGGGGAGGTGAATTGATGATAGAGGGCAGCGAGCAGATGTCCAAAGGAAGGCCGAGATGAACCCGGGAGGGTTAGTGTGGAGAATCTCGGAACAGGAACAAGGATCAAGTCAGTAACGTGCGGACCCCAAGGAGCAGAAGTAAGTCAGCAGTGTGGTGGGAAAAGAATAAGGATAAGAATTTCGGTGATTAGTCCCGTCGCAGGGGCGTTCAGTAGTTGGAGGTTAGTAGAATGGGGGTCGAGATTTAGCAGCCGTAACGATTGGCCCAATTGACCGTAGCCGGAGTAGGTAGTAGTAGTTCGTACGTAGCCTGGGCTTTGCACGGTTGGGTTGGCTTCCGGTAAGGAATCCCACTAGGAGAGTACGTAGTGGTAACTAGATAGATAGTACCACTATCGACTCCCGTCCGTCAGATGAAGTCTGGACTGGACTGGACTGGACTGGGGGGGTGTGGGAGAAGAAGGGAAAAGTGGATCGAGAGCTGAAGAAACAATCAGATCCCGAGTTCATCAAAAAGGGACAAGAAGATGACTGACTGGGAGGAAAGACCAAAGGGGGCAAAAAAGAAAATTAGAAAAAAAAGGGAAAAAAAGAAAACCAGGGAAAAAGCAAGAGGACAAAACAACAGTCCCAGTGCCAGTCCTAGTACTATCTAGTCTACTGGGAAGAAGCAGACGCCGAGGGACCGGAGAAGAGAGATGATTTGCACCTGGCTTTCATGGCCTCAGGCCTGGTAGCGAATGAACCCTGAAGCGGTAATCCCAGTAAGCTCCAGTTACCGTACCGCCGTATGGAAATTCCCGTCGCCCGCAAACGGTGATGTAACGACTCGACTTGACGGCCTCGGCGAAGAAGAATCTAAACCTTCCTAGTATTTCCTAGTGGTTCCCAGCCCTTCCATATCGTAAATCCAATACCTGTCATAACGACCAGATCATGAGGGCTCGAGGCATAGTGGGATATGGAGACCTTTTGGTACGTGCATGCTGGAGTAGGTTATCCCATGGCACGTTTATTTGTCTTCTACGGAGTAGCATACTGGGAAAGCTCTACTGCCACCAGTGTTCTGCTATCTAGATACATGATATATGTCCATCCTTGAAAGTAAAAGGAATTCTAAGTAGAGAAGAAAAAGAAAAGGTTCATAAACGGAAAAATAAAAAAAGAATTTCAAGGAAAAGCGTAAACAGCGGAAGAAGTTCAGTTTACCCCGGGGCAAAGGTACAAAAGCTCCTTTAGATGGAAGCCCTCCAGGAAGAGCGTATGGCGGGGACGTACGGGGACGGTAATTTATGACCGGATCATCCATGACCTTACAACAGGGGACGGAGTGGCCGGTTGCTTAGCTCAACCATATCAGGCTTTATCCTCACGTCGTGAGACATCTTGCCCGCAACAGACCTTTCCCCTCCGCCGGCACTTGCCTCGATTGATACTAGGGGGGTACAATGATGTCCTCAGAGAGCAGCCGGAGAAATATACTGAAACTTCTGCCAAGTCTTTGCCTTCCGAATGGGTGTTGGGGAGGTGTCGGAAGGAGTCAGGTATGATACACATTCTTGAGTGACACGTCAACCGTGGTCCGCAACCGACCACGAAATATCTAAGGTAGTAAGACTCAAGGACACATGAACACATAACCTAGCAATCCTAGGTCTTCCGTAGGGTACGGAGTCGGCAAGTACTGCCCTCTGCCCATAGTAATCATAGCCCTGGAATGGAAATGGCTCCCGGCGTCCTGACTGGCCTATAGCCTAGGTAATCATGCAATGCTCACTTCGCTAGCCCAATAATGCCCATTTTAGATCACATGCGCCCACCATCTTACGGGTCGAGCTTTTCCGGACTTCGGGGACCCAGCCCGTACGGTCCGCTGGAATGCGGGTGAGATGGGATGGGATGGGATGGGATGGACCCCCCGATTGTATCGTTGCCGTCGTAAATGCGTTTGTTGTGGTCATCCTGCCGAACAGAGGCAGATGTCAAGCATGATTGTCTAATCAGCCGGGTGCAAAGTAGCACTACAGCTCGACAGAAGTACTGCAGATGACGCTGCAGCTGATTGACGTTCGACATCCATCCCTCTAGAATTTCTAGATTCGGTTTTCCTTTTTCCTTGTACTTTTCTTTTTGTGCCTCTGGGTTGTCCGCTTTGCTCCGATGCCGTGTCATGCAATGTCCCAATGGGGTTATTGATGGTAACATCCTGAGAGCCCCTTCATTACTTATTGCTGGCCATCATTGCCATGCTTGGTTGAGCCTCAGTCCATGTCGGCCGCTGCCCCAGGCAGAAGAGCTGCAGTAGCAAATTAACGTGGTTCGACAAGCCGATTCCAGTATGATGGAGAGCAGAAAGTTCTGAAGTGTTCTGCAGGTGCTTGGAGGAAAGGAATAAGCGATGTAAATTTCAATTCGTGGGTGTAACTGGCAACCCAACTAGAAGGGGAAGAGCTCAGTGGTCGGACATCATGTGACCCGTGCTATTCTTGCTGGAGCAACAGCGATCGACTGTATCGGCGTAGATCTTGAACGCCAACCTCAGATCGCAAACATTGCCATATTGTGGCGCGGTTCTCGCATAAGCGCTCGGTTGATCCAGATATACCAGCCTTATCCGGATGTATGAAGCAGTAAGCACATTGATTCGGAGTGTCTAAGATTTGATCATCGCGGATCTAGGAGAGAGACCTGTTTGTTTGCCTGTCACGATGGATGATGCGGAAGTTGACCATACTAAACCAATACCCGCCTTCTACTGCTGCTATCTGCTGCGCTCAACCAAACAGCGCACTTCACTGTACATCGGTTCCACCCCACACCCTGCCAGGAGACTTGCACAACACAATGGTGACTCTAAAGGTGGCGCCCGCAAAACAGCAAAGGATGACAAGAGACCGTGGGAAATGGTCTTGCTCGTGGAGGGCTTCACGAGTCGTGTTGCTGCGTTGCAATTTGAGTAAGCAAACATACTTGCTCTTACATGTCGCATTTGCGCATCTTTTCTATGATACTAGATATCTAATGGATTGTAGATGGGCATGGCAGAATCCAAGAATGTCTTCGCAGCACCCAGCAAATCGCCACCAGCTCGAACTAGGGCCAGGCGGCGAGACTCAAGCTACATCAGGGACTCAGCCCAGCGCGGAGACGGGCAAAGCTAAGCACCGAGGTCGTGGTTCGCGGAGATCGCTCAAGGCCCACATAGAAGACTTGCATCTTTTCCTACGTTCCACCTATTTCTCGAAATGGCCTCTGAAGGTGCGCTTTTTCAACGCAGACGTATACCAGTTGTGGATAACTTGGTGTGATCGCGTGGATGGCTTGCTTCCCGACCATGTCCGAATCATCTTAGATGGGGATTGTCCTAATGACCACCTCCCATGTAAAGATGACTCGAGGGTGCAACACGTTGACCAGATTAAGGCCGACTACAGCAATATCCACGATTATTTAGAGAAGTCGCATTTCTTACTGGACGATCCCACCGACTTGCGTTGCAAAGTATGCCAAGCAACAATCATTCCAAGCGAAGAATTGGCAGTGGTTTGCCCCCAGACCAACTGCCACTGCATCAGCCATCTATTGTGTCTATCAACCAGGTTTCTAGATAGCGCCAAGGAGCCAGACCAGCTAGTTCCAATTGACGGAAATTGTCCTCTATGTGATAACCTCATACAATGGTCAACAATGATGCAAGAACTGAGCCTCAGAAATCGTGGACGCAACGAGGTTCAGACGGTCTTGCAAAAGGCCAAAAAGTCCCGTGGAAGGACGCCTGGCGCTATCCATGTAACGAGCGCTGCTGACAAAGGAGCCAATGCTATGGGAGAACCAGGCAGCAGAGCTGAATGGGTTGAGAGTTCGACGGGCGGGTCCAGCGACAGTTTCGATGTGAACTGTCGTGATGACGCTAGTTTGGACGAAAACTGGACCGAGACCTTGGATTTCGATATAGAGCCCTGCATCTTGGACCACTCCAGGACCCATAACACAGGTACATCTAGAATTGAGATCGTCATAGATGACAGCGACTGCGATGAAATGGAGGAATTGGGATGATTCTCTTGTTCTCCTTGCAAGATTTCCCGCCGTCAGTTCTTTCGATGAAGTTAAACAGCAATCGATACGAATCTCTTCAAGGGCCCAATGGAGTCCAATCCGGCTAGGCAGTCCACTGCGCTCTTCTGGATGTCGATAGAGACATTCTCGAACGACCTTCCTGCATCAATCACGCGGATGTTGCCGCTGCGTTGCACACGGAAGATGGTTTGAAACAATTCGCGCACGCGGCTTTGCATGGTTTCGTTTTCATAGCGTTCGGCGCCAAACCCCCCGCGCTTGGCAGCTTCCTCCGGGGCGATACTGAGGAAAAGACACAGGTCAGGCTGAGGCAATCCGATTTCCGGCGTCCACGCCCATTCCAGGGACAAGGTGGGGTTGGCTTTGGCGGCCGAGTACACAGCACCAGAGTAGGAGTAGCGGTCCACAATGACGGTAACTCCGGCTGCTATATCGTCCTCGATGGAGCGGGCGATTTCCCAGCGATTGGCGGAGAAGAGGAGATGGATGGAATGGTCGTCCAACTGCGACTGGTCACGTAGGTAGCCATCAATCAGCTTCCCAATGGGCGTGGTCCGGTCTGGGTAGATGCATGGGTTAGAGTGGTGCTCAGGATGTACAACACAACGGGGAGACGAGGCTACCTGGGAAACGGATGTATTTGACCGAGTGGCCCAACTGCTGCAGTTTGTTGCGTAAAGACTCGCACTGACTGGATTTGCCCGCGCGGTCCAGGCCCTCGACCACGATGAGAGCCCCGCGTCGTGCGGGAGGATTCTGTGCTGCCATGTTGTGGGACGGGTGGATTCAAGGATGAGTGATAAGAGAGGATAGCCCAAGGATTTCTCTAGCTATCTTTTTCTGTACAGACGCAGCAAACAAATAATATATAATAAAGAGAGGGGAATGTCGATTGTGGAGGACGGAAGATGGATTTGGTCCCTCTCTCCGCGTGCCTCAGGCGCATCGCGATTTGCTTGGGGTGGCTTGTCCCATTCCGGTATGGCGTCTGGAGGAGGGCGTCGATCCCAGTTTCGGTGATCGACCTGTAGACTCGTAGAGAGACATCCTACATGGCGTATCTGACACAGCAGATTTCTAAATATAACGCCCTAGATATATATACAACAAGTGCAATCATTCGGACTTTCACTCTCACCATCAAGTGTTGCCCAGCATTCCCCCGCGGTTCTGCTTGGCGGCACATCTCCGATTCCCGATAGATATCTAGTAAGTGGGGGACCACATTATTATTATTATTTTCACTCCTCTTCTCCAACTCCAGGTCTCGCCAGTCTCAACCTCCACCATCCTCCCAGCCTCCGTTCCCTCAGGGTCGCCATGGGCTCCGAGTCCTCCCCACAGCCATCAAATGAGATGCTCGCCTTCCATGCTACGGCCTCAATCCTGACCCCCCGAGTGGGAACACTGGCTCTCGCCGGCAGGAAGGCCATCTCCACGCCGCATTACATCCCTCTGGCCTCCCGGGGTGTCGTCCCCCATATCGCCCATGATGTGATGCGCGATAACACTGCCATCCGCAGTCTCTTCGTCGGTCTAGAGGATTGTATGTCATCCCCGTCATTCTCCCTTGGCTGAGTCCATTCCCCGCTGACACGAATGCCCATCGGGGCCCAGATCAGTCGTAGAAAGACAAAGCCCAAAAAACCCGCCCCCGGTATATAAAACTCCCACCGCACAAGATGAATCCGCCCTGCGCAAATTCGCCGGTCTCCCCGATGATCTCCTCCTGATCATAGGTGCGCGCCGCGAGCCCCCCATCAAATGCCCTCCATCCAACACGCCGAACTCCGTCGCCATCTACACCTCCGTCGGTTTCAGACAGCTGGAGGCTGGCCAGTATATCAACGCCGTGCAGAAATTGAAACCCGATATCGTTGTGGGACTGGCAGATCTTGTCCTCGGACACACCCCCGGGACCAAGAGACGCGGAAAGATGGTCGATAGAACGCACGCGTTCACCACCCACGCCACGGGGAAGCTCTACGGCAGTGCCGTGCCTGAAGAGAACCAATCAAAGGCTGCCTACTTCGCTCCCGTGCTTCCGCTCGACAATGCCCAGCAGTCGATATATATAGACGATCTAGAGAGCGAGTTACGGCCATATATCTCAGGCCTGGCCCTTTATGAATCGGCCTCCCTATCCGCCATCACCGAACCTCTCGGAGACCTCCCACGACTCCTCTTCAGCGCACCCGCAACCCCCCACGCTATCCTCCGCGAAATTTCCCTCGGAGCAGATCTCCTCACCATCCCCTTCATAGGCGTCTGCTCCGACGCCGGTATTGCCTTGGACTTCACCTTCCCATCCACACCCAACACCACAACCACCGACTCTCAACCCCGACACCTCGCCTTCGACCTCTGGTCCCCATCCTACACAACCGATACCTCCCCCCTCTCCGAATCCTGCCAATGCTACACCTGTTGCAACCACCACCGTGCCTACATCCACCACCTCCTCACCACCAAGGAGATGTTAGCCTGGACGCTCCTTCAAATCCACAACTACCACGCCATGGATCTCTTCTTCGCCGATATCCGTCAGAGTATTGCCCGAGGTACCTTCGAAGCAGACACCCAAACCTTCCAACGCGCCTATGTCTCTGAATTACCCGAACCAACTGGCCAAGGCCCTCGGTACTTACTTCCTCCCAACCCAATCCCCACTTTACCCCCAGACCACCACCATAACTAACAACCCCCATCCACCCCAGACTTCGCGGCTACCAACTCCCCGCCTCCGGTCCCCATCAAACCCGTCGTAATACACGCGCATACGGTAAACTCGACGACGCAATGGAGCGATTCGCCGAGTCACAATCCTCCCTCGCGACGCCCGACACCGGCGCCGAGGGTCTCGAAGAACATGGGTTCGGAACTAAAGAGAAACAATAGATCCATCCATAGATAGATAGATACCTATTCCTTTTTTGGTTATATGCTAAATACAATAAGGAGAAGAGAATCGGACATCTGGGTTCCGAGATGTCGTCAGGTTATGTTCGTTGTTCGTTGTCTGTCTATTACTCACTTGGGTTGGGCTTATGCATGGAAGGATAAGCATAGCATAGCATAGCATAAGATATGCAGCGAATGCTAATTTATACACAGTCGTTGTTCTTTCACTACCTACTATCTAAATTTTAATTTATTTTCTCATTAAAGTTTTGGTCAGGTAATAATAGTATGCGGAGTCTCTGTCCCGTCCCCTTTTTGCTTTTTCCCATTTAGTAGATAGATAGGTAAATTTGTTTCTTTGTCGAACTAGTACCTAGTAGGGAGTAATATGCAGTAGGGAGGGAATTGAATATTGAAGACGTTGTAGACTTGTATTCAATCAATACTAGATAGTACCTACTGATTGCAAAGTTCTATTTTCATTCATGCATACTTGTATCCATACATACATCCACCATGAAGCAATTCCCCACCCCAAGTGTTAAGTACGACTCCCTATCCATGTTAAATAGACACTCTCCCGATTATAGACAGATAGACATCAATATCTCTGGATTCGGTAAACGGTAAACGACCTAGGCCAAGCCAGTGGCCAGGTAGATAGAAAATTACTGGCTGTTGGCCAGCTCGCGCCACATCCATTTCTTTTCGTCTTCTTCTTCCTCGGAACCGGCTTCTGTTCCGGCGCCGAATTCCTGTCCGACGACACAGACAAGCCAGACGTCGTTCTTAGTCTGGTTGAGGAAGCGCTCGGTGGCCGAGTTCTTGGGGTAGATGCGGCGCCATTCGTCCCAGATCCGGTATGCTTCGTCGCCCCAGGCGCGGAAACTGACTTCTTCGATGATGGTCGGGGAGACGATCTCCTTGCCGCGGAAGACACCCCAGGTGACGGCGTTGACGTTGGCGGGGTTGATGTCGATCGGGTCCGGGTCGTCGGGGTTCGGGCCAGGGAGGGAGGATTCGAAGTCGCCCTTGACGTTGGTGGCGAACCAAGCGAGTTTCTCGTGGCCGTGTTTCTGGAAAAGGGGCTTGAGAACGGTCTGGTAGTCTTTGTCGGGGCAGAAGAACTCGACGAATGGCTTCTGGAAGACGAATCCTTCGCCGGGAGGACCCCAGCCGAAGACGGGGTCGTCGCTGCGAACTCCGTTGATGGCGGGCTGGGAGGCCAGTGTCCACCAGCCCTTCTTGTCGATGAGCGTCAGCAGCTCGGTCTGGATGACGGCGGTTTCAGCGTTCAGGCCGTTGCTGTTTTCTTCGGCGCCACCTTCAGACCACGGAACCATGTAGAGTTCGCCGGAGACGTGACGGCGGAACAGGGTGCTGATATCTTCGCGAGAGACGGGATAGCCCCAGATTTGACGGGCAATGGGAGCGGGGACGTGCAACGACGGGCCATAGCCGTCGATTTCACCGAATGCTGGCGAGCGCGCATCACCCCAACGGCCGTTGGGGAAGTCATCCCAAGTAGCTTCTCTGCCGAGCGCACCAAGGCCTTCGGAAATTTGGAGGGTTGTGCTGCGGTCTGGAGGCATGGCAGGCAGACCAGCACTCAAGGCGGAGGCCTCGTGTGTCACGGAGCCCTTTGAGGATGCTTCGGAGATCAGTACCTTGTCTACAATGACTCGGTTGTGTGGGATTGAGCTGACGGACGAGCGGCGACTGGCCAGGTTGCGGATCTGAGCGCCATTCGGGGCGACATACGACGATGAGTCCATCGCAGACAGGTTACCGCCGTCAACCAACGCATCCGAGTCGTCGATCTCGGAGTAAGGGGGAATGAGTTCACACCGCTCGAGGATGAAAGACACAGTCTTCTCCAAGTTCAGGGTATAGAAATGGAATCCACGGGGTCCCGTGCAGCCAAGGTCTCTGATACCATACACGAGATCGCTGATAATGTCCACACCAATGCGCTTCACGGCGTCGTCGTCATGTTTCACTTCATCCAGCTTCGATAGAATATGGGGTGGGATTTTCACATGGCTGAGCTTCGTCACTCTCGTCAGAATCTTGTAGCTGTGGATAGGCATCAGACCAGGGACGATCGGGATCGTCTTGAAAGCGCCAGATTCGTGGTTCCGTAGCATGCTCTCAAACCTGGTGTATGCGTCCATATCGTAGGTCAACTGAGTCATGATGAAGTCCGCCCCCGCCTGCGTTTTCTCGACCAAGTATGGCAGGTCTCTCTCCGGATCCTGACCATCCTGGAAGTTGTCGGCAGGGTGGCCCTCGGGATACGCAGCAACACCAATACAGAAGTAGTCGCCATACTGCTTGCGGATATAGCGCACCAAGTCCACCGCGAATGTGAAGTCCTTGTTGCTGTCATCTTCTCCGTGCATGTTGTATTCTTCACTACGTGGCGGGTCACCACGCAGGGCGAGAATGTTTCGGATCCCAAGCACCTTGGCTTCCTCCAGCGCTTCGTCGACTAAGGCGCGACTCATGTTGGTACAAGTCAGGTGCAGGCATGTCGTCAACTGCAGTTGGCGCTGGCAGATCTCGGCCAGTTCCAGGGATCTCGCCGCGGTGCTTCCTCCAGCGCCCCAGGTGACCGTGACGAACAAGGGTCGCAAAGCCTGGGCCATACGCTCCAAGCGAGCCTGAAGGTTGGCGAAACCCTAGACAACGAATTCCAGGTTAGCGATCGAATTCATAGTTTGAGTCACTGGGAGTGCGGGGAGTCGAGGCAGCCCCACCATCTTGGTCTTGGGAGGGAAGAACTCCAGAGAGAAGTAATTCGCGTCTGGCGGCAAAGCCGCGATCTTGTCCGTGATCTTCTCCATGGTGAGCCCAGTCTCAGCAGCAGCGACACGATCGCGGAGGTCGGGGCGGATGAAGGAGAAGAAGAAGGGCCTGAAGGACGGAGGTGGGGAAGAAGACTTGCTCTTGCTGGGTCGCTCGCCGATGGCGCCTCCGGAAAAGGCAGCATGACGAACTGCCGGCCCCATCACTGCCAGCGATCTCGTCATGGAGTGCCCCCAACCCCGGCCCATCGCTGGAACGCGCTGTTGGGATCCTGGACGATACTATCCCGCCCGATCGGACACTCCCTGACGGTCACTGGCACCGTCTAACCTCGCCCTTGACCATTGCGCTCAACTGCTAGGACTCGTCCACAAGAGAAACGTCATCCTGGCATATCCCACCAGCTGAATTGACAACTCCTGGGCTCATTCAAAATGTCACATCAAGAATTCAGACTAGGTGCCTGCTCTAGAAGAACCACCCGAGGCATGTACCGTCACTGCTTTTGTCAGTTGCCCCTTGTTCTTTTCTCGAAGTAGTTTATTTCCCTTGCAAACACAGCAAACACCGCCATCTCCGACGGACTCGCGATATCGGCTTCACCACGACTTATGGCATTCAATAATAATAACAACAATTCCTCTGCTATATTACCTCATCGGTTTACAGGATTAGCCTCCACCCCACACCTCACCCTCACCATTGCAAACAGCAACCCGAACATCAGAGCTCATACCCTCAAACACCACCGATGCAAACCCACTAAAATGCCACCACCACTGCGCACCCTCCCCCAACCCTTCCGCCTGATATCACAGCGCACGCCTCCTTCTCGCCGACTCTTCTCAACACCGCCCCCTCCCCCAGCACCCAAAGACTCCCGCTCCCGCCTTCACAGACTAAACGATCGTCTCCCACCTTTTCTGCGCTCCTACACCACCCCGCTCCTCGGAGCCCCCGCAACCCACATCACATCCTTCCTGATCCTACATGAAATCACCGCCGTTGTAAGTTTGTTTGGACTGGTGGCTGCCTTTCACTATGGTACGGGGCTCCCGGATATGACCTCCAACAGCTTGTTTCAGGAACAGACACAGCGGTTTGGACGGTGGCTACGGAAAAAGGGCTGGGTGGAGGAGGCCGACGTGGATAAAGCGGTTGGGGAGTATGCGGGGGATGCTCATCGTGGGTCAGAGTCAGAGTCAGATTCGGGGCAGTCGGCGGTCCTAGTAGAGGGAGAAAGGGAGGGAGTGCGCTTGATTCTGGAGTTTGCGACGGCTTATATCATTACCAAGGCGCTGATGCCGGTGCGGATTGCTGTGAGTGTGTGGGCTACGCCGTGGTTTTCTCGGGTGGTTCTGGGGCCGTTGGGGAGGGGGGCTAGAGGGGTGTTTGGGAGGAAGTGATTCGATGCCACGCATGGTAGTCACATCGGATACGGTTTGTACGGTGGATAGCGTAGTAAATATTGTATACTTTATATTTTCTAGGTCTCGTGAGATCTTTGGATTTTATACTACCCGATATACTCTACATCTCAACTAGTGGTTGGGGGATGTAGGCACTCAGGCGTAAGACCGGGTCGAGAAATTTAGGCCTTCTCGTAGATCCAGTCGAACTGGGAGTGCTTGTAGGTCTGGAGCTCCTTGGGGGAGAACCAGAGGGCAATCTCCTTCTGGGCGTTCTCGACGCTGTCGGAACCGTGGCAGACGTTGCGGCCGACGTCCTATTCAATGGTGAGCGAGAGATATAAAACAAGATGGGATGGGGGTTCTTACGATGGCGTAGTCACCACGGATGGTGCCGGGGGCGGAGGCAAGGGGGTTGGTGGCACCGAGGATGGCTGCAATATCGTTAGTATATTTCCATTGGGGTGCTTTCAGTTGTGGAACTTACTACGGCCGGTCTTGACGGCGTCACGGCCCTCCCAGACCATGGCGCAGATGGGGCCAGACAGCATGTCTAAAAATAAACATTAGTATATACTTGGAGGAAAAGGGTCAATGCTTTAGAGCTAGGAGCTACTCACAGGAGACGAGACCGGGGAAGAAGGGCTTCTCCTTGAGGTCAGCGTAGTGCTGCTCAAGGTGCTCCTTGCCGGGGGAGACGAGCTTCAAGGCAACGAGCTTGAAGCTGCAGACGGTCAGTATTCGTCTAGATGTTATTCAGGTGCAAGTAATACGAACCCACGGTTCTCGAAGCGAGAGATGATGGGGCCAACGAGTCCACGCTGCTATGGTCAGTACTGGTTTGATCCCGGGGGAGCCGCCAACACATCGGAAGCAATCGTTGAAGGCCATGTCAGTCATACCTGGACACCGTCGGGCTTGATGGCAATGAAGCTGGATCAATTGGTTAGCTGGGCCATGGCAATGAGGGGGCGGAAGAGGGGCTGGGAAGAAGCCTCCTGAAGGACTTGGAGGAAGAAAGACCAATGGAGGGGAAGAGGGGTAAAGAGAGATAGAGACCATGGCGGGATGGGATGGAATGGACTTACGTCTGCTCGGAAGACATTTTGATGGAGATGGATCGATGTATGAGATACGATTGAGGAGAGGAAAGGAAAGAAGCAGAGCCGGCGAGGTGAGTTGGCGAAAAATATAAGGAGGGACCGTAGAGCTGTGTGGGGCAACAGAGGAGGGGCACTGGCCGATAGCACAGTTGCCAGTGAGACACCGGCCTGTTCTGCCTGCATGCCTAACGGCCTGACTCTGGTGGCTACTTTTATTTACTGCCTGAGGTGTCTAACCCCAGCTGCCAGGACGGGACTAGCGCCCACACTAGGCCAAGGTGGGAGCTTTCCCCCCATCTCAGCTCCATCTGGCCAGCCTGGAACTATCGCGCGCCGACCTCGAGTAGTACTCCCAGTTACATGTTCTCCCGTCCATCCCAGTACATATCGCCTTCGTGTGTGGGACCTTCACCTCTGGTAGATGCAGGTCAGCACACCAGTGGCTGCTGATATCTAGTTCTTCTTTCAGAGGTTGAGTGTCTCTGATCGCACTAGTGAGCTCACATCATGGCCGGGATCCGGCCCATGTCCACCCGTTGGACCATATTGTTGTCGCTGGTGATCCTACTCGGATGTCTTGTCATCCCCGGAGGTGAGCTTCTACCGCCAACCAGATCCCCTATAATCGCCTTTACATCTGACAATGCCCCTTAGTCACCGTGAAACACGAGAACTTCAAGACCTGCTCGCAATCGGGCTTCTGTAAGCGGAACAGAGCCCTCGCAGACGATGCGTCCGCCAAGGGATCATCTTGGAACTCGCCATATGAACTCGAATCGTCTTCCATCCAATTCAAGGACGGCCAATTGCACGGAACCATTCTCAAGTCTATCTCCGCCAATGAGAAGGTCAAGCTACCCCTTGTTGTCTCCTTCCTCGAGTCCGGTGCCGCCAGAATTGTTGTCGACGAGGAAAAGCGATTGAACGGTGACATCCAGCTTCGACACGACAGCCAGGCGCGCAAGGAACGCTACAATGATTTAGAGAAGTGGGTCTTGGTTGGTGGCCTGGAGTTGAGCAAGACCGCGACCTTGAAACCCGAAACCGAGGCTGGCTTTACCAAAGTCTTGTACGGTCCGGACAACCAGTTCGAGGCCGTGATCCGTCACGCTCCGTTCAGCGCAGACTTCAAGAGAGATGGACAGACTCATGTTCAATTGAACAACAAGGGTTACCTGAACATGGAACACTGGCGTCCCAAGGTGGAGGTCGAAGGTGACAGCGAGCAGCAAACCGAGGAAGACCAGAGCACTTGGTGGGATGAAAGCTTTGGTGGAAACACCGACTCCAAGCCTAGGGGCCCGGAGAGCGTGGGGTTGGATATCACTTTCCCTGGCTACAGCCATGTTTTCGGAATTCCAGAGCATGCCGATTCCCTTTCCTTGAAGGAGACTAGGTAAGCTAATGTCGCATCGACCGGTCTAGTTTTCTGGAAGCTAACAACGTCCCAGGGGTGGTCCGGGCAATCATGAAGAGCCTTACCGCTTGTACAATGCTGATGTGTTCGAGTATGAGCTGAACAGCCCGATGACTTTGTATGGTGCGATCCCGTTCATGCAGGCGCATCGCAAAGACTCCACCGTCGGTGTCTTCTGGTTCAATGCTGCCGAAACTTGGGTGGACATCGTCAAGTCCACTTCATCTCCCAATCCTCTTGCCCTGGGCGTGGGCGCGACCACTGACACCCAAAGTCATTGGTTCTCTGAGTCCGGACAACTTGACTTGTTTGTTTTCCTTGGCCCCTCGCCGCAGGAGATGAGCAAGATGTACGGTGAACTCACCGGCTACACCCAGCTGCCTCAGCACTTTGCCATTGCCTACCACCAGTGTCGCTGGAACTACATCACGGACGAGGACGTCAAAGAGGTTGATCGCAACTTTGACAAGTACCAGATTCCCTACGACGTTATCTGGCTTGATCTCGAATACACTGATGACAGAAAGTATTTCACCTGGGATCCTCTCACCTTCCCTGATCCGATCAGCATGGAGGAGCAGCTTGACGACTCCGAACGCAAACTCGTCGTTATCATCGACCCTCACATCAAAAACCAGGATAAGTATAGCATCTCCAAGGAGATGACCAGCAAGAACCTGGCCACCAGAAACAAGGACGGTGAGATCTACGATGGTTGGTGCTGGCCTGGCTCCTCTCACTGGATCGATTGCTTCAACCCGGAAGCCATCAAATGGTGGGTTAGCCTCTTCAAGTATGACAAGTTCAAGGGAACATTGGCCAATGTCTTCATCTGGAACGACATGAACGAGCCTTCGGTCTTCAACGGCCCCGAAACCACCATGCCCAAGGACAACCTTCATCATGGCAACTGGGAGCACCGTGATATTCACAATGTTCATGGAATTACCCTTGTCAATGCTACTTATGAAGCTCTTCTGGAGCGCAAGAAGGGCGAGGTTCGCCGGCCTTTTATCTTGACGCGCTCTTATTATTCTGGCGCTCAGCGGATCTCTGCTACGTGGACGGGAGATAACCAGGCCACCTGGGAACATCTCGCCGCTTCGATCCCCATGGTTCTGACCAGCGGTATCTCGGGATACCCATTTGCTGGTGCTGACGTGGGTGGCTTCTTCCAGAACCCTAGCAAGGAGCTCCTGACGCGGTGGTACCAAACTGGCATTTGGTACCCCTTCTTCCGCGCGCACGCGCATATTGACACCCGTCGGCGCGAGCCCTATTTGATTGCCGAGCCACACCGGTCTATCATCGCCCAGGCTATCCGCTTGAGGTACCAGCTTCTCCCCGTCTGGTACACTGCTTTCCACGAAGCCTCCGTGAACGGAACGCCGATCGTGAGGCCGCAGTACTATGTTTACCCCTCTGACGAAGCTGGCTTTGATATCGACGATCAGCTTTACCTTGGTTCCAGTGGCCTTCTCGCCAAGCCCGTTGTTTCCGAGGTGGCCACTACCGCAGACATTTACATTGCTGATGACGAAAAGTACTATGACTATTTCGACTACACTGTTTACCAAGGTGCCGGGAAGAGGCATACGGTGCCCGCACCTATGGAAGCTGTGCCCTTGCTGATGCAGGGTGGCCACGTTATCCCCCGCAAGGATCGTCCTCGCCGTAGTAGCGGGTTGATGAAGTGGGACCCATACACTCTGGTTGTGGTCTTGGACAAGAACGGCCAAGCCGACGGCTCTCTGTACGTGGATGATGGCGAAACGTTCGACTACGAGCGTGGAGCCTACATCCATCGCCGTTTCCATTTCCAAGAGTCTGCTTTGGTCTCCGAGGACATTGGAACCAAGGGTCCCAAGACGGCCGAGTATCTGAAGGCCATGGCCAATGTCCGTGTTGAGCGGGTGGTCGTGGTTGACCCTCCCAAGGAATGGCAGGGCAAGACCAGTGTGACTGTCATTGAGGATGGCGCCCAGGCTGCTTCCACAGCCTCTATGCAGTATCATAGCCAGGCGGATGGCAAGGCTCCGTACGCGGTGGTGAAGAACCCCAATGTCAGCATTGGGAAGACGTGGCGGATTGAGTTCTAGACTAGAGGCCCATGTGGGCAGACGCTCCATACATATATACATGATGTTCGGATTTCAGGCATCAATGGTACTTATGACATTGTTCTTAGAGATCTTGTGCTCGCTGGACGTAATATCCACTAGAGATGTAGATCCGGACGACCAAAAAGGGGAACCGGGATGGCGGGCTGAGTCAGCGGAAAGGACGTGACCGCCGATCCGAATCAATAAATTTATTGAGAGCAACAGGTGGGAGGTAAAAGAGGCCGCATTCGGGTTCGGTTTGATATTGAACGCTCGCTTGGACTTGTTGGTACGGAGATCCTGGGATTTCGCTACCCCTCTGCTTTGACAGTCTACTCTTGTGGAGGCGTCTCCTCAATTTACAGCCTGCGTTGGCAATTCTGCATCCTCACGAGGTTCGCCCCTGACGCCGCCGCTCCATCGCGATCTCACTCCGGAAACCGCAAGCTCCGCCCGTTCACTGCCTCGCCTCGACGCAAACCCAGCCGTGTCATATATTCTTTTGTATTGAATCTGGTTTTGATACGAGAATAGCCACGGCTAATTGAATTGACCATGTATCTTGTGTCGCAGGCTCTTGAATATGGGGCTCCCCTGTTGTATGTCTTTCCCTGCCCGATGGACGGATGCAATGGAACGCTAACTGGTCCCTTGAACGAAAAGCCTCATTACCTCCCCTTTGACGTCTTATGCGGACCAGATCCTCAGTATCCACCGATCCCGAAACTCGGCTGGGTTTTCGCTGGACATTCCTTTGATTATGCTTGTCGCGTCAATCCTGAAGTAAGACGACCACCCTCGATTGCTGTGTCTTTGGGGTCTTGACATTGACAAGCTGTGTATAGGGTCTTTTACTGGTTTGGTGCTACATACTCCCTTTCGCTTTTGATCCAGGCCGTCATCACCGTCGGGGTGCAGATCGTCTTGTTGAAGGTTGCACTGGACAACCGGCCATCTCCAGGTCTGAAGAACAGCGTAGAGCATGTCCCTTTTAGCAGTGTGGACAACGGTACAGGTGTTTCCAGACCCTACGACTTCTGGCAGTGGAAGAGCGCAAAACCGTATGTACTTGCTCTCTAGCGGAGGCCACTTGCTGCAACGAGACTAACCAGAGCTATCGGACAGGTACTGGATGTTTTTGGCCTACTTCATCGGCGCCCTCACCTTCATTCAAGTCCTCCTCCCTCCCCTTGCCTACTCGGAGCTCTACATCAACATTCTCGGATACGTTGGCCTCGCTGTGGAAGCCACGCTCCCGCTGCCGCAGATTCTCAAGAACCACAAGTCCCGGTCGTGCGCAGGATTTCGGGTGTCAGTGGTTGCTGCTTGGATTGTCGGTGATATCATGAAATTGAGTTACTTCTTCTGCAGCCAGGAAGTGATTCCCTGGGCCTTCCGCATGTGCGGTCTGTTCCAGTGCGTTTGCGACCTGTACTTGGGCTTGCAGTTTTGGATGTATAGTAACGCCTCGTTCCGGACTGCGGGCAGTCCCCGAGGACCCAGTGAGAGCTATAATGTGGAGGAGAAGGACATCCGGATGACATGAACGAGATGATACACGGCCGTGGGATTTCCGTTGCTTCCGTTGGCGTTGTACATATAGCTTAGCTAGACGCGTCGGACCTGTGCTTTGGTTCGACCTTGGGGTTCTCGGGCGCGTAACCCACTACTACAAAAGGATTAATAGTATATGATATACAGTGTATCTGTCTGCGAGCCAGAGTTCGTACATGTATATAATTAATACCATTCGGTGGGGGATGACGAGACGGGGTTCAGCGGGGTAAAGCCAGAAAGCGCCGGAGGAACCCCACCAACCGAGGGTCGATTTCCCCTCATCCGCCAGTTCAATAAAAGCAACCTCACTACCCCTCTGCCGAGTCGCTTGTGCCCGCTGCTCCATACAAATTCATCATGGCTTCAGGTCCGGAGACCATCCGCATTGGCTATGTGCCCGGTAGGATCGACTTTCCTTTCGTGTTTACGTCTGAGAACTATATATGTCGCGCCTCATTGCAAGAACACAACAACAACCATGTATTCATCTCTGAATGACTCTTGGTTCTTCGGCATTGATATATTCTTCCCAGTTAACAATAGCATACAATGACTTGACTAATGGTTATTCAATATAGAACATTACCTCACCCCTCTCCATCTGGCCGTCCGTTCAGCAGGCCAGGCTACTCTCCCATTCAAGATCTCTCTGATCCCCTTCCCCTCTGGAACGGGGCACATGATCACCTCCCTCCGCGAGAAGGAGATTGATGTAGCCATCGGTTTGACCGAGGGATGGGTGGCTGGCCTGGCTGGTAAACAACAGGCTCAGAAGGATGCGGCCGAGGGTGGCTACAAGGTGGTCGGACACTGGGTCGACACGCCGTTGCGCTGGGCCATCGTAACGGGTCAGGAGAGAGAGGACATCCATGCTGTGGCCGACCTGAAGGACAGGCGGGTTGGAGTCAGTCGACTGGGAAGGTAAGTGCACGAGCACTACGTCAAATATTCGCCTTGATTGTCTGTCCTGACGCCAACAGTGGCTCCCATATCATGTCCTTCGTCCTCGCTCAGCAGCAAGGCTGGAAAGCCGACTCTCTGTCCACTGTACCCTTGGGTCCTTTCCAGGCTCTCCGTAACGGAGTGACTGGGCTAGACGACGAGCATCCGGAACAAGCGCCTAACCCCACGGCTGAATTCTTCATGTGGGAGCACTTCACCACGAAGCCATATTTCCACGCCACCGAAAACAAGCCCAATCCGCCTCTGAAGAAGATCGGTGAGATCTATACTCCCTGGCCGTCTTGGATGATCGTGGCGTCGACTTCATCCTTTTCGGATGTGGAGCTGGATGGCAAGCTGCAACAACTGCTTAAGCTTCTGGATCAGGGTATCAAGGACTTCGAGGCCGATCTGGCTCAGGTCGTGACACTTCTGGGCACCGGAGAGCTGGGCTGTAACTACGGGGAGGAAGATGCCAAGGAATGGCTGAAGGACGTTAAATTCACGTCCACGACTCGGGGTGTGCAACGGAAGGTTATCGAGGGCGTGGTGGATGTCCTCAAAGTGGCAGGTGTGATTGACACCGGCATGACCAACGACGAGGCCGTTGAGAGAGTCGTCGGTATCCATCAATGAGGGCTGCAATCGCACAGGCTCGCTACATAGATGCGATTGCGCAGCAGAGCCGTCGACCTTAGTACCTTATGTCTAGTATGAACTCCGGATCCTCTCATTACCGCAGGGTCTAGAGAAACGATCAATCTGAATAGTTGAACCGAAGGCATTCCCGACTGGAAATTATAATGTGCTTCATTATCCCTCCTGATAAGGGGTTTCTGGGCTTACGTACCGCGCCAGAGACCAAGTATTTGCCAGGGCCGGCTCATAGACAACATAGTATGAGGGATTATTCGGACCTCAACTTACTCTTAAGAACACATAGATATCGTTGGACCTATTGACAGAACTAGCAGTTACCGATTACGCAGGATGTTGATAGACGACCCGATAAGGCGAACATGCCTTCATCACCGGGACGACACCTGCATTCCATAGCGGCAGCACCATCTGGCAGGACCCAAGAATAGAAATTCCATGCCGATTCTCCTATCCTGCATGATCTGGCGGGGCCGATCAAGAGACTGCTTAAGGAAATCGGTCGGCTGCAGGATGGATATCCTGCTCAGTTGGCGCCGAGAACCTGACTCGGGGTCACAAAACAAGGTAATCCTTCGGCAAAGGTCAAAGTCGGGTGAGAAGATACAGCCTGCTGCCGAATTCAACCAGTGTCTAGATCGCGGTGATGGTCGGTTCCGGGGTAAAGCCACAGCGATTGCATGTCTCACTCAATACTTCGATTTTTCTTTCTCTCCTTGCAGGTCCTCATGGCAGCTGCACAGACCAGGGAAGATCGACTATGTATTTACCGCGGACAATATGTCAGATGTTGGCTTGCATGGGATCCTAAGCATCTTGTGGCAGCTGAGCTATGGTTCCCAGGCTGGTCAAATGCCCAAGGTGACGCCGTTAGGCTTTGGTACCAACCCAGCTTGTGACTTGAATCCCTGACCGTGTACGCAAGCTACAATTCCAGTGGCCGTATAGCGATCACGAGATTGGGAGCTTGCTACGGGGTTGGGTTGTCAGAAGCCATGGTCCCCCCGAGCAAGTGACATTCCACGGGCCGAAAGCGTTCCCAACAACGAGGCTGGAATGTATCTCTATGGTCAACGGCCAATCATTGGTTGAAGCATAGACCGACAGACATGCTCTGTTGTGTAATCTAACGCTGTCGTCTGAATATGACAATATACTTCCTTGGTTTATTGGCTGTCTTTCAGGATGATAGCTGCTGTCTGGAATGTCTGACCCCGGACGACGGATGACATGGACACGGCCCAAGCGTGTTTGGCATCACAACAGCACAAGGCTGGGGATGGTCTGAAGAAGGTATAAAAGGCTCGACAAGGACAGCTCCGGGTTGGCTTTTGTTGGAGAACAAGACAGCTTTTTCGACAAGCGTTCGGCACCGGCAACCTGGGCATCATCGACTGGTCATCCGCCCCTTCATCGTTGAGGTAATAGATCGTTCATTCATTCCACTCCTTTGAAATCTCCGTCAATCCTTAATCAAAAGACCAACTCCCTATCCGGTCCCTACATCATGACGTTCCTTAAGAACCTTCTTGCCTTTTCGATGGGGCTTGCTTCTCTGGGAGGAGCATATGCCAAGCTCGATCTGTCTTCCCCGGACAATGTGGTTGTATACTGGGGTAAGCATCGTGGCCCATGGGGAGTTTGACAGACAGTTGAGTTGACAAGTCTGCGATCAGGTCAGAACTCCTTCAGAGGAACCGGAGACCTGGCCCAGCAAAACCTGGCCTATTACTGTGATGGTGAGTAATCCCCAGTCTTGGTGACTGATGCCTTGCTGACTCGTTTGTAGACAGTAACATCGATGTGAGACTGATCCCGCTGGGGAGTGAACTCCATAGACACTGACTACCTATATCAGGTTATTGTACTTGCATTTGTGATGAGAGTCAACGGTTTTGGGGGTGCGCCAGAGTACGATCTTGCGGACAACAGCAAAGACTGTCCGCTGTTTAACGGCACCAACTTGGCAAACTGCCCACAAGTCGGGTAAGCATACTACTCTTGATGATGGATGCGGCGCAACTAATACCATCCAGTGCCGATATCAGCACCTGCCAGAGCAAGGGGAAAACCATCATCTTGTCCATTGGGGGTGCGACGTACAGTGAAGGCGGATTCCAGTCCGAATCAGCTGCCCAGGCCGGTGCCGACTTGATCTGGCAGACGTTCGGACCAGCCCAGTCTAACTCCTCAGCATATCGGCCCTTTGGCGATGCAGCCGTGGACGGGTTCGACTTCGATTTCGAGGCCACTGTGAACAACATGGCACCATTTGCGAACCGGCTTCGCCAATTGTCGGATGCCGACACCTCGAAACAATATTTTCTGACGGCCGCGCCGCAGTGCCCATACCCCGACCTTGCAGACCAGGAGATCCTCAACGGACCTGTGTCGATCGACGTGGTGTGGGTGCAATTTTACAACAACCCGTGTGGATTGACCTCGTTTATCGAGGGTCAAGACACGCAGACGACCTTTAATTTTGAACAGTGGGACAACTGGGCCAAGAACGTGTCTCAGAACAAGAACGCCCGAGTGATGCTGGGCGTGCCGGCAGACACGACGGCGGCGAGTACGGGCTATGTGCCAGTATCCCAGCTGCAGCCGATCATTCAATATACCAAGACATTCAGCAGCTTCGGCGGCGTGATGATGTGGGATGTCACGCAGGCGTACGGCAACCCGGGCTTTTTGAGTGGAGTCCGGGGAGCCCTAGAGCAGACCACTTCGCGCGTCCAGCCAACTTACCGATACCCCATGCGTCCGTGGCTATTTGGGCCCAACAAGCACTGGTAATGATTTGTGATACCCTGTTGGAGAGTGGAACTGTCGGGTGGAACTGTAAATACGGATACTGTTGCTACTTGCTACATCTATTGAATCAAGCTAATACTAATAATCCTAATGGTTACCTACTCATAATCTCATATACATCCTCATACTCATACTCGTCCGTGGACTTTTGCAGGGGGTGGTCGCGTGACTACATCCCGGTTGGAGTGCTCGGCACTTCTTTGCGCCTCTGCTTTTCCCACCTTTTCTCCCTCCTCCTCGTCTCTTCCACCAAATCAACCCTCTTCGCCTCGTGCAATCATCAACCAAGGTCACCATCAAGCATCAATTCCTTCAGCCCCGCTCGTTTGCCCCCACCTTGCATGAACTATTGACTCCAGCCCTGCCGATCGAGTTCGACCGACTTGGCAGCCCCGATCCACTCACTCACCAGAGTTCAGCCTTCGGCCAGCAGCTTGGATAGCACGCACTCATTGGCTTCGTTGGGCCAGCTGGCCAGGCTCTCCTGTCCAATGGCCCGGTCTCCTTCAATCCACCTTCCACAACCTTATGTTTGACTAACTCGACCACGGCAAATCCGGGCTGGAGTTGCACGGAACGCATCATGTCGATCCCACCATCCAGCAAGCCACTCCGTCAACCATTTGATTGCCCTCGTCTTGGCTGCATTCCAGCTGGACCCTGATACCTTCAGCTCCTCGGGCACCTTAATATGCGCATGATATGATCTCGGTCCTGCGGGGACCATTTCCCATTTCATTTCCCGGCTATAAAGACCAGCTCCGTCGCTGCTGCACTTTCTTTCCGACAGACAGTAGACTCTCCCTTCAGGCCATAGAAGACGAGCCGATCCGTCCGTCGCCGAGTCCACCCCCTCAACCATGGCTCCCAAGTCCCTGCTCTACACTCTCTTCTCCACCCTCAGCGTCGCTCTTGCGGCGTCTATCCCCCAGACCGACTACGATGTAATTGTAGTGGGTGGAGGTCCGGCCGGGCTCAGTACTCTGAGCAGTCTCGGGCGTATGAGACGCAGGACTGTGATGTTCGACTCGGGCGAATATCGCAACGCTCCTACGCGAGAAATGCATGATGTGATCGGAAATGATGGTATTTTCCCACTTCCCAAGTTCACCCCACAGCAGCCCGTCTCTAATGATCGCAGGCACCCCACCGGCCCAATTCCGTGCGCTCGCTCGCGAGCAGATCTCCAAATACAACTCGACCAGTGTCATCGACATCAAGATCGACTCCATCACTCCCGTCGAGGACACCGCGGCCAACACCTCGTATTTCCGCGCCGTCGACGCCAACGGTACCCAATACACCTCCCGTAAGGTTGTCTTGGGCACCGGGCTGGTCGACCTGATCCCTGATGTCCCCGGCCTGCGCGAAGCCTGGGGCAAGGGCATCTGGTGGTGTCCCTGGTGTGACGGGTACGAGCACCGGGACGAGCCCCTGGGTATCCTCGGCGGATTGCCCGACGTCGTCGGCAGTGTCTTGGAAACCCACACCTTGTACTCGGACATTATCGCCTTCACGAACGGCACCTACACACCCGCCAACGAAGTCACCTTGGCAGCCAAATACCCAAACTGGCAGAAGCAGCTCGAGGCGTGGGACGTCCGCATTGACAACCGCTCTATTGCATCGATTGAGCGTGTCCAGGATGGGGACGCCCACCGCGATGAGACAGGTAGACAGTATGATATCTTCCGGGTTCATTTCACGGATGGATCTACCGTGGAGCGTAACACATTCATCACAAACTACCCTACCGCGCAGCGCTCCACACTCCCTGATGAGCTGAGCCTGGTCATGGTAGATGATAAGATCGACACGACTGATTACACGGGCATGCGGACAAGCGCGCCGGGTGTGTTTGCCGTTGGCGATTGTAACAGTGACGGGAGCACGAATGTTCCGCATGCCATGTTCAGCGGGAAGAGAGCGGGTGTTTATGTACATGGTGAGATTTCCTCCCTCTATCTCATCCTCTTTCCCACTACACTCCATCCACCAAGAAAGGAAGTATACCTAACAAAATCTAGTCGAAATGTCCCGCGAAGAATCCAACGCCGCCATCTCCAAGCGCGACCTCGAAAAGCAAACCGAGCGTATGGTCGGCAGCGAGATGGAGAAGCTCTGGAAGCGGGTGCTGGATATGCACCGGTAATGATCTCATTATCCATTCATTATAATATCTTACGCCCATGGACGAATGACTCCACGCACGCAGGAATATGTAGCTACTACCGTATCTGGTACTTCTGCGTATGTAGAGTAACCACCAATAATATACATCCCCTCATACACTTACTGAAAACAAAACTCCCTCCCTCCTTCCCTCCCCATACCCACAGTACCCACAACTGAACCTAACTAACCCTTCGGTTCCTTACTTTAACCCCCCGCCGTTCCTGCATACCCCATCCTATCAACATAAATCAACAAAACCTAGATAGGTAGATACTCATCCAGTAAGTAACTCTTTCTGCATGTCGGGTACATACATATACTAGTACTACTACCTATACGCATACAAATCTAGGTACTACATCCGCACGCAAGGCCTAAACCCCACTCTAGTTAGTATATACTATACTTAGCTTATATGGAATAATTCTCGTAGCGAGATTGATTTAGGGTACTACTATGAGCTGTGTTTATGTCTTGTATTTGTTCCTTGGATTGTGGTGGTGAGGATGAGAATCATGGTTGTGGAGGAGGGGTACTACGGGAGGAGTAGGATAGGGAGTGCTCCTTTGATCTCTCTCTCTCTCTCTCTCTGTGTGTGTGTGTGTAAAGGTAATGAGGAAGAGAAGAGAGGGGATATGTTAAATAAATGACCACTCCAAAAAGTATAGGCTGTAGGTTGCAGGTTAAGGATCATGTGAATGCCCAAACAAAAGGTATATACTATTAACTACCCAATCAGATAATTAGAAAACTATTAGTATCAAAAAAGTCATCCAATACTCTCCCTTCCTTTCCCTCCGTCGCCAGCGCATTACAGTATTTGGGATTTCCTCCACAAAAATAAAAATCAGTAGCAAGGCCACTATCCCAGCAGCTCACTCCAAAACACACCTCTGCGCTTAAGACGCACATCCCAGCATTTACTCAACTTCCTCTTCTTCCTTGCTGGTGGCCAGGAAGAAGCGGCCCTTGGGCTTCCCAGGCTCCTCGTATTCAACTGTCAGACGGGCGAGGTGGCCGAGCAAGTTTTCGATCTTGAGATCGCCCTTGTCACGCTTGGCTCGGCCCAGGTCGTCGAGCCATTTGAACTTGTTCAGCATAAAATACACCAATGCAATGACAATTTCCACGCCCAACGAGAAGCCCCAGATACGGACGACCGTGACGATATCTGTCCAGCCATTTCTGGTCTCGACGAACGAGTCTGCAGGGTTCGTGCGCATGTCTTCGTTAGTGAACCAACCGAAGAGGCAGAAGATAGTCGCCAGAACATCCACGCCCAGAATAGCCGTGACCAGGTGAATGGATGGCCAAGTATCAGCACCTCGTGTAACGAAGATGAGCCAATTCTCTGTCAATGCAACCTCAAGGAACAGCACTTCCTGAATTGAACCCCAGTTCTGGATGATACCACCAGATGGAAGGAACATGGTACCGCGAACAACCCATGTGCCCAATGCCAGCAGCAGGCCCAGCAAAACAGAAATGAACCAGATCTTGGGAAGCTGCCATTCAACAGGGCGCAAGTCAAAAGACGCATTATCGTATGCCACAGCAACAGTTGCCAAATCCGCAAAAAGAGCGAGGAAAACGATCAACTCAACGCGAATGCTTTCGTTGAGAATAATCATTGATGTCACAAGGTAAATCTCCAAGTGCAAGCAAAGGGCGATACGATACTGGATATAGGCCTTCATGCGGTGAAAAATCTGCCGAGCAACCTTGATTGAATCGATGATCGTAGACAAACCAGGCTCCAAAAACACAATATCAGAAGCTGACTGAGCGGCCTCTGACGCTCCTTCAACAGCGATACCGCAATCAGCTTTCTTCAATGACGGCGCATCATTAACACCATCCCCCGTCATCGCCGTTAAATGACCACGGTCTTGGAGCATCTGTACAACTTGATATTTATGTTCGGGAAACACCTCGGCGAATCCGTCTGCTTTTTCAACCAGATCACCTGCCATGGCGCCACTGAGACCGCCATGGATCAGCTTGTCGGAGTTATACACTTTGGTGCCGAGTGCAAGCATCTTGCAGGTTTCTTTCGCGATTGCAATGGCGTCACCCGTAAGCATTTTCACACTGATACCCAGGTTTTGGGCTTCGTTGATCGTCTGGGCTGTATCCTCTCGCGGTGGGTCGAACATGGGAAGCATTCCAAGGAGAGTCCACTCTTCTCCTTCCTTTTGGACTGCCACACCCAATGAGCGGAATCCTCGATGCGCAAACTCCTGCGCCTTGGCTTTATAATGGTCCGCAGTGCTCTTGGAACAATTCGTCAGCTGAAGCACGGCTTTCGGGGCGCCCTTGGTGCAGGTGTATCTGGTCCCATCGCAGCTTGCAATCGTCACGATACGCTTGGACACGGGATCGAAAGGAACGAATTTCTCGGTTTTCCAACCTCTTCGAAGGATTTCCCTTGCTCTTGGGTACTGCCGAAGGGTGAGGATCGTGACTTTATCGATCGGATCAAGCGAGTCAATATTATGTGAAGAAGCCAGGACGGCCACGGCAAACATCCAATCCACATCCACGCCTTCGGCGACATACGGCTCGCGAATGCTCAATTTGTTCGCCGTCAAGGTGCCCGTCTTATCCGAACACAAGATATCAACGCCCTGCTGACGGTTAGCAACTAGCACCGTCGATTCAATAGGCATGTCCCCAACGTACCGCCAATGATTCAATCGCAGTCAGCTTCTGCACGATTGCCTTCTTCTTGGCCAGGTATGCTGCTCCTACAGCCATTGTAGTGGTGGTCACGACCGGCAGACCGACAGGAACACCAATGATCAGCAGAGCCAGGGTGTAATGAAGGAGCGTCTGCTGGCCCGGCGAAGCAATCGGGATATGTCGGTAGAAACCGCCAATCCAAGCAGCCAAGATCCACGCCATCACGAGGATCAAAAGCGAGGTGCCGATGTTGTCCATCACGATTTCGAAATGGCCAGCGCCTTTGGCCGATTGCACCATGGTCGCGGTCTTACCCACGAAGGAGTTCCTCGCACCGGTCTGCACCACCGCATAGGCCTTACCGCGCTTACAGCCGGTCGTATAGTAGATCATGCCACCCATATAGCGATCAACTGCGAGCGACTCTCCTGTAATCGCAGAATGATCACAAGCAAGGATGGGGTAGCCTCGCCGTCTGGGCTTGGATTCCTCTTGCTTCTCCTCGCCCTCCTTTTGATTATCACCAGGCTCGTTGTCTTCGAGGTCGGACTCGGAGGTACTGCTAAGATCGCCTTGCTCCTGCATCCGTTTAAACTCCTCCATTCCATTGGGGTCATTGACATCGCAGATGACCTTGGAGTCGGCAGGGACAACCGAGCCTTCTCCGATGATAATCTATATTATACTGTTAGACCTCAGACCTCCAGTCGCAGACCTTGATACATACCACATCGCCAGGCACAAGCTCTCGCGCTAGAATCTCTTGTTGCTGGCCATCGCGGATGACGATCGCTCGCATCGCAATATCGCCCTTGAGACTAGCAACGACATCGGCAGCTTGTTTTTCTTGATACCAACCAACAGCGGCGTTCAGACACAGAATACCAATGATGACACCAAAGTCAATCCAATCATCTAGACCTGCCGCTAGAAGAACAGCCAACTCCATCACTGTGGCCATGTTAGAACAACTTGGGTCCTGGTTTGTCGGTGCACCCAGGGGTTTAAGGGCGTACCATAGAGAATGGGTCCTCTGAAATACGACAAGACCTTGGCGATGGGATTCTCCTTCTCTGATACCAATTCGTTCCAGCCAGATCGTCGACGACGAATAGAAACCTCATTCTCCGACAAACCCTGGCGGATGTCCGTGAGGAGCCATTCCTCCGGAAATTGCCCCTGTTGCTGGTCGACGTGTTTGACAAAAACCTTGCGCTTCTTCCAGGGTGCATACCACACCCTCTTCATCTCCTCTTCGCCCTGCGCCTCTTCGCCTCGGCCCCCCTCGCGATAGGTGGAGGCATACTTGACCAGCTTTCCATACTCGTCGAGGTTACTGTAGTCTTCCTTGTAAGACACGCGGGACACCCGTCTCGAGTCCCGTCGCTCAGAGGTAGAGACGCGGCCTTGCGGGCCGCGTTCAGCGTCGCCAGAAGCACCGGCTTGCTCAGCCATGTTCAATCCAGTAGTCTGTCTCGGGCAGCGGAGGATCGCGTTGTTGTGCCCTATACGCTCTGCGGGCCTCCCCTTGTGTTACAACAAAAGAGTGAGCGGAATCGACCTCTCGCAAGAAAGAGAGGAAAGGAGCAACTCCAGGAAAGCAAGCGACTGAACACTACGCCGTAGGAAAGAATCTCCCCGCCAGGGTTGGAGAAGAGACAAAGGAAAATGAGGAAGCTTCTTTTTTTTTTTTTCTTGGTCCCAAGGTGCAGGGATGTATGGGCGACTTTCACAGCAGATCGGTTCTCTGACGAATCGTCTGGACGGAGACAATCATGCTGACGTAGGTGAGGCCAGGAGATTCCGGCAGTCTACGGAGAGAGCGCTTGGGGGAAGGCGGGCTGGTCGTCAGTACCTTAGCAATTGAGCTTTAACCTGGTCAGACCACCGGAGCCAGTCGATAAGCAGACCAGAGGGATGACTCGTTGATTCGGCGAAGGCCAGAGTGTGTTGACGTATGAGACATGGTGAGCGTTCCGAATGAACCGTAGGGCATTGACGGGCCGAGTCTGGGAGCGTCTGGGAACACCTGGGAACACACCAGGAAGCCATTGTACCTTGGCAGAGGTGAATTCTGAGAGGGCACAGGAATTGACTCGTGACGCGATGATTCGTTCCAGGGGTCCGGGCCTGGACTGAGTAACGGCGCGGCAGCAGAGAACCAGGGAAAGGACGCAGCGCAGCAGGGATGACAGCTGCCAACAGTGGGGACTCGGAGGGTTGCCGTTCGGGATGGAGGGGAGGTGGTCATTGACTTGAGCATAAAATGTGAAAGATTAATGGTGGGAATGCGGGGGATTAGCAGATGGTTAGATGGCTAGTTCGATAGAAGTTGGAAGTATGAATCTGGCGAAGGAGAAAGTGGAAGATCGATGGAAGCGGACTAGAGTGAAAGCGGCCTAGTGGGACAAATGAGCCAAACTCGGTGGGTTTCCCGGGCGATCCCCCAGTCTGGATTGGGCTTAGCGGGGTGGTGCCAACTGCAACGTGACTCTGACAGCTCGACGTAATTCCCCTCCTCCCCACCTCACAATCCATTCTTCCCAGTTCTCCAAGACATCGCATTGCTGGTCCCACTGCCATGCGGCCATGCGAGGCGTGTCAGAGATAGCCTGAGCCACTTCGCTAAAGCCGTCAGTGTGTGGAGGCTAGCTAGTCAAGAAGGAACCAGATAAACAGAGGCTAGAATAAAGCAATCCTGGCAGATGTCATTCTCTTCAATGCCGTCATCACCTCGCAAGGTTCTGGGAATGTTACTCCGCGAAACTCTGATGAGGGATTTTCCCCGAGTCGGACGGCCTAGGTATACTGGATCCTGGCCTGTGGACGACCGCAAGAGGGTGCGAAGCGCCCTTCCAGCAACTCATAAAGCATCTTCAAAGCACCTACACTCAGCACTCAGGCACTTCAAGAATCTCGTAAAGCATCCCAAGAAGCACCTAGATCTTTTAGAGCTTTGAAGAGAAAAAGCCTTTGAAAGCGTCTCTGCATGTCCATAGACATATCATACTTGGTACTTGAGTTTGACCTGCGGTCTGAATCTGCGCTACTCGCAGTATCCAGGTCACATTACGGGTAGTTTACCAACCAGAGTACAAGATTATAAGTTCTTGGCGGCCAGAACCCTGCCTACACAGAAGGCAGATAAGAGTGTTGCTCAACGCTAATGCTCTTCGCTTTTAAACTTACTTCCCGCGCATATCAGACTATCCCGGTCATTCGTCAAGGGCCCTCTCTATGGCTTGGTAACCGCCTTAGTGGGATTGTGCGCATTTCAATGCATCGAATTCTTTCGATTCATCTACTGCTCATGTCTAGCGTATCTTCGTATCCCGCGCATATATTTATTTCACTCCGCTGTGCATCTATTTCTTGCCAGTGGGGATGTTGAACAGGATCGCCGGCTGGCCGGGGGTGTAGGGCCGATCGAGACGGTAGTAACCCTTGCGCTCGAACTGAATGATGTCGCCCTCCTTCAGGTCGGCAACGTTGCAGTCGGCCACAGCATCCTCACGGAACTCGGTCTTGGGGTTCAGCACGTCCTCAAGGCTATCCTCTTCCTGCATGGTGTCCTTGTTGAGGAGGTGGTCGAAGTCCACCAGTTCCACGGGGATCACATCCTGGTCCGTGGACAACCAAGTGACCTTCTTCTCGGTCTTCTTGAAGTCACCCTCCAGGTGCAGGTCCAGCTCCAGAGCCGTGACAACACCCGAGGCGTCGGTCTCGATCTTGCGGACAATGGCATTGCCCCAGCTCATGAGGGTGATCTCCTCACCCTGCTTGAAGGACTTGGCATCTTCCTGATCGAAGAGGACGGAACCGCTGAAGGCAACCTTCTTCTCGCCAAGGGCAGGGTTCTTGTTGTGCTTCGGCTTGTTCTCAGAGTAGGGAGCTGGCGCACCCTTGATAACGGCCTTCACCATGTCCTTCTTGAGAATGGCAGTGTGGCGAGGGGAAGTGGGGTCGATGTACTTCTTGTTGGTCGCCCAGAACAAAGTCCAATCGAGGTTGACAATGTTCTTGCTGGGTCCCTGCTTGAGAATAAATTCTCTAAGCGCCGGGATGGTCATACCCCTTCTCCGGATTCCCTTTAATTTATATTAGTATGCTTTCAGAAAGTTGTAGGTACATTCACTTACCCGAATAGTGGGGAATCTGGGGTCGTCCCAGCCCCAGACAACACCTTGGTCAACCAGCTTGGTGAGCTTACGCTTCGAGAGCAGGGTCCGGACAAAGTTCATGCGGGCAAAGTCCCAGATCTGCACATGGCGAAGCTTGAGCGTGTTCAAGAACCACTCGTACTGAGGGTTCCGGTCACGGTACTCGATGGTTCTCAAGGCATGGGTGACACCCTCCATCGAGTCAACGATAGGGCAGCAGAAGTCGTAGGTCGGGTAGGCTTTCCACTTGGTACCGGTGCGGTGGTGGGGGGCGGGGTTGCAGCGGTAGATGACGGGGTCACGCATGGCTTTGTTAGGGTTGTCCACCGACATCTTAGCACGGATGCACCATCTAAGGCCCTCAGGGGTGCCCTGCTTCATCTCCTCAAAGCGAGCAAGGTTCTGCTCAACGGAGGCGTCGCGACGCTTGCTGGGCTCGCCGTCCATTCTCTGTTGGCGCATTGTCTCCTGATCAGTATCGTCGGCATACGCATCTCCCTGGCGGATGATCTTCAGACCGTACTCGTAGAGCTCATCGAAGTAGTCACTGGTGTAGCTCGTCCGGTCAGGCTTGATGCCCATGAGCTGGAGGTCCTCGAGAATTGCATCCTGGAACTCCTGCTTCTCGTTCGAGGGGTTGGTATCATCGAAACGCACAAGCAGGGTGCCGTTGTACTTTTCGTGGGCAAAGTAGTCGTTGAGCAGAGCAGCCTTGGCGTGTCCAATGTGCAGGTATCCAGAAGGCTCAGGCGGGAACCGGGTGACAACACCCTTGTCCGTGTTCAGAAGGGCCACGTCGTAGCTAGCACCCTCCTTAGCCTTGGCGGTCTTCTTCTCCTTAGCAGCAGCGTTCAGGTTCTCCAAAGCAGTGCTAGCCCAGGGGCAAAGCTCATCGAGGAAGTTGAACCAACGGGTCACATTAACAAGGGCTCCCTTGCGGACCGCGGACACAGCAACCCGGTTTCCTCTGATCGCTCCCCAGAGAGCAATGTCGGGGGTGGAGAGCGAGTATCCAACCACGAAAGATCTAAGGAGAAGGTGGGTGTTCAGACGCTGGAGCTGAGGGTCGAGAGCCTTGAAGTCGAGAGTGGTGAAAGTTTCGAGCTGAGAGAGCCATTCGTTCTCCTGAAAGGTGAAAGAGCACTGTTAGCCAGAGTAGATTCGCAGTGCGCTGAGTCACATTGGCAACGCGGGGAGGGGTTGCAGCTGGGGTGGCGAAGCGGGGTCACTTACCAACTTTTCGTCCTTGCCATTGAGGAAGGGGAAGTTGGTACGCAGCTCCTTGATGACATTGTCGGGTCCGTACACAGGAGCACCGTTGGCCGTGAACTGAACGATGGCCTTGTCGCCTTGGGAGAGCACGGCGGTTTCCTCGTAGGTGATGGTGATGACGGGGCTAGGACGGGCCTCGTTGATGGAGGTAGCCACAAGCAGGACCGGAAGCAAGGCGGCCTGGTTGGCCCGGGTGGCCAGAGTGAGTTGGAACGACATCTTTCAATCTGATCGATGGCAGATGGTGGGATGGAAGATTATTGCCGGAGGGGCATTTTGACTGACTGGACTCCGCCGGCGGTACGTTTCTCCGCGGACAGGCCGGCCGGGCAACTCTAGATTTCGGCCAGAAAACATTCCCGGCGCCCTCAGCTCGACCGGAGTTCATCGCCATGGCTTCCTACAGTTCACTCCTGCCCACTGCGGCACGGGGAATCTTGTCATCATGTCGCCCTGCTCTTCGCCCGACCCCAATGGCCACTTTTCTGCCCGGCCTGCAACAGGTCCGAGCTGCTTCCCAGGCACGCAAGAAGGACCCGAAGGTCTCCAAGAAGAAGAAGGGTCCTAGGGAGTTCAAGCAGAAGGACCTCAAAGATATGCAGCAATTTGCGCTGTGCGATGCTATGAGGTATGCATGAGTGTTGTCGAGTCTCGATCGACTATGCCGCTGATTGCTCGATCCCTGCCGCAGATATCTCCGTGCATTCGAAGTTGGCCGCGAACCGACCTCGGCCAAATACGAGGTCCATGTCCGCTTGAAGACGAGGCGAGATGGTCCGGTTATTCGCAACATGCTCCGATTCCCTCACTCAGTCCAGACCGAGTCGCGAATTTGCGTCGTATGCCCCCCCGGAACCAGACATGAGAAGGAAGCCCGCGCGGCTGGAGCAGTTTTGGTGGGAGAGCAGGAGGTCTTCGATGCCGTCAAGGCCGGCAAGATTGAATTTGACCGCTGTCTCTGCCACCCGGATAGTTTGGATGCGTTGAACAAGGCTGGACTGGGTAGAATCCTTGGTCCTAGAGGTCTGATGCCCAGCGCCAAGACGGGCACGGTGGTCGAAGATATCGCTGTGAGAGTCGAGATGCTGCGTGGTGGTACGGTTTACCGCGAGCGTGATGCCGTTATTCGAGTCCCCATTGGACAGCTCGGATTCACCCCGGAGCAATTGCGTGACAACCTGCGCGCAACGATCGAGCAAATCAAGAAGGATGCGGCCGGCCTAAATGATCGCATCACCAAGGAGGTGTATGAGGTGGTAAGTGGACGGCTTGCCCCTTGCTCGCAAATGCCCTCGTGTGCTAACAACTGTTAGGTCCTGAGTTCGACCAACGGCCCCGGCTTCAGCTTGAACGGAGAATTCAAGTCGGACGACTCCATCGATTCCGCCGTTTTGCAGGGCGTGTAAAATAGTCTCTTGTCTCTTCACGTTCATGGGTGTACAGAATATGTTACATTAGGAAGGATACGGTGTATAATGGTATTGTTTCATATCTCACTCGGAACCAGCAAAGAAAGTCTCCCAACGCCAACGCTATGCAAAAGGCACAGACACCTAGGCCTTCATGTTTTTGAGAGCCGACACCGCGGTGGTGTCCTCTCCCATGAGCTTGTAGAGACGTAATACGGCCAGCGTTTTCGTATCCCGCTTGTCGCCTGCATGGCTTGCCTGTTCCAGGGCCGTCTTCAAGTCCAGGAGCACGGCCGATCGGATCTTCGCGATTCTGGGTTGTTGACTCTTCAAGAACGGATGCTCATCACCGATCCGGGACGAGAGCCTCGTCAGGTAGACATATTTCTGAATATGATGCTCGAGGGTCTTCAGGGAAACCAGAGAGGTTGTAGATGCACCATTCGGGAGCTCTTCCTCGTCGCTGTCTTCGCTTGCGCTCTCCAGCAGATCGGAATCCGAATCAGACCCGTCAGGGGAGCCGTCGTGAGGTTGTCGAGGGGTGTCTCCGATCATCAACTTCTTCTCCAGCTCCTCCACCCGATCCGCATAGTCCAACAAGGCCTGTCCGATGTTGGCTTGTGTCTTCAGGCGCTTCTTCTCCTTCAGCAGCTCCTCCATCTCTTGTTGCCTGGCCTCAACGTTATCCCGTATTGACTGGACATCGCGTTGGAATGTCAACAACCCGACTCGCACCTGCTCGACTTTCTCCTCTCCGCCGTGTAGTGCGCTCCCGAGGGATAGAAAGTCCTGGTAGTTTTCGTTAACCAGGTCGAGGAGTTCCCGACTGAGTAGTTGGTCCAAATCGCGCAGCTCCTGGCGCAGGTCTTCAAGACTCTGGTGTCGATTGGTGAGGGAGGATAGGTAGGTCGCGGGGTCGAAGTCGGGAGCTAGAAACGAGGCTCGTGAGAGGGGCTCAGGGAATGGCAGGCCGGAGGTATCATCGTCCAGGTCGGATGCAGACTCGTCGGAGTCGCCAAACTACCGCATTACGATCAGTTCCACTGAGGATGGCGGGGGACCAATGAGGTCAGACGGGGAAGGCATACGCGAAACCTATTCATCTTGAAAGGGTGGGGAGCGAATCCCAGGAAATGCGATCACTGAATTACTGGCGGGGAAGAGAGCGTCGAGGGGACATTCACGGGATGACGAGGAGGATGGCGATGATGATTGCTTGGTTCGTTTCTCCCCGTTCGGGTATAGAGTGGCCCGCCTCCATCGCCATGAATATTAATGAACCAGCCACTGACTATAACCTCTCCAGCATTCTGGACCTGGGCTGGACTGGGCCGTCCCCAGCCAACCGATCCACACCATTGTCATCTGCCTCCCGATCATGCCCGCCTGTCGGTCTCCTGAGCCCATGCATTCATTGTGTACCGTGGAGCGATGCGTGATACGTGTCCAGCGCTGTCTGCCCGCCCGCCGCCGCCGCCGCCGCTGTCTCACAGGCGCTTGAACTCTCTCTCCTGTTTGCGCATTGGCCGGAAGGCGGGGTTTTACTCCGGTGGTGGTGGTGGTGTTGTCGTCGTCCGCTGCTGCGTCACTGAGCTTGTCTGGACAGACGCGGCCTGCATCCAAGATGGATTATAGGTCGGGCAGGCTCACCCACACAGACGCATTCCCCTCGTCCTCGTCCACCTTGCCACGCCTGCATGCCTCGCCGGTGGTCGAGACTGTCCGACCTCAGCAACAGGTGAATCCCTATCGCTATGAACCGTCTCTGGATTCTCGAACCCATCCTACCACTACACTACGTCAGCCGAATAGGAATCCCAGGCCCTCGTCCTGGCGGAACCATCATCGACAAGCTTCTTCTCGATCCTCAACGTTGGCATCTCAGCCCGTGCTAGTTAGGGCATACTCGGGAAGCCCTCATGATACCTCCAGCACCACCACGATGCCTGTGCGGCGTTCATTCCCGTTCCTCGGTGGCCCAGGGAGTCAACGACGGGGGCCCGCCCTCCCGTCGGAGGAGGACTTCAGTATCGAAGGCATCCTACGAGCCATTGAACCTAATATCCGGCACACATTAGACTCTATCGGAGAAATATGCGGGCGCAGTAGGCTCAGCCTGGCCAACGAATATGGAAGCCACATTGCCCCTCTGGGCGAGATCCGCGCTCCTCCCGGAGGTCTGTTGACGGTCGAGGAGGCCAGCTCGGACCATGAAAGACAGACCGACAACGTGGTTATCTACGATGATGAGACCAGCGTTGCTGATGGGCGCGACCAGTCATCTTTTTCGCACTATCGAGACTGGGACAACGGCAGACATTTAGCGACAGGGTTCCAATCCAGAAGCCCGTTTTCCGGGGATGGCCCGTCGGCTCAGGTTCCACCCACTACTCCACGATCCGTCATGGCATTGCATTCTATGACAGGTGGACCTCTTCACACGACGAGAGAGTCCACGTCCAAGCCAAGGTCGTGCCGGATGCTACTGGGAAAGCAGGTCAACTCTGGCAGTATCCTGACACCGGCCCTCGTGTCAGAGATTCTGCTTGATGCTCAGGCTGAGGGAAACCCTATCAACAATTATTCATTGGAGTCTCCGCAAGGCCGCCGCTCCATCAAACCAGGAACCAAGGATGCTAAGCGGTGGCTCCCGGGCTGGCTCCAGCATGGTACCCTAGCCGATGGCAGGCAGACAACGGCTGAGATGCGACTACGAGCGATGTTGGAACGATACCAGAATACTCAGAATGCGTGATGAACAAATCTCATTGAAACAACGAAGCCACGACATAGCTATGTTCTGACGGCCGTGATGACATGATTGATATACGATGATATTACGACAAAAACTAAATAGCCTTGCCAAATCTCATGCATAATGACCCTCATGACTGGTACTTTTCTTCATTGTAATCATGAAATCGTATCAAGACGCCACCCATGACAGATGCTCTAACTAATCCAACTCCCATCTATCAACATCACCATAAACACTACGCTGACCCCTCAATCTCCCCAATCAATGTCTTCGCAAAGCCCTCAAACCGCTTACACGACCAACACTCTTTATACCTCTCCACCAGCGGTCTCTCATCCACCACCTCCTCCCCCTTCTCCTTCTCCCCATCCCCATCCTCATCATCACTATCCCCCACCTCCTCACCCCCAATCTTCCCCTCCACCAACTCCCCAAATCCCACATCAACCGGCACCTTCCCCAAAAACCTCACTCCCATTTCCTCCGCCAGGACCTGTCCACCCCCACTCGAAAACAAATTCGTCACCTCCCCACAACACGAACACGTATACCCCGACATATTCTCCACCACGCCCAACATCGGAATTCTCGTCTTCACACAAAAGTTCACCTCTTTCCTAACATCACTAGTCGCCACAGCCTGAGGTGTAGTTACTAACACCGCGCCAGCTAATCTCGGTTGCTGCCCTTGACCCGAAGAGGAGGTATCCAATGTACAAAGCGTAAGCAATTGTTCCGCAAGAGCAATATGCTCATCACTCGTGCCCGGTGGCGTATCAATAAGCAGGTAATCGGTGTCGGACCACAACACATCGGAGAGGAATTGTCGGATCATGGCTGTTTTCTTGGGTCCGCGCCAGATTACGGCGTCGGAGCGAGATTGCAAAAGGAATCCGAGGGACATGCAGCGGAGGGAGCCGCGGGGAGGTTGTGGTTCATCGCTGGTGGAAGAAGGCGGGGTGGAGGGATGGACGGGGACGGGGAGCCAGCCGCCAGGGGCTTGGGTGATTTTGGCGTCTTCGAGACCGACGAGACGGGGGATGGAGGGACCGGTGAGGTCGATGTCCAGAATACCGACTGATTTGCCTTGGAGGGTGAGGGATAGGGCGAGTTGAAGGGTCACGGAGGATTTGCCGACGCCGCCTTTGCCGGAGAGGACCTGGGGAGTTGGGGGTTAGTTGGGTTTGGGTGGTGGGTTGGTTTGAGGGTGGGGGGATGAGGAGGATTGGGATAGATAGAAGGTTTGGATCTAGATGTGTGTAGGTGTAGAATTGTAGACATCTCATGGCCATCCATCTTCTGCTGCGCAAATGCGCCGTTATCGATAAGAGAAGGAGGGGCTGTCGCGGTGGTGGTAAAGTGGGAATGGCGGCAACTTACCAGCACGACGTTCTTGACTCCGTCGAGAGGCATCTTGACGGTCTATATCTCTGGTGCTGTAAGGGTGTGTGAGAGAGTGTGCAGCGTCGCAGTTGGTTCAGGTGATGGATGGCGAAGCCGATCTCGGGTGCTTTTTTCTGCGTCATTCCGCGGAGCTTGCTTATCAATCCAGCCGGAACAGAGATATCGAATCGACTCCATACACTCTCAAAGTCTGCCCCATCTAGGTTGCAAATAGTGTGAGATCGAGACTCAATGTATACCAGGGCATAGTTGAGGTGTACGCTACTATCTTTCTTCCAATCGAATCGGCCACTCTATTGGTCTTGGGCCAACAGTGACCCGCTAATTATGAATCGTGTGACATGAATTTGAAATCCGAGTCTGCTTCAAACTTGAACCCTTGTCCAAGCGCCCAATACCATGGTCCTGAGAAATTGCACCGAGCTTATGCAAACCTCTATTACCCAACATGCCACTCAACAGCCTATTGCCACCGCTGCACCACCACTCCGCCGCGCTTAAACTCTGCCATGTCACCCAACACAGCGCTCTTATCCGAAAGGTCCTTGCTGGGGAACGTAGTCATCAGGGTCCACGCGCGTGACTGGCTACTAGGGCTGGCGGCAGACACAAATTGGTAGACATCGCCGATCGTGTGGGAAGTGTTGAACCGGGACGTGAGTCGGGTGCCATCACCGAGTCGAATCTGTAGAGTCACCGTCGGCTGCGACTCGTCCACGTCCGGCTTGGCTGGCTCGCTGGACTGACTGGGTGTAGGGGCAGCGGCGGCGGGCGGTTTCACCCCGGGCGTGGGACTGCCGAGTCGCTGTCCAGCCCCCGCAAAAGGCTTGTACTTCGGCTTAGGCTTGACGTATTTCTCTCCATGCTGTTTGATCTCCACATCCACCTCCTGGCCTGCCTGCACATTCATGATGGAGAGCGGAGCGCGACCCTGGCGGATACCATCGAGGATGTCGCGGTTGACGGGGTCGTCGGAGTTGAATAGCGGCCCATCATCGACAGAAAAGCCATCTGACCAGAAGTGGAGGGTTCTGTGTACGCGCCGTGGCAGCTGCGCGCTCGGCGCGCTGGGGGTTTCGATTACCCTGCTAGGAGCATCGTCACCACCAAGGGTACGTGCGGCCCCGGTGAAATGGGACCTTTTAGTCGGTTCCTCCGACGGCCGGGGCTGATTTCTAGAATAATTTAGCCCTGACTGACCATGTCCATTCTTGAGATCTTACCGTTTCGCTTTTTCGATGATCTTCTTCTTGATATCATCGGGGTTTTGCACGGCCAAGCCAGACTTTTCACCTCCTGCGAATAAGTCCTGGCTTTCCTGGTCGTCTTCCTCAGAAGACTCACCTCCACCCGACGCAAAATCGCCCAGAGTCGCGAACTTCTTTTTCGGGGCCGATTTGCGGGACGACGGTTGCGGGGTAGTGGAGGGGGAGTGCGAGGAGCTGCCACCGAGCGCGTTACCTGCAGAGGATTCTGATTTGTCCCCCAGTCGTCGACCGCCAGCTGTGCTAACGTCCTCTGAAACTTCATCTTGTTCGGCGAAGAATTCGGTCACTGCCGCTTCGAGGTCCCACTCGTTGGCTGCCAGATAACCTTGTGCCTGGGATATGCTATGTGATTAGTGACCAAACCTACTACTGGAGCTGATGCAACATACCTCTTCGGGGTTTGTCCTCGTCATGGCGCAAAATTGAGAGACAATCTCATCACGTTCTGCGTTGTGCTCCATGTTGATAGTAAATTAACTGCGACGGAACTGCGCGTTGGAAACTTTGATAGTACCAGTTGCGTGGCTTCCTGATCAGCGCAGGATCTGGAGTTATATAGGGTGAAAGGTCAAGAATCACGGAGAGGAATACCGTAGTTCGGGGAGATGGATTGATTATTACTGGAGCTCTACTCGAAGCCGAAGAGCCAGCGGAACTTACCAACGACGGTACGTCACTGTTGCCTGATTGGTCATCCGGAAGAGGGGATCTTCCGCCAGTGCCTGAGGAATCCACTGGCGTTCCGAGAACTTCGGCAGTGACCATTGCACAAGTGACTTCATCTCTTGATCAGTCAGTCCTCTCACTTGCTACTCTCATACCCGGCAGCAAGCACTCCTCTTACGATCCTAGCCAGGTAAATCATCCGATCTGGACTGCCTGTTCTGGTGCTGGAGGACGCACCGCAAGGGCAGGCTGCTTACCTAAGGCATCTGCAGGTCAGGTGTAGATCGTCCATCCAGCCAACCCCAAGGGACCCTCGTCGACCTCAACCAGCGCGAAATTCCCCTCCATTCAGTCGGTCTTATTCCGACCTCTTCCTATCTCACAGTCGCTAATTCTTTTACAGCAGCAGGCCAGCATCCTCACAGTCCTACCTCCGTCTTTTGCGTTTTGCCTCCGTTGTCTCCTGCCTTCTCCCCGCACCATGGCCGCCGACCTCTCCAATTCGAGGGAGCTATATGAATCCGGCTTGACGGTCCACTCGGACTCCGAGAACTACTCGGCCAACCACGACATATCCGGGTCCCAGTCCTCTTCTTCGAGCTCTCCCCTCATTCTCTACAAGCCCCCTACTTTCTGGAGCATCCTGCGAGGGGCCGCGATCAACCTCGTTCTCCCGTTTGTGAATGGGCTGATGCTGGGATTTGGCGAGTTGTTCGCTCATGAAGCAGCCTATAGACTAGGATGGTCCGGAACAAAGGTACGACGGCAACTTTCATGCGAATCCCGGGTGCAGGGCTTGTTCTTGGTCCGGCCCGCGTTTTTGCTCAAGGATGCTAACCAGACGTCTTGCAGGTTTTCCCCACGCATCGCCGATCTAGGCCTCTGGGACCCGGGGTCGAGGTTCGAGATACCCCGTTGCGGAGGGGCACTAGGGCGGCTGGCCTGCAAGACGCTACGTCTCTGGAGTAGACCCGGCCGGCGTAGCAAACGATATAGATCATTGCGCCCAATTCTCTTTGGCATGTACGGGGAACGGACCTTGTCACAGGTGGGGTTACAATGTACATAGATCAAGCATCAGTAATCGGTCTGACTGGACGGCGTATGGCGAACCACCTCGAATTTGACATCTCATATGGCGCGATTACTCCATACTATGTACAATCCCCGTATAGCAGCCGGCTACCGCCCGGCAGAAAAGGCGGGCTTGGCATCGAAAAAGCGTCGCCGGCGCGATTTTGGCCATCTCCGTCCGTCTCGGTCCTCCCCAAAGTCATCCAGATCCTCCGCCTTCTTACAATTCTTTACCATGTTGGGAGGTTATGGTCTCAGTGGACGCGGCGTTATGCCCGTCGTGGCCCGCCAACGGTTCAATGCCTTTTCTCGTTCCAGCCGATCGGTTCGTCGTTGGCCGTCCTTTTCGCCAGTGTCCAGTGCAAGGTTGACTTTGTCCTACAGATGTCCTCATTCCGCTCGCAGGCCCTGAGAACCGCCACCCCTTATGGCCAGGCAAGTAAGATTCTGGCTGGAACTCGCTCCTGGCGGCCTGCAGCCGCGATTGCCGGAGTGGCCGTCGCCCGCTTCAATTCCACCTCGGCCCCTTCGACCACCACTTTCCCGACTGCTGAGAGTGATCCCTCCGCCTTGAAGCCTTCGGACTCATTTGAGTTGGACGTGTCGGACCTTTCCGCGGTTGACATTAATGCGATCCCGGAACAGATTGGGTATCTGAAGCAGCTGGGGTTGGATTTCGGCTGGGGCACTTCCTCCATTGTCGAATGGTTAATTGAGCACTTCCATGTTGCCGCGGGTCTCCCCTGGTGGGGTGGCATCGTCGCCACTGGTATTTTCATTCGTTTGGCCCTTTTGGGTCCAATGCTTTCGGCCGTGGATGCCAGCACAAGGCTCAACAATATCAAGCACCTTACCGGTCCGGTTCGGAAGGAGATGATGATGGCCCACAAAAGGAATGATACGGTGGAATCGACCAAGAAACGGGCCGAGCTGAGCAGGCTGCACTCATCACACGGTGTCGCTCCCTGGAAGGCGATGATCCCGATGGCTCAGATCCCCTTGGGATTTGGCTGTTACCGAGTTGTCAACAACATGTGCGGGTTGCCGGTGCCCGGATTGGCCACGGAATCTGTTGCCTGGCTGCAGGACCTCACTGTCGCCGATCCATACTTCATCCTCCCAATCGTCTCAGCCGTCTGCATGCATCTCACTCTCAAGGTACGGAAGCCTTGCGTCGCTCGATTAGCTTGACTTCTACTCTTGTCACCGTCGCTAACGCAGTTGCTTACAGAAAGGTGGAGATACGGGTACGAGCCCACTGGCAGACTCGTCACTTAAGAATGCTGTCTTCTTCGGTCTGCCCTTGTTATCATTCGCATTCATGGCTAGCTTCTCGGCCGCCCTCCAGCTCTACTTCACCACCACCGGTGTGTTTGCTCTGGGACAAACCTACCTAGTTAGCTCTCCCAGCTTTCGGAAAATGGTCGGCATCACCCAGGTGGACCCAAACGCCCCGAACTACGACTTGGTGGGCACGATCAAAAACGATCTTCGCATGATCGACGAAGAATACAAAGCGCGAGTTGCCAAGCTGGCAGCTGAAATCGAGGCGGCTGAGCGCCAAAGGTTGAGTTTCATTGACCGCACCATCGGGGATGTCAAGGAGAGTGGGCTTCAGATGAAGAAGGAAATGCAAGAGAAGATTGAAGAGTATCGTGGCACTGGACCCGCTACGAATGCGGATGGGTCTGTCGCCGGGCCCCCAAGACTCAGTGAGAAGGACCGCAAGTTGGCGGATGACTACGAGAGACGGAGGCAGGAGGAGGAGGAATGGAGGCGTGAGGAGCGGAATCATGCCCGCCGCGAGGCTCATCAGAGGGCCATGGCCCAGCAGCGGCAAAAGGCTCAGGAGAGCTTCAAACCGGCATCCAAAGCCAACCGGCCGTGAGGGAATGTTATGACCAGGCGTGAAGGCTCCAGCGGGTGGGTTGTAATTATCTGTATTATATTTGATGCCATCTCATTCATCGGCTTGTTTTATTGGAATAGATTAGGATTTTCTGATCACTGACTGCTCTGTCTCTGTCTCTTAATTCACATGGCTTGTCACCATGTTGCTGTCACTCGTATTGTCACCGTCACTGCCGGCGGGTTGCTCTATAAAACCGCCATCGTCCCGCTGACAGTCATCTCCTTGCTTTCGTGTTCATCCTCTCCTCCTTTCCTCACCGATCCTCTTCATCCCAGATACCAGACAACAGACAGGAAATACAAGAATCATTCTCTTCTCCGGTCCTCACATAATGGACCAGAAGAAAGACCGTCCCGATGAAGGCAATGGCAAGAGATATCCTGGCGCTGTGTCGGGTTTCATCCCTCGAATGGGTCCAACAAAATCTCTGCTACGATGGACCAGTCAATTGAACCTATTTACATTTCTTCTTCCGTCGGGTATCATCCAGAGACACAGCCTTCATCCCGCTATCGTTCTCTTATGGACATGGCTATCACCGCTACGGCGTCAGGTCATGATCAAGCAATCAACCGACCGAAGATCCGGTCAATAAACTCGAGTGCTTCGAACTTTTGCTCAGAACAGCTTTCCAGCTCTAAGCTTATCACTCTAAGCTCTACCCCGGCTACCAAATGTGTTGGGATACAGTTCTCGTTCCGTCTGTTCTCCAGATGGCCAGCGGTATATCGTTTTGGCGTACTGGTAAGAACGTGACAGGTTATGGGCCTGGCAACTCGCCGCGGAGCACTGCTTTCTTCGTTTTCTAGCATTTTTCGAAGCTATTCAGCGGATTTTCGCGTTACCAAGGATCCCCAGGACATTCCTGCAGAGTCGCGACCCCAGGGACACCGAACCTCCCCCCACAACACCGAGGATTCCCAATCCGACTGGTATTTTCAATCCACTCCTACCAACCGCCAACAGAGCCATACAAAGGTCTACAATAGCAAGCGGAGGAGGATCTGTTTCGTTCCTGCATATCAGCAAGGACAACACTACTACCGCAAACCCCTCGACCCAGGCACATTAAATCCCGAAGAAACTGTCGGAGGGCCTTGCTGGCGTCTCGGAAATACTAAAAGAACATGCAAATTTTGAAACATGGGACTTTAGGATTAGATTAACACTGAAGAACGTTAGATTGCAAGACCTGATCAATAAAATACTGCTCAGAGATGTGGAGTCTGATCTACCTAACTGGACGGCCAGTATCGAACTCCATCTTCCCAATGACGCGTCTGAAACACTGACAGAGATGCAATAGAAAAGGGAGATAAACAGGACCTGTCGAATTCCGCAGCATCTGCCTCGCGTCCCTGACAGAATGTCTACCTTTTGAAGTCGGATGCCGTATGGACATGGATCTAGGCTGTGAACAAACAACTCAACGCACTGGATCTTGGTCAATAGACTGGAGTTTCGAGCCCTGCCCAAGCAGGGTTTAGCCTTGAGGTCATTATTCTAAGCTATATGCTCTTTTTCAAAAGGTTATTAAGGCTATGCTATTATCAAGGCTAGTGAGTTCCAAGCTATAGATAGCATGATCAACTTGACTGACTAATCGCTAATGTAGTCCTGAGCTCATATTCCAGGCTCCTTCGTCAAGTCTCGAATGGTTCACCACGATGAGCTTTCCAGAATAGAAAAGAATCACTCTGACCACAATCCAAGATATGGGTCTTCCACGATAGTGACCGATAGTTGCATCGCGGATTGAAAGAATTCCAAATCTTTCATAGTTCTAAATGGGCGGTTTTTGCATGGCCTTCGTGTTGAGCTTATCAATCGCTAGCAAGCCATTGACTGATGCCTTTGAGACTTGGAAGCATTTGTCAAGATTATATCTTCGCTTTCAGCTCGCATACTATATATATTGTGATGCTTTTGCACCGGACTGCCACCTCCAGAGGGTTCAAACAATATGGCTGATTGCATGGTTCCCCATGTCTATCCCTTTCATGGTCTAGCAGGGTTGCGCTCTTGGAACCACTAAGTTGAGTGACCATTGCCATTGCGGTCAATCTGCGTGAATATGATGCGACTGTTGTCAATCAGTTGAACGTCATCATCGCGACCGATTTGTATCCAACAAGATTGAACTTATAACGTCCATGATCTTTGTTGAGGACCTATCCACCAACCTCGTATCACGAATCCATACACCTCATTGATCGATGTTCATAAACACAGACTCCTGTCCATCCATCCAGTATCTGTTCCATATCCTCTCTTATGCTTTTGCCTTGTCTCTGGCATCTCTGCTAGTACGAAAAGCACGGCACGTGAGCATCTGACCGTCTCTCCGATGATTGGCAGCTCGCACCGCTTCAGGATTGCGTCAGCATATTAGGCCTTGGCTTCCATGGCTTCCATGCATGATCAGGTTAGGCGGCGGTGCAAAATGGCCGCAAAGGATGGCACGGTCCTCGATCATCCAGAACACGTGTTGGTGGCGGGCATCCGCTGGTGGCAGCCATAAGCCCAGAGCTCGTTGAAGATCGCTGATAACAGCCGTGGTGATAAAGCCATGGCATCCCAGCGATGTTATCTAATGGTTAAAAGCTGTGCTTGCATAGCACCTAACAGAAGGATGCATGTTCTATAGCAGGATTAGGAACAACCGAGGCTGGAACACATCCAGGCCTTATTCAAGGCAAGTATCTGCTGTGTGAGAATAAAGGAAGAGTAACAAGAGAAGAATCGAGGGCTTCTATCAACATAACCGCTCATTTGGCTCTTATCTAGCCTGCCGAGTCAAAGACAGTGAACGAAGTGTGAAAGATATGAGGGAACAGCCTCTCAAACTCTTCACCCTCATCCAACTCTATCACACACTTCAACTCACACAAGATCTCACACTCAACATCCAATGCCTTCTTCCAACTCAAGAGCCACATGTTTAGCCGTCTCAACCACAGACCAACCTCGTCCTGACACAAGGCTAAAACAGCCATGCAGTCTCTGATCACAGAGTTCCTGTTCTCCATTATGCACTGTCTCCGTAACGCTCTCAACGTCCCCACCGTACTTGTCATATGCATGCCTCTCACACTTGCTTTCTACATGCGCCTGAAAGCATCAATGCAACGTCTCCTCACCCACCGCCGCCAATTATTACCTCGGCAACGGCGCATTCTGAGACTGCAACAACTGCAAGAATCATTGATCGAAGACCATATACGGACTCATGATGCTGTCAATTCACCTCAACGTCATGGTCATCCTCGGTATTAGAATCGGGAAGCAAGAGCGCATCCACACCTATGGGAGGACCTACAAACCCAGGATCTGTCACTTCATCCGTGCTCCGATCTCTCCATGTATCAAGCCAGACAGCAAGCGAAGGCATATCGTCTATTGGATATGCCTCGAAAAGGTCTTGGTCAGTGAGAGCGAGCTCATATCTTCCCATTCAGATGTTCTAGGTCATGTTTCGGCCTTGTATATAAAGGATATGATATAATGGCTCTTCCTCTTCAGTGGAGTCGTTTATTCCTCTAATGGTTTCCATTGATCAAGATCAAGATCATATATATCATCAGATCTTCAAGCGAACGAAACCGTCTCTGCCGCCTAAGTGCGTGGGCTGTTTCTGTCCAGTTTGTGTCTGTCATCTATCCTACTTTTATCATATGTGGCTTATCACTAAACCGTCAGTCCAGACGGAAACAAAAAATAGAAACACTCGGAATACTTCCCCAAAGGGAAGTAGAGTGACAACTAAAGTGCATACTTTATACTTTCACCCAACGCCTGTTCATATAATGAAGCAAGCATATTGGTCCCGATCATGATGAAGGCGGACATGAAATGGATAAATAGTGTTTTGGTACGGTATATCTATCTATGGGGGATAAATAGTAGATTGGCCAAGCACGGCTTACTTGTCTTCCGTCTATGAATTCTTACATTACAGTACCTATTACTATCAGCACCAATCAGCGAAGTATCATTAATGAAATAAAGTTGAACCGTTTCAATTAGAAGAAAAAAAGATTGACTGAATTAGATTGGATATCTATGCTAAAGCATCCTGTCTACTTAACTAGACATGGCAGGGTATCCATCACAAGTCAAGAAACTAGTATTTAGTTACATGGGTTCAGAGGTTTGTGCCACAGCACGAAAATAACACCGAGCAAGCCCAGAATCAAATCAACCTAACCTACTCAATCGCCATCCGACGCATTCTTCCAACCTCAATATCCTCCTGACCATCTTTCTCATCATTATGAGACACTTTCTTCTCAATCCAGGCCGTAATTCTCGCGCACCAGGGATCGACATAACGAGTCCACAGCATGGCAACGCCGTAAACAAGACCAATCCAAACGATGATCCATCCCCACCGCCATCCGCCTTTGAAGGGCAACCAGGGTGGGGAAGTCACGGCCCCGGTTTCTTCGTCGATAGTCTCCAGCCAAGGCTCGCCTGAGAAAGTCCCATACAGCATCCAGCAGAGTACCGTGCGCAGCAAAGTGCCGTGGAGGAGGTAGACGGCGAAGCTCTGCCTGCCGAGCCAGAGGAGCGCACGGGAGGAGAGGACGCGCTGGGCGGTCGGGGAGAGGAAAATCGCTGCGATGAGTAGGTCCACGCCGATGGCCGTGTATCGCTTGGCGATGTTGACTTCGGGGGGGAAGATGTAGGTGGCGAGTTCGAAGAGCTGGGCGGACCAGGGCGACCAGGTAGGGTTTTCTCCGGGGTAAGAGGCGAGGTACAGGCCCACGGGGACGAGGAGGGTGAGGATGAAGAAGCGGCGCAGCCACGGATGGGCGTGGATGAGAGTGGGGAGAACAGAAGACTGAGAAAGGTCGGCGAGGAAGAGGCCGTAGATGGCTTGAATTTGGAAGGTTTCTGAAACGGTAGAAGAATGGTTAGTGAGGTGAACTAGGGGAATGGGGAGGGATGGATGTACCAGTATCTTTAGAGGCATCCTGATGAAAGTACAGAATCAGAAGAGAGTAGATGACGACCCGCCAGCGGAATCGAACAAACATGGTGGCGCAGACAAGGACATACACGAGCATCGAGGCCTTTAGAAGCGGAAGCAGTGCCCATTGGTGATCATCGTAAGCCATGTAGCCGTTGGTCCAAGTGCTGAGGAAGTTCCGTCCCAGTCGGATGACTTCGCTGCTGAGAGACTCCTCGACATCAGGCGCCGCATATCGACACCACTGACAGTCGGACCTGTTGGCCACGTTGAAGGCTCCGAACTGCGCCATAATCCACGAGATAATCAGCGCGATGGTGGCAGGCAAGATCAGGCGAAGCGGCCGACGGAACGCGCTTTTGGCGACGGCAGTAAAAGAGTCCAGATGGTTGCCAGCACGCGACAGCTTCAAAGGTTTCAGACTGCATACATAGCCGGTGAGGAAGGCAAAGATAGTCACGCCGATGCGACCCTGCCAGGGGATGCGCAAGATGGGCCACTGCAGAACGCGCGCAGGCACTACTTCAGTGTCTCTTGGAGAAAACAGACCATAGTCCCAGGCACGGGCGAGGTGAGTAAGGATCACAAGGAACGAGGCGATGCCGCGCAGGCCCTGTAGTTGGTTAGCTGAAGCAATCGTGAAGGTGTTGCTGGATACGCACATCAATCCATTTGACGCTCCTGCGGGCATCTCCCTGGCTGCTGGACGCGCCCCAGAAGGTGTCCTGGACGGTTGTATAGAGTCTCGAGTTATGTAAGAACCGCATGATGGGGGGTTTAGATCGGAGTTAACTGGAACTGGATGAGAGGTGAATGGGGAGGAGTTGCAGGGAATGCCATAAGGCCGGTGGGAAGAATGGCATCGTGACGAGAATCACTACAGGGGAACAACATATTAATCGTCGGGTCAACCAGCCAAGGCAGATGAAACTGCCAAAGTAGGAGCGGCCATTCCAGGGGTGAAGCGCCGAGCATCGAGCGTGCCAATCTGGGGGCAATTCAGAGGGTACTGTTTGGGAGGGAATTGCGCCATGCCGAACCCTATGAGGTGATGAATGATAGGCACACGTGCAGTCTTGGCCCTGGGCCACGAAGAATACTTCATACGTCCGGTTAATTATAGACATGCCGCTTGGCTTGGTTAATTAAAGGACTATCATCTTGCCAGTGGTCAGTACCAGCCATAACAGCCACAGTTAACGCCCTATTGTCTCAGCACTCACAGCGGTTTAACGGAAGATGCGGCGGCCTCCCACACTGCCAGCTGCCCACGTCACCGACCCTCGCACCCCCAGATTGCCCATACTCAACCCCGAAAACCCCACGCCTCCCCCTTCGCCGTCCCGCTTGTACCGCCGGAGCGCCTCTCGCAGGTGCGCCGGCAACAACTGGCCCCGATGCGGATTCGGCGGCAGCTTGACCTCTTTCTTCACCCCAGACATGGGCGCATTCTCCAATGGCTCCTGCTTAACACCTCCAGCCGGCGTTGATGTCGTCGTCTTTTCAGCCTCTATCGCAGCCAGAGCCGCCTGGTCATGGGCGATGGCCCATTCCGCCTGCACCGTCCTCGCCTTCTCAATCATCTCACCCGCAAACACCTTCGTAAATCCATTAATCGTAGTAACCACACTCGCCGGCACCGACTGTGAAAGCGCATGATTGACAATCCGTCGTAGCGTCTCCTTTCGTAACTTGGCTCGTTTGAACAGATCGTATCGCTCTGACTGGATGGGATTAAACGCGTCCACCAGTAACCTAGACCGCCAGTTAGCACTTCACCTGCATCGCATCGGGGATAAACCACGTACGCCAGATTCTTCTTCTCCGCCTCTGTATCCGTTGTCCCTTCTTCCCTCCCCAACAGCTCGCCCTCATCATCAAAATCTTCATCCTCATCCGCATCCTCGCCACCCCCACCACCGCCACCAGCCGGACCAGCTCTCACAGACGCCCCCTCCATGTCCACCGACCCCATCCGATCCATGCCAGCTCGAAGACTGCCTTCTTCTCGTTCCCGCTCCTTTTCTGCCTTGCTCTTGCGGCCGCGCTTCTTGCCCTTGGTCAAAAATACCCCGTCCGCACTCGTGCCTCCCAAACTGCCTGTAAAGCTGCCCGTAACACTTCCTGCATCGCTGTATGTGCGTGTGTCTGCGTCGATGGTACTTGGGAATGAGGTCTGGCGGAGGGGGTGCATCCGCGGTCGCTTCGGATGGCTGCCCAGCGGCTGGGAGGCGGCCGAGGAGATCGAAGGACGTTTCAACGGGTTTGAGGAAGGGGGCGGTGGCGATGACATGATGATGGATGTGTGTTGTAGGGGTGTTGAGAAGGTGATTCGTATTGGTTGGTCAGACACCGGTCGGCTCCCTGCGCGGACGAGAACTTGGATCCCGACCTCTCTGCAGGAACGGTCGTGGCACGCGAGTCAGGATCGCACCAGGATCAGTCGCTAAGATTTATGGAACGGATGAATATGGAGGATAGGGGATGCGGGAGACAGCCGAGTTGCAAACAAAAGGAAGAATGCGATGAAGGCGGAGGATGAAGGAAGGCTGCTTATCGTGTTACGGCGGCCCCATCCGGCAAGTCTACCGAGTGGCCGACTTTCCTCGGCGCGCCGCCCGCTGCTTATTTCTACCTCACTTTACAAGGGATTGGTACTACACAACCACAGAACGCAACCGAATGTCTCGACTAACATTGCTCAAAAGGCACTAAGCTCAATCGCTGGATGACAGAAAAACATGACAAAAGCCCGAAAGTCAACCCATCAAAGCATCAAAGAAACAGATCACATTCTCCCATGTCCCACCCACCGTCATAATTTGGACGAATACCGTGCTCGCTCTCAAACGCGCTCTTCGCCGAGCCGAGGGGCCCCCCCTTTCCAGTCAAGACGTTCGTAGTAGCGGAACACCAGGTCATATCCGTCCAAATCATGCACAATCCGATCCACCCGACGATATCCTGCCACGTGCTCCATCTTGGTGCGACGCGCCGCCTGCCGTTCGATATACTTGGCCTCCTTGATGGCATCCCACTCGCCCTCGGCCGCAGTCACCTCGGGCTTGGCCTCGAACAGGGTCACCGTGAAGCGTCCAGGCTTGAAGATGCTCACCACCTGCTCCACGATCTCCTGAGTAGTCTGGCCGTTCTGCGAGTGAGGCACGTTGGTCTCGAACGACGCATACGAGCACTGGGGCTCCGGGGTCACATGCACCGTGAAGTAATGGGTTCCCGTGTTCTTGTCAGGCGTGGGGATAACACCATTGGCAGAGAACCCACACGGAGTGAACAGGTACGCGTCAATTCGAGACTCGGGGAACTTGCTCTTCGGGTAGACGTCCGAAAGGCCACAAGACTCCGACACGACCGTGCCCAAAGCGTGACCCTCGGTGGTCAGCTCCGGAGGTAAAACCCGGCTGCCGTTCGATGACATATCATCCATATCGGAGTTGTTGCTGAACACATCAACGTGGTCATCGTTGTCAGCATCGAAGTTGCGGTAACGCTTCTCCGCAACAGCCGTGGCATGCTCAAGGTAGAACTGCTTGGCATTCGCCTCATCCAAGTCGGTCATCAACACCTCCAGCGTCTCATCCTGATCTTCACGGGTCTGATGCACACCATTCGCCGGCACCTGAAGGATCTTGGTTTCGGTCACGGGATCCTCCGACTCCAACCCGGGGCTGGCCGGGGGGGTGAGCAAAGTGTTGGGCTCAGTCAAGTAGAGGTACCAATGCTCGCCGTTCATCTTGCCAATCATGTAGGCGCTACCGTTGAGGAAAAGTCTGTCCATGTTCCGGACCTCATCTCTCCAGCTGCGGTGGGGACCGCGCTGGCGATCAGGGAACAGGAAGTTCTTGCGGCTGTAGAACACGCGGTACGGGGCCGCGGCGACGGAAATACCGCGAGAAGCAGGCGCGGTAGACCGAGGGAAGCCACCGAACAAGGCCGCGATCTCGAGAATGCGCGGAAGCCCAGACAGCAAGGTAGTTGTGCCACAGGTCTTCAGAATTAGCTTGTGCGGCCAGACGAACATGCTGGACTCGGACAAGAGATAGGCGTCGACGTCCTCAGACGAGACAATGGAGAGCACTTGGCAGTTGACGAGATCCAGCATGTCCTTCCAGATCTCTTCGGGCACGGCCTTCAGGCCAGCGGGACCGGCAGATCCCAATTCCTGAGCGGAAGGCGCAAACCAAACCTCCAGGAGCTTCTCGGGGCCTGTTACACGTCAGAATGATCCACACACACGAGACTTGTCTGAGCCCACATACCTTCAAAGGCGTTGGTCGAATCAAGATCCTGGGTCGCCTCATGGTTGATCGTCAAGGACGGGGTCGTCCCCATGAAAGAGGACGGCGACGCCGTGTAATGCTGGGGGATTCCAATGTAAACCATCTTGACCGATTGAGGATGTAACAGGTGGATCGATAAGAGCAAGTGTATAGCAGGCGCACGCGACTGGATTCGTGGACCGTAGACAGAGCCTAGGAAGCACTATCTGCTGCCCAGACGAACAGGGGGGCTATGTCCGTCTGAGAGAGTAGGCCCTTTATCGGTTTTGTAATTGGCACTCAGCCAAAGAGGGGTGATTCAGTGGAGCCGAAGGGCTGCTAGGGAGGTCGGAAGGAAAGGGAAAGGAGGAAAAAGCCTCTGGAAAAGGGAATGGTGACTATCTGGTTTAGACCCTCGCGCTGGAAGATACCGATACCGGCGAAAGTATCGGGTCTAGCAGACGAGAGTATCTGCTTTTTGAATTTGAGATGAGGAAAAGGTGAGGTTTGCGCGACTGGAAAAAAAGGTGGGGTTTAGGCGTGTTATCGGGGCCTGTCGCGAGGGGTTAGCCATGGCCTTGATCCACCGCGGACCAGAAAATTCAGGCAGACAACATACTTTGCGGGCTTAGACAGGTATCGTAGTAGGTCCTTCGGGTTCATGGAAGGCAGGACACGGGACGGGCTTAAAACAGCACGATGTCGCAAGAAGCCACAGCACTGAACATCTGCGAGGCAACTTGGACAGCAGCGGCAACGGCAGGGTAAGTACAGGGACCAGCAGGCGGATTGGCTCTTTGATCAGTCAATGAGTCAAAGACACCAAGACACAATCCTCCGCCGAGTAGGAGGGGAGGAATAAATAAGATTGAGAAAGAGGCACGCGGACGTGGGGGGGAAAGAAGTGGTGATGGCCGATGCTTGAGCGATTATTATTGCTGTCTGTGGTCTGTGGGCCCGAAAAAAGTTCGTGGGGCGGCAAAGGCCAATCTGGGTTGGGCGTGACAACGCAGAATCTGAGAGAAGGCGGAACGGCAGCCACGGTCAGGGACACGGATCCTATCATGCAAGGTCGGGAGGACGAGGGGTATTGGGATTGGGAGGGGAAATGCAGGAACATATACGCACCTGACTTTGGGCAAGCAATGTGATTTCAGGAGGGGGAATGATGAGATGGGGTTGACTGCGCCGGCCGGAAAAGAAGGCCTGGAAGAAGGAATGCGCCGTCGGGACTCCTGCAAAAAGCAAGCAAAAAAACCCGACCAGGCAGGCGGTCGCACAAGGGTCACATCGGCTGTTACCTAAGCCGGTGACGTCGTGGGTCGAAACAGGAAGACCGTCACACGGCGGGCTGCCTGAGGGATATCTACCTGGTATTTCAACTCTACACAATTCATCAAATGATGCACAAACTAACCCCCCGCTATCTGTCATTTAATGGTAAAATGTCCCTCTCTAAACACCCGTCCCAAACGCCATTCTGTCCATGCCAACAATAGAAAATTAAGAGAGAAAAAAAAAAAAAAGAAAGAAAGAAAGAAAGAAAACAAAGGGTCCCTGGCACCGCCACTGTATGTGCAAAGATAGTAGGTAGTTGGGGATTCCGGCCGAAATCGGGCTCAGGACTCCACTATCGCATGCGCCATGTCGACCTCCCCCGCGTCACTAATCTTCGCAGCAAGGAATTCACCCACCTTACCACTCAGGCGCTCTCGTAGTCCATCCGTCACCATGCCTCCATGTCCGTTGGCAAGAGCCGGCCGTCCCTCCCGTAGCGTGGCCAGGACCCCGAGCAGCACCGCCAGGACCTTCTCTGCCTCCGGTCGGCGGGGGCTCTCTTCCACCATGCCATCCTTGAGCAGGTTGCCGTACGTCGGCAGATTAGGCAGGATCAGCACCCGCACCCCCTCCGCACCGCCGACCGCATGCAATCCAATAATAGCTCCATAGTGTGCCCCAAATGGCTTCGACGGGTCCAGGAACGTTTTGAGGCACGACCGGGCGAGACGTTGCTTGAGCGTATGCGACGAATTGGAGTATTTCTTGGCAATGAGGCCCAGAAGCGATGCGGCAAGGTCGCGCAGGGCAAACTGCTCCGACAGTTCAGCATTTCCACCAAGTTGCCGGCCGATCAAGCAGGTGAGGATAGGCGGTACAAGTGAGGCAATCTACTAGGATCAGTGGGGGTCGCTGCATCATGTGAAAACAAGACTCACATAGGGGTCCACGTAGAGCGACTGGTTCTGCACCAAAGCCTCGGCCATGTGCATCACTTGCGTTAAGACAAAGACATCCTTCAGTCCATGGGTCACCTTCTCCGAAATAAACTGGACAAAATATGGCACCAGCTGGTGAAGCCCAGGGTCTTCTCGCAAGCTGGCAAAACCGGACGTTCTGTATTCCTCGCTGGACTCGTCCAAAAAGGCGTTGCAGACTTTCTCGAAGTAAAGCTGGAGTTCCTTGGAAAGCACATGCTTCACCAAGGGCTTGACGGTGACATTACCTCCTCCACTCATAGCCGCCAGTGTAGAGCTTGCATTGGGACCCTTGGACATCAGTTCCAGGTTTCTCGAGTCGGCCGCCGTGGGGTTCTGCGGAATGGACGGCTGTACACCTTCAACAGCCAACCAATGGGCTAAATGGAGTCAGCACACTGAGCGTATGATTTGGGATTCACAGCAGCGAGGCAAACATACCCGTGAAAGAGATCTCTCTGGGTACCCTAGGCAACGGCGCATTTATCAACTTCTCAAAGTCCACTTCCTCGTCTTCGACATAGAACAGCGGCTGGCCAGGACCCAACGATGCTTCCCCGAATCGCAAAGGTCTCGTAGATTCGTATCCATATAGCGGCTCCACATCCAGCACACGTAGCGCCTGCGCGACATCTTGTGTTGTCAGTAGCGTGCGTCGACTATGGCGCATGAATTTGAGAGCTTCTTCCAGGACCTGTGCTACGCGGTACTCGACATCGCGGGCAAGATTTTCGGTCACATCGTTGTTGAGGTTCACAACACCGACCGATTCGGCGACATCGCGAATATTATCTGGGTTCCAGACAGACATAGTGGGTGTGGTGTGAAATAACAGTGAGAGAACGGGGAGTGCTGATGGAGAGGGTTTAACGTTGTAAGGTCGGCAACCAGTGGAGCGGGTTGTTCCGTAAGATCTGAGACGGATGGATGATGCTAAGCTGTATTATCGGAAAGAGGCGAAACTCATGCTGATCGGATGCCCAAGCAGCTGTGTTTGAATGAGCGAGTGATGCCGATGAATGCGACACGGGAACGGCGAGAGCGGCGAGAGCTTCAGAGCAGAAAGGCGGAGAAAAACTAAGCCCACGTGAACTGTATACAACACAGCAGCAACACTCGAATATTTTTACCTAATGAATCTATATTAGAAAGGGCTTTCTTCTTTCACTTTAATATACCTATTGCTACATACGGAGCATTGCGCTTACGTATGATTGGGAATCTCAACCCCTTCTAGCCTATTTGATGCCTGAAACTGCAGGCCAATAACTGTCTATAGATCGACAGCCTGTCAGGCTGTTTTCTTTCGTTTACAAACAATTGCATTTCTACGTTTAAATATTGTTTTAATTCCAAATTAATTTGGCTTGAGAATAGAGCTTGCATCTGACAACTAAAAAGAATTATCTACATGTTCTGATCATCAACGAAAGCCATAGTAGTTGTTATTATTTGGGACAATATATCTACTTGATAGCCCTGCTTACATCTAATGCGATTACTATCCTGCTCCTTCGCTTCGATGAGACCGGCTTTCCTTGAAACAAGCAACGTATTGTGAAGTGTCAACAATGTTACTGTACACGAGTTGAATGAAGCCGGATCAAATACCCTGGAAACGCTGTACAGGGAAGTGTACAGCATGTTTGACCATTTTGATCTCTCCGATACTAGTTTCTTCCGACTTGACGATCCAACTAATCTAGCCTGAGTGCTTCGTCTTTGGCCTCTATAGTCACTCTCTCACCAGCAAAAATGGAATCATCAGGAAATGATGACAATGATAACAGGCCACGAGAAAATGTCTCTGCATCTTCCCAGACTCCTGTCCAAAGGTACATACAAAAGACCCTATCAGTAGTCCTGGACGAGCTTTCCTCCTCGGACGGCCGACCCTCCATTACACTGAAGCAAAGAAACAGAAAGCCTGCATTTCTGTTCGTCAATCCGCAAACAATGGCCCTCGAGACCAGAGAGACGCAGATGCATACCACTTACACCTGGCCTGGCAGTGATGCCAACGAAGCCTGGAGATTTAGTATGACATCTTCCCGTCAATCATCGACCTAATTCTTAAATGTTCAATAGCTGTCGCATTTCGAGTTCTCACAGCCATTGCAGAAGCAGTTCAAGCGGGTTTGGTAGTTTCTAAGAGGTCAGCCTCCCAACTCCACCTACCATATACGCTGGTTTAACCTTGCTAATTCTCGATAAGAGACATATACTACAGTGACCCTCCTTGTTTCGGCTCTCAGAAAGTCGTCGACGCACTTGTTGATGACTTTGCGCACACAATGGAGGTGGATAGGGCTGCTTTATATGTGGTATATTCTCAGATCTCTCAGAGCATCTACATCTATCATTCTTACCCATGTGACAGGAAGCAGCGGCAAAAGGGCTCGTCGGGGGATATTACCAGCTAAGCATGAGAAACCACGAAGTATTGGATGCACGGTTCTCGAACCAGGTCTATAATGCACCATGCAACCTATTGACAAGAACTAAAGGTAGACAGGATGCATTGATACCAAGGGTGCAAGATATCAATAAGATTGACATCACAGCCGTCGACTGGGTATTGATTCTAGAAAAGGAGGTACCCTTCTCGACCTGCAAATACCTCTTTTGAGTCTCGCTCACAATTCCAGGCTGTATACCGCCGACTCGCAAGCAGCAACTACCACATCATCTCTGCAGCGGGCAAGGGTATCCTAGTAACAGTACGTTCCAACCGTTTAATCCCAAGGGATAATGTCAACATTCATAGGGCAAAGGGTATCCCGATCTAAATACCCGAGCCTTCATCCGTAAACTCTTCGACTGTCGCAACCAATCAACCCAAAGACCGCGTTTTTATGCTCTAGTTGACAGTGACCCCGACGGCATGGCCATCATGGCCACCTACAAATACGGCTCCGTGGCCTTTGCGCACGAGAACCGAAACCTGAATATTCCCGGCCTACACTGGCTAGGACTCCGAACATCGGATGTCATTTCCGGGGCTGATCCGCATGGCGATGATGCGCTGATCCATCTTACAGAAAGAGACCGGAAGAAAGCCATCGCCATGCTGGGTAAGAACCCCATCTGGGCGGCCGATGGACCGGAGCCGGAATGGCGGGCCGAGCTGCAGCAAATGCTCATGCTGAATGTCAAAGCCGAGACGGAGATTCTATACGACAGGGATGGGGGGCTAGTTGGATGGCTTGACCAGAGGTTGGTATCCCAGTGATCCATCCACACTTACCTGCCTCATTCAGATCATACCAATACACGGCCCCGAACAAGCAGATCTAAAAATGCATCAAGTCAATTCCTAACCCACCATGCAAACGAGCGAATGCGCAACATCTCCCCCTAAGCCACAAATAAAGGAACGAACGCACCACAACGCCATCCCAAGCATCCAATGCATCCAAGCTATGCCACATTCTTCTTTCCCACACTATAGACAGACAGTGCCAGCCAGTCAGCCAACCAGCCAGCCCCTCAACCAAAGACCTATATACTATCCCAACCCAATAAAGAGAGCTCCCCTCACAACCCAAGCCCCTTCCTCACCTCATCCCTAACCTTCCGCTCATATTCTCCCCTCCGCTCCCGCCACATCTTCGCGGCCTCTACATTAGCCGGACTCTCATCATTCGGTTCCGCCAACATACTCATCACGGAGATGAGGATCTTCTCAACACTCTGGATAGGCGACCACCGTTCCGAGGCATGTTCGTAGTGGTTGGGGTCATCGCCGGGCGGATGAAGGATGGATATGCAGACCGTTCCATTGGGATACACTACACAGGAAGCCCGTTAGCAACAATCAACCTCAACCCTCCCTTTTCCAATCCCAACAACAAAAAAAGAAAAGAAAAGAACTAACCATTCGGATGCCAAACCCCACCACCCACGAACTTCATCGTAGGCGGACTCAACGGATAATCTTTCGGGAACTTCAACTCCGCCGCGAAGATCCCTCCCTCGAAAGGCGTGCCCTCGGGACCCTGAATCAATGCTTCCCAGTGGAACATGTCATCTTCGGTGACAGGGCCGGCGGTGATGCCCTCGGGGGGGTTGGTGGAGAGGTTTTTGTATTCGTGGAAGAGACGTTTTTGGGCCACGGAGGACATTGTGGGTGGTTGGACGTGAGGTTTGTTGAGGGAGGTTAGGTTGTGCTGTCTGTCTTGTCTGGCGATTAGATAAAGAGGGGATGCGGAGAGTCGGATGCGTGGGAGGCACGGGGGTGTGGGTGTGTACCTGAGGGGAAGGGAAGGCGTTGAGGGAGGAAAGTTTTTGTAGTTGGGGATGGATGGAAGGGAGAGAAAGTGTGGATTGGATTGGATTGGAAGTTGGGTTCGCCACTGGGATTGTAGACCAATGAATGAATGGGCTTGAGGGGAGGTTGATGTGGTGGTTTGGTTGTTCCTCCACACTGGCCGGCCGGATCGGAGGGGGTGCCTTAGGCGGTGGTGCGCTTATCGCCTCCGCGGTTGATAACGAGTCACTTTGCCTTTCATTGTCGAGTGGGATATTGTACGGTTTCTTGGAGAGTTCACTGCTTTTTATATTACATAAGGGTCGCTGTCTTCTATAAAGACACCGAGGTCCCTAACATACACTTCCAACTGTAATTTCGAGACTCAGAGAGATCTACTCATCTCGGTCATGCAATTCCCGTCACATCGGCAACCTTAATGCCTTTGTTTCAGCCTTTCGGCAGTTTTTATCACCACTAGTCCCTTTCCCTAACTAGAGCAAGTGAACAGTGGCGTCCGGATAGGCACCACCTTTCAACCTTCATTACGGGTGGTCGCGTGACTGATGGTAACTTCCGTGCGATTAAAACCAATCAAAATCATCGCCGCCTCCCTCGCCCTCGTCTGCTTCATCTGCCCATGGGTTCTCTTCTTGGCCCCAATGTTGATCCGGCTCCTCCCCCCAAACATCCCCATAAGGGCCCGTTTGACCCGACGTTGGCGGCTGTTGGTCGGTAGGCGGCGATTGCTGGTCCGGGGCAGGCTGGTTTCCTCCAGTCCCGCGGGACATGGCTTCATAGCCGGCCATTGCGCCCGCCCCTGCTACACCTGCTGCTGCGCCATCGGCCATTCCACCGGCGGCGGCGCCCCCGGCAGCCGCCTCGCCGCCAAACCCAGGGATCCAGAGGGGCATGAAACCAAGCCCGCCCGAATTGCTATGGCGACTGAAATAGTCGAAATCGATGCTTACCGCGGTGGCCAACATAATGGCACGCTGGTCAATTGTCATACCAGGAGTCGTGCTGTTCTTGTCGAGGACCTCTTCGCTAGAAGCGTTGGATGAAGCAGAGTCCATTCGAAGAGCATAGACACCCGTGTCCGTGAAGAACTCCCGGGCAAAACCAGCGAAATTGCGGTTCACAGAACCGATCAGCTGGCTATTGGCAGACCGTAAACCGAAGTCCCAGGACAGAAAGGGCTCATCTACGTGCGCGAACTGGTGGTATGAGTCCTTGTCTTGATCGTTCTGAGACGACTGCACCAGTTGCATCTGCTGCGAATTGGACAAGCCTGTTTGGTTCAATGGAAACTTCTCTGTTTTCATTTCTGTCGCTGGGTTTGGCGAGGGACGATATGTGAAAAGGTTGTATTTCCGTCGTAATGGAGCCCATTGCTGCTGGGCCTCTCCGATAACCCGCATATCGTCGAGTCCTAACGATGAGACGCGGGTATTGGAGTCTCCTGCAGTCTGGACCAGCGATCCGGCCGAGTTTGTCTGGAGCGCGGTGGATGATGAATGGACGCCTGTAGCCACATCAAGAGGGTCATACACGCGGATGCGAGAATTGATCCATGCGAACGGACGGTGAAACTAGGTCGTCAGTATGATCCAGAGTATTGCGAAACGCACGTACCCGAAGCACTTCATTCTCATGTTTATCAAACACGTGTGTCACAAAACTGCGGTGCGTCCGGAACGTTTGCCGCGCCATCATGTTGCCCATGCCGCTCTCCTGTTCCGCCATGTAGCCAATGTGGTTGCCGTTAGCATCCATGATGACATACTTGTTGGCTTGTTCGAAGCCGATCATCACGTTCATGAGCTCCATCTGGCGCTGAACGACCAAACCGGAGTTGGCGAGGATCCCTGTTGCAGGGTGGGTTTCTTTTATCACGCCATTAGGGTCTTCGGGAATATGGACTGGGGCGAGCAGCGTGTTTTGGGAGGGATCATATTGTGAGGCGGGCAAATTGGGAGGTGTTTCGGATGTTTCTATGTTTTGAGGTTCAGGCGTTGGCGCTGGCGACGGTGTGGCATCTCTTCTAATGGGCTCTGGTCTCCGGATGGAATTGCGCGGACCACGGGGGCTGGATCGGGTTCGAAATGACCTGGCGAGAGCTCGACCGGGAGCTCGAAGGCACTGGGCCGGCGATGTTCGGAACGTGGCACTCCACATATCAATTGTAGTCAATCAACAGTATAATGGGGTATGAAGGAAAGTGGTTGAGTAGATGACGAGGTGAAAACATGTGAAGCTGCCGATGACGAAGTTGCGGGAGGCGGAGTTAACCGGTGATAAGGGAAATCGAGTCATTGCCAGATCTTCTTCCTTCACATCCACACTCAAGTTGAGGCAGCCTGGAGGCAGCCTGGGGCTTCGTCTGTACTACTATATACTGAAGCTCGCCTTCATTCTATACCTGCAGGAGTGGGTGACTGTCAGGCCATCACTCACCAATCTAAGGGCTGTTGTACCTCTGTCTCGGAATATATATTGCGCACACTACTGAGGAATCTGTACTTACTGAACCCATTTTATTAGAGTCCCACAACTTGATAAAGCACTTAATACAGCAGAAATCCTGCTATGGGGCTTTTTGGCATAGCACTGTTGCAAATGTCCCGAAAATACGTGAAGATATGATCCATACCGGGCATACTGACTACACAGCAATATCCACATTACTGAACGAGGATGCTAATTGTTTATAGGAGAGCATTGATTACTACCAATCTCCAACCGACTGACAGTCAAGCAGGCTTGAAAATAAATGAGATGAAGGGATGTCTCCTTTCTGACTCTTGAAGCAGGATGCGGGCTCACGAGTATCACAAATCATTCCGCGGCTTGGTGCCAACTGTTACAACAGCTTTTCATGGGAAGTAACCTGGCGTCGGGTCCAATCGAAGCTACACTCATGTACCAGCTACTCCGTATATCTAGTGACTACCGGTGATGAGTGAACGAGTCAAATGCTGTGCCATACATCATCATAAACCGATATCTTGCGCAGTGACCACATGCGGTGCCTATCGACTCCTTTTCTCTTTTGCTAGTGCTCCCAATGCTGAGAGCACTGGACCCTCTGCTAACTGCCTCACCGACGAAGGTTAAGTCTTTCAATACAAGGCTGTCAAGATAATTGTACAGATACCTATACGGTATACTACCCTGCCAAGTGGGGCGGGAGCCCGGAACTCCGGGTTCCAATACTAGCGTGAGGCTATAGATAAGGTTGTTCTAAACTCAGATCCCCCAGAAATTAATCTATTGGCATTTTCTCTTGTTTACATGAATCAGCATCTTTTCTTATTTACTTGAAATTCAGGGTAGCAAGCATGGCGAACAATATCAGTCAGGAGCGTGTTTTGGTAAGGAACATGATCCGATTCCATGGTATAGACCTACTTCTGATGCACAAGTGCAGATTACAGGAGCAACTGGGTATATCGGATTCCAGACACTTGTTCTGGCCCTCCAGAGAGGCTACAGTGTTCGAGCGGTAGTTCGCAAAGAAGCATCAATCGCCGAATTGAGTAGAGCTCCAATCATTGCCAATAGCCTCGACCAAGGACAACTGGAGATTGTTGTGATTCCGGATTTTCTGAAGAAGGATGCATTCATCGGACATTTGGATGGAATAACATCGATAATACACCTTGCTTCACCTCTGGGCTTCTCGGTAACTCATTTCTCTGACTTATCTTTCTAACACTCACAAATTCAACAGACCGACGACTTTGTCGAAGGAATAATCAAACCTGCGGTTTCCATGGTCACAGCAGTTCTGGAAGCAGCAACCCATGTCCAATCTGTTCGCCGCGTTGTGGTGACATCCTCATGTCAGTATTCTCACCAGTACTTGTTAACATATGATACTCACAGATGTCTAGGTGTAACACTGATACCATTTGAATGGAACATGAACCCAGACACGGAGAGATTATACAGTGGTAAGGCCCGCTGAGTTTATCGACCTAAATAGCAAGCTAAACATCACTAGTAAGTGATATCAACAATAGCGTCGATGGACCTTATGAAAATGCAATGGCTGCCTACTGGGCCTCGAAAGGCCTCGCCCGACTTGCGGTGAGGGACTTTGTACGCAACTCGCAGCCACAATTCGATTTTGTGAATTTGCTACCTTCGGTAGTAATTGGCCCTGACACTCGCCTTGATTACAATCCAGCTGCCGGTACTAGTGACCTTCTTCAAGGTGCAAAATCAAGTGTCATTGCAGCTGCGCTGACTCCGTCGCTAAATTCGTCGTTCCCTTATGTTGGGACTCCTGTGCATGTTGCCGACGTGGCAAGAGCACATGTTGATGCATTGGACACCAAATTGGTTCCAGCCAACTCTGAATACGTCCTTTCTTCTGACACGCCAGATGGAGTTGTCTGGGACAGAGATGTTCGCAATATTTGCAGAAAGTACTTTCCAGAAGAAGTCGCACGCAAGGTACTCCCCATGGAGGGATCTTTGCAAGCAATCACGTGGAGACTGGATGCTCAGGAAACAGAAAAGGTGTTTGGCTGGCAATGTGTTTCGTTTGAAGAGACCATGAAGGAGCTCATCTCGCAGTACCTGCGGCTTCACGCAAGGCAGGCGTAGTGGTAGTTGGAATGTATTTTAGCATATAAGCAAATTATATCACCCTGGAGGTCTGAACAATCTACCAGAATGACTGCCATACCACCTGCTACTAACCCATGTGATTGAAAGTGTAAACAAACTTAGTTATGTTCTTCACCATCAAAGTCATGGCCCATCATCTAAGATGGCTATTATCACTATCTGATTTCTCATACAGCCCGTAGCTCCAACCAGCGTTTAGAACACCATCGAAAACACATTTAATTAAGAACTCCATTAAACCCAGCCTAGTTTCTACACCTGTTCATAACTACTTTGGCACATGCACCGCCTCCACATTATTTCCATCCAAATCCATAACAAAGGCCGCATAGTATGGCTGGCGACTCATTTCTCTTCGGATTCCGGGGGGCCCATTATCACGCGCTCCTAGCTGCCTACTTCTCTTCAGAACCGATACCATCAAAAAAGACAGAGAAAAGAGAGAAGGGCACTTACAGTGCAGCCTGATAGAACTGATCCACTGCTTCCTGACCTATCCCGCCATTGTCAGCTACTGCCTTGTCTCTGATACACCGGAAGACAGGTTATTTACTTGGAGCATCAAACGCGACATGGGTTGAACGAAGGACAGTCTCATTCTCGGGCAACTTTTGCAGCCAAAAGTAGGGATAATCGCTACCGTATCCGATGAGACTGTTGCCGTGGGCGCAGATCATCTCCGTATAGCCAATTGGCTGGAGGATAGCACGGTAGAAAGCCCGGAGGGATTCGAATCTGGTGGCCGAAGCCCAGAAAAAGACGTGGTTAATGGTCATTTTGAAGATAGTCGCGATGGTGATTGTGGTCACATACTGCGGGGGTGACGAGGGTATAGTTATACCTCGATAAGGATAAGCAACCCGGAACTCCGCGCTACCAACTCCGTCGATCACCTTTCATCTCTCTTCCATACTCTCTCAGCATAACCAACCCCGCAACAGTGATAGAACTCTGCTGCAGCATGGAGGTCCAATCTACAAATGACAAGGCAGCGTGTCCATTCTGCGGATTCCAGTTTAATCACCGTAAGTCGCTGGATATGTCTGATGGTTTCTCAGCTGATCCATGCAGGATCATCGCTCATCCGCCATTTGAAGAACAATTGCAATAAAAAACAACCACAGCGGCGCAAGTCGTGTAACCAATGCGTTGCAGACAAAGCAAAGTGCAATCTGAAACGACCTAGTTGTTCGAGATGTTCGATGCGCCACATTGCTTGCATGTATGCTGGTCCGGAGCCCGAGTCGCCCGGAATCGCGAGTGCCGCCCCCAGCGTACCACCCACTCCGAATCCATCAGGTCTGGATCCCTCGCCAACTTTTCAGCCACAGGCGCTGGCGTCAAGTTTTGACCCGTCGTTATTCGAGCCGTTTTTCTCGGACCTGGGTTGCTGGACTTCGTTGCAGTCTTCCGAACTTGCTCTGCGGTCTCCGGAGCAGATGGAAAGTTTAGAGCTGCTCTCCTTTCCTGAGAATATCGGCTGCGCTTCTCCTGCAGTGACGCCACCAGTCTTGTCTCAACAACATCAGCCTAACTCGAACCCAAATGAAGTTGCCTTGGCAAATCACAGCATGGAGCTTATCTTCCGAGTCCTCCGCACTTGGCCACAGATGTTGGCTGACGAATTCCAAATGCCTCCTATATTTCATTCTACGCATTTTGATCCACAGGCGAAACTGCCACGGCCCCTAGCGACTTGTATTACTTTGGCCAAGATGTGGCATGGGCAACGGGAAGGCGCTGAGGGAATCGTGCGCGAAACAATACTCAAGGAGCTGGATCTGATTGTACACCAGGTAAGTTGACCATCACGTAGCCCCATAACTTGACTGAATGTGAAGCAAGAAGTCCGAAGATCTGGATGAAATGACACTTCTGGCCGTGATGCAGGCGGCAGTGATCTATACGATTATCCTGCTTTCCCCTTCAACAGCCTCGCAAACCGCCCCCGACAATGAGGAGATGGTTTTTCGAAAAGTCGAAGCTCTTGTCACGCATGTCGTCCGGGGCGGTCTTTTTCTCACCGAGGAACGAGCACAGACAAGGCCTTGCTGGGACGCTTGGGTGCATGTTACCTCCAAGCGACGTGCAGTCCTCGCCTTGTATCTCCTCCACTGGGCATATTCGGTTTTGCACAAGGTGCCGTGTTTTGACTGTAGAGACTTAGGATTCATGCCTGCGCCTGCGCCAAAGGTTCTTTGGGAAGCACGTAGCGAACAAGAATGGAATACCAGGTACATTCATTGGCTGGCAAGGTGGAGTGGTCAGATTTACCTCCAAGCGGAGTTTGGGCATATTCCACCTGGGCCTACCTTGAATACCAGAGCAGAGAAGTGGCTGGGGGAGGCGGATGAGTTTGGATTTCTCATGGTTTCAATCCGTAAGTTTATATTCCAAAGTCCCGTTGTTGGAGACGCCAGTGGTCCAACTAACCCATGACAGTCAATGCTACGGACTATGAGCCACCGGGGCTTAAGATGCTTCAACCTCATAATCAGTCATAGAACTTTGAACTGGGACTCAGATCGATTCTTACGGTTAGTTTATTAAAATACCCACTGTAGTCTTCCCAACTTTAATATGACTTTTCTCTATTAAAATACATGTACAAATGCTAGATGATTTGATTTCTGACATGTCTGCTAGCTACACGCAATACCAAGAGTATATGAGTCTTGTAACTTTTAAAGATCGGTTATAGGTTGGCTATTATTTCATCAACTCGGAGATGCCAACTACTTCGCCGAAACCCAGTTCTCTCAGAAATATTTCTATAATCGGTTCCGATACGGAATATCAAAGCTTCTCGTCTTCAGGGATCGTGATCTTAATTTCAGTCCTCGGTATCGCCCGGAGAAAATCCTTTCCAAAGATCAGTGCAGGGGTCTGAAACCCGGGTTTCGTCTGATTGTCCAGAACCCGTTTTGCAGCCTCCACTGACGCCAAACTCGTGAAGGTGTATCCGTTGACGGTATGCAAGACTGCCCGCGTGACATGCCCGTCCTCCGAAGTCACCATAACAGCTGCATGATACGGCGCCGCGTCCCTCTCAACAGCTGTCGGGCCGTCGGGAAGCATCTCAAGGTCTCCAGTGGGAAAGCTGCCCCCGGAGGCATGAGCAAAGGTTCGGATGTTGTCAACATTGGAAGACCTCGAAATCGTCAACAGATCAGGCAGAGTCACCGGAAATGCCGCCACAGGCCCGTTTCCATCATCAAAGTCAAATTCGGCCGTGTTGCTGATGTCGTACTCCACCAGGTTTCCATCCAATAAATGAAGGGTTTCCGCAACAGTCCCTGTTGCACTCATGGCCGAGCCCCGAGACATGGATCCAGCCACGTGCAGAGCAATATCGATTCGTTTAGGGTTGCGAACTCGATCCAGAGCATGACTAGCGAGGCAGTCCAGCATGGCGACACTTCCTCCACATCCGGGTAGAAGCATGATACCAGCCTCCTTGGCTGTTTCGTCTAGTTCTTGTGCTTGTTGATAGCTTGTTATTTCGGCCGAGATGTCGAGATAGTGTGTTCCGGTCCGGATGCATGCCTCCATGAGGGGTCTGGCAGTGTGTCTGTAAGGACCAGCGCAGTTGAGGAGGACATAGGCATTTTTCAGCGTCTGGTCGATGACGGTGGACTGGTTGACGTCGAAGATATGGTAAGGGACTTGGAGTTGAGATGCCAACTTCTTGAGCTTTTGCTCTGTTCTCCCGGCAATTGCAAAGTCTAGCCCGATGCGAATGGCCTGTTCGCTGGCCATCCGGCCAGTGTATCCAGTTGCACCGTATATGATGAAAGAGGGCATTGTTTTTCGTTTGGTGAATGAAGATGGAATATAGAATACCCGGCAAGAATTTATAGTTGCAGTTCATTTCTACAGCTCCCGGAATTCCGGGTTCCGTCAGCACCGCACCGATTATCTGGGGAGCAGATTACTGAGACTGCCCCAACTTGGGTTTTACGATCAGTCCAATCTCATTGAAGTGGATCCTCAAACAACGGGCAGGGCTCTATACACTGGGCTTTGCCAGTTGGAGCCATCTGTTAGACTTGCCCTGTTTTCAAGACATATGTTTTGACCTCATCAACATCAAACACCGGCTAACCAGTCCCAATTCATCGACCGGAAGTTGGAGGTACCATCTTAATCAGTTAACATTGCTGTGAGACCGTTCCAATTTGCCAATTACACTAGCTGGTCCGGAACTAGGGCTAGACACTGCTGCAATTCCGGGGGTGATATCATGATCTACAACCAGCTCGCTCGAATGACTCCAATGCAGAAGCTGCCCCTTTTATCGTCCTAGTAGTAAACTGCGACTCTACTGCTCCAAACCTGGTTGAAGTCTGGATAGCACTGAATTCATCCACTCACTGCCACAAGCAGGACAGACCTCAGAGCTGGTCTCAACAGACCTGCAACGGAACTCGAGATGAATGATGATTGGCGAAGTGACAGATACCTAACAATAAGATACCAATGCAGATAATAGAATGAATCAGGTATCGACTGGTACCTTATCAACTGTGCTGGCCCAAGATAACCACGGTATCCACACACTAGAAGCTCAACTCAAACCAGCACCGCCATAGAAATGCACTATACCACATGCACCCAGGCCACAAATCCAGCGTAGCAATCCATCCCCCGGACCCTCTACCCATAGATATCTCACAGCCCATCCATCAATCCATCCATCCATATTAATAAATCCACCACCCAAGCCAATCACCACCATTCACCACCAAACCCAACCAATCTAAGCAACCTCACAAAACCCCCTTCCTCGCCAACTCAATCTTCCTCGCCGCCTCCCCCTCCTTAAACCCTCCCCTAGAAACACAAACCGCACTTCCCTCCCCAAGTTCCACCTTCTCTTCTACCCCAGGGTGCGGACACGGACAATGATGCGGGAAATGTACGCATGCAAGCGTCCCAGGACAGAGGTATTTATCGCAGATTGCTATTGACAACCATATATTAGCGTGTTTTCAGATTCAGTGGAGTATATATATAGAGATAGGGAAGGGGAAGGGAAGGGAAAAGGGAAAGGAAAATACCAGAATCCCACTGTCCCTGATACCGCGAACTATCACTCGGTACATTCTGTCCTCCTTGGTGACCATGACCATGACGTTGGCCGCCGCCACCTCCGCTGCCGCCGCCGCCAGCACCTCCGAACATGTGTTCGAAGAATTGGAATTGGGCGTGGGCGAGAGAAGCGGAGAGGAGGAGGAGAAATGCTCCTAACAGGCGGGGGTAGAACATTGTGTTGTGTACCTAGCCTGGAGTTGATACCAGACTGTAAATTGAAAAGATAGAAAGATGATAGTTGGAGTATAGATTACCGGCCATCTGGCCAGCTCCGCACCCGCAACCCACGTGACCCTCACCGCCAAGCCCCGATCTCCATCTCCGGAGCCACGAAAAAACACCTCCCTCTCCTACCTACACTACACTACACTCTCACCACCACATCTCAACCAAATTACCTCGGGGACGAGACGAGGAGCGAAAACAATGATCCAACCGCGTCTCCTAGCGCCCCTCCGGGCCCTGGAACGTTCCATCCCCAGCATCCTACGCACCACAACACCCAGAACCGCCCTCAACCTCAACACAACTCTCCTCCGCACCACCCTCTCCACACCCACTCCCCTCCAACAACAAATAAGACAAGCCTCCCACGCCACCCAAGGAACCGCAAACCGCCACTCGCGCGACCCCGCCGGAAAACGTCTCGGCGCGAAACGCACCTCCGGAGAATACGTCGTGCCCGGATGCATTATTTTCCGGCAACGAGGCACGAAATGGTTCCCTGGGGAGAACTGCGCCATGGGGAGAGATCATACCATCTATGCAGCGGAGGCTGGGTATGTGCGGTACTACCTGGATCCGGAACGGCATTCGGAGAGGAAGTATATTGGGGTGGTGTTTGAGAAGGATGGGAAGTTGCCGGTGCCGAGGAATGCGCCGAGTAGGAGGAGATTGGGGAGGGTGAATGTGAAATTTGAGGTTGAGGGGGAGGGAGTGCAGAAGAAGGAGGAGGGGGATTTGGTGGCGGAGGTTGGTGTTGGGAAGAAGGTGGAGGATGGAGGTGTGGTTGTGGGGAGTGTTGCGAAGGAGGAGATGCAGACTGATGGTGGAGTTCAGTTGAGACCTGGGTATATGTACCGTGAGGCGAATTGGGTGATTGGTCGCGCGGCGGAGAAAGCGGGCATTACGGCCAAGGTGTATAGGAGGAAGAATCGGTGGTTGGCGTGGAGGAAGAGGACGGCCAAGTCGGAGAGAATGGCGCAGATGAAGAGTTTGAAGAATAAGAAGAAGGGGGCTAAGAAGGCGAAGAAATAGATTTGATTGATTGATTCGGTTGGGGATGGGATGTGTTATATTGTTTGGGTTCGGGTTCTTTGTCTGGATGGATGTATGTATTATAACATGTTTGATGTGCAATTACTTTTCGGTGATGGTTGTGCCAGCAGTAAACTTGTAGTCAAATTGCAGTCCAATTGTAGTCAAAGGTAGGGTATATTACTAGTCCGAATCAAACACATCCAACCTATCATTATCATAGATCTCCCGGAAACAATCGTCCCAATATCAAACTTTGACACACAAACTCATTGCCCACAGTCTTGACATTGTCCATTCCCAATTCATCGCTGCTAATCGACTCCGTCAATCGTGATCGCTTCCGTTTTCTCGAGTTCAGTGACATGGCTTTCACCAATGCTCGATCATCATCGTCAACATAAATCCAGTCCCAGTTGCCTTCTCCCGTGCTCAGCATCGCACGCGCCGTCTTGAGATCAGGCACCCGTTCAATCCGTGAAGCCCCCAAGGCATACGTCAGGAACAGATAGGCTTTCCGTCTCTCCTCGTCGGCTCTCCCGCTGCGTCCTGTGACTAGAAGCATGGACTGTCCCTGGAGGAGATTCGGGCGTCCAGCAATAGTCTCCGACAGTCGAGCCTCCGTGGCCGGGTACGGGGCTAGGATCCGAGACTTGGTCGCTCCGTTGAGGTAGGTTGACTCCCCGGCGGGCAGCAAGTACATCTCCCAGTCGAGAATCTGTCTTCTGGCAACGCAGTCCTCGATCCAGCGGTCGGAAAGGCAGGGGATATTGAGCGCCAGGGCTTGCATGTACTTTGACCGACGCGAGTGCTTGTCGGCAATTAAACAGGCAAATCCCACGTCTGCGGCGCCGCCCGTGAGCCGAAGCTGGCCACTTTCAGAGCTGGCGCGGGATTTGGTGGGTGTAGTCGATGGTGCAGTAGGAGGCAGCTCGAACAATTCATTGAAGCCGCCGTCTAGAACCCGGCCGTCGTTCTCCAGAATCAGTTTTGTGACATGCGACTTGGCATCGTTGTTCTCTCCATATGACACGGCGAATACCATGCCCGCAAACAGGCCGGTGGAAAAGCGGATACTGCGCGAGAGTCGAGCGCCAGGGGATATCGGCGTGGAATGTCTGTCAGGCGTCTGCAGTCCACTCTCGGCAACAGGCTCGGAATCGTAGCTGAATGCCCGGTCTTTCAACTGATTCCAGAGAATCGTGTCCAAGTATATCCGCGAGATCGGAACGGTAATTCGGTTCTCGGTAACTGCAAGCCCGGCACCTGGAAGGCTCTTGCGCTGTTTCGGGGTCAGGATCACGGCGGAATACCCATACACATCGGTCATTGGAATCAATCCATTGGCTGCTCCCTGTTCGATGTCGCTCAAATCAAGCTTGTTGGCGAACCCTGAAACAATATGAGTCACCTTGGGGACGTTTTCCATGTTCACCTTCACACCATCACCGACCCGTAACTCGAGTCGTTTCACCGTGCCAATGGGAATCTCAACAGGGGCGCTGTCTTCAAATTTGACCAGATACCGCGACTGCGATTTTCCAAAGGGCTTGCCAAAGCACGTGGCAGGGTAATAAGCCCGTTTTGGTCCATTCCACGGGGCTAGGACTTGATTGACGGCTATAGGGACATCATTACTGACTGAAGGCTGGGGAAGCTGGACTGGAGGCAGATTCTCCGAAACTGGCTCATTGTCAACTGCCTCTGTCGAGTCTGGTACAAGATCGCTGGGCGGCTCTTCAGGAACAGAACTGGCCGGTGGGTCCTCGTGAACAGGCTGTTCTGGGCTCGGTTCGCGTTCAGCTTCAGCCGACAGTCGTCCCACTGGGCGGGGGCGAGCCAAAAGCCTAGATCTTCCTTTGCGCGAACCATGATAGTGAGGGGTGTCATCCATGTCCCACACGCTTTCTGCTCTTCTAGGAGGCCTTGACCGTCTCTGGAAAGTGGACACGGGTTTGGTCAACTCGGCCGGCTCCATCTCAGGTATAGTTGTCATATCCGCATCACGAGGCGCAACAGTGGTTGCGCGAGGCGTGACTGGAAGTACAGGGTCAGAAGCGTAAACACTTTGACCATCATTGCCGCGGCGCTTCTTTCTTGGTGGAACAGGAGACATTGCAACCGCAGACCGAAACTCGCGATCATCGGCGGACAGAATACTAATGTCAAGATTGAAGTGACCGGTTCCCATCTGAGGTGATGCATCCGCGGCGATTTCTGTTAACGCTCTGCGCTGTCTGCCACTCGGGCTGGACAGAATCTTCGAATTGTGGAATGAGGGTTTAATCGGCGATGAACTATCTGAAACCATCGGCTGCGAACGCCGCCCTCGTTCATGCGGGTCCATATAGACAGGTGGTAAATCGTCATCCTCTTGATAGGCCGCATCATTGGTGCTATCGCCAATCGGCCATCCTTGTTGACCAGGACCGGTGGGACTGGTTTCCGGGATGCTCGTGTTTGGGATGACTTCAGCAAAGGTTCTCGGAGCAACGGGAGTTTCGGCGACACGTGAGGGCATAGACGATGACTTCTCTGGGTGATCAAACATAGGTTTGTCGCCGGTGCTGGTGGGCCTTTGGACAGCATGAGCCGAGGGGAGTCGCGGAGTTGGAGAGCGCGATGGATTGTCCGAATCGGATCCGGGTCGGCTTGTGGCTTGAGTATCAAGCTTGAGCGACCGTTTGCTGCGTTGGGATCCCGAAGGAGGAGAGGAACATATACGGACTTGTTTGGCGGAGGATGAAGTGATTGTTTCTGCATCAGACAAAGGCTCCACCTGTCCCTGTGAGCCAGAATGGCGTGCCCTCCACTGCTCTGCTTCATTGCTAGGGTCTTTCCGACCAGGGGAGCGCTGAGAGTCTTTTACAACCGATATTTGTGACGAATGCCCATGCAGACGCTCGTCCTGTACAGTACTGCAAGCATGCGGAAGCGACTCTCTTCGCCCTCTTACCACCTCGCCAGGACATGGACTCTCATGCAAAGCAAGAGCTTGGGATAGACGGTCATGTGCACTGGCAGCAGCAGCAGTTGTTGTGGGGGGTTCTTCGTAGTTCTCTTTATCTTCCTCGGTCGAGGCAGAGGGCCGAGCTCGGGGAGTAGGCTGATCTAAATCCTCTTGCTCTCGTTCCGTCTCTTCCTCGCTAAGAGCTGCATGCGGAGGCTCAGATCCAGACTCGACTTGCTCATTAGATCCATCGGTCCAATGTGGCCCTGTCGCCGCCTCAGACAAGGGTTCTGGCGCCTTAGCCTGTCTTTCCTGCCGGTTACGCGGTCTCGCAGGTGCTGTAAGTCCAACAAGCTGCGCATCAGCCTCGTCATTCACCATCTTCCGACGCCTCATACGCTCAACGAAGCTAGATTCCTTATCAAATTCTCCATCACTTTGATCGGAGTAGACATGATCCGCAGAACGTGTCATCCTTTCGTGCAAAATCCTTTCCCGGTTGGCTTGCGATTCCTCCATGCTGATGTAGTTCAATCGCTGCGCGTCCGAGTCACGTGGAAAAGTTGCGGCTAGGTTGTTGTATGGCGAGGAGAGCGTTGTAGCAAGCGGATGACGTTGTATAGGGATATTGGGGGAAGGACGGTCAGACATAGGGTCAGATTGTGGGCCGTTCACCAGGGGCGACGATGGTGCCTGAGTAGACCTAAATACCTGGCTCAGCGCCATAATCCCACTACTTGGTCCATCCGCCGTAAGGGGATTCCGTGAACCAGAGGGAGATCCAGTGGTAAGGCCATCTGAACGGACACGCTTCATTGCTGCTATAGGAGTTTTTGCCAGAAATCGCTGGGACTTGGGGAATGGATTTGACTGATACAGCATGGGCGAAGATTCTCCCAGCTTGCTACTCTGATCCTCAGGTTCCTCAACGTTCACAGCTTCGGGGATATGATCGTACCCAGACAGCAAATCAAGATGGCCACTATCGCCTTCGTGAAGGGTCATGAGAGTAGCCTGATCCCCCAAATTGCTCTCCTGGGCATTGTCGGCAGCCTGCTGGTTCTTCCTGATTATTTCGTCGTAAACGGACTGGGAGACGACCTGCGTGTCCGAAGGGACGGTATCCGAGGCCATTTTCTCCGCAGGCGGGGCTGGTGCAGTCAAAGGGGTTGTAGATTTTGTTTCGGATAAGTTTGTGTTCATCGCACTCGTGGCATTGTGTGGTCTAGGTGAAGGAGATGGCTGTGACGGGGACTTTCGAGTGTTTTCCTGGGTAGCAGACGGCAACGGTGACTTTGGCCTGGCTTCTGGGGCACGGTCGGGTTTTCCAACAGTTCCCAGACCATTTCGGTCGAACTGTGAAGGTGCAGATTCCTGACAGGTGAAGACAAATAAAGTTAGCGATGGAGATCAGGGACTCCGCCACCGGCAAGGCTGTCACTCACTAAGCCCAACGCGACGCGTTGCAACTTTGCAATATCGATGCTGTCCTGGGTCTCCATGATCCCTGTCAGTCAGTGGACTGCGTTACACAGCACAGGTATGGCTCATTTCCGAGCTGCCTGGCACGTCGAACCCAGAGAGTCCCAAAGTGAACTGGCAGATCAATCGATGCCAACTGCTGCTGCCCTTCGTTGCGGAACCACAAAACGCGAAACGCGTTGCTCACGTGATAGCCAATATGACCGTTCCTGGACTAGCTCGGACGAGTCGATCTACAAACCATTCACGGAGGAAGACAGGCCTACTATATAGCACGAGGGCAGAGAGTAGTGTTGCATTTCAGATCGGGAGGTCACGGCCAACAATCCCACCACGGGATTTCGCGAGAGTAATGTTACATGGTTACAATGAGCGAAGTGCATTGTGTCTTGCCGAAAACCCAACGCCAGGGAATACACTGCGTATAGTACAGAAAGCCAAAGAATGCGTCGTCTAGTCCCGAGTCCGATTAGGGACCCATCTGCGAATCACCATCTCCCGAACTTGGTACCGACCCAGCATAGCTCCGATATCCTCCTCGCAGGGAGTGTCCAGCTCGTAGGAGGTTGGCGGTGGCACTTCCACATAGCAAACCACCAAGCTCTTTTTCACCTGTGCCTGGACCCGGTTGACACAATGCAGCCACCACCAACTGCGTGCCATCTTCTCCTCACAATGCGCCCTGCGTTCTGCCGTTTCAGACCAGTAGGAATGACCATAGGATGGGACGACCACAACAGCAAACTCCGCATGCGAGAAGACGGGTCCACGGTTGTAGAGAATATAATCCACACCGAACTTCACGCCGGAGCGCACAACCCACCCCAAGGACCGGAAATGGTGGTACACAACATAGGATATCATGAACGGATCGTCCGGCGTTAGATCTGCCGACGGATCCCGAGGGGGGAAGTACGAGTTTCGACAGAACAACGGCAGTAGGGAAGAGGTAGGAATGGCATCTGTTCGCGTATCATCTAGAACCCGCAGGACGCCAAGCCCGTATACAAGAAAGAAGGCCTCCTCGGTGGATAATTGAAGGTGCTCTTCATTGTTCAATACAGGTTCCTCGTTGGCCTCCCGTCCATCCACAGACGTTTCTGGCAAGCTCAAGATAGCCGAATCAGACACGAACTCCTTGGCCTGAACTACTGGAGAGAACCGCACGGTCTTGCTGCCACTAGGTGTCCGTTTCCCGGGGGAGTTAAGGGGGTGTGCACTGCCGTCTTGTGACACTGCGCGCTGTGACTCAAGGAGCCTGGCTTCCCTAGCTTTCCGCAGGGAGAACTTCTCCGTAACGGGTGTTGTGCCTTCCGTGACACCATTCGGGGTTGGTGAGAGGGGGGACTGCTCGGTGGGCATCACGCCGCCTTCCCTGGCAGCCGCTTCGGCCTTGAGTCGCTCCTCGATGGCAAGCTTTTCCATCCTCGCCCGCTCCAGTTTCAACTCGCGGCGTTCCGTCCGTCGCTGTCGTGTGACCTCCTCGCTAGTCATACCCCCAAGTAGTCCTCGCCTCTTTTTCTCACGCTCCAACCAACTCGGCTCACTTCGACTGAGGGTTCCCTTGCCGAAGAAGCCCATCTCCCAGAGGGCTTTTATAGCCTTGGGATCCGTGACATGAATCGAGGAGGTGGCCGAGTCAAAGTAGGCAGAGTAGACTTCCTGATGCGGGGGGGAGATAAAGTACGTCAGGTAGGAAAGCAGCACGCTGACGAGCGAGAGCGGGTTATGGGGAATGAGAGGAGGGAGAGGATGCACTTCGACCGGGAAAGGAAAGCGATGGATCAGGCGATAGTTGGGCCTCGAAGGCCGCGGACGACGAGCCGGAGAGGCATGATTCTGAGATGACTCGGGTTTGCCAGGAGCAGCAGCCTCCGGAGCCGGACTAGGAATGGGATTGGATGAAGCCATATTTAACAGAGTATATTAGAAGCTCAATTCAATTCTTTCGATATCTCTAACTACAGGGAAGAGTCAGCAAGAAACTCTTCAGTTACTAGCTGGAAGGCAGCCATCGCCAACCCCGATAGAAGCTATTTGTGCCATTGTTGTTCTCCTCAGATACCGTTGTAGTCAATACAAAGCCTCATTGACAACAGCGAGAAATCAAGGTTGCCACTGCCTAAGCTTAGGTTTTGTCATCATCACCGGAGAACACAATGGCCGCAAACACGCTCCCAGCAAGACCGACGAAGCTGCCGGCTGAAGCTTACCCGAAATCCTGTGCGATCTGGGGTTGGTCAAGCCATTACACGAGACAGCTGTCCCAGGTGTTGCGTGAATTTAAATACAGATATCAATTAGCGAGGGGGCCCCAAAGTCATTCTGCAATGCGGGAATGGATGCGCATCATCATCAGCATCCTGAACATTCCCTCATCCTGGATTCACGATGGGTTGGTTGCGGAAGAAAGAAAAAAGCTTGGGGGAGCTCGCTTGGGCCGCCTTAAATGGGGACGTGCCATGACTAAGCAGGCCCGGCGCTGGCCCGTGCCCCCGCGGTCCGCCAAAAATTTCCTGCGTATCGCCGACAGCGATTAGCATCGAGAGACGATTCCTTTGCACCCAGCTCCTTTGTGATTTACTGATCTTTCTTCGAACAGAACCCCCCTTTTAATCAAGTGAGTGCGCCTGCTGTCTGTTGAACTACGACCACCTGTTCTGACTGAAATTCTTCTAGGATGCATCTTATGTGTATGTTTCTCCGCAGTCGTGCCCCCTTGATCGGTCAAAACTAACCATCCCACAAAGACTCTCTGGGCCCCGATGGCAAGCGGGTTTACACCCTCAAGAAGGTCACTGAGGATGGCCGGGTCACCAAGAGTGCTCACCCCGCCCGTTTCTCCCCCGATGACAAGTACTCTCGGTAGGTTCATCCGCCTAGGGAATCCGCACACAGCCTGAGGCTAACGGTGTATGAATAGTCACCGTGTCACCCTCAAGAAGAGATACGGTCTTCTTCTGACCCAGCAACCTGGTATGGAACCCGAGCACGACTTGGAAAGTACGCCTTGAAAGTGGAGACACGACTGACTGGTGACTACAGACAAGGAGGCTGCTCAGCTGTGAGCTGGTTGACGGAATGACATGATCGAGATACAAAAGGTGCTTTGAATCATTTATGGCGAATGGTGTTATCAATGGTATTGGACGATGAGAAACTTTTGTTTGGTTTCTGTGTGGTGCCCATGGCCAGTATCTTAGTGTGGTCAAAATATACCTTCGAGGAAATTGTTCTATATTCGTTGCCTCGCAAATCATATGCGACATGCTCTATAATCGTTGATCTCGACCATCATCATAATCCATCACAGCCATAGACAAAGAACAGCCTTGAACTTTTAAGCCAGACGCCAACCCAGGTTAATGCAAAGAGAGAACGCCATGCCATTACCGCTTTCTCGAGTTGACATTCCTGCCAGCTCCAACCCTGACCCGGCCGTTCTTGCTCCGCTCTCCAGTCAAAATGCCCGGCAGATAGTCCTCGTCCATGAGGTCGTGTTCTTTCCGCTGTCTCCGGTTCTGCTCCGCAGTGGCTCTGACATACTCCTTTTGGTCCTCCGCGAGGATCAATTCCGTTCCCCAGCCACCCTTACCGCCACCTCCCTTCCACTTGCCATTGGAGCTGCCGTGGATGGGCTTCGGGACACTGAAAACGTTGCCGCGGTTGTTCCACTGCATGTTCTTCTTCAGATGCATAGTGAACTGCCCGTTGGCGTGCGTCGTGCAGGAGACACGAGTGAGCGTGTCCTTGCCGCAGCGGGGACAGAATTGCTTGTTCATGTCCTTGGTGGTGAGGAAACAAGCATGGCAGCGCTTGATGAAAGATTTGAGGTGACGGATTCTCTGCAGAGTGGAGGTCGAGAGCAGGTTCAAGTTCATCTGTAGCAACACGTTTTGGCACTGGATGGGTCAGTATGGGCAGACATGTACCAGTGGTGTAAAACATACAGCAAAATCCGTAGTCATGGTCGCAACCTGCATCACCTTGGGCTCCGGCGCCGCAGTCGTTGAGCCAGCCTCGTCGCGGGCCTGCCGCTTCTTCAGGTTGGAGGGCGTGATCCAGCCACCGTCCGAGTCGTCGGCATCATCTTCCTCCTCAGCAGCATCGGCATCCTGCGAAGTCGGTTCCTCCGTCTCGGCCTCGGCGGGAGTTTCCTGCACTTCAGTCTCCTGTGCACCTGTCTCTTGCTCTTTATCTTCCAAGCTTGCACTCTTGAGGTCTTCCACAACAGCATCCACCTCAGCACCTTCGACCTTGGTTTCTTCAGTCTGGGCGGGTTCGCCCTCACCCTCACCCTCACCCTCACCCTCACCCTCACCCTTAGGCTCCTCCTTCTCTTCAACCTTCTCTTCAACCTTCTCTTCCTTCACCGGAGGCTTTCCATTTACTTGCTTCTGCCCCGGCACACTGCGCAATCTCCAATCGCCACCATTTCTCTCACACTCCACCTCATACGCAAGTGCCAGAACCTCCAGATCGGTTCTACTCAACACAGCCCGATCACCTGTCTTGCGGGCGAATTCGCTCAAGATGGCCACGCTCTTCGGGGACGGTGTGCGCTGCTTCAAAAAGGGCAGGTACAAAGTTTCGACGCGCTGGCGTGCGGCGGGATCACGGATTTCACTGACAACGGAGGGGGTGATGAGGAGTTCTTCGCATTGTGTGAGCAGAGTGGATAGCGGCGGGGTATTCTTGAGGATGGGACCGGCATCGAGGACGATGGTGTGGACGGGCTTCGTAGGCGCTGCAGAGTCTGCCATGTTAACGGTGGGCGCTATGGATATCTATGCGACCGCGAGATGTTTTCGTAGATGCGAAATGGGTACGGGTGTAAGTGGACTGACGCTGGAGCCCAAGTCGCCCAAAAATCGGCGAGATGGGATTTTCAGCTGGCCTGTGCGTTATACTTATCTTAGCGCCCGCTTATCAAGGTCCTCCTTGGCCTTTTCTTGGGTTTTTGGCCATCTCTCGCGCCAACTGGCCAGCGCCGTTGGCCCGTCCATTGAGGTGTGCCATTTCCATCTCTTCGAATGTTCGATCGATCCTCCGGAGTATTCAGAACCTTCTGACACATTCCTTCCAGCGGCTACCAGCACACCCTGTCTATCATCTCTCTATACATAGACAATGTTAATATATTCCAAATCGCATGGCATTGACAGGTCACTCCGATCCAGTCCCGATCGATGATGCATCACACACTTCATTCAGAGGATGGAGGATGGAAGCCTGCAAGTCGACAGGGCTGCACGTCAGCAGCCTTGCAAAATCCAGACATTCTCGGAATCCTGGAAGGCCACAATCACACTCACTGGAACCACCACGAGGTGCTTGTCCCCATTTTCACACGGAGCCATCGGGATACCGAGCTCTCCACGCAGAAAATCCACGACACGCGTAGGTCGTCTCCAAGAAATTAGATCAACCCGAACTTGCGTCGACCGATCAGGGCCGCGGTGAGCCCACCTGCCAAAAGTACTTGCGTCTTCTCGGATTGCAGTGGGTGTGGACTATACCGTCGTCATGCGTCTGTCTATCCTCGCACTAATGCAGGTATCCATGACAGAGTCAGAATGGCAAACTAATAGCCCGTCCGCCCGGTGGGCTGGCTGATAGGTACAACGCAGGCATTGCAATCCAGACCAGAAGCTACTGTATGTGACGGGACTCTATGGCTATCCTGCATAACTCACAGATGTCAAACCATTTGCGCCTCAAATGTTGGCTCGTTGCTGTCGTGATTGATTGGCTTAGACGAATGATGGCGTTCAGGTGCCAGCTGATGCTAAGAGTGAAGGAATTCCCTAGGCATTCTCTGGAAAGACGAACTTCGAGCGAGTGCAAAAGGACGATGAGAGAAGGGATTCCACGTGTGGACTTTTACTATCCTGCGGCCCATGCTATACGCCTTATCTATGCACAGCAAAATTCCTAATATGGTTTATATATAGCAGAAAATGCCTGCGCTCGACCTATCCAGCCCTCGCTGTCTGGCTAAAGGCAACCAGCTGCCTTATCGCGATACCAACAACCCTAGGGGGAAAAAATGGAATGAAGATCGGTTATCGAGCCATGGAATCCGTCGAGACGGACTCTCTAGAGGCAGTCCCAAGTATTTTTGGTGCAATCATTGACGGAGTGGTGGCGGGTATGAATCCCGAGATACTATATAATTGGGACCCCAGTGACACGATTGTATTACTTGACTCCTGGCGACCGGTACGAGATCTCGATGGGACCTCCATCCCGACCAATCCAGAAAACAGGCGCATTGATCAGCCAATGGATCTGGCTCTGCGTGGAACTATCACTGCGGTGGCGGCGTGTGATGGCTGTCGGAGCCGAACGCGCAGCGCTAACATGTTGCTTTCCCACTTAGGGGTTTCGACACGCACGCTATGGCCCAGTGACAATGCAATCGATAATCGTCCAATTCCAAAGATCATTAAACAATAATTAACTGGACCGACTCCAGATTTGTCTGCGGTTGGCTGGATTCGGTCAACCCGGAAGGTACCGGCGCCTAGTTGACGGTGAATGTGATGCATCGTCTTCTGGTCCCCACCGCGTGTTTCACGCAAATAAGCGCACCAACAACAACGCCCGACTCATCAATCAGCAGTGTTTGATCGAAATGGATGGCCTAGTGAACAAGCGACACGGACATCCGCCTGTATGGTACTTTGGCCCCCCTGCATGTCCGTTATTCGATGTGGCTCTACTCCGTACTCAACCCCCCGAGAATCCCCTCAGAAAATACTCAAAGAAGAAAATGACAGGTCGCATCTCCCCGCTGGTCCACCTGGTGTACTTTTGATAACGGACAAAGTTTCCCCTCAGAAGGTGAATGTTTATCCAGAAACGCACCAGACTCAGACTTTTTGGGACCGAGCGTTGACAGGGGAGGGGGATGACAGTCTTCTGCATCCCTTGCTGTCTCCATCCCCCTTTTGTAGGATCCGTGGCTGGACTTGTTTTGATTGATACCCTGCACCGCATCACCAAGGAAGCCCTACCCAGAGCAAAGGACCCTCGAGACCAACTCGGTAGGGGGGGGGGCAGGTTCCCTCACTCCCTATGGGGACAGTGTTCGGAGATAATCCCTGCCTGCAGCTCACCTGGTCTCTGCGCTGGGGCATGGCTCATTGACAGCTCCGGCCCCAGTACCAGGGCCAGGAGTTCTGGGCTCCACGATCTGCCGGCTGCGCAGACTGTCATCCAACTCATGCCACAGGTTGACTACCTACAGGCAGACGCAAAATGGACGCACGCAGGTCGTATGCAAGTACCCCTACAAATGCATAGAACAACCCATGTCGGTGTCCAACCAGAGGAGAGCTTGGGATCCATTGTCGATCCATCATCTTCCCCACTTGGTGTTTGCGACTGACTGGACCCAACAGTATCTTTCTCAGCAGCGGGTGCAGTCATTTGTTGATCATCGACAGTCTCGTTAGCCCTAGTGACACCAAAGGGCTGGAACTCACCGCTTGGGCCTCTGTTATGCATCGAGACATCCCCCGGGCACTCCGCAAAGCTAACGCACAATCGATGCGAAAAGCACCAGACAAAATTCGAGCGAGGCACCACCTGTACCTACCTCCTGTTGTTGCCTTTACCTATCTATCAACTGGAAGTTGCCCAAAGACCAAATTGTGGCTGCTCTCTATCATTTGCTGATTTGCCTCTCCCTTGCTTGCTTTTCCTGGCCTCCCTTTATGCACCCACTGGCCCCAGCTCCTGTCTGAGGGTCGGACCGCCGATCCGGAGAAGCAATTGGACATGACTGAGGATCTTCACGATTGGTCTATCTCTATACTCTAGTGAGACATAGCCGTTACTGGGGCTTCCAGACAGAAAACGTTTATATCCCATCCTTTCCTCCTTCCCCTGCCAATGTCCCTCTCACAGTGATATGCCGCACAGTACCACATTGCTTTTCGGGGGGTCACTTGGACCCCAGGACTTATATGAGTGACCTTGCTGGTCTCTGTACACAGAGGCCCGTGTACTCGTGAACCCTCGACCACGTTGGAACCTTGTTCACCTCTCCCTGCCTCTGGAGCACAGACAGATCGAGTCACACCCGAGACCGAGACCGCCGAACGAGCATTTTGAACACGACCATGACGGATCCTCACCTTCATCTTGTCCGATCTGAAGATGATGGGCATGGGCCATACCTCTCTCCCAGAGGAGGCCGAGCGTTGGCCGTCAGTGTTATTTTCACCACGCTAGCAACATGTTCTGTTGCCGCTCGTATCTACACGCGGACCAAGTTGATGCATCGCATGGAGCCGAATGATTGGATGATCTTGCTTTCCTTGGTAGGTGGAGGTACGCTGGCAGGCGAGTCGCGTGTTGCTGACTTCGGATCTCACAAGGCCTTGTCGTTTGTATTTATGGGGCTATTCATCGTGGAAGCCATGAATGGAATGGGGATGCATGAGTCACACATTCCACCGTCAGTTCTTTTGAATCAGATGAAGGCGAGTTAACCCGTTACACCAGTGTATGCGATATATGGAACTAACCCATGGGCGTGTGCTACATTAGGCGTTCTGGCTTACCATTCCCTTCTACAATGCCGCCTTGCTGATTGCAAAAGCGTCGATTCTGATGCAGTATTTCCGTGTGTTCCCAACCCGGCGCATGCGTCGCATCTCCTGGGTCATGATCGCCATTCTTGCTACCTACGGATCCTGGGCAGTTCTCAGTGCCTTCCTCAACTGTATCCCCGTGGCTAAATTCTGGAACCCGAGTCTGTCGGGATACTGTCTGAGTATGGAAGGGCTGTGGTTCTCGAACGCGTCCATGCACATCGCGACCGATATCGTGATTCTACTCATTCCTATCCCGGCCTTGTCGGGGCTTGAATTGCCACGCAAACAGAAATTGGCCTTGATGTCGATTTTCGCTCTTGGGGGATTGTAAGTGGCACGCCATTCCATGCGCTATTCTTACTAACGCCTAACTATAGTGTCTGCGTAACCAGTGTCTGCCGTCTTGTTGCCCTGAAGAAGATTGCCGACTCGACAGACCCTACCTGTATGTTGCCCTGTTTGGGTCTTCATCTCGTGCTAGCTAACCTCATCATTAGACGACAACGTCGGTGCTGCGGCCTGGTCTGCAATTGAATGCAACACGGGGATCATTTGTGCCTGTCTCCCCACCCTGCGGCCTCTCATTTCGCGACTGCTCCCACATCTGCTGTCGACTCTCAGTGGAGGAGGCCGTGTTTATGGCTACGGACCTGCCCCATCTTCACAAGGGCAGCCTCCCACCTTTTGGAATGGCACGGGCACGGTGACGACTACGATCACCACGCATACGCATATGGACGATCTCGAGTTCGCGCATTGCTCTGGCGACGCGGACAGGTATCTGACCCTGGTCCCGGGACATGAGCTTGGTGGTAAGGGGAAGATTATGGTGCGCGAAACCCACAACAGCTCGGCGGGATTCCGTGATTCTCTGATGCGGACGGAGGGATCGCCCTCGTCATCATCGTGATATCACCGGATGAGTCTTCTCCGGTATTCTGGGATTTAGTCCCTTGTCCGTTCATTCGTTCAGCGTTCGTTTCCTTTCTGTCTATACCTATCCATCTCTCGATGTATCTACCAGTTCTTGCTTTGTCTAGACAATCTATATATAGTCTCCTTGCAGCCCGTGCCCTTCTTCAAAAAAGCCGAGCGCAGAGGCGGTTAGTAGCTAGCCCTAACCGGCAAGCAATCTACATTGATCCTTCAACCGACTCACAGATTACGTTTTAGCACCGGCTGTTGAGCGACCCACCCGAGGGAGAGCCATTGCATAATGCATGCACTTCGGGCCTCGGTATTGCTAGTGACTAGTCTCGTCATCCTGGACCACCCGACTAAGGTCCAAAGCTCCGAGATGCTTATCGGACGATCCAGGCGTGGTGGGGCTTTGGAACAGACGCGCAATTCATCCATGGCGGCCACCGACGGAGTCCATTTGTCCCATGATTGCTCTCCTTTGGTCCACACCACCGCATCCTAACCACGGAGCAAGAGAACACGAAAATCGAACGTGGGATACTCCGTTTCAGACCGAAGGGATATGTGTCAGCATGCCGAGCCTTTTGGACCGAATCTCGGGCATTGTCGTGTCATATCTGAGGTGAGATTCTGGGGGCCGTCGGCCCGGCGCATGGGCCATCCACGCCCCCCTTCACTGTGCCCTATCGCCGGTTGGGCTTGGTCGCTTTGCTAAAAACAAGACAGGGGTCAGACAGGCTATCTGCTATCGTATCGACCTGGGAATTCATGAATCCTGAATGGGCGAGTCGTGTCGTCCTTCTTGTTTTCATGCATTGGTCGCTGCCGTAGTTTGCCTGCTCCTTAGGGCTAGGCCAATGAGCACTCCTCAGGATGATCCCATGTCCACTTCTTCCTGCGTAATCAGTGGGATGCAATCAATGCCGATGAGAGTTATCGGAATACGAGCGTCATGCATCAGCTTGAACATGAACTACTACATATAATTGATCCGGTCTGTCGGACGGGCTGATCAGATTCCATGTGCCTGCCTGCCTGCCTGCCTCTCTTCTCGAGTTTTTCATCGCTAGTTCATAGCCACTTGCCTGCGTCGAAAGCGTCCCTCGCCTCAATGAGTGACACAGAGAGTGTAGACGCGAGACACGCCGGGGATGCTGAGCCCTCGGGCCCTGAACCTGCTTGCGACGAGTGTCGAATCCGCAAGGTTCGATGCGACAGGGACTCGCCTCTGTGCTCCAGCTGTCGCAAGTCGAACTTGATCTGTCAGTATACCCAGAAGGGCAAACGGATCAATCATACCAAGAAGCTGTCGGTTTTCATCTTCCCATAGCCTTCCCTCCTTCGAGTTCTGGAATATCCAGCTGACATTCTTGCTATAGAGTCAACGACGTCCAACTACTCGGAACCCGTCTCGATCGAATCGAAGAAGCCCTGGTCCGGTGCATGTCCATCGTCTCAGCCTCGAATTCACCGCACAACAGCGGGTCAGCCACGCCGTATAGTCCGGACACCCAGCGAACAGAGGCGGGAGATTCATGCGGTAGCTCGGACAACTCTGACGGAAGCCTGATGGATGGACTATCAGATCAGACTGGGTTCCCGGGGGGGCATGCATTTGGGCCCTCGAGCTCGATGGCTTCGCTCTATACTGAGGCCCAAGCCGCCGGGGACCAGCTCGCCTCGTCGCTGTCACAGCAGGATAGTCTTGAGGGACCCGGTCAATGGCCCCCTGCCCAGGAGTCCATGCTTCGCACCCAAATTGCCCAAGCGAGCGCGCTCTTTCAGCGACTGGCCACCGACAGTCCCCCAATCTCGGAACCCGAGTACCATGACAACCTGCTGCCTTGTCTCCCTCCACGAGCCCTACTGGAGGTCTTCCTCGAGACGTATTTCCGCGAGCTCAGCCCTTTACTCCCTATATATGACCGAGAGAGTGTCCTGGCAGCCATGCAAACCCAGTATGGATCCACCGTGGATGGTCCTGATCCCGCTTGGATTGTATCGTTCAGCAGCATCCTCCTTCAGACGCTCGAAGCCAAATCCACGGCGACGAAGAAAACAGACATGATGGCCCGCAGCACGCTGGAAGTCGATCTCCTGTTCCAGCTGTTGCTCAATACTCGGCGCTGCTACAACCGCTTCGAGCGCCTGCTCCAGCCACGCGTGGCCAACGTGCAAGCCCTCCTCAGCATGGTATAGATAGCCATCCAGACATTGACCAACTCCGCTGACTGGAACCATTACAGGCATTAGTGGCGCTGAAATACTTTCGCTTCACCATGTTCGAAACCGTCTTCACCCAGGCTTGTGAGCTCGCCAAGTCCATGGGCCTGCACCAGAGCTCATCCACCGCCGATGCGAACCAATGCGACGAGTGTCAGAAGCTCTTCTGGTCTCTCTTCATCCTCGATGTAAGTCCTGTCTCGTCGTCATCGGTGCTCTCCCACTCACTAGACCAGAAACATACCTCCCTCATGTCCGGCAAACCCTGTCTCCTGCCCTCGTTTGACTGCGGCATTCCTCTGCCCTCCAGCACCACCGGCGTCCTCCTCGACGACCTCTTCGCCGCACGCATCTCTCTCGCCCACATCGAAGAAGATATCTTCTGCAACCTCTACTCAGCCAAAGCCCCACTACTCAGTCAGAACCGTCTCAGTCGCCGCGCCCACAAGCTCGTCCGCCGCCTCAACGACTGGACCATCCATCACAGCCGCATCCTCTACCCACCAGCAAGCACAACCACCACTGCCCAACAAGCCACCGAGCTCCGATACGCCCTCTGTATCTGTCGAGTGCTCGTGCACCGACGCATCCTCACCCCGGAGAGCCGTCAGACCCGACTCGAGCACGCCCGCACCGGACTCCGCCTCCTCCAAGAGCTCTGCGAGAGCTACCACCCAGGCGATAGCATCTCAGGCTTCACTGTATTCGAAAGGTCCTCCCCCATCTCACACCATTCCCTCAATCACATCACACCAACTAACAATCACCAGCATCCTCCTCAACTACCCCATCATCCTCTTCCTCGAAATCTACATCCACCTCCTCACCCCCGACATCTCCACCCCGACATCCACCACCACCGCCATAACCTCAGACACCAACGACCTAATATTCTTCGCCTCTCGCGCCGACTACCTCGCAGCCAATGGCTCTACAACCTCCTACGCCGCTACCATCCGCTCCATCACCCAATTGTGCAGCCACATCGCCACGTCTCTTCTCCACCCTACCTCATATTCAAGCCCACAACTCCACCCCCACCACTCTACACCCAACATCCAACACTATCCTCAACATCAGAACCAAGACCCAGACCCAACATGGGAAATTCCCTGGCTCTCAACCCCAACCTCAACTCCATTGGAGCCCAATCACCACCACCACCACCACCCAGGAACAGACCCCTACCCCTACGGAGAATGGGAAATGATCTCCGACTCCACCCCCATTGATTTCGACGATATAATGGATACATATCGGTGAGACTTACGATTTTAGATGATATTACTTCTATGGTTTGCATTCATTTCGGGGTATACATGTAAGGGCTGGAATGGACCCTTTGGAGTTGGAGTTAGTTAGTGATATAGCTGTATGGTATCTTCAACAGACCATAAATTAATTCTTCCTTTCTCTTTTTTTTTATAGTATTAGTATTAGTCTTAGTAAAAAAAGATTAATATATCAACAAGATGGTTTTTATCCTAAGATTGATTCACGCACTATATAAAACCCACATCAGAACCATCCTCCACTGACTGATCACTTACACCACCAACAAAATCCAAACAATAACAATAACACTCAACCCGGGAATAAGTACTATATCTTCAAGTAGATATAAAATATCCTTTTTCTTTGCCCTTCTTCTTCTCTTCATGCTTATTCATTCTCATTCTTATGATATACAAAGAAGTACCCACCCACTTCCCAACTATGGTTTACAAATCTACTTAACGGACAAACTAACCTAGATATATCCTTCCTCTTATTCTTCTTTTTTCTCCCTCGGTTATTTGCCTAGGATGAATGGATGGAGAGAAGTACTCTTCTTTGATCGATTTCATGTGACATGGTTAGTTTACAACTGTACCTGGTTTTATCGGGATAAATGAATAAAATCGTATGAGTGGATTCAATTAATCCCTGGCTGATTGATGTACATGAACCCATCCATGTCACATTGCCCCCCCCCCCCCCTGTGCTCTGTTCAAGGCACCCGAAACTGATCCGCAAAGTAATTCTCCATAAGAAGTGGATCGAAAAAGAAGTCCGGCAGATCTACGCCATCAAACGGATATGGCATGGGTCGCGCTAACATACTCTCATATCCCAGCGGCGACAGGCCAGATAACTGGCAGGAGGCTGCGTCACTTTCCACTCGCACGGTAGCTGTTGGTGGCGTTGCAGCGTAGTGAGACGATTCGGATGACTTGGGCGTCCACACAGCTTGCTTCACTAGGTCCACTAGATCGGTGCACCAAGTGACACCTTGGTGGAGCTTGGCGACGTAGTTGGTGGGAAATGTCGGATGTCGGAGAGACCCAAGTTGCTTGCGCACGTCATCGAGAAGGGTCACATACGAGGCAACTTCATCCGAGTTGGTCTTGGTGAGGTAGACCACGCATAGATCGTGGAAGGCGATGAGGGGGTAACATTGGAATATGCTAGGTTTGTTAGTCCAGATTACAGACTACAACAGACAAAGAACAGCAACAAGCATGAGTTCAGCTTACCGGCCCAACACGGCGCAACTGTTAGCTGTCACCGGTGCGTGGAATACTTCACTCATAATTCTCAGTGCCAGAAGTGAGTGGTGCCGGGTTTCCTGTTGACTCTCCGCCGATGGATCGCACCGATAAATCAAGATCTGTCCTACGTGGTACCGATATTTGAGCTCGAGTTGCATCATGCCCAGGTCAGGAGCACGGATCAGGAATGATGAACTGAGCAGCTCCTCTTGCTGTCGGGAAAAGTCTGCATAGAGACGGCCCAGTGCACGGATTTGATCGCGACGATGGTCTACCCCGAAGCGTGCGGCCCGCGAGGAGTAAAGGCACAGGTAGATCTCCTCCCAGATCGTCATCATTTGCACCGAGGCAAATTGGAGCTGGGAAGCGGCAGGCATCTCGCTACTGCAACGGGGGGGCTGGAGGCCGGAGTCGAAAAGATATAGATCGGAGGAGTGTCCGCTTAGGAATACCCGCTGTTTATCCAGGGAATAAAGCGCCCAGAATAGTCGCTCTCGCGTGCGCAGCTGCGCGCTATCTTCCACATGATCCAGTGTCTCGATCGAGCGACTGAGGCCCACCGAGCGTGCCACTTGGCAGGCAGTCTGGCAGGCCTTCTCAAACACCGCTGAGACAAAGAACTCGCGGGCCACCAAAGTCTGCGCTAGATCAGCGTGGTACTATCATGGTCGGGGGCCTTGAGAACCCTACTGAAAGGATCAACGCCTGAAGACTACTGAGGGATGGCTGCGAGAATCTTTGTAGATCCACTAACCCTCTGCGACAGTTAGCGAGTGGCAACGCGGTCAGCCTCTTGTTCTTCCGTGGGTCAACAACCGACTTGGCTCGGAGAGCAACTCGTGCCTCCAAATTCCAGACCAAGAGGACGATGCAGTTGAAACAGATGGCCCAAGTGGAACTCATGGCCGCATTTGGGGCCTGGTAACACGTCTGGATCGCTACATACAGCGAGTCGGCGTCAAAGACGGGAACCTGAGCGTTGATATTCTCCAGGTAACTCGGGACGGCCGATTCTAGCATGACCAGGGGCGGTAGCAGGATCGGACCCTGGTCTCTTGCAATTGGTGGCTCCATACATTTCCCACGAAAAGGGAAGTTTTCGTAATGTCGTACCAGTGAGGGCCGCAAGGACGGTTGGTCGGCCGCTATCGCCACGGCACCCCGCAGAGGAGCAATGTGGGGATAGCCTCCCAGAGCTGTCCAGAGCAGCTTCTGTGAAGATCGGAAGAGACAGAGAGCTGCAGGATATCCATATAGACGCTCTCCGATGTCCCCAAGTTCCAACACCTGTTTAGTCGCAATCTCCTCTGCGGTAGGGTCGTTGGCTGGCTCGGACCCGGCTGTGCCGGTCGCAGTCGTTAGAGCTGCCCCTGTCGACTGCGGGGACAATGAGTCCACTTTCTCGGAAAGTTGCGCGAGGGTGCGATCAACATGGTCGAGGCGCGCCAGGACAGCGGAGAAATCATGGAGCCTACCCCATCAGCTAGGACGAGCATTGGGCGCTGGGAAAGCCTACAGCTGCTTAGCGGGGTTAACCCGTTTGAAAGAAGCGGAGAAGTCGCATGGAACGTTGGATTTGCGGCAGGTCGAACACTCAGGCTGGATCCGATCACAACGGACCTGGGCGGGTTAGGCAATACGATTGGGGTCATAAAGGTCTTGCTCACCTTGCGTGAGCGGCATTGGTTGCAGGCAGGAAGCAAGTCCGCATCAGGGCTAGGGAGCGGACGCTTTTTGGGATTCATTGTTGAGTGAAGAGACACGACAAATTATGTGGGAGGATGATAGGCGTAGATGGGCGTTAGAAAAAGCGCGGGGATTGTACGGCGAGGATTGAAAGGTCGGGCCTCGGCTACCGAGCCCCGACTCGGTCTATAAGTATACACAGCTGTCAGTCCAGCCACTTCACAGGAGGAGAGGATCCGTTGGATGGGAGAGTACCTGGTGGGACTGGAATGCTCCCAGGAAGTGAAATCCTTCATATGGGCGCTGGATGTTTGTTGACGCATTTCATCTGATTCTGTTTTCGATGGGCTCCAAGCAGTAGGCTTGGTACTCATTGATGGGGCCATCGAACTTGAATCATCGTGGTCGGAGATTTGGATGTCCAGGGTCAGAATCGATGAGATAAAAGATGATCAGAAGACTGACTGCGCAGAAAAGGGGTGGCTGGGTGAAACGAAGAGAGATCGACTGTAGAAGTGAAGGCGAAAGTTGAAGGAGAAAGGAAAGGTTCCAAGTGAAACCATGTAATGTACGGAGTTACCACGGAGAGGGCAGGTGTGTGGCAGAGTCCAGGGACCCAGCAGGGGTCAACACCACGTTTTGTGACGGTTTCACGTTTTGTATGTCTGTGTATAGCCTCTCTGGGCTCTACTACTACTACTACTACTACTACTATTTTGAACACATTGGTAGCAGACGCTGCTACGCGAGACAGATCTACCTTTTGATCCCAAACCAAGAATTTCCAGAACCTCTAGAAATTCAGAAAATTTGTTCAAGTCTAGTTTCCCTGGTGACCAGACAGGGCGAAGGCGGAGAGAAGGAGATGGAACGTCAACTAGCCCATTTCTCCGGTCAGCAATATCTCAAGTCCGAGAAAATTGAAGCAGCTTCTAAAAGGGGCCATAAGAAGGCGATGCAGATGCTGCTGGAGAAAGGAGCCCTTGTTAAAAACAGGGTCCATGGTAATACTCTCTAGTTCCTGCTTGCAATGATCAAATCCCTTACATGATTACTTTTCATCAGTATAGAAATCAGACTACTTAATCTAGTGTGCGGTGGGGAGATGCATGGCCGTGGAGGATCATGACAGGCAGGCATCTCGGAGATCCCGTGACCTACTAGACAACCAACTGCCAACATGAACCGTTGCTCTATGGACGCTACAGCAATGTAACCTTATATGGTAACAGGAGATCACTTGGATTCCCACGGAACACGGTTCCGAGTATAGTACCCTGTGAGGTTTCCTGATACCTGATATCATCCCTACTGCTCTATCACCAGATACCTATACCTTGTCAGAGAGAAACCAAGTCAAGTCCATTTATTGCGTGAATATAGCTTGATTCATAGAGAGCCTTCCTTCACCGTCAATCACCATGATTTGGGGTCTGGCTAATAGTAGCAGCTAACTATGAACTCAGATGTTAGTACACTGATAGTAGTTATTACGTAGTGATGATAAGTTATGTAGTACACGAAATAGCCAATCAGAAGTGTATCAGGAGATCTTTCTACCCGATTGGAGGATGCGCCAAGCCTAGGTACAAGTACCAGTAGGTACCAGATACGGATCAGCTCCGTACTGCCGTGTAGCTGCCTCGTTTAACTTTCGGCGTGTATGTATCCATCGATGTTCAACCAATCTTTTGACTGAGATCAGAAGCTTATTGAAGCCAGGGCAAGAGTCCTCCAGATCGGGCTACACTGTGTGATTTCCAGAAGCGGTTTAGTCTGCAGTTTGGGGTGTACATACTACAGAGTACTACTTCCTTCAGCCCTTGACAGGGACACTGGAAAGAAATCACCATAACCAAGGAGTATTACCCCTCCTGTTTCTCCTCAGCGGTCGCCGACCATTTTCGCTCTTCGTACAGGCCTCGATATTAAACAGCCCAACCCGATCCAGCCCAGCGCGGCCATCAGAGACTCCTAGTTGTAAACCTATGGGGAGAAAAAAAAAAAAAAAAAAAAGAAGAAGCATAGTAAAGAAAGAGAAGTCTCTTTGAGTTGGAGGTCTCTGGAATCGCTTGGATGGCTTTCAAACCTACGCCACTGATTATTTTGACTGGCTCTGAGCAAAAATTGGGGTGCGAACAGTGGACAGCGAAGTAGGCGGACGGGTGGCGTTTGTCGGTGTTGGGAATGGATTGTTGGGGATTTGACGTTATCGCCGATGAAAACAAGCAGGAGAGTGAAAAGTTAGTTACTGTCGAATCTGGAGAGTTTATGACCTGTGCACAGCTTGGGATGCAGCAGAGCTTCAGGGAGATGCGACGCCACCAATCCGCTCGATTTGAGGTGGCTGAAGAACACCGTTAACAATGACAGTGTATCCCAGTCTCCTGGAGCCACCTGTCCTATCATGTAAAAGAATGGATATCCCCGACAGACAGTATTCTCTTGGACGACGATTCTTCCCGTACTTTGTCGGCCAACGAGCTCCAGCTATCCCTGTAGGCTGTTCCCAACATGTATGTACATACTGGGGATGCCGCAAGAGAAGGTGGAATTCATGACGTGATGATGGCGATCGGTCTATCACTGGATTCACGCATGCATGTTGTAAGGCCCATGGAGGTATTGTAATCAGGGCAACTCTTGCTGGATGACAGTCATCCTTTATTCTCTGGATAGCAGGAACCGGCACCATTGACACAGGTTTTCAAGAGGACTGTTTACTAACTCCCCCGAGTAGACACAGCTGTTTGCACTTAGAGTGAATAGAGCCTAGAACAAGCGTGGGTTTTGGTGGATAGTTCTGAAGCCAGGTTCTAACGACATGTGCTACCATGACAAGAGATGAAGACGGATACTATGTGGTGAATGGTTAAGCATCAGAATCCAAAGATACGAGTGGGGGTGTGTTGGTCAACTTCCCTGTCCTGTTTGGTGAGGCTTTTGATCGCTTATTTTCGTGAGGGCAAAGAATCGTAGCTGGCATCCCCCCTCGTTAGCTAGCTTGGTTGTGTCATGTTAATAGGACGTCACTACGGCAAGCCGCAGGGCTATGGGATCATACAAGGACGAAGAAGGCCTATGAGCTTGACATTGACATGGACATGGACATGGACATTGACATGGTGACTGACGGGGATGTCACGCAGCAAAGATGTACGACTAAGAACTGGTTGGTACCCACGGTACTCAACATTAGTACGGAGTAAGTAAAACGGTACGTCGTCCAGATTTCATCCATCTTCTGTACAGTCAATGACTTCCGTCCACAATCCGTCCACGATCCGTCCACGATCTGTTCGTCCAATTATTCACTCTGACTGCTAGCTCTGAGCTGGTTGAGAGCCAGCAAGTCTACAAGGAAGACACCGCATGGTCAGAAAGTTTGAGTCTCTTACCGTTCAAGCCACCGACTGTCTCACCCCCTCCTTTCCTTCCATTAACATGGGAATTCGGGCTGATTGTCACATGGGATGATAGGAGAACTGACATGTCTAATGACACCGCAGAATGATAAAACCTTATCTTGCAAAATAACCCATCTAGAGCATCATGTCATATTCCCAACGCTCAGCCATATACAACCAAACGAAAGAAAGTCTATGCTGCACCACCTTCCCATAGAGCGAAGTTGCATACGTACTTGAGACGAGTCTAGAACTACAGGATGCCATCTATTAGCATATATTCTGCTCAAGGCAATTCAGCTTGCGAACAATGTTTGCTTTTTTATGCTGTTGAGAGCCTTGGAGACCACCCTGCAGGTTTTAGGATTTCAAGCAATGATACTAAGATTGTCCAATATGAAGTTACAGCCACATTCTGGCCAGACACTTTTCCCTGGTGCTCCTGGAGCATCAAGGCTCGATCCTCAGTTCCCAAATCCAAGCCATCGGGGTATAAATTGTGTCAAGAAGTAAGTGCCTTGCAATCTCACATCCATCGTCCATCGCGACTTTTTGGCTCCTTGACTTCATTCTACCAGGCTCCCCTCTACCATTATTCACATGTTTCTCCTATCGATTCTTCGATTTTTGGCAGTTACTCCCACCTTCATCGGCATGTTTTTCACATTTATTCTCAATTTTGTGATTCCTTTTCTAGTACCGTGGATTGTGCCAAACTTGCTGGCCTGGTCTGTGCCACTTTTTGTGAAATATCTGGCATTTGCCAGAATTAGGGCCATAACCTTTTTTCTATTTATCCGACTGCGTCGCATCTCTGCTCTACGGGATGTTGGGGTGGGGGTGATGGGGGGCCTTGCGGTCCTTCACTACGTGGGGATTCGGTATAGAGACACACCGGTTAGACTACCCTACTGGTTTTCTTCACCAGAAAAGGGAATTCTACTGACACTTCCACCCTTTCAGAATGCTGACCTTCTAATCATCACGGATATGTCCGCCTCGGATATCTCCAAGCTACTATTGATGGAGACCGACTCCTTCTCAAGCCCCACCCCTCCAAGCAGGTCAGCCACAGACACCTCGAACTGCCAAGTAGTATTCCACTGCCCTTTTGGAAAGATGCCCGTAAAATTTTGGAATTACAAAAGATCCCTACCGTGGATGCTCCCAGGAGCCCAGATTCAGAATCCTTACGTTCCAGCACAAGCCATTCCATTGGCGCAAACGACTTGGTTCCAGTTACCTTACCTACGATGGCAAGATCTTGTTCTCGTAAATCTATGGTGGGCTGCTATCGAGTCCAAATCCATCAAGCCGAAACAAGCCGCTATGGATGTGTGGGAACTACTCTTACATCACAAGGTGGATCCCCGATGGGAAGACTGGCAGGTTGGAGTTTTGAGGATAGCCGTCGACAGGGTTCACTGGAGGGATGTGAGTAAACAAGCTTGGTATGAAGGTTTACGCATCTCTATATTCCCATTCCATTGATTCATTCTTCCCCTCTGTTTGCTTTCAGTATTGTTCTTTGTTTCCCCGTGTCTTCCTCTGGCTATTCACTCCGTTATTCTTTGTCTCGGTTTCTCTTTCATACTGCTCTGTGCCTAAAAGTGTTTGCCCTTGGCTTTCAATGTTTTATTCTTTCTCTCGGTGTGTGTTTAGTACTCTCCTGTGTTGACAATCTTATTTTGATCTCTATGCTAGAATGTCCAAGCGAGTGATATTCGACCTTTTGAGAAAAAAGTAGGGACAAATCAGTTCCTCCCTCCTCTGGCATGGGACGATGCTGTTGGATAGGACCTCAGGATACAGGTAAAACATAGTATTGTAGTGTGTAAATCTGCTACATATCTTAATTTACTAGTTCAACTCCACATCTGTCTATCTTACTCCTGAGAAAGGGTTTTCCTTACTCGTCAGGAACATTGGAATCCCTTTCTGTGGTCATGGTAACTCTCTCCTTCCTGAGTCGTATGGTTATGACTGTCCCAGGATCAACAGATGCATCGGCGGAGTTCAGGCACTTCGCTTCAGCTTTTGGGAGAGTCTGACAAATTATTTCTCTATTTCTTCAGCCTTGCAACTGGGCGAACCCAGACTTTCCCACAACGGACGAATGTCCTCGTGAACCCTTTCTGAAGAGCGGAGATCGGCGCCTCCATCGGCGCCATAGGTTAAAGCCCCCAAAAAGTCCTCGGCCGTTTCCAGCAGTTTCTTTCTGCGACTATCAATATGGTAGTCACGGGCAGTAAGGAACATCAAGGCCTCGAAAAAGCCAGGGGGGGACGGGACTATGACTGGGGGCGGGACTGCTCCAATATCTGGATTTTTCCAATCACCCCACATGTCATTACGTGGCAGGCGGGGATCATCGGCCACCATAAAGTAAGGGTCATCTTTGGCCGGACTTTTTAGGAGAATCCTGGGTAGGGTCCAGAAGTTGGCGGACTGTTTGAAAAGCGCGAGATCATGAAAGCCAGGATCAAGATCATCGCCGGTGGGATCGGGGCCGCGTTCGATATACAGGTGCTCGCAGGCTTCGAAATTAGGATCCTTATACAGGTCTTTCGGGGAACTTGTGCGAGTATTCTTGGGCTTGTCGGTGTACTGGAAGCCCCTCTTCGTCAGTAAGACGATTGCTTTGTAAATCTGATCATCGGGGATGACCAAGCCGATGCCCTGTGATCATTAGCTTACCTTTGCTTTTGTCTAGTACTGCCCGCCCCTGAGCTCATGGAAGTTCAGGGGCACGGCATTGGGGAATAGGGAGGAGAAAGTATGGCATAGGGGAGAAGAGGAGATGAATGCTGGTGACTTACAGTTCCATCGGAATGATGATATAGAGCCCACATATAACCCTCAATGAGCATACAAGGCACTCCATTCTTCTGAAGTAATTCAGTCACGCTTTTGATCAGAGGACTGGCATAATATACGATCTCAAACTTGAATTCGACCATTGTTTGCGAAGCGAATTGCAGAGGGAGTCTTTTCTTTGGCCCAGGAACTTGAGACAATATGAAAATGCTTGCGCAATGTGAGTACGAGGATGGGGATTCGATCCGCTATTTTAGCCGAGCGACAGTCACCGGCTAAGGGTTCATAAAAAGGGCCACGGCGTCTTTCGTCTATTCCTGGGTATCTTTCTGAACCAGACTCACCCCAATCGCAAAGGACAAGGGCATCTATCCCGGTGCGGATAGACAATCGCCCTCTAGACGTCGGTTACCCAACTATGAATGGCTCCCTCCGAGAGAATACGTTTACCACACCAGGAAAGTGGGTGCGTGATTCCAAGCGGGGTGCAGACGATTGCTAGCTATTCCACTTAAAGCTCCAGAGAGAGACACCTGGGATTATCCTTATCCCTGCCCTAGTGGGATAGTCAATCATGACCGAGTGGTGATTCACCGTCAACGTTCTGCTATCCCATGACGGCTTTCGGCGTTGATGTCCTACCCTTGAGGCTAGTCGGGTTCTTTCGTCGCTTCAGCGGTTTCACCCACTATTTCACATCCATTAATCAGCCCAATAACTCAATAAGCAAGTTCCTGTTAGCGAAGATGGATCATCTGATTCACTCGCCGTTCACTTTCCTCGGGATACCGTCTTCATAGTTCATTGTGCCGCATGACAATAACACTACTTCCTTTCTCTCACAGAAATAGGAGGAGAGTGGGAGAGTGACAGGGGTCGTGGAACTAGAAACGAGGCTGGCTGTTTTGTTGTCATGTGATCTAATCACGTTGGTCTCCTTTCCTTTCGGTGACTTTCTCCGCCATTGTTCGGAAAGAATCCAGTTCCGGACAGAAACACGTAAGACAGGTGTTATTCTTTCTCTTGTTGGCGTCAAGGGGATCAGCCCCAGCCTCACTCCCTGTTCGACTTTTACCAAATTACTTAATCCATGTTTATGGTGGAAATTCAACTCTTTCCCACGCCCACGCTAGGTGCATAAATACGAAATGGCTTCATCGTGTATAGTTATCATCGTCATATACAGATTCCCTCCTTGGAATATGACCCCCAAGCATGCTGTGACGTATAACTCAAAGGATTAACAGGATTTCTGATCGACGTAAGAAATACATAGTACGTGAGCGTATGTATGGAGTCTAGGTCATCGTAGACCGTTATCCCGTAGGGTTTAGGGCGGAAATCCCACCCGCTAGATCTATAAAGGAAAGTTCCGGTTCGATAACACAACCCCGAGTAATTTTCCTTGTAAGGTACCCTGCCCTGTACTCCGGACTTACCGCAGAATTGCCTTTTTGGAACCACATAGTATAGGCCGCTACCTACCTGGTTTGCCCGAAATAGTTCATATCCTTCCAGACCAATCAGCAAGCAAACGCTCAACGGAAGTTGCATTCCACTAGGCCCGTAGGTAGCCTCCTGCAATTGCAAGGTATCTCGGAAATTAATGTATGTCAGAACTCAGAGTACACCACCGTACTTACAGAGAACGGAGTACAAAAGTGGATCCGGAGTATTGATATTAATTTCCCACTTTGGTCTAGTGGTCCTGGTGGAGTGTCCGATCGTTGGGGTTAAACTCTTTCGGGACGGCCCTACGGAGTAATGAATCTCACCATGGAGTAAGACAACGACCTGAAACGGCCTAAAACAAACATGACAGTAAGCAGGGTCACTTCTTCGGAGTATCACCACCAGAAGCAAGATGTCCAACAAAAATGGGAAGATGCTTATTGAGAGTGAATAGCAGTGCAATATTCTTCACCCAGTATGATAGCTCCGGGTCTACTAAATAGCAGTTGCGTTACACCCTGGTTTCGCGCTAACGACGATTTCGGTGGCTCTCCAGGACGTCCGGATGTGCAGCGGTTGACCGAGCCATGAACTGGATGATGAAATCCTGGAAACCCGGCTGGAGTCAGATGACTAGAAGCGTGACCAGATCACCTGATAGGAAGTTCCGCAACTTCCCTCCCTCTGGACGGTATCCAACCATCTCAGCCAGGTCGGTTTCCATCCATCCATCCATCCGAGCCGGTATACCTTCTCATATCTGAGCGATCATGCCGTCGACAGTGGTATGACTGTCAATCGATTGGCAAGAAGACGAATGCTGTTATAGTCCTATACATCATCCATCGCGCAAAGGATTCCAGCCGAGGCAGATCGGGCCACTTTTCTCGGTTAACAAACGTCATAGGACCCCGGCCTTCCGATCGGCACTGGGTCAAAGCGTTCCAGAACGTCGGTTGTCAGATTTTGGGGCCCGAACTGGTGGGAGTCCTCCAGGGGTCGAGACCAGTTGGTTGCTTGACGGGGCTGGCGCTGATCATGGCGAGAAGGCGACTTTGGGAGAAGAATCCCATGGTGAGCATGATCAGGAGCAGCCAGACATGGTAGGAGCGCTATTAATAATACCATCCAGGTCCTATCCGCGTGCCTCCCAACCGTCTGATGAACAAAGTCGGGCCTCGGAACCCGTCGGAGAAAGGGCCAGCGCCGAACGAGGGCTGCTGGGTGGGTGGAGGAACATTAGACTATGTGGCTATTCCACTAACCTCCGTCTAGCCTTGCCGGGCCACCAATTAGCGGTATCTGATAGAGGGGGCGCAGACAGCTGTCGTCGCATTCACCCAGATGCAGGGGTACCGAATCAGTCCGCCAGACGCCAGTAATGACGTGTGATAAGGGAGGGGTAAGGCCCAGTGTCTCTACTATATAGACCGGTGTAGCCAGTCCTTCTCCCCTGCTTTTTTCCCAGATTTTTTTTTCCCTGTCAAAAAGCTCACAATGGTCGTTGTTGCAGTACAGTCCCAGACAGCAGCATCTGCTGCCCCATCTACCATCTCAAACGGTATTGATAAGGAAACTCATACGAAGACCCAGGAGACCACCCCTTACAATGCCGACGGCGGCGTCACCAGTCAGCTCTGTGGCTGGATTGCTGGCCTGCAGCTTGATGATATCCCCGAGGCCGTGCGCACTCGCGCCAAGTATCTGGTCCTAGATGGACTTGCCTGTGCCCTGGTTGGCGCCCGTGTCCCCTGGTCGCAGAAAGCCTTCGATGCCATGCGCGCTTTTGAAGCACCAGGGAAGCATGTAGTCATCGGGTACGAAGAGGTATGTTGCCCCCTTTCTCCCATCCCGAGCACTTACTAACGCCTTGACAGCGCCTGGGTGCCGTCGCTGCGGCTACCCTGAACGGGTCGTGGATCCAGGCCTGTGAAGTCGATGACTACCACAGCGTTGCACCCTTGCACTCGCAAGCGGTGGTCATCCCCCCGCTTTTCGCCGCTGCCGTGAGTTCCAAAGACCACCCCACAACACCACGAGTCATCGACGGGCAATCATTCCTGCTCGCCTCGGTGGTCGGGTTTGAGATCGGGCCTCGGGTCGGCATGGCGCTGCATGGCACGGAGATGCTAGCGAAAGGATGGCACTGCGGGTCAGTGTTCGGCGGTCCCGCCGCGGCAGGCAGCTCCGCGAAGCTACTTGGCCTCTCTGCGGCACAGATCGAGGACGCCATCGGCGTAGCCGCCACACAGGCCTGCGGGTTAATGGCGGCGCAGTACGACGGCATGGTCAAGCGAATGCACCACGGGTTTGCGGCGCGCAACGGGCTCATCGGAACAATGCTCGCCTGGGGCGGCTACGAAGGAATCAAGAAAGTCTTCGAGCGGCCCTACGGCGGCTTCCTGGCCATGTTCGGCCTGGGTTCAAAACACACCCCCAACTCCAAGCCCGAGGAAATCTCCAAAGACCTAGGCCAGTTCTGGCACATCTCCGAATGGATCCGTCTGAAACTGCATGCCTGCTGCGGCGGCATCCACGGCACCATCGAGTGCCTTGCCGAGATGCAAGAACAGTATCCAGACCGACTCCGAGGCGCGGCCCAACTAGCCACCATCAAGGACATTCACATCCAGCTCAGTGACGCCGTCTATCACCACTGCGGCTGGGCGCCCGAAGCCCGCCCATTGACCCCAACGGGGGCCCAGATGAACACGGCGTTCGTGGCCGCATCCCAACTAGTAGACGGACAGGTCCTGCTCGAACAATTCTCCTCGGGCAAGCTCGACCGGGACGAGATCTGGGATCTCATCCACAAGACTCACTGCACGCACACCACTGAGCTGGATAAGCCCAATATCGGCTGTGGGTCGGTCATCACCATCACGTTCGAGGACGGCACGCAGCTGAATCATACGCTGCTGAAGCCGAAGGGCGTGGACGAGCCGATCACCAACGAGGAGATCCTGGAGAAATTCCGTCGCTTGACGGGCAGTCTGATCGGGCCGGAGCGCCAGGCCCAGATCGAACAGGCGGTGTTGAATATGGAGGCGTTGGAGGACGTAGATGAGTTGATTGAGTTACTGAGCGTGCCGGTGGTGAATCCGTTGCAGTAGATTTCATTTCTTCCTTTCTTTTCATTTTTCTCCTGACGCCATTGCTTTTTCTTCTTGGCGTTCTTGGTTGTGATGTGAGCATCTCTCCTTGTTTAGCTATTTCGCTGCGCAAGTACACAGTACTGCTATCTATCTTGTCATTGTGTTAGTCAATCTAGTCGACGTAGTCTCTATCCTACATTGCATCTGAATGGAGTTATCAATTCCATGTATATACACATACTATGAAATGTCGTGTTAAGAAAGCATTAGAACATTAGTAGTAACTGTCATATATTCCAAGACTCTGCGATAATCATAATGAAGTGCATATATCTGCTTCCTTAATTCTTCCTCTAATTCTTCCTCACTACTTCTGATGTAGAATCTATCCCTCATTCCCTGAGACCAATCCCACCCCTCAAAAATCAACAAACTCCCGATCAATCTCTTCAAAGTAATCAAAGAAACCCTTGAACAGCTTAACTCCCAACCCGGGGTCCTGACTTCCGGTCGTCGCCCGAATACTATGCATGCTGAGCTGCGGAATACCCACATCGATGGCGCGCATTCCGATCCTCGAGCTCGTCATGGGACCGATGGTGCCACCACTCCGGGAATCGTTCCGGATTTGGAAGACCTGTAATGTGGAGCCACATTTCTCGGCGACGCGCTTGATGAATGCGTGGCTGACGCTGTCGGTGGTCATGTGACCGTTTGAGTCGGCGGAGACGGCGACGCCGATGTTCAGGCGCGGGGCGTGGTTCTCGAGGTACACGTTGAGGAAGTTTGGGTTGACGGCGTGGATGACGTCGGAGGAGACGAAGAAGCTGTTTGCGACGGTTTGGGCGAGGAGGTTGGGGCCGTAGGTGTTGGATGAGGTGGCGAAGTTCTCCGTGATGCGTTCCATGATACTGGACATGAAGTTGGAGCGGGCGCCTTGGCGGAGAAGACTGCCGATTTCTTCATCGTCGAACATGCCTACCATTTTGATGGAGGAGGGGGAGGTGTTGGAGGGGGAGGCGAGGAGGGCTTCTTGAGCGGCGAAGCAGCATAGTTTGTCGTCGATGCGGCCGGCGAAGATCAGGTCTTTCTCTAGACCGCCGAGTTGGGCGGGCTGGCTGTCGTAGAGCTCGAGTTCCCAGTTCAGGATGGTACTGGGGTCGGTGATGTTGAGTTCTTTGGAGATGACTTTGACGAGTTTGGGGGGCTGTGTGGCGGCGAAGGTGCCGGGGGCGTAGGAGGGGGTCGGGGTTGGGGTTTGGTGGGTGAAGAGGTCGGAGTTGTCGATGCCCACGATGGGGACCATTTGGGTTTCCTTGTTGAAGGGGCCCTGGGAGGGCGCGCCGAAGTGCGGGGCCAGAGTGGGAATGCGGGCAATGGGCCAGTCCAGCTTCACAAGCTTGGATTCAACCTTGCCAGTGGACGGATCGCGGACTAGGACGCGACCTCCGATGGAGAGGTCGCGATCCCACCAGGTCTCGTTTAGGGCTCCGGCGTAGGGCGCGACGCCGAGCTGGACGAAGCCGGCTTTGGTGGGGAGCTTGGAGACGGGCTTGAGTTTGGCAGTCAGGGCGTCAATGTGGCCGGCGACAATGGCCATGCCGTTGCCAGCCTGGTAGTCGGAGCCAACGGAGAAGGCGATGAAGGCGCTGGAGTTGCGGGTGGTGTAGTATTTGCCGCCGCGCTCGAGCTTCCAGACGTCACGCTCCGGGAGGCGCTTGTACCCTTTGCTTTCCAGCTGCTTGGTGAAGCTGTCGACGGCGTGGAAGATGGTCGGGTTCGCGGTCATGAACTCGCAGTAGGGCTTGGAGTAGTCATCGGGGTTGATGGAGGTTGGGGCTGCAGCAGGTGTGGGAGCAGCAGAGCGATCCTGGACCAGGTCGGGCAGATGGCCGGAGGAGCTGGGACGGTAGGCCAGGGCGGCTTCGCGGAGGCCCATGGTGCTTTTCTTGGCCATGGGGAGCTGTAGGGACGAGAATTGAGGCAGAAGATGGCGCTTGGGAGCAAGTGGGCGCGGAATTGGAGGGGAGAGGGGAGGGGCGGTGGGAGGAGTGAAAGGGAGGAGTGAAAGGGAGGTGAAGGAGAGAGAGAAGGAGAGAGAAGGAGTCACAATGGCGATGAGATGAGCGGCAGATCGCAGGCAGTCAGCTGATAAGCGCCCTCCGCCGTGCTCGGACTCCGTCGGCCTGGCATTCCGGTGGACTTCCCTCCATGACGCGGTGAAGAACCCAAATGGTGTCTTAGAAGTTAGAACATAATACTACCCGTCTATCTATCTATCTATCTATCTAGTATCTATCTACAACCCAGAAGATCCGGAGCTCCAGGCGCTGAGCTCAGTGAGCTGATAAGCCAGGCCCACTTGGCCCGAGCCGAGGATCAAACTGCTGGAGATGCCACTAGGTACACTAGCTAGTAGCTACACTAGCTACACTAGTCGCTCGAACCCACATACGCATTCCAGTTCACATTGCCATCTTTGCACTCCTCCGTGATCGCCGGCCCAACCGCCGCCGCCACCTCGCGATGGTTGCGCATCATCACGATCCTCACCGGCCCCGTCTGTCCATTGAACGGCACCGAGAAGTGGTTGATCCCCGGCCCTGACGCCTGAAGAACGGTCGGCGGCGAATATCCAATCTGGACAAAGATCTCACTGGCATCTTCTACCGTGGCGCTGACAAATACGCGGTCCTGCGCGATCTGACCCGGCATCATCTCCTCTTGGCCCATGGCTGGGTTGTTTCCCGTCGTGCCATTGGCGCTCCCAGCGTGGCTCGGATTCTCTCGGTACCAGTACACAATCTTATCCGCAACGGGCAGATCGCCGTTCGACTGGCTCGGGTCGGTCGTGTTTGTTCCTCGGTAGGCTGCGATGTAATGCGGTAGAAGTGCTCGCCACGCATCGTGCGGATGATCCAACACGTAGCTGGAAGAGCCATCCGGCATACCGGCGTCGTAGATGGGCCCAATGTAATGGGCCTCCCCATAGTCGTTCCAGCTAATGATCTGGGGAAGCTCCTGTCAGTAGAACCCAGTATCAGACTCCAGGACGCCATACCTGTACAAAAGCGGGCTGCAGGTTCATAACCTGTTCCCATCGCGTGTGCCACAGGTCATCCCCGCGCCACAGCCAATTCTTGTTCCACTGGGGGAGATTGACGTAGAACCACGGGGACACCGGCATCATGTACGGCTTTCCGGACAGGGCGTGCATCCATTCTCGGTCGCTCGTCACATTCTTGCCCTGTGCGCCAACCGGCCATGCATCCCAGCTGAACGCACCGTCAATCGTGTCCAGATAAGCTTGGGTTCCCGCAGGCCCCAGGTCGGACCATGACGGCATAAAGAAGCAGTCGGCGAACTGTTTGATATAAGGCCAGTCATCTGCGCTGCCCGCGCCCACAAAGGTGGACACCAGAGGCTTTCCATGGTAATTGTATTGCGCGCTTCTGTTCCGGTACGCGTTGATCGTGGAGATCACCCGGTCCGCCGGCCACGGCCCCCCAGATCCATAGTCAAAGGACAGGAACAGGGTGAAATTGCCGACGGTCTCGGCTGCAGTGTAAGCCTTGTCAAGGACATCATCGGTGTAGCTGTCCTGCGGCGCAATGTTCAATGCAAACCCATCAATGTGGGCTTCCTGGGCGTCTCGAATATCCGACTCCCATTGCTCGGGGGTCATGGCAGCGGCATTTCCAACCTCGGCATCGTCAGCAGTGTCGTCAAGCCAGAGGACAGAGGACAGAGGACAGAGGACAGAGGACAGAGGACAGAGGACAGAGGACTCACAATAAAATGAGCGAATACGGCCTGGGGACCAGTTCTGGCGATCACCGGCGGTGCCACTAGCATGAATGGAATGAGATAGTTAATAAACATTTCCACCTCTAGATCCAAGCACTAAAATCTGATGGACAGTCGGGGTGGGTGGTCCACTGTATATGGACAAATGAAAGCAGTGGAGCGCCTATCCCAGGGAGATAGATATAAGCGCGCAGGTTCATGCCCAGACGGGGGTTGTATACAAGCTGCAGGCCCGGGGTAGCTAGGTGGATGGTATCGACTGCTATTTGAACCAACAAGCAAACAAGCAAACAAGCAAGCCACATCTCAGACAGGCTTTACCCTTTGTTTTGGGGTAGTGGAGGGGTCAGGGCACAGGGAGAAGGAAATCGGAGGTTTCAGGAACAACATGGGGCCCAAGAAAACAGACACATGGCCAAGGCAAATCTAAGGAGAAATTCTTCCCCTGAAAGAATCGATCTAGCTTTCAGGAATGGGGAATGAAGGTCTGAAATCGCAGTACAAACCTGGAGCTGGCGGAGGTGGACGATCGTACTGCTGATTGGGCGGCAGACCCGTCTGCTGGGGAGAGGGTTCGAATATCTCTCGAGCATGACGAGCCACGCGGTCCAACAGACGATCGAGATGTCTCATGCTGGAATTTGACGATACAGAGAGCAGGGCGCCGCAAAGAATCCGGTCAAAACAAGCGCGGAGCGAACGGGAATGAAGGATGTGGCAGGTTTTTGATTGATTCAAGAAAGGGAGGATGGTCTCGTGCGATCCAAAATACCTCCTTCCCAGAACTATGTCGACGTGTGATGGAACGCGGGGCATCAAGGGTTCATAAAAGGCAGCGTAGGCAGCGAGCGACCGCCTTGTCAATCTTGGCGAGAACTTTTCGCGCCGAAGGACTTCATGGCGGCAACCCGTTGGACAAGCGACTCGGGCAATGGGATCAGTCCATCGACTGCTGCATGTCAGAATGCATCTAAAGATAGGCGCTGACTTGCGATAAGCGATGGTTTAAGATCTGCAATGCCCACCAGAACCCATTGGCGGACAAACAACAACCGAGAGATCAATCACTCTCGCATCCTGTGCACCCCAGATCCTTGCATGCTCGACGACCTGATTTGTATATCAAGAAGATACTCATCAAGGTGTCTGTCCTATCGTTGTCAATTGTAGGGATTCACTGCGAGGTCATCGCAGTGATGGATGACGTCATTTGAGCGACGCACTCGACCAGCAAATCGTATCGTGTAGCGCCGATCAGACTTTCCACTCGAATTCGGGGACGGAGCCTATCAGAACCTGATCATGTATCAGCTACCGTGTTTCAGCGTTCGACCCATAGATGGGGTGGAGAGTGAGAGTATGACAGGGACCGACCTCACTGTGATGTCAGTCAGCGAGAGGCAACTAAATACCACGACGCGCCCGAGGATGTTACACCTTGGTCTTTTGATCCGTCTTATACACCATCATCTTAGTATCCCCATATAACGAATTTGAACCTCATCCGACATAACGGTCATGGCTGCAACCCAGGCTGCCAATCTGGTGGAGAAGGCTGTCGGACACAGTGGCAACGCCACCGTTACCACAGATATCAGCAATTATACCGGAGAGTATGGCCAGGAGACCGGGGAGAAGATCAAGGCAACCATCTGGCAAGGGAAAAACCAGGTCGAGGTTGGTCAGTAGTGAACCGGGTTCCTTTTCCCCCCAACCCAGCAGCTGGTCTAACCCTCCGATAGTGGAGATGCCTAAACCGAGAGTCGTAGATGAAGATGACGTACTGGTCAAAGTCACTGGCAGCACAATCTGCGGAAGCGACATTCATCTGTATCACGGTATGTATCTATCTTCCCTCCGTCGGATTGTCTTTCTCCCCTCAATCGCGGGATATCCTAACCTTTCGTTGTGATTCGCTGCAGGCGTCATTCCTCAACTTGAGAAAGGCGATGTGCTGGGCCATGAGTTCTGCGGAGTTGTCGAGAGTGTAGGTCCAGGGGCGAAGAACGTGAAGAAGGGAGATCGCGTCGTGGCGGCGTTTCCGATTGCGTGCGGCGACTGCAGGAATTGCAAGAGGCAGCTGACTTCCCAATGCGAGCGCACCAACGAGAACACCGTCACCAACGCCATGTACGGGAAGCGGACGTCAGGTAGGTTTCTCAGCCACCCCATTCTGCTTGCATTTCATTCCGGCACTGACTCTATGACCTCCTATAGGCATCTTTGGGTATAGCCACTTCACTGGCGGCTTTGCTGGTGGCCAGGCCGAGTATGTCCGGGTGCCATATGGCGATGTCAACCTCCTGAAGCTTCCAGATGACGTCCCCGATGAGAAGGCGCTGTATCTCTCGGATGTCCTGGCCACGTCTTATCACTGCGTGGTCGACACGGGTGTGAATGAAGGCGATGTGGTTGCCGTCTGGGGCGCAGGACCCATTGGACAGATGGTCTCCAGCTTCAGCTTCTCTCAGGGCGCCAGTCGAGTAATCCTCATTGATGGCGGAGAAGGAGCCTGGCGCTTGGACTTCGTCAAGAGTAAGATCCCGAAGCTCGAGACTCTGGACTTCACCAAGCTGCCTAGAGGCGAATCCATCACCTCGGAGTTGAAGAAGATGGTCCCCGGCGGACCGGATGTCGCATTGGATTGCACATCGGGCGAATATGCCAAAGGATGGGCACATTATTTTGAGATGCTCCTTGGAATGGAAACAGACACGTCGGAGATGCTGAACGAAATGATTACATCGGTTCGACCCTTCGGACGCATCGGGGTCACTGGAGTTTATGCAGGCTATGTACGTGAATTCAGGACCTAATTGCTTTCGTTACGCTGAGCTAACGACTTCAGACGAATCACTTCAACATTGGTGCTTTGATGCAGACGGGTGTTCGGCTCATTGGTAATGGCCAGGCCCCTGTGCAGAAGTATTGGAAGTATCTCCTGGATCTCATTCGGAAAGAGGAGATCAACCCCTTGGATATTGTGACTCATCGTGTCCGGCTGGAAGATATGGACAAGCTATACGAATTGTTTTCTCACCGCGAGGGAGGCATCCAGAAGGTTTTCGTCCAGACCAAGCATTCAGCTCACCCGTCAGCAGGATCGCCAGCCCTTGTCGACCTTTAACTGTTGCGGTCTGCATGCAGCCAACTTTACTAGTGTCGGAGTGATGTCTAAATTATTGGCCTGTATACCTTCATGATCAATAGTACGAATCACGAAACATTCTGTCAGATGCAGTAAAATCTCAACAAAAGGGAAGGCAGGAATTAGTGGAACCCATAGAGGGGAAATTAAGGAATGAGAGAAGGCAAAGCAAAAGAAAGGAAACATGCGATGATCGGTGGATTCAGAATCTTCATCAACGGCCTGAAATGAAACCCGTCACAACTAACAGCAGGTTTTCTTACTGGACATGTACATTGGAGCACATATCACTAATTTTATCTGACATGTATCATATGCACATCAATTGAGGACGTCAACATCCGTATTAATAGTAGAGCTGGAGCATCGAGTCCCTGCATCAAAAGTCGGTCTGCCGTGTTCACCTGGGCAGAATCGGGCCGTATTCGCCCTGTGAATTCCGTTCTTCGGCATTTGAAACACTGCATAAAGGACTTCACGGTGAGCGCTATAACTAATCACGCAGTCAAGGAAGAGTTTTCACCCTGCCTCCCCTCGACCCTCCGTGCCATCCAACTAAGCTGAACCAGGCTAAAGGGGCGGTTTCCCTTGACTGATCCTCGACGTTTTTGGTTCGTGCATTACGACACACATGGTTCGGATTGCCTAAGGAGGAATAGCGTGATCTGATAAGATCAGACGACGGAGGGACAAGTGGTACCGAATGCATCATGGCCAAAAACCCAGACAGTCCTCTGCTGGGGATGGGTCTGGACGATCGGAACAAAGTTCAGGAAAAAGTCTGAAAGGTCGCTGGGGAGCCGGTCAACAATCTGGATTCCATTGGCTGCATTCCCATTCTTATTGCTAATCACTGGCCCGTCTAATGGGGAAGCTTCCATCCCTTGTCAGGGGTGAATCATCATCTACCGGACCAGTTCGGCTTCTGGACCGAAGGTCAGTGTTTCTATGTGTCAGCCCTGCTCAATATAATTAAGGGCAGATATTATTCGCATCCGCCTTTGCCATGTACAAGGTCCTCCTCGCTGGAGACGAGGGCTTTGCCAAGGAATCGCGCTCATCGCGGGTGGGAAACCGACCAACAGAGGGCGGACGGAAGGAAGGTCTGTACCCACATGCGGGCTTGGAACTTGGGAGGGTGAGAGAATTTCATGTCCCGTGCGCAAAGTCCGTCGAGTGATATGATTGACTCATGACTTGCCTCCTGTTGCAAGCTTTGCGTGAAGGCCTGTACGTGGAGGGTTTACCTTGTTCTGTGGATTCGAAACTTTGAAGACTGATTGCTTAGAATTAGATACTCAGAAGTATGTTCAGCCCTATTCATTATCGACTAATCGTAGACGATGTAATAATTTGCCCCGGAGACGAGAGCATCCAGGTGGTGGGTGGATAGGCTTACCCTAAACCCCAAACAAGTCCGAGCTGGGTGATTGATAACCAGCGGGCTGGCGTCAACGACGAATCAGACGGCGCGGTGAGGCGCGTCCCACCGTAACTCCGAAGTCGGTGAGCGCGCACGATAATCTAATCTGATCCGAGACCTTTTTCCCGGGCTTCTTCCCCCTCTTCTTCCCTCGGTCGCCCTCTTCTCTGTCGCCCGCCTTATCTGTGTCCCTTCATCCTTCCAGTCGTGTCCAATCCATGCCCGTTTTCCTCCTTCCCCCGTCGTGACATTGATAGATAGGCAATTGCTGCTGCTACTCGCCCAATTTGCTCCGGCGTGCAGCACCGCACCCTCTCGCCTCGCTTACCGGCTGAAGGGCGCACTTCCGCTCTTCCGGCCGCCGAAGCGATCAAGTGACACCACCACTTCTTCTTCTCCTTCCACCTTCCACCGTCCACCGCCGTCCTTGTTGGTCCGTTCTCCCAACACCACCACACCTCCCACACCCGCACACCTGGCGGTTGAAAGAAAAAAAAAATGACTGCTGACCACACGCCAGACCACCTCTTGGAATAAAAGAGGTCTTGTCGACACACCACCATGGCCACTCCGGCGCCCTCTCTGGCCCCGGCGCCCTGCCCGGCTCCGTTGGCACCCGCATTGGCCGCCAAGCCGACCATCTCACCGTCACCCGGACCGGGCACTCCCGGATCCGTCACCTCCAAGGAATGGGTGATTCCCCCTCGTCCCAAGCCCGGTCGCAAGCCCGCCACCGATACGCCCCCTACCAAACGCAAGGCTCAGAATCGAGCCGCCCAGAGAGCCTTCCGGGAACGCAGGGCAGCTCGCGTCAACGAACTCGAGGACCAGATCAAGAAAATCGAGGACGACCATGAGATCCACGTGGCGACATTCAAAGACCAAATCTCCAACCTCTCTCACGAGGTCGAACAATGTCGGAGTGAAATGGCCTGGTGGCGCGACCGCTGCCACGCTTTGGAAAAAGAGGTCTCTGTTGAGCGCAGCGCCAAGGAAAGCCTCGTGAAGGAGTTCCGGTCGTCATTGTCAGACAAGAACAGCTCTCGCGCGGACAAGGCTCCCTTGACACGCATTCCTGCCAGAGCCTCTTCTGCGGCAGCTCGTGTAGCTGAGGAGGAGCGGGAGGAGGTGCCCCTGGGCTGCAGCAACTGCTCGTCCGGGCACTGTCAGTGCATCGAAGACGCCTTTGGCATGCCAGGTATCGAGAGTGCCTCATCCCAATCCAAGCGGCCTGGAAGTTCGAACCGCCTCGAGCCCGAAATCAAGCCCGAGCCCGAGGAGATGGAAATCGACTTCACAACGCGATTTGCGGCCCCCCATCACATCCAGGACGATAGCGTCACTACCGTGTCCTCTCCGGCCGTCGATCCCTGTGGGTTCTGTACCGATGGCACGCCCTGCATTTGCGCTGAAATGGCCGCCCAGGAGGAGGAGCGTCGGCAGCGGAACTCGTTCGAGAACAACCGGCTGGCACCTATTCAGAATTTGTCGCAGTTCACGCCGCCACCTTCGGATGGAGACGTGCGGTCTGAGGTGACGCTCCCTCCCATCGGCCAGGCGACCAACCCCTGCGCCAATGGCCCGGGGACCTGTGCTCAATGTCTGGCCGATCCCAGGCGGACCCTTTTTTGCAAGACGCTGGCGGCCTCCCGCTCCGCGAGCGCTGCCTCCTCCGGCTGCTGCGGCGGTAAAGGCGCCGATGGTGGATGCTGCATGTCGCGCAACTCCAACCCTCAGCGCAGCGGGTCAACTCAACAACCCTCCAGCTCGCGTCGCTCCGCCACCCCATCCCTGACCTTGTCCTGCGCCGACGCCTTCACCACTCTATCCCGCCACCCGAACTTCTCCCGAGCCAGCGATGACATCTCCTCATGGCTTCCCAAGCTCCACACTCTCCCGGACCCCAACTCCAACCAACAGGAAGTCGTGCAACCAGGGTCCCGAGCTGCACTAGAGGTCGAAGCCGCCAGTGTCATGGGAGTGCTGCGCTACTTTGATCGGCGATTCGCCGACAAATAAGCCTACTCCTTTCCTCTACTTCTTCCCCTTTCCTTCTTCTCCTTCTTCCTCTTCTTCTTCTCATTTTTGATCTCTTTCTGTCTTTGTTCTCATGATACCCAAACCTGACTCATGGCACGTCTGAGTTTGTATTATACACCCCACCACCCCCCTACCCAACCTACCCCGACCCCAATCTGATGGAGAAATGCACACCTCCATAATACAATACCTCCCTTTCCTCGCTTTCTCCCCACAATCCCTCCCGGAGGACCCCCTTCCATCCAGCCCACCCAGCGGAATGAGAAGACGGCCAAAAAAAATGAATCCACAATAAAAGCAAACCTCAACGGCCTACAATACAGCCAGAAATGTCTAGAAACGGAAGATTGGGATCCGTTCCGTTTCCCAAACGACTTTAGACGGGTGAAATGAAACGATACGGCGTTTTTATTTTTTGTGTGTCCTAGCATCTATCTATTTATTTATCTATGGGATGAATCTCGGTTAGGTTTTCCTTTCTTTTATCTTCTTTGTTCTTGCTCTTCATTTCCTATATGGTTATGTATACGCATATAGAGAATAAAATATGAGTGAATGAATGAGAAAATTAATGGGGATGGCGTGTGTAAATTTTTCCTGGTATATGTCTTATGGAGGAATTGAACCCAGGGGGGATTTCCTTGGACTTTTTACCGGTGTAGTATATGTGGGATGTTGTTTGTATGACGATTTATCCTGGGTTTCTTGGCTAGTAAATGGGAGAGAGTGGGCTGGGCTGTCATTGCTTTCAGTGTGGTTACTACTACGGTTAGAAGATCTCCCATAGGTAAAAGATGCACCAGCATCCCGTGTGGATTGATATTATCTACACATTATAATGACAGGCTCCAACGCCCCATTGCCATCCCGCTCCGTATGTGATAAGTGACATGGTGAAACCCGGAAAAAAAAATAAAGGAGTAAATACAGTACATCCCATAGCAGCGTTAGTTGGTATTGGTATTAAACGATGAAGGAAGAAAAGGTAAGGAGATGGAACAGGGTGAGAGGAGAGCACGGAGTGAAAATAAGGCGGTCGCGCGTAACAAAGCCGAGTTTATCGCAACTGGCGTATTCGACTCTAGAAACGACCTCCACTAGTCATGGAGTCTTCGTCCCCGGTAAAGCTAGCGCTCCCCATGAGACTGGCGCCCCAGATACCGGCAATCCCCCACATGCCAACTCTCCAGCCCCGATACAGACCCTTGAGGCCTTGGCCCTGGCGTTTCCGCGGCACAACTTGCTTATTCAACAGCTCACGCGCACGCTCGACCTCCGGCGCGACTGCGAGTCCCTCTTCATAAACCACTCCCCACATTGTGCCAATGATGCCGCGGTAAGTCTGGGGGGTAGGAACGATGGTTTCAACCGCCGGAACTTTAGTCTGGGCCGTGGTGGAAGACGAGGCAGAGCGGACGGAGCCACTCGATTGTTGCCGAATACTGGGGGATGTGAATGTCGCAATCTGCGCGCGACGGAGGACGGTCTCCAGAGGAAAGCGGACTGCAAGCTCCAGACCTGAGCCTAGGAAGGTGAACAGGCCCCATGCTGACGGGTTCAAGACGGGGTCAATGGAGAGGTATGTTTTCAAGACCAGGGGTGTCGTGTTGGTGATGAAGTTGGGCAGACTGGAGTGGAGGATGGTGATTGGGATCAGGTGAGAGGGAATGGTGCAGTTTGGGGTCGGGATCTGGCGAAGGGCCCGCAGCAGCGAGCGGGGACCGTGAGTGGCCGGAGTGAGGATGAGGAATGTGCGTGCGGTGTCAATGGGCGAGAGGAGCATCGCCGACAGCGATGAGGAGATGAACGACAGGATCAACGTCGCGACGGGGGAGGTTGACGTCAGAATGTCTGCAGTCATGGAAGACGTGACATCCTCCTCTGGAAGGCCCACAATTGCGGATAGCAAACTGCGGATGAATGTATTCAAGGTCGGGAGGAGCAGGGAGTAGATGAAGGTTGCGTTGGTTGCTTTCCAGGGTGACGTTGGTCCGCTGGTGGTCCAGAGCTGGGAGAGCACCTCCATCAGGGAGGAGGGGTTCTTGATGCTCAAGGCATATCGGGAAGACGCCGTCGAGGATGGAATATAGCCGCTTCGGTCAGTAATATGGCGTTGAGGCTTTCGCGATCGAGAATTGCATGGTGGTGGCACGGCGGGAGCTGCAGATGTAAAATAGTTGCTCTCATCGTCGGAGGAGAGGGATTCCTATCAAGTCCACGCGGGCGTCATGTTAGCCATCTTCATTCCACCATAGCAATGGGGCAGCTTGTACATACCTCTTCGTCGCCAGATTCGCCCTCACCCTGGCTGCTCACGCCAGAGCTCCGCCGATCATGCCTCGCCCACTGTTCCTCCGCAACATAATCAGGCACCACATAAGCTTGCAGGATAGTTTTGGCGACGTCAAAAGGCTGGGCAGTTAAGACGCCGGTATAGCGCCAGATAGCTTGGTCCAAGGCATCCCGGATCCAGCTGGACAGCGAGGGGGAGTTGTCGAGGTATTCGGAGTAGTCCAAGTCGGGCAGAAGATCGCGCGCCGAACCGCCAAAGACTTGAGTGGCCGATGACGCATCGGGAGGGGACGAGGCGTTGGCGGCATCGAGACCGAGTGAAGGAGGGATGTAGTAGGGCCGGAGAGGATTGGGCCCATCGAGCGGGGCAGTCATCATGAGCTGGAGAAGGGGGGAGGGGGAGAGGGGGGGAGGGAAAGAGATGGAAAGGATAGGATGATTGGGGAGGGAGGGGGAATAATGAGGAGAAGAAGTGGAATGGATTGAGCTCGGAGAAGAAGTCGAAAAAAGAAAGCCGACGAATGAAGATGGCCGAATTTCCCGCCGCCGTCGGCCTCGCCTTTTTTTCCCGCCCCAGGATTCGCTCGCTCGTCGTCTTCTGCCTCGTCGCGCCCTCTCCACTCTGCTTGACTGCTCTTCTCCCCTCGCGCAGTGTCTCTATCCCTCCCTGTTCTCCCTGCTCGTCTTCTTTTCGGTCTGCTCCGATCACTCCACGCCATGTCGTTCTGGAAGGAAGCCTGTCTGAACCTGCGTCATGCCCTCCCCAAGACCGGGGAAAGCATCGGTCGCTCCCAGTCCAAGCGATTCCTCACTTCTTCTTCTTCTTCGGCCCAGTCGTCCCGCTTTCTCGGCTCCAGCAGACTTCCGATCAATGCGCGGAGAACCCTTCTGAGCCAATGGTCCGGGGCCGCTGCCTCGGGTCGCCGCAGCTTCTCCGTTACGGCCGGTGCTCAGCACGGCCATATCACGCCGCCAAAGCCGGGAGAGGAGTGAGTCATTGTCCATACTGGATTCATGCACCATACGCTAACTCTACTTCCCGCGCAGGATCAATGTGACCTTCATCGATAAGGACGGCGTGAAGATTGATCTCCAAGTCTCCGAGGGCGACAATTTGCTAGACATCGCACAGGCCAACGACATCGAAATGGAGGGTGCGTAGATTGTCCGGTGCTGAATCGTGTAATTCATTGGCTGACAACCCTTGTGTTCTAGGTGCCTGTGGCGGTTCATGCGCCTGCTCGACGTGCCACGTGATTGTCGATGAGCCGGACATGTTCGACAAGATGGAAGAGCCGTCGGACGATGAGAACGACATGCTGGACCTTGCATTCGGTTTGACGGAGACCTCCCGCCTGGGATGCCAAGTCGTGATGAGCAAGGACCTCGATGGTCTCGTGGTCCGGCTGCCGTCCATGACTCGGAACCTGCAGGCAAGCGATTTCGAGCCGAAGAAATAAGATTATTGTACTATATACGAGGGGCTTCTGTGATGGACTGTATGATTATCAAGCGTATACACTGGGGAGGGTTCCATGACTATGATTATGCGGGCTCAACGGTTGCAAACGAACGTGTCTCTATTGGGTATTCCGATCTCCATTCACATTTGGCATGGTACCTGTAAATAGCATATCACTTTTAATCCAAACTCTTGAGAAAAAGAACAATAAAGAACCCCCGAACGCCCAGGTATGCCAGGTCTCTAACAGCGAACAGAAACACTCGTAACCGCTTAGGCCTCCTCGATCTTCAACGGCTTGCCCTTCTTCCCGCTGATCAAATCCAAGAATCCTTGCTTGCTGACTTCGTTCACGGCCTTCTCGCGCTCGCTGATACCAATGGTTCCCTTCTTGCGCTCTGCCTTGGCTGCTTCCTCTCCGCGGACCTGAGCCGCGCGGACGGCATTGAACAGCTTCACCACACCACGCTGGGCGATCTTGCGCAGGCGCTTCTCCTCCTCAGCCACCGCACCGGCCTGGCCACGCTGCAGGCCCATGACATCGCGAATGCGACCCCGGTCCAGCTCCTCCTTCTTCTCCGCACGCATCTTGGCGCGCGCTTGCCTGTCCAGCTTCTCCTCAGCAATGTCGGTACTCTTCTGGGCTGCATCTTTGCTGCGCGACAGCACCGGATCGTCTCGAACGGATGTGGGCAGTTTGGTGGACAGAATCTTCGCGATGGAGGTGGAGAAAGCCGAGGGATCATTACGCTTGGAAACGGCTCTGCGACCCGTCGTCGTGGGCATAGAGGTATCGGAATCGGCACCATCTTCGTCATCAGAGACATCCGATCCTTTTAAATCAGATTCCACCTCGACATCCTCGTCGTCGTCGTCGTCGGCTTCTTCGTTGTCGGAGCTTTCCTCTTTCTTTTCCACCTTAGTCTTCGTGGAGGCACCAATCGACTTGGTCTGCTTCTTCAGTTTCTTCACCTGAACCTCCTCGTCGTCTGAATCGGCCAGGTTGACGGCCTTGAAATCGGTGGGTTCATCGTCTTCGGACTCCTCGGAGCTGCTGTGGTATGTGCGCTGCTTTCTGAACTTCTTCTTGGGACCGGCCTGCAACGACTCGAGGACCTTGCGCTTTTTCATGTGGGGAGGCATGGTGACGGCGAGACTGACTCCTTGGAAATTGGCTTGAGAGAATTTGGACTGAGGCAGAAGTGGAGGAAAGGTCGGGCTCGGATTGAAGTCTTGAATCCGGAACTTTTTTTCCCAGCAATTTTTGGGTCGTCGCGGGCGGCCAGGCGGCGGGCGGCTGTGATTGGCCGCGGGGCTCTCCGCATCGCTTCGATCGCTGGCCTCAGCTCTGGCCTCCCATCGCCTCATCTCTCTCTCCTCGCTTCCCCTCTCCTGCGCCCCCGTCATTTCCTTTGGTCTGGTTCCTGGCAGCCAGTCTCTCTTTCTCTGCCCAATACCCTCTAACCTGATACCCCCAGTCCCGACACCAATCCCCCGTCATGGTCCTCCAGGATCTCGGGCGGCGAATCAACGCCGCCGTCAATGATCTGACTCGCTCCAGTAACCTGGACGAGAAGGTGAGTTCCTGGGCATTCCTCTCTAGCTGACCTCCCTGCTAACATACTTAGGCCTTTGATGACATGATCAAAGAAATCTGCGCCGCCCTGCTGTCCGCCGACGTCAACGTCCGCCTGGTCCAGACCCTCCGCAAGTCCATCAAGTCCAGCGTGAACTTTGCCTCTCTCCCTCCCGCCGTGAACAAGAAGCGTCTCATTCAGAAGGCCGTCTTTGATGAGCTGGTGTCCCTGGTCGATCCCCATGCGGAGCCCTTCCGCCCCAAGAAGGGCCGCTCCAACGTGATCATGTTCGTCGGTCTGCAGGGTGCCGGTAAAACCACCACCTGTACCAAGCTGGCCCGCCACTACCAGATGCGCGGCTTCAAGACCGCCCTCGTCTGTGCCGATACCTTCCGAGCCGGTGCCTTCGACCAGCTGAAGCAGAACGCCACCAAGGCCAAGATCCCTTACTACGGTAGCCTGACGCAGACCGACCCCGCCATCGTCGCCGCGGAGGGTGTGGCCAAGTTCAAAAAGGAGCGCTTCGAGATCATCATTGTCGATACCAGTGGTCGTCATAAGCAGGAGGAGGAGCTCTTCACCGAAATGACCCAGATTCAAACCGCCGTCACCCCTGACCAGACCATCCTCGTTCTCGATAGCACCATCGGTCAGGCTGCCGAGGCCCAGTCATCCGCTTTCAAGGCCACTGCAGACTTCGGAGCCATCATCATCACCAAGACGGATGGTCACGCCGCCGGAGGTGGTGCCATCTCCGCCGTCGCCGCAACCCACACCCCCATCATCTACCTCGGTACGGGTGAGCACCTGATGGACCTGGAACGTTTCGAGCCGAAGGCCTTCATCCAGAAGCTCCTGGGCATGGGCGACATGGCTGGACTCGTGGAGCACGTGCAAGCTGTGACGAAGGACTCGGCCTCCGCCAAGGAGACCTACAAACACATCTCGGAGGGTATCTACACGCTTCGCGACTTCCGAGAGAACATCACCTCGATCATGAAGATGGGACCCCTCTCGAAGCTGTCCGGCATGATCCCCGGTCTCTCCAACCTGACTGCGGGACTCGACGACGAAGACGGCTCCATGAAACTCCGTCGCATGATCTACATTTTCGACAGCATGACTGCAGCCGAACTCGACGGCGACGGCAAGATGTTCGTCGAGAAGCCCAGCCGAATGGTCCGTATTGCTTGCGGCAGCGGCACTACCGTCCGCGAAGTGGAAGACCTCCTCTCCCAGCACCGCATGATGGCCGGCATGGCCAAGCGCGTCGGTGGACAGAAGAAGCAGATGCAGCGCGCCCAGAACATGCTCAAGGGCGGCAATAAGGAGCAGCAGCTGGCCGCCATGCAGAAGCGCATGGCCGCGATGGGCGGCGCTGGCGGCGGTGGCTTCCCCGGTATGCCCGGCATGGGCGACATGGCCAAGATGATGCAGATGTTGCAAGGCCAAGGCGGTGGTGGCGGTGGTCTCCCCGGTCTAGGCGGAATGGATCTACAAAGTATGATGAGCCAAATGAGCGGATTGATGGGCGGCGGCGGTGGTGGTGGTGGTGGCCGAGGTAGAGGACGGTGATGATGACGATGCACGCATTTTCTGTTTCCCACGGCTTCTCTCTTTTGTCCTCACATTCCATGACTATATTACTACTCCTCCTTTCATCATCTTGAATTCTGCACCGACTCTCCGGTATCATGCCGCTTATGGGTCACTCACTATTCACGTCGTTCCTCAATTGTAACTAGCATATGATGGTGTTGGGCGTGCTTTGATTATTATATTTCTTCCTTGCTTGCTTGATATTCTTTTTATATTACTTCTGTGATCTTCTATTGGGATATCACTATGATCGATACCTCATGTTGATGGTGTGGGGTGGGTTGCGGAAGTGGAAGTGGAATATATTTTCCTGGATTTGCGATGGTCGGTTATCTTCAAAAATACTATAGACTGCCTGAATAATACCGCAATACTTCACTACTACTAGTGTTACTGCTTCTCGTAAATAAACTTCTAATGTCAGGTGATCAATCAGTAACGAGGCATCAGTCTCCGACCACCTCTGTGTATAATTTTTCTGTGTATTTGAAGTCCTACTAACGGAACCGTCAAGCTTTATCGGTGTCAATCCCTTAGAAGTCCATATACGGCTACATGATAGAGAATGGTTATGGGATCATTAATCATATTATTTAACCAATTACTAATGCCAATTCTATCGATAGATAAGAAGGCTTAGCATGGATCGGATGTGTCCAGACATCAGTCTACTCTTTCCACACGTCTGATTTTGTCGAGCAGCTCGAACACTTGCTCTGTCGCATACGAGAACAGTTCGCCAGCTGTCTCTTCGACGCGGCCTATCATCGACTGGATGGATGCTGCCCAGCTCTTGGCCTCGCGCTCGTCCAGGAGGAGCTTGCCCGGCGGAAAGTGAGGGTGTTTCCAGGCGGACGAAGAAGCGACCACGGCCTCGTATCCGGGCAAAGGAACGCTGAGGGAGTGTTGCCAAACAAGGTCGGTGTCGATATAGAGTGAGTAAGTGAAGACAGAGCTGGGGACGGTGATGGCTGCACCGGTCTTGGTGTCGATGGTCTCGTCCCGAACATCTATGTTGATCAGCCCGTACTTAGTGTTTCCTTCTGGGATGTACTTAATTGCGACGTCTTCATCATCGTCTTGGTGGTAAGTCGGGATAGGGAGGTAGAACATGTTCAGCGGTCCGACACAGAACTCGTGCAGACCTTCTCCCGCGGTATTGGGGAGCAGCTCCTCGGGGGTCAGGTTGAGATCTGGGTCTGGGAATCGGGTGGCTCCAAACTCGTGGCGATCTCCGCTGAGAAGGACAACGCGGATGCCGAGCTCGCGCTCTGCGCGCCACATGGCCTCGAAGACAACGCGACGCTCATTCAAGAACCCACCCCAGGTGTCAGTCGTGCCAACGTGCCAGTTCTTGGTGAAAGGGACGCTGGATGCCACAATCTTCCAGCGGACTTCGGATGGCTCCGGACGGGCAAGGAAGGCGAGAAGGGACTGGAGCTGTGCAGAGCCGAGGATGGAGGAGTCGGGCTGAGCAGGCTCGGACCGGTAGGTGCGGGTGTCCAGCATGAAGAACGAGGCCGGACCATTGATAAACGAGAAGTAGGTGGTGTTCTCGGGTCTCGCAAAGGGCGTCGGTGGAATAGGAGGGTTCGCGCTGACGTGGTAGTGGATGTAGGGGTCAAAAGCAGCAGGGTACGGCGCGGTGGTATTCCCCTTGGACCAGTCGTTCTCAATCTCGTGGTCATCGAGCGTATGGATCCAAGGGAGATCGATGGCTGGACTGCCCTCGGGCTCGAACCATGACGGGGATGAGTAGACCCGACGGTACTCGCTGCGGTAGTGAGAGATAGATGATCCAAATCGCTGAGGTACATCGACATAGATAAAGTCCCCCAGGAACAGCATGAAAGCCGGCCGGAGCAGCGACGACAGTGAGTTGACCGTCTCTGTCATCTTCTCGATTCCTGGAATCCGCAATGGATGTGACAACGGGTTGTAGGGGAAGTTCGCCTTCATACAACTCGAGGTGAGGAAGCTGAGGTGGTTGGCCGATTTCGAGCCGGGCATCGGTGCGGTGACGAAGGAGCCCGTCAGGTTGTTGGACAGGGAGTATCGATACGCAGAAGCCGGTTCCAGGCCCCTAATTATCACGGTCGTTGTAAAATCCGTTGTGTCATCCAGGGAGTAGATGACGCCCTCTTCAGTCCATCGCGAGGGGTCCTCCTCCGCTGCCTGGTAGAACACCATCAAGGGTAGCTGGGCAGCATCGGGCTCACGAACCAACAGGTTTGCTGTGGTCGGAGAAACATAACCGATGCGGGAGAAGGTGACATCTTGGCTGGGGTAGACAACGAAGCCTCTCACCACAAAGTCCAGGGTAAGCAGGGTGAGGGCGATATTGATCAGGACGGTCAAGCGCGTTGACAGCGGTAGCCTGGCGGACGGCAGACCGGTCAACAGGGTCTTAAGAACGCCCTGAGTGGGTGGCACCGAAGACCCTATAGCAGCATATCATCAATATGGTTTCACAGATCTTGCATATGTTGGGTTGACTCACTGGACGCAGGCTGAGCACTCTTGTTGCCCTTGTGGTGATCGGGGGTGTTTGGGTCGGCCGGCCGACCGAGTGACACCAATGAAGCCACGTACACAGCAAACAATGTGAAGATGAGGGGTGGGAAGTGATGGCCGGGGATCTAAACGAGACAGAATTAGCCGCGATGATATATGAGGTAACATGGGAGACAGTCCACGGACCCAGCGGAGGAAGAAGAAGGCCGTAGCTCGGAGGGCCGCGGAGCTCGTAGCGGCGGCCACGCGGGGAACGGATACCATGGCGACGAGGAGCTGTAGATAGATACTACGTGAATGAGGGGCAGTGATGAATCATGACCAGCCCATGCAGCTCTTCCTGAGAGGGGAACTGTTGGAAATATGGAACTCCAACAAAGGCGGAGAAGCTGGAGAAGCTGGAGAAGCAAGCGGAAAGGCGGAAGGGATGCGCCGCAGCGATGACGACATTACGCCAGCACCATGAATAAGCCACCAACCATTATTTACACGGGCTTTAGGTAACTCCAGCACGGGCTCGAATTCAGGAATTCCCCAAAAATTCACCATAACCTATCTATCGCTGCTGCATCATGTCACGGAGTACATTCATCAAGTTGCTGGCCATCGGCCCCGATAGCAGCTGGCGCGCCCCATCCACCAAATCCTTCATGTGCATGCTCAAGGTCATCTCAGCTGCCCACTGCCACGGCGCTTGTCGGTCCCCCGGCTTTGCGTTGAAGTATTCCCAGCCCATGACACCCCCGAAACCCGGGAACTGATCAATCAGCAGCGCCAAAACCGGCCCGATTTTGTCCTGTGGCACGTAGCCCTGCGCTCCATTGCCCGGGTTCGTCAATAGCCCGTACACCAGCCGATTCGGAGACCAGCCCTGTGCAACCATGGCAGCATACATCCGAGGATCCTCCGCGCGTCCCCATCCGTTATAGAACTGTGTATTGTACCAACTGATCTTGGCCGCTCTCTGCTGTTCCAGCTCGCGATAGTCGAATCCTGAGAGATTGCCCAAGCCCAACATTGCCGCCGCGACCGGAGCCAACGTAATGATAAACTCATCGCCCATGTCCAACTTGAGCCGATCAATCAGTCGGATGATGCCTCGCAACGACATCTCCTCCTCCACATCCAGGTCTAGCCCGTCCAGTTGATGGCGCCACACCATGTCCCGCAAGGGCTGGTAGTAACGTTCGAATTTCTCCTCGTCTCCATCGAGGCTGCGGAACGAGCCCTGTGCGGCGCCCCCGAGCATTCCCATGATACGAACCCCGCCTTGCTTCATGAGGGGCACCTCTTCCCACAGCGGCTCGTAGATCGGATCATGAGGCGGATCATTGTTCAGTGTAATATGCTGCGGATCGGCATTGAGGTGGAAAGCTGCCAGAATAACGTGGGTGATGCCGGTGTTGTTCTCCAACAGGGGGAGCATGGAGACATACTGGTCGTCGGCACAGATGGTTTGGTGATAGAGGATCACCCGACGTTGCTCGGGTTGTGGGGGTACGGGAGGCATCGTTCGGATCGCGCGTAAAGGAGAGGAAAGAGTGAGTCAATCTCAGTGGAAGAATAAGCAGTAGAATGAGCGTAACGGCGACTTTGAATGGTTTCAGCGGGGAAGCGAGCCATGCGTAATCAGTCGCCAGGTGGTCTGAATGATGGCCCACCGATTAGCCAGTCGGCTCGCCCATCGTCTCAGATGACTGGGGATGCAGGGTATACAGATAGCTCCAAAGGAGAGTAACGATGCACAAAGTGTCACCACCAGGCAGGAAAGCAGTGGACTTGAGCCTTATCTTGTGCGTCTTGGTCAATTCATTTCTGGCTGCCATCTTGGGGATGGTTACGTAATCATCCCCGCTCGCGTTGGAATGGCTTCATGCGATTTGTTCACAGGGATTGTTTCAAGGAAAATGGAAAAGGGTGTGCTTTTGTCTTTCCATGCTTCCTCTCACTAAGATCAGTGGCTTATAAGTCTTGTGTGGACTGTATAATATCACTGGGATGCTTTTGGGATCCCATCCCATGGTTGTTCAGAGCTTCCTGCATGCTGCCTTGTTGTCTTGTGACGATGCAAGATAATGCACCATGTGCAATCTTTGATGCCAATGCTTCGACATTATCTGCGCCCTCGAGTGGACCCTGCAGAGTCTAGTCCTACAAAAGGAACCTAACTGTTTCGGACGGTCCTTCTGACACCCACAACCCTGGAAAACAAACTATACTGGATCGTGGCTGATCAGTTGCCCTCAAACCGTGTCATCTGATTAGGTGGAATGTAAAGCATCTGGTTGGCTCACTTAATTTATTATCACCCGTGTCTTGGGAAGTCCGTCAGGCAAATGAGACATGGAGTGACGGGCTGCCTACCTTACTGCTGCTTTTGAAAGTTGCGCATATAAGTAAAGGCTTGGATCATGTAACAGAAGTCGAGCATATCCGTGTTCGGTTTAGCAAATAACACTCATCTCTTTAGTGTCGTAATGGATGTCTGTGGTGAACCAGGATGATGCGTTTTACATCAAGCATGACCTTCTCCCTGGTAATCATCTCAATATTGCTCTACACTGGACAATATGCACTGTACCTTCTCTCTCTCTCAAACCAGTGTTTAACACTATTTGATAACAAGATCTTGCTCCATTAGCAGGTTGGTTGCCCCGGGCTTTGTCCGCTGTCCCTAGGGTTTAGGTCTGATATGTCGAATCTTTCTCATTATGATCAGCGTCTTCATAGTTCTCTTCCGTCGCGTCGGGATATTCTTGAGTAGTTTGAGTATAGCCGAATGAATAAAAATGGAGCTTCCATCACCCGCACCCTAACGTAATATCGAAATGCATGTGAGGAAAATGGCCATCAGCAGATATTTCCTAGTCTGGCTTGCGGTCCACGACCTTCCAATCTGATTCCTGCTCGACATTGCCGAGGTTAGGCTTGGGGGCTCAGAGTAGTACTCAGAGGCTTCGGCTCGGAGCCGTGGCTGTCAACGACTAAGCATTTTTAGCTTTCTCATGCCAGTGTTTCTCGTATGCTCCATCTCTGGAGTCTGGATACCGTACAGTTCGACCTCTCTTAATCAAACTTTTCGTCTTGATTTGTGACCGCCAGCTCTTCTGCAGCGGAGCTTGGGTGCTGCTTGGGACTCGACATGATAATATTAAGGATATCGGATAAGTTGTGATGCTACTCTGGCTAGAGGGACACTGGTTGGGAAGCTTTTATAAAGGGGGAAGATGGAAATGTCGGGGCTCTCATCCAACCCGAATTTTGGTACCCGTTTCTGAAGCAGAGAGCCACCTGGGCAATGTAGGCTACTGTTTTCAAGCCCTTGACACCTATGCAAATTACCCAGCTCAGGCCATCTAGGCAGCAAGGTTGTTGCCGGGGGCTCTCGCCTGTCAGATGTCAAATGGCCGGCTAAGAATACCGACCAATGGCCTGAGGATGATGCCAAGCTCACCTCGCTGTGTAACAAGCTCTAAATCGATTGCTGGACACTATGTTTGGGAGGTTTGATATAGAATGCTCATCAAACTAATAACCGAGTATTCAGCCCCACAAGTCTTTTCCCTGTCATATAGGCTCGTAATGGAGTAGCCTCGAGTAATCCATCTGCAGCAGTCAGCCACCATGAAGGAAGAGATGCAGATGTCCGAGCTCTCAATCCGACTCCATCTTGAAGTTGTTTATTGTGGGGCAGCAGCTCCAATTCGAGCTGGCCTTGGTGAGTGGATCAAATGCGGAGGTCCCGAGATTGCGCTAAACCTCCTTGGGCCTCCCGCGTGCCACCTGGCTGCCTGAGCGTCAAGGCAACAATGCTAAAGAGTTGCCTGGCTGCCTGGGGCTCGTCCGACCCGCGGCGATGTTTACCGGATCCATCGTCCAGCATCAACCCAGTCATTTGCGCGCATCTCCAGACTTGTCGCCTATCTTTATCGGCCCATTTATCCACTTCTATTTTCCGAGGAATCGAGGATGTTCCTTGTTGGGTCGTGAAGTTGTGACCGATCTTATCTCACATGTTATCCTGATCAATAAACAACAACAGCTTCCGCCAGCATGGACACGACGTCCCACGACACCGTCGGCGCGTCCACACTCGCAACCCCCCTCTTCATGCCCTCTTCACCTCCATCCCATCCCGAGCATGGAGAAAGCTATTCACCCGTCAGCGACAGAAGCTTTCGCCTCAGCCATCGCGTCGCGACCGGCGCAGAGGCCGACGAGGCGCGTTCGCCCAGAGGTCACTCCCCTAGATCCTCGAGAGCGTCATCCCTCGAGCGCGCGGCGAACGAAATTGACGCCCGTCTGGCGCAGTATACAGTCGACTTCAGTCAATTCCCGAGCACACAGGCATTAGATGAGGAGCCCCTGGCTGAACTGAAATTGCCCCATGAGGATAACCTGTCAGACGTCGGTGGTCCCGATGACTTCACTGCCGATTTAGAGAGATACCTGATGGGCGATGATGATACGATGGATCATAAACATTTTGACGTACACCAGCTGGAGCGCGAGCTTTTTGAACCGGGACCTGATTCGGAACCGGAGCACGAGTCAGAACCGGAACTCGACCTGCAAGAAGAGCTTTCTCAGCCTCAACCCCAGCCACAGAACCGCGGCCAAGCGGCGCAGCAACAGCCGCAGCCGCAACAGGAGGAATCCCAAAACAACTCTCAACTACGTCAACCCGCCGTTGAAGATGAGCCGGAATTGAGCGAATACAGCGAGTTCGGTCCGCCGGTCGACATGTCCACACCGTCGCATCTTCTACGCCGGGCCGGGGGGCTTGCGAAAGATATAACCCATCTTGAGAACATTATCGAAGATCCAAACGATGAGCTCGAAGCTACCACACATACGCCTTCCGTTCGGAAACACAAGCGCACCCCCAGTAAGGGCGAAAAAGAAGGACCCGAGGACCTGCGTAGGCAAATCGCAGATCTCAAGAATGCGCTGCGCGAACGCGATGAACAGATCGAGAAAAACCACAGGCGTGTCTTGGAGGCAGCCTCGGCAGGAGAGCAGATCAAACACCTGCAAGGGGAGCTACAGAGGAAGTCAGCGCTGCTGGAGGAACTGCATGCCAAGCGCAGCGATGAGACTCTCCTCCGTGAGCAGATCCATCTATTACAGAGACAGAACCAGGAGAAGGAGTCTTTCCTACAGAGGTCTACCATCGGGGCTTCCGATCTGAGCACTCTTCAACAACAGATTAGTGACATGCAGAAGGAGCTGCGGAGCCGAGGCTCGCACCCAGACATTGACACAGAGCGACTCGAAACAATCGCCTATCTGCGCCAGCAATTGGATTTGGCTCAGGAGCAGCTGCGAAAGCGAGACGCGACCCTAGAAGAAACCCTTGCGAAGCTGAAGGAGGTCACGACCGCCAAAGAACAGCAACTCCGGGAGAAGAATGGCGAAATAGACGGACTCAAAGCCCAGAATAGTGATAACCTCCTAGAGGTTGAGAAGCTAGAGAGAGAGCTCGACCGAGTCAACCAGGCATACGAAACTCTCGAGGAAAGAATAGCCTCGCTGGAGATCAAGAACCGGCCACTTGAAGAAAAGAACAGCGTGCTCGAAGCCGATCTGACCCGGGCGCAGTCGCAGGTCACTGCTCAAGAGAATGCCCTCAAGGCCATGGCAGCAGACCTCCCCCTCGAAACTGGCGGAAACACCTACACCGAGATTCTCGAATTAATCAAGGACCTGGGCCAGCCCAGCACAAGGCGCATCCCAGATCCCTTCGCCAAGGAGAAATACACTCAAGACCAGGAATTCTCCCAGGACCAGGACTACTCCCAGGATCAAGAAGACCCTGCCGAAGTTAAACAGCTGCAAGCGGAACTGGCCAAACTACAGGCTGAATTGTCCGAATCCTCCTCGACCAAGAAGACTCTCGAGCTGCAATTGACGCGCTCGCAAGACCAAGCCACCGAAGCACAAACCCTCATCCACTCCATTGAAACTGAAAACACGCGCCTGACCAAACGAGCCGACGAGCTCAGGTCCAACCTCGACAAGGCCCAACAAGAGCTAAACCAAGCAAACGAAGAACGCACGCGAGCCATGGAGACCATTACCCGCCTCAAAAAGGAACAAGAAGACCGACAAACCCACCAGCAACAACCCAGCCCACCCCCATCCCCGCCCACTCATCAAACCTCCAAAGATACCCCGACCCCCAAACCCTCCAAACCGAACTTCGCAACCAACGACTCGCCCACACCGCCGAACTCGCCAACCTGCGCGCCTCCCACGCCTCCTCCTCCCGTGACCTCCAAACCCTTCTCTCTACCACCGAACACCGTGAATCCAAACTTAAAGCCCAAGTCACCTCCCTCCTCACCCACCGCGACCGCCACCAAAGCGAGCTCCGCACCCTCCGATCCAAAATCAACAACCTCGAATCCATCATCGCCACCAAGGACGAAACCGCCGCCGCCGTCGACGAGCGCATCGCCCGCTCCGTCGAAAAGCGCGAAAAGGAATGGCAACGTCGCATTGACCTTCTTCTCAAGGAACGCGAACGCATGAGCCGCGCCCTGATGTGGACCTGGGGCGAGAAGGAACTCGGAGACACCGACAAAGAGAATCTCCCCGTCGACGAAAAGGGTCGTCGGAAACAAGCCTACCGGTATAAACATGCTCATCCGTCTCAGACTCAGACCCAGACTCAGACCCGGTCTTCCTCTTCGTCACGAAACGGGAGTAAGAGGGCTTAGTTGAGTCGTGCCTGTATAATTGATATCTGTGGTTGGGTTCCGGTGCTTCTAGGTTATTGCTTCTCCCAGCTACTGCCTACTCTTCTCGTCAGATCTTCTCTTCTCCTTTAGTTGTTTTGCTTTTTATTGGCTTTCTTCATTCACCATACCCATGTGTGATCAAGTTTTCAATGGTGTCAGGGTATAGGTCGGGTATACACGGCTGGCTGGCTGGATGGTTGGATGGAAAGGGTGATGTGTACTGTACAGTGGGTATAGTATGGTATGGTATGGATTGGCGTTTTTGTTCGTTTACCAGGTGATTGGTGTCGAGGTCTTTGGAAATCCATACACTAGTCAATTTGAGTCTATCTACGAAGTAATCTATTATTGCAGAGGAAAATAAACGAAGACAGCAAGTTCAAGACTGATTGGGAAAGAAGTCTTTAATTAGGTATATATCAAGAAAGGAACCGAGAGCCTGCTAGTGTACAGTTTTAAATCGTAAATCAATAGAACGTAAAATCAATCCGATACAATCATAGCAATAGTTAGTCTGACCCGCAGACTATCTCTAGTATCCATGCATGCTGTTCGTTCGGGTGGTCCCTCTGTAGGTGTTTCCCTCGGAGAATATGTCGCATGGGGCTTCGTCAACGGAGGCCCCCGTCTCGCGGATACAATCTAGTGGACCAGACAGGGTGCTCATGCCACCGCAGGTATTGCTGCGAGGACGTCGAGTGCTAGAGTACACGATCTCGACGTCGCTCCTGCGCCGCTGCGAGGGCATTCGGCGGGTAGTGTCAAAATATGCTCGGCGGCTGTAGCGGTTCTGCTGGGGGTGGTACTGGCTTTGAGTGTGGCGTGGGATTTGACATGGCTCAAACCGGTAGACTTGACGTTGGCGGCCGCTGTGGCGCCGTGTGCTTTGGCGTCTGGGGTGTCCTTGTTCTAGCGGATGGCGTCTATAGCTGGGATTTGGCTGCACGAGTGGGTTTCGCGGCACAGGCGGGATTGATGGTCGAGAGCGGTGGGATGGGCCAGGAATTGGAGCTGTCTGGGAAGTATTGGATCTGTGCACTCGCAATGGTTCTGGAACAACAACTTCAGGGGCTTCGGCAGAGTTGATTGACATTGAGCGTGGCATCGTGCTTTCTTCGGGTTGATTTGCTTCGAGTTCATGGTTGGTAACAACGCTTGTTATGGGTATCAGTGACTTCTCTACTGGAGATGACGCCAATGGGTGACCTGGAGCGTATTCCTTCTTAGGCGTCGGAGGGGGCTCAATATTTGCTGCTTGTTGCTCAATATCCGTAGGGTTGTTGGGATCGGCAAGAGCGCGGATCTGAGGATCTGCCGACAACGATATCGGGGGTGCGAATACTTTAGGAAGAAACCGGCGAAAGGAGGACCCAGAAGATTTGTGTCTTTTATGGCCATGATTGACTGTAGGCGACCCTGATAATTCTGCTACTAAAGCCGGGCGATAAGGCTCGTAGGTGGACTTTGTAGGTGTACGTGAGATATTTGAGTAGATATCGGAGCTTGACAAATCCCTGAACGACTTCTTTGACGGAGTGCCATTGACCGAGAGGGTTGTCCCGGAGAATAGTTCTGCGCTGTCTGCTTCACACTGCGTGTCAAGCTTCAAATGAGGTCTCATATGTAGGGAATCAGGCTGTTGGAGACTGCCGGATTTCCGTATGGAGTTGCTGCTCGACAACAAGTACAAGTCCTTCCCATAGGTCACATCAGGTCGGCGGCAGACAGTATAGATATCATTTTCTAGACTGATGTGGCTTGCCAGAGTTGAGCTGGAAGAGATCTTGTCGTCGCAGATTGACGACTCCTGTCGATATATGCCGAGAAGAGATATATCGTACGGCCGCTCGCTGAGCTTTCGTGAGCAAAAGAACAGACACACCGTTACGCTGGAATGGATTAGCGGGTAGCATTGTTTCCGAGCTAAAATGGCTTACAAGGACAAAATAGAAACAATGACGGCTGCCCGATGTAGCGCGCAGCTGATACCGATCTTCCAAAAGTTGCCGCTGCCATCGTCGGCCAGGCAAAAGGTCTGCTGCGAGACCACGACTAAGCCTGCCACACTGGCAGCAACCCAGGTGATAACCGTCAGCCGAACGATATAGGTGCATGCAGCGTGCAGCAGAGCTTTCTGGCTCGCGAATCCTAAAACCCGGTTATATTGCCAGGCAAGGAGACTATGGAGAGCGACCAGAGGGACAGTGAAGAAGGACTAAGTATTTGTCAGTATCGCTACAGAGCATGTGAAGGCAGAGCACCTTACCGCGACAAGAGCAAGAATCAAGCTCGGGGTCATCTTCGAGTCCACATGTCGGATGGCATATAGATAGAGTACCAGAGCCCATTCGATGAGGGATTCCAAGAGCATCACGTGTAGTGAGATGAAAATGACCACCCTTGTCCAGGCGCCTCCTCTTCTAGAGGTTATTGAACGGGTAAACATGATTACCGCGTTGAGAGCCGAAGCCTGCTGCGCTACGGCGTTGGTGAACAACGGCCGCCAAGCATTCACGGGGCTTCGATTGTATGAGCGGCCAAAGGATTATGTATCAGAAGAAGCGGGTACGAAAGGTCCCTAAAGCCAAACGCAGATTGTTGATGAAAATAATAACATGGTGAAAGAGAAGCAACAGCCACGGGCCCTCGCCGACTAAAAGGATGTAGATGGATGGGCGAATTGCCTGGCGCGTCGACGCGGGCAAGAGGGGTTGGAATGGACGATCAGGAGGCATGTCCGCCCGAGTGAGGAGCGCAATTGGTGGCTTCAATGATGTTTGTTGTCTCTTCTTCAGAAGGGAAGCCGTCCCTCCGGAATGCAGGCTAAACAGCTGCCCACGAACATCAATAGTCGGCCCCTATTCTCCTGGCCAGGGTTAGTCATCCGATCTATATCCTCGAGATGCAGAAGGGAGTCACCATCAAGCAGGATTTTAAGTGTCCCTTGGCCCTGCGTATATGCAGCAGAGGATCCTTTCCTGGGGGGAGGCTGGAGATCGGATGTGAGCAGTGAGCATCATCATTATCATCATCGCGTGGTAGACGGGTTGTCAAAGCACCAGCGGGAGCAGGGAGTGAAACAGTGCAGCGGGATAGAATGCAGGATGTGATGCAGAATCCAGGGCCGAAGATAAGGCGAGGGATGCGCGAGGAGGCGAGGAGTTATGAGGAGGTATGGTGAATTGGTGATAAGAAGCCAGGAAGGGATAAATGCCCCTCAAGGGCCGCCACGTGATGGGCGGCCTCAGGAGTCACTGGCTTCCTTCCTTTTTTTTTTCTTTTTTGTCATTCTTTTTTTGCTTGGCCTCAAATCTTCTCAAGTTCGATAGGTCACCTGCAAGGGAAGGCCTTGTCGCCAACTTTGTCTAGAAGGGCTGACCATGACGTCGACGTGAAAAGCATGTAGGGCTAATAAAAGGGCCAGGCTAGTTCACCTCCCTGAGTCAACCTTCATACCATTGCTATTCTTGACTACAATACTCATCGCGTATCGCAGATCCTTCAAGTGCTTTTGGTCCCAACATCGCCTGGGCTTACAGGGTATCGAGGTCCGTCATACGTACGGTCACCTGTACGTCCACGCAGACAGTCAATCACCGGTCACAACCAGGACCCTGTTTAATCGTCAACAACTGACGATGACTACCCGGTATCTGACGCCATGTGAGATTATCCCGTAGGTGGCGGAGCTTGGTTGAACCTAGAATCGCATTGAAGGTTCCCCCTCGTCCGCCACCGTTCAGCAGGGGGCTACCAAGCCATCCGCTATACGCTTCGTCGGAGGTCAAAGCCAGGCCCTGCTTCCATTTAAAAGCGCCACTGGCCTATTTGAGAGTTGATCATCCTTCACTGGTAATCTAAAGGGGTGGACAAGATTGCTGAGGTCTACGTCCTGGGCATATCAGATACGAGCCCTGTCTATATTGTCAGGTAGCTTGTTTCGCGTTACTACAATACTAAAGGGATATCCCTCCTACTCAGGACTTTAAGAACGATGTTTTATTCAACTTGGTATGGAAGTGGTGTCTCGATGTCTCGCTGGAGAATCTTTCTAAGCATGCTGCCCTGGCGCGTATTTGGATTAATGAAAAACCACTGGATGCTGATCAGACATACGTGACCCGGGGAAATCAAAGTGGCGAGCCCTTGATGCACTCAAATTCTATGCTCGAATATCCTATACATGAATCTAAGTAGGGAGTAGGATTTGAAGGTTTAAGCCCCTTCGGTAACAAGCAACATGCCTTAATCAAACCTTGCGCAATGAATTGGTGCCAGAAAGCATACCAAGCTTGATCATTGTTGTAGAAGAAGAAATCGGCGGTTATCTTAGCATTATCATACTCATAGCCTGCGCAGGCTGTGATAGATACATTAAGAGCTGGCCGAGCAGGGCTTATGGCGCTCTGAAACTGAGGAAGGAGGTAAGAAGTCTGATACGGCCATATTCATAATGGCCAACATTGTCCCATCGCATCATTAACTGTTTCCTGAAGACGGTTCATGAAACTGTGATCTGTGGTGCTTATTGTGCTCTTTATCCCCATCGTGATTCTTTCCCACGAGGTAAACCCTTTCTCTCAGATAGTTCTTCAGGGGACTGTCCTAATGCCATATTGCTGGTTTCCATGCATCATACATCTGATCAAGTATGAATATAACCGATAGCTAGGCTGCAATTTCAAAGACCCAACACTTGTCAGCTTTCCACAGTCCGTGAAGTCATCTGCACTTGTGCGATGAGAGCAAAGCAACGAGGAGAGAAAACCACTGCTTGCCATAGTCCTAGTCAAACAGACATATAGAAGAAAGAATCTAGGAATCGGAATCGAGAAGCAACCAGCCACCAACCAATCCCTCAACCTCCTGATCATCCTTCATCCACCTGGAGGTTTCAATCTCATCGAGTCATCATCTGGAGCAACACACCACTTGAAAATTCCGAGGTGTTGTAACCGCAAGACAGACATATGAGAATGTCGACGATGCATACAACATATATAATATGTATGTATGTACCGCACCATAACAACATCATATCTAGATGCAAATAAACTCCGTCGGAACTCGTACTGCATGGACCCCTATGTCCTGCAATCTCCGTCTCCAGTGGTATCGGTGACCGGCTCTAGAAGCATATTACCTCTGAGCACAGCGTGAAAATCACTCTCTGCTTCACAATACATCGGTATATCAGTGGTGCTGGAATAAATGTGTTTTATTGAACATGCTGGATGGTTGCACTTTTGAGCAGCAGTTTGCTGCATTGTCGATGGATTTCATCACTTCATATTCATTCTTGTTTATGGATGTCAGAGGTGGTGTGGTAGTACACCAGTCCTTCTTGTCTTTCTTTTCGAAAGATATAAACAAAAGTGTAACGTATATGGTCTTTGTTCTGCCGGTGTTTTTGAAACCCGTGACATGGTTTGAGAAGCGTTGTAGTGAATGTGTCGGGTAGGGTTTTCTGAGTGCCATATATAGCATTGAGAATGGCTTGTATAGCAGCTTTAAGGGTGGTGTGCATTCTGTTGATAAACATATGGAAGGATTATAGAAAAGGGTTAAAGAAGCAATGAAGGGAGTTATCAGATGGATGGACTGCACCAAAAGACTTAGCTGGGCGATGGTCAGCCCTCGGATATTAAAGGTGGAGGATTGAGAAGCTAGGACAAGGCCTGGGTGCTTTACTTATATAAATTGGTGATGAGATTGACTTTTGGTTTAGTAACAATGATAAGTGACTGGATGTTTGATGACCCCCTACTATTCATCTTGGGGGTTGAATATATTTGCCGGTGATGAATCAGGACCGCAGCAGAAACCACCGATTAACTAATTCGAAGGCACCGGCCATAGACATACTATACTGGTAGCGAACACTTCACTCTTTCTTTCGAGATTCATATACGGTAAACGCCCAGCCCATAATAGAGCCATCCCACGGAGCCCTACGCGATTTCACCCTACAGAAAGCCTGTGAAATAGAAAACCAACTGCACAATACATTTTATTCCATTAAACATTATCCAATTTATTCCCTACAGATGAGCAATACACTCAATCTCCACATCCGTATTCAAAGGCAGAGTCTTAACCGCCACGCACCTATAACAAACCCAACCAATCAGTCAGCCCGCAATCAGCCACAACCCTAACATTCCCCCTTCCCCTCCAACAGCATCCAAAGGGGTAAAGAAAGAGGAAGAGGAAACTCACGTCCGACAAGGCTTCACATCCCCCCAATACTCCGTATAGACCGAGTTCATCTCGGCAAAGTTATCCATATCGGACAGGAACACATTCACCTTCAAGACCTTGGTGAGATCGCTGCCGGCGGCTTCGAGAATGTGGCCGAGGTTCTTGATGCATTGGTGCTGTTATTTATCCCCGTATCAGTTATCTGGATATTTGTAGTCTTAATTGAATCTGGGGGAAGGGAAGGATAGTACCGTGTGAGCTTTGATGCCGCCCTCGATGAGCTTGCCGGTCTCGGGGTCCATGGGCACGGCGCCGGAGCAGTAGACAACGCCGTTGAAGACGATGGCCTGGGAGTAGATGCCAGGGAGGGGCTTGGGGGCTTTGTCGGTGAGAATAGGGGTTTTGGTGGCCATTTTGGGGTTCTTTCTTCAATTCTGGGAGGAGAAGGACTTGTTGGATTGGTGATAGAGGGGTAAAAGGGTACTACTAGTAGAAGGAAGAGCTCAATAGAAGAGAGGGATTAGGTAGCTACCCCGACAGATATATACAACTGCCCACCCACCTTGGGAACAAACGAAGCTCTGATCCCCCACTTTGGTAGCTGCGTGTTCCAATGAGAGTGGCCGATATCCCCTCATTGCATGGTTCGAATGAGATACGAGAGTTAGTTATCTACCTAGCCTGCGTGGCGGGGGAGGGGCCAAGAGAAGAGGAAGAGGGGATGTGATGCATCTGCTCTTATCGCGGGTTATCGGGATCAGCTGTGAGGGGAAACCCCAAGACAACAACAACAAACCGGTAAGTCACCCCGGCTGGCGCGTTCCTCGTATCCCTTGCGTCCGGAAGGAGACCTCGATGTAACCGAGGGATTTTGCCCGAGAGCAAATCTCAGCAGATAGATAGATAGGTTGCAGCTACTCCGTACTCCGTACCTCTTCCCTTAATCTACGATCCGGAGACACCCCGTCACCATCCAATGCCAACCATGTCCATTTCCGATCCTCAACCTCCGTATCCCCTCCACCCTTCGGTGCAAGACAAACTCGACCCCGAGTACGTCGCCTTCTATAACCAGTATGTATTCAACAAGCAACAGGTTCATCTGCAGCCCGTCGCGGCTTCGCGATCGAGCGGGGTCCTGATCCCCGGAGGGGGTCCTGTCCTGCCCGTCGGCCAGACGCTCGATCTTCGCCTTCCGCGGCGCGTCACCGAGGGCCTGGAGGTTCCTGTGCGGGTATTTGTGCCAGAGGGGACGGCACCGTCGTCAGGATGGCCGGTCATGCTGTATATCCATGGTGGGGGATGGGTGCTGGGCAATATTGACACGGAGAATCCGGTCTGCTCGAACCTGTGTGTGAGAGGTCAGTGTGTTGTGCTGACGGTGGATTATCGGTAAGAGAAGATCGCTTCTCCTGCCCGTCTTAATGCGATGCATCAGTGCTGACGAAACAGTCTCGCACCCGAGCATCCCTGGCCAGCTGCCGTGCACGACTGCTGGGAAGCCCTCCTCTGGCTGATCTCACAGGGACCCGCGAGTCTCCCCATCGACATCAGTAAGCTCGCGACCGGGGGCTCGTCGGCGGGCGGCAACCTCGCCTGTATCATCACGCAGAAAGCCCTGACATTGTCGCCACCCGTCTACTTCAAGGCCCAGTTGCTCTCCGTGCCCGTGACGGATAACACGGCCAGCGTGGCCACGAACCGTGCCTATCGCGAGTATGAGCACACGCCGGCTCTCCCTGCAGCCAAGATGCTCTGGTACCGAAACCATTATCTGCCTAACCAGGTGGACTGGGATCATCCCGAGGCCAGTCCCTTGTTCTTCACGGGTGATTGGTCGGCCCTGCCCCGGGCATTGGTCATGGTGGGCGAGCTGGATGTGCTCCGGACCGAGGGGGAAGAGTATGCAGAGAAGCTGAAGAACGCAGGCGTACAGGTAGACTTGCAGGTTATGAAGGGCATGCCACATCCATTCCTGGCCATGGATGCCGTGTTGAAGGAGGGGAAGCGGTCGATTACGCTGATGTGTGATCTGCTCAAGGAGGTGTTCTGGACGAACCCTTAGATGTGTATTAGTTAGATTGGAACGTAGCTAGGCTACCTACATTTGAGCTATTCTTGGTCAATACATGGACCTGGGCCTGTCTTTTCTTCGCTCCCGTAAGAGCATAAATTTTCATTGTCGGTATCCATGATAGCAATTTCCAACCCAGTCAAGATGGCACACTGAATGGGGCTGTCCTCAATGTTGCTGACCAGAAGTCTATTTGTTCGTTCAGAGATGATCATACTTCCAGCAAGATGTAACAGAGTCATCTGTTACCTCATCATTAATTAGGGGCGCATGCCGCACGCTCCGCCTTGTATTTCAGGAAGCCGTCGGGTAGAATCCTCAACATCATTCAATTAAATTAATAAGCATCTCCCTAAAGGCCTCATGAAGGGCCTCATAAAAGCCCTTATACAGGTCCCAATGTCATATCGGATGCCCACATTGTCCTCAAAGCGACCCACATCGAACAACAAGGCTGTCGCAGCTCTATATGGCGCCTTTGGATGTAAATTATTTTGCACCACGAGATGTTATTACGCTTTTCCAGTGTCCGAAACAACATGTTACTATTTCCTGGTGGAACGCAACAGCTGGCATATTAGTTTCCGTCCCAGGCGGGCCGAGACCGTTACACCAAGGGGGGTTTGATCTGTAGGCATATACTATGTAGTAGTAAAGTGCTGTTCCCATCGGGTTCCTCTTTTCGTTCCCCGAATTTGTACGCCCGTTCGGTCACAGGCCAATGAGATTGCACTAGATAAGTTTGGTTTGTGTGAATCTTGAGCTTCCTAGTGGACGGAGCAGCATTTGCTAACCTCTGTATGCTCTAAAAAGTCTCTTGAATGCGTGAGACCGTGTCGGAGATCTGAGGTAATGAGGATGCGGAGGAGATCCCCCCGGATGGGAGGCCACAGGTCCAGCGGTATAATACTCCACCGGGCAATATACATTCTCAGCCCTCTCCAGTCTCCACGAGCCTAGGAACATCGGGGTCCCGATTGGGATAGAACTTGAAGACTATAGAGCTTGACTGCACCCGGGCAGTGCTTAGAACATCCGTAGCGCCTGTTCCTCGACGGCCGTTAATTTCGACTCTTGACTAGACTGCAATCCACTAGCCTTTCCGGGGGAATGTTAGCAAGGGCAATTTCCGGGTTTCCGACGCATAACTCCGAGGTCGCTTAATGCCTCGTTGTAGGGGGTGCAGAAATCATGCTAGCCCTGCATCTCCTGGAGTCAGCACCAGTCGTTCTCTTTGCTGCGAACAGGTATTGGACTGGATCTAACCATAGCAAGGTCCGTGTCCAGCCGGTGCCCGCTCAAGGACTTAGTCGTAGTGGGTCGACTAATCAAATGAACTACTACTAGGTAGGTAGTAGCGAAAGTGTGCCTAGATGCTAGCAGGTCAAGGCAAATCCAATGGGACGTCGTCGGCTAGATAGGGGGAAGGAATAATACGGATCGATTGCCACCTTCTGGTCTCACTCTTTTCATGGGAATCCAATCCTCCGTCTTTTGTCTGGGAATTTGTCGTGTTCTTCGAAGCTTGACCTTCCAAGTAAGTAATTAAGGTAGATAGCAGCTACGAACACTATAGGTACGTAGTACGGCGTTCCTGTCGATCGGGTGATCCGGTCGTCTCCGGATGTCTTAGACTCGTAGAGATTAGAATGTTAGAGACTTAGAATGCGGAAAAGAGCCGTTCCGTGGGTCAAGCTCGACAATCTGACTTTTTCACTCTGGCGAGTTGGCAACAACTAAAGTAACAAAGGGACCAAGTAAGTGAGACATTGGAGCCCAAAGTTCAACCCGGACACTTTCCAGCCTGACCAGTGGACTGCCATGCTCTATATCCCGGCCCCCCGATTGGTGTTCCTGGCCATTGGCACCCCACTAGAGACCCCTAGCTAATCCCCATCAAGTTACCGCCACGCGGATTCTAGCCCCAGTCCGGTCTAGCTGCGGAGCACAGATACGGTACTGTCACTACTTATACCGTATCAGGAGCCCACCGCAGGGTCCAATCCCCTCCCACCAATCCCCTCCCACCAAGGTCACTTCCAACTTCCCAAGACTCACAACTCCAACTCCATCTCCCACTCACTCACCATCGCCATCCACCACTGCACATTTCGGTTCCTGTCCGGCTAGAGAAAGTTATCCCATCCTCTATTCATCCTCTACCTACCCACATACCTTCGATGCTACTTTCGACTATCACGCGCTACTTCTTAGCTCATACCCCACTTTAGGCTCGTTGCAAGCACCATGTGAGCCTTGACCGCTGTGAGTGGATGATTACCTGCTCTTATCGTCCACTTCGACCTAGACTAACCATGGGAGTCAGACCCTTATGCGGCTCTGCCCTATGCAATTACTCGATCGAGCAGCCTGGTGCCTGCTGCTGCCTTGAGCGTAATAATGTCGGCCCTCAGTCGCCCATCTTCTGGAGCCAGTAAGATCCTCTGCTGGCCGGAGGTACCTGGCGCCCCAATATCAAGTGCCTCGTTAGTCCCCGAGACTCACTGGTGCTAGCACAGGAACGGAGGCCTCTGTCCCATAGTCTGGTCGTCCGGTTGCACCCGCTAAGCCATGGTATCCGCATGGTAATTTCGGTTGTGCTCGTCCGATAAACCATATTTTGGACATAGGATCCAATGGCCACAAAGGCGTGACAGGGGCCCCGTGTGACGCCCCAGGGGAGATGGCTCACACCATGCTATATAGCCTCTGTGTCCTCGTATCCTGTTTCTAGGTTCTTCATTCTTCGACATTCGCTTGTGGAGACACCCCAAACAGCAGACATCTGTCTGCGTCCTTTCGTTGAATCACCCCAGGACACTCTTTACTGGGTTACGGCTTTCCTGCCTCCACCATTCGTCACTCCTTCGACATGGTGTCCAATCTTTTCACCATCGCCACGGCTGTTGCCGGTTTCGCTCCTTTTGTGTCTGCCTTCGATGCCCAGGCAAAATCCAACCTTGCCATCTACTATGTATGCCCCCATCATACTAGAGCCCACTGAACCCTGCTTACTTGTATCTCTTTTCTTCTAGGGCCAAGGATATGCCCAGCAACGATTGAGCCATTTCTGCCAGGAAACCTCGTTGGATATTATCAATATTGGGTTCATCGATGTGTTCCCGGATCAGGGCAAGGGCGGATGGCCGGGTAGCAACTTTGGAAACCAATGTGATGGACTAACTTACCAGGTTGACGGCGTTTCGACACAGCTGCTCTCCGGCTGCCACCAGCTGGTAGAAGATATCCCCATCTGCCAGGCGGCAGGAAAGAAAGTCTTCCTGTCTCTTGGTGGTGCCTCTCCCGACGACTACAAGATCCTCTCAGAGGACTCTGCTACTTCTTTTGCTGACTTTCTCTGGGGCGCTTTTGGTCCGAAAACGGATTCATGGACGCTGAACAATGGGCCCCGTCCGTTCGGGGATGTGGTTGTTGATGGATTTGATTTCGATATTGAGCACAATGGTGGTTTTGGTATGTTTCCCTGGCCACAGAGCCTTGTTTGTCCCTTATTGCACTTCTCTAACTGTGATCAGGTTATGCGACCATGGTTGATCGGTTCAGACAGCTCTTCGCCCTTGTCCCCGAGCGTACCTTTTATATTTCCGCTGCCCCTCAATGCCAGATTCCCGATGCACAGCTCAGTGATGCAATTGCCACATCTGCATTTGACTTCATTTGGGTGCAGTTCTACAATACCGCTGGCTGCGCCGCCAGTGACTTCGTTGATGGTGTTAGCACCGGCTTCAACTTCGATAGGTGGGTGAATGTCATCAGACAAGGGGGTAACCCAGATGCGAAGCTCTATGTGGGATTGCCTGCCAGTACGAGTGCTGCGGGAGCAAGCTTCTACCTCACCCCAGAGGAAGTATATCCCCTAGTGGATACGTATATGGGTCTCTACCCGGACACTTTTGGGGGTATCATGCTTTGGGAAGCAACTGCCTCGGACGAGAACCGGTTTGGTAATGGGACCTTCGCCGACAAGATGAAGGACATTCTCCTTGAACTTGATCCCACGCCAGAGCCTACCCCTTCACCGTCCAGCAGTGTTGTTGCGTCGAGCACTCCTGTCGCCACGAGCACTCCTACAACCACGAGCACCCCTACGGCTACAAACACCCCTTCAGCATCAAGCACTTCTTTAGCCACGAGCACTCCTTCGGCTTCAAGCAGCTCGGGGCTATCGAGCACTCCCGAATCGAGCAGCGCGTCTGCATCAAGTAGCCCTGTGGCCTCCAGTTCTGTTGTTGTTACCAGTTCTGTTGTTGCACCCACCTCCGTTGTCGCACCTACCTCTACTGTGACTTCCGGCTCTGCTGTCGCTTCCAGCTCCGTCACTTCTAGCTCTGTTGCATCCAGCTCTGTTGTCACATCCAGTTCTGTTGTTACGTCCAGTCCTGTCGCTTCCAGCTCCGTGACTTCCAGCTCCGTCATTGCTTCCAGCTCTGCTGTGTCTTCCAGCTCTGTGGTTTCCAGCTCTGTGGTTTCCAGCTCTGTTGTCGCATCCAGTTCCGTTGTTGCACCTACCTCTGTTGTTACGTCCAGTCCTGTCGCATCCAGCTCTGTTGTCGCATTCAGCTCTGTGACTTCCAGCTCCGCCATTGCTTCCAGCTCTGTGGTTTCCAGCCCTGCTGTCGCACCCAGCTTTATTGTGACTTCAAGTACCCTTGTTGCATCGAGCACCCTGAAGACGTCGAGCAGCCCCATTGCCTCGAGCTCGCCCGTGGTGTCGAGCTCCTCTGTTGCACCAATCTCTCCTGTGGTGTCAGGCACTCTAACGCTGTCAATCAGCCCATCTGTGTCAAGTACCCCTATTATTCCAAGCTCGGCCGCAACGTCGAGCTCTGCTGTGGCATTGACCTCTCCCGCATCAAGCGCTCCTGTCCTGTCAGGCTCCACTGTGACGTTAAGCACTCCAGTGGCTTCAAGTTCAGCGTTGTCCAGTAGTCTCTCAGCATCAAGCACTCCTGTAAAATCGGGTAGTTCAGTCGTACCAGGCTCTTCCACTCCTTCAAGCAGCCCTGTTCGTTCGACACCACCTGTTGCCACGGGGAAGTCATCCAGCGCTCCCGTCATCTCGAAATCCTCTTCCACAGTGGTTGCAACTCTCACCACCTCTTCTGGGTCACTGACCTCCTCCGGGATCGTTGGGGTTTCTGCAACTTCGTCGTCCACCCTGGCACAGTTGTCTAGCACGCTGTCGCTGTCGAGCTCATCCGTGGCCTCTGGTGAACCAGCCCCATCTGGTTCCGCTGTCGGCAGCAGCACAGCTTCTGCATCCAGTGCCCCTGGGAACACAACCTACTCGATCTCGACCACCCAGACTATTGTTGCGACTCAGTCAAGTTCGTCGGTTCTCTCAGGACAGCCTATTTCCTCGATCTCAGGAACAACAACTCTGCCAGTGACTTCTTCCCCAAGCGAGCCAACCAATCCCACCGCAGCAAGCTCGATCACAACGGGGAGCGCAGATGCTTCATCGAGTTCCTCCATCGCTTCCGGTGAATCGACGTCTTCCGAACTGGTTGCACCGGTGACCTCGTCCAGCACGTCATATGTGTCAACCTCATCGAGCCCAGTCGTTACCACCGGTCTGCCGATTTCTTCTGGTATTTCGTCCTCGTCTGTTAACCCGTCGCCGTCAAGCTCGGGTACCGAGTCTACTGGCTCAGCATCAGGTCAGGCAGGAGCATTAACTACTCACAAGCCGTCGGGTGGCTCGGAGACATCCAGCACTCCAAACTCCTCCGGTGCTACTTCCAAGGGATCGGGTGCTCAAGAGAGCTCCAGTGCCACAGATCATGCAAGCACTCTTTCCCCATCGTACACGGCGCTTCCTGTTGGCACATCATCAGGTCAAACAGACAGCCCGACGACATCCCCAACGAGTGTCCCAGGGGGCAACGGAAGCGGAGCCGCTCCAATCACTTCCAGCATTACGTCGGGGCATGGGGCACTGCCAGTCGCATCTAGTGGATCGGTCTCAGAGCCCGTCTCCACCACCACGGTCATCGTGACTTCTTACATTGACATTTGCCCAGAAGGCTTCACCACGATCACTACGAGCTATACCTCAACCTACTGGCCAGCAACAGTCTCCGCAACTGCCACCGTCACCAAGCCTCCTGGAATCCCAGCGCAGGCCACTATCCCCAGTGTTCCCGAGGGCTGGACCACGACCGTTACGGTCTGCACACACTGCGCTCCAACTCCGACCACCGTGACTCTTACTCTGCCAGCCACCATTTCGTCGTCTGGACTAGCATCGTCGGCCAAGGCGCCCAGTACTGGTGAAGGCTGGACTACGACGGTCAGTGTCTGCACCGACTGTGGTCCTACACCGACCACTGTAACTCTGACCTTGCCGGCCACCAACCTGCCATCGGGGCTGGCGTCTTCTACCCAGGCGCCTCATTCTGGTGAAGGTTGGACTACGACGGTTAGTGTCTGCACCGACTGCGGCCCTATGCCTACTACCGTAACTGTCACGATCCCTGTCGGTTCTGCCACAGGCATTGAAACCCCCTCGGTCAAGCCTTCCGGCGTCCAGCTTACTGGTGAGAGCTCACCAGGTCAAACTGCCCCTCCCGCCCTCGTATCGACAGCCGTCACCACCTCCACGGCTGTTGTGCCCCCAAGCCACTCGTCTTCCAGCCGGCCCGTGATCCTTGGAACCGGCGGTGTCCGTGCCTCGTCGACCTTGCATATCCAACCGTCCCAGAGCGGGTCCCGAGTGCCCACAGCTCCCAGTGGTATGCCCGAAGGCGTATCGCCGGTGTTTACTGGGGCCGCTTCGCGGGGGTCCGAACTGCGCCACGGAGCCGGTGCTATGACTGCATTTGCGCTATTCCTGTTGGCTACGATGTAACCGACATCTTTGCACCCAGGCTTACGATATACTTTGCACGAGAACCAACAAAGTTTGGATGAAAACCTTAGGGGATCTGGTGGATGTAATGCTTTATCTGAAGGACGACATTCCCTGCTCACGCATGTATCTAGTTCTATTCTGTCAGCGCCAGCTGTACTCTTCATGACCCACTGTATTAGTTAATTAATGTCCTTCGTTCCACCCAGAAACATCACATGATGACCATCTTATGATCTTATTCACCACTGATGCCCGACGCACCGGAACCGATGCGATGCCCCAGGCAGCCAAGCTCAGCCAAGACGGGACGATCCGGGTCCGCCAAGCAGTCAACCCGCAAAAGTGATGAGTTGTAAACCCTGTAGTTTCAGCCGTGGTTTCAAACTCTCTACCTGCCCACTGGGATGAGTGGACAAGAGCGACCGAACGCGACCTAGACACAATCGATTGATGCCTGACAGAGCTTACTACTAGATACAACCTATCTATGGCGGAATGGCCCCTCCGGGCGCGGAGTCCAGAGTCCAGAGTCCAGAGTTCAGACAGCTAGTTGACAGCGACGGCAAATTGCCAGCAGGACCACCGCATGACGGAATGATAGGCCCAGGAGAACCTGGCCCCCGGCGACTAAGCCGGATGGGGCAAGTGATAAGCTCCGCCCGGCTGCCTTTGTTGTGCATATCTGCACCGGCTGGTACCGTATCTGGTATACCGCCCTTACCCTTACCACTATCAACGGGTTTCCACTTTCCATTACCATACCACTTTCCTACCCACCATAGCTCATATTTCATACATACTTAGAAACGACGGAGACACTGAGACACAGCCATGATGATCCACTAGTACTAGTCTAGTAGAGTACTAAGTACTATGTAATTGAAACCAGCCACAGCCACACTCAATCACCGGTCATAGCCACTCACCCCACCGATTGAACGATGATGACAGCCACTCTCAGCCAGATGATCAAGTCATTCCCCCCCTCCCTTCCCCCCTGAAAATTGGAACGGGGCGGCTAATTGAAACAGCCGAGAATCGCCTAAGATTAGTATCTACTACCTATCTAGTATCTACTAACCAAACCAACACCCACACCCTGGACCCTTATTGCCCGCCCCTCTTCTTGTCTTACTTTTAGTACCTAGTAGTAACTTAGGTACCACTGCCGAGAGTTTCGATCTCTCAACCACTCACTTGTAGGTATTATTGCTAGGTAATTAATATTAGTAGATCCTGAGTGGTCTCCTTAATTATCTACCTATTATGTACTGTTGCGGTTATCTCCTATCGCGGGATCGGACCCCACTGACACTGTAGTAGTTAGTACGTTACTGAGGTGGGTTAATTATAAATATTTCCCGAGGACAGAGTTGGCCTTTTGCTGATTTCTCTTTCTCTTTCTCTTTCTCTTTCTCTTTCTCTGTTGTTTTTGGTTTGGGATTTCTCCCTGTTACTTACGTACTACTACATACATACCTTCCTTCCTTCCGTTTTCACTTGTTCGAAAGACAAGACATTATATACAACAATCATGGATTTCATTAAGAACCTTGCCGAGGAGGTCATCCAGTCCAAGTTCGGTGGCGGCGGTAGCAGCAGCGGTGGTGGTGGTGGTGGTGGTGCCTCCCAGAGCTATGAGAGCGAGAGCTACAGTCGCCAGGAGAGCTATGGTCGTCAAGATGGCTACGGTCGTCAGGAAAGCTACGGTCGTCAGGAGAGCTATGGTGGTGGTTACGGAAATGAGGGGTATGGTCGCCAGGAAGGCTATGGCGGCGGCTACGGTAATGAGGGCTACGGCCGTCAGGAAGGTTACGGTGGTGGCTACGGTGGCGGCTACGGTGGCCAGCAGCAACAGCAGCAGTATGGCTACGAGTCTCGTCAGACGGAATACTACAGCGAGCAGCAGCAGCAGGGCTCTAGCCACAGGGGTCGCAATATGGCCATGGGGGTTGCCGGAGGTGTGCTTCTTGGTGGAGCGGCCGTTGTTGGGGGCGAGATGATTCGTATGTTGACCCTTGTTTCCCCTTATTTTGTTAATCCTTCTTTATGAATAAGTGGCAGGTACTGACTGACTGGAACATAGACGACAAGTGGGAGGAAGATAAGGAGGATATCAAGGAGGATGTGGAGGATTTCCCCGAGGATGCGGCCAGGTGGACCGGCCGGAAGGTGAGTTGAATTCAATTCATATATTGTTGTTGGCAATGCTGACAGGATATGTGCACATAGGTCGGTGAAGTGGAGGCCATCCCGGATCGCATCGAGCAGGGATGGGACAACGCCGTCGACGATGTGGAAGATATTCCCGAGGATGTGGCCGGATGGGCCGGACGCAAGGTGGGCGAGGTGGAGCGTTTCGATGATAACATGGACAATGCATATGACGAGGGAAAGTATGAGGGTCGCGAGGACTGGTAATCTGGGGTTGACATTGTCATGTTGGATAAGAACAGTGGGGGTTGGTAACCCGGATAGTAAGATTGTTTCAAAGATCGATATCACAGTAGAGTAGACCTCAGTGGAAGAGAGATGAGGCTGTTGTTCCCCGCACGTGGCCCGGACCTCGGCTGCGGAGAAGCGATGCCGCTGTTGACCCCGACCTTGCTCTTCAACCACTCAACCATCGCGCTGCGGGCAGTGCAACGTGCTATCAACACTGCTAGATTGTATCACCCTATCACTTCATACCTGGAAATTCGTATCTTCTGAGTGCCCCAACTGCTCCACCATGGCGCCCCCTCTCAACGGAATCCGTGTCGTCGAATTAGCAGGCCTAGCCCCCGGTTCGTCTGCTAATCCACATCCACCAAGCCAAAAATATATTGACTTGAGACATTAGGTCCGTTTACTGGATTATTACTTGCAGATTATGGAGCCTCCGTGCTGCGGATCGATCGCCCTAAAGCCGCGAGTGCAGACCAGTTGACTCGCCATAAGTCGTCCGCCACGGTTGACCTCCGAGACCCCGCCTCCCATCGCGTACTCCTTTCCGTGCTCAAGGACGCCGATATCCTGATCGATCCTTACCGTCCTGGCGTTCTGGAGCGTTTGGGTTTATCGCCATCGGAGGTGCTCCTGAAACATAACCCGCGCCTGATCGTAGCTCGGTTGACGGGCTTTCGTCGTGACGGGAAATACAAGGATATGGCTGGCCACGACATTAACTACATTGCCGTAGCTGGGGTATTATCCATGCTGGGCCGATCTGGCGAACGCCCTTACCCCCCGGGAAATCTTCTCGGCGACTTTGCTGGCGGCGGCACCATGTGCTTCTTGGGGATCCTGCTAGCGCTGATCTCGCGCATGCAGACGGGACGCGGCCAGATCGTCGAGGCAAACATGGTCGACGGCTCTGCCTACCTAGCTGCAATGCCGCGATTGGGCAGACAGACGCCCTTCTGGAGCGCACCCCGCGGTCAGAATATGCTGGACGGAGGGAGTCCATTTTACGACACATACGAAACCAAGGACAAGGAGAAGTACTTCGCAGTGGGCGCGTTGGAGCCGCAGTTTTACGCTGCTCTGCTGAAGGGTCTAGGATTCAACCCCGAAGAGCTGCCACCACGAGATGACAAGGACAACTGGCCCGCCCTTCGAGCGGCCTTTGCCAAGCGGTTTAAAGAAAAGACCAGAGCTGAGTGGGAGGCCGTATTCGATGACACAGACGCCTGCGCCACACCTGTCCTAGAACAAGATGAGCTTGAGGAAAGTGGCTACGAGCAACGGCCCGCTGTCCATTTAGTGGATACCCCGGGTCTGTCGATTCCAACTGACGACGGGGGCTGGACTGGGGGTGGACTGATACCGGGGACAGGGGGCGAAGACACCCTGAAGACGTGGCTGGGTTGGGCGAAAGGCCGCAATTATGATGTAAGGCCCGATGGAGCATTAGTACAGCTACCGGATGGCAAAGCAAAGCTCTGATGGGAGGGTTGGATGGGTGATGATGTGGTCAGAGTGGACATAATACGAGGTGATGTGCCAAATATGTACGTTGAGTTTGGTCAGGCCCTGGTTGATGAGGCTTGGACAGTGGCGTAGGGCTGAGCAGCTCAACGAACCGACGAATAAGCAAGTAGCCGACGACGGTCAACCGCACAACAGGGAACCTTATCATATCCACCATCGTGGCATTCACGAGATGATCCATAGGTTAGATAGATCGGGACGATGGTACTGGCAGGGAGACAACATGCATCGCGAGTCCACCAGGGGGGGGGGCCAGAATGGCTTTGTTCTGCCGCGATCCACAGACGAGGATGGAATCATGGAATCATGGAACTGGAACACTGGAAGTCATACTATGCGGATGCAGCAGAGCCACCCGCCCCCGATTAGGTATACTGTTAGTAAATAGATTGACAGCCAGGCTAGTGGGATACCGACGGGCATTCCGTAGCGACATGCATGGATCGGATCCAACGTGCATGGCGACTAAGATGCCTGACAGCGTGGTCCTCCTGCGCCGATGCGATTGGCATAAGCAATGGGGAAGAACAACAAAAGAAAAAAGATGGCGTAGCTGAAGAGGGCAGCAGCGAAACGTTACAGCGCCCGGATGTAACAGCACCTTTCCTTCCTGAGAAGGATTGCGGGGGGGCCTTACCTATAGTACCTACATGACTAAAGTTCTCGCGGTCATGGTCACGTCACCTTCATCTTCGGTTACGCCGCGGAACTGGTCTCCGTATCGACCAGTTTCCCCCTGGTACCGGCCATCCCCGTTTGGGGGGTCGGGGTCCGGCCTGTCCCTGGGTCGCAGGTATTTTATGCAGTAAGATGCTGCCTGGAGTACCTGGCTGCGGTAACTGTAAGGTGTGAACTGCGAAGGTCCTTGAACAAAGACTGATACCTTAACCCACTTTCCAAGCTGCCCGCAAAAAAAGTCTATGTACCTGATCAATGCAACAAAGTACTAACTACGGAGTACGGAGTACCCCCCCCCCCTCTTTCTCCCCCCTATCGGCCTGACCGGTCTCTCCGATCCCACTGACCGTTTATTGTCCTCCTTCCAGCGCAGTTATACTTCAATGCATGACTACCTCGGTGAAACAATATACCTATTTGTCCCCCATTCCTCAGCCCAGATGATTAAAGATGGCTTCATTGCCGGCCTCCCGGATGTTTCAGCAGTGGGGTAATAGACGTCATTAATTTGCTGGACTCTGGTTCTGGTATAATCCGGTTCCTTGTGGTAGTAAGGTACCGTATCATCGAGCGACGGTATCTTCCGCGATTGCCTGGTGCGGTATCGTCGTCCGGTACCGCCCCGTATTCATAATACCCTTCTGGCCCACGTGCGCGCTGTGGCGCAAGATGATAGTGTCTCCTAACGATCGGGCATTCTCCTGGTCGAGCGCGATGAGGCCACTTCTTTGTGGCCTCCAAGAGATAAACAGCGTGAGACACACACATACAGAGTCTTTGAGGGTCTCCAAAGGATTGTATCGCATGGTCTTGGTCTTTTTCTCGTATCTTTGTCTCCAGCGCCAACCAGCCTTGGCCTGACTGTGGCTGTGCAGGTACTTTCCCATCGGGTCGCTTGGGGTTCCGTATGGGGATGTATGGATGGTACCTTGTACCGGAGGGTCGTATTCGGTACCGCCCCATCTGACGGTCACAGCCGGGTTTTTTCAGAACCAAAGTTGGCTGCTCTGCTTTTCTCCCATCTTCTTTTCCCGATCGATCGCCTCTCCAAGCCCGTCCAGCATTCATTCATTTTCCCTTCAATTCGGCCTCTCGTCCAGTCCTTTCAATCCCTCCTCTCTTTCGTTACTCTCTTTCTTTGCTTGTTATAAAACCATCTGGCCCGCCTCGATCTCCCGGCGATCAGTAAACCGTTCGAGATTGTCTCTGACAAGCGTGTGTGGTTGGACCATAGCCGGCGTCAGCACTGCTGCTGCTGCTGCTCCTTAGTACCTCCCGTTAAGTGTCTGGTCTGTCTTAAGTGGTGCCCGGTCACGGCTCTATCAATGTCCCCTGCAGGTGTGACTTGGTAAAATTGGGTACCCGCCAACTGCCAGGCCTCGTGTGCAGCAGTGACTGAGCGAGTTTGTTTGTCTGCTGCGACTTGATCTCTCAGCACCGCTACTCCAACACACCCTCCGCAACGCAGCCTCCATCATCCCTCCCCCTCCCTCTCTACAACCCTGAGCGCTCGCCTCTTCTCAAGCGCCCCCCGAGTTCTGGTAGAATTCCTCTCGGTTCTACCGCTGATATCCCCATTCCCATTGTATCAGCAGGCTCGGTTTCCCTCCCTTTCTTCGCGCCTCGGGTTCGGTTGCCTGTCCGGGACGACGACGGAGCCGCTGGCCGCTCATTGATCCAAGGACCGTTCACCCGCACTGTCTGCTACTCTACTTCTCCTCCCGTGCCCAGATCGCGGGGATAGCTGGACAACACTCGACTTCGGCCCTGTTTCATCTGTCTCTGTGGCTACCCCTGCAATCTCCGCCACCACCCGGTGTGGGAACCGTCACCACCTTTCCTCCCCCCCCCCTCGTTACCAGGTCGAGCTTTGTTCTAGATGGCTGGCGTGCAGCTCCAACAGCCTGCCATGACTGATTATCGTCTCCCAATGCACCACCAGCCGGCACCGGCTCGAAAACCAGTCCCCGGGATGCATTCCGGGTTTCCTTTCCAGGCCTACGATGGGCCTCACCAGCAGCAGCTTTCTCCCCACCCCTCTGCCGCCTCCCTTGCGCACAACCGCCGGCGAACCTCCTCCTCTCATGTCCTACCCTACATGGCACAACAGCCATATTCCGGGGGTCCTTCACCACATCATACAATGACAGGTCCATCCAATTATCCTCCTTCGAGGCGCCTATCGAGTGCGACCACATCCACGACCTCCACCGGCAATGTTACCAATTCATACTACGGTGGTAACCCGCATACAGACATCCGCCGGAGCACATCGTCCCGCTCCGCCAATGCTCAGCTAGGTTATGTGGCTCTGATGCGAAGACAAAAAGCGACAGTGTGGTGCGATCGAGCACAGCCGGAGGATCCTCGACTGCGGGCGCAGAAACTTGTCGATAAGAAACGGGCGTACCTCGAAGTCCACGGCGCAGGCGCCGGGCGCACGGGTACCCTTGGAAGCGGCAAGAACAAGCATGGCGGCAAGGGAACCACCGATTTCTCGCCCTCGACCCTCGTCGGCGCTACGGTCCCGGTTCGACTCAGTGCCAACGAGGTCGGCGACGCAGACGAGGACGCCCACAGTGACCGAGGGTTTCCTTATCGTCGGACCGGTAGCGGTCGCAGTTCGCTGGGGAGCAACTCTCGCTATCCGAGTGGCTACCAACGCACTCCACAGAGCACCATGGGGAGCAACAGCACCCCTCCCAATGAGAAGTCTGACCTGCCTGACGTCTCGGAACATCCGCCAGCGGAAAATCACGAGAGTGAACAGGACCATACCTCCATCAAGGATGATGCTGCTACTACAAACAGTTTTGGTAGTGAACACGAGGAGTACTTTGGCACCGTGGGTGATATGGCCGCACCGAGTGCGGCTTCCGCGGCGATTGAGAAGGCCAAGAAGGCAGATGAACTGAGGCGCCGGGGTAGCGTGGATGATCGAACGACGTCGATGACCAATGTCCGACTTTTTGTGGCGAATCCGGATTTGAGTGATTAGACGAGAAGGCTGTTTGTTGCTGGGGTTGTTCCACCCAAGGCACCTTGAATTCCGGCACTGCATTGGCCGAGTCCGCCTTGAACTTGAGCTCTACGCTTCCTTTTTCCTTACCTCTCCTGGAACCTCTTCTTGCAAACTCGGGCTCGGATCCCACATCTGCTGCAACGATTCTACAATGCCACAACCATGAGTTGCTTTACGACGGCAAGATGCCTTCGACCGATTGATTGATTTGAACTTGTTCTATTCCCCTCACCGCATGTTATTGGCGCTTTCCCTATGCTGTAAGGGTTGCATGCTCCTTGTGTGCTTGCATCCACTGCACCATCGGGGCGCCCGATGGATTTATGAGCAAAGTAATAATAATACTATTGTACATATGAGCGCTCCTGATCGCTGTAGAGGCAGTATACAATGTGACGTTTAGTAGAGCCGCCGACTGATTGAACTGTGGAATGTGCGATAGGACCCATCCTGAGTCAAGACCGCGGGCAAGCCGCCTGACCCATTGCAGTCCAGTGAATCCATTCCATTCCCCTGGAGATGATCACGACCTCGGTTTAAGGAGGGCAGTCAATACTCAATAGAATACGACTCCACTCGCAGGCTAGTCCCAGGATCCTTCCCTCCCTTACATAATCGGGCACACGTGCCGGACGCGAGATCCCGGCGCGAACATCAATTAACGCGTTTCGGGCAACCTGGCCAGCATCCCGTCGTCGCCAAGATTCCCTCCCACGCCTTGTTGTCTCGGGCTCATTGACTATCCATCCCGCCAGCCTGGAGACCCCTTCCGGACGCATCAGACCAAGGCTTCTCTCTCCGCTCATAGCCCATGAGCCCCTGCCCCTGAACTCCCTGGCTGTCTGCCACTGATGTGAGCTTGCATTTACTACTTCCACCAGGTCGCGTGCGTGTGCTTTCCTTCACCTGAGAATGATAACTGACTGGTGAATGACAATCCAGGTGTCATTGTTTTTGTTTCGCGTGATACCCTGGCTGTCAATTAGATACGGATTGTTCCGCTGTCAATAACTACTTTTTGTTCACTATTCACTGCCCAGCTGTGGGCTCGATGGAAAACGCCATATCAATGTCAATGGATACCGCCATCCCTAACCCTGCCCCCTCGCCCAGTTCGAATGGTCTATCGCCCCTTCCGTCGAATTCTTGCTCCACATCTATGGCTACGTCTGCATTGCCAGCGCGGAAGCGCTCAATAGGGGATGTTGATATGGATGAGGCTGTGATGGACAACAATACACATACAACTACTGATGTTGAAGTGAAGATGGATGGGGCTGCGGATGCGATGTCATATCCTAACGATAAGGGTTCGTTGGAGGATAATAAAGAGAATCAGGATACACGGACGAAATCATGTGGATCTGTCGACGAGAAATCTTCCGGCGGATCTCTATCTGCATCCGCGTCGGGTGCAGATTTGACCCCCAGTGCTTCTCATCCTATTGCGGCGCCTGCGGGTACGAGTGCTGCTGCGATGGCCTCTCCGGCTGCTAAGAAGAGGAAGTTGTCGCCTGCGAGCAAAGAGGCTAAGCAGCAGGAAAAGGAGGCGAAGGAGCGCCAGAAATTAGAGGAGAAAGCTAAGAAGGAGGAGGAGAAAGCCAAGAAAGAAGAGGAGAAGGCTAAAAAAGAGGAAGAGAAGAGGAAACGGGAGGCTGAGAAAGAGGAGGAGAAGCGGGCCAAGGAAGAGGAGAAGAAGAAGCGCGAAGCGGAGAAAGAGGAGGAGCGGAAGAAGAAGGAAGAGAAACGAAAGGCGAAGGAAGAGGAGAAGGCTGCTAAGGAAGAGGAGAAACGCAAGAAAGATGAGGAGAAGTCGAAGAAAGAAAGGGTAAATCTAGCCCGTCCCCGGCTGAGTTGGAAGAACAGTGTCTAATGCGGAACAGGCACAAATGAAGTTGAACTCTTTCTTCGCGAAACCGAAAACCCCGGCACAACCATCAATCTCGAATACTACCCCTTCCCCTAGCAAACCGAAATCGACCGGCGCTGGCGCTTCGAATTACCCACCCCCTGAATCTGGATCGGCCGCATCTGACTACCAACGAGAGTTCCCTGACTTCTTTCTCCAATCACATACTACAGTGGCGCCGTCGCATAGGTTCCAGCGCAACCATGATGCACTACACCATATGCGGGAGAAAGTCGATGCCTGTCTGAAAAGTGCCAATGAAGGCCTGCAAGCACCTCTAATATTCCGCCCATCCGAAATCTTCCAGATCATGCCCTACAAGCGACGGTGTGGGAAGTTACCTGCTTCGGTAAAAGAGATTCTCTTGCAGATGCAGAGCCTAGCGGATCACCCGGAGATGTCTGATGGTGCCCAGGAGCCTCGCGATCTTCTTAAGCAGGTGAAAATGAAATCGCTGAGGTTCAATGAAGACGTGCGCCCTCCATATCAGGGAACATATAGCAGAAGCCTCCCTGAGTCATCCGCTCGTCGCATGATGCGCAACCCTTTCCGCCGTGAACTACCTGATACGGACTACGATTACGATTCTGAAGCCGAATGGGAAGAGCCTGAGGAAGGCGAGGACTTGGATTCGGAAGAAGAGGAAGAAGGGAGCGAGGATGGAGAAGATGACATGGATGGCTTTCTGGATGACGAGGATGACCACCCGATTGATGGGAAGCGCCGCCTCATTGTCGGGGACCTAGAACCTGTCAATACCGGCATACGATGGCAGGAGCATGGCGTGGACCCCGAGCTGCAGGTGTACAGAATGGAGACCATTTCCGACTCGGTGACTTTCCCTATTGACCCGTTCTCCACTGCGTACTGGCAGAAACCAAGGGCCGCGGAGCCAGCGCCGGCGGCTGGTTTGGGACGGTCGACTCTCCACGCCTTCATGGGCCATCCGTCCTCCCACAAAGCGTCCGGGAGTGTGCCGGCGCCAGACGGGGGCACAGTGGCGGTCCTAACAACTGGAAGGACCAAGCGGACGTTGCCGCCGGAGCAGCTGGCAGAGTTCAAGCAGGTGGTGAATGGTAGTGATCTGACCAAGATGGGGTTGATTGAAATCTTGAAGAAACGGTAAGACGTGGGCCCACAGGGATGCTCGTTGATCGGAAGGCTAATCATCTGAATCGCGCCGCTATAGGTTCCCCAAGGTTTCGAAGGATAGCCTGAAAGACACGCTGAACAGCGTGGCCACGCGGGTGGGACAGAAGGAGGCTGACAAAAAATGGGTCTGTAACTAGGGGCGGGCGGGGATTGGTAGTTGGCCCAAAGGACAACGCATAGTACCAGGGGACTGGCTACGGTTATGTTATCCACGGCGTTTGAGGAGATCAGTCACAGGCAGGGTGTTTGGTCGGCCAATTGAGCGGATTGATTGGTTCCCCATGGGCGTACACCCCTCTTTTTTTTTTCTTTCGGTTCCCTGTGGTTTTCTGTCCCCTGGGTTCCATGTCGACACCATCACCGGGGCGTGGCTGGGTTGGAGATTGGTCTGCTGGTGACGTTTGCAAGCGATGCCGGGGGTCGGTGAGGGACTACCACTGGTCGACGGAGCTACTACGCATCTAGTAGACATAGGGGATATATCTCTTATCAGAAGGGATGGTGTTCGGAATATTGGCCATACATAGAGGGGTGATGATCGGAGGGGCAGGGAACGGCATACTCCAGCTATGAGTACTACCGGGAGACATCTAGGCTACGACGACCCCGCTCGCCAATCAGAAAAGATCCTGAGCAAACTGTGGAAGGCGGGGAAGAAATCCATGATCCAGCAGTGTAAAAAGTATCTTAATAATAGATCGGGAAGCAGTGCCAACACAGCCCGGGGGATAATTAGCCTCCTTGATTGAGTCATTGACGTGACAACCGGGGGTACTACCTAGACAGGTCGTCAGAGGCATGGATGGGGTGATGGGACGGCATCTAGACCGCAGACCTCCTACCTACTTCCTGTCAGTAACTACTACCTAGTACTAGTACTAGGTAGGTATGTACTATGTATGTATGCTCCTCTGCGCGTCTGGGTGGGTTTGAATGGTGTCCAGAGTTCCCGCCCTGCCGACCATGGGAGCTGAGCGGACAACAACAATCCGAGGGAAGCTGAACGCGTCCACCGGATTGTTTTGTTTGCAAGCACGTCGTTTCGGTCGTTCTTCAAGTTCCGCTCATCTCTTCCCAGTCCCGGGGACCTAAGCCCCCTTGGGCCTAGGGCGGCCAGACTGGGCAGTGGCAGATGGACACGTGCAGGTGGGGTCCCTCGTCGCCCCAACGGGGATTAGTGCCGCGGAGCAACTTGGGACGGGAGGGTCCGTCTCTTAGATCAATCCTTAGCAGTAAATACCTACACACACACACACACACCAGTCTGACATACACCCCCACAGCCTACAGCACTGCAGCACTGCAGTCATTCACTCCGACTCTCTACCTGCTTACCTACCTACCTACCTACCGCGTACAGCTGATCAGTTTCACCTGCCATCGAAACCAACAAACGAACGACTGACGGGAAGGGACGCGCGACCCGACCGAGGATGGACAGGCTCAGGTTGAACCATCGGGCCAACACAGTAAGGGGGGCGGCCAACAAATCAGTGGCTCCCGACGGAGGGTCCGTCATGCATGCATGCAGTGCCAGCTCAGCAGGAATGGAGAATGGAGACTTGCCCTTCCTCCCCTCTTCTTCGTTGCTTCGTTGCTTCGTTGCTTCGTTGCTTCGTCTCAACTCTGAGAGGTAGGCAGGTAAGGAAGGCGAGTCGGTGTCCTTCGCTCCCAGATCATCAGGGTCAGTCCTGTTTCTCATTCTGTCGCGGGTTGCTGGGATCTGACCGGGTTTGCTTTGCTTTGCTTTGCTTTCGTGTCGTCCTGAGCCGGTCTTGGGCCCTCGTTCGTCACTACTTTATTGGTGAAGACGAGGTATTCCCCGATCTGACTGTATCGTTCAGCTTGCTTCCCATCGTCAGATGGATTGTGTGCAGTGTCGGTCTGTCAATCATATGGGATAGCGAGTCAGGTCGTAGTTTATTATTATAGATGCCCCAGCCGGGAGGGGGCTGAAGAACCGGATACTGGATACTGGATACTGGATACTGGATACTGGATACTGGATAGGTAGAAATCAGCCGTACTGTATCGACTATCGAGGAGACTTGCCCCGGAAGTAACAGCGAGGTACCAGCTCCCGCGCCGGTCCCAAGCAAGGTACAAGAGCTGAACCCGCGAGGCATCGCATCGCGTCTTTGCCTCACCCTGCAGCTTGGACGTTCCCTGCAAGCGGCCGGTTCGAGTCACCGCCGCCATCGCCCCCCTCCACTGAGTCTCAGCATTCAGCAAGTCGTCTTTATCCAGCCGACCAGCCAGTCACACAGCCAGTCCAACTGTCTGCTGCGTCTCGCCCCTCCGGATCGTTCGATTTGCTGGCATCCACTAGTCCATGGGAGTTCCTCGTTAGTCCACTCTGCCAGTTAATTCGTGTTTCTGTTTCTGTTTCTGTATCTTTTTTTCTTTTTGATTTATTTATTTCATTTTCATTTTCATTTTCATTTTTTTACACCTACCGCTGCTACAGCCTACTGCGCGTGTTGCTCACTTTTCTCGCTTTTTCTCTCCTTGTTAACCGGCTGCATGTCATCCCGCCCACAGCCAAGTCAGCCAGTTGTCCCTCCTTATCGTCCCGGACGAGGGAGTTTATCAGCCTGTGAATCAGCTTCTACTAGTAGTGGTATTCTTCCCTCTCCCCATCGTCTTACGCCTATTATTTTGGATATTAGTATTATTATTATTATCATTATTATTTTCATCATCATCATCATCATCATTTTTCTCCCATGATTATTGTTATTTATTCTCTTAATTATTGAATATTTCTCCATTTTGCGATCTCCCCCTCTTCCCCCCTCCCCCATTACTCTCCATTGTTATTGTCCTTCCCACTCACTCTCCTTCGTAATAGTATTACTTGCAACTATTACTCCCATTACTACAACCACCTCACTACTCACTACTCACTCCTCCAATATCCTGTTCAACTTCCCATCCTCACACTCCCACATTCTTTTTTCAATTCTTGCACCTGTCCTTCTTCCCTCCTCGCCCTCTTCCTTATCCTGTTCCCCAGTCCTCCTGGCCACCCCCGCCACCCACCCCCCTCCCTCCCTCCTTCAAGCTGCCATCTGCTCATCCTGGAGCACTCTATCGTGTCCGCCATTCACCACCACTATCACTACCTGGACTCTCCTCATGAGGACCGACCTCCCCCTTCCACCCCTCCTTTAGGAGAACCATGCGCTAGTGAGGGAGCTTCTCGCGTCGGGGGCATCTTGCAACCTCAGCTGTCTTCATCTTGGCCTAGCGGCCAGGAGACTGCCCATGGCAACACCATGTTCGATGCCCAATCCGATGGTACTTCGTCCAGCTTGGCTTATGTGACCTGTACGTGTGCGCACGGCTCTCGTTTTGCCCTTTCTTTTCTTTTTCCGCTTTCTCCCTACTTTTGCTCCTTTCGGGTCATTTGTGGGTGTCCACTCAAGTCGCAAATTAAATGCCGAATGGTCCCCTTTCTTACGCATCGATAATGGCTTTCTTCATGCAATCCATTCCTGTCTTTTCCCTAATAGTATAGCTGCAAGCCCGACTAACCCCATGCTAACTCCTCGGCCCTATTTTCTCGCGCTCCAGGCTTGATTCCCTCATCCATTCAGGCAACTACACCATGTGAGGCAGCGCCTCGATCTCCTTCTCCGGCCGCGACTGCTAGCATGCCTCCCATGCTATTCTCTCCCGACGCAATGGCGGGTCGCATCCCAGGTGAGTCCGGCGACTTGGATCGCCCGATTTCGCGAGTGGCAACTCCCGTCTGCTCCGAGGATGGACCTTCCCAGGAAAACAACCATGGCACCATGCCTGCGGAGCTACCCAAGGTGTCCTTTGAGGAGTTGGCCGTTCGTTATCGTCAAAACCAGCACAAACAAATTAGTCGGAAGAGATTGGAACACCGCCTCCATGCCCTCAAGGTTTCAATGGGTGTTTCGGCGCGCTTCGTCCGCGTCGGGTCGGTCGTCCAGCGAGGCTTGGTCGACCGGCTCAAACACGACGACAAGGCCAGTTTCATTGCTCTTTATCATACCCTCGGTGACCTGCAGGAATCATGCGATTCTGCTTTTCGGCGCCACTTTCACCGGCAGGATCCGTTGGAAGAATGGTCGCCCATCCGTGAGTCCGCCGTGGACCCTTCTCCGGACTTTTTCCTTCAGTTGAGTCCCCAATCTCGGACCGATCTATTGGATATCATGCACCTGGTCCGTTCCGACCCTCAATTTATACTGGAAAGGCTAAGGTCCTTGACTCCGACCCAACTGGCCGCCTTGATGTCATCACCGGGCCCCTCTGGGGAGCCCGGTGATATGTCATTCCCTACAACGTCCCGTTCCCGGACCCATACATCGTTTTCGAAGCGCTCCTCCGCTTCTGCCCTTCCTTTCAAAGATCGAGCCTTGAATTTCGAGCGAACGGATGCCTTGTCTACTCTGCTGTTCAACGTTTATGCGTCCCCATTGGATTCAGATGCTCCTGAGGCACAGCTCCGTTTGGATGTTTGGTCTTCCGTCTGCGCAAAACTCATAGCCGATGGCGGTAATAAGTACGATCCCCTTCTTGGCCACATCCTGGGTTCCTGGGCCACAAGCAGTGAATGGAAGGCGAAGCCCAAATTTGAGCTCTATCTCATGGATGTCCTACAAACGGGCTCATTTCTCCTGGAGCCTGTAGAAGCCCCTCCCGGCATGAGCTTTGGTGCGGAGCCTCCAGACCCCTTGAGGACAGAGGTGGCCGAGGAATTCTTCGCTTCGGCAGTGGATGACTTGTTCCAGCTTCTGGACGACCCAGATGGAGGGTTTCCTCATGCGGTGATGCAACTAAGCAATGCTATCTTGCAGAAACTTGAACGCCAGGACAGTCGTGCCCGATTTCTCGAGTTCTTGTTTGTTCAGTGGCTCTTTTCCAAGTTTCTCTATGGTGCACTGACCTACCCTGAGGTATGATATTCCCTCCCAGCAGTTATCAAGTTCTTCATCTCACGAAAGCTCCAGGCCCATGGTCTCTTGCTTGATTTCCACATTAGGAATGACGCTCGAGAGAAACTTCTAGGACAAGTTGGATTCCGTGCCTATGCGCAAGTCTACGCTGTTCTTCATTCAATGTTGGTTGTCCCTTTACATGGTTGCCAGCAAGAAAGTTTCGTACATCGAGCACCCGCTAATTCATCACCCAGGAACCATTATTCTATGCCTCGTCCCGCAGTCAGACGACACCTTGAGAACATGCTCTGCCGGTTTAGCAACGCAAATACTGAGAAGAGCACTGGCGTTAAAACCTTTTCATGCACGAAGTCTACCACTGGACAGGAATCACCGACTGCATTCCTCATGCTCTCTGCTACCGATGTCCTCACCCTGCTGAATGCTCTCTTCCCTAGGACGCTTGCTTCTACGTGCAGCTCTCCACTTTCATCCTCGGGAATGCCTTCATCCCCTGTCGGTTCTCTGGCCGCTCGATCGGATCGCTCTATAGCATCCATCATTGAGCCGGGATTTTTCAGGCCTACTACTGATAGCATCCCTATTCGTGTGCCCCAGGACCGGAGTATCTTTGCCACCGAAATGGCTTTCTTATCACTACCGGAGAATTGCATGAGCCGCAATGCTGACAGGATCCGTTTCGAACTGTCAGATTTGAGTGAGCCCGACGGCCGCGCCACCTTGGAGCCACCCGCAGCTGAGGAATGGACAATTTTCTCCATGACAAAAAACGGGGGACGCTTGACCTGGGGTCTTTTCCCTGATGATGGCCAATCCAGCTTTCCAGAAAATGCCTCGGTGGATGATGTCCAGTCCACCACCCTGGGAATGGAAGATAACTTTGAAGCTCTCCAAACGGCCATCGTGAAGCTGATTGAGGATCACCCCGCTGATGATAGTGTGGAGTATGGCTTATTAGATCTTCATGACTCTCCCCAGGGAGCCATCCCGTCTCTCAAACACAGGTTCGATATGGCTATGAAGCATTGCCACCATGACTCCGATTTCATCGGTGCCCACTACTGGTGGAATGCCGGCCGACAACTTCTTCGCAGCGTTGCGAACTCTCCATCCCGGTTAGCGGACGATTCTTGGATTCTCGAACCGATGCGCGCTTCTTGCGTCCGCTCGCTTGCCACCTCACGGGCGGTTATTGATCGATGCGAAACCGACTTTGTTGCCCTCAACAGGCACATGCAGCGGATGCAGAGAGCAGTAAAGGAGACGATGGCCACTGTGGCGAAGCTCCGAGACAAGATGTGGTACATAACTGACGTAAAGAACTCGATGAGGTATGAAGATGCCAAAAATGTTGCCCTGGCGCTGAAGACCATGGCCCGTTCTGCGAACCCAACACCAAACGAAGGCCGGTCCCGCAGTAGTATGAGACCGTTCGGCAGCTCTCTTCTCCAAAAACCGGAGCTACAAGTCATGAATATCATGAAGGCACCGAGCAGCCAGGGTCCCAACAAACTGTCGGATGAACAGGTAGACCTGATCCGCAAATGGCTCTCCCACAACAACATCGATAATTTCTGCAAAGGTGAGGAGCGAATTCACCGGTTCTGCTATGAGGTCAAGACAAGTATCAATCGGCTGGTTGGTGAAACCATGGCCGAAACCCCGGTACTGTGGGCGAGCGAATTGTACCACAAAGAGCGGGCAATGTACGAGGGCTCCAGCAACCGGAATTTCCTGAGCCTCTCCTCGAGTTTACGACCGTTCAACGTCTCAAGCGAAGACACCGCATATTCATCTCAGGTCCATGGAAACAATATCCGCCCACCAAACACCGCTTCCAAGTTCTCGCAGGACCTGCCCCCGCTGAACCCCAAATCCTCTTTTCAAAGTCTGATCTCTGATAAGTGGAGAGGTCCTCGAGAACCCTCTATTGCGGATGTATCCTCAATCGGCGGCTCACCGGGAAGAGCTGCTTCCACTACTACGGGCGATTCGTACAGCACATTTTGGTCGACGCCACATCAATCCGCACATTATGCCCCCAGTGCCTCGAGCCTCTATTCTCGACCGCCTTCAATGTTTAGCGACAACGGTGCTCAGCCGCCACGTCGCAATGATCGCAAGGCACATAGCAAAACGGCTTTCTTGGATGACCTGAAACAGACCCTGACGAGCTTGCTTCTAAGTGACCTTGGCTCCCCGGTGTGGAGTTGTGGTAGCGAGACTGATGCTTGGTTCGGAGGTAAGCTAACGGACAGGCGAATTCAGATACAGATGAGGAAGCGAGCTCGCATTCAGCAATTCTACGCCGAGAGTGACGAGCGATTAGTCCAACATGCCCTCCATCGTACACTATCAAACCGTCGGCGAAGCAGATCTCTGGAGTCATCAGATCGGACAACGCTTGAAGATGCCGAAACCCCGTCCCCATCTACCAACGGGAATTCTGTGGAGCCAGATGACACGCAGCGATTCTCCTACGGCTCTGTCTTCCAGCGCCTGCTTGATGTCTTTTCACGGCACGGGAACCCTTGCGTTAAGCTAAAGGCCCTGCGGGATCTGCGGGCACTGGTCGTTGCATCCTTGAACTCCGATAATGATGATATGTGCAACTTCAATGCAACTAGACCCCCTTGCCCGCGAGGTCGTACTCCGGGATCCCATGCCAAAAGAAGCGCCCGTCATAGCTTTTCGGAGTCTCAGGCCAAACGGAGCCACGGCCAGAATATCTCCCATACTCCAACATCGCCTGCCGCTGAATCTGTCATCTTTGATTCCCGACCTTCAGACTACGGGGCACCCACTGAGAACCAGATTGTGGATGCACTGCGTAGTCTCCTCCTCGAGGCGAGACCAAAGACCCTCTTCCGTGATCTGCAGTTTATCTCGGCATTTGTTCCTGGGGAGACCCTGAACAAGTCCGACAGCGGGACTGCCTTCTTGCAGTTTGGCTTGGCAGCTTTGAGCCTGAAAGATGAGGTCTGCAATAGCATGGTCGAGATTGCCGATCACATTGTATCTCAAGAGTTCAGCCGGCGCCATCTGCCTGGGCCCGACCAAGCTCCCCGGCCAGGGCATACTCTCTTAGATGCTGCGAAAATGTGGATCATCACGGCCAAGGAAGGCAATCCCGTTGCCCAGCGGGAGCTGGCCATTCTATATCTCACTCATCCCGAACTTCTCCCGCCTGTGACGCTCCCACTCACTCTGATGCGAGACACATTCAAGGCGGAGATGATGTATCGTCGCGATAAGGACTCCAAGTCCGACCCGCAGAGCATGTGTCTGGCACTGCACTGGATGCAGTTGTCGGCCAACGGCGGCGACGAACTGGCACGAAACCGGCTTCGTGAGCGGGAGGAGTTCGAATCCATTGCATAATCTTCAGTCCTTTTTCACTTTTCCTTCTTATTTTCTTTCGATTCTTTCCATTCCTTGCGAGCCCGTGCTTGTGATCATCCTTAAGACCTATATTCTTTTCGCATCTCTTATGACTTGATACCATTTACGACCTGCTGTTTCCAACATGCGACTCTGGTCTACTTACGCAACTAATCCTTGTGCAGACGTGCAGCTCTATTGATATCCTGTTTGGCAGATATGGATGGACGGTGTTCTCTCCGGTTTACCCTTTGCTGTATTTTGCTACTCTTCTGCGGGATGTCCTTCATCTTCCACGGAGCCGGGCAGGGTCATGAGATTCCCCTATACACTTACACCTCTTTTGTGCTTGGGGCGGCATTCTGCTATTCAATCACTTGTTTATCTACCGTTTCCAATTTCTTTTGCTGGTGAGTCTATGCCTCTTTTGGGGGGAAGGGGGGGGGAGAGGGGGGAGGATAGGACTCTTGGAGTTCAATCGCACGCCGGACGGGACGGGCTGTAGAGAATATCGATTTATCTGCTAGCAGCGGACGCAGGGAAACCCGGTCCACATAGTTCAGAATCCATGGCATGTATGCGACAGTGTCTGGGTCAGGTAGCAACCAGGTAGCAACCAAGTACTCGGCCCTCATTTAGTCGAGAGTAGAGAGGTCCACCGGATCGTGAGGACGAGGGTCAGATTGTTGCGACGTCATCGGCCGAGTAGCAGCCCCACGTGCCAGATCAGAGCTGTTTGCTTGCTTGCTTCATGTTTCCTGCATTTCTCCTCTCCTCTCCTCCTCTCTCGTCCATTCCCCTGCCTCCAGCTGTCAACCCAACCTCCTCCCTGTCGCCTTATTTTCGACCCCTTTCCTGCCCCTCGGGGATCGAGCCACCAGTGGATCAGCCGGTCAGTCATCCGAGGCTCGTCACCAGCAACCGTGCCACCGCCCTCATTTGTCGAGCCCCTCGGAGAGGCTGAGATCCCCGCCAACCACTCTCCCTCCTTCCCTCAGTCCAGCCATCGCCAGCTCAGCCTCAGGTGCTGACCTTACGTTTGGGCACTCGCAGCTGACGTTTGTGACTTCGACTATTGTCTTTTTTTTTAATCGGCGCATCTGCTCGCTCCCCTTATCTTTTATCCTTTCTCGTTTTTCTCTCATCCCCCATACCCACCTATCGTGACGATCGCCTTGCTTTTACTTTTTTTTTCTTCAACTCCAAGGAATCTAAACTACACCATTTACTTTCCATACACACGTCCGTTCATATTGAACATGATGGCCCACCACATAGAGGACGCGCATAAAAGACCCAAGGGTAAGTGATCGCCTTTTCTTCAGAAGGCAGAGGAGAATATGCAAGATCCTGACCGACCGTTGATGCTAATCGGGCAACAGGTATCCTCAAGAACTCCAGCTCTCAGGTGCCTCAGGTCGCGCAAATCCCCGAAACCCTGCCTATTCCCTCGACTGCGACCGATGCGGTGGACACCAAGGAACTTACGCTTCAAAACACCCTCCAGAATGCAGGTCGTCGCCGATCGCTATCCAACACCCGCCCGGGATCCTCATCGCGGCGGCAGTCCCTCGCAAGTATCCAAGGCCAGCATGACGAGAACTCACCCCGGCTGAAGTGGGACGAGGCCAACCTGTATCTGACCGAGCAGGAGAAGACGGCCAAGATGAAGATCGACGAGCCCAAGACCCCATATGCGCCACACTACGACCCCGCCCAGGATGAGGATGAGCTCGAGGGCGAAGAAAGTCTGATTGACGCGCAGGAGGTGGTAGTGGATGAACTGGACAAGACGAACAAGGCACCCAAGAAGGCGGTGGCGGAGGACGATATCCCTGAATTAGAGCTAGGTGAGGCGGAGGAATACATGGACGCGCATGTCGGGAGCGGGGATCGGATCGTGCGCGAACGAAGCCTGAGCAATGACTCACATCGGAGTGGGAAGCATGTGGTGGTCGGTGCAGGCGAGCCCAATGGCGATCTCGAGTCCGGCGGCGATACGTTGATGACGGCGGGCGAGGCGGAGGAAAAGCATCGGCAGTTCGAAGAGCACCGGAAGAAGCACTATGAGATGCGGAACATCAAGGAACTCCTTGCGTATGTGGCTCCCTCGGGTCTGGGATTGGAAGATGGATCGTGACTGACTGACTTACTTGTAGACACCCCGAGGAACTGGAAGACGAGATGGATGAAGACGAAGACGAGGGCGAGAGCTCGGCCCCTGTGCCGCCCCCCATGCCTTCGATCCCGGGGCGATTTCTGAATGGGGGAAAGTGAAGAGAGGAATTTACGAAGAGAAGGGAGGGACTGTTGCTCTGCATTAACTGACTGTGTGTATATTCCCCAGCGTTGTTTGGCCATGACGGGCATGTATGTATGTATGTATGTATGTATTGCAGTACTTTGATTTTCTGCTAGCTGGTTGTGAACATGGGCACCTTGTTCTCTTAGCGATGATAGACGAGACATGATGTTACAGATAACACACACACAATATATCTCCGGATTGTGATACTAGTTGACTGGTCATGATCCAGCCAGAGAATCCTGGTCGGGGACTCGTCAGCACCAGGGTTAGTTGCATGGGGAGAAAAAAATAAAATAAAATAAAATAAAATAAAATAAAATAAGATAAAATAAAATAAAATGAATACAAATCAAATCAAATCAAATCAACAGGATTCCAACCAAAAATAGATAAAGGACGGAGAACACGCGAACAAAGTACGAGGCAGGCGACTAAGCAGTATCGAGTAGTAGTAGATACGTAGTCGGTAGATTCTAGTAGTAGTAAGTAGTACTAGTAAGTAGTAGTAAGTAGTCCTTAGAATAGCAGCAATGCGCTCAGGCACCGCATCAGCCCATCTCCACTCATTCGGTGCCTTGCATCTTGCCTGCCAAATCATCCGAAGGTGATCGATCAATCACCGCATGTTGTACCTAGTAGCCTGTAGGTAGATATCCTGTAATCTGTCAGGGGGTCTGGACCTCTCCAGGTTGCAGGTTGCAGGTTGCAGGTTGCAAGTTGCGAGTTGCGACAGCTGTTGTTTGCTGCTGCTGGGCCTCCCCTGAAACATGGCTTGCAGGCCCACTCAAATTAAAGGAGGATACAGATGGAGAGTTGGATGCATCCTCGACGGGGTTTCAGGCTGACACCCACTCGATCGGCCGTTGAACCCTCCTGGGCGAAATTAACGGCCGATGAAGCAATTAATTAATCACCCACGCTTCTGATTGGATTTGCTGCGGCTTTCCGTCGCTTCGTCGCTTCGTCGCGTGTTTTCTTTCTTCTCTCCGTCTCTCTCTTCTTCTTTTCTCTTTCTTTCCTCCTCCCTTTCTTTTCCTTCCCGTCGGAGCCATCCACCCATCCTATCCTATCTACCGCATCATCTCTCGATCCCTTTCCGAACTCGCGGATTGAAATCAGTAGCGTTTTTCTTTCTTTCTTTCTTTCTTTCTTCCTCCTCCATCCTTCCCACCATGGCCGACCAGCCTGAGAAGACGACGGCTCCTGTTGCTGCCCCCGAGGCGCAACCTCCCACCACCACCACCGTTCCTGTCCCCGAGCCTGCGGTTTCGGAGCTCCAGCCCCAGCCCGAACAGAAGGTCGAGGAGCAGACGATCGCTGAAGCTTCGACTGCCCCCGCTGCGGCGCCTGCTCCCACGGATCCTCCCGCCACGGAACCCGCTCCCGCTCCCGCCCAGGAGGCCACGGAGGATAAGAAGGACGAGACGGAGGAACACAAGGAAGAACAGGCCGAAGAGTCTCAGGACGTGAAGGTCGAAGAGCCTAAGGAGGAGCCCAAGGAGGAGCCCAAGGAGGAGCCCAAGGAGGAAAAGAAAGAGGAGGAGAAGCCTGCTCAGCCAGAGTATCTGGCCATGAACCCGGCCCTGAGCCAGTTCTTCGATCGCCTGCCGGCCATCCTCTCTTCCACCGGCTACAGTGAGATGTGGGGCGTCTCCCTCAAGGACTCCAGCGATGTCCCCACGGTCAACGTGCTTATCAAGTTCCTTCGCGCCAACGAGGGCAACGTCAAGCTGGCAGAGGAGCAGCTGACCAAGGCCCTCCGGTGGCGCAAGGGTATGAACCCCGTCGCGCTGGCCGACGGCCACTACAGTGCTGAGCGGTTCGGTGGTCTGGGCTACGTGACCAAGTACCCTGAAGCCAGTGGCAAGGAGGTCATCGTCACTTGGAACATCTACGGAAGCGTAAAGTCCGTCGACGCGACCTTTGGTGATGTGGACGAGTAAGTGCTACTGCTTTTTCCTCGGCTGGCTGGAGCTATCGCATCTAACAGAGACTAGGTTCATCAAGTGGCGTGTGGCGCTCATGGAGCTTGCCATCAAGGACCTGAAGCTGAGCGAGGCGACTACTGTGATTGACTACGATGGCGAGGACCCGTACCAGATGCTTCAGGTCCACGACTACCTGAACGTCAGCTTTCTCCGTCTGAACCCCACCATTAAGGCTGCCACCAAGAAGACCATCGAGGTGTTCTCCACTGCCTACCCGGAGCTGCTGCGAGAGAAGTTTTTCGTTAACGTCCCAGCCATCATGGGCTGGATGTTCGCTGCCATGAAGGTTTTCCTCAGCAAGAACACCACCCGCAAGTTCCACCCCATCTCCAATGGTGCCAACCTAGCCCGCGAATTCCCTTCTTTGAAGGACAAGTTCCCCAAGACCTACGGTGGTAACGGCCCGACTCTGCAAGAGGAGTCCCTCACGGTCAACCTCGACAAGGCCGAGCCTGCTCCGGAGCCCGCCGCGGAGACTCCTGCTGCTCCGGCGGCCACGGAGTCCCAGCCGGCTGCGGAGGCGCCCAAGGAGGAGCCCAGGGCGGAGGAGCCGGTCAAGGCTGATGCGGCTGTGACGGCCCAGGAGACGCCCGTTGTGGAAGCCAAATAAATGCGATGATGTGCGGCGGTTCCAAGCCCTGGCCAGGACGGGCTGGGGATGCTTTAATTTACGGTAATGGATGGACTGGTTGGATTGATACCCGGGGGAATCGGTAGATTGATTCCATGTCGTTTTGCGTACTTGATACCTCTCCATAGTCGTGCTTATGGGTTTGATGGGTGCATGGTGCACTAGATAGTAATATTTAATGGTCGACGACGTGTCTGTTTAGAATGTGGATTCTCCGCTCTGAGTGTCGAGTTGAGATAGATGACCTAGTAGTTATAGTGCTGCCTGGGATATGCCTGGGGTATGCCTGCAAAACAAAATGTACGAATTGTCCGGCGGTGCCCCTGATGAGTCAGCACTCCGGCCTGGCACCGGGTGGATGCTCGCTCAATGCTCAACAACTCTCTCCAGGTAGCAAACAAGATCCACGCAAGGGAGATCGGAAAGCTCGCTTGATTTCCAGGGTCATGTCCGTTTGCCTTGATTGAGATTCCGGTTCCCCCCCCTGACCCTGTTGTTTCCCCTCCTCTCCTGTGATTCATTCCCGTCTGCAAACACCATGGCGGGCGAGCACATTGGCCCGTGGAGAACCGAGGCGCAAGGCCATCTCTCTCGCGACGCCAACGGTGACCTCCAAACCGACTACTCGCGCTGGCGATTGCGGGATGATGAGGGTCGCCAGACCTGGCACTATCTGGAATCCGATGAGGAGAATGAAAAGTGGCCGCAGTCGGTGGCAGATAAATACTTTCTCGGTCTTCCTACGGTACGGTCTTTTTGCTTGTTCTATCTATGTGGTGTGCTTCTGCCTGTTGCGGTCAACTGACATTGTCGCTAGGGATTGCCCGAGCTGCCTACTCCCAAGACCCCGCTGCAGTGCGCGGAAAATGGCCTGGAATTCTTCTCCAAGCTGCAGTTGGAGCCTGGCAATTGGGCTTGCGAGTATGGTGGGCCTATGTTCTTGCTTCCGGTGTTGATTATTACCTATTATGTTACCAACACGCCAATTCCTCCGGAGTATGCCACTGAGATCAAGAGGTATCTCTTTGCACGCCAGCATCCCGAGGATGGCGGCTGGGGCCTGCACATTGAGGCCCATAGCTCCGTCTTCGGCACTAGTATGAACTATGTCACCCTCCGTCTGGTTGGGGTGAGTGAGGACGATCCTCGCATGATGAAGGCCCGTGGCCTGCTGCACAAGTTTGGAGGGGCCATCTACGGGCCCCATTGGGCCAAGTTCTCTCTGGCGGTCCTGGGAGTTATGGACTGGGAGTGTGTCAACCCCGTTCCTCCGGAGATTTGGTACGTGTTGTCCTTGCTTCCTGTGGTGGTTGGGCCAATGCTGACAGCCTGACAGGCTGCTTCCTGACTGGGTGCCATTCGCTCCGTGGCGATGGTGGATCCATATCCGGCAGGTCTTCCTGCCCATGGGGTATCTGTGGTCCAAGAAGTTCTCGCATCCGTTGGATCCCCTGACCAAGCAGCTGCGACAGGAGCTGTACACTCAGCCTTATGACTCGATTGACTTTGCCGCTCATCGCAACTCGATCCACAAAGCGGACAATTACTACCCCAAGACCTGGCTTCTGAACTCATTGAACTCTCTGCTGGTCAATTTCTGGAACCCGTATCTTCGGGTCCCTGCCGTTGTCCGTCGCGCGGAGGAGTGGTCGTGGGAGCTGATCCGCATGGAGGATGAGAATACTGACTACGCCGGTCTGGGACCCGTGAGCAACCCGTTCAACATGATTGCCTGCTACGAACATGATGGACCCGACAGCTACTCGGTCCGTCGCCATCGAGAACGTCTCCACGACTACATGTGGATCAAGGACGAGGGCATGCTGATGAACGGAACCAACGGGGTCCAGGTGTGGGATACAGCCTTTATCACGCAATGCATCGTGGTGGCTGGGTTCGCCGATGATCCGAAATGGCGGCCGATGCTCACCAAAGCATTGCGGTTTCTGGAGGACCACCAGCTCCGCGAGAATGTGCCGGACCAAGAGAAATGCTACCGCCAGCACCGCAAGGGTGCGTGGCCGTTCAGCAACAAGACGCAGGGATACACTGTGAGCGACTGCACAGCCGAGGGACTGCGGTCCACAATCCAACTTCAGGAGATGCACAATTTCCCGAAGCTGATTTCGGAGGAGCGGCTGAAGGACAGCGTTGACTGCCTGCTTCTGATGCAGAACCCGTCCGGTGGGTTCACCGAGTACGAAACCACCCGGGCGTCCACCAAGGTCGAATGGCTCAATGCGGCCGAGGTGTTTGGTGGGATCATGATTGGATATGACTATCCGGAGTGCACGACCGCGTCGGTCACTGCTCTGTCCCTGTTCAGCAAGTACTATCCGGATTACCGCGCCGCAGAGATCAAGGCGGCCAAGGAGAAGGCCGTCCGGTACATCAAACGGGTGCAACGCCCCGACGGCAGCTGGTACGGATCGTGGGGGATCTGCTTCACGTATGCGGCCATGTTTGCGCTGGAGAGTCTGGCCAGCATCGGGGAGACGTACGAGACGAGCGCTGACTCCCGACGCGGGTGCGATTTCCTTATCTCGAAACAGAAGGAGGACGGCGGCTGGGGCGAATCCTACCTGAGCAGCGAGCGACACGTATATGTGCAGCATGAGCAGTCACAGGTCGTGCAAACCGCATGGGCCGCTCTGGCGCTGATGGAGGCCAAGTACCCGCACAAGGAGCCGTTGCGCAAGGCAATGCAGCTGCTGATGTCGCGGCAGCAAGCAAACGGCGAGTGGCTGCAAGAGGCGATCGAGGGGGTGTTCAACCAATCCTGGTAAGTACTGATGATCTGTTCATGTCGGGAACTCTCTATCTCTAACGCATGGCAGCATGATCTCGTACCCCAATTACAAGCTATACTGGCCAATCCGGGCGTTGGGCTTGTATGCCCGGCAGTTTGGCAATGAAGAACTGGCGTAACTAGGGCGTGGAATAGATTTGAAGCTGTATTACTATCTACTACTGTACTCTAATTGATAATAGTATGACCTAACTGATCGGCAAATGCCTGTTACTCCATTAATTGTCGACGGTTTCCTGGCCGGGCGACAATCACGTGGGGGGCCGCTCCCCGCATCGAGCTGGAACCACATGGAACTCTCTGTTGCTTCTTTGACAACACTGCCGGTCTGTCTGTCTCTCCTTTTTTTTTCCTACCTTTCGCATACTCCTACCTTATTTCATTTCCAAATCTTACCTGTCCAGTTTCCCAACTAGCGGATCACCGCAGAAACCACCAAGCTTATCTACCTAGCTCCCCTAGCTCTCCCAGCTTCCCACTTACCTATCTACACCACACACACTCTCTCTCTCTCCCAAGAGTTAACCTCCAAAACGAACCAAAATGAACGCCGCCTCCCTCGGTGACGCCTCTCTGGCGGCCACCGACTACCCCACGGCCTTAACCCACTACACGACCGCCCTTCTCACGCACCCGCGCTCCCCCGCCTACTACATCAAACGCTCCACGGCCTTCTCCCGCCTCAAACCCACCCCGAACCTGACCTCCGCACTCCGCGATGCCGAAGTCGCTGTGGTGCTTGCGCGCGAGCGCGGAAAACGCGAGCTGATCGTGTCGGCGCAGATGCGACGCGGAATTGTCCTGTTTTTGATGGGGCGGTATGCGGATGCGGGGTTTTTGTTTGGACGGGTGGAGGAGATGATTGGTTTGAAAGGAGAAGGGCAGGCGGGGGAGGAGGATAAGGAAGAGAAATTGAGGAATGCGATGGGTGGTGGGGCCGGAGGGAATAAGGCTGTTGAGGCGGAGGTGAAGATTTGGAGTGCCAAGGTTAAGGGGAAGATTTCCGCTGGGGATGTTGGGGAGGTGGAGATTAAGGAGGTGCCTGAGGGGGTGAAGGTTCCTGGAGAGGGGGAGTTGAAGGCGCAGTTGGAGGTGTTGAAGGGGGGGAAGGTGGATGTTGGTGGTGAGGGGGAGGGGAAGGAGGAGAAGAAGGATGGGGAGAAGAAGGCGGAAGAGAAGGTTGAGGCTAAGGAGGAGGCTTCCCAGCAGCAGGCCAAGGCTCAGCCTGCCGTGGAGAAAGTCCGCCACGAATGGTATCAGTCGACCGACAGGGTGGTGGTGACGCTGTACGTGAAGGGAGTGCCCAAAGACAAGGTGGACGTGGAGCTGAAGGAGGACACGGTACGTCTTCTGCTTCCAAGAAATGAACCACACACCATGCTAACCGTCCAGGCATCGCTGCAATTCCCCCTTCCCTCCGGCGCCGAATATGACTTCACTCTCGACCCGCTCTTCGCGCCCATCAACCCCTCCGCCTCCAAAGTCTCCGTCATGTCCACCAAAATCGAAATCCTCCTGTGCAAGCACACCGTAGGCCAGAAATGGAGCGCCCTCGAATCCACCGCTACAGACCTCAAACTCTCCGATCGTCAGGCCGCCCTCAACACCACCACAACCACCACTGCCTCCGCACCTGCCCCCGCACCCGCCTACCCTACCTCCTCCCGCCACGGCGCCAAAGACTGGGACAAGCTCGCCTCTTCCCTAACCGCCAAGAAACCCAAGGAGAAGACAAAGAAAACTAAGACCAACGGCGAAGGCGAAGGCGAAGACGAAGCCGACACTGACGCAGAATCCGTCAACTCCGACTACGGCGCCGCCGACCCCGTCGACGGCTTCTTCAAGAAACTCTACGCCAACGCAGACCCAGACACCCGACGCGCCATGATGAAGAGCTACGTCGAGAGCCAGGGCACCTCGTTGAGCACGAACTGGGACGAAGTCAGTCAGGGACCGGTGAAGGTGAGACCGCCTAGTGAGTAGATTCAATCACGAAGAGAAGATGAGAAACAGAGAGTAGGAAGACATGCATGTTATATTGTAGGATGCTTGCAAATTGCAAAAGCGTGAGGAGTTCTATGGGGGTACTAACTGATTGTGGCTATGTTTTCGGGATGCTTTTTCATTTTTACCCTAATACTAACTACTACTACTACTACTACTACTACTACTACTACTACTACTACTACTACTACTATGAGTAGTTAGATATGTTTTGAAAAAAAAAAAAAAGGAAAAAAAGAAGAAAAAGAAATGGATGACGATTGATCAATACCTTCAGTTTTAACTTCATTCGCAGAATGAATAGAATAGTAGTTGCTGGGAATGGATATGTCTTGTAGAAGTATGTACTTGTACTATAGTACTACTATGTATCTCTTGGTGGTAATGGATGGATGGATGATGTGCGTGGTAGTAGTCTAGATACAAATTGGTCACTCTCACAGAGTTTCCTACTTAGCCATACCAAAAATAACGGCTGAGCGATATTCGTTGTAGGTCAAGCCTTAGTATCTAGGTGTTTTAGAAGAAGAGGTGCTTGTTAAAAGACGATGTCGAACTTAGAAGACAGTCCAAGCCCGATAGGATTCCAAATAAATATATATAGTAGAAAGATATAGTAGTATATATCTACACGAAGAAAAATCCGAGAAGCCAACCAGACGCCAGAATCAATCATGATGCTTTTATCGTCGATGAAGCAAAGAGCAATAGTAATAGGAACCAATCTTGCCACAAACACCTTTTATGATCTCTTCTTTCTGGTTCTGAAAGATAGGAGAGGAGAATAAAAAATGAGAAGGAGGAATAATGAGAGAAAGGATCCCCTCACTCTCTTCGTTCCACGTCTACATCACCCCCATTGCTATCTTGGTATAAGAAGAACTGGATAAAGATGCACATATCCAGTAGCAGTGTCCCGAAGCTGCCAATCAGCCAGGACAAGTTGACCAGTATGTACTGGCCATAGAGCGACGCCAGTTCGTCCGGCCGACACCTTCCATGACGTGACGAACTCTCGTGCTCGCAGACGGGCGAATACGCCAGGATTGAGAGCACGTACGTCAGATTGCCGATGCACGCGAAGAGGAAGAACAGCAAAGAGACCCCGTCGGTGGACTTCCGTCGGTAGTTGAGTAGAATCTGGGGCAGGCGGGATCCGAGGTACAGCACGGCGCAGAGATAGCCGAAGACTTGCCCCAGGGGGTCCATGGTAAGGTCATCGGTGTGGTTGTCGTCGCGGTTGTCGTCTTCATCGGAGGAGAGCGATGAGCGTTGGCTGATATACCAGCCGAGGAAGCCTGCGGCACAGACGATGATGATGGCGGACCCGTTGAAGAGGACAGACTGGAGCACCGTAAGGGCCCGTGGTGGACGGGGTTCTTTGGTCCGTTCGACGAACGGAGTTACCGGGGAGAGGTGGGTCCCGTCCACGGCGATATGAAGGAAGGAAGAGGCGGAATGACGGCGATGAGCGAGCAATGGCTGGTGGTGTTGGGGGGTAATGGTTGTGGATGATGCTGGACTAGGGCCGCCGAGAGGAGCCTGGCAGGAGACGCTGCGCTGTTTGGACGAAAGTAAAGCGGTCTGCTCAGTTGGCTTCCGAGGCATGACAGGCGAGGGGATCTCCGTATCTTCATCATAGGATTCTTCTGCAGGAATGGGCGAGGAGGGCCGCGGCGGCGTGGATGGCTCGTCCCGCAAGATAAAGCCCCGGTAATAGAAGCATTGGGCGAGGAGGACAATGTCGGCTAGGGTGTAGTACACCGCGAGAATAATCATGGTTGGCAAGACGCCCTGCAGAACGGCACCGAGGATATTGAACACATCGCCAGCGAGCCAGACGATGAGGAAAAGAAGAGAGAGGCCATCTGCGGAACCGCGACGGAAATTCTCAATGATTTGCGGGGAGAAGACGACCACCCAACACGCAATGGAGATTGATCTAAAGGTCCATTGTTAGTCTCGGGGTGTTATAACGGACCGAGTCCGAGAGTAAACATACCCACATATGCCACTCAGGGCCTCTAGATCTATATTGCCAGTGACTGCGGGAAACATGTCCGGGTCTGTGCGGACGAGAGAGCGATTGGGACAGATTCCCAATCAATACTCTGCTCTATAGTCTAGATGCGAAGAGAACAACCCGAATCTGACGACAGCATGCAAGCGGCGAGAGATGGAGACGCAAAGGAGAAAATGGAGCAGACGATGACGTCCGCAGAGTCTGCGAAAGGGCGCCGATCACGTGGGGAGATCCGGGGTAGTCTAGACCAAGAACGGACACCAGTGGACACCCCAGGCCAGCTTGCCCTTCACGCCTGAGGCCTCGTCGTTGTTGGTGGCCGCCCAATCCTCCTGTCAGTCGTGCGCGATACTCGGAATCCTTGATCCAGACCTCTGCAAAGAAATGACCATCGGGTCCACTGACATCCCCTTGAAGACGTCCCATCGCAATATGCTTCTCCGTCATGTGACTCGATTAGTCAAGCCTGACGTCGACCATTTCGCCGATCCCCAACCGGCTCACAGCGTCATCTTCTGCATCCCTCAATCATGTGGCTTCAATGACTGCTCCATCAATCCGCATTCCTTTCACTGGCCCTCTGCCTCCGCCCATTATCGTCCCCCCGTCCGCTCGCACGGTCTCGGGTGCCATTGATGCTCTCCTGACCTTCCTGACAGCCCCTCCGTCACCCTACCTGCGTGGCGTCGATGTGGGCAGGTATTCGCAGACCGTGCTCTTAACGGGCGCCGGCATATCCGTGGCATCTGGCTTGGCCGACTACCGAGGTGAGAATGGCACGTACATCACGAACAAAACGTATCGACCCATCTACTACCACGAATTTGTCACTCGCCATGAATCCCGCAAGCGATACTGGGCTCGAAGCTTTGTTGGCTGGCCCGGTCTCCTCAAGGCAAAGCCAAACTCGACGCACTGGTCTATCAGAGATATTGGCGCAAAGGGCTATATTAGTTCGGTGGTAACACAAAACGTCGATTCCTTCCATTCCGTCGCACATCCCGAGTTACCCACGCTCGAGCTCCACGGCTACTTACGATCGGTGGTCTGCATAAATTGTCGCAACCAGTTTCCGCGCGATAAGTTTCAGAAACTGCTCGAGGGGCTGAACCCGGCCTGGGCAGAGTTTCTCGCGAAGATGGTCGACATTGGCGCTCTGAATACGGACAACCCTGAGGAACAGCGGCGGAGGGGCCTAAAAATCAACCCAGATGGAGATGTAGATCTACCCGAGGCTCCATATTCCACCTTCCGGTATCCAGCATGCCCTACCTGCTTGGAAAAACCGCCTCGATTGCAGGACGGGACTGCTGCCAGGGTGGAGGTAGAGCGCGATGGGGCCTGGCTTCCTAGTTCTACTGCAGGGATGTTGAAACCTGCGGTCATCATGTTTGGGGAGAACATCGATCCAACCGTAAAGCTGGGGGCAGAAGAAGCCATCGACGATGCGGGTCGACTTCTGGTTCTGGGGAGCAGTCTCGCCACATACTCAGCATGGCGGCTAGTGGAACGGGCCTATAAGCGGGGAATGCCTATTGGCATTATCAACATCGGAGGGGTTCGAAATGAGTCGATACTGTTTGGCCAGGCGAAGCGCGAAAGCAGTGCTGCAAGCCGGCATATCCGTTGCAGTCTCCCCTCACAAGACATCCTAGGCCCGGTGGTAACACAGCTAGATTCTCTTGTGCATTGATTTGCGCGCTGTGTATTGATTGCGAGAAACGATGTGTATACTATACTGCATAGAGGAAAAGCGTCCATCCGAGCATATACAAGCGCCGGAAGTCCAGCTGCTAGGCTACCATTCAAACCCGGGACTCGGTCGCTATGCTGAATGAATCCTCATCCGACGTAGAGCTGAGAGAGATAATAATAGACGAGGTAAATGATTGGCAAAAGAGGGAAGGGGGGGGATGATACTTAGACGCCGGGGGGAGGTGGATCCTAGGCCGCGGGCGAGTGAAGGCTGAGGAGGCAAAGGAAAGGGCCCGTGACGGGCCGCCGCCCCTTCGGCCCTTGGATTTCAGCGCGGGGCTTTGCATCGCCCGGTTCAGGTCAGCATGGTCATGGACGGTCGCGACCGCTCATCCAGCAAGACATTGCACCCCCCAACCGCCGCCGCCGCCTATCTCGAGCTCATCTCGTCCTTGACCTCTCCCAAGTCCTTTCTTTTCAATTATCCCTCACGCTCAACTCCTCCCCGTCTTGATCCCCCAAGCCCAAACCCCACTACATCCTCCTCCTCCTCCTCCTCCTCCTCCTCCTCCTCCTCCACCACCACCACCATGGACAAGCAGCAACCAAGCTCCTTCCAGCAGCTGGAAAAGGTGTGTCTTGATTGCTTCTCTTTATCCCGACCGATACCTTGATGCTGACGATTCTTTTTCTAGCTCGGAGAGGGCACCTATGCCACCGTACAACCCCTTCCCTACGGCCGACTACGCCATCTGGCTACTCTCTTCCATCGCAACATATACTGACCCCACCCAGGTGTTCAAAGGACGTAACCGCCAAACAGGCGAGCTCGTCGCTCTGAAGGAGATCCATCTCGATTCCGAGGAGGGAACGCCATCGACTGCCATTCGAGAAATCTCCCTGATGAAGGAGCTCAAGCACGAGAGCATTGTCTCGCTCTATGATGTGATCCACACAGAGAACAAGCTCATGCTCGTCTTTGAATACATGGACAAAGATCTGAAGAAATACATGGATACCCGTGGCGATCGAGGCCAGTTGGACCAAGCGACGATCAAATCATTCATGCATCAACTTCTCAAGGGCATTGCCTTCTGCCATGAGAACCGTGTCCTGCACCGCGATCTGAAGCCTCAGAACCTCCTCATCAATAAAAAGGGCCAGCTAAAACTGGGAGATTTCGGACTGGCCCGCGCCTTTGGCATCCCCGTTAACACTTTTTCCAACGAAGTCGTCACCCTGTGGTACCGTGCGCCAGATGTGCTTCTGGGAAGCCGTACATATAACACGAGCATCGATATCTGGTCCGCGGGATGTATCATGGCGGAGCTCTATACCGGTCGTCCTCTATTTCCTGGCACAACCAACGAAGACCAGCTTATGAAGATCTTCCGCCTTATGGGAACGCCGTCGGAGCGCTCGTGGCCCGGCATCTCCCAGCTTCCTGAGTACAAGCCAAACTTCCACGTATACGCGACACAGGATCTGGGTATCATTCTTCCCCAGATCGACCCCCTTGGTCTGGATCTTTTGAATCGCATGCTCCAGCTGCGGCCAGAGATGCGGATTAGCGCTCATGATGCTCTCCAGCACCCCTGGTTTCACGACCTGCCACAATTACAGGCACAGCTTCAGCAACAGCAACAGCAACAACAAATGGCCGGGGCGTATGGTGGCATGGTTCCTCCGCAGCAAGCATACTAGGAGACTCATTTGTTTTTCGATTTGTTCCTCTATTTTTTCCTAATTAATCAATTAAATCAAGTATAGCTCGTCTCTGCCTCCTTCAGTGCAAAGGCTTGACGAGCATCGGATCCGGGTTTAGAATGGGGAGAGCGCGGCGTTAACTCCAGAAAGGATATACCAAACATTCCGTTGTTTCTTGTTTCTTTCCTAGTGCTTGATGAATCCCGCAAGAGGGGTTGCCATCTCTTAGAGCCAGTCGGACATTATGCTCATACATTCTCTTTTTTCTCTTTGACTTTGGTGCGTTCCAAATAGTTCCGCGGGGAGGGGCTATTAGCTGGTTTGCTGATTCTAACATGCTATGCCGATACATCGAGGGGACCTCGCACTTTCTCTTCAGTGTAATAATCCATACCACGATCCACCGCCACGGAGTATTTAACAAGATATATATACTTGATCACTTGATGTGGCCATAGAAACTGCACCGTTTATTTTACATCTACAACTCTGCTCATTTAAGAGTTGATTTACTCCATTACCAGAATCCTCCTGGATGTGTAGATAGCTAACGGATCCTCGGCCTTGTCGCCGGATCTATAAAACTCACGTGATATGCGCGTCTCCGGCGCGTCCATACAAGTTTCCTACGCCATTCCATTCCATCCAGACCAAGCTTCATAGCTACCCTACTCAAAACCAACAACCACCGCAATTCTACAACAAAAACAACCAAAATAAGCGAACCCCCGCGCACAGGAACACTAAAACCACCAACTCCCCAGAACTCAATCGAATCAAGAAAACAGAAACGGGACAATGCCCGAAGATTCCAACACAAACAGACGACCCGCCTCCCCCTCTCCACCCCCTCCAGCCCCCGTGGCCCTTACGCCCGGTCCACGCGCCGCCAAATTACAAGAAATCTTTGACAAGGCCCTGGTACGCACGCTTCGCGCAAACTCCTACGCCAATTTCTCCGGCTGTTTCCCGACGCCCGCGAAACATGTGCCCGCTAGTCTGGAGAGTGTGTGGAGACAGCTGAATGCGAAGTTGGAGGAGAGCGCGAAGGCCGAGTTCGAGGATATCTTGTCCGAGAGAGATGCGGTAAGGCAGTTGAATGAGTTGGATCGGTTAGTTGGGGAAGCCAGGTATAGGAAGGAACGGGGGGAGGGGGAGGAGAGTGTTGCGTATGTTTTATTCCTTTTTACTTTGTTTGTGTTTGGGTTTTTGAGGGTGTGGGGTTGGTGGCTAATTCGTCTCGTGGGAGTAGGCCGCATACGTTGAGTCCGGAGGAATTGTACCGAGCGCATCTATTGCCGTGTTTGATGGAGACGCAATCGGATTTGGATGCGAAGATTGAGTCAGTTCAGACGGAGAATGTCGAGTTGGCTGGTAAGGTGCAAGCGCAGAGGTTGGAGATTGAGAGTTTGTTGTCAGGGCTGGAGGCGGTGGTTGCCGACTTGGAGGGTGCTGCCGCCGCAGCGACGCAGTTTACAAGTGAGAATCAGCTTCGCCAGGAGGCTGCACAGATGGATGGTGAGGTTAGGGCTAGATCCGAAATGTGAGCAGGTGGCTTGGGGTTTCTACGATGCGGTGGTTGGGTTCGGGATAATGACGTGCTTCCGTTTTCATCATTCGAGCTGGTCCGGGGTATATAACTACGACAACAAAGCCTCCATATCGCCGGGACTCATCCATCCGTCATCGACCACGTCCTCTGCGACTATCATCAGCTCCTTAGGCGCAGATTTCCGGAGCTGCTGAAGCTTGTCTTTTTGACCTTCCAGAGCAGCAGCGATGGCTTCTTTGCAGGTTCCGTCCCGTGCCTCGTCCGCAGCGCCGTCTCTCCTCGCCAGGGCTACTGCACCTCGATAATAGGTCTGGGCGTTGCGGAGCAACGTGGCTGCGTACTGCTGAGCCATGGGATATTCCCATGGAGACAGACCGAGCCTCCACCTACCCACCTCCACGTCTCCCCTTGCCAGGTGGATCTTGGGCAGATTTTCAGCATCCGGGAGTTTGGACGCCTTGGTCAATGCGTCTAGGGCAGCCGATAGCGATTGCCATCGCTGCGACAACGCTTTCGCAAAGGCCTCCGGTTCGTATGGAGGGAGGTCTATGAGTGCTGTGTTGAACGACGTGAGCGCGTCGGCTTTGCTGCAAAGGCCGCCCGGATCGGCCGAGAGATCCAAATCAGGGCCGAAAGCTCGCGAGACTTCCTTGGAATATGTTTCGACTTCTGTGCGTCCGCTTCTGTACAGCACCTCGTTCCGAGAACAGGTGAACTTGGCACGAGCCAGAGTTGCCTCGTAATGTCTGCTTGACCCTTCGACATATGCCGAAATTCGCTCCTGCAGCAGGTCCGATGCATACTCTTCTACCCAGCCGACTCCTACACCAGGGTTGAATGTGAGCAGGTTACATAGGGTTGTGCAGGCTTCAAGTTGTGCCACGGCTGTGTCAACGAGGGTGTCCTTGGTTATTGGCTCAACAATGGCAGCCCATTGCTCCTGCTGGTCTGAAGATCTTGACTCGTCTGCAGGTGGCAGATCCGGCAGTGTGTCTTGCATCGGGGTCTCAGTAGGGCCAGTTTCCTCGGATGTCATCTGATTGATCTGCTCCTGCATTTCGGTGTACTTGAGTTCCTGTAGAACCAGGCAACGCTGGAAGAGTTCTATAGCCTCTTGCAGGAGCTTTACTGCCTGCGAGAGCTGATCATCCGAAGGGTGCTTGGAGTCAGTTAACGCTTCCGCAATGCTGGTGAGCACCTGGGCTGTATTGAAGAGCGCGTCGGCATTGTCTTGCTCGAGGTCGAGAGCCGCCCGGTGGGATTCTAGCGCTACTTGCAGGACGTCCAGTAGTGGTGCAGACAGCTGGGCAGATAGCTTGGGATGCTGCGTGACCTCGTATTGGACCCTCGCCCTGTCGCCCGTCAGTTCATGTGCATGCATAGAACAGGGCGTTCTTGATGAGTATGTAGGGCAGCAAGTAGTGACTATGGATGATGTGCAACGTACTTGTTATAAGCCAGATCGAATGCATCCGGGTGCTTGCCCAGGCCTTCGTCATAAGTATTGATGGCACGCATGAAGAAGCGCAGAGACTTGGCTGCATCTCCGGCGCGCCATTTCTCTCCGGCTTCTTCCTGTTCGACGCCGACTAGAAGACACCCCCATTAGCTATGTGACAACGAAGACCATGCATATTGATCAGACGGTATATCAGGGGATCACATGAACACCCGGGGTATTGGGTGACCCACGAGCTAGATATTCGTCTGCAGATTCTGGAGCCTGCGATGTGATTAGAGGGCCAAATTGATGATGGGGGGATTGATTGTGCACACCCGCTGCGTCGTCTTCTTTTTGGACTTGGATTCCTTGAGGAAACTCTTCGGTTTTGGCATTTTCAGCCCTTAGTTGTGGCTTAGAGTCTCCACTAGACCAATAGTTCGGGGGAAAGAGATGGTAATCCAATCAAGCAACTAGTCGTCTCAACTTGTAAGGTTGACGAGGTATGACGTTCGGTGCTCGTTTTTTTTTTTCTGACTCGGACTGATGATGATGAATGAATACGAGGGGCACCCCCATAATGCCAGTGCTACGGATACACCGCCTTTACACCCGCCTTAGACTTGGCGGGGGGTCGGAGCTGGTCATAGTGACGGTCAATTACAAGTCACTATCCACTTTAATCCTTCATATTAATAGATGGAAGATACTAGATAGATCCATTATCTAGATAAGATGAGCTCCTATACGTCGACCCCATGAATTAGTATATAGTATACTACTAGTACTACGCAGTAGAGACCTACTAGGTATATCAGCGCCCAGTAATGATTGCCTAGACGGTCTACTCCGTTCCAGACTTAGACCAGCATGCAAGTCAGATCTTCAAGTGTCCGAGGATTGATCTACTAGCACAAGTCACAACACACACTGTGCCCTATCTATCAGTAGAATCAGGACTGGTGGCCAAACAAGCAATGATAGTCGATTTCTTTCAAACGGCCGGCAGCAACCTACCTAGTGCAATGCAAATTGACGAAGCTCCCCAAAAACCAGCACAGGGCAATCATGCGTAATTTATCTACTCCATAAATCGTCTGCCGTCCTACATGCCAGTTTAATGACATGGTACAGATGGAGGTTAATTTACATGTGTAGACCGGGGGTGTTGCTTTGTTACAGGGCCAGGGAAGAGCGGGCGACATTGCCGCGGCAGCTGATGGATTTAATGGATGATGCTGCAGAGTATGCCAGTGGGTGGGAAGGGAGCTGCTGCTGGCTGCTGCCACTGCCATTGGAACCCGCGTGGCTGCCCACTTGGCTGCACGTGGCGGGACTGGCCGGAGAGGATTTTAAAAATACTCTTGGTTTATGGTACCTACTACCTACTACCTAGATACTTACTAAGTAGATTTATGGTTAGTGGTAGGTTTCTACCCTTGACTATCTTCTACTACTATATAGTACTTACTACCTACGGACTAGTAGGCAATCCCCTATCTAGATAAGCAAGGTACCACCGTGGATCTGTGGCATTGTTCATACCTTTAAATTTTGGTCTCAAAAATGAATCCAAAGATAGCTTGATCCTCTACGGAGTTCGTACGAGATAGGTAAGGAAGAGTCGAAGAGACACGGAATAGGGAGAAATGGCATCGATGGAATCAGGATGGTATGATGCATCCACTACTCGTCCTGGGTCAGCTCCTTTCAGCCAGCCGATCGCCTATTATTCACTCCTGTATAATTTCAGGTGCATGACGATCAATACGTTGGGCGCGCAGGCACCCCTGTCTGGTGATGGCGCTCGTGTCTGCCGCCGACGTCCCAACATAGTCCGGTGTCTCAGGCGGCGGCCTGCGATGCTTTAGCCGGGCCCCGACGGGGTCGGCCACACCCATCTTTTATCACTAAGAGGCCCATGGAGTATGGAGTACGGAGTACTAGCTAAGTAGGAGAATTGAGAAGCGCTACCAACTCTATCTCTCGAACCATCCATCCACCGGCGGTTACTTTGGTTTATCTACTCCTCGCCCACTCCACCGCAAAACGAAATCCGGACGGAAAAAGGAGGAGAAACTTGGGAAGGCCCAGGACAGGAAAACCTTAACCCCGTCAAGGCATCCCAATCCTTCCGACCGCCGACGAGGAGGAAGATTTTATCAGCATTGCGTTTTGGCGCCTGTCGGCGACCCACCCCATCCGCCTCCTTCGCCCCCGGCCTCTCCTGAATCGAATGCATGTCACGGCTGCGCGCAGTCCTAGTGGTACTGGTACTTACGCTCATCTTTTAACTCTTGCCCACACCAAGCCTACCATTCCCCCCCCCCCCCCCCTCCCCTTCGCTCTGATATATTCGCATCGCATATCTACCTACCACCCGAGGAAGGAATTGAGTGCTCCAAGGTATGACCCCTCCTCTTCCCCTCGTCCATCTTGGCTCAGTCAGTGTCTTAAATCGCTTGGGATCATTCCTCGAAAAATAATTCCCGACAATTTATTGATACTCTGACCTTTGTTTTTCTTTCTCCTTTTCCTTGTCATCTCTGCTTCATTCGTTTTTCATCAATCCGAGCTTTTCCTTGTGTCCCCTCTATATTGCTGCTGCTGCAGCACTTTCTTTGAAGCCCGCGCCTCTCCCGATCTCCATTCGCTGACCAGGATACAACCAAATCTTACAGGTTACAATCCTCCCGGGAGCCTCGCGACCTCTCTTCTCATTCTCCACTAATCGGGTACACGCTCTGAACTGCACGCGATCCACGACCCACCTATCTCAATAACATTATAACTATGGCTAGACATACGTCGCTGGAGTCCGAAAGACCCATCATGGCCCAGTCGGTAAGTCTTGTCTGGGCCGCATGCGTCGCGGGACCTCTAACTCGATCTTAGGCCCGTACATCCAAGCGGTTCTCGACTGTCAGTGAAGCCCCCTCGGTTGCCTCGTCAGAAGGTACCTTCGCGGGTCTGCCTGCTGGAGACCCCAGACTGGCCGACTTCCATAACCTCCGTGACGGCTTAGAGCGCCTGGAAAACAAGCCTCTTTTGAAGCAACGTTTCGTTCCCACCCCAGAGAAAAGCGACAACCTGAGCAAGTTGGCTTTGGGCGCAAAGGTGGAGCGCGCCCTTGGACGCAGAATGACCAGCCAGGACGCTGTCATGCGGGAACCTGTGTTGAACGAAAAGGCTGTGGTGGAGGCCCCGTAAATCGCCGCCCACGTTTCTTGAGATGTTGACCGAGAGCTGTATTCGATACCTTTGTGGATTTTTGCTCCCTCCCCCTTGGCCATCTGGGCCACGGTTGTTTTAATGTTGCATGTTCCCCGGCTCGTCAGATTTCCCTGCGGCGGGTTCTATGACCGAGTTCGATACCCGTCTTGATGAGAAGCTTATCTTTACCTGTCTATCATACCCCCTCTTTGAGCCAGCTACCTGCGTTCGAATTGATGAGATTGCGCTGTGATTACACGCCCTAATCTACTGTCTGATAGCCTCTTGCGCTTTTGATTACTGGGATAATTCTGCCTTGTTCATTGGTTGTATACTGTTTTTTGTTCCGTCTACTTGGTGTTAATGAAGTACGCGATGGTTGGATGTACTCCAGAACTCCCGGTGATCGATGATGTACACAGCTATAGAGCTTGTATCTTCTATACCTCCAGCTACAAACGGGCAGGCAACTGTGAAACCCGATCAAATCTGTGTCTGATAATATGGGGGTTCACCTGGGCTACGAGCTTCAAGGGTATGTCCGCCGAGGTTCAACGATACTGCCAATCAACGGCCATGCTCGGGGGGGTAGAGGGAAGCCCACCGCACGCTGATATCATGGATGGCAAATTAACTGGCCGACAGCATTACTGTTTCACCGCGTGCTCGGATGCCCACCAGAAGCTCGGTTGATGACATCAACACTGATCTGATAGCTCGCTTCCCGACTTCCGATTGTTGCTCCCGATGCATGGGTCGGACATTGCTACATAGTAAGATCTGGGTTTACCAGAGTCATTGGGATCCCTTCCCCTCGTAGGATTGCCCCTTCCATATCCATTTCTCTATACCCAGTGTTCTTCGGGATGCGCCCGTGAATCATGGACCAGGGCACCCTAAGGGGCAGGCGGTGAAGCCAGATGCCCGAAGGGGACTAGCCCCGGGCACTTCTGGGTCGGCGCTGGATTTTGCACCAGCAAACGGACCCTCTCGACTGGGCTTGACCTCAGTGCTGCTCTCAGCAATCTTACCACCACCACCCAATCTTCTTCTTCCTCCTCCTCCACCTACCACCACCACCTCACTCTAACCAGTGTTACTTGTTGTACCTACTACCTACTCCTTCACCATTCCTCCCCCCACTCCCATCTTCCTCTCCATCTTTCCTTGTAATTCTCTTTCCCAGCCAGTCTGCTATCAGCTTCTGCCTCTTTGTCTTTTTTATCAAGCTCCATCTATCTTCCCTTGCTTTTTCCTCCCGCCTGTCCCTCGGGCTTTTCCTCCCACACTCAATTCCGGATCGCACAAGATTCTTTCTGTTTTCCACATCCACGACTCCGACGCGCCACCCTGTTAAACCACTCTGATCTCTTCTTTTCTTTCTATTTCACATCATTGCGCCTACAGGAAACGATTAGGTCGCCCATTTCACACTGTAGGTTCATTTTCCCCCCCTGCAGTCCTTGTCCCGAAGTTTCAGCCATCGTTATATACGCTTAGGCTTCAAACGCTGACAATTACCAGTATCGGGGAATACTTCTTACTAGAATTCTTCCCTTCCCTCACCACATACAGGCTCGAGTCTGATTCAGCATAGACCTTGGCCTTTCCCTCTTAGACTTTTCTTTCTTTTTCCAACCCTCCACGTTTCATTCACGTCACAATGGCCGACACGACCCAGGCTCCCATCAATGGCGGCTACCCTACGCAACATGCTTACCCCGACTCCTTCAACCACGCCCCCGCCAACGTCAACAGCGCGGCTAGCTTCCAGCCTGCGCCGTCTTCCACCACCTCGAACGCCCCCTCGAACGACCAGAAGAATGGTATCTCGAAGGATGAGGTTGGCTGGTATTTCGTTGAGCAGTATTATACCAACATGAGCCGCAGTCCGGAGAAGCTCCACCTCTTCTACTCTCGGCGCTCCCAGCTTGTTTTCGGCACTGAGGCTGAGTCCGTTCAGGTTGCCGTGGGCCAGAAGGTAAGTTAATATGCCGACCACGGGTGGTCCTCCTTGTCTTATGGTGTTCAGTTACTGATATTGTCTTTACAGGCTATCAATGACAAGATTAAGCAGCTTGACTTCCAAGACTGCAAGGTTCGTGTCCTGAACGTCGACTCCCAGGCTTCCTTCGATAATATCTTGATTTCGGTGATCGGTGAGATCTCCAACAGGTCTGAGCCTTCTCGCAAGTTTGTGCAGACTTTCGTATTGGCGGAGCAGCCCAACGGATACTATGTTCTCAACGACATCTTCAGGTATCTTGTGGATGAGGAGGAAGAGATTGAGCATGAAGAAGCTGCCCCCGCTGCCCCGGCTGCTCCGGCTGCTCCGGCCGAGGAGCCAGCTGCTGAGGTGCCTGCACAGCCCGAGGTTGAGTCTGTCCCCGAACCCGAGGAGACCCAGGTAGACAGCGAGCCTGCCGCTGCCAAGGTAGACGACAAGCTGGAAGAGACCGAGGAAGATGTTGAAGAAGAGCCGGCCAAGGAATCTGCCCCGCAGACCAATGGAGCCGCTGTTCAGGAGACTTCTGTCGAAGCCGCACCGGAAGCTGTTGCCCCAGTCGAAACCGAGGCCCCCAAGGTTGAGAAGCCCGCCACGCCCGAGCCCACTCCTGCTCCCGAGCAGAAGGAAGCTCCGGCTCCGGCCAAGGAAAGCGCACCAGCCAAGTTTGTCCCGAAGACTTGGGCCAACATCGCATCTAAGTCAGGTGCGGCAGCGCCGGTTGTCCCGGCTATTCCCGTTGCTCCGGTGAAGGCTGCTCCTGCTGCCAGCTCTTCCCCGTCCACGGCTACCTCTGCTGCTGCTCTTGCACCTACACCTGCCCCCGCTCCCGCTCCCGAAGCCGCGCCTAGCCAGCCCCCCTCGACTGATGGTTCCGGCTGGCAGACTGCGGGCCATGACCACAAGAAAACCCAGTCTCGTGCGGGTGAGGAACAGAATGTTCTCGGTTACATCAAGAACGTCACCGAAAAGGTCGATGCAGCCCTACTCAAGCAGACCTTGTCTCGTTTCGGAAAGCTCAAGCACTTTGATGTGAGCCGTCAGAAGGTATGCAGCACCGTGGAAGCACCCATCCTCTCTAAACCCGGAAACTAATTGGACTTGTCTTGCTGTTAGAACTGCGCCTTTGTCGAGTTTGGTGATGCTGCTGGCTATGCCGCCGCTGTTGCTGCTAACCCCCACCAGATCGGAACTGAGCAGATTATCGTTGAGGAGCGTCGCCCTCGCAGCAATGCCTTCGGTGGTAATGGTAACTACGGTGCAGGCCGCGGTGGTGCCGGCCGTGGCCGTGGCGACCGTGCTGGCAGCCAGGGCCGGGGAGGCTTCCAGCGCGATGGTCGTGGAGGCTTCGCTCCCCGTGGCCGTGGCGGCAACGTCAACACCAAGGCTCGCAACCAGGCTCCGGCTGCTTAAAAACACTAAAAAACAAACAAACCAAAAAAAAAGTCTCTTTGACGTCTAATGAAGAACCACGAGAGAATGGAAGCGGAGGTCTACCTGAACGACCTTTCTCCTTTCCTTCGCTCCCCCTTCTTTTTCCTAATAAGGCCTTATATGATTCTTAGCCCTTCATCCTGGCTTGAAACGGTATACGGGTTTAGATGCTCACGGCGATCCAGGACATGTATTACTCCCCCATTTACTGATAATGACATGTGTTATGTGGCCCCTCTCTGTCACAGTGCATATTAGCGGTTGGAAAAGTTTTCTTATCATTTCCTAACTGGACTTTGATTGGTCGTCATCATGACTTTTGTTTTCTCTCACTGTGTTGTCATGACCTTTTTTTATCTCTCTCTCTTTGATGGCTCCTTACCTCTTAGCATAGCGAGCTGAATGCCCGTATTTCTTTTACATTTCTCTGGCTCCCCTTTCCACTCCGCCGTGTTGATGACCCTCACAATCCAATTCTGAATTCTCGAACCTAGCTCCTGTTTATTTATACCTACAGCTGTGGCGTCTTTCTGGCCTCGCCGCACTCGATGACGGTAAATGGACGGCTATCTTCTTGGTTTTGTCTTCATGTGATCTATATCGTGATTCTAGGGTTGCGTGCCTTGTGGCGTGGACCTTCCTCGGAAGGACATCTGGCGAGTGGCTGGCTGGCTGGCGGTGGTGGTAGCCCAGCAGTGTGTTGCCCCTCCGTCCTGTGATGAAAAAAGGAAAACACTGAACACCTGAACAAAGAAATTCATCTGATGACACCCTTTTACCGACTAACGCGCCTGCTATAGTATCCGTATAAGGACTCAGTCCACCTGCTAGAAGGACCAGTCATAGGGGGATCGTAGGAAAAACCTTGTACAGGAATATACATCTCAGATCAATAATATCAACAATATCCATTTCAATTGGGATAGAGACAGGCTAAGCACTCCGAGGCACGCATGCTGGGCAGGCAGTGACACCTCACTGGTAGCCGTGGTAACTCTGGCAGCGGATACTTCCAGGTTACTTACGGTCATGTTTGTACGGTCGACATACCGAACCGGCTGGAAATTTGCGGCGGAAGACAAAGCGGTCAGTACAAGTCAGGTACTGATTGGTTGGTGACTGGCGGTGGGGGGGAGGGGAGCGGAACGTTCTAGATAGCGAGCCTCAGGCAGCGGTGGCCGTCCTCGTCGAACGGTCGACGAGATGCGGCCATCTGGGGGAGGCAAACCGGAGTCGGGCCAAATCCATGCAGTTTGCAGTCAGCCTACCGGAGACTGTCCCCTCGAGGGGCTGAGAGTGGCGGAGCCCGAGGGGAAAGGGGAGAAACAGGCCGGCTAGTCCCAGGGACAGGCGGGCAGAACCATCTAGATCCCGGCATTGGAAGACGCTGGAAGATCCTGGGGGGAGGTGGGAGCAGTGGGAGGGCGAGCGTGGAAGTTGCTGGATCACCGTAGAACCGCCGCACCGAAATTTCGTGACAGTCCGCCCAGAGAACATTAAGGTCCCGCCCCGTCGCCTTTTCCTCCTGCTCGGCAGCTTTTTTCTTTCTCATAATCTCTCTCTCTCTCTCACACACTTTCTCTCTCTCCTCCCTCTCCCATCATTACCATTTTTCCCTGTCTCCGTGTGGGCAGTCCTTACCTTTCTTCTCATCTTGTGATCCGTGACTTCCCCTGTTCTCTTCCTGTCACTCATCTCTCCGTTTTTTGGTGAGTACGACTCTTCACTGATAGCCTTGTTCCTTCCCTTCACCAACCCCCCTCTCTCCCCCACCTGGAGCTCTTACTCAGCTGGGATCGTTTGCGTCCAAGCTGCCCGGGGGCAAAAAAAAAAAAGAAAAAGAAAAAGAAAAACAGACTTTCTAGAAATTTCTTTCCTTTGGTCCCTTTCACTTGCCTCATATAAAGAGCATCCAATTCCTTTCCTTTCATCATCTCCACTTCATCATCCATCTGGAGGGGCTTGCTATCTGCTTCCTCGACTTCCTCTCTCTATCTCTCTGTCTTACTAACCTCCGTCCCATCGTTCAGAAGCCAACCTCACCTCCTACCTTCACCATGTCCGAGACCTTCGAGTTCCAGGCTGAGATCTCTCAGCTGCTCTCGCTGATCATCAACACTGTCTACTCCAACAAGGAGATCTTCCTCCGTGAACTTATCTCCAACGCCTCCGATGCTCTTGACAAGATCCGCTATGAGGCTCTGTCCGACCCCTCCAAGCTCGACTCGAGCAAGGACCTCCGCATCGACCTCATCCCCAACAAGGAGGCCAAGACCCTCACCATCCGTGATACCGGTATCGGTATGACCAAGGCTGTAAGTTCATCTTCTCACCCGCCCATTGGCAACACGCCCTCGTTCCGGAAACAGAATTTAATCTCTTGGACTGTGTAGGACTTGATCAACAACCTCGGTACCATTGCCCGCTCTGGTACCAAGCAGTTTATGGAGGCTCTCTCCGCTGGTGCCGATATCTCCATGATTGGTCAGTTCGGTGTCGGTTTCTACTCTGCTTACCTCGTGGCCGACCGCGTCACCGTCATCTCCAAGCACAACGATGACGAGCAGTATGTCTGGGAGTCCGCCGCCGGTGGTACCTTTACCCTCACCCAGGACACCGAGGGTGAACAGCTTGGCCGTGGTACCAAGATCATCCTTCACCTCAAGGATGAGCAGACCGACTACCTCAACGAGAGCCGCGTTAAGGAGGTCGTCCGCAAGCACTCTGAGTTCATCTCCTACCCCATCTACCTCCACGTCCTGAAGGAGACCGAGAAGGAGGTCCCTGATGAGGAGGCCGAGACCAAGGAGGAGGAGGGCGACGAGAAGAAGCCCAAGATCGAGGAAGTTGATGATGAGGAAGAAGAGAAGAAGGAGAAGAAGACTAAGACTGTCAAGGAGAGCAAGATCGAGGAGGAGGAGCTTAACAAGACTAAGCCCATCTGGACTCGCAACCCCGCCGACATTACCCAGGAGGAGTACGCTGCTTTCTACAAGTCCCTCTCCAACGACTGGGAGGACCACTTGGCCGTCAAGCACTTCTCCGTTGAGGGTCAACTCGAGTTCCGTGCTATCCTTTACGTTCCCAAGCGTGCTCCCTTCGACCTCTTCGAGACCAAGAAGACCAAGAACAACATCAAGCTCTACGTCCGTCGTGTCTTCATCACTGATGACGCCACTGACCTCATCCCCGAGTGGCTCAGCTTCGTCAAGGGTGTTGTCGACTCTGAGGACCTTCCTCTTAACCTGTCTCGTGAGACCCTGCAGCAGAACAAGATCATGAAGGTCATTAAGAAGAACATCGTCAAGAAGACCCTTGAGCTCTTCACTGAGATTGCTGAGGACCGCGAGCAGTTCGACAAGTTCTACTCTGCCTTCAGCAAGAACATCAAGCTCGGTATTCACGAGGACGCTCAGAACCGCTCGACCCTTGCCAAGCTGCTTCGCTACCAGTCCACAAAGTCCGGCGACGAGGCCACCTCCCTTGCCGACTACGTTACTCGCATGCCCGAGCACCAGAAGCAGATCTACTACATTACCGGCGAGTCCATCAAGGCTGTTGCCAAGTCTCCCTTCCTTGACAGCCTCAAGCAGAAGAACTTCGAGGTTCTGTTCCTGGTTGACCCCATTGATGAGTACGCCTTCACTCAGCTAAAGGAGTTCGATGGCAAGAAGCTGGTCGACATCACCAAGGACTTCGAGCTTGAGGAGTCTGAGGAGGAGAAGGCCGAGCGCGAGAAGGAGGAGAAGGAGTTCGAGGGACTTGCCAAGAGCCTCAAGAACATCCTCGGTGACAAGGTTGAGAAGGTCGTTGTCTCCCACAAGCTCGTTGGCTCTCCCTGCGCCATCCGTACTGGCCAGTTCGGTTGGTCCGCCAACATGGAGCGTATCATGAAGGCCCAGGCCCTCCGTGACACCTCTATGAGCTCTTACATGTCCTCCAAGAAGACCTTCGAGATCTCTCCCAAGTCTTCCATCGTCAAGGAGCTCAAGAAGAAGGTTGAGACCGATGGCGAGGGTGACCGTACCGTCAAGTCCATCACTCAGCTGCTCTTCGAGACCTCCCTCCTGGTCTCCGGTTTCACCATCGAGGAGCCCGCCAGCTTCGCTGAGCGTATCCACAAGCTTGTCTCCCTTGGTTTGAACATCGACGAGGAGGCTGAGACCACCGAGGAGAAGGCCGCCGAGGAGGCTGTTCCTGCCGCCGCCCCTGCCGAGAGCTCCATGGAGGAGGTTGACTAGATGTTGACCGCATGATGCCACGATCTTCTTTCGATCAGGTTCGAAACGAAATGTAATTGCTTTGATGACCCGACACTGTTCCCGCGGTATTTGCATCAGGAATCTATTATTCACTGAACAATATTGCGTCTATAATCGGAACGGCAAAGGACGTTTTCCCTTTGTTCATTCTTTTTCCTTTCTGAATTACGAATTCACCCTTTCGGCGTTTTGAGCGTTTTTTTACCCCAACCTAAACTTACATTCCGTCTGATGCTTTCCTCTCTTCTCGACATTGAAGATTGTCTCAGACTGGTAGATTACTCTGAGAAATAAAAGCTTTCTCTGTTCATTCTCTGTGTTCGATGTTCGCAGATATTTGTAGATGGTTCCTTTCTACCTAAGACTACTCACTAGTCTACTAGATATACCAGTAAATCACATGTCCTTCGCCCTCCACTCCCAACCAATCCTTTTCTCAGGGTATCGCAGTAAGGGCAGTATGGTATTCCGCTTACAGGATCCACTATAATTCAAGTCAAGAGCTCTGATTCCGTGAGGAATCTCCAAGTGTGTATAGCCGTGGTAAAAAGTTGATTCTAACAGATCGCTGTATTTCCAATACTCAATGCTGCATTATGGTTCGTACATCGAGTATATATGTTCATCAAACGTGATTAGGGGAGGGAGACTGCATGCACTCCAACAAGGGCCAGGGAAAAGGGGCAGAGAAGAAAAGAAATGTAGGGAAATAGCGAGAGCTGGGAAAAGAACACTAGTGTGAGACATAACGCCGAGGATGTTTCTGATGGACGCCTGGACAATGATTAGGAGTTAAATGAAACCGTCTCGGATCAATGACGGAGAAGAGTGTGGTGCAAGAAGGGGAGATGGGTCGAAGGGGAAGTAGAGACCGCAAATGCCAAGTGAGTAGTAGAGATAAAAGAGAGGCTCGCGGACCAGAAGGTCAGCGGGCCAGGGGAAAACACTGGAATAGCTCTCAATGAGCCTCCTAATCATTAGAACCGCACCAATCAAAGTGCCATTCCGAGAGACTGCGTGAGGATAGCCCCCATGCTTTGGCAAGCCAGAGAGCCAGCCCCCCGACTACGCCAAAACTGCCCACGATCTGAATAATGGCCCACCCCCGTTGCTTCAGGTCCTCTGACCACCAGACGAGTCCGAGAGGATCTTGCGGGCGGATCCTGGCAATGTGATATTCCACGTTCTGCCCGCTTTGTGTTCGAACAAGGAGACCACCGCCGCCAGTTTTCTCTGTGGGTGCACGGAGCCCGCAGAAGCCCGGCGTTTGTGTGATTGGTATCAACGACCCGTCTACTACACACTCGCCCAACCGCTCTGTGAGCCAGACGGCACGCTCGCCCCTTGCCATGGCGGCGTACCTCGCTCGTTCATTCTGAAGGCTTTGCTGTAATTCAGACGCCCACTTCGCTAATTGCAGGCGGGCTAACTTCTCCTCTTGTCGAGTGTGATCCGCTATCCGAGCCATAGTGTAACTAGGAGAACCACGGCGGGTACCGTGATCAAATGATAGGGTACCATGATGGCTCGGGTGTGGATAGGTGTGATTCCGCTGTTGTTGAGCAAGTTTCTTCGCGGCCGAGTGCCGCATCCAGGCTATATTCTCAGCATCAAACATCCTCTGGATCAACAATGTCAGTTCGGACGGTACCAGAGGTTGAACGTAGTCCGGGCTCATTAAAGTGCTAGCATCCATCACATCGTCATCGTTGGCTTTTGCCGATGACACCGCGAAAGGTAATTGCCCGTCGAGGTCAGCTGCTCCAAGACATGCATTTCCAAAGAGGAAGGGTCTGATGGAAGTGGCTTCCGCATGCTTGTAGAAGGATGACTTGAGTGCAGAGATCTGCTCAGTAGTTAACAAGTCGGCCTTGGAAATCAATGGGATGACATTGGTCCATTGGCAGAGTTGTTTTATGCACTCCATATCTGTTGGAAGGGTATCTGAGAGCACATAAGCCTGGCTAGCCAACCAAAGACGCCGCAAGGGGAAATTCCGACCGCATACCTTCAGAGACAAGATAAAGTACAGCATCGACTTGAGTTCCACCGTGCCCCGCAAGCATGTTCTGGAAGTCGTGAGTGCAGGAATCAAGGGCCGTTGTTGCACGGAAAAGCTGCTGTTGCATGTAGTGTACAATTGCATCAATTTGTCCAGTGCGACTCAGAGAATTGGCTGGGGTATCAACGAAGCAAATATTGCGCTCTAGGACTATATCACCCGTACTTTTCCTCCGGCGCAGTACCCGTGAATCTTCTAAATCTGACCACCAAACTGGGTACGGCTTGGTACTGGCATATACCTCCGACGTAACTGTCAGCGGTAGTCGATGAGATTGAGACAGCTGTACTGTTGCGAGAGATGTCCGCGAAAGGGACAATTTATATGTAGGTGGGAAGTCGTCAACATGTACTATGTCCTCGCAAGACTGAACAATCGACCTAATAAGAGAGGATTTTCCCGAGCCTGGCCATCGGTCAGCAACTGCCACGCGGAATCGCAGGCTCAACATATATGAGGCCAGCATGGTCTTACCAGAGGTGCCTGCAACAAGGACCTTGAATCTTCCTAGTGCCTTCCCCCGTGATGTGAATGGCCTCCGACTGGGCATCTTGATGCTTGGCATGATGAACTGGGATGTGCTATCATGGTCTGGATTATGAGTCGAGCGAAGCTCATCATCCTCTTCTCCAGAAGCAACCGCCTGACTACTCAATTCGTCTGTAATTGATATTTCATCTAGATGGCGCATGGACTGGTTCGAAGTCGATCTGGGACTGCTAGGGAGAGATGAAGGGTCGTCGGGGTTGCTGAGATTCAAGGGCGTTAACGGCCGGGGAGAAGTCAGATCGGAGTGAATAGAGGGGTCCCTTTTGCTGGTATAAAGACCGTCAATCGGTTTGAGTGTTGACCTGCGGCGAGTGATGCCGGGAGGTTCGCCGTCATCATCCTCATCATCGTGAGGGAGAGGCTGATATGCTGCAGGAACCGGTTCGATTCCGGTAGGTTTGCTACCACCCGGTTGATCTGACTGAGGCGTGGATGCAGCTAAAATGGGTTGAATAAGACTTTCTTCTAGACTATGTACTCCATATAGACTCTCCCTGGGGGGGTCGGACTCGTCGGGGGAAAATTCGTCATCGGCGTCGGGACCGTGATTGCGGGACAGAAAGAAGGTCGCGGGGGCGGCACTGCGGGGATCGGTCCACTGCTGTTCGATGGAGGCCTTGCGGGATGGGGGCACCGCGATCTCCGGTACGGGGGGTCTCATGGTGACAAGAAGCAAAGATCACAGCGGCACCTCAGCAAAGTCTAAGCAGGGACCAGACATCGGAGTAGACGCGGCTCGCAGTCGTTGTGGAGGAAAGGAGACGCATTGCATGAAGGAGCGAGATCGATGCCTGGTCGTTTGTTCCGTTATGTCATCTGGCATGGATGATGGCACGTGATGGGCACCAGTCAGCGGACCCCGCACCCGGCTTACTTAAGCCATGGATGCCAGCATAGGTACTACTGTGTAGATATCAGACCATCCACTGCACTCCGTACTCCGTACTGTGTAACATGATTCATAATCCCTCTATGTGGCTGGAGTTTTGGACCTGCTCTCAAGTACTATGTACTACTACTATACATAGTATGCCCATTGCCCAGGCCCAGTTAGTTTATCGGGGCTCTCGGGAAGCCGTTCCGAAGGGCGCCGTCACATCTGGTCCCCATCAGAAGTACCGAGTACTTACTGATATGTACTAAGGGTACGGAAGAATCGGCCATCTGCCTTCTGCCGTGTAGGTATATAAACATCCCTGATCTTAGTACTGTCAACACTCACCACGAAGGCACCTATCAACTTCTCTTTAGGTAATAGATAATCGTAAGTAATTGATTCCTGGCAGGATTTGCAGGCTTTGCCGGAACCAAGGCCTGAATAGGAATTGCCGATCCTGTAATTTATCGACAACAATCCAATACTGAGACCTGGGAATCGCCCAATGGCGATGGCCAAGTACCTTAGTGTCCTTGTTGCCATATCCGACCTGATCCCGCTTTTGGTCTGAACGAATCGCACGCACAAAACGTCATCAATGGTTGAAGTTGATCGTGTGAGCAGCAGCGCACTCCATCGGCACTGAGCTACGGGTGAAGCAGAACGGAACGAACCACAGCCCCCCAGTTAGATGCTTTCTGCTTTCTGCTAGCTTCCCTAAAGAGATTGGAAGCCAGCCCAACCTCTCTGGTACACCGTTGCAGTTTTTGCCATGGTGGCAGGTATTCATGGTGAGATCCCCACCTGACTGGCCCGGGACTAAAATACATGCATTAATTGACCCTTCGGGAAAGAATGTTGACAAATGTTTCAGAAATCAGAAGAGTCATCGATGGCTTCAAATACGAAATAATATCTCCCTGCACCTACGGAGTACCGCTAGATAGATAGATGGTTCGCCTGCAGACTAGTCTAGCTTTACCTAGTGCCTTTCGTCAACTCTAGTTGAACCGAGCACGACCACCAGCTCTCCAGGAATTGTCAGACCATGATTTGACGGTTCTAAGATTCATGATCCTGGACGCCGGTTGCAAGACTTGCGTGGTCTTAGGCGGCAGCCCGGACGCCCACCCGCTTCCAGCTGCTGCCGCTTTGCCCCGTTGGTTGACTAGGGTGCTTACAGTGACCGGAGCTATATATGACTAGCTTCATTTTTTTTCACTATATCCGCGGAGGCCGGTTGGGGATCGATCCATCTCTATTATCATATCATGAGTCTATCCGTCTGCTGGACTCCGTAAAAGGTAGGTGGTAATGTGAGCATCGTGGAATGGGGAACTAAATCAAACGATATCCAGTATTCTAGATAGGTATGGAGTATCTATCTGGTATCTACCCACACTTAGGGTACCCACTGGGGAAATGTAGATAACAAAGTGTTGGTGACTTGGTTTGTATATACCAATTCAAGGATATCATACGAGCATCGATGACCCTTCTCATAATCTTCGGCATCGGGGATCATGATCGTCGAGGGACTTGACTCAACTTCCTGGTGACAGATCAAAGCACTCCGGACTACCTGCAGAGCTCAGGCCATACGTCCTGCAACCGAAGGCTTGACTTCTGCCTACCCATTTACTACCTACCTAGGCCAGAACCAAGTCGGCTACTCGCCAGGGTCGAATCCCCCCGTAGTTTTAGCTTCAAAATTAGTACTAGTCCGGAGTACTCTCTGGACTTGGAGGGCTCCATCATAACCCCTGCCTCAGTGCCTCTATCTACTTCTAGGCTCTGTCGCAGTTGTGTATCCACTCACCCTGCTAACCACTTAGTACAGACTACGGAGTCCTCCGTGGCCACTACTTGACAGACAGGCTGTCTTCCCGAGATCTGATTTGCTACATGCTAGAGGATCTGGGCCATGGCTTTGATTCTTCTCAGCGCTTTGAAGGCGGTGGTGGGGGTCTACCCTTGCCATGCAGCCATACAAAGCAGGAGAACTGATTACTGGATTTTTACCCACAGTTCAGTTGCTACTAGCCTGCTACTGGAACCGAGGAACGAAGGAGGAGTCCAGAGCACCTCCTCCTCCCCCAAGTACGTAGGACCGTTATTATCCGCAGTGCGAAGCTCCACTCCCAGCATCAACTGAAGTACATAGTAGTAAGTACTAGATACTTAGATACGGAGTAGTAGTAGTAAGTACTCCGTACTATCAGTATTCGGTCCTTACCAAAGTATAATTTTCCGACCGGTGTATCTGCGAGATCGACAATAAGCATTGTCGGGATTCGAGGGTGCGTACGGTACTATATAAGCTTCCATTGTCCCGTGCCCTATATTCTCCGTACCTAGGTTGGTGTTTGGGGGTTTCACTTTTTTTTTCTTTTTTTTTTTTTTTCCATGAGTGTGGTTGGGGAGGAACCCTTGGGATCGGATTCAAATGTCCTTCCGTGTCCTGTGCGGCCGGGAGTTAATATGTGTGGCACTAGATCGAATAGGTAAGGATGGTCTGTTCCGTCCCTCCCAAATGAGAACAAGGGTGGACATGGGAACTCTAGTGCCATTGGACAGATATCTTACCGCAATCCCTGTATTGGTAATAGCGATACCATACCCCATTATACCTACTAGTAGTAGATAGTATGTATGTACCTTCCCAGTGTTGGCCGCCGGTAGGTAAGTAGTAGTAGTCTCTTTCCACTTTCTTTTTTTTTTTTGGCCTCTCCCCCCTCCTCTCCGGACTGGCGACTCCGGACTAACCAGCGAACTAGCCTCAGGTTACCCACAACGTCTTCCTTCATCGGCCAACTCCATCTTTCCGTATCGACACAATTAACCAACTCACTCACTCTGTTGCTCCTCATCTTCGTCTCCTGCGCCGCTGTTGCGCGCCCCCCTCCTCCCTTCTCCCCTCGTCAAGTCCGCAAATTAATCCATTCACCATGGCTTGAACAGTACCCCTACCTAGTCTGCCATAGTATTAGATGTCAATTATTCTCGATTCGCTTCCTCTGTTGGGTCTAGTTCCTCCTCATTTCTATCCTACTCTTTCTTCCACGCCCCGCCTCATCGCCGTCTGTACTCTCTCGTTCGTTCCTCTTCCTTGCCTTATTTTTTTTTCCAACTCCTCCCTCGTATCTTTTCATACTCCTTCCACTTGGGCTCAGCCTTCCCATCACCTGTCCTCCTTCATCGTCGCGCTCTCGCCATGCCCACGAATTCCTGTTGAGCTTTCGCTTTCCGTCTCCCTCCACCCTGCGCCACGGTACCGAAACTCGTTCGTTCCTAGCCTACTGGGCCTGTTTTGACTTTACTTCCCTTTCCCCGGCACGATCTCTTCTCTCCTCGCTGCACCCAGCAGTCCTACTTCCGATCGGTTACTTGCAGGTCGTGGTGCCTTTCTTCTGAACTGATCGAGAAGGATTCATTGGAACCCTTTCTTCGCCATGGAGCAAGAGCATGCTTTGTCCTGGACGGACATGACCAATCCGGGCGATGATGAGTTCACCAACTTCCTCGAGTTTGGCATGCAGTTCCCCGACGTGGAGGGGCATGGGCCAAGCGACCATCACACTTCTCGGCCTCTTGCCCACCCGGGGTCGATGTCGATGCCCGCCTCAGCAGCACCCGCGCAGGAACAATTGGTCCGCATGGATACCGACAGCGTCACCACCCAGTCGCCGTCATACGGTCACATCATGAGCAGCGATTTCCCCCTCGACCTTTCCAACCCCGGCCAGCAAGGCCAGCCACATGGCTCATCATACTCCAATGCTCAAGTCACCCCGGCATTCTATGCGCACAAGCCCCCGCAGCCCCAGTTTTTCCACCCTCAGCAACAACAGCAGCAACAACCGACTCCCGAACAGTCACACCAACTTTCCAACCACTCGCACGCAACAGCTCAATCGTATGTCCCTCATGGAAAGCCCGTGATACCACCAACCCCCAACAGTGTCGAGCTCCAGGGCAGTGCTGCTACGCATCTACAAGGGACGGATGATAACCATGACATGTATGAGCGGTTTACTCGGATGAATGATGAGCAGGTAAGCGCGATCAAGATAATTCCTGGCCTTAGCCTGCATATCCTAATGCATGCATCCGCTCTCCGCAGGCCCTTTATACGCCCCTCGTCTCACCCGCCATGACCCCATTGGAAAGTCAATTTCGCTTCCCCGAATATATCATCCCTGGGGAGTACTTCACCCCTCTCACTTCACCAGCCCTCGAAGCCCACAACTCCAATCCGACTGGCTACCCATTCCACTCTGGTCATATATCTGAAATAGGATTTGTGCCCTCTCCTGCTGACAATGCGCTGCCCATGTCGTCGGCACCCTCGTCACCGGGATTGATGCGGAAACATCGACGCCAACCATCAACCACCAAATCTTTCTCCGCTCGGGCTAAAAAGCAACAATCGCCTTCGGTGCGGCCTCAGGCCCGGAAGAAGTCACTTCTCAATATCAATTCGGACGAGGTCTTGAATAGTCTTAGTCAAGATCAGGGGAGTTGCAAGTCTCGCAGTTCTGGCGGTAGTGGGCTCCGCTATGGAAGCAACGAGAGCTCTGGACAAGATTCCGTCTCCCCAGAGCCTCTCTCAGAGCCCTTAATGCCTCCACCCGCTCTACCCCCGTCGCGGAAGTCCCCCTCGATCGGCCCTCAAACAACTCAAGTGCCACAGGCCAGTGAACCCGCAACTCCAGCGTTGCTGATGCGTATCCAGAGGTCACCGCACAGCAACGCCTCCACCGGTCCGATGGCAGTTGCAGCCAGGCCTGTCCCCTCTGAGCCACACGACGATATCATGGAAGATGTCATACTGCCAGAAGCGGCTACCTCATTCGGTTCAGTCTCGAGACCACAAGTGGGCCGTATTGACACCACGGTCCGAACAGGTTCTGTCTCTTCGACTACACCGGGCAGTACTACCCCTGGTCTGGAACCTAAGTCCGCTCCGGCCGTCAACAGAAACCCGACTTCGATCGCGCCGAGCCCCCGCGCTTTTGCTATGCCCTCTCCCAGTGGGCCGGTACCGAAAAAAGCAGACACCCCCAAATTAGGCCCCATAGGCCGAAAGCGACAGAGCCTCAGCTCGTCTCAGCCTAGTCCAAATTTACGCCCCAAGATAAGTCCCAGTATACAGCCTCTGATGCGTGGTGATGGTGAGTACTTTCAGACCAACGGCACCTTTGTCCCAATGTACTTTGTTTTCATCGATTAAAGCGTTGTCCCATGGTTCCTCGGGAAATACAAGTTAACCGGTCTTGTTTAAAGGTATCTCAAGCGAAACTTCGGCTCTGTATCTTGCCTCGAAGTCGAACTACCAGCATATCCTAGATGGTACTCTCTTACCTGGCGTCTCCTACCCAGAAACCTTGGCCGAGAATTTGAGCTCCAAGCGGACGAATCACAAGCTCGCAGAGCAGGGACGAAGAAACCGCATCAACAATGCACTCAAAGAGATCGAAACACTCATCCCATCGTCCTTTGTTCAATCGAAAAGCGCCAAAGAAGCTGCAGTCTCCAGCGCAAAGGGGGGCGAAAAGGAAGAAGAAAAGGAAAAGGAAAAGGAAAAGGAAAAGGAAAAGGAAAAGGAAAAGGAAAAGGAAAAGGAGAAAGCCGGAAATCAGCCGATCAGCAAGGCCAGCACTGTGGAGATGGCGATTGATTATATCAAAGCCTTGCAACATGAACTGGAAGAAACCAAGACCAAATTGGCAGCAGCTGAGGAACGTCTAGGCGTGAAAAAAGGGTTGGAAAAGCGCGATGACAACACGGTGAACCCTGAAAATGGGCCAACAACAAATCCCGTTGAGGCAGAATCGGCGACTTCCAGTTTCGAGAAGGACATCTCTGCATAAATCTACGATCGAAACCTCGTAGTCGAGTGGTACTCGAACCAAGCTGACCCCTACCTTGAAAGATCACTGTTATGTGATATGTTTATGAGCGTGAATTTGAGCAAAACTATAGACAGGGGTACCGGGGAAATTAGCTGACGTCACGCATATTTTGATTGATGGCTTCCATTTCGTGATGTACGGTAGCTGTTTTTCTTTTCTTTTTTCTTCCCATCATCTTCAAGATGTTAATATACAGGGTGGTTATTTTTTCTTTTCACGGGATATCTCACTTCAAACACCATCCCCTCCCTTCTATCTTTGATTGACCTTTGCTTCATGTACATAGCTTTATCCCCCCCCCCCCTCTCTCAGATACACTCGTAACTTTCAGCAGTGCTTCGCTCGTGGTTATGAGGACTTTTGCCTTTCTACAGACTTCCTTGCCGGGCAAACAGGGTGTTATTATATATAGGCGAGGCTATATTACTTTTCCCCTTACACCTCCGTCCAGAGGATCGTTCCTCTTTTAATACTATTACTTACTACATCTAGATCGCCACTTATCGGTCTCATTATGAACTAAAATTGGGTATGAATGTCACTTCCGTGTTGCTGGTATGCATTCAAGTCGAAACTCAGCCGAGGATTCAAATGCTGACTGTAGATGGGCAAGTAAGGGAGGGACATGCTAGAAGAATGCTTGGGATGGGGGTGGGGGTGCTGGTGGGGGCGTCTTCAACATCATCACCCACCCATATGAGGGATAGGGACTCTTCAGTAGTCTCGCATGACCGCAACCATTTCATCCAACCGGGCCACTTCCCCAAGTAACAAGGCCTCTTTGGCTTTCCACTGGTCCAGCAGGGTCAACTCTGCCTGGGACAGATACCGTTCCTCATTGCCCTTGACATCACTACGCTCCGTCTTCTCCAGGAATTCCTTAAGCCGGTTCCGTTCAAACCGCAGGCGTTGTAGACACCGAGACATAGCTTTATATGTGTCCTCCAGAATGCTGTTTCGGATACGGTCCGGATCGTAGAACCAGAGGTAGATCGTGCGTGAGGGCTGTCGCTGTGCGTCTCGGGGAACTTCCTGTAAATCAACGAACCCGCCAGCCTGCATGCTGGCAAGAACCTGGCGCAGATCTTTGAAGGGGAGAAGACTAATTTCTTGTAAGCGCTTCTCGTCGAGTTTGCCCTTCGCGTGGAGTACACGGATGACCCGTAATGCGACATCGCCGTATCGGGCTTCGATCATCCGTTCCAATTCTAGATGGCGAAGCTTGCGTGCCAGGTGTCGAAACTCAACAGTCCAGGCAATGAGGCCTGAGAGCACGCGCTTGGAGGTTAGGTTATAGGGGGGTTGGGAGAGCAGGGAAAGATGTTGGTCAATCTCATAAGTGCGACTGGGGGCATCTGCTCCTTCACGGTCGGTTCCATTGACACTGTCCTCCAAGGGCCTCTTTCCACGTCTGTTGACGGGCTGCGAAATCTCCATGGGACCTATGGAGCCAGTGAGATCCAGTTGCGGGTCAACCTCTTCTGTCAAAACACTAAGAGCGATCGGGACAGAGTATTGCTCGCCCTCCTCTCCTTCGCGGGGTATCTCGGCGCTATCGCGGCATTGCTTGGTTTGGTATTCTATACGGCGGAGGAGGCACTCATAGACATGCGTGGTTGCTGGCGATGAGTTTAGTTCCGCAAGGTCTAAAAACCGTCGATTCCGGAGGGCAACATCGAGTTTCTCATAATTCACCCGAACGACCATGCCCAACTTAGCGAACAAACCATCAGCTCAAGTTCTTTGGAAGACATATCATGAACAATACGTTGGGTCTCACCTCCATAGGAGTTGTATCACCACCCATGTCGTCATCCGACCACTCGTTCTCCTCTTCTTCCTCATCTTCGTCGTCGGCAGCGTAGTCCACTCGTGACCTCTTGTTTAGCGAATCCGTGGACCCATTTACATGCCTCCGTTTGGCGCCCCGTGGCAATCCGTTGTGCATCAACCCACGAGTGAGGTCCCCATCAAGCCTTTCCTTTAAGAGAGTAACAGTCCCTTCTAGTACCGTTTCGTCGAGCTTCTTCCCCTTCAGCTGCTTGACATCTGGTCGCGATTTTATCGCACGTTCAGCATCCAAGGCATTGTCAGCGTGGCTTTGGAATTGTGCGTCTCGGACACGAAAGATATATCCATGGGAAGCAAGTGCTTTCAGCGTGGGATGCAGCAGCGCGGGTTGTTCGGAAGCATGCTCATCGTGCCCGTTTATTAGATCTTCGGTCTCTTCTCCCTCGTCTTCTTCTTTCATGCCATTTGTTTTCAGCGGTTCCGGTTGCAGTTCGGGGAGAGTCTCGAGGTAGCCCACCTGGGCGTGTCCGAGGAACATTATGGTCGCCATAAGGGTAGCCGCATACTTTCCCAGCCGTTCTTGGATAAACTCCAGAATCTTTCCGGACCGGACGAGATAGTACGCAGCCTGCAGATTGGGCTGGTAGTAGGTGACACCATCGTCGTAGGAGGTGTAATGGTACACCAAGTGGTGTTGGATCATGGCGGCGAGACCATGGCGAAGTTGACGGTCCGAGAGACGCGAGTAGAATTTAAGGCGCGGCAATGAGAGCCGATCATAACGTTGGAGGGTGGAGAAGATACGCTGCGGAGGGACGGATGAAGGGTCAGCCAATGCTCGCGCTGGCCCGCAAATGCACACCGGCTAGGAGTTTTCCATGAATGTAGCGGGTTACCAAGTGAGCAAAGCGAGCATACCGCGAAGAGCTCCCCGAAATTATCCTCGACCAGGAGCGCACAGAGCTCCGCCGCGTACTGTTACTCGGACAGTTAGCATTGACCAAGATGAGGGGGTGGTATTCACATACCTGGGAAGTCATGATTGATGGCTTCTAGAGAGTGTGGGCAGCTTCACTTCCCTAGAAGGCAGATGAGTGTCACCGGGAGAATCGCATGAGGCAGAGAAGAAGAAAGATCGAGACAAGCCCAGTGGGATGGAGCAAGCCGGAGCGATCAGATCAACCTGGAGTCACGGAGTGACACTTTTTTTTGCCGACGGGCTGATCTGCAAATCAAAGGAAAATGTCACTTGATTGGCGCAAGGCCGGGCGGGCATCGCTCACGTGCATGACCAGGGCGCCATCAGCTGACCTCAGGTGACCCGGAGGACGAGGAAAAGCCGGTTCCGCCCGCACTCGCAACTCGGGCCAATCACGGCGCGAGTAATCAAGACCAGCCGGCATCTTGAAGCTTTTCAGACATCGTTTCTGATCCGCCCAACGACCGCCAGCAGCTTTACCCTGCTCCCAACCCTCCCAACCCTCCCAATTGCTTTCGAGCTTCTCGGCTAATTACGCCCCTCGCTCTCCTCTATCTTTCTCACACATGCGATGATGCTGTCGCGGTCTACTTTCAGCCGGAATGCGCCCCGTGCGCTCCAGAAGCAGTGCTCTGCTGCTGGCGCCAGCAGCCGTCGGGGCATGGCCTCTGCTGCCACTCCTGGTCTCCAGTACGATGTTACCGAGTCTGCTGGTGTGAAGGTCGCCAACAGGGAAGTCGCAGGCCCTACTGGCACTCTGGCGTTGGTTGCAAAGGCCGGTCCTCGTTACCAGCCCGTGCCTGGCTTCTCCGATGCCCTCCAACAGTTCGCTTTCAAGGTTCGTCCTCTCTGGCTTCGTTCCATCCCCTCCCGCTCCCCTCCCGCTCCCCTTCCGCTCTACATGTCACTTGTCGGTGGTCTAATCTAACGGATTTCTTTTGTCAATGGACAGTCCACGCTCAAACGGTCGGCACTGCGGATCAATCGGGAAGTCGAACTGCTGGGCGGTGAAGTTTCCTCGACACACTCGCGCGAGAACATCGTCCTCCAGGCCAAGTTCCTCTCGGGCGATCTTCCCTACTTCGCCGAACTTCTTGCGGAGGTTGCTTCTCAGACCAAGTTTGCTGGTAAGTCAGAAGCATGAGGGGCCACCCAGTCCGGCGGATCGGTCTAATTCGGTTTCTCAGCCCACGAGTTGAGCGAGGTCGTCCTCAAGACCATCAAGTACAGACAACAGGCCCTTGCTGCCAACCCAGATGCCGTCGCTGTTGATGCCGCTCACGCCGTGGCCTTCCACCGTGGCCTGGGTGAGAGCATCACCCCCTCGACCACCGTTTCCCTCGAGAAGTACCTCTCCGCTGAGGCTCTGGCCGAGTACGCTCAGCAGGCCTTTGCCAAGTCCAACATCGCTCTTGTTGGCAGCGGCTCCAACTCCGCGGACGTCGCCAAGTGGGTTGGCGACTTCTTCAAGGAGGTCCCCACCGGCTCCCAGCTTCAGAACGCCGCCTCTAAGTACTACGGCGGTGAGCAGCGCATTTCCTCCAAGGCCGGCAATGCCGTCGTGATTGCTTTCCCTGGCTCCGGTGCTTTCGGAACCCCTGCCTACAAGCCCGAGGCTTCCGTCCTTGCTGCCCTCCTCGGTGGTGAGTCCACCATCAAGTGGACCCCCGGTTTCTCCCTCCTCGCTCAGGCCACCCAGGGCTTCTCCCAGGTTCGTGCCTCGACTCAGAACCTTTCCTACTCGGATGCTGGTCTCTTCACCATTACTTTCTCTGGTAAGGCCGACCAGATCACTTCTGCTGGTAAGAACGCCGTCGACCTTCTCAATAAGGTTGCCGCCGGCGAGGTTGCCAGCGAGGAAATCAAGAAGGCCGTTGCCGTTGCCAAGTTTCGTGCTCTTGAGTCTGCCCAGAGCCTTGAGACTGGTATTGAGGCTACCGGCTCTGCTCTCATCAACGGCAGCAAGCCTTACCAGATCGGTGAGGTTGCTCAGAGCATCGATGCTGTCACCGAGGCACAGGTCAAGGATGTAAGTCTATTGTTTCATCTTTTCTTTCCTCGAACACTGTGGCTAATATTTCGCACAGGTTGCCAAGACCTTCCTCTCCGGCAAGGCTTCCGTCGCCACTGTTGGAGACCTCTTCCAGCTTCCCTACGGCGAGGAACTTGGTCTGACCGTTTAAACATGTATACAATACATATTAGACTGGCTTTGGGAAAAATAGTACCCCCCTCCCTTTATCATGTGTCTAGATCGACCTCCGCAGGTATTCTCTTTTGTGATATGGCTGTAGTTGTGTGTCTGTAATACAATTGTACCTTAACCCATTTTCGTTCAATACCTCTGTGTAGACCTGCACCATACACCAACTTAATGAGCACTTTCGAAATAGATTGCCAGTGTACAAAACTGTGTCTCAGTAATTTGTATCTTCATTCATTCCTTCATCTCTGTCTCGAACATAACAGCTGCACGTGTGACCTTTATACCTCCACACATATATATTAACTAGTATACCTAACTCTCTCTCGATTGCGATTTTGCCACCATGTCAAGATCACTCCATCAGATTCAAACTACCATCATGGCAAAAAATGGAACCATGCACACAGACCCAACTACTTATCTCATTCCCAATATAATGGTTCCCGAGACCAATACCGTGATTCTAATTAACCACCAATTTGCAGCTACACAACACAAACCACAAGAAGCCCAGGCACGGACTAGCATGAGTACGGAAAACCAGACATCAAAGTAAACAAACTACTCCCTCCGTACCTGATGCTTGAATGATATAGTCAAAGATACCGCCGAGGTGCGGTGCGGATCACATGACCGCCAGCAGGGATTACATTAGCGGCGGCGCCGAGCTCCAAGGCATTTATCCACTGCTGAATTGGAGAATAGATAGTTATCGTACAAGGCTCACCGAGGATGCCAGCACCCAAGATATATCGACAGGGCGGGAAGGTCGGGATTTCGGTCGCACTTTAAAATTAGATGATAGGCTGTCGGTGATAACCCGGGAAGAGCTTACAGCCGCGGGTCGCGCAACATGACAGCGGTCTCTGGACGGGTGGATTTACTCGAATAGGCAGCCGCCGCGGAGGGAATTTACTTTCCGTCTCGTTGGTTGCGGCGGTCATTCTTGAGCTGGCAGGATGAAGATCCATTACCTAGTACTCCGTAGGGAAGGGGTGCGTTGGCCCATCTACAACCTCGGCAGCTCGAGGAAATGAATTAAATACGTCAAGGGCAAAACAAACAAACAGCCGGACAAGTTACGGCTGTGCTGAACGTGTCGAGGGAAAAGGTTATGAATGCCTCATGAAAATTGGCTCTATTAACATTATTATGATAAGATAGCTTCGTAATCCTCTCGCGGCATGCGACGCACCACGCATAATTGCCGATCAAGTTTCACACCACAAGGGCATGGTAGCGCGCCCAAACAGTAACTATCCGCCCTCCGACCGAGACCGCACATGGCAGAAGGGTATCTCAAACCTTCTCTAGTGCTTAGCGGTGACTTTGTCGCCCGTCAGTTTTTCGACTGCTTCCTTGGCCCTATTCGGGGGAACGGAGACCCACACGTTAGTTCCAGTTCACTCCTCGGTAATCACATGAAGATCGGAGCGCCACCCCCGGAGGAAGTTCTCCGTCCGGGGCATTGACAGTTCAGGGCAAGGGAAAAGTTTGTTCCACTTACATGTCACCCAGAGCCACCATGCAGACCGTCTGCCAGATTCCGAGACCCACACGGGGAGCCACACCCCGGTAGAGACCCTTGATGCCATTGTTGTCGTAGATGTACTTGGCAGCCTTACCCACAGTGAGGTTCTTGGGGCGGTTGGGATCCTCAGTCTTGCTCTGCATCTCGACACGGATCACCTCAATAGGCTGGTTCCAAGCAGAAAGGCCACCGCCCAGACCAGAAGCCAGAATCTTCTCGAAGGCATTCAGCTTCTGGTTATCCTCCTTGTTGGTAACCTTGCGAATGGCGGATTCAGCCAAGCGAGAGAAACCAAAGCGGGATCCCCAGTTGGTAGTCTGGCGAATGGCGACGGCGTTGACACCGCGGTTGATACCACGGATGCCCTCTTTGTGGTAAATATCCATGAAAGTAGCGAAGGTACTGGGGGGCTTTACGCCCTGGGCGGCCATCTTGTGTTTGGTAATTTCAACTGTCTTCATGCAGGTGCAGAAACCCATGGTCGCGTATGCCTGTGCGATACCACCGACCATACCTCCCGCGATACCAGCGGCGAAGTCGGGCGCACCAAGAACCTTGGCACGGAACTCTGCCTCCGATGCGACGAAAAGGAGGACGGCACCCTTGGTGGAGGCCTCAATCCAGGCCCACGGAATGAGACCTTGATAATCTAGAGTTGCGATGGGTCAGAGAGGACACCCCGCGCTGGTCGGGATAAAGACGGAGAAAAGGGCACTTACAACCGAGCATCCCGCCACGACCCCAAATCCGAGCCATAGCGCCCGCGAAGCTATCGCCCCGGTTTGCAGCCATGGTCGTCTTGATCACTTCCAGCGGCTGTGGGAATGGAGTTAGTATTGTTGGCAATATCACTTCAGAAAATCACTTCGTACCTGACCCAAGGTTGTGACCCTATCTGTGTCAGTCTCGATCATCTAGCACTTTCAGGTATAGAGGGGATACGCACTCAAAGAGGTTCAATCCTGCACCCACTGTAGCAATGCCATCAGAACTAGTTCCCTCAAGCCCGTTCGCTGGGAGTAGCAGGTTTTACATACAGAGCAGGTTGCTAAACTTGACAGGCTTCTTCTCGAGCGCCTGGCCGGCGGAGGCCGGAGCAGCAGGAGCAGTAGACATCTCTGTGACCTTGGGAGTGCTGAAAGGGGCCCTGACCAAGGGAAGTAGGGGGGCTTCGTCGCCTTAAGGGATCACGAGAAATCGAGGATTGTCGGCGGCCGAGAACGTCAACGACGAACGACCAGGTTGATGGAGTGGCGGAGAGAGTGGGTTGGAAGGTAACTGGGGGACAGGCCAGGTAAGCAAGTAGTTAGGTAAATAGCTAGGTAGGTAGCTAGGTGGTATAGTCGGAGTATGTATGTTTGTATGTATCAAGATGGAGAGGAGAAGAGAGGGAGAGAGGGAAGGAAGAAGTATGAAAATATAAAAGAATGAGGCAGGGTGGGACGGGCCAGGGCACAGCAGCATACGTACCTTTCTCCTAAGCCAGTCCTAGGTAGGTACTACTAGAAGGGTCAAAGAGTTGCTTTTTTTGCCAGGCGTGGGCGCATCGCAGGCCTCCGTACCAAGGAGTACTCCGTAGTAATGAGCACACTCAGCAACCGCAACAACCCAGAACCCAATGAACGTCCGCCATCGGCCGATTGGGGATGCGCCTAACCAGATAGAGCGAGAGCTCGCCCTAGCCTGCTTCCGGGCCGGCGGTGAGCTACAGCCGAGGGCTTCAGTTGAGGCCCGGAGCAAACCGGGCGGCCCCCCAACAAACCCTCAGTACGGGGCACTCGCCGCACAGCCTGCTTTCATTTTCCGAAACGGTTGAGAGGGTCGATCGGGGGACCCACGCCAGCCTGGACGGGAATGATAGTACCTACCTTCTATAGGTAGGAAGTAGATAGATATTAGATAGATACTCCGTACATACTATCTACGGAGTAGAGACTAGGTAGATACTTACTCCCTGGCAACCACGATGATGATCCATCCGGACGACCCACGGTCTGGCCGGAAGTTTGACACGCCCGGAGTACGGCGCCCGTATGTCCAGATCCTACAACAATCCTTTGATGTCTAGACAATCCATAGTCCTACTAACTAGCTGGCTAACTTCATTTCGTACCTCGTATTGTCCGAGTTTTTGGCAATGGCAATGGCTGCGTGCTCGCCATGGAGTGCTCCGGAGGTACCCACGGCGACCCGAAGCCGCCTCAGCTATGTCGACTTCATTCCCCGACGGTCAGCACCCAAAGCATCTTTAGATTGCCTTGCGGCCTCTATCTAGGTACTATCTAGTTGCTGCCTGGTGCATTGCTCGGAACTCAGTCCGCGGAGGTTTTTTACGGAACACTACCGGCACGCCTCATGTCTGTTTCTCGACCGTGCCGATCTCACTCTCCTGGCTTTCTTCCTTCTCGCTCCTGCTTATCTTCGGCGCCCGACTGCAATACACCCCCTTACGCTTGCCCGTCACACCCAGCGGATAGTACTCGGTACGATACGGGAGTTAGAAGACGATTGACTAGGAATTGAAGTGCTGTTACAAGGCCCGCTCGAACCGTGTCCTATCATACATTAACCGAACCAACCCCAACACTTAACGTCCCCAGTCACAAAAGTAATAAACCAGAACAGGGTAGGCATAATACAAGATGCAGTGTTTATCGTAAAAAGAAATGAGTCACCTCAATTTTTCGTCATCCAGAGATATTTACAGCTTAGCGCCAACAAGCTTGGCGTAGGCCTCAGTGCTGAAACTCTTAGGGCGTTCAATGGGGGCACCGAGGGCACGGTCGATGATCAGCTGGGGAAGGACACCCAGGGCACGGGAAACACCGAACAGAACGGTGTAGTAGTTAGCCTCAGTCAGGCCGTAGTACTGGAGGAGGACACCAGAGTGCTAGACATTGGTCAGTACGTGTTCCTTGTATGCTTACACGACACGGGCTCCGAGAGCAACTTACAGCATCGACGTTGGGGTAAGGGTTCTTGGTCTTGCCATGCTCGGTCAGAACGCCAGGAGCGATCTTGTAGACCTGGCTGACCAGCTTGAACATGGGGTCATCGGGCAGCTTGCGGAGGGCGAACTCGCGCTGAGACACGTAGCGGGGGTCGGTCTTACGAAGGACGGCGTGACCGTATCCGGGGACGACCTGGCCGGCGTTCAGGGTGGACCACAGGTAGTTCTTGATGGCATCATCACTAAGGTCGTTACCGATGGCGGCCTTCATCTTGGTGAGCCAGTTAAGGACTTCCTGGTTGGCCCTGTATGATTAAGATGGAAATATTAGCAGGAGGGCTTCGGGTATCCAATTACGAGAGCAAATACTTACAATCCGTGGAGAGGACCGGCCAAGCCGTTCAGACCAGCAGCGAGAGAAAGCATAGGGGAGCTCAGAGCGCTACCAACAAGGTGAGTGGTGTGGGCGCTGACGTTTCCACCCTCGTGGTCGGAGTGGATGGTCAGGTAAAGACGCATGAGCTCAACAAAGTCCTTGTTGTCGCCGTAGCCGAGCTGGTTGGCCAGGTTGTAAGAGTAATCCTTGTCCTTCTGGATGGGAGCGACCTTGCCATCCTTGAACACGTTACGGTAGATCTTGGCGGCGATGGTGGGCAGCTTGGCAATGAGGTCCATGGAGTCCTCGAAGGTGTAGTTCCAGTAATCCTTCTTGTTGATACCCTTGGCGTAGGCCTTGGCGAAGGCGGACTCGTGCTCAAGAGCGGTGACAGCCAGAGAGAACTGAGACATGGGGTGCAGGGTGCTGGGGCAGCGGTCGATAAGCTCCTCAATGAACTTGGGGAGGTCGGAGCGGGCAGCCCACTCAGCAGACAGATCGCGAACCTGCTGCTCGGTGGGAATCTCGCCAGTCAGGAGCAGCCAGAAGAGACCTGAAACCCATCATTAAACTCTGCAATGCATCACGCTATTTCTAGGATAGATATCTACCTTCGGGAAGAGGCTCCTGGCCACCGGGGGCCTTGGGGAGGAGCTCCTGGCACTCGGGAATCTAATCGGCGGTGAGTATACGCCTGGAATGTGAGTCTAGAAGTGGTGCCACTCACAGTACGGCCACGGAAACGGATACCCTCCTCAGAGTCGAGGACAGAGCCCTATATTCCAGCATTAGCTAACTTTCAGACGCTTCATATATTGGGTCTTTCTATCATACCTCCCACACGAGGCACTTCACACCACGGGCACCACCATAAGCCTGGTCAAGGGTGAGCTCACCAATGACCTTGTGGCCGTGCTCCCTATAAGCATTCATCAATTAATTAGCGCCTGTTGTAACAGAGAAAATTGCGTGGGAACGAGGTGGACGTACTTCCTGAGCTTCTTGACCTTCTCGATCTCGGCGGGGAGCTTCTCAGCGAAAGTCTCCTTCAAGGACTTGAAAACGAAGTTGCTTTAGTACACTAGTCAAGGAGTGATCGGTATCAAGGTCGCACGCACCTTGGCCTTGCCGGTAGAGTAGCAACGCAGGCCATTGAAAGCAGCAGACTGAACAGCCGGCTTTGCGGCGATGGAGGTGGAACGAAGGGCAGAGGTGCCCAGTCTCAAGGTGGAAGCCATGGCGAATGTGAACAACTTGATGGAAGTTGAGTGGTGGAAGAAGGGAGGAGAGGAGAGGAACAGGGTATATCAGGACACGGTAGAGAAAAGAAAAAGAAGATGGGCCGCACGGTCTTCCCAAGTTATGGAGAAGCTCTTCTGCGCCCTTTTTTTCCATCTGGCCGTACCAGTACAGCCGGTACGCGGACTGTACGGTCACACCCGGCAACGAAGCAAGGCAATGGTGGATGGGCGTATATTACCGTAACGCTAGGCTCAAGCCGGCCGGTGTCCCGAGTCTCAGCCAGGATTTCGGCGCGCTTTGCAGCGGTAATCCCAAGACTCCAGCATGTTTTGGTGGTGACCCTTACCCGCTTGATTCCGTTGTACGGAACGGAGTCCGGAGTAAAACCTCTCCTGCATCCTTACTCGTTACGCTGTGACCGTGTTGGTCTGTGTACTATACGCTATCAAAGTCAACCATGTCATCTTCCGCAGTGCTCGAGCTCATGTGTGCCAATTCAGAATTAAGCTGAGAGCTGTCATTGTTATCAACCCGGCACTCGTGCATGTGTTGCATAGATACTCTAAGACAGCCTCGGTCTGCTATAATTGTGACGATCATCGGCGGCGTCCCATCCGTAAACGGAGTGCTGAGAGCTGTGGCCCATGACTAGTGACGTCGGCAGTCGCCATTCCATCCACATTTTGCCTGCCCTCGAGGGCACAGATTTCCCCGGCCATAACAACCACCGGTGGTAATAATAGTAGCATACTGAAATCTACATACAAAGACCGGTATTTGCAGTACCTGACGGTTATCTATTGCGTGACTGGGCTGCCATGACGTTGGGATATCTATCTGCATGATCGCTGCATTATTATAGTAAAGGTGAATAGTAGCAAGGGAAGATACCCGGATTCAGTTCTAGCTCGCCCGTAGGAACAGAGTTCTCATGCCTCTGGAGTAATTCCTTAGTCGCTGTGGAAATGTTTCCAGGGGGACGGTGAACTCTGTAGGTAGGGTTTCGCTCGCTGTGGGACGGCATCCATTTGTTGTGTAGTCCTAGAAATCGTTTACCTAACATAGATGGGGAAGTTCAGCCCATTACCTCATTCGACTCACCGAACTGAGCTCTTGCATTTGTTTCAGTGCTTTGGCTGACTTCTGTAAGGACTGTTTGAATCACGTGGACCACCCCTGACTCGCTCGCACCTCGCATCTGTCGGCCTCAGGCTACAGCAAGGCCGGGCGCCTGCAGTTTCAGGTGCGCAGCTCTTTCGAGACTAGCGTCGATATGCTGATTTTTCTCCTCACCTGACTGACCACCTCTAGGAAATCCTTTCCCTTTCATCTCCTCTCTACTTCATCAACAACCTCCCTTTAAGTTATCTCTTCTGCACCGCTTTTCATCCCCCACTCTTTTCTACAGCAAAATCAACACACTGTAATATCCGCCTTTTGCTTCTTTTCACTCTCACTCAACTCGCCGCTTTTAGGTCGTACTCTGTACACGTACTCGTTCGCGAGTTGCAAGGCCCTGGACAGCATCGCTTGGCTGTGTTCCAGCTGTAGGCGGAAGGCCCCCTGGTCGCCAGAGTACGCTCGTGGAGTCTGTAGTGACACGACCAGAAGTCCGCTTAGGAAACTACTTTCCAACATATTGGGAGGCAACGACCCTGCAGGTTTCTGATATTCCTCTCTTAAGCATCACCGACATCTTAGCTGCGCTGGATCTCCCAGTAGTAACAGCTTATTGGGAACCTGGTACTATCCGGTCGCATTTACCATATACTTGAAGCGATAGTCTTAACAGAAACTTCTGCGTGTATCCTGCTCTCTCCGTACTGGATTCGGGTCAGAACACCTCAAAACACAATCACCATGTCGTCTGCTGTAGCAGAACTGGACAACTATCTCCAGTCAATGCTTGCACTCAAGCCTCCGGGTGTTTCAGGCTCTAAGATCAACAGTATCACGTCGCTTTGCACCGCAAATGTCCAGGTATTACATTCCGCTACCCTCCCTTTCAACCGATCCTTCGAGATAGAGTCGTACGCTAACCTCTGATCCTTTCCCCATCACAGAATGAATCCGTTCTCATCCAGAAGATCTACACACACTTCAAGAAGGCACCAGGAACACACAAATTGGGCGTACTCTATGTCGTAGACTCTGTAACTCGACAGTGGGTAGAAGCAGCGCGCAAGGCAGGGCAACCATCCGGTAATGCTGCTCCCGATGGGACGTTCGCCGCTGGTGTCAACAGAGTGACCGAATTACTACCCGTCCTCATGACGGACATCATAAACAACGCTCCTGAAGATCAAAAGGTACGCTCTAGATGCAATACGCATATCATATCATCAAACCTTCACAGTGGTCACGGGCAAGCAAAGGGCCGATAGGAAACCGGGTTCTACACTGAAATTCCCGGGGTGGCCTGCTCTAAGAGTTGATCTACGTATCTCCCGCTGTATAGCCCAAACTGCCCTGCATAGTACCCGTGGCCGCTATGTTCCCCCTCTCTCTGCCTCATTATTTTTCTTTCCGCCGTTGTCTGGTGACGAATAGTCCAACTTACGTATATGACTCCCTTTTCATATAGGAAAAAATCAAGAAACTGGTCGACATCTGGGAACGGGGCTATACATTCCCTGCTCCAATGCTTGCGTCGTTCAAAGACAAATTAAACGCACCCCCATCGCAAAGTAAGCAAGATATCCCCCTCCAGCTCACATTCCCTGGTATGTCAGCATGGTTAAGCCGAGCTTCTTCACCTGGAATCCACTGTGAGCGCAAAGTATCTAACCGTTGTGCCACTCCTTTCCCTTCAGATGTTGAATCCACCACTCCTGAAGGCTCCCCCGCCCCCAACTACGTTCCGCTGGGAGGTCTGCAGCAGCAGCCGGCGCTGAACGGCGCCTCCAGCTCTGCTCAACAGACGCCGGATACCTCGAGTATTCTGAAGGCGTTGGCAGACATGGCCAAGCAGAACACCACGGCCCCGGCTGCACCGGCCGTGGCAGCGCAAGCTAACCCTCTTAATGCCTTAAACCAGCAGGGTACGGTTCCGCAGCCCGCGTCGTCATCCGTAGACCAGGCTTCACACCCCCAGAATGGGCAGGCTGGTGTAAACCCCTATGCTGCTGCCGCTGCCGCTGGAAGCATGGCGACGCCGTTCGCGGGCTTGAGTAATGTTGCTCCGAATCCGGCTTTGGTGCCGCCGCAGACTCAGAGCCAAAACCACACTCCAAACCCGTTGACTGCAGCGCAGAACCCACTGGCCGCGCTACTGCCGCAGGCGACTGCAGCTCCGGCCCAGCCGAGTGCCCCGATCGGGCCAGATGCTCTGCAGCAGCAGCTCCAGCTCCTGCAATTGCTGGCCGCTCAGGGCATCCCGCAAGAGCAGTGGGCAACGGCGCTGCAAATCCTGAGCCTGTCCAATGCCGCCAACATGGGGGGGATGAACCCGGGCCAGGCTCCGCCGTTCAACCTGCCGGGCCAGCCTGTCGGCACCGCCTGGGGCGCCCATCCCGACCCCCAATCACGTGAGTTCGACCGGGACCGCGAGCGCGATCGGGACTACATGCGCTCTCCCCCCGGCCAGTACCGTCGCCGCTCTCGCTCCCCCGGCTGGGACCGTCGTCGTGAAGCCTCTCCTCCACGCCGTCGGGACAGCCCCGTCTACGGTGAGTACCATGGCGATTCGCCCGGTCGCCGCGGCGGGGATCCGCGTGGCCGCCGAGGCAACGAGTATCGCCAGCGCAGCCCCCCGGACGTCGTCGCCGGTCCCCTTCCCCGCCTCGTAAGGATCCAACCTTGCCTCCTCCCGGCCCCAAGTTTATTGAATGGGATTATTCAATTGGTCAAGGGAACATCAAAGGTTTGTCACGCGCATACCTCCATTGCAACGTTTGGAAGTCCTTGGTTGCTAACCGTCTGTTGTATAGTCCTGAGCCGAACTCTTTTCGTTGGTGGTGTCACGTAAGTTCCTCTCTTTCACCCATGCAACCAGTGGGCTGTTTATTAACATGTTTTTTAGGTCATCGGAAGCGCATCTCCGCTCTCTCTTCAGCAAGTTCGGCATAGTCCAGACTTGCATAGTCAACATCGACAAGCGCCATGCTTTCATCAAGATGATTAGCCGGCAAGATGCTGTTAGTGCTCGAGACGGAATGGAATCCTACAAGGCCGGCGACATGCAACTGAGGGTAAGCCCCCTTCCGTTTCCACTTTGTCAATCTTAGCCACCGCAGGATGGCATCTAACTCATCCTCTAGACCCGATGGGGTGTGGGATTCGGCCCCCGTGATTGCAGCGATTACCAAACGGGTATCAGTGTGATCCCAGTCGAAAGACTGACGGAGGCGGATCGCAAATGGATGCTCACTGCGGAGTACGGCGGAACTGGTGGAAGGCCGATTGAGACCGGAATGGTCGTCGAAGAGCCCGACATCGAGATTGGTGCTGGGGTCTCTTCCAAAGGTTCGTTGGCTCCCCAACCTTCTCGGCTCGTTTGCCTTGAAACTGACCGTCTACTTTTGCTTCGAAAACAGCTATCAGCAGAAGGATTGCGACCGACACTGGCGGCAAACGTGGACCGGTCTCGTCCCGCTCACAGCAGGACCGATTCCGTCGTCCGGAACGCGAAGGACCCCCAACTGGGATGGGCCTTGGTGGTTCGGTGGAGCGGGACATTCCCAATGCCAACAATGTCGGAGTGCCGCCCGCCGTGCCTGGCTTCGGCTTCTCGTTTCCCGGTATGCCCATGTTCCCTCCCGGCTTCATGATGGGAGGAGCACAAGCCGGGGCATCGGGGGGTGTCGCACAACCGCCCCCTCCTGGCCAAGGAGGCAACTAGAACGATGCTATTGCAGCGACAATCCACAATTGCTCGTCACCCATCTTGTTCTTCCCTTGTTTTGATACCAATGTTTCTCCTTCATCTTTGTTCCTTCTTCACTTCTTTGCCAACCAAATTTCTCATGTAAATTTGTTCACGCACCCCAAAAATCGGCGTTGGCGCTTTCGTATTCATTGTTTAGCGGAAGGCATGCGCTTTATGAGTGGGCATTTCTTCGGGCGGGTCAACAGCACGGCATCTTCCACGTGGCTCCACATTCTCCCCCACGTCTCTGTTGTTTCAATCGTCGTTTAGACGGCCCAGCAATTGCAACTGTCGGAAAAGTGAGTGGACTGAAGTTCGCTGGCTCGTATACTCGCTTCTGGCTTCACAACCTATATCTCTTTTTCTGGTTTTCCTCCACCTCTTCTTGTTTTCGCTATCTCCCTGTATCTGCACTCTGCTCAGCTCTACTTGGAATCCGGTGGCTCTGTGATTCGATGTTTCATTTTCTGCGTCTTGCTACCTTCCCCTAAATTTAAGAGCTAGTTCACGAATACCTGCTTGTGCTCCTCGATCAAGTCAAGCGCTTCTTTCCTTCCTGTGCATAGTTGAACTCTTTCTTTCTCTCTTCATTCACGAATTTCCGGGCTCTAAATCACTTACTTGTATTGTATCGTAGGGATGACCTCAGGTTTGCTGTGGCAGTCTTGAAAGGTAGATAGTAGGTCGATAGGTAGGTCGGGTGATCGTCAATTCAATGTCTGCATTCAAGTATGTTTACAGCCACTTGCCCCATCGGCGATTCGTCCACACCTCTGACACGTTTTGTCTGTCACCTTGAATCCGTGTATTCAGCTACACCTACGAGCCATCGGTATATAGGATGTATAGCCATTGATTACAAAATGCAAGCATGTTAAATTACCGCTCTTTAATACCGATGCTCTCGGGGTATCCCATACATCCAATGTGTCGTGGGTCAGCGATCATACTTCATTACTGCGCCTATGCGTTGGTTCTTCCAGTGTCCGCATGTAGTCTCTTGCACGTTCCATTCTTCACGTTCACTTCCCCTGTAGCCTAGGGGTATAGCAAGCCTCCTGTGTCAGTAAGCTATTCGGGTGACCATGTACCATCACTAGGCGTGGTCGATAGGGCACTGGCAGCCTTGAAAGATTGCTTAAAATCAGCAATGATATCGTCAATATGCTCGGTACCAACCGAGATGCGGATTCCATCCTCAGTGACTCCTGAGTCGAGACGTTCCTGTTCGGTAAGTTGTTCATGAGTCGTCGACCAGGGATGAATGGCAAGGGTCTTCGAGTCGCCAACACTACCAGGACCAGTCAGTGTCTGAGCATGTTTAGTAGAACCACCGTAGGCGCCGGGCAAACCTACTTGGCAAGATTGGAAATTAACTTAAAGCCATCGACTACCTGAGCGCCAGCGGCAGCGCCTCCCTTGACCCCAAAGGATAGGACACCACCAAATCCATGCTTGAGGTAACGCTTAGCGGTCTCGTGACTAAGGTGGTCCTCCAAACCAGGATATGAGACCCAGGAAACGTTTTCATTCTTGAGGAGCCAGTTCGCTAGCGTTATGGCATTGCTTGCGTGTCTCTCAGCGCGCAAACTCAAGGTCTCGATCCCGAGCAGGAGCTGTTGCGCAGCAAACGGATTCAGAGCTGGTCCAAGGTCACGGAGGATCTCCACCCGCACACGAATGGCAAAGGCAATGGAGCCAAAGGTTTCCCAGAATTTCAGACCATGATAGCCTTCAGAGGGCTCGACGAATTGTGGGAAACGTGCCGCATTTTTGCCCCAGTCGAACTTCCCACTGTCAACAACAATCCCCGCAATTGTAGTGCCATGGCCGCCAATCCACTTGGTGGCGCTATGTACAACAATATCAGCACCGTGCTCGATGGGACGGCAGAAATATCCACCAGCTCCGAATGTGTTGTCGACCTATGCAGTTCCCATGTAAGCTACGAATTCTCCTCGCGTGTATAATCCTGTACTATGCTATCCACTTACCACCAGTGGTATACCTTTTTCATGAGCGACTCTTGCGATGGCTTCAAAGTCGGGTACATTATACCGAGGGTTCCCGATCGTTTCAACATAGACGGCCTTGGTACGGTCGTCAATGGCTGCGGCTATATCCTCTGGACTGTCTCCTTGGACAAATTTGGTTTTGATCCCGAAACGAGGAAAGAGAACTTTGAACTGGTTATAAGTGCCACCATACAAGTTACTGGTGGACACGATGTTGTCGCCAGCATGGGCAAGAGCCGAGATGGCCATGAATTGCGCTGCCTGGCCAGAAGAGGCTGCGACGGCCGCGGCACCACCTTCAAGGGCAGCAATACGCTTCTCGAAGACATCAACCGTCGGCTTCGTGGGGCAGGTGCGCAATTAGTACTATCTTCTGATCCACAACTCAGGGAGAAGTGGGACATACATTCATAATCCGGCTGTAAATATTGCCAAACTCTTTGAGGCCAAAGAGCCTGGCGCCATGCGCGGAGTCATTGAAGGCGTATGACTATGGGAAACATCAGGGACGAATGGTTCTTTGATGCATATGAACAAACTCACTGTGGTCGCATAGATTGGAACTGCCCGAGATTTGGTTGTGGGATCCGGCTCCTGACTTGGGCACGGCTTAATTTCAGCTCTAATAAGAGGCGTATAATACATACCCCGCATGAAGCTGGAGAGTCTCGAAGTGAGGTCGCTCTGATTCGGACATGGCGGAGATCTCAGCTAGTATGGCATCAGCTAAGAGAAAGGGTAGAGAGAGCAACGAGTAAAGTAAGGAGAGCCTCTAGTCCCTGAGAAGGATGATTTACATCGTCTATACCACCCGCCAGGCAATTGGAGGCGACTATGGCGTGATTGATCGTTCAGAACAAAGAGGAAAGGCGGGGGAGGGAGGGGAACCTCTCCCGCCTTCGTTCACTCTCCTCTTCTTGAGGCTCGTATTTTCTGATTGTTGAGCCATTGACTTTGTCTCTCTTTTTTATTTTATTTATTTCCCTGTCTCTCTTTGCGTCTCCTTTATTGAAAAACTATCAGCAATTGAGGCTGTGATGATGTTAAAACTGACAGTGGTATACGTTATATCTCTCTCCAGGTAGTGGTACATGCTCGATTACTCCTGACGCTAATGACCAAGGCCCACATCCTGAACCATAATATGGTAGCATATCTACTAGTAGTACTCCATACTACATATTACTACTATGGGTACCTACTAGTACCAAGTACTTACTATTTGGGCTTACAGGTAAATGCAATAACTCTCCCAATCAGGTGTACTGCATCAGAGTTAGGTACCTACAGAGTGGCTCCAGAAACTAGACTCTAGAAATCAGAGTCCGTCCATCGAAGGCATTCCGATCTCATCTTGTCAACGGCGCCCTATCTCAGATCTCAAGCGATCGTACATAGTAGCTTGATTCAACGTTGCCCTGCCTATAATTCTCACAACTATTGGGGGTCTTGGCATGGACGTCATGTGTGCCCACAGGGTCAAGGTGGCATGCCTTCTGTGTGTCCAACGCCAACGATCTAGGCAGACAGTTCCACCCTATTTTGTTTTTCCCCTTCTCTTCTATTTAAAACCATCCCATGAGATCATCGCCTCCTCTTGGCTTCAGCCCGGACACCAATCCCCGCTAGCCGCTGGGCCGAGGCACTAGCCGTCATAGGGCAGCCTGTCCATTGTGCAGGCGGTTGGAGGTCGCGCTGAGATTCCCATGTTTTGGCTTCGTTAACCCGTCGGGATCTGCAGACGATGATGCAGGCGCTGCGAATCAAAAGGGTCCAACACGAGATGGCACCTCGGGTGACGAATGTTTTTCCTTCCCAGATGACTTTGCTGTGTCGGTACCTAGGTAGACAGGCAGCAGCTCCGACTCTGCCAACTCAACTAGCGGTCTGAGAGAATCTTTGCATCTCTGTTACTGCTCCATCCAGCTCCCTCGACACCCCCCAGAAATTCTGCAGTCAGCATTTGTGTGGAATGCGAGCACCTCAGAGTTTCAATAAATAACAAGCCGAGCCAGGGGTATACAAGGTCAGTCAGTCACCACCTGTCAGGCCATTCACCCACGTCATAGCCTCAAGCACACATTGGCTTGAGAGCGTGAAACAGCATCCACCTGTGTAACAGCAGATGATCTCCCATATTCAGATGCCGTGTGCTCATATAATTAGTTCATGTTGACCATGCATATATAAAAGCCATTCATTCCCGTGGTCCTTACACTAGTCCTTGTCCTGTGCGCTAGCTGATCCATATTATGAAGACAGCAGAAAGAACTGCAGCCTCTGTGATTAAGAACAACAAGAATAGGACAACTACTATTATTACTACCGTGAAACCTTACAACCATCATGACTGCGAATTTTCCTTGGATCTATCCCGTACGGGTAATCCAAGCCATCTTTGCAATAATTGTCCTTGGTCTAACCGCATACTGTTGGTTCAGCTTATTTATACTTCAAAATGGGCAATTCATAGTAGCTGACATTTGGCAGACATCAATTGGTTCACCTATAGTGATACTGTTAATTTTATGCTCTTCAATGGGATATGGACGGCCTTCATTGCTACACCTTACCTTGCCCTAGCGCCGATGTTCTTTCCCCAGTTGGCGCACCGACTCGTCATTCCGGCCGTCGAAGTTATTACCATGATATTCTGGTTTGCAGGGTTCATTGCCCTGGGTGTTTACCTCCCAGCCGCAGAATATTGTCACTGGAGTCGTTGTCGGGCACTACAGGCCGCGACCGTGTTTGGGGCATTCGAGTGGTAGGTCTTCAGCCTGATTGATGGTGTCATCTATATCACTTTAGTGCAGTGATCCAGCACTGTGTGTTGGGCATAAAGCAAATGTCAAGCGCGGTGCTGACATGAATCACATAGGGTATTATTTCTAGCTACCAGCGTTGTCGCTGTCCTCGGTGCATCGCGTTCCCGGTCGAGCCCTAGTATGAAGCCCACCCCTAATGCTGATACCCACGCTGGGGTCTAAATGAAGTTGATAGGGGCGGTTCCATGAAATATTTTCTTTTCTTTTCTTCCCTTTTTTTTCAGATTTTGACACGACTATTCGATTCAAAGCAGTGGAAGTTTTGATAGCTGATGTATAATGATGACGTCACATTATATATCTTTTTGGGGCGCGACTGCTTCTTCAGTTTTTTCCAAGAGCACCCGATGATGACGACAATGAGAATAATGATAACGGATGGCCTTTGATATCAGACTGACAAAGGAAGAGTGAATGAGGAATCGGCTGTCTACAGGTGTGCTTTGGCTTGCGCAGCAGAATACCCATTTGTCTTACTAGCTGCCCGGAGGGGTTCATTTGTTCATATTACCATCACCACCCTCTGCTCGTGTTTGCATATTATGGTGTTTGATAGCTTGAGGGTTGTCATCCATAAGGAATTGCCTTTCTTTCACCTTTTATAGCCACACAGGTTCCAATTTGAACAGGACAAGACCAGAGATGTCAGACAGTCAGAAACATAGTATCACGGAATCAGCCGCGCGACCACTATATAAACCCGTAGGTTACTGGTGAGCATGTTCCGCCTTACTAGCTTAATGTTTAGGGTTCTCCATCTTCCAACAAATTAGCTTTGCCTACATTCGATCCACAGGAAAATCCACCGCACGTCGAGCTGGGATAAGCTTTTTAGTGAACTAATGCATGTATCGTGATTTGTGTCATTGACTCATTGTAGATTAGTGAATTCCCGCATGATGAACCGAGGATTGATTTTCCATTGGAAGGAATCAAGCATGTTGAACGATGCGTTGACTGAGATACGGCATATGTACGTGCCGATGATCTTATTGAGAGCATGGCCCGTGGTTCGACTCGTTGCACCGCGGATATCCGCCAGTCCAATGTTCCAGAAAGACAATTCGAAGAAAGATCTGCTGGGTACGGAGTAGGGCTGGCCGAGTTGGATGTCGGATGTCGGATGTCGCCGATTGGCTCTGGACTATCATAGTACTAATATTAGTATTAGTAGTAATAATAGACGCGTCCCCAGCTTGGTGGATAATGAATCTTTTACTGTGGTAGAGTACATTTAGTTAATCGTGGATATTGAAAGATTGAAGCATCAACCCTAATGCGGGACGGAGTACTATGTAACGAACAACGTGGCAATCGTGACTGCCTTTCATAGCTCGATTAAATTACTACATAGTACTTACTGTTGCCGTAGATTATTCCTCGCCACCACGCGACCTCGCTGGGACGAATGCAAGGCCAAGCTGGAGCCGCAGCACGCGTTACGAGAGAAAAACTCTGCCTCCGCCCGGGACTCCCTATCAAGGGCCCCACATCGCCGGACGGCGTGGTTGCTGGGCAAAACCTGGAACAGGCAGCCATTCGCCGCCCATCGCCTCTTCAAGCCTTTTCAGAGTTGGTTTCAAGGTTGCCCGCCGTGGATGGGGGCACCCACGATGGAGGAGGGGTTTTAGTGCGGTCGAGTGGCACGCACAAATCACCATGGATACTCCGTTCTCCGTACCTTAAAGAGGTCAGTGGCCGATGGCCGATGCCCGGACATCTCAAATAAAGGCAGAGCAAAAAGAAGTCAGAAAGCAATGAGCCCTTTTTTCCGCCATAGCATTTGCAACACATTCACGTCGTTATCGTCATCGATGGATGTAGTCGTTTGACTCGTCTGGGGCGTTCCAACCTGGACTCTGCGCGAGGTTGCATCCGGCGCGGTAACTCCCCATCGACCCCCTCATCTTGACTGTTCCTTTTACATAAGATTTTTTTCGGGTTCGAAAACATAATTCGATTATATTCACTATTGTCGTCATTCGTCGCCTCTCTTATCTTCGGCAGGAGGATCAGTCGACCAGGTACGACAAGAATAATAGACATACCTAACTATCTAATATCGATGCTTCTCAGCCCGCGTACCTTAATCCAAGGTGGATTGATTCATCTTAGCGGTTTCCCCGAGAGGCGACAGAAGAGTCCGCTTATAAGAAGCTAGAGTCCTGGACGGATCCGAGTTTTGGTGACTCAATCGAACCGTGTTCCGGTGGAGACAGTACTGGCGGCGAGCTTCCTTTTTCCTTCTTTTCCGCAATTTGACTTTTTGCGCCCTTTCCCGACCCTAGAACTTGTACGTCTGACACTCCTATCTTGAGGACACGAACATCCTCAACATTGGGGCCACTGAGGGTCTAACATGGCCTTCGGGAACAAGGTCAACTGCACGTCCGCCGAGGGGGAAAAGGGCAAGATGGTGCCTGAAGAGACCGTCCAAGTTCAGTCCATGAACCCTTCATCGGACTTGAATGACATCGATTGTGAGAAGCATGGCGCCAGTCGCGAGTCGAACCCGATGCCAGATCTCAAGCGGAAGCTGAAAAGCAGACACCTGCAAATGATTGCCATTGGTGAGTTGCTGATTGTCTACGTCCTCCGCCTGAGTTTCGCCTTTCTTCTTTGCCATGGATATGACTTCCGGAGACAGCGTGCTCATTCAATCTATAGGTGGTACCATCGGTACCGGTCTGTTCATTGGTAGTGGTACTGCTGTTGCCGAGGGAGGTCCTGTTGGTGCCCTCATCGCCTACATCTTTGTCGGTACGATCGTCTATTCGGTTATGACATCCTTAGGGGAAATCGCGACCTACATCCCGATTCCCGGAGCGTTCACGGCCTACGCTGCCCGTCTAGTGGACCCTAGTCTTGGCTTTGCTATGGGTTGGATCTATTGGTTTTCCTGGGCTAGCACCTTCGCACTCGAGTTGACAGCAACCGGATTGATCATTCAATTCTGGGATGATTCAATCAATATCGCCATATTCATCGCCATATTCTGGGTCGTGATCACACTGTTAAATTTCCTGCCTGTCAGCTTCTACGGCGAGTTGGAGTTTTGGCTCTCAAGCATCAAGGTCATAACCGTTGTTGGCTTTATGATTTTTGCAATCTGCATTGACGCCGGCGCCGGTGACGAAGGCTACCTCGGATTCCACTATTGGGTCCACCCCGGGCCGTTTGCTCCTTATTCAGGCGTCCACCCTGATTCGTTGGCAAAGTTCGTTGGATTCTGGTCAGTCCTTATCCAGGCTGGCTTCTCATACCAAGGAACGGAGTTGGTCGGTATCGCCGCGGCCGAGACAGAAAACCCTCGCAAAACGGTTCCTGCGGCTATTCGGAAGACTTTCTATCGCATTCTGTTCTTCTTCGTCCTGACCATCTTCTTTATCGGTATCCTGGTGCCCTACACCAACGAGAACCTTCTGACGGATGGAAACGACGCCAACTCGTCACCGTTTGTCATTGCGGCCAGGCTTGCAGGGGTCAAAGTCCTGCCCCATATCATTAACGCCGTTCTCTTGACTGTGGTGCTTTCTGCCGCCAATTCGAATGTTTACAGTGGTAGTCGTATCTTACTTGGTTTGGCTCAGGAGGGGTTTGCCCCGCGCTGGTTCAAGAAGACTAGCAAGAATGGTGTGCCTTACTTCAGCGTCGCCTTCACGGCAGCATTTGGTCTGCTTGGCTTCATGAATGTCTCCAACGCCGGTAGCACTGTGTTCAACTGGCTTGTCAACATCGCGGGTGTGGCAGGATTCATTACTTGGGCGTCGTTGAACGGCTGCCATCTTGCTTTCATGCGTGCCCTGAAGGCTCGCAACATCTCTCGTGATACCCTTCCGTATAAAGCCATCTGGCAGCCGTACTATTCTTGGTATGGGCTTTTCTTCAACGTCCTAATCATCATTACACAAGGTTTCACATCCTTCATCACCAGCTTCAACGTCACAGACTTCTTCATTGCTTACATCAGCTTAATCCTCTTCGTGGTGCTCTACATTGGCCACAAGGTCTACTTCCGGACATCCTTTGTCCACCCACTTGAAGCCGACATCGATACAGGCCGCCTGGAAGTCGAGAATGAAACATGGGAGACCGAGGTTCCGACAAAGTGGCATCAGAAATTCTTCCACTCGTTCCTGGGTTGAGATGGCCTGGACCAACTGGGCATTTTAGTACAGGCCTGTGGTCAGCTTTTTCCCTTCCGCTCCCACCGTTTACTTTATTATTCAATTTTGCGCAATACCTCCGGTTCGTTGAGAGGGGTTTTGTTATACTACTGCACCCGAACCCTCTTGTTAATACATGTGGCGCATATAAGTGGGGGTTCATGCATATATACATTTTTTTTGGACAGCAGTTGCCTGTCGCTGAAAAAAGAGACGGATCTGCATGAGCTGATGATGATGGATGAGGGTTAGGCGGGGGTATCTTCTCTTGCTTCAGAGGGCTTTTGTCTATAACTTTGGGTTCTTTGGTAGAGCCCTCTTGTACAGTATAAATGTTGGGATGTCAGCATTGGCACGGAGTTTGGTGAATGGTTCTACTGCTGAACGTCTTGCTTGGGCTGGTTATGGTCCAGCTTTCCTGGAATCGAAAGTTTGCGCTTAATGGCATATCGTTTCTTTCTTCTGTGTAAGTCTTTTGACGTCGAGTTCGTAGCCTTTCCAGACCTGCCCGTGGCTACTGTGTAATGGATGATCGGCCGGTGGCGGTGACTCGGCCGAGTCCACTGACGTGGTGTTCTACACAGTATGTGGTATCATGTGGTTGATTAAGTAAGCTTGCTATGGAAATGTCTGTATAGTAAAATCATGTGTTTGTTATTACCGTAGAGTGCATCGACCTCGGGCAGGTCGTGAGGGCAGTTGGAGGTTTTCGCCATCCGGAGACCTCGATCTTCACATGGGACCTACATGTGCACGCATCGAAGTGACGAGATGGACTGGATGCAAGACAAATGGGAGTGGGCCAAGCCCGGGTCAGAGGACCTTTCGGATTCCCTTTTACTCTCTTTTCCGTGAACATCGGCAAAGCAAGCATGTGAGATGGTCAATGTGTCGGCTGGCTGAGATCATCACAAGACTCTCGCTCGATCGTCCGTACAACCCGTTAACGCCCATGGTTTAAGCCACCTATCTGTGGAGCTATGAAAGGCCGTGGGAGCTGGGGTGGGGCCATTGAAATGAGCCATCGACAGCGCACGATGTCATGGAGGTACTTATACGGAGTATACGAACGGCTTCTGCGGGATGTTTCATGGGGGGCGGCGTGGGGACCGGCCGTTCCCAAGTTCCCCTGCTGTACGAATTACAATGCCCATTGGTAAGAATAGATACACACCTAGTACTAGTACTTAGTCCTATCTACCTAGTGTTCTACGGAGTACACCGGGGGTGCCCGCATCCGGGCCCGAAGAGCGACCTGGAGTTTGAGACACACCTCACACCTGTGTCTCCGAAGGACTGCCCATCGATTATCGAGACTCCATGAATAACTACTTGTATCGTATTTAGGCAGACACTAGATGCATGTGCGGCAGAGTCAATTCATTCCACCCAAATTTATGGGACGGGGTAAACCCGAAGGGGCATATGTTTCGCCGTTCAACACTTTTCCCACAATATGGCCCCCCGGGATGAGGGTCCTCAACAGGCAAGTGCCGAGGTACTTGGTCCTGACGTCGCGTGGCGGCAGCACGGGAGCCAACCACTCAGCGCCCGCCCTTTGGGCGCATTCCGGAGGCCCACGGCGGCCGTCCTCTTGCTCCCTTGGTACTAGTACTTAGTAAGTACTTGCCTCGGATTAGTAGCCAGTACTAGGTACTAGGTTAGGTAGGTACTTTAGTACTACCTACTACGACTCCGGACATCCCAAAGAGAGGCGGAGGCACGCCTTCCTGTCCCTCCATCGTCCTCCCTGCCATATCTGTTTCGTCGGACCCAGGCATCTTTGTCCGTTTTACTTTCCCTCCCCCCCTTCCTCTTCCCCATCTTTCCCCTCTTCTTCACGTACCATTGGGTCACCCGTTGCTATTCCCAAACTTTCTCTCCCGCGCCACACTCGAGTCTCCTGGTGGGATTGGAATTCGCCTTTTTCCTTGATCGCATGGTCAGTGACCCATCTAAGCGGCGGGTGCTTCGTCTTTCCGACCTCCTGTCTCTTCGGCACCATCGATTCCATTTTGCAATATTAACTCCATCTTCACCAGTTGTAAATCATACCCGTCGCAATGTTATTCTCCCAGGAACCTCTCCACCTCGCTCGCGCAAATGAGCTGCGACAAGACCCTCCCAAAGGCACTCCGTACTCAGTCGCAGTGCCTGGAACAGAACAACCTGGCCGGAGTAAGGTCTACAGGGCTTGGAATTCGATGGAAGGCATCATGAAGTCGCTGGACCCGCAAGTATGCTCTCAAAGATGTCCGATAAATAGCCACCATAGCATGGCTTCATATCTAATTGTCTCTGACACCTTTCAACTCCCCAGGTTCTCACCGCGCATGAGGTCTTCGAGTCCACCGCAAACCGATTGCCGAAGAACCACTGCCTGGGTTGGCGCCCATACGATCCCACGACCAAATCCTACGGCCCTTATCAATGGATGGACTACCAGACGGTTCAAAAGCGACGGGCTGCATTTGGCGCTGGTCTAGTGGAACTACATCACAAACACGAATGTAGTCGTCCTGGTCAGTATGGCATTGGGCTATGGTGTCAGAATCGCCCGGAGTGGCAGTTAACTGGTATGTGAATCCGACCTTTCGGCAGGCGCGATACTGATATCTATCATTCTAGATCTCGCATGCATGTCACAAAGCTTGTTTTCAGTCTCCATCTACGATGTTCTTTCCCCAGATGCGACAGAATACATCATCAACCACGCGGATCTGCACTGCGTCGTGACCTCGTTGCCACATATTCCCACATTGCTCAAGTTGAAGCCCCAGTTGCCCAAGCTGAAGATCATAGTCAGCTTGGATCCCCTGGACGGGGGTGAACAGACTGGCCACTCGAAGCGCGCCCTTCTCGAGTCAGTGGCTGCTGGGCAAGATGTATCCATCTACACGATGGACCAGGTCGAAGAGCTGGGCGCTTCGGCGAATCGCCCTTGTAAATCTCCATCGCCCTCTGACACCATCACTATCAACTATACGTCTGGTACCACCGGCCCTCCGAAGGGTGTAGTCCTGACACATGAGAACGCTGTGGCGGCCTCTTCAGCCGCACTCATGATCATCACGCAAACCCCTGGTGATACGTTGGCATCCTACCTTCCGCTTGCCCACATCTACGCGCGGATGGCCGAACATGCAGCCTTTTGGGCGGGGGCTCGGATCGGATATTTCCACGGAAACATCCTAGAGCTGGTCGATGATCTGAAGCTGCTCAAGCCGACCGGGTTCATGTCTGTTCCGCGCCTTTACACCCGATTTGGTAATGCCATTCGTGCCTCAACCATTGAGCAGCCTGGCTTCAGGGGTGCGCTGTCAAGACATGTTGTCTCCACCAAGACCGCGAACTTGAAGAACCCTGACCCTAGCAAGGCCACTGCGAAGCATGCCCTGTATGATCGCATCTGGGCCAAAAAGGTTGCGGCTGCTATTGGCTTGGAGCGTACGAAAATGATGGTCTCCGGTTCGGCGCCTCTGGATCCTTCACTTCATCAATTTCTCCGGGTTGCTCTTGGCGTGGACCTCATTCAAGGCTATGGTTTGACTGAGACATATGCCATGGCGTGCGCTCAGTCCCTTACGGACTTGACCGCTGGTAACTGTGGTCGGTTAGTTCCTTGCACGGAAGCTTGCTTGATGTCTCTGCCTGATATGGAATACTCCGTTGATGACAAGCCGTACCCTCGGGGCGAATTGCTTTTGCGAGGTTCGAACGTTTTTCGTGAGTATTTCAAGGATCCTGAGGAGACAGCCAAGGCGATGACCGAAGACGGATGGTTCCGAACCGGTGATGTCTGCACCATTGATGACATGGGTCGTATTATTATCATTGATCGCCGGAAGAATGTGATGAAGCTGGCACAGGGAGAATATATCTCTCCGGAACGGTTGGAGGGCGTTTATATGTCGGAGATGGGCTATTTTGCCCAGGGCTATGTCCATGGTGATAGCGTCCAGACTTTCCTGGTGGCTATCTTCGGCGTCCAGCCTGATACTTTCGCTGCCTTTGCCAGCAAGGTACTCGGTCGGACCATCGATGCTACAGACATTGAGGGCATTGGATCGATTCTTGACGACACCAAAATTCGTAAAGCAGTTTTGAAAGATCTCGATCGGGTCGCAAAAAAGCACAAACTTGCAGGATACGAGAAAGTCAAGAACTGCGCATTGATGATTGACCCATTCACGATTGAGAATAATTTGCTGACACCGACGTGAGACAATTCTCTACCTTTCTTCTTATGCAACCCATGTACTAATCTAACTCTTTCATATAGCCTGAAGTTGAAGCGTCCGCCAACCACGAAGAAGTATCGTCAGCTCTTGGATGAGCTTTACGCCCAGGCGTTGGCCGAAGAGTCTGCTCCTAAGGCTAAGCTATGAAGAGGGCCGCATTGGCGCCTTCATCTTATGGATGCATTTCTTCCTGGCCGGCACTATGGAAGTAGCTAATCTGGCGAACAGCATCCAAGCCCACACTGTACATATAGCCGAGCGCTCTCTTCTTTGACCATTTCACTGTCTATATTCTCTGGGGTTGAGGGCTAGACCATTGGGCGTATTTCAGGGCAGAAGTAGAGGTCATGCATGCATAGGCTTTGCCCCGGCCCCCGTTAGTAGTATATAATATATCTCACCATTACACAACATGCCACTGCCTTGTACTAGCTGGATTCAGCCAGATGGACACCGTGGTCACTAGTGTGAAGAAGCTAGCAGATGACACAAGCGTGGGTTTTTCCCGAGCAAAGATATACGAGGGCGCTCGGCGGTGAGGGCACTTTAAACCGAGCTCGCCGGCCGCTTGGCACGCGCGCCGCCGCGCTCAGCCGTCGGAATAGCTTCACCTCCACCGAACCGCCTCCGCAATCGTTGCGGACCCAGCCCATCCAGATTCCAGTGTCACGCCTGCCCGCGACGAGGAAGAAAGACATTCGCCATCATGCACATCCCCTCTCTCTCCTCCCTTTCCCTCTTCCTCGTCGCCCTCCTCTCCACCCCAGCACTAGCGACCTCCGCCCTCACCATCACCATCCCCCCTTCCAATCTCCTTCCCAACCCCAACATTCTCCCGGCCGGCACCCATGCCACCCTGACCACGCTCACAACTACTGAGAACAATCACCGCATTCTCACCGCACCCCTCACCCGCTCCGCGACCTTCCTCTTCCACCACCTACCCGCCTCCACCAAGCCCGAATCCTACCTGCTCGATATCCGTTCCCCGGAGTATGTCTTCGCCCCTCTCCGCGTCGATGTTGCGGCCGATGGCTCCCTCCTCGGCATCTGGGAAACCTTCCGCGGAAATCCCTGGGACAATCGCGGTGCAGAGAAATTCATCGTCGATGCAACCGCCGCCACTTCCGATATGACTGTCGATGCGAAGGTCATGGCCCGAAAAGGCTTCTATGAGGAACGGTCGAAATGTACGTCCTTCTCTTCCTTAACTTTTGTTTATTATTTTATGGCATGGCATGGGCAACAGGGGTGTTGGCCAATTGAGTGCCTTCTTACCTCTGCCTTCTTTTCTTTTCTTGTCATCTAGGAATTCATACTGACTAACGATTCGTTTGATGTCTTTTAGTCTCTCCTATGGCTTTGTTTAAGAATCCTATGATCTTGATGGCTTTGGTCGCGCTGGGTTTCACTTTTGGAATGCCCAAGTTAATGGAAAATAGTAAGTTGCTGCCCCGTTTCCTTTTAGGCTGTTTGTCCAACTGGTATTCTCTTTTCTCTGTGGCTATCTGCACGGATTTGTCTCTCTCTTTCTTTTCCTCTCAGTCTATACGAATATACATCTCCATATATAAGACTTCTTACTAACTGGTTGTTTCTTTTCAGTGGACCCCGAAATGCGCGCCGAGTTCGAAAAACAGTCTCGTTCTTCTCCCATTTCTGGAGCAACTCGCAGTGCTATGACTGGTGGTGGAACGCCTGGAAATTTCGACCTGGCTGGGTGGATGGCTGGTGCGACTCCTAGACCCGCACCTGGTGCTGAAGCCGCTGCTACGTCTGGTGGAGCGACCACTGGAAGGGAGAGTGGGGGTGCGTCGCGGAGGAGGGGGTAAGACCAACATTTGTGTCGGGAACTAGGAGGTAGAAGGATGTGAAACAGTGTTGTGACACATCTGTTGTCTTTTTTATCTAGCCTGGCGGTCATGGTATCTAACCCCTTATTTAACCGGGAAGGCCGCAAATGCAATATAGGCATGCCAGGCGCCTCTCCTCTTTTATCAGGGGAAGACTGCACGAGTATTGGAAGATGATGATATAACCACCCGATTCGAATACAGGAGTAGAAAGATAAGCTCCGTTTCTGCATTTTCATAATACATTAAATCACATTTGGCTCTGGATATGGTTCTGTCTGCACAAAAGAACATGTAAAACCGTCAAGGGAGTAAGAAAACAATGGGGTTAAAATACAACAGAAACAATGAATTACAAGGCGTCAGCTATTTGGCTCTCAATGCCCATAAAATGTCGCAGAGTGGTCTAGAAATCGCCAAAATCGCCACCCCCTCCGAAGTCGTCGCCGCCGCCGAAATCTCCGTCTCCGAAATCACCACCTCCAAAGTCGGGAGGAGGCGGGGAATCAAAATCATGCGAGAAGTCTTCGGCGACATCCGCCAGTAACAAGCCACCGAGAAGACCGCCGCCAACCCCTAACGCTGCAGCGCCTGCCGTTCCCATCCCGTGATTCCGCCGTTGCTGTTGTTGCGGCTGCTGCGGAGCATGATAGTTACCTTGGGCCGGATACGAAGGATAACCATATCCTGCCTGCTGCGGGGGATAGCCGCCAGAGTATCCGCCCTGAGGGTAACGATAGGACTGTTGTGGTCGCCCATAACCCGCACTGCTGCTACCGGAGCTCCTTCCCATTAACTTGCTGAAGAAGCCCCTGTTGCGCTGCTGATTTGATCCGGGGGGCGTGACCTGGGGAGATTGATACCCTGCAGACTGCACCCGAGGGCCCTCAGTATAGTAGTTGGACACAGCACCGGATTGTGCTGGACTTATTGGGCGAGCTCGAGCATCCTCTTCGGCCTGTAACTGAGCAGCTAGCCGAGCATCGCCCTCTAACGTACTGTCTCTAGACTCCGATGGGTGGTACGGATTCCCTGAGTTCAGTCGTTTCCTATCACCATCGGCAGCCAAAGCAAGTCGATCAGCAGAACCAGAGGCCTCATAGGATGGCGGCGGCCCACTATGTGATCCTTGCACATCATTATCCGCATGAGCCAGCCCTTCGGGACATTCCCATTGCGATTTGCCGGTACGCAGGTTGACATAAAACCTTGACAGGAGGCGTGAGCTTCATGTCGGAGAGATTTCGGGTGAAAGGGATGAGACTTACCATTGCTTATACCGGTCATCGAACTGAGCCTTCCATCCTTCAGGGACCGAAGGAGTTGGAGGGCCAGGAGGAGGAACGAATGACATGTGGATTCGCGTGACAATTCAAGATATCGCAAAAGAACAAGAATATGTATGCGATAAAGCAGGACCACAGCAATGATAGTACGTATAACAAATCTCTAGCGTTCGAAGAGCTGGAAATAGACGGAAATATGTGTAGTTCTAAGGTACGCAGTAGTACGCCCAGCAATGCCCCGTGGCGCTACTCAGCCACATGATGTCATTGGCCGGCGGCGGTCTGTTGACATCATTTATGCGAATCGTTCGTCTGGCTCCAACTAGACCCCGTCCACATCCTGAATGTTGGCATCGATTGTTCCACTGGACGGCCACCAGAAGTCTTCCTCAAGTTCTTCCCCAAGTTCTTCGAGGGCGGTTTTGAATTCGGCGAAATGGATATCAGCCTTCGGGCCGGGGTTCTCTTCCGTGTCAGTGTCCCCAGTTAGATCAATGACTTCGACACCCGATGCTGGCGGAATATCGTCCATCCTGCGTTTAGGTCTATGGGAGTAACTCGGCGAGGGACTGTGTCTGTCGTCGACTAGGTCGATGAAGCTTTCACTGGCACAGGCAGGATCTGCAAGCCCCTCACGTGTCCTCTTGTTATTATACCGCTGCTGGTTCCGAATGTGTGCAAGCTTGATCTGTGCTTTGATATCTTCCTGGGACACCTGGTCTAACCCAATTCTGCATTCCGGGCGAACACCATGCAGTTGCCGCAGCTGTACCTCGTCTTTTAGCCGGGTTCGCGCGATCTGATATGGAGGAGTATCTTCCGGACGGGCCCAAGCTGCAAAGGGACCATCATAGCACGGACCTTGTCCGACTCCGTAGATTGGATGTCTGACGAGCTTTCCAGACGACAGTAGCTCTGCACCTGTTCTAATACCTGACTCAGGACCAGACCCATACCCATCGCGATGAAGTCGCATTTGAGGCTGGGACGCAGGCTTGAAATCCATAGAAAGGCCTTCGGTGCTCGAAAATGGTCCCGGGGACAAAAGATGAATACCTCCGGCAGAATCACCAATCAAAAGATTGGACCTATCCTTTGAAAAGGCACCACACATTATTTCTTCCTCAAATTTGGCCGTATCTTGTACAAGCACGTTTTCCGGGGCTCTAAGGATATCCCATTTTTTCAACACACCGTCGGAGGCTCCGGTATAGAACTCATCGATTCTATCGCCCCACAATGCTATTCTCACACCCACATCTGCCTGCTCCCTGCTGATAGTCTCGTCTACCTGGTTCAAAGGCTCTCCATGTCTCAGCTTGTGAATAATATGATCAGGGCGCCGATGGTCCCAGACATAGGTAACGCCATCAGTGCAACTGGCAGTCACGTAATTTGGGTTCCTGGGACAAATGTTAACTTCGTTGATATCTAGTGCCGGACACTCAAACTCCATGGTGCAAGTTCTCGATGATAAAGGTTGGTATAGACGGACGAAAGATCTAGTTTCCTTGGAATTCTTGTTGACCGGACCATGACCCACCGATGTTGCTGCTGCAAAGATCGGTAAGGTGGGATGCCACTTGATGTCAAACATATTCTGAGAGTTAGGGGAGAATTGCATAGGCGTTGTCGATGCCTCGCCTATATGCCACCCCGCCAAGAGTCCAGTCTGTGGCATGCCATCGTCCCTTTCGCACATCCCAGCAAGTAGAATATTTCCAGTCGCCTTGATGGCACCCCACGCTAAAGAGGTGGGCACCAACTCCCTATCCTTTCTAGATCGCCCCCTGGGCAGTTCTAGAAGTGAGTGTATTGAATCTGCTAGTCTCCATAGCCCTATTGAACGCGTGCCAGTTGCTAGTAAGTTTCCTTCAAAGTTCGACCGGGCCATAACTTCCACTTTGGAGTCATGCCGCAGCGTTCTGAAACATGAGGCGTTTTGATTGGAAGTATTCCACATCTTTACCGTGTTATCGTAGCTAGCAGTAAAGAGCGCATCGTCCCACCACTCGATTGATGTAACGCTCATCCAGAGGCGATCGTCATACACAGTCCTACTTGTCGCAGCCCTTCCCGAGGGGCGAGAGACCCAATGATCAGGCAATTCTGTCAAACGATTGTTGACCACATCTCCTACAACCAGGTTATTATTCCGGTTATATTCCAGGTTATGCTCGTCACATTGAGCAGTTGCGCCTGCAGCAAATTGCGTTCCATCAGGTGCCCAAGCCAAGACAATCACATCATTCGAGGCACCTTTCCAAGTTTTTGCTAGCTTGAAGTCTTCATTGATGGTGGAGCAAAGCTGCCGAGTTACACGGACCCCCAACTCACGGCGCTGCAAGATTTTGTTCAATGATCTGACCACCTCAACAGATCCTCTATTCGACGCAGTAGCTTTGATGAAACAAGAACTAGAAGCAAGGGACCCTTGCCTTGCATCGTCAATAAAGGCGTTTATATCATCAAACCGACGTCGGCTAAGTATCGAGGCGAATGGCAGAGACCTCGATAATCTCCGGAGTTTGTTATCAGAACACAGCAGTTCACTATCGTGGTACTTGCTCTTGCTCAGCCCCAATGTCTTTCTGACCAGGCGTCTAGTCTGTCGCTTGTTCTTGTCTTTCTGGTCTTGCTTCGAGGTCGACAGCCAGGTATGGCTGTCATCGACACCCTCAACCCGATTATCTGATAAGATCTGTGCAAGCTCGCATATCCGCCAAATCTTCTTCGAGATGTTTCGAGGTGTTTCGTATATAGAGGCAATCTGAATGATCTGATCCGAAAGCGCCACGTCCAAACTTTCGGGTGGCTGAAACCCGAAAAATGAGAACAATTCTAAGATAGCTGACATTTCCGTTTGGTCGAAGTCAACATGAAGGATCTCATCTGCTGATGGTGGACTGCTCTGATACTTTTTGGCGTACTCCGCTGGGCTACGTGCTGAAGAATAGTATGCACGCCCTAAGATTCCCAGATCATCCAATGACTCAAACGGTGACTTCAGAATCTGCACATGAGGCGAAGAATAGATGACACGGGATTTCCCATTTCGATCATTGATACAAGATGAGGGCTTTGATGCAGGTGTATTGCTAGAAAACCTAGTTTGTCGGGATGTGGTGGGTGAAGACTTTGCGTGACTATCGCTAACATCTTCATCAGAGCCGAAGCCTAAGTAGTTGGTCTTATCGTAATAGTTGGTTGGTCCAGTTCGTGTACGCCTGGAGCGCCGAGCCCCTGGTATCTCACGTCCACCTCCACCTCCAGGTGATGATGGGGTATTCCGCTTATTCTGTTCGGAGGGGTTCAAAGAATCAGGAGTTCGCAGTGCACTGGATATCGGGCGGCGCTTTCCGTCAGCTATTGATGGCGACCTAGACTCTATGGGTGTTCTAGTTAACCTATCATGCTTCCTAGCATTCTTCCAAAGGGATTTCTCAGGGCCGGCGCATTCCCCTGAAGTAGAATCCTGATCGCTGCGATTCCCTGCTGGAGATCCCCGTGTTTCCCTCGAGGAGTTTCTCATAAAGTGGGAGAGTAAGACTTGGGCTTCCTCAATGACAGACAGGTCCTCAGGTCCTTGTGGTGTGGATATACGGGACATTGTGCACAAATATTTTGTCTTCAACTAGGCATTCCAAACCAAGACACAGAGTTTGTCCGGGCATGTCGACCAGTAGATATGCCAAAAAAAAAAGTGCCCGTATAGGAATACAAGTGGACTAACCACAGACTGAAGAGGGACAGAGGCTCCTGCTATAACATAAATCTCGAAAGTCAGATCGGAAACTCTTGAGGGCCTGGTGCAACTCACATAGCTTCTCACAGCCTGGTGGGGATCACTAAAGCGCTGCGCAGCTCGAATACACAATGGCAATAAGAACTATCAAAGCTTCGATCAACCGCCAGTCACCCAGACTTCACCGGAGCCTCACCGGAGCCTCAGTGTTGAGGACAAGCAATAGTAGAATTAGTACTCTGTACTACAGTTGCTTGGTGACGCGCGAACGCGCTGTATCGTGTCAGGACGTAAAGTGTTCTATACCTCGAAACAGTAGGCGGTCGATGTCATATTTAGTTAACGTAATCCACTACCGAGCCGCCACCTACTACCGAGCCGCCACCTCACGCGTTTTTGGCACCGGTTAAAATCCTCGCTCAATTCAACCACCAACCATGCCTCCAAAAGCGCGTCAAAATTCAAGAAATCTAGTCGAGCAAGAAGGCAGGATTCTATTAGCAATCTCTGCTATAGAAAACAAGCAAATCTCCCAAATTACTAAAGCTGCGCGGGTCTATAATGTTCCACGTTCAACTCTACGGGACTGTCTTCATGGCCGTAATTATCGCAAGGAAGCACGCGCCAACTCTTATAAAATGACTCAAAATAAAGAGGAATCACTTGTACAATGGATCTTATTACTAGATTGTTGTGGAGTACCTCCCCGGCCATCTCATATATGAGAAATGGCTAATATTCTGCTTGCTAAACATGGAACTACATCTATTCAAACTGTTGGAGAGAACTGGGTCTCTAAGTTTGTTAAACGACGCAATAAATTAAAAACCTGCTATACTTGATGCTATGATTATTAACATGCTAAATACAAGGACTCTAAGATTATACAAGAATGGTTTAATCATGTATAAATTACTATAATGTAACAGGGGATTACACAGGAAGATATCTATAACTTTGATAAGACTGGCTTTGTTATAGGTCTAGTAGCTACTACACAAGTAGTTACTAGAGCTGATTACTATAGAAAAGCATGTCTTGTACAGCCAGATAATTGGGACTAGATTACTTTAATTAAGTATATAAATACTTCTGGTTGGGTGCTTTCTCTATGTATTATCTTTAAGAAGAAGGTCTATATAAAGGGGTGGTATCAGAGCAATCTATCACATGACTGGAAGATTGAGGTTAGTCCTAATAGCTGGACTAGTGATGAAATAAGCCTTCACTGGCTTCAAAACCTCTTTATTTTTACTATTACTGGCTGTATAACTGGGAAATATTGTCTCCTAGTTCTTGATAGCCATGGCAGTCATTTAACATCTCAATTCAACTAGATATGTAATAAGAATAATATTATTTCTATCTGTATGCCTGCTTATTCTTCACATCTACTATAATCTCTGAATGTTGGCTGCTTTTTACTGCTAAAACATGCGTACGGAGGCTTAGTGGAGAAGTAGATATATCTTGGATTTAATTATATTAATAAGCTTAACTTCCTTAAAGCTTTTCTTCAGGCGTGTATAGATATCTATACTACTGGTAATATCTGCAGTGATTTCTCTGCTACTGGGCTAGTTCCATATAATCTAAAGCAAGTGCTCAGTCAGTTAAATATTCAATTAAGTACTCCAACATCACCAGGCAGCCGGTCAACTTGTTTAGTGCCTAAGACACCCTATACTATCAGGCAGCTGGAGAAGCAAGTATCTATAATTAAGAAGCTGCTTAGGGCGCGTACACAGAGCCCTTCCTCTCCTACAAAGGCTGCGCTAGATCAACTTATTAAAGAATATAAGATAGCAATGAATAGTGCTACTATTTTAGCATAAGAAAACCATGATCTATAAGCCGCACAAAAGAAGAAGCTTTAAAAGTGAAAGCTATCTACTAAGCAGCTTACTGCTACAGAAGGTCTTTCTATCCAGAAGGGCCAGGAGCGATTCCAGCAAGAGAATCAGGTTATTGAAGCTCAAGATACTGTGTCTAGGGATCCGGGGCTTCCTGCAGTTGGACCGCGCGTACGCGCGCCATCATAATGTTCTAATTATCATATTCGGGGGCATACTAGGGTCAGATGTCCTAACCCACCTAGTAATTAGTTTTATAAAAAATGCAATTGTTTTGTTGGTAAAGCGGTGCTTGAATCTAACATAGTCATGGAAATCGGAGCGGAGGTGGCGGCTCGGTAGTAGGTGGCGGCTCGGTAGTGGATTACGTTATCGATATTATTGATTATGTCAGCTAGCTATACAAACGAGCCGCGGCTGCTCTTCACTTGACAGAGTATGTGGAGTTCCTACGTTCACTATTCATAGAGGTTGACAGGCGTTACTACTGGCAGATGCTCTAAGCAACTTGAACACTGGCTCTTCCCTTACGTTTATCTAAGGTAAGTCTGAAGCCTCTTGTTATACCGTAGACAACTTGAAGTTTAATTCAAGAATATAGTCATGCCCGCCTATATGTCTAAGCATTAGATGTAGTACTGCAAGCTTCGAAGAACAAGATTGCTAGTACAATCACTATATGTAAAATGTACGGAGTAGACAGTCAATGACAGGCAAGAACTTGGGAGTCTGGGCCAAGACACACAGCATATAGATAAGTCATGGTACATCTGGCTTCAACCACTTACTCTAGAACTTCTGCAATGATTCCCCTTCGAAGCTTGCCCGTACCACAGCGTTCTATCTGGAGATTTCCCGGTTCCTCTTCCGAATTGAGACCATAAAATCATAAAGGACATCCTTGAACGCAAACAAGAATGCTGCAGTAATTGCACTTTGTGTGACCTTTGGCCCAATGCCTGTGGCCAATATTAGCTCAGTTCTGCGTGGGTTCCGCATTTTTAAATATCAATTTACCTTTGTACAAACCCACATAGCCCTCTTCTTTGATGATCCTCTTCAGTCTTCCATTCAAACTTTCCTTGGGGCCGTCCTTACTAGCGACATGCATCCGGCTTTTGACTGTAATATAAGGATACGTAATCGAAGTTGCTAGTACCTTACCTAGAGCCCCAAGATAGAATGCATCCTTTGGCGTCATGCGTCTACGGCGCTCCAGCATATTTTTCAATTGTTCAAAGATCGTATACTGCAAAATTGGGTTGATTACCAATATAAGAGCTGGAAGAACACCGGCAAAAAGAGCCTTAGGACCCTCCTGTCGAAGCAAGTCCATCAAGGTGGCAATCGTTGAGGCCTGCGACTTTTTAGCGGGAGCCCCCGGCAATGCTTCCTGGTCCAACTCGGATTTGCGGGCCGTCATTCGAGTATTTACAACCCAGATAGGATTGGTAAGCATGACGGTGGCACTCCCAGCGATAGCCCCTGCAATCATGGACTCGGACGTCGTGAGCTTCTTGGAGGCCCGGCCCGCTCGTATAGCTGCCTTCTCGAAGGCCGAACGCGTCCATTCATACCAGTAGTAGTATACGAAATTAGTGACACTGATGCCAAAAAGCGCAGATTCAAGGCCTGAATAAAGCCCAGAAACTCCTTCTCTCTGAATAATGCGACGTACAGCATCGTAAGTTGTGGAATGCGCACGCTTGGACTCGACTTGCGCTCTCGTTGAGAGGGTTATCAGCGGATAACTACAACGTATAGGATGTCAACAATTATTTTAACAACGGGAGGTGTTGCCGCACGTCAATAACATCGACAGTATACCCCCTCCGGCACCTGCCAATGCGTGTGCCATATTGTCACTTTGCTGGGCCGCAGCCGCAACCGCCTTCTTTTGTCCTTCAGTGTTGGACTGAGACATCATGGATAGCGCGTTATATCGCCTTGTTTAGCAGGGGTAGTATATCAAAAAGGCCACTGAGAACTTTGTTGAGGTACGCATGTACCTAATTCTGGTTCGGTACCTCGGTGCCTCCAAGGTGGGATACAAACGATTCGGCTTTGACAAGAGAGGGTGAAAGGGCAGGATAACAGTTGACAACCAACAATGCTCAATTGACCGTTTTAAGGTTTGGAAAAGAAGGAGCGAGATCAAAGAGGGGGTTAAGAAGGGGAAATATGTACGTGGGTACACCTTACAACAAATAGAGGGGGCTGTTTCGAGGTTGGGTGCGAGAATGGTTCGGCACTGGATGGGGGATGACGGTTTTCATGACGTTTGCCGAAACATGTGCCTCGGCTGATGGGAAACTTCATCAGCTGATCGGATCAACCTCATGCATACCACATGAAGTGTTGATTTCTTTTGGGGCACTTTGTTTAAATCGAGCTTATACACAGTAATAGGGGGTAATAACTGCCAGTGAAGGGAGGCTTACTTCACGTGTTATCTTTGGCCGAGAAGGTATCTACCATCATCCACGCTTGTTCTTATTCGTCAACAGTGAGTATCCCTATTTCGCCTTGATCCTCTTTGCTTGTCCTATGAGCATCCCACGTTAGCGTGTGGCTTAACATGGCGAAAACGCCCATCCTAGAAAGAGAAAGTGAGAGATTAGTGCTCGACTGTGTCAACCAGGGATAATTGTTAGGCGGAAGAACAACCCTAGATGTCAAATTCTTGTAAGGTGTACATTCAGTCTACTGTTCTGCCTGGATTACTAGGGAACCTAAGTAAGAAAGTGCATCCTATTCTAAGCATAATGTTGAATGTCAGGTCCACCGATATGTCAGGACCAAGTAAAAGACAAGCGGGAACGGTCATTCTGCATCCCTTATCACTTTGCACAATGGAAGATATTGGTAGGGAGTGCGAGTGCGGAACCCGACTATATTTCGATTTAAACCAGCAGATATACATGTCCACTAAGTATCATTAAGTTCTGCATTAATCGACCCTGACATAATCACGCAAAGGATCCAACTAACTAAGAGAAACTCAAAAGAACCCGATGAGAAGATGCTTGAGTTAAAGAAAGGCCACGAGCAAGAAAATAGCGATGGAAAAAGATAATAGGGAAGAAAGGTAGATGACCGCGAGGGAAAAAAGGGGGAACTGGGAGGGCAGTCAGGGGGGAATTATCCATAGAGCACCATGTATAAAGACAAAACGAAGGCCTTCTAAAGCATGAAAAAGATTACTCCCTATGGCCATCACCAGCATAGAACATTTGAAATAATGCTAGCATTCAAAGAAAACTGCCCGCAGCAGGGCGCCGCAGGTAGCCTCCCTGGTAGCTCCACTTGTTAAACCACCTTTTTTTCACCCCGTGCCAAGATGGCGTATTGCAACGCGGGATCAGGGTCATCAATTGTCTAGCAGCAGCCGCCCGCGGAGCCGGATTGAACGCCCTGGCCTTGGCCAACTTGCACAGTTGGCTTGTTGTTGACAGTAGCAGTGCCCATACGCTCCTTGATTTGTCTCGCCATTGTCAAGAAAGCCTGCTCGACATTTGAAGCGTTCTTTGCCGAGGTTTCCAGAAATGGGATCCCAAGGCTATCAGCGAATTCCTGTTTAAGATCACATACTGTGTCATTCACTGCCTCTGCTAGGATATAAAGGTCCCGGACATCCAGTGTTGACTACATACCTTGGCCACTGTGTACTCAACCACCTTTTTGTCTTCCATATCGCTCTTGTTACCCACAAGCAGCTTGTTGACACCTTCGGTGGCATAGCGATCGATTTCTTGAAGCCACTGCTTCACGTTGTTGAAAGAGTCCATGTCGGTCACATCGTAGACGACACAGATACCATGAGCGCCACGGTAATAAGACGACGTGATTGTCCGGAAACGTTCCTGACCCGCAGTATCCCACTAGAGTACCTGTTAGTTAAGACAAGTCGCCGGTGATCGTATATGGATCCCCCTTACAATCTGGAGTTTCACTGTCTTGCCATCAAGCTCGATGGTACGGATTTTCTGCATTTCAACAATCAGCGATGTCCCGATGTCTCAATACGTTGCGGGCTGACATAGTAGGAGGCTAGATACGTACGAAGTCAACCCCGATGGTCGATATGTAGCTTTCCGTATAGGTATCATCGGCGAAACGAAGAAGCAAGCAAGACTTTCCGACACCAGAGTCTCCGATGAGGAGCAGCTTGAAGAGATAATCGTATCTAACCAGAGGATTAGCACATCGACAGATACGCAAGCAGAGGGCCGGGCCGGCCAAACGGGGTGTTGGGGAAGTCGAGGATCATGGGGGCTCTAGGAAACATTACAGTCAGCATGAGAATCTGATAGCTGACACGGCCATCGACTGAAAAGCAAGGAATCCTTATGGCCAGGGGAGCATCGCCAAAACTTGGTGAGCTGTAGCCCAAATATAGGCGATCAAGGGCACTTACCACTCGGGATTCATGATGGAGCAGTTGGACTATGCGTCAGCGTATGCGAAGCTCTGTTTGGTGTTTGATGGAAATGAAAGGATCGCAGGTGGCAGACAAAGTATTAAGCGTGGCAGCAAGCCGACGTTGTAAATGATACTTGATTGTCTACTTATTGAGGTGACCGAGCGGTCTCTTGAAATGGCGGTTGCGTTGCTGACTGCAGGACAGCAGACGAGCCCAACGTGCAGGTTCCAACACTGCCACTAGTCCGTCTGCTGCCTAGTGTCGACCTCCTGGGTGGGAATGACCGTTTCACGCTCGCCCGCCCCAGACCCATGACCCAATGTAGTCTAGTGCACCAATCAGAGATAGTATTAATATCTACAGCGTAGGGAGTAGGTACGGGCGCTTCACAACCTTTACGCCACTCAGTATCATGTATAGATAACAGGAATTCAGGAAAGTGTAGTTTATATTCAATCTAGCACGTGGCCTGGGAGTGATCTCTAACACCAGAATCTCATTTACAGCTTATGAGCACCGTACAGATGTGTTTCCACGAAGATAAAGACGCAGCATTTTCTCCGTATACCAATCATGAAGTATGTATGTAATTTGTACTGGTGGTCCACGTGGGTAGGCCTAACTAAGAGTGGATAAAACACAAAGTGATCATCAAAACGCCATACCATACTCCGTGCCTAGTAAGGTCCATCGGGTGAAATACTAGATCAATCACTCTCCCCTGGTATCTATGGCTACCATCCCATAACAGATCGATTTTCCTTACGTACCTTGAACTAGGAAAAGTATGTGGATCTAACAAGTCCCCTAGCCATCCGTTTTAAACACAACTCAGATAGCCTTCTTCCGAGCATTACTTAAGTGACCTACTTAGTATTTAACTACCAAATATCCTAATCACAGGTAAGATCTCTAACAACACACTAGCCGTGCAAGTAGATAAGCAACTAGTTGGTCCTCCCCAAAAGGATTAAGCGTAGCCATGGGCCTGAAGCCATCCCAAGACCTGGTTTTCATCCCTTTCCTTGTAGTTCGCATTCGTCCGGATGCTGTCAGCAACGATCACTAAGGCACGATCGTATGCACTGGTATCCTTATCCTGGAAAAAAGAAGCGATATCGGCTGCAATACCATGGTCCGCGAACTTTGATAGCCCCATACGAACGAACCTTTCAAATACAACATTGTTCGCCGACAAACGAGCTTCAACGGATGCCCAGTTCGTTTTCATGTAATCCCAAAGAAGGTGACGAGTCAGGGGATTTGAAGCCAGTGAGACCGCACCATTATGCACGTCCTGGATTGCAACCTTGTCTGAGAAGACAAAGTCCAAGTAGTTATTGACTAGGCCAGCGTCTTTAGTACGTCCGAGGGCACCCAGACAAATTTCCTTGCCATCAACAGAATCGGTCTTAAGATACTCCTGCTTCACAGCATCGTACTCTTGAAGGCCACCCTCCGAAATTGCGATACCGAAAATCACAGAGCGGAGGTTAGTATGCACGGCATCCTTATCACTGCCTGATTTCCAAAGCTCGAATCGTTGCTTGGCCTCGGATATAATACTATGACAAGTCAGATCCTCAATGAAAGCGCACAACACCCCCAGATTGACCTACTTGTCGTGGCCCGCAAGGCCAGCCATTCCAATGAGGAGTTTACGGAGCTGCACGGTAAGATAATCATCCTCCGAGCTAAATTCCCAGCCAATCTTATTGGCAGCAGGGGACGCCAGTTCAAGGGAGAATTTCTTAAGCCCCGCTGCTACCGACTCGTTCAAGGCAAATACCGAACGCAAGTTTGCAACGGAGGAAGATATTTGAGACCAGGCCCTATGATAATCATTAGGAGCCAAGAAGGAAGCAGAGTGGTAGAATCCCGGGAACTGGGCATAGAGTGTTTTAATGGGGTACTCACAGATAATTTTTCTCGTCCTTAAATCCCTCTAACAGAGCCAGTAAGGCAGCAGTGTTTCCGTCTCCGGAAACGGCTAGGGCAGCGGCATCGCCAATCAACCCAATCTTATCTTCGGTGCTCAACAGGTCCAAGGATTGGCCGAGTTTTTCCAGCCGGTCAGCAGGATAATTGGTTCGGTAGAAGCCAGAGAGGTCCTTGTTTAGCTTGTAAAAGGAATCTTGTCCGACACCCCCAAGTATGTCTGCCTTGGAAACAAGGGCACCGGACTTTACGTCTGCCATCTTAGGGTCCGACTTCACGCCAAGGGGAATCCACCAGGTCGTCTCATCTTCTTCGGGCTTTGCATCACCCGTTGACAAGAAGCGGCTTTGACGAACACTGATCTTACCTGGTTCCTCTGTTATAGTGACAACGGGAAAGCCGATTTTACGGATCCAGGGGTCCTTCACAGTGCAGTCAGAACAGTGCCCCAAGTGCTAAAACAGCATGACATACCATGAAACTAGTAACATCCTGATTGGACGCTTTGCTGAGTGCGCTCCAGAGGTCATTGGTGGTGGCGTTACCTGGTTTCCATTCGTAATCAGTATTCATCCTGATATTTCTCCAATTATGCACTTGCCATATGCGTGGGATTTAAGATATGCAGCAACCCCACGTAGAAAAGTTTCTCGACCAAGATGATCACTCAACATCCGAATGACCGAGCTTCCCTTAAGATAGCTAATATGATCAAAGATCTGATCGACTTCGAGAGCGTTCCTCACAGGCACTTCAATAGGGTGAGATGCTCGCAATGAGTCGAGTTGAAATGCTTGTTGGACACCTTCAGCCTATGCAAAAAGTTAATTTCCTGCCATGCAAAGGTGAATTTACCTCGGGAGTTGCGCACAACGAACTGAGACCAGATGTTCCATTCTATTTACATATGCTATATCAGCTGTACTTGATCTGTTAACAGTTAGGGGGCATTGCCTACCAGGATAGAAATGATCGACAGCAAGCCAGCCAACCCATGTCGCAAAACCCTCATTGAGCCACAGCTCGTTCCACCAATCCATCGTTACGAGGTTCCCAAACCATTGGTGTGCCAGTTCTGGATGATGCATGGTTAGATACAGAGCAGCCTATTATTCAAAAGGAAAACAAACCGTGAGCGACAACATATGCAATGCGATTCTTGTACCTGGTATCCGACTTGCCCTCATTGAAGAGAACGGCAGTCGTTCGGTAGGTGACAAGTCCCCAGTTCTCCATAGCACCCATGGCCTGTAGCAGTTTCAATTAGCTTATTTGAATAATTCAAAAAACTGGGCTGGTTGTCTTACAAATTCATGGACAGCAAGAAGATCCGCCTTAGGCAGTGGATATTCGATCTCGAAGACCTCAGAGAAGTAGTCGACAGTACGATGGGCACATTCCAAGGCAAACCGAGCCTGTTCCTTGAGACCCTTGGTCGTATATACACGTACAGGTATGCTCTTGCCTTGATACTTGCGCTGAGTCATAGCCTCGACGTATTCGAAATCGCCAACTGCCCATGCCAAAAGCTAAAGAGTATTTCTTAGTCAGTTTAAGTCACCATCGGGTATTTATGCCGACTAACATATGTACTCATGACTGGAGTCGTTTCGAAAGAGACGAGCTTAAGCCCTGGTTTACTGCCGCTCCTCTCAGACTTGATAGGCATGTTGCTAAGAGCCGTTTGACCGCTGGGTACCTCAATCTCGAAATCGAATGTGGCCTTCAAGTTCGGCTCATCGAAGCAGGGGAACGCTCTGCGAGCATCACAAGATTCGAACTGGGTGCTCAGCATGTAATAGAAATCTCCCTCCTTGGGAGTATCTTCGGTCGGGTCCACCACTGGTGTGTACTTGGAACGATAGAATCCAGCCATGGCATTGTTCATGGTACCGGTGAAACTGATTGACAGGACAACGTCCAAAGGAGCGATCTCTTCAGAAAAGATTAAGGTGACTCTTTCCGATTTCGTATCGTATGTGATGTCGGACGCCTTTGCCAATTTGGTCCCTAAAGGCAACCAGTACGTTAACCCCCAATCTCACTGATGGATGGCAGATGGGTTAGTTCAATTGAACCGGATAATGCACTGACCATCTTTCCCATGAACCTCAGCATCCTGGACTTCGATTTCCTTTGAATTTATCACAATCTCTCTAGTGGGACGAGTGATCTTAGAATCTATCCTGACGACGCCCTTATAGCCCCACGCGCCGCCAAGTTGAAGATCGAATAGAGACACATTGTAATGAACTGGCTTGACCCTATCACCATTTGTTAGAGGGTTGCCTACAGATGGTTGCGGAATCCCAAGCTCTTGACAGTCTGTAACTTACACGTCCGGAAGAATATCTCTATCCTTCGATGCCATTGCGCGGATTTCAGACGAGCAGCACCTTACAGAGATGGGCGACGATACAACACGCTTGACCGGACAAAAAGTCTGCGTGTGTGCAGAATAGGGCAGACAGGAAAGGGAGCGGGGGCGTGTCGCAGAAAATAAGGAGGGGGAAGGGGAGGTGAAGGAGGGGCAGAGGTGGGAGACTGGTCGGACCGGTCGATAAATTGGAGAGTGACCACGGACTGCATGAGCGTTCATGCCACCACGGCTGGTGGACGCAATGCACCGTCTTCCCCACATTTTTAGGACGGAACCAATCTGCCTGCCTACGGTTACTTTCGGAGCAAATGACAAGTTTGTGTAGTATACTCCGTAGTAATACGGAATGGCTAGTTAAAGTGTTCAGGTTACGGAGCAGGCTTTCTCCGGCAACAGGGGAGATCGAAGTAGGAGAAAGGGCAGAAAGAATCGCTTGTATTAATATAAAAACCGGAGTGAGAAAAGTGCCAGAGGCAGGGAAGGGGGGGTAAGATACAATAAAAATAAAAATAAAAATGAGAAATGAAATTGAGAACTGAATGAAAACAAGTTAGATAATTGAAAAGAGGTGAAAAAGAGCAAGGGTCGGAGCTCCGTCGGAGCTCGGACCCTCTTTGTGATCAACCAAGTCCACGGAGTGGGGACATAGCTAGACCATTTTCAACCACTGTTATGACGCCCGACGCGCTCTTGGGTTGACGCACTTGCTTTTCTCAGCTCACTCAGTACAAGATGGCAGATTCCGATGAAGAGTACATTGGGGAAATCTCTGAGGACGAGGGTGAGAGTAACATCCCTCAAGGATCTCGAGGCGAGACCACTGTATCCCGTTCCAAGAGAAGAAAGCACCGTGGAGGCGCAGAATGGGAAGTCTCAAGAACTTGGGAGACTTTGGTCGAGGGTGCCGATGGTACAATCAGCTCTACAGTCGAAGGGCTTCTGGAATCTGGAAAAAGGAAAAGGTAGAGTGGTCATAAACCAGCTAGGTCCAAACGTGATCGCTGGGTTGGAGCTGAACTCGTATTTGCACTTGCAGACTCCTCAAAGACACAACGCCCTTGCAACGGGGTATAATCCGCCACCTCATTCTGGTTCTGGATCTGTCTCAATCAATGGCCGAAAAAGATCTCCGACCGACACGCTACCTACTGGCCCTACGGTATGCACAAGAGTTTGTGAGGGAGTTTTTTGAGCAAAATCCCATCTCCCAACTTGGCGTCCTTGGCTTGAGAGATGGTCTTGCAATCAGGGTCAGTGATATGAGTGGGAACCCTACTGAGCATGTCAGTGCCATCCAATCCTTGCGAGATCAAGACCCAAAAGGTCTCCCTAGTCTGCAGAATGGCCTTGAAATGGCTCGAGGTGCTTTGTTGTATGTCTCTTTCGCGATAGCATTATACATTCTTGAAATGTCAAGCCTAACCTATCATGCGACAGCCATACTCCAAGCCATGGCACCCGTGAGATCCTTGTCGTTTTTGGCTCCCTCCTTTCCTCTGACCCAGGTGATATTCACCAAACAATCACTACGCTTATCAACGACAAGATCCGTGTTGGAATCGTGGGCCTTGCTGCACAAGTAGCCATCTGTCGAGAAATTTGTGACAAAACCAATGGGGGCGATGAGACTACTTATGGCGTGGCTCTCAATGAGCAGCATTTTCGTGACCTCGTGATAAAAGTGACAACGCCGCCAGCTACATACTCTCAAAAACAGTCCACGAGCTCTCTCTTGATGATGGGTTTCCCGTCTCGTACTGTTGAGGCTTATCCTTCCCTGTGTGCATGCCATTCTACGCCTTCTCGAGGGGGCTACCTGTGCTCACGGTGCAACAGCAAGGTTTGTGGTCTCCCTGCCGAGTGTCCTTCCTGCGGTCTTACTTTGATACTTTCAACCCATCTTGCCCGGTCATACCATCACCTGTTTCCCCTCATGAATTGGGTGGAAGTTCCGTGGCAGCGTGCTTCATGCAGTGCTGTCTGCTTTGCTTGCGGTATACCCTTCCCCCCCGTGCCACCCAATGAGCAGTGGCAAATTACAGAGGGCCAAGCAAAGGGGATGAGTGTAAGCAGCCGCTATGAATGTACTGTGTGCAATAACCATTTCTGCATTGACTGTGATCTTTTTGCTCATGAGGTCGTGCACAACTGCCCTGGCTGTCAAAGCAGGGTAATAGCCCCTACGAAGCCAGAATCCCAAGAAGTCCTAGACAAGATGGATACCTCCGCATGAGCGTGTGGATGCTCCCGGGCCACATGCCAATGTGCTTACCGCACGGCGTTGTTTTCGCAACCGGTGGAACAGGCCCCCGTCATCATAATAAGCAGTGTGCTTGCAGTGGCGCGGCAAGACTTTCGGTCACGTTGTCAAACTAACGAACAGTTGGATACGGATTCCAAAAGACCTAAGAGGACCCAGCATGCATTATCCACCTCACGTTGGTCAAATCGCTAATCCATACCGTTTACCAAACGCGGGTGCGTTGAAAATCTTCGAGCCGTATATGACGCATTTGGCGGTCGCTATACCGCTGCTCTTATCAAGCTTGAGTAGAAGCAATAGTAACTACCGAATCAATGAACAAGCCGTATTCTGCTAGCAGAATGCATGCAGCAGCTCCCGTATGTATTGCGTATCCAAGATCTAATTAATTATTATTACGAGTACGTAGCAACCCTGAGTCTTAGCGGCAACCCCGCCTGATCGGTAATAGTAGTATCTATCTAGTACGTCCCAGAATACTAGATGGACCTCGGCTAATCTTGATCCCGGCCGCCCTTGGAGCACACTCGCCTACTGGTATCATCACAAGGTGGTCAGGCGATTATAGACAGAGAGAGAGGTGCGAAGTGGGAACATCCACTCTGAATTAAGCAACGGCTATCACTGCCTGTTTTCAGAGACCCGCGACTTATTGTGGAACTTCGTGAGCCTTCGATTCCGCTCTTTGGGTGAAGCCTTCAATCCTCGCTTTATAGTGAGCACACCAAATGGCAGAGCTGAGGCCCTTGGAGGTTGAGCAATTCGAAAGATTAAGCTCGTACCCTTTCAGTGCGGATCGAGAATTTGCGGTCGGGCTTTCAATAATACTAGGTCATCCGGAATTGCCTGCGTCGGAAGCAGAAATCAATCGCAGTGATGACCTTACACTCCAAGCCAAATGCTTCTATTTCTCAAGGTATATACATACGAATCACCCCGTGGTCCATAACATCGAGCCTCGACATTACTTAGTCCTACATATGTACTGGTACTGATTTCTGTCGCTACGTCTTTTTCTCGGTCTCAGGAAAGAAAAGCTCACGCCGCCGCTCAACTTCTCAGACTACAAAACCTGGTTGGGGTCAGCGCCAGCAGGGGCTGCTTCCTTAATTAAGACGGCCATGCAGCAATCCAACCCTGCCGGCTTTTCGTCTACAAACCATACAGGGGACATACCGAAATCTTCCGAGGAGCCTGCTTACCCCTCATCATTCGCACATATAGTTGAACTGATCACAACTGGTCAGCCAATTCCAGGGATTCAGCAAATTCCAGATACAGTCTTGACAGGACATGATACGCCAAGTGAGAAGCCAAAGAGACGGAAGCCGTGGGAGAAAGAAAAAGGTATTGAAGATCAGGACATCTGAATACGTCCATGCAGGGCCTGAAGATCTACAAGCCGGGTATGATGACTTCTGAGGGGCAGGGCATGATTGTGTTCAGTCTGCAGACAATATAATTCCCGCAGGTTACAGGGCTGCAAAGAATAACAACCTCAGACAAATGAGTGATTGAAATGATACATTAATTCATAGTAAAAATATAGACCCCGACGAGTAGGTGGACTACAAGTGTTTGCTTTCGTAAACCAAGCTCCTGACCTGCATAAGCAACTCACACCTGTAATTCTTCGACCGATATAGAATGTTCAGCAGCTTCATAAAAAATTGGAGTTTCCGAGTCCACCTTGCTGCACGTCCCACTTCCTTGCTCCTCGATCAACCGCTCTCTATCTTGTGTCATTTGGTTGTCCTTCTAATTCTCTCGGGTATAAGAAGAAAGGGTACCTTAAGCCATAAGGTAATCTGACCCTGCCCGATCCCTAGGATAGCGCGTATAAAGAAAGATATGTGTTAACTTCTCAGCTGGGACGACGTCAAAACATGCCTCGGAGCAAGAGCATTTGTGGACGGGGTACTCGACGCTTACCTTAGGGAAGACGACTCGAAACCGATACTTTCTGTCAATAAACAACCATATGGCTACAAGGTGATGCACAAACAAGTATTTTTATGGAAACCATCAGCGAAATGGTGGGTAGCTAGGGTTCCACTGGCTCCCACGGCTGAAACGCCCCCCGTGCTGTCCAGCAATCGGGAACCTGTCGTCATTGAAGTTGTTATAGCGGCCGATTGGCATCCCAGAGCCAGGGCCCGGGCGAGTCGCATGAGAGGGGTTGCAACAAAGCATAGCTACACGTGAACCGAATTTGGAACCTCGTAAAGACACCATGTGTTTACTTCGGAGATCCCATGTTAGATCTGTTCGGAACTATAGTGAGAAAGGGGGCTGTACCGAATATGGCTGGCAACCAGCTCACGCTGGTGAGGGGCAGCATTCATCAAGATCCACTGGATAAGGTAATTGCCGTACTGATCCCCAGCAACTACTTTATGTTAGAAATGCTCTAGGTGCAACAATCAGGGTACACGCAGACTTACTGTCAATCAAAGGCATTCTTGGACGGTCAGTTCGGCCGGTGCAGACTCGAGCAAGAAAGCGATCCAGAAACTCAGATCCTCCGATCTTCAAGCACTTCTCTACAATCTTGGAGGCAAATTGGTCCATACTATAATCTACTGACCATAGAATGATGTGTTCTACTGCGCGACTCTTGTCCTGAGGAGCACCATGCTCACAGATATGCTGAATACACCAGTTTCCAAACTGGCCATGTGCGAGCACGTCAATCTTCGCTAGCACTTCTTCAATTGCTGGGCGCTAATTTCTCTGTCAGCATACGTCTTCTCCAAATCTGCTATAGGTAGGGGTGATGGGAGGATTTCAGGATATCTCATCACTCTGCATCCCGATTCTTGAGATAATGAGGAGCGTGGCTCTTTGGAAGGAAAAGACTGAAAGGTGGACGGAGTTTGAGATAAGAAAAGTTATCACCTTCTCATCCTCAACGCAATTCTCGAAGATGTTTTGGACTACCAGGCTTCCTGTCTCACCCAACGCAACCTCATGCCACATTCCTCGCAGTGCCTCGTTTACTTTTGTCATTATCTGGGGTGGCTCGCCACTCCAACGCAATTCGAAAAGCTTCTGCCAGACATGACACGCATACCGGTGAATAACGGTTTCCGGGATCCTGCGTAGGAGCTCATGAACCATAACTGCCTTATGTTCTTCGGGAACGCAGTCAAAGGCTTTTTGAATGACGTGGCAACCAAATGGATCCATACTAAGACTCAGTGTATTTCCTTTGATTGCATTGGCGATTGACACAACTTGCTCCGGAGTCCCATGCTCGAAGCAGCGTTGGACAAGGAAGTTCCCAAAGCGGTTGACCATCAGGGGATAGGCTTGGTGCACTATGGCCTCAATAATGTCATATTTCTGCTCGGTTGTTCCGACCTTGAGTTTCTGTTGCAAGAAAATTGATGCCTGTTGATCATTGTTGCAAACTATTTTGTCAACTATATATTTCCAATCACAAGAAACATTTCTGTCAAGGAGCCGGCGGTAGTTTATTGGTTCAAGAGGCGATATGTACGTTTGATTGGTAGTTCCGCCCACCTAATAGTATTAGCCTCGTAGTTGAATGTTAGAATTCGAGCTAACACTTACCGAAGAATTTGGCCATGGTGCCGTATTAGTGTTAGGGGCGGTGAATTCAGTCGCAGTGGGCGAAAGAGGTGTCCCAACGGGGCGTTGATGGTATTGTGGGATAGGATATAGACCAACCTGTTGATAAGTGTTGTTTGACCTATTTGCAGGAGACCTCGGTCCATGTGAGTCAGAAGAGCCAGGGGTTAATGTGCTCCAAGCAGGGCTTTGTGTTGGAAAACATGATCCACTACGGCCGGCCTGAGTGACTGAACGGCGTGGTCCTAGCCCAGGTCCTTGGAGATATCTAGCCTGTTCTTCGGGAAGCCGCGTATCGAAGGTGTAAGCCCCTTGAGAAGGACCTGAAAACACGCGATGGGATCGAAATATATCATGACCAGGTATGCTGGGATTCGTATCCGAGTTACCCCAAAATTTGTTCGAATCTCCACCGAAAGGGTTATTGTTAGGTAAAGATAACGGCTCGCCATAAGGTCTTTCGGTAGCCGAAGCACTAATGCTCGTGCTACATACTTGCTGCGTCGGAGGAATCCAGTATCCCCGAGCTCTATTGTACGCTCCGGCTGAAAGTGCATCGGACATATCTGATTGAGAATCATCCTGGGCATTCCATCCGTCTTGAAACTGACTGAATGTTTGATTGGATGAATTGAGTGCGCTTTGTAGGTTGCTTATTGTTTGTTCTGTGATTTCACGTCCATTGAAGTCGGTTTCAGAAGGAGGCCCAAGTGCCTGGTCTAACGTATGTTTAATCACACGTGTCTGCGCCAATTCCTGTTCCTGGAGGGCAATTTTTGAATTAGCAGCAAGCAGTTCTTGCTTCAAGCGTAGAACTTCAGATATATCAATTGATGCAGTATCTGACTTGTCAATATCTGTCAGCTGCGAGACCTGGTGTGCATCCCTAGCTGGCAGTATACTCGAGGCCACACTTAACTCTGTATCGCCTCCTGGAAGCATCCTGTGTTTGACAAATGCGTGATTTTGCGTCTTGAGCAAAATTTGCTTCTCAGATAACCTTGTAATGATATCTTGCTCTACAGGAAGCTTGGTGGCAGATGACTGGGGCTTGGGCGAGAGCTTCGCAAGAAGCTTCTCCATCTCAGAGTGCCCGGTTAAAGAGACATAATTTGAGTGCTCTAGCTTCTGCTTCTAGGATTGTGAGAACTCAATATGCTAGAGGCTTTTCGGGAGACAATCTGACCTTGTTGGACGGAATGTCATGCCTATCACCATCCGAGGCTTGGGTATTCCCAATTTTAAAGGGTATTGTACGATCTGGAGGGCTGTTTGTGATGTTCGAATGTTTGTGGCCCTAAAATATGGTAGGAAATTTCGTTAGAGAAGGACACACCCAAGGCTGCTCCAAAATTTGTATCCGTTACTTACTGACGCTTCGCGTTCGAGATGTAATGCATGTGTCATAGTACTCCCGCAACTATCAATGATATCCCCTTCGGACTGTTTGCGTCCAAACTTGGGGGAGCCATCTGAGAGTAGAGACATTTTTGTTGGAACTGTGAACCAAAAACACTGCCTCGAAAGCTGCAATCCGAAAGCGTCGGTGAACAAGAGAGACCCTTCAGGCGAACAACAAGAGGTCGAAACCACGATGGCAATATAACAAACGGGGTGTACAAAATCCAAATTTTCCACAAGTAATGGAAAGCTGAAAATGGAGCAGATAGCTAACAAATGATCGTAAGTGGGGAGATACGTTCAATTATCTTCGCAACAACTCAGAGAGTACTAGATGGCAGTATCTAGAGCCAAGGAAATCAGATCCCTGAGATCTCAAATTATGCATGTCACCAAGGCTGTTTTGAGGAGCCGCGGGCAGGGAAAGAGCGATGAGGAACGTATCTAAGGGGGAAAAACTAAGAATGGTGGAAGATATGTAATGGAAGCTGCAGAGCAAAGTACCAATTCTGAAAAGCGACTCTTAACAACAGCCCCGAGTAGTTGTTCATCCACTTTGTAAGTCCACTTACTTCTATTTCCTGTAGTTAAATTCCATAGGATGTATCAGATTCCAGCAAGAGGCTAGGGACTCATATCATCTTCGGCATGAGCAGTGCTAGGAAATAGAACTAAGTAACTATCTCCATGTCCATGCAGATTTGATAACCCCAATGTACGTGCTCTTGGATCAGTGGGGAGTTTAGAAGCTTAGCATTTGTTCTAACTTTTCTAATATATAGCTAGAAACCGCAGCTTTCCCGAGGGAAAGATATGTAACTTCTTAACAACTTTGAGTACGGATTATAATATGAGCAATAGCTGTTGCTGCCTACTGGGAATTTGGGGGGGGGGGGGGGAGGTCGTAATCCTTAAGATGATTCACCAAGCCCTGTGCGCCTTTTGTTTTGCCGGGATTATTCTCTATGGTTGGCAAGTCTAGTTTTGTAGCGGGATTGAACAATAGTACAATATCTCTACTATCTATCGCCATATGATAAACTTCTACATACAAACATTTATCGTATTTGAGCTTACCACTGGACTGGTGCTATAGTTGCTAGGTCGTAACTTGAATTGTCATCGCTTTCTTTGACTATAAAAGGGGTAGCTGAGGTTATTCTATAATCAACAGGTTATTGTTGGGCTTTGTAGATAAGGATGGGGTGCAATATTTTTACATACATACTTGTCATATTATGCAAACTGAGAGACAATATACAAAGGCCCTGTGTTGTTTTATGTTCCCTTAGTTTCCTAACTAAACATTGCATTATACCACTCGAAAGATTAATTACAGAAGGCGAAGAAAATATTGGAACCTGATCACCTTGGAATTGTTCCACTAGCTAGGAGGTATCTCTTCTGGTCGAGTTGGAAGATTCTGTCAGAAAACGACTGACACGGTCACTCACAACAGTTTCTTATCTATATAGACAGGCCATAAATATATGTACCTAACTAAGAAATAGTATTTGGATTACCAACACCCAAAGAAAGACTGTAAAATATGTTGGGACACAGAGTCTTCGTTCCGTCTGTTCTCCAGATGGCCAGTGGATTTCCGTTTTGGCCTACTGGTATGAACTTAACAGACTATAATGATCGCGGCGCCGTGATGATAGCCTCAAGTCTTAAGAGTTGGAAGTTACAACCATATGAAATTGTGAAGGGTTAATATTGCCTTTGTTCATGCTGATGTTCCATCTCCGTTAGCAAAAACCAAAATGATTACCCATGTAGCAGGGTTAATTGTAGCCCTGTGGACTCCCACAGAGCTTCTACAGCGGTATACTAAGGACTTAGCAAGACGAAGATAAAGATAACTAGATGACGCGCATGGTGGATACATACACTACCTACTATGTAGTATGTACAAGTCATTGGGTGGATACGCCGGAGAATCTAGTAGTAGTACTTACTATGTACGGAGTACTAGTACTGTGTAGTAATGGCAATGGGAGCTTGTCCTGGGAACCCGTTCGGAGTCCAGGTAGGTAGTAATGTTGAAATCCGCTCAAGCCTCAGGCCTTTATCCGCCATACATAGATAGTAAGACACCGAGAGTTGGGTCCAACAAGTAATTATCTACTAGATATGTAGTGGTTGCAGGTCGCTCGGGTCCGTTTTTTCGGTCGCGCGGTCCGTTGCTGGTTGGTAATCAGGTTTTAGTCATGTGATGCTTTAACAAGCTATTTCTTATTATTGTTATAAATTTCAGCTCGCATTATCTTTTTCAATACTCTTATATATTTATATTTTTATTATATAATATCTTTATTTTTAATATTATTTTTAAGTAGTTGAAAAGTAGTTCACAAATAATTAAAAAGTACTTTCTAAGTACTTTTTAAGTAGTTTAATTATAAATTTAAAAACTTATATATTTTTAAAGTTAAATTAATATTTTATTAATATATTAAATACAGTGAATTACATGGTTTTATTACAGTAATGTATAAGATAATGTGGTTCATTCCTGCTTACTAAGGGTCTTGGCATCACGTGAAAATAGGTACGGCTCACATGAACATTAAAACTAGGTCGCGTGAACTACGTCCACAGATATGTACGGAGTAGCTAGTTAACTAGTTATACCTAGTTGCTTAGGTAATTGCATAACGTAATCCACAAGCGAGTGGGCCGCACAAGCGAGTGGGCCGGCGCGCCCGGCCAAACATGCCTCCATGAAAAGATGAAGCTTATATAGTCCACTATATCAATAAAATAATGTGTTTAACTGGTGTTTTAACATGTTGGACATCTTGTTCTTATATACTTAATTGTTCTATACTTGCTACAGCGAGATAGTGCCTGACAGCGAGGCTGTTTCTCACCTGTAGCTGATTCTATAAGCTGACTTTTATTAACTTAATCAGTCTTACAAGTCTGTTTAAACGCGATTTTAGCCTTTTCAATAGTGAGACTGTTAAGGCCGGCTATTTAGTAATAAGACCTCTTCTTCTTAGTGTTTTATCTCTCTAATCTAGTCTATAATTTATTAACTTTCTGCTCAAGCAAAGCAGCCTAGTTAAAGATAATTTTATATTCTTTTATAACATAGAATAATGCTGCTTTTATCTGTAAAGATAGGCTAATTATATATTTATAAAGAAGACTTTTAATAGTAATTTCATGCCTCCGTAACTGCCTTATATTCTTAGATATTTTTAACACTGTTAATATAATAGAAATACTGCTAGTTGGAATAGGCTCACGGAGCTGTATAACCAGCCTATCAAGAACCTTGTTTAGTTAGAATAAAACTAATCCTGAAGTCTTAAAGATATTGCATATAATTAATTCTTTAAAGATAAGAAAATATATATTTAGATATATATTTAAAAAATTAATCTTATTAATATAATAAATATTCTAATAAATTAGTTGTTTTATTAAACTTCTATATATTTATTTTAATAGTATAAAGTAAGTAATATCAAGTAGTTAATAAAGATATAAAGAATATAGAGACACACAGATAAAAATAATATTATTTTAGTTATATATATTATTAAATTCCAGAGTTAAATAGGAGTCATGTTTGTCAAGAATTAGAAAGTTATATTACTTAATCTGCCAGTCTTTAATAGAAGAAATAAAGTATTTATAAAGCTAATGTAAACTAATCTTATTAGAAATTTAATTATTTAGTGATAGATTGATATACTAATTAAATAAAATAAGATCTTGATATTATATCTCTATATAAATCTTTCTCTTAAGAATTAAGTATAGCACCAACACCACACTGATAATATTAATATACTTAATTAAGATTACTTATTCACGGTTATCAGACTGTATAAGAAACAGTTTATCTATATAATTAGATCTTGTGATTATATATGCTGTAGTTATTATATTTATAATAAAGCCTGTTTTATCAAAGTTCCAGATATTTTCATTGAGAATACTGTATTTCTTTCTTATAGCTTCAACCTGATCGAACTATTTATTTAAGAGCTTGGAATCTTCACATTTCACATGTTGGATATAATATCTTCAAGAGAATTGACTCTTTAAAGCCGGTATATGCTTAATAAAGTTATATATCCAGTTTTCGTTGACAGAGACTGCGGAATTCGAGGCACGTTTTTAAAGAAGAATAGATACCATATTCTGAATATATAACGGCTGAGGATAAAGCCCACGCTTAATAAGTGAGAGTATCCAGTCCTTTAAAGCCTCTTCTTCAAGAAGAGTCAGTTTCATAGACTTGACACGTATATCTGAATATGATTTGACTTCTTTAATATATTATTATAGAGTTAAATGCAGAATATTGTAAGCGCTTGCAGCTTTGTTTATATATAAAATTCTGCTACTTTGAATAGTCTTAACAGCTAGGCAGATACGGCCTTCTTGTTCCACCAAAGATTTTGACGATTGAGGCATGTCTGGTAGAGTTGTTAGTGATTGAATAGCTTCAAGTTAAAGAACGCGAGAATAACGCGCGCGCCGGCCCACTCGCTTGTGGATTACGTTACTAACTAGTTAACTAACTAACTAGTCTAAGTAAGCTCCAAGTTACTAGTAACTGTAGCATCCCGCCCGAGCAGCGTGCTCCCAGTACTTGATTTTTATTCGCCAGTGAGGATTCGTCATCTAGAAAACTGCAAACGTTACCTACGGCACCGTTCTGCTACCCACTTCTGCCCACTTTGATGTACTCCTCAAAAACGCAAGCTCATCAACGTCGCGCCTGGCTTTCTGAATAAGGGAATCGATTATAATCTAGTCACTGTCTAAGAAGACTGGAGGGTTCGACGGTTAGACTACCATATCTAACTATCACCATACAGGAGTCGGCTTCCATGGTAAGGTGATATTACACTATGATGCCTGGGGCCAGCTAACAGCGCCAGTCATTGCTCTAGGTTGTCGCAGTCAATGAATTAGGAGATGACCACAACAATCGTGACTGGCACTGGAAGACGTTCTTCTATACGGCTACCTGACCTTCAAGCTCCGGTAGCTTCGTCCATCTCACAACAAATGACAAGTCCGATAGACAAGTTCCCGCCATTCATTGATGAGGTATATGAAACGACAGCCGAATCCAGGGAGACACACTCAAACACTTCGGTCAGATATGCGCCGACAGATCGCTGGGAGCCGCGAAAACAAATCCAATTTCCCCGAGATCATAAGCATGGTCCTGCATTGAATTCGAAGAGAAGGTCAAGAAAAAGTATAAGCGAGGCGTTTAGCACAATAAGAACTCGCAATGGTAGTGTTAGTGCCAATGCTCAAGAGTTGGCCGAGGCTCTTAGAGCTCCGGTATCGTACAAGTTGATAGTAAGACTATTGGTGTCTATCATATTGTGTCTAGGCTGCTGCTTACCTCGAGTTAGGTTCTCTGTCTCATTTGGTATACGACCTCCGCTCTGACGAATACCTCATCGAAATCCATTTTGAATGCCCTCCCGAAACCAATAACTCTTACAATCATACAATTTGCTTTCGTAGCATTCTGGTGCTTGGTATTGTCATACCTGTCGACCACGCTACCCTGGCTAAAAGACAGCATACCGGCCCTCAAGAACGGCATTCGTCCCCCATCCCGTGACGTTGTCATGACGGCTTTGCCTTTGGCTGTGTTCCAGTTAGCCGGCCATATACTTAGCTCCATGGCTACTTCACAGATTCCTGTCTCACTCGTCCACACTATCAAGGGACTCTCGCCTCTTTTCACAGTTTTGGCGTACCGTGTGTTCTTCCGGATCCGGTATGCCAGAGCAACATATCTTTCTCTTGTCCCATTGACCCTAGGTGTAATGCTTGCCTGTTCTACAGCCGTTTCAACAAATTTCTTCGGCATACTGTGTGCATTAGTCGCGGCTTTGGTCTTCGTCTCTCAAAATATATTTTCAAAGAAGCTTTTTAACGAAGCGTCCCGTGCGGAATCAGAGGCAGAAACATCCAGCCGAAGAAGACTGGATAAGCTGAACTTGCTTTACTATTGTTCAGGATTAGCCTTCATTCTTACATTACCTATATGGCTTATATGCGAAGGATATCCTCTAATCTCAGACTTTATGCAGGATGGCGCCATTTCATTGTCAGGAAATAGAGGCTCACTTGATCATGGCGCGCTCTTCCTTGAATTCGTATTCAATGGAGTGTCGCACTTCGCACAGAATATACTGGCGTTTGTTCTCTTATCTATCATTTCACCAGTATCTTACTCCGTCGCGTCTTTGGTGAAAAGAGTTTTCGTGATTGTCGTTGCGATCATTTGGTTTGGAAGCTCAACAACACCTATGCAAGGTTTTGGGATCGCTCTTACTTTCGTTGGGCTCTACCTCTACGACCGCAATAACCATGATGACCTGGCAGATCAGAGAGCAAATTCCGATCATTTTCGCACAAGGGAAACCGTCCTCCCACTGAATGCTCGGACCACAGGCAAAACATGGGACTCAAGTGGCTATGCTTCCTTAGCAAGCAAACTCTCTCACCATCAGCCTTCAGGTGGCCCTGCCTCACATATGAGTGATCCCAAAAAGGAAGATGATGAACAGGGTCGTGCTCGCCCAAGAGGAAGCAGTAGCTCCAGAGTGTGGCTACCTCCTGGCACGAAGCAAAAAACAACTTGGCAGCGGAATCATTCCTAGGTGCCTCTTTTCTTGCCATTGTCGTCTTTATTCTACGATATCCCATGTCTATTCTTTGTTGAGATCTAACTGTAACATGTTCTGGTGATTGCTAGTGGGCATGTATTGATACTATGAAACACATTTTTTTGAGCATGGCGAAGCCATACATACCATATAGGCCAGTTTTGTCCACCTGGATATCCTAGTGTACCTTTTTGGAGAACTGTCGAAATATCAGGTATAAGACTGTGGGTAGTGTATACATATATATCCATCAGTACTATATAATCCCAGAAGTGCAGATTACTAAGGTTATCTGTGCGTCATAAGCAATACGTACTATCTAGTACTGCAGTGGATATGATAGAAAAATTCCATGTCACTACGGAATGCTCCGTACTCATAGATTTGATAGGGCTTCAGAAACCCCCGTCCAAGAAAGCCCGCGAGCTCCCGGTGTCCACCCTTTCATCCTCCCAACTAAGGGATTGAGACCACATAAATCACAGTGCTGTTCTACTAAACTCATCCGGAATGCGATAGAGAAGACAAGATCATATTATACATGTATAATGTATACAAGTGCCCCTGCTGGCTCTTTCTTCTCCCCGCAAAGGCAATAAATGTAGCGACTGTCGATAAAGAACTATACCCTCATCAGGCTATCCTTTCAGAATGGCCCTAAGGAGCTCCAGCTCAGTGCATCTATTCTTGGGTCATGTTGCAGAGGAAGAAGGGAAATGAAGGACCCTACCACCTACAATAAATCATGCCCGTGAATGAGTTATGGTGAGAAAAGAAAAGAAAGGAGAGAGGAAGAAATCATGTCCGAAGCTTATTAAGAAAGAAATTGTGTAAAGCGGAATAATATCTTTTCCGGATAGCCGAGCCAATCCGCAAGCGGCAATTTGCGAGTGACGCCCGGCTCATGGCTGGCAGAATCCGAACCAAGCCAAAAGTGCTCTCATCAAGGACCACGCAGCTTTATAGACTCCCACCTGCAAGTTCATATCACATCTATTGAGCTTACTACTCAATACTATTCCCTTCTTACACATCTGCTTTTATACACAGCATGCGGCCGCAGTTGTCTCGTGCGGCCGCCCGGTTCGTCCGGGTCTCCAAGGTCAATTACCCCAGGACATTCGCGACGACAATCCCTCGTTCTGCAGAGGTTGAACTCACAATTGGTAAGCTATGACTCTCGCCGAACTAGCCTTGCTTCTCTAACTATATCTTAATCTTTAGATGGGAAGAAAGTTTCAGTCGAAGGTGATCTCACGTCTTAATTCACGGTTTCTTATTATCCTGCTTACATGGCTTAAAGCTGGCTCTGCTCTTATCCAGGCCTGCGAAAAAGCAGGCGCCACAATTCCAAGGTAATCCCAGCTATATATATATATTCCACAAATCCAAATACTAACAGGAGTTGATAGATACTGTTATCATGAGTATGGTATAGAAGTCCTAATATCGCTGTTTTGAATACTGATCATGTTATAGAAAGCTCTTGATTGCAGGAAATTGTACGATTTTTATACCGATGCGGAACTCGCAAGAAGCCTACTAACCATTGTTTAGGTCGTATGTGTCTAGTCGAAGTTGAACGGGCTCCTAAACCTGTGGCATCATGTGCTTGGCCTGTACAGCCAGGTATGAATGTCAAGACAAATTCACCACTCGTTCACAAAGCTAGGGAGGGTGTTATGGAATTTCTTCTTGCAAACCATCCTCTTGACTGTCCAGTCTGCGATCAAGGAGGCGAATGTGATCTGCAAGACCAGTCAATGAGGTATGGTGCCGACCGCGGACGTTTCCACGAAGTTGGCGGCAAGCGCGCGGTTGAGGACAAGAATATCGGACCGCTAGTCAAGACATCTATGAACAGATGCATTCACTGCACACGCTGTGTTCGATTCATGAACGATGTTGCTGGTGCTCCTGAACTGGGAACCTCTGGCAGAGGAAATGATATGCAAATTGGGACTTACCTGGAGAAGAATCTTGACTCGGAGCTTTCCGGCAATGTCATTGATCTCTGTCCAGTCGGTGCTCTTACGTCGAAGCCTTATGCTTTCCGTGCCCGTCCCTGGGAATTGAAGCACACGGAATCCATCGATGTGCATGACGCTCTGGGCTCGAACATCCGGATAGATACCAGAGGCATGGAAGTTATGCGTGTAACTCCGAGACTTAATGATGACATCAACGAGGAATGGATCAACGATAAATCCCGGTTTGCGTGTGACGGACTAAAGACTCAGCGACTTACGACACCTTTAATTCGCCGAGAGGGAAAGTTCGTTCCGGCCACGTGGGAGCAAGCCCTGACCGAAATATCCTCAGCTCACCAGAAACTGCAACTGAAGGAGAACGAGTTCAAGGCCGTTGCCGGGCATCTTGTGGATGCAGAGTCACTTGTCGCCATGAAAGACCTGGCTAATAAGCTTGGATCCGACAATCTCGCTCTGGACCAACCCGGCGGCGACTCGCCCATTGCTCACGGCGTTGACGTTCGTTCCAACTATCTCTTCAACTCCAAAGTCTATGGAATAGAAGAGGCAGACGCCATCCTTCTAGTTGCTACGAACCCCCGTCATGAAGCCTCTGTGCTGAACGCGCGCATCCGTAAACAATATTTGCGCTCTGATCTGGAGGTTGGACTCGTTGGTGAGACGTTTGACAGTACCTTCGATTTTGAGCATCTCGGATCCGACGTCTCTGCTCTCAAGTCTGCTCTTTCAGGAAATTTCGGAGAAAAGCTTGCTGCGGCCAAACGGCCAATGATTATCGTCGGTAGTGCTGCGGCTGAACATCAAGATGCAAAAGCGATCTTTGAGACTGTCGGCAACTTCGTTGAAAAGCATGGAAGCAACTTCAATACCCAGGAATGGCAAGGCTACAACGTTCTCCAGCGGGCGGCATCTCGTGCTGCGGCCTATGAAGTCGGCTTTACTACGCCGTCTCCCGAAGTGTCTCAGACCACACCTAAGATGGTTTGGCTGCTCGGCGCCGATGAAATTGCTGCGACTGATGTCCCAAGTGATGCGTTCGTTATCTATCAAGGACATCATGGTGACCGAGGTGCCCAGCTTGCAGACGTTGTTCTGCCTGGCGCAGCCTACACTGAGAAATCTGGCACCTATATCAACACAGAGGGCCGTGTTCAAGTGACTCGAGCGGCGACTTCGTTGCCTGGTGCAGCCCGTGATGATTGGAAGATTATTCGTGCCACTAGCGAGTTTCTCAACACGCCTCTTCCATACGATGACATCGAAGCACTTCGCGACCGGATGGAAGAGATTAGCCCTGTGATGCGTAGATACGACGTTGTGGAGCCCACCTCCTTGAGCTCCCTGAGCAAGATTCAATTAGTTGATCAGAACAAAGGCACTCAGCCAACTGGAACGCCTTTCAAGGGAGTCATCGATGACTTCTACTTTACTGATTCCATCTCTCGAAGGTGAGCAATGTTTCTCTTGTGGAAGCCGTCGGTCCGTTTCTAATTTCATAATAGCTCACCTACCATGGCCCGCTGCTCAGCAGCCAAGGCTACTGGAAATCCCGAAACCAACTTCATGGCTGCTGGAGAGATGTCGCCCCAGGCTTTGTATGGCTGAATTCAACATTTCTAGTTTTTCTCTCCCCGTTTATCCCTATTTGGTCTGGGCGTTGTTGTTGTAACACCTAAACATCGTTTTTTTTATTCTTTTCCTCCCCCCGTAATTGATCCTGCTATTGATCTTACCGCCTCTTTCATTGTGCCTGACGATCAGACTTTAAGATGAGTTGGGACGCATCAATAGTGATGAATTTGTACATAAGGTCAAAAATAAGCTTCAGGGGCATGACGAGGTTATACAACTTCAAGGGATTCCGTTCCGGGAATAACATCAATCGGTTCCTCTTATAGGTGCTAGTATAACTATTCGACGACTCGAAACATAACTATTGATGTGTATACTTCCCCCGCTGCGCCCGAGCAAATCGGGGCATCATTCTACAAATTAGCTGTAATGTCACAGCTCATCATCGTCCGTCTCTCCTACGCTTTCTCCGACATTGTCCTATTGATGCGGTAGTTTCCCTACTACACCATCACTAGATTCTAACACCCTAGTAAATGGGAGCTCTCTTCGAGGAGGAGGGGACTATCTCTGCGCCCTAGGGGGGTTGTAGACCTTTTTTGGACCATACTGTTCTCTTTCTCCCCATTTGACATTGGATGGCGTGGGCATATCCTCATCAGTTGTATCGTCTTCTTCCTCCAATGGCTGTGGAGGGGAAATCGGTCCACCATCTGTATCTGTCTCTTCAAGGTTAGAGTGATGTTTGATCCGACCTTCTTCCTCGCTTCCACGTTCATCATCGCTTATCGTCGGAATGCCACGTTTTACACGCCTGGTATCGACACTCGATGATGCCGCTCGATCTCTGCCAACTATATGTAACAACTTTCGGATCAGCCGCCGTGTTCTCTTTTCTTTTCTTTCTCTTGACCAAAATTTGGATCTTACCCTCATCCATGTCGACCTTCGCTGAAGCTAGCAGGCGTTGTTGATTGCGGATTTTGAGCTTCTTCTGATTTAAAGCTTGCGTAAAGTTCGTCATTAGCTGGTCTTCATGACGGCCCTTAGCACTAATCAACTCCTCGATCTGCCGGCTTAGCTGATTGATTGTGTTCTCAGCTGTATGGCATTGTTGCTGCAAAGTTGACAGCCGCTGTTCAAGGAAGTCAGCCCTGGTGACGGCTACAGCGGACCAGTCAAATAGCTGGATGGCTTGCTCGTCATCCTGTCTCAGAATTATAGAGCCCAGCCTTTGCTGTAAACAATCAGCAGCATATTCCTGTGCCATCGACGGGTGGGATTACTGTTATGGTATGTATCCTTCTGCGAATGATGATGACCAACTCATTGCCTTCGCTACCCTGTCCAGTGATGCTAGCCGATAATCCAACCCCAGATAGATTCCAACCATCTGTGGGGGTTCCTGCCTGTCCCAAAGCATGTAGCATGATCTGAGTCCAGTCATCATCCGTTCCCTGGTAATTCTTGGAACGATAAGTCTGCAGTTGAGACTGTCGCACTGTTTTTGGCCGACTCAGTACCTCATGTAACAACAAAGGAACGGCATTAGGGGCGCTCCATACCGACCCCATTGTATGGAATTTCCCCTTCGGTCGCAGCAAGGTTCAAATCCAGTGCAGCTGAACCGGGGCGCAAGACATGGAGCAGCACAAAAGTGTCAGGTTCATCGGACCTGGGAATGCGTAGAATTCGGGGGAGTGAACTGGGCTCAGCACTAGACATGTTGCTATGAGAATCGAGGTAAGAGTACAAAGTATCATGCACTTTGGTTAACAAGGAATGAAGGTTTAAACCCCTAAGATGCCATGATGAAGTAGTGATCTGTTTAGGCTGCCTAAGGAAAGGTGGAGTGCTGCCTGCATGAAACCTTTGCCTAAGCTTTAGCCACAAGAATTCATCTACTGAATGAAATCCGAGGGCTTCCCGAGGGGCTTTCTGCCTTTTACGGTGTTGCTGTTCAATACATCAACGACAGATGGCCGACACTAGGCTAAACCTAGTACTTGCAGTGGTGTAAGGGACTCCGTGCATCCGTGGTACCCCGTTCAACTGCTGCGATCGGCCCAGCTGTGGGGATCGTCGTGATGAGTAGGTAGGCATCTATCTGATAGATAGATACGTATCCCAGCAACAACCAACTAGCTAGGAACTAACGCACTGTTAATCAGGGAACTACTATGGTCACTAGCGAGAGCTGAGTGGGCGGTGACTTGCTAGATACTAACGACGAGGCGAACTTGGGGCAGGGTAGAATAATCCAATGAAAAGCGAAGGGGAAGCTAAATCCATCCTGGGTGATCACCAGTACTAGCCGTTACTGACACCTAGGCTGGGTCCTGCGACTTCGTAGGTAACTCTGACCTCTCCCAATGGTCATTCTCCGTACGGACTAGGGGGGTACAGAGTACAGCGGCTCGATATCTGGCTGCGTGGTTGTTGGTGGCTGATCACTGTCGGGTGCAAGCGCTCTGTCGTTCAACCGTCCCATCTATGCTGCTTGGTTTCTGTCCCTTCCATACCTCGCCGATTGCGTTCCTTCCCTCCTGCCACCTTCCACCTCTCACTCGCACCACGCGCCGATACTCGAACGACATCCGAGTATCTTTGGCCTCGTGTTCATCGGTCTGCGCGCAGTCCGTTTTCACCTCTAGAGTTGCAAGCGACCCTGCCTGCTCGACCTCGGCGTAGGGCGAATTTCCCGCCCATCTAAAGTGCGACATCAAAATCCAGCTTCCCCCTTTTGAATCACCTGTCGGACTTCCTCTCACACCCCTAATCGCGTCCCTCTCGGTTTATCGTCGTCACACGATCACACGTCCTTCATTCGACTGGGCTAATTGACGTCTGATAAATCTGACCTGTCTCCGCCTGCACGGAATGACTTTCTTCCCCCTTGACAGCTTGATTTCAGCGCTCGTGTGCTCTGAGTCTGCCTCCTAGAGCTTCGAACATTCCTGGCCTCCTGCATGAGCATATGTTCATTTGATGCGAGAACATGGCTCCGTTGACCCTCGAGGTACGCCACAGCGAGGAAGAAACGATCGAATGCTGGGACGATGACGACGACCTGCAATGCTACGAGGATATACAGTTACGAGCCGCATCAACTGCTACGTCTGTAACGACTTCGTCAATACGTCGGTCTGGGCATCGGGATTCAATTTCATCGCGCCGCTCCGCACGCTCCGACCTTGATTCCAATGCAGGAGGGGACGAGGATTGGCAAGTTCAATTGTTGGACAACGACGAGCTTATCACTGAAGAGGCGATCGCTTCCGCCAAGAACGCTGGGATACCTTTGCCTACGAATGTTCCCCGGTCGGCTCTTATTGGAGGCACTATCAAACGTCTCGGACATCGAAAGCAGAAGGACATCGTCGACGACTGGTCTGATGATGTCGAGTTCCCGGGGCCTGGTAGCTCGCTAGAATTAAAGCGTTCACTTGATACGTCTTTCCCTGAAGCACTCCGGCAAGTCAGTTCTGCTGCCGTAAGCCCTATCAAACCTTCAGCTGCATCTTTTTGGAACAGCGAGGTCTCGACACGACTGCAATCAGCTCTTGCTATCACATCCGCTTCTCAACCAGGTGGCGGAATGTCCGACACCCAAGATGTTCCCACAATTAGGGTTGCGGGGTCTCGATCACCAAAGAGAGCATCACTTATCAATAGTTTTACTCCTAGCAGTGACCTGGATTCGACTGACAACTTTGAGGAGGACTTCGAATTGCCAGCGGATGATGATATCTTGCTCCGATTGTCTCCTCGAAAGGCCAATGTTGGAAACACAAGTCCCTCCCCTGAAGATTTCGATATCGACTGGTCAGAAGGCAGTATTGGGGTCCGATTCGGTGGTACTGCGAGGGACCATCCATCAAATCCAAGCTCATCGGTTTCCGTTGTCAGTCCGAGTTCCTCTAGTTGTTTAACTATTGAAAGCGAAGATGAAGGCCTTGAGGGTCTTGTCATTCCAGAAGGGCCCCTCGACTTGGAAGCGTCCTTGAAGAAGCGAAAAGTACCGTCTAGTAAGGACGTCGTGCAACTAGAACTGACCTCCGTCGATCGAGTACCTCTCGGCGCCGACGACTTCTTCTCGGGGCTTGAAATCGAAAGCGGCGAGGTGTTCGATCCTCGCAGGCTATCAATAAATCCGAATGTGAAGTGTAAAATGGAGATTCCTAGAAGTCCTGCGCGACACTCAACAACTACTATAACTTTCATGAACACGGCAGTTTCCCCAAAGACTCGCATTCCACGTCTTTCCGGCCATGATCGCCCCCACTCGACACATCTTGAGACTGTGTCAGAGAGTGGTGCGCCTCTGTCGAGGTTTCGAACCTCGCAGCGCCGGGCTGGCGGACATTCGTCACAGTCATCCGTCTCCAGCCTTCCTTCTGGGTCCTCATCCTCATCTCAGATTCAATTGACCCCTAGTCGACGACTTGTTGGGCCCGGTATATCGAATGATGCTTTTTTTGGTGAACGTGTAGCTTCAGGAAGACAATTACTGAGGACTAAACGTTCAATGCCATCCTTACGCAATATGAACCAGGCCGTCTCAAATAGCCAGAGCCCACCTATACATCAAGATGGGTCATGCCTACCTAATTACCACGCCAGACCGAAGACTCCAGTTGACCGCATAGGAAATGACGCGAAGACTTTTGTCCGTAAACATCAAGCCCCATTCATTCCAGCCGGTGCCTCAGAAAAGCAATCACATCATGCCAGTGTCAAGAGCCATCGGCACAATCGTCGCTCTAATTCAGAAGGCCCTGGCGAGTTGTTGAGCACCGAGGGATCTGGGACTCGATTGTCGCGATCTACACGCAACGATTCAATGGGTAGGAGCCCGAATGAATCAAGTCCAGAGAATTTAGTCGCCGCAAGTAAAAAAACTCTCACTCGACCCACCCGCCGGCGGAATTTTGGAGATGGCTCTGAATTGGCGCTGTTTGACGATCTGCCTACCTCCTCCTCAGCAGAGAAAAGATTTGTGAAACATCCTTCAGGAAGAGGTGTTCCAAGAACACTCAGAAGTAAATTGAGCCACGGTCAGTCTAATACAACAAAGACTGATGTTACAATCGAACAAGCCACTCCGGGTTTCACAATCAGGTCGAATAATGTCACGCCAAGTTTCGCACGGGATACAAATGCTTCAAGGAACGCAAGAGAACAGCGCATTGCGTCGATGACAAGTGCTCTGAAGAGTCGCGATCATCACCCGCTTGCTCCTCTGGGCCTGAATTGGAAAACTACGAATGTCTCGCGGGTGCCTTCTAGCTCGGCAACTATCCGGAGCAAGAAAGGCAAAGCTGCTCCAATGCCTGGATGCAAACCTCAACTGATCAAGCCCATGGGTACGGGTGTGCAAGAGGCTAAATGTAAGCTAAGTTATTTTACACAATGTTGGAGAAAATACTGACATCCTTAGACCTTAACGGCATGCGCTACAACCCAACTTCTTTCTGTTGGGAAGGGAATGAGAACCTAGTGCAGGACTTTAACTCAGTATCGCCGAAGTCGCCAAAGCCAACTCCAGCTCTAATCACCAACATAGGTGCAATGCAAAATGTACAGGTTGTCGGTGGCATGGTGTTTGACCCCCAGCGTATGTGCTGGCTTAAGCTAGCACCGTTACAACCCGGAAAGGATGGACTGGTGGCTATTCAGGATGAAGACGATGTTTTCGCAGGTCTCGGTGATTTGAAGGAGACGGCTAATGTCCTGAGTGGACGGATGTCGGGCGCCTACGATGAGCTAGGTCTTGCAGCCAGTAGTGATGACCGCAGCTACGAGGATTCGTCAGATGAATGGCCCATAACGGAAGAATTCGATGTTGGCCCGGAGTTTATCAGGCGTCAGCGTGCAGAAGAAGAAAAATGGAGGCGCAAGGTTGATAAGTGGACCACTCACGATCGTGGGAAATTTGGAGACGGGTGGAGATGGGCCATTCGAGATCTAGTGAGATTTAATAGCACTCTCAGGACACAGAACCTTGACCGGGTATGATTCGGTCATGAATGGCACTTCCAGAACGGAGGGGGCGAAAGAAGCAAAAAAGTGAGAAACAGTCGATACTGTTGCACTAAAGCATCCCCTATTGGCCTGTGCACTTCAACAACCCTGGCACTCTGCTGCCAGATGTGAATGGCAAATGGTGGCAAAATAACTTTCATGATTATGAAAACTGACGGCAGCCGTTGCCACCCTTATTTGGTTAGGCTGTTACAGTTATTCCACGAGACTATGACTTAAAAGGTGCGGATTGCTTAACTTTTCATGAATCAGCAGGTGTATATTACTCGCTTTTACGCCACTAATGGATATATGACTCTCTCTGGGATGTGAAATAGGCGACAATTGCTATAGTATCGAAGATGTAAATGTTGTAGGGAGCAAGAATGTCTTAACAATAGCAAAAGCTCTCAAGTGTGTGTGTTGGATACCGATTGTGTGTGTTAGGGAGCTCAATAAGGTCTTGCTGTCTATACCCCAATGGCAAGCTCATTCAACATGCAGACAATCTGCATGTACAACACACTCGGTGTAGGGGAGAAGGACTTGGGCCTGAGTAAACTGTACAAGTTGTCAGATCTTCTAACACGTTGGTACCTTCCTTTTTCATAAATAGGGAGGGGTGGATATATATGGGCTTGCCAATCTCAATTATATGGATATAACTCAATGATAATCTACTGTGATCGGCTTCAGTATATTCATAATTTATAGTACCTATATGGATTGTTCTAATATCAGGGCTTTGTTGGGATGTTAGGGCTAGAAATAGGCAAACATCTGAAGCAAAAGGACTGGTTTGTTACTAGATCACTCCTGATGTATTTGCTTGAACCAACCTTCCGGTCATCTCAAACTGTAAGAAGTCGTATTCATGCTTCAAACAACAGTGATATAACCGTAGAATCCAAGATTGATCTGGGGATATCTGCACTTACAACAGTGTGCCCGTTTTGCCTAGCTCGTCGGAGAATGAGTTTAACTATTGTGCTAATTGTAAGCCTCTTGACGGTCCGTAATATCCCATCATCATCATAGATAGGCCCTTCCAGCCGGCTCATCCATTCTATGAATTCATGGATTGTTTGTGCGTAACACATGCCCTTGCAAGCAATGAGATTGGCCGCAAGAAACAGCGTCCAAATGCCAAGTCTCGTATGAAAACAGTCACTGCCACCTTATTAGGCTCGGCTTAAATGGCCTGGTGATAGTGATTCATTACAGGCAGGCGTTCTAGTAAACAAGCTATCCAGCAGCAGTCATCCACGTCACATAGCAAGATACCCAAGTCCGCCATCGACTGGGCCAACTACATGTCTGCTTATACTTAACAGGCCTACTACATCATAAGACAGTAATGAGCAGAGAGCCTAGCTCTGAGAACCTTTTCGCTGCTTGGCTTGCATGTTGTAATGTTTCGGAGAAGCTCAAAGCCACAAGATCTGCAGTGTTGGCTAGTTAAATACGGCAACTGAAATCATTGACAATAGACAGGCAACTATCAGATACACCGTACAGTGTATAGATGTCGATGAAAGTTCAGTATGCAAATCCTTTAACTATGATTTGACTTCTGCCTTACAGCTTGGAGGTTATGCCTTCAACAGGGTACCTTTGTTCGGGGGGGTGATTGTTCGAATATAGCTATCCTGCTATTTATTGATGTTTTGTCGGCCATTCTATTTCCAAGTTACAGCAATAAGGTTAGGAAACTAACAAAATAGATATCCATGCTTGTTTGAAAGGTACAGGGGCAAATTGCAGGCACCATGACATGTAAGATGTCGCGTTCTTACCAGTACGCCAAAACGATATACCGCTGGCCATCTGGAGAACAGACGAAACGAAGACTCTGTGTCCTAACCTAAGATAACTCGCTACTCATGCAGGCTTTGGTCTTAACCTTAGAAGAAAAAGTCCATTCTGGTGCAAGTTTAGTAAATCTACTAGACCCAGTAGATCGAGGTAGTTGGGGTCAGCAAGGAAGGCCATGATTTACTACCGGAGTACAGAAGCTAAGAGTGGAAGAAAGGAGAGCGGTTCCCTGCCATTCCCCGGTGCTTAAAACGTTGGTGAGTATAGATGCCGCGGGTTTAGATAGAAGTGCATGAGAAAGAAACGAGAGTGGCATGTAATCAAGTAATAAATTGGAGGGGAGAGATACAGTAACAGGGAGGCTTGATCACGAATCCTGCCACCAGATTGCATACGACACCAATAATATTAGGTACAATTGATTGATACCATTCATAATAAATGCAATACACATGACACATGAGAATAATCTGTCAGATACTTGGAAGGGAATCACCGTGTAGCAATCAAAAGCAAAAACTGTGTACAAGAACTATACCTGTTTACTTGGATACTACCATGATCCTTACTAGAATGTACTCATATTCATGTATTTCTCTAGAGTCTCCTAAACGTCGACCACCCACACAGCATATTAGTAGGTTCAGACCCCAGAAAACCAGGATCGTCGAACCGTAGTAAGCATACAGGCGATTTAGCTTGGCAGCAGTCAGCCACTAAGTCCCTCGAACCGAAGTATCACTACCTATTACTGCATATACATGGGGCTAGTTCCAGATTCTAGTAAGGCAGATGTGCTTTCGCCCGACTGTGTGTAAGCTCCAATAATACAATTTTCAGGGGAGACCCTTGCACGGTTGAGCTATCCGTAAGACGAAGAGTAACCAGATGAAGGCGGAGATTCGGGTAAAAACGAGATGGGAAGAGAAGAAAACAACGACCTTCACAGTAAATAATGTGCATAAATCGCAAGAATTCAGTGAAAGCCTTGCCACCACAAGAACTAAAACAAACAAAAGAAAATAAAAGAACTCAAATAAAAATATCCTCTACGGAGAGAAGGGGCAAAGTCAAGAACCGTCCAAGAAATCCCAGTAAAGCAGGAAAAATAGGCCACACACCATATCAGTCATCGTAATGGTTGCACGGAGAAAAATGTCAAACTGGATGAAGGCAGTATTTCATGCAGCGAACTCCGGGTACTTGCATGGGGAAGAAGGCAGACGAATAATAGTACGATGTGTTAGGACTTAGGAGAATTCCAAGCCGGTCTTCTCTCTTTACCACCAGGGGTACCTGGCTGCGCCTGCCTACCGCTGCCGCTGCCTATGTAGATCCAGGGCCTAGGGCCGTACATAGTACATAGTACCTAGGTACGGGCCAGATCATAAACCCGTACCTACCTAATTAGGTCTAGGTCACAACCCACGGTTCATGCTTTGCTTGGGTAACGCTAACCGACAAGTCCGACTGACGATAGTGGAGCTCTTTAGCTCGCTTGTCGGATCGCCTTGTAGTCCTTATTGAATACGGAGTACATGGATGTACGTACTACGTACTAGGTCAGTCTACATGGCAGCTACCTAGGTACCTGTCTAGATACCACGACCCATAGTATTCATCCAGATCAAGTGACTGGGTGTGTTTGACACCCTCTGTCGTTGCTGATTGGATTCAGTCATAGGGACGATGAGCTCAGACAAACCGAGGTAGGTAAAAGAGACCCACCCTATCTACGAGTACCAGACTCCACCTTTCCTTTGTTTTCCCCCCTCTTTTCTTTTGAGCCACCGGTTTGTGGAGGACAATCTACAGCAGTGAGACTCCGTACAGGCATCTCATGTAGAGGCCTTGTTACTGTCACTGTCACTATCTTTACATAAGTGCGATAGCGTTATGGTTAAGAGCAATCGTTCCTTTCCCCCCGGCTTTCTATGTGGTGTATCATCACATGTTCCTGTCTCTTCCCCTCAACTGTTCTTGCAGATAGCCTCCCTGGAAGCAATTTATGTTTGGGTTATGTAAAGGGTCGCTGCATCCGGGTAGTTATACAGACCCATGCTTAGCTCACTAAAGCCCGACACTAGATAATGGATCGCACTTTGGGCGTATTCCGTTTCAAAGAGATCCTGGTGGTGTTAAACAGAGACGCCAGCTCATACGCACATTAACACACTGACAAGGGGTAGCTAGATACTTGCCTAAGTACCCACATACTCTGTACTTGGCTGGCTTTCAACCTCAAAAAAAGCATGGGCTCCTGAAGCGCCAGGTGTCGCCTGTGGCATAACCTACCAATGGCGACAACGACGGTGTTGTTGTTGATGTCTCCGTCATTCTCATTGTCGCTCTGATTGTCGCAATAACTCAGAACAATATCCAAAGGGCAGCCAATAAACCAGAAAGGCCTGATTTCCATTGACTCTAACAAGCGCCAGCAAAGCTACTTGCGGCCTTCTATACCCAGGCTCGTAGGTACCTGCGACTAGCCCTGAGCTGTGCTTGTTTCAGACATCATCATTAATCTCTGTTAGCATCCCCAATCATTACATCAGTCGGGTATGCACACGAGGTGTGGCATCCAGACACACGAGACCGCCCGGTCTTTTACCTCTACTAGCCAGACACGGCATCAACCCTCCGCTCGTTTCCAGCTCCATTCCCGTGCTACAGGTGGACTTGCATACTGCAAGAGCTGTACGAGCACTCTCCATTGGCTGTGATATGGTTGGAGACTGAAAAGTGCCTTGTCCTTACTATACGGCAACTCATCAACCCATAGTCCTCCATGGGAAGAAGTGTACTCCGTAAAGAGGGCACAATATCTTTCTCCCTGATGAGATCCGTAATATGCCCTTGATAAGATATCCCTATTCAACCAGTGGATATGTGGATTTTTGCTGACATGAAACAGACTCCTTGTCCGACGCAGAGGCAGGTCGGTCCCGCACGCCAAACAGTAGACTCAAAAGTGCAGATTCTCGACCAACTTCTGGGTTATTGCTATACTTTTTTTCTGTTTCGAGTCCCCTGCAATATTGGCATATTTCCAGTCGTCTTTTGTCTTCTGCCTTCTTTTTTGCGCTCTCGCGCGCTCGCTTTTTCTCTTTCTTTTCATTTTCATATTCCTTTTCGTTTTCGGCTCTCTACTTCTTTCTTTTTTCTATCGCCCCCCCCCCCAAACCCCTCACCTTCGTGTTATGATGCTTGATCCCTGTCGGTTCCACAGGTGCTTACCACTGCGGATTGCTCTTTTCTTTGCTTCTTTTTTTTTCCTTTTGCTTTTCATTTCTGCGATTTTGCAGGGGAATTTTTGCGGATCAGTCTGCGATACTCAATACTATTCCTTTCCCTCCTCCCTTACATATCTATTTTATTTTGCCGCTCGCTTCTACCCTGGCCTGTGTGTATGCAGCGTACTCATGCTTGGAGAAAGAAGCAATTTGCACGCTGTCCAGGGATTCTTTGGTAGATATTACTCGTTGCAAGATTGCAAGATGCTTGACGTTGCATCCTTGTCAAATACCATGCCTTGGTCTTGTGCATATTGCACCAGCACATTCTATACTGACCACACTGAGGCTGCTTAGATGGTCTGGCCAAAGCTCTTACTGCTTCACTCTTTTAACTGTGCCTTTGTACCCACTTTTGCTTGACATTCTGGCCCTACTTTCTCACTATTGTTAGGTCAGAACAGTCCGATTTCATTCCATAAGACATCTGAACAACCCTTTCTTTTCTTGTCGTGATCAGTTTTACTCATTACCTCAAACCCTAAGTTCGAGCAACAAATATCTCTCTATCATCGCACTGCATTTATCATTTAACTCGATACAGTTCAAAGAATAACGCACGCGATAAAAGTACTTTCGACTACCCTACAACAAGCCCTGTTTCATGGGCTCCACCTAAGTGTTATTTTAAGCCCACTTTTCATCTCAACGTGCCAGAAGGTCCTCTTAATCAATATGAGTGGCTATACAAGACGCAACCATGATGGCCCTGACAGCTACATCATGAACCACCAGATTGCGCTACCTGTCCCATACAGCCATGGGGACAGTCATGAGTTTGGTGTAAATGACTCAGGCTCATATCATTTTCAGCAGCACCCATTCAATACCTATCCGTCGCATTTTACTTCACCATACAGCCATTCTGGTATCTCGTCCAGCACGCATCATTTATCCCCACATCATTCACCAGGCCATTCGGTCCCATCAACGCCTGACCATGTACCCCTTCAACATCATTCTCTTCAGTACATGCCTCAGTCACGCTACCTTCAGTCCCCAGGGTTTATGCCACTCCGTGATGCGTTCAGCGAGGCAGATATTGAATGCCAGGACTCTCAGAATGAGAACACAATGCTATCAGAAGCAGTCATCCCCCCCTTGGATGGTTTTCCGAATGTACGAGAGTTCGACCAGTTAATGAAAAGGTAAGTTAGACTTTCGTGTTGAAGCCATGTTGCCTATGTGCTCAAATGACCGGCTTGACAGTTACGTCGACGACCTTTCTGTCAAGAAGCAAGACAAAGCTTTGATTCACGCCAAAAGAGCACGGAATATCAAGACTGTGCTGATGGATCCCAAAGACACGGCCGTGGAGTCGGCCCAATTTCGGTATGCATATCATTGATCCAATCGCAGCCCCATAAGCTATGCTTCACAGGATCAAGTAAACTAAAGTTACCCCGTACTAGATTTTGGGTGAAAAAAATGTTCAAGCTCCAAACAGTTGGCAGTGGTACATCAGATGTTCGTCTAAAATCTCCGCTTATCCACAAGCTTTGGGCACTAATCTGGGTATGGTATCAAGTGCACGAAAATGATCTGCCATGAAGGCAAACCAGTGGCGATCCGAGAGAAACTCTTTAAAATCCTCACTCGGGCACATCAACAATGCCAACATGGAGGCAGAGATAAGACATCGGCTCAAGTGCGACAAATCTACTCATGGTAAGGCCATACATTCCCCGGTCATTCTCCAATCCTACCTACCATATTTAGTTCAACGGCATCACATCTGATGATCCTCCTCGTTCCCCTCAGGCTCATTGAGTCTCTCCTGCATGGATGAAATCATGTTAACCGGTATCAAGGGTTCCAAAGGAACTTATTTCTCGCTTTGTGAAGATATGCCCGACATGCCAAGTGCGTCGAGGGGGTTCACGCTTGACGCCTCCTAGTTCCAGAAGGAGCTCACCCCGGCTAGAGGTGATATCCCGTTCACCAAAGCTACCATCGCCCCCTATGTCAAGACGTGATTCCACGCTGAATGGACAGCTTTCGCTGGAAAGACCGCAATCGGATTACTTTACCCAACTCAGCGGCCATACCACTTGGTTGGATAATCAACGAAGCCTGCAGGAAAGGCAAGCTGTTAGCCCAGGTCATGTACGTTCCTTCAATGGAGGAGCAATGGGTCACCTGCCAAGTACTCTTTCTGGTACCTTGGACTCGTTTCACAGCGATATGCCAGTAGCCTCGTCTCAGGTTAGCTACAGTGCGGGTTACCCTTCCGCGCACGGGTCGTCCAGCCATAGGGATTTCTAATTGTGTGGATTTCTCAATACCTGTTTACTATTAAGAACATAATACAGCTCGCTCGTTAAAGCTCAGATACGGGAGGATAGGATGGTCTGATTGGACTGTCTCATGGTTGCAACATGCACAAGGATTCATACTGCTTATCAAGTCTTCCTGGCGTTATCTGGCGTTGTCTTGTTTTCCAATGATTGTCCAATTGAAGCCAAATTAAACACCGTAAGGCATTCAGGCTGAGTCTCGGCATTGTTATGTCCTTTGTGGCGCGCATCGCCCTAACATGGACTGTCTTCAAAACGATAACTGTCAGTGAATGATCAACAGCCACGTCCCCTTGCCAGTGGCTGAACCCGCATATTATTAGGATTCCCTCCCCCCCCCGGTGGCCGAAAATCTTTGTTGCACTTGTCTGAAGATAACAGCCGATTTAACAAGAGCACCTGTTGCTGGGTACCAGTGACATTTGACGAGTATTAAAGACACAGAAAACTTCACAAAGCTAAATCATTTATCACTTCCCTCAAACCCGCAACACTATTCATGACTGGGCCATTCAGCATATATGCCGAATTCAGACTGGTAGCGAGAATTTCTTCCCCTTCATAACCCTTTATAATAATCAGTTCTTTGAGTAATGATCATATACACTTCTTAGCACTCACTTTGTGTAATAGATATAAAAGAAATCGGAATATAGTAGTGTTTGAATTATGCCCGCTATGACCGGAATCGGTTGAAAATGATGCTCCGCAAGATACCGATAAATCCAGTTGGGAATATAGAGAGCTCGGTATAGCCCAAGCGCAAACAGATAATGTGTCGTTATGGTGTCCGCCTCCCCGGTGCGCTGAAGCATGAAAAGCTGGGGCAAAATAGCAACAGATTCAAGCCAAATAGAGAACGTCCAAAGGATCTATATCGGGTCAGATTGATAGTCACATATATCCTCTCAATTCAGGGCAATTGACCTCGGAAATGCTATAATCGTGCGGGAAAAGGAGAGCCAATAGAGCGCTGGCGCCAAGCAGGTATTGCACTTTGAATGTGTCGGTGTTGGGGTCATGGGTTGGCTTGTAGTCGTTGAGCATGAGGTAAATTATATAGGCCGATGAGCCAATGAATAAAACCTTGAATGTGGTATTATAGAGGGAGTCTGTGAAAGCCCAGAACAAGTCTGAAAATCGGAGGGTGAGAAAGGCTTTTTTTACAGTTGACAGTCTCTGGTCTTCGGGACTTACCAAGATACCGCGTTACAAAAACCATCAAATACAGGGCCTGCGACTTGAATGATAGTCCTGAACAGCTCTAGATTCAGTCAGACATTTCCAACAAAAATGGATACAAATGTGGAATATACACTTGAAGATTTCATCTTATGCAATAGGATGAATATAGATGCAAGATGAGAAAAATCGGCTTTCTCAGAGATTAGCCAGGGGTGTCATTTCATTCGAGCGCAGCGAATCCTTACCCAACAACCTGAAGATATTCATGATGACGATTGAGCAGATTCGCCCTCGGCTTATAATGCAATTAGGAGGCAACAAAAGATTTTTATAGTCAAAAAGAGAATTGGCAGTGAGAGTCAGCCATAGAAATGCGTGTTGCTAAGCTAGATCTCTCGTCTCTCTGGTAGTACCGAAATATACCTAGATGTTGACACGAAGCCTCAAGGATACACGCGACAAGGTGCGCCCCACTTCACGCGTGATGCCGTAATACATACAAGTCCTACCAAGGCCACCAACAGTCTAACTCGGGACAACTGACAGGGTCCATGGTACCTGGCTTCTGCGGCTGCTAGCCTGCTAATGTGTACTTACATTCTACCTAGGTAATAATAGGCTTGCCCCATAGGTACAAGTTTTAACTTAATCAGGTAAGACCGCGCACACTACCCTGGAGTCCAGCGTACATACAGTACAGTGGCAGGGCACATATCCCACAGTTCTTGACTAGTCTATAGTGTTATTCTGTACCACGGAGTATTATTTTGACATTTGGGAAACGCTATTTGAACTACCTACATGTATCTAAACGGACTATATCAACTGCCCTATTTTAAGACTAATGCAATCGGATGGCTCGCTCTTACCGCTACACCTAAGTAGACAATCGGCATGTGTTTCAATTCCATAAAATTCTTAATCTACCCAGGTTTTTGCAAGGCCCGCGGATAGATAAATTTAAGACATCTAAACTTTGGAGTGCTTAATCCTCTAAGGTCCCAAGCCCGTAAGTCCCAAAATGTCTAAACCCTTTAACATCCTAATATAATAATGCCCTAATATTCTAATGCCCTAAGATCCTAATTCCAGGGCCCAGGGACTGTAAGCCAGCTGGCTGGCTGGTTGAATTTATCATTTAAACACCTTTTTGGAATATTAAATCAGGCCTCAAAACTGCTTTTCAATAATAAAAAACACTCTACTCGTCGCGCCGCCCGCCCCACCCTATCGGGTTGGGTCGGCCACCACTCACCGCACCATCACCTCTCGCCGCACCAGGTAATCCCATATAAAATCTATGATTTCAAATTAATATAACTTCACGATTTCTAGAGATTATTACTTAAAAGTTTATATATAAGCTTGGAATACTATTTTCTATATATACATTTCTTTTTAATAAAATATATTAAGTAATACAAAAGTTACTGCTATCATGTCTTAAGATAAGACCATTTTTTATTATATTATATATATAGACTAAATATTTAGCTTAAAGACTATTTTTTTTATATATTGTAGAAGCTTAATTAATCTAATTTTATATTTATAAAGAAATTTTGTGATATATATTTTTTCTGATTTTATATAAACTTTTATATTTATATATTTATATGTAATTTATATCTAAAATTTTATATTTTAAAGATCTATATCTTTTTTAATACTTGATATTTTTAGAAAATTAAAATGTTATATAAGAATATAGACATTTCTTCATAATATATATTAAATTAAAACTTATATAGCTTAGATTGCTTGAGTTATTAAAGAATTACTACTTAATACATCTTTTGATGCGGCGAGAGGTGGTGGTGCGGCGAGTGGTGGCCGACCCAACCCGATAGGGTGGGGTGGGCGGCGCGACGAGTACGGAGTACTACTACGTACTATGTACATTAACTATTTAAGGAACACCCTTTAGGCTTAGCCTGAGAGGAGTTGCCGGCGCTAGTCTAATACAGGTAAGCTGTGAAGTCCCTTGTCATTATGTTTTACCTTAAATATTGCTGCACCCATGCCTTATTGTGAAACCAGGAACATTCAGTACAGAAGGCTCCGGAACGCATACACCATCAATGAGGAGGCGTTCAAAGAAGGCTGGGTTGCCGTTCTGACCTCCGCTTTCCTGCTGCTTCTGCTTGAGATCACATTTGGTAAAGGGAACATAAGCTTTTATCAGGATATCAGAACATGGCACCAACATGCACGCTTTCACCATCGGCTATACGCTGTAGATGGCCTTCTGCAAGTTCGCTCTTCAGTGCACAAATGGAACTCTCTCGATCAAGCGTATCCCAGTCTCGGTTCCCAAGTCTTCTCAGCTTCTGGCTGTCTGCAATTTGATCAAGAAGCTTGTCTTTATCTGCATCTAGCTGGGAAAGTCGTTTTTCTATAGCGATATCGAGGCTGGATGGGAGAGCTTTGCCTTCCGGGACAATTTGGCGAAGGCCCACAAGGTGGCTAGCAAGTCTCGGGATACGGGGAGGGTAGGAAGTCCCGGGAAGACTACCTTGTCTGTTGAGATTAGAGCGGGGCAAGTCGACGCCAGGACCTGTGGGCATGAGACTACTGCGCGGACCAGTCGGTGGGGGCGCGTGGAGTCCGGTCGACGCAAGTCCGCGACGAACTGGAGATCCCGCCCAAGATGGCTCCTTGAAACCCAGACCACCGCGTGGCCGAGTTGGAGCTGACAATAGAGAAATGTTTGACCCACGATTCTGCAACGACATTATTTTAGGACCATGCGATGGACCAGAAGGAGGTGCCTGGCCTTGTATTATGTTGCCGTATGCCTTGGGTTGTACTGGGACGTTTCGGGGATAAGCTGTGTTTGGTGGACTAGGATCTGTTTCTTGGATTTCAGAAAGTCGCCGCTGCGATCCGACAATGTCAATATCTTGCCCTTTGCCCGTGGGTCGGTCTGGGACTGGCGATCTATGTCTTGGGTCGTCGATTGTGGGCTTATCCTTGATCGCGCGGGCCGCTCTTCTCGTAGCGAAGATTGATCTGAAGTTCTAGAGAGACAACGATGCGGATTGTGATAAGTTGGTGACCGACTTGGAGCATTGGATGGAAACACATGAGGCCTTTCCAGAAATGGCGATGAGCGTCTTGAATCGGGAAGAGAGCCGGAGGCAGAGGTACGCATAGGCGATGTGCCCTTTGGAGATGGTGACCGCCGCTTTGGGGTTGGAGGAATTTCTGGGTTGCGTTCCCTGCGTCCTCCATAAAAAGGACTTCGGGATCGACGGGGGAGCGGTGCGCGGCTGCCACTATCTCGTAACGGAATATCAGGCTTCATATATATATCTGCGGGAGGCTGAGGTCGCTCTCGTCTGGGGAATCTGAATTCTTGGCTGCGGGGTGACGGGTCTCGCGGCCGCTTTGGGTTATTTCGACTCCATGAAATATCACGCTGACGACCTTCTCCATAGGGAGACCTTGAGCGCCACGAGGCCTGGTGAGGTGACCGGTTTCTTACCTCGCTCCGTCTTGGTGAAAACCGCCTTGGTGGAGAGCACGTCTTTACATAGGCACCTATTCCCATCTCCCGATTGTAGAACGAGGGACTGCGTGAGAGGCGACGCCTTGGGGCTGGTGGTGAACGGCTACGGACGCGGGCATACGTCCGACTATGTGATGGAACCCATGTATCCGCGACAAGGCGGGGAGAACGGACACGCGGAGGCGATCTGCTGCGTCGCAAATAAGCTCGAGAGCCGCCAGGACGATAACTCTCTCCACCACGGTGATCATCAAATCTATTCGCGTCCTCTTCTTAGCACATACCCAGGTAAAGTGAATGGTCATACTAACCTCCTACTGCGATCCCAGTCCATCGTTTTATGTTGAAGATATAGCGCACGCTTGCTCTGTTTAGATAAGTTTACGCAGCGGCATTGAATTGGAAATGACAAATCGTGACGGAGAAGGAAAGTAACATAGGAAGATACCCATATATGTCTGGCGGGTACTGATGATTAATGTCACGTGGTGTCGTGAGGGGAATGTTGTACCATGATTTTGCTTGCCTTTCCCACTGGGTAGGGATAAGTACTAGTACTTTGGGAAGGAAGTCCATACCAATTGATATTACTAATTGGTCTTTTCTCGGAGTAGTAGGTTTAAGAAGAATGATAATTGGTAGCCAAAAAATTCTCAAAGGATATCAGAGAGCTAAAACACCAAGTATGCTACCTAGCTTGAAGCCCAGGCCAATTGTCGACTCCATACTTCAATATAAAAAGGATTTTTCGGATATACATTAGCAAAGGAAGCCTGGTCATGAATCATAGACAGGGTGCTCCAATACCCTCTGTGATTCATGAAACTACGGGGACTCAAGAAAATGTACTATTATAGAATATGCCTTCAAATGACGAGTGGTTTCAGGTATTCATTAGATGCGGGCCTCAATAACATGGCCCTACGAAGAAGTTTTTTATGCTTTTGATATATGTGATTTCTTGGCTTCAATAATCTCATCGATTAGGCTTTCATTTAGCAATGCATTCTGAGCAGCCTCATCTCCTGCGATTGCTTTGTTGGATCCTTGGCCGGAACCAAGGTGCTTATGATTCCAACCCCAGCCGGTGAGGTATACTCCGATGAAATATGTTTGAACGCCCCTTCCCCGCTGAGCAGGGGAGCGTTCGTCAACATAGTTGAGTTTGATGCCCTTCCCCATGATCTTTTTCGCGAGAGATTCTTTGGCGTGCAATGAGGACTTTGGTTGCCCAAGTTGCTCGATCTTTGGCAACCACAATTGTGTTAACCATTCCTCGGCCACATGATACCCATTGGTTGGATCGGACAAAACAACAGCAGCTACATAAGCCTCAAATATGTCTGCCTTTGTCTTAACCCATCTCCGGGGTTGCTTTAGATAGTCCGGCGGTACGGAAGCCTTGCGGTCGAGTCCGTACCTAGTTGCATAATCAGACAAAGTCTCGTTCTTTACAAGTAATTCTCGAATCTGAGATATTCGACCAGAGGGGATGTCCTGGAACTTGTTCCAGATGAGCTTCGTAGAGATAAGTTCTATATATGCATCTCCAAGCACCTCAAGTCGGTCATAAGTAGCTGCATTATTGTTGCTCACACCTGGGTGAGTAAAAACTGCGCTTTCAAGTATACTGTCCAAGATAGGTGGTATTTGAGGTAAGAAGGGATCCACCCTGCCATTGGAAGCTTGGAGCGGTGGTGTAGCATCCTTGAGGCGACTCGCAGTAGGAGATATGGAACCTTCTGCACGGTGCAACGCTGCATCAAGCTCGGTAGCTGCGGTCAAAACATCGGCATTTGTCGCAACGGCGCGGCTCTTCAAGGAGACATTATTCTTGATGATATCCTGAAGTAGAGTCCTCAGAAGAGCGAAATCATTATTATTGCCTTGCTGGTTTTCCGCGGAGGGTGACAACTTCGTGACATGGAAATTATCATACTCGCTGATGTCAGTATACATCAAGGCAAAGAAGCGTGAGTGCTTACCTTTGTCTTCTTCTGTCCATCCCCAGGAGGCAACGAAAATACGGATTTCCTTTTCGAACCCATGATCTGACGTATACAATCATGTAGAGCGGGACTCAAATATCGAAGGTTGCTGAGGAGTGCGTGACATCACGTGATATGATACAATACTTGTATCTGAACAGAAACTCTGCCATCGTTACCGCAACAATATCCAACCAAAGCCCGCCTTGTCGAAATGGCGGCGCCATACAGTAGACTGCTTGATCTTGCGAAGGTATTTACTAAGGCGCAGCTTGACTGTGTCAAACCCGTCACCCGGCCGTCGTTCACCCTCAAGCCCAGCTAATTCATCCACCGCGGCCAGGTCCAATGTCGAATCTTTTCACTAAACTTCAATCCCGAAAGACTGAGACTGGGAAATAAGATCCTGCGACAGCGCTTGCGTGGCCCTGCACTTGCAGCATGGTACCCGAGAAAGACAATCTCGTTCAAGGATCTGCAGGAAACGTGTAGCCGCTCAGGCCTAACAACGTTTGATGAATATGAAGATGATCGCGAGGAGGCAATTCAAATGTAAATCTTCCGAGGCAAGCTCCCGGCACATGCTTACGTTCGTGAAACAGAGCGAAGTTACGAGGAAAGGGTCGTCCGAAAAAGAAAAGGACAGCCGCAGGTGAGGCTCGACAATCAGAGACCTTTCTCTTCGCACGATTTCCTAACATTAGGCATAGAATCCCGGTCGGCCAAGAAGAAGAAATAGATCTATCAAAATGTACGATAATAGGTATGCGGTTTCTTGCACGACAATATCCGGTTTTCTGTGCGGTGTGGCCAATATCCAGGCAATTAAATTATTGTTGACTCTTGCGCTTGTCCTTTTTTTGTTCTAATTATTTGCTTGCTGTTTTTATGGTATGAATTGGAAATCTAATTGGAAATTGATGACAATATCAGTAAATTTTGAGCCTTTAGACAAAAGCTCTTATCTAGGAATTGAGCACTTGGTACAAAGACCCAGAGATCCGAGAGGTGTAGTGATCAGCAGGTTGACTACCCATTGATAACCTATAAAGCTAGGGTACAACGAATAACGAGATGTATAATCCATGAATTGGTTGAGCCGTTGGTAGGCAGATCACATGACTATCAAGGGTAGCACACAGCTAGTGTTATCATAACGACATAGCTTAAACCAGCAGCCTCCGGATTACATACACAAGACAACGCCGACATGCGTTGAAATGTGTTGCTCTCCTTTTCACGGAAATCTTGATAACTCTTTCAATTTTAATCCCACTCGGATCAGGACTTTTTCGATACAAAAACAGGTTCCGTTCTTTATTAGCACCGAGATTTAAAGGAGAAATTCCCGCCTTGAAAATGGGCAAAAATCAGCTGCGAAGGGCAAGAAAGAAGGCTCTAAAATCCCAGGTATGTTGGTTTCAAAGCATCGACCAGAGAAATGCTAATCCTCTGTGTCTTCATGAAGGTGGTTGAGCCGACTTCTGACAACCCCCCCGCGGAAACCCAAGTTGATGAAACCATAACGTCGAGTGTCCCCAAGGCGGCCACTATAGACCTACAACACGCTGTATCTCCAGATCCCAACGATCCGCTATGGCGGATATACAAAGATATTGTTGAAAAGTTTGACGAAACGGAGGATGGGCAAACAGCATCGAAGGAGACTCTCAAACCAGTAATATACTTTGATGATGACAATGACATACCAGATGAGGAAGAGAAGGAGCCTTCATTATCGAAGCGGAAACGGAAGGAATTGAACAAGCTTTCTGTCGCTGAGCTGAAAGCAATGGTTCGGAGACCGGAAATAGTTGAGTGGACAGATACGTCAGCTCCTGATCCTCGACTGCTTGTTCATTTAAAGGCTCATCGCAATGTTGTTCCTGTGCCCTCCCATTGGTCACTCAAAAGGGAATATCTGTCTTCTAAAAGAGGCATTGAGAAGGCCCCATTCGCCCTGCCGAGATTCATTCAGGAAACTGGGATCTCGGAGATGCGTGATGCTGCTTTGGAGAAGCAGGAGCAGGCAACATTAAAACAGAAACAGAGAGAGAGAGTTCAACCGAAGATGGGGAGATTGGACATCGATTATCAAAAACTATACGAGGCTTTTTTCCGATTTCAGACTAAGCCTGAGCTTACTCGGTATGGTGAAGTCTATTATGAGGGGAAGGAATACGAAACCAATCTTAGACACCTTCGACCTGGCGAGCTTAGTGCTGAGCTGAAAGAAGCACTTAATATGCCACCTGGAGCCCCTCCCCCTTGGTTGATCAACCAACAACGATACGGCCCACCTCCTTCTTATCCTGCCCTGAAGATCCCAGGCCTTAACGCCCCTCCTCCTCCTGGCGCTATGTGGGGATATCATCCTGGCGGTTATGGAAAGCCACCTGTTGATGAGCATAACAGACCTCTGTACGGTGGCGACATATTTGGTGTGCTACAATCCCAACAGGCCGTGCAACAGGGCGAACCCGTTGAAAAGGACCTTTGGGGAGAATTACAAGCCCCTGACATGTCAGAGGAGGAGAGCGATGCAGATGAGGACGGTGACAGTGCCGATGGTGAGGAAGACGATATCGAGGCAGGCGTGCAAACCCCAAGTGGACTAGAAACTCCCAGCGGTCTAACCTCAGCTGTTCCATCAGAGGTAACTGGTCACGAGAACATTGCTGGTGAGTTTGATGTGCGGAAGCACTATCGGGGAACTCAAACCGAGGAGTCTGTGGGCCAAAGGAGCGCCTTCCAAGTTATACCAGAGAGGCAAACGCAAGTGCAGGGGTTTTTCGGGGCTGATAGGGCGTATGATCTTAGCGTATCCTCGAATGCTCTGCCCGTGCTTGGTTCAGATGAACATAGCAAAAAGCGCAAGAGGCCTGGTGACATTGATGTGTCTGTTGATCCGGATGCCTTGCACGCGAATGATGGTTTTGATCGAGAAGATATAAAAAAGCTATATGAATCCCAGCGGCAACAACATACCCACCCGAATTGGGATTTTCAGGAGGATTTGAGTGATATGATTGCGCGTGAGAGTCGCAAAAGGCTCAGGTAGAACAAGGAACAAGACAGCAGGTGTCTCTTGATAGCTCTTCCCGCGAATAACACAAGTTGGACACATCAATACTTCGGTCATTTCGCTATTCTGTTTTTAAGGCCACAGTAAGACTTGAGGTACCTTATAAAGCGCGTTGGCGTTGAGCAACACTATGCCCTGGATGTGAAGTTGGGAGTCGTACATGATCAATCACTCTATATGATTGTAGCAGTTCCGATGGTTCTTTTATATAAACATTGCCTGATATTAAAGATGATTGGGATAGGATCTACTTGTCATGATAGAAAGCCTGTCAACTAGATAAGGAATAAGTTACACAAACATCATTACGCTGGAAGCTTCCTACATCACTAACAATCCTTAATTACATGTCCCGTGCTATCAGCGTGTGTCAAGATGCTGGTGGGCGGGATGGTAACTAAGATAGAAGACTTAGGCAGGCAGGTAAGACAGATTGAATTAAGATAGCTTGTATTTAAGTAAATACTAAATAACTAGTTAAGTTATATATAGATTAATAGATAAAATATAATTTTAAACTAAAAATAGGATTATAAAAATAAAATAAGAAGATTATATATAATATTAGATGTGACAGCAGCTCTGCTGATGTCAAGGTGCGGGCTGGCAGGATAGTAAGATAGAAGACTCAGGCAGGCAGGTTTAATTAAGATAAATTATATTCAGACAAGCAGCTAGTTAAGCTATATATAAGTTAATAAATAAAATATAACTTAAGACTAAAAATAGGATTATAAAAATAAAAGATCTTCTAACAGTATATAAAATCACGGGTGAATCTTTAATAAAAATATACTCGAATTATATTATAATAATATATTTCTTTTCTTTAATCTAAGTTTCTACAAGGTGAGGGCTTCTGTAAATAATAATAATAATAAAATTTATAATTTAATAAATATTTTCTAAATACTTAATAGACTTAGTAATAAGATCAATATATCTTATCTATTTTATAAAATATACTAGACAAGAATAATCTTTTTCTTAATAATTTTAAAAGAATTTTAAAATCTCTTTAATTTTCTATCTTTCAGGTCTATTAATTTTAATATAAAATAGAAGAGATTCGTATTAATTAAGTAATAAATTAATATTAAAAATTAGATAAGTCTTTATACTCAGTAATAATCTCAGTTAATAAATATAAATATTAATTATCTTTTTAATTAAATATAGATTTAAGATATTTTAATCTAGTTATTTATTAGACTACAGTATCTTGATATAGTAAATATTAAATTAAATTTTTTAATCTTACTAAAGTTTTTAAATGAAATATTTTTTATTTACTTATTTAGAGTAATAGATTTAAATAATAAATTAATCTTATTTTTATAAATTTAATAATAAACTATATTTCTATAGTAAATTATTTAATATTTTAGATTACTAGCTAATTAAGAGTAAAATCTAGCTTAAATCTTATATAAAAAGAAAATCTGTAATTAATAAAGAATAAAATTATTTTAATTATATTTAAATAAATTATATTTAGTATAAATTTAATTAATACAAATTATATATTTTAATTATTTTATAGATAGTTTATATAAGTCTAGAAATGTTATTTAAATATTATATTAATTTTTTTAGTTTATTTATTAATCTTTAAATAATAAGTAGTTAATAACTTACTTATAATATTCAAGTACTTAGTTAAGTATTTTTAAAATTTAGAAATCAATTAAGATTTTTTATTAAAAAAATAAAACGAAGTAGACTATATGTCACGGTGCCTGCCTGCCTACCTGCCTGAATCCTGCCTGACCCCGTTCCCGTTCCCGAAAAAACGTCCTTATATAGCGTGCGCAGTGTAAAGCCAATGGCTTTACATCCTAGTCCTTTTGCTAATAGTGCAGCGGGATGTACCTGGAATGCGCACCCAGTATGCTCCGTGACACTATATAGATTTTATATATACTAAATATATATTAAAATTATAATAATAATATTAATTATAGAATTATAGAGAATCAGATACTTTATTTTAATTATATAATTAATTATTATTAATACAATATTATAATTTTAACTTTTAAGTAAATATATAATAAACTTTATCAATATATTTTATTATATATTTTTTAATATTAATAAAAATTTTAAAATATCTTATTTTATTGCCCGGGAAAGGATTATTCTTTAATAAATTTAACAAATTTTCATTTATTATTTTATATATTAATATTAATTAGATTAATATTATTCTTAGACTAATAGTTTATAAATAGAAGATTTTCTAAAATAATTTAATAATAGTTTATTATAAATTAAACAAATTAATTTAATTTTTAGTTTATTATAATTAAAACTCAAGAGATGATCTTTATAAAATAATGAACTTTTTTTTCTTTTATAAAAAATTAAAAAAATATCTGAATAATAATTCTTATTTATTATGAAGATTTTTAAAATATTATATATTTATCTATTTTTCTTATATATCTCTTGCAGGATTATCTAAATTTTATTAATAATCTTAATAAATTTTATTATTAAATATTATATTAGCTTAAGAATAGACAATTAGTATAAAAATCTTTTTAAAAAAGTTTTTTTAATAAAATAAAAACAGATCATATTTAATTAATACAGAATCTTTTTTCTTAAAATTTAATAAAGATAGATTATGTTTAATTAATATAAAATCTTTTTTTTAGTTTTATAGAGCTGGCATGCAAGCTAGATTTAGATTTTTTTGATATAATTTAATTTTAGTATAGTAAGTATTTATTTTTTAGAAAGAAATTTAATCTTCTAATCAGATTAATAAACTTAATATTATAATAGCTGGATTAATATATAATCTTAAAATTAAATTAAAACAGGAACTCTGATCACCGGGTCTGATATTAATTAAAAAAAATTAATCAATATAAAATATTCTAGATTATAATAATTTATATTTATTTGAACTGGAAATAAGGTTTTTTAAGTTCTAGATATTATTCTTTAAAATAGTAAATAATTATAAGTAATTTTTTATTCTAAATTTTATAATTATATTTAGTTAATAAGTATATTTTCAAAAAAAGATAAAAAAATAAAGCAGGCTGTTTTCTTTATACTAAAATAATATTTTAATAAATATATAATCTATGATATTAATTTCTAAAATTATTTTATAAATTTAGTTAAATAATTAAAGTATAGAAATTTTTATGAAAATCTTCTCTAGTAAGTTTAATATTTTTTAATAAGTAAAAATTTATCTAAACAGAGTATATTTTTAATTAAATGTATTAATAAAGTAATAAGCTTTAAGAAATCACAGATAAAGTAATAATAAAAATTAAATAAATATATTTCAGATATTCTGCTCTAATATAATTATAAATTAAGATATTATTAAAATATATTATATAAAATATATCCAGATAATTTTATAATATATTATTAATATATTTTTAAAAATAGTTAGAACTTTAATCAAATTAAATCATATTATTAAAAACTTATATAAGCTCAGACGGGTATAGAATATAATTAAATATTTTTTAATTTTTAGAAATTTAAATATTATTAAATATATTAATAATGTTAATTCTAATAAAATAATATATTTTACAGATTATTCAGAGTTTCTTTTACAAGTAAAAATAGATAGTAATTTTTGATTGAAGTAATATTTAAATCTAAATAATTTATATAAAATTAAAGTTTTTCTTTAGATTTTTTTATAAAGAAGACTAGAGATATAATAAGTAAAAGGTTTAATTAAATAAATTCATTTTTAAGATTTTCTAATAATTATATATAAAAGATTTATAATTTATTTTAGAATATTCTATATAAAAACTTAAATAAAGAAATGTTTTGTTTAGATTTATAATATAATTATATAGATAATATAATAAAAACTTTTTATTTTTTTAAATAAGAAGATATCTATAAATTTCTTAAATTTTTTAAACGATTGAAATCTTTTAAGACTAGGGGCAGCTTGTAAAACTATATTAATTTAATTTATATTTATAGTATATATTAAATAATCTTAGCAGATATAAATTATATAAATAATTATTAAAATAAATTAGATATTTCAGTTTTCTAAAAAGTATAGTAAGATAATATATATAAATTATATATATATTAGTATATTATATACAGTATAAATCTTAATTAAATAAGTCAATATAGAATAACCAGTATTAAGTATTATATAAATAATAATATATTAAACATCAAGATTTAATATAATAAAAATAACTATTAAATTAGTTCTTCAGAGTTTCTTTTTAATAAGAAATCTCCTAATTATAATATTTAAGATAATATCAAAGTACAGGATTATATATTTTTAATAATAACTTAAATTAAGTATATCTCTTTTAACCATTTATTAGAATCTGGAAAATAAAATTATTTAAATAATATTATAATCTTCAGTTACAGGGCTAGTATAGAAAATCTTATATTAAATAAATCTTAAGCTCTTATTATATATCTAGTAAATATAAATAATAACTAGTATTAAAAAGAAGATTAAATTATATATAATATATTTAGATAAAAGATATAACTAATTTAAAAAGTCTAGATATTAGATTCTAGATAGTTATAGATTAAGTATTTATCTAAATTATAATAATAATATGTATTTTAGATTTTCTAATTGGTTTCTGAATATAAAAAGAAGTAATAAAAAAAAATAAGTTTATAAAAATATAATTAAATATATCTAGCTTTAGATTAGTACTTTTTCAAAAAGCTTTTACAAAATTTTTCTTATTAATAATAAAGATTAATATAGAATTATTATATTTTTAAAAATAATTTTTTAGATTAATAAAGTACTGCTGATATTAATTATCCAGGATTTATAAAAATTATATAAAAGTCTAGTAATTTTCTTTTAAAAAAATATTCTTTAATAGTATTATTTTTAATACTTAATTAATATTATAATCTAGTATTAAAAGTAAGATGTCTGGGTATATTCAAGCCTTTTCAATTAAATAATAAAATTTAATATAATAAGTATTAAATTTCTTATTGTCTTATTTTAAATAATATAATTTAAATCAGATATTACAGATACAGTTAAGATTATTAAATATATTTTTAGAAGATTTAAAACTACAAAATAATTAATTAAAATATATATTTTATTTTTTTATATAGCTAGATATAAGTATAAAGTATTTTTTTAAAATAGTTAGTAATATAAAATATGCGGGTTTAAAAAGATAGATAATAATTATAATTTATAATTCTTTTTCTTAAATCTAGAAAATAAATTAATTAAGATTAACTTAATTATTTTTAAATCTTTTAAAAT